TATTCGATCTTTGTGAGATATCCCTGATAAATGTACTTTTTATCTCCTCTTTTTTACAAAACCAAATTATTCTTTATACGTATTTGCTGATTTTCTTATAAATAATTGTATCAATGTCCTCGGTGACTAAATGTTCCGCAAATTTAAGTGTTTTATGTGTATGCATTGCAAAATGGCCAGCAAAATGGGCAACAAAATTGCCCAAATTGCAAACAAAAAAGACTAACAGAGATAGAGCGAGCAAGAGTGTGAGCGAGAGAGAGAGGGGGAGAGAGAGAGAGAGAGAGAGAGAATGTAGTTGGGCTTACGTAAGGGCCAACGTATACGGGTAGTAAACCAGGCCTATCTGCCTCATCCTTAGTCCAGCAAATAAATAATATTTCGTTTCGCCTAGCTGGGAAACTTTTGTGGGCAACCAGGCGACATTGCTGCCACAATGTTCAGGATGTTTCAGCCGGTGAGCAGAACAGAGCCGAGCCGAGCCGAGCCGAACCGAGCCTTGCCTGGCTCCTCACCTCACCTCACCTTCCTCTTCTTTTTCTGGTTTGCTTTCTATTTTTATTTTTATTTTTATATTTTTTTTGTTTTTTTTTGGAATGGAAGCATTGTTGTTGTTAGCGCGATGCGACGCAACGCGATGCGGGAGGTGCTCACGGTCTTATGGCCAAAAACAGTGGCAAGTTTCGCATAGCGTGTGCAACATAAATTCACTTACCTGTCACACACAAACGCACACACCCAGTTATAGCTGCAGATTGCGACAAATGCGGCTTAATCGGCCGACGTTTTTGTGTAAAATAATCGATTTCATGCGAATGCAGCGAGAACAACGGTAATTCAACGCATGCATGCATAAGTATACAATACTCCAGTCCGATAAGAACCTTATCTACGGCTTCAACAACAACAATGTATATGTATATGTATCAGCTACATTTATTTCTTTCAAAATTTATATATGCATTTGAAAGTTCACTTTCTGCAACATTCATAATAATACATTTACATGATTATTTTTATTACTATCGGAACAACTTGTGGCACACGCACACGCAGACACATAAACTTAAATGAATTGATTATTTCGATTTTTTAATCATTCCAACTATCGCTTTTAATTATAATAAATACAGGGGCACAATTATTCCATTAATTAGACTTGAACAAAGTCAAAGCCATCTTCCCGTTATTCAAAAAAAATTTACTTATTTACCAAGAGTTACCAAAATTTGAAGTTGGATTACTGGGAACCTGCTCCTAAGATTGGCAATAGCCTATAACTCCCACAGTTTTCGAGCTGTCCCATTAATGATTATGCAATGATCAAGGCACACCCACTGACTGCCGCCCTAGGTCCCCTTCCACAAAAATGTTATTTGTCACCTGTGAGTATAGTCCCTTTCTAAGCATCACTTTCGCTTACAGATGGGCCAACAAGAATGAATGAATGAATGAATAAATGAAAACCAAATGCATCTTCTGAGTAGTATACCCACAATTGTCACATATAATTCAATCGTGTGATTAAGTAATTGTCTATTGTTGCAGAGCTTCAATGCTCTATCAGTGTGTATCATGTGTATTCCTTACTTTCAATTGTGCTGCTAAAGCGAGAGCTTTGCGAAACTGAAAACATAATCACAAAACAAAACAAATACAGCAGAAACAATGACGCAAACAACAACTGCAACGTGTCAAAAGCAACGTACCTACCATATTGGCTAAGTACACAAATACACACAAAGACCAGCCAACACACACACACACACGCACACACACACAAGTGCTGCGAGCAATATGGCAATATCCAGTTCTCGCACGCACACTACAAACAAAGCCCACATATATAAGGGCTTGAGTGACAAGCCCGACAGGAACTGACGCACAGCACATGCTACACTCAGCAAAAAAAAATTAAGAAATCTACTTCTGAAAAGTAGAAATGCAAGCCCATATTCTTTGAAAAAAATCATTTCTAAAATTCAAATACAAGTTTGTTTGAGTTTAGGTTAGATGCCGATTAACTTAGCGAACCAAGAGTTACTGGCTTATAAGTTTTAAAATTAAATAATTATATGAATCTATAAGCTATCTCAAATGTGTGTATATGTGAATTCTTAAAACACTAATGTTTATTAATAATATCAACATAAGCTAAGTTGCGCTTGTACACATATGAAAGAGCAGCCTGAAAATAAAGCAATTTGTTCTACATTTTGAAAGTATTTATGCTGAAACTAAAAAAAGAAAAACCTAAATTTGTAGGAATATAGTTTCTGGATAATCAGCTGAGTGCCATTGGAGTCGAAAATGTTTCTAAAATTCAGAGCGATTTTTTTTCTGAGTGTAAGTCTTGTAAGGGTAGAGCTTTGGAACATGAAGGCAAATGGGGGTAAACAGCAAGTCTCGCCCCAAACTTACTTTGCATTGCACTTATACAATGGACATGAGTTGTTGTTGCGGTCAAATGCAGATTGTATTCAAATTAAGATGCCTTCCTAATGGACCCATTAGCAGCCGGCATAAAGTACGACAAGAATAGTAATCGTCGGCTTGCTATCGATTACATACCCATGACAGACCCTTTACGAAGATATTATGAAATACGCATCGATAATGTTCTCAGTCAATGTCCCAATGCTGGATGAAGCAAAGAATATGTTGGGATAGTTGGGAGTCGTTGTAGGAGTATATAGTTGCAAGATTAATTAACAATCCCGAGATCTCTCGTACCGAAATTTTCATTTTAATCCCGTCCCGACAAATGCCCATTCTCATTTTCTAGGATATTCATCAGTCCTATTTGAAGAGAAGCAGGACAAACACTATTTCAGCCGACTTTGATCCACACCCTGGCCACCTTGGGCTCAGACCAAAACGGTGATAGATCTCACACGTGGAAATATGTTGTGGATATCTCCATCTATCCATGGATGAGACCTTCAATAAGGAAAAACTCCGTGGGCTTATACGAAGTAGATGGCCGCAACTCTAATTATTCAATCCCAAATCCTCCCGTTCCGAAATTTATATATTAGTCGCAATCCGACAAAGCCCGAAGATTTCTGATTTTTATTCTCAATGTGATGCAATATTCAATATTTATTTGGAAGGTTGCTGGAGCAAATGTGCATTTATCCATTACTCTTAAATACTTAATTTAGATCTTACAGTTGAATAGTGCAAATACGATTATAACTCTTCTTCGACCGGTTCAACTTGTAGCTTATCTTTCCAAGCAACAATTAGATATTAGTGACAATCTTCCTGCATATTTATTTTCATTAAAATTTTCTTCATCGTCGGGGCTTGTAAAATCTGCTTACTCCGTACTTAAATTACTTTAATCTTTTTCATTTTCATGAAATGCACCAACCTGTAACTCTTCATGAACCAAAATTAAAATACAAAAAAAAAATTAGCGTAAGGTAGAAAACTTTCCCACTCAAAATAACATTTTTTTTTTAAATTTAATTTTAATACGTTTGGCATTTATTGATCGAATTTGTCGCCATTGTCGGGAATGGTCTTGTACCCTGGCCCCTCCCTCAATCTTAATAGTCGTTCCCAATCCGTTCCCTTCCACTCTAAGTTTTTCGAAATTGTCCCAAGCCCATCTCTGGTTGGCAGAGAAACAACTTCAATTGAAGCATCAAGAAAGTAATTATAAATTAGCCGCACTAACGATAAATGCTAATGGATCCGTTTTATGTAAGCACTTTAAACATAAAGACAGAGCATGAAACATAGTGAAACGGAGAAAGACAGAGTAAGAAGTAAGCAGAAATGGATGTTAATACACTTCGATTAACGCTAAATTATCCGCAATCGACAGTCGCTGCAACAAAGGCCAAACTGAAGCTGCCACAACCGCAGCCACAGCTGCAGCCACAGTCGATGACGACAACATCAGTGTGTGGGCTTACTGCGAGGGTTGGTCTAAAAGAACTGATGTGCTTGCGGGGGCTCGGGGGGAAGAGAAAACAGGCCAATCGGGTGGGTGGCACTTATCTAGTTGATGCTTTGCTGGCGCTGAGGCATTGTCAGCGGCGACGAAGGCCAATGCATTTGGCGATGATTCACAAAACAATGGATGCAGCCCAGCCGGCGACGTGGTGCTTGTACAAAAAAAAAAAGCAAAAAGATAATGATGGGTAGCGATAAATAGATGTATAGGCAATCTCTGTATAGCTCTCCCTCGCTCGCTCTCTGTCTCTCTCTCTCTTTCTCTCTCTCTCTCTCTCTCTCTCTCTGTGGTGAGCAGAGTGTGCTTGTGTCTAGCGAGCTGACAAAACAAGTCCCTGACCCCAAAAAGTAGGCAACAAAAAGCGCTGGCTGCCTTGTCAGCAATTCAAAATTACGACAAAGAGCCACACATACACCCCCCTCCCCAACCCTGCACATCTCCCCCCACCACCCAACAGAGGACTAGCAACTGCTATGCTAATAACCAATATTTTAGAGCAAGCCAGTCGTCTGCCTTTGAAATTGTCGCCAGCCACATAGCCAAATAAAACAAGCAAAAATGCTCTTGTCGGGTGCACGACTAGAAGATACTCTCATACCCAGGTCTTACCAAATTGTACCTAGTATAGTATAGATGAATCCCTATGTCCTAAAATCCAAGATGCAAAAACACTCTCCGAAAATGCAATCTTTTCTGGTTCAAACTTATTTGGCAATATCTGAACTTAGTAAATATATCAGCGAAAATATTAATCCTGAAAAGTTTAATATCGTACATATTGGGAAGGATCTATGCCCAGAATATATGTCTGGCTAAATAGTAATCCCTATATGTTAACTACCATTTTTTGACTAGGGGTATAAGCTTCTAATTCGATTTTTCAGAATATAAGAACTGTTCCCTGATAACATTTTCAGATCATGCCATTTAAAAATCCGAATTAAGTATAAATTTGAATAAAAAGAAAACTTCTCATTGATCAAAAGTAAATAAATTTTAAAATGATGTTTTCAAAAAATGGATTCTCACTTACCTTCTTCCAAAAGCTCATATGCTCGAGGTTTAATTAAATGCTCACTTTCAGCTGCGTTTATTTAATGAGGAATCGTTAAATTGAATTTTAGTTTTGTGTGTTTGAGTTTTGTGTTGAGATTATTTTTAGAGAGAAATTTTAAGAATTTTAGGGATAAAAAACACTCTAGGAATTTATATGTATTTTTTCCCAATTCGCTTTTGTGTTTCTTATTTTGTTTTTGTTTTTTTATTATTCGTTTGTAATGCTTGAGTTAAGTTCTTTCTTGTCTGGCTATTTATGCTATTTTCGTTTATACATCAAAATTAACTGGTAAACAAAACGAGGAACGAGCCAACGCATTAAAGGTGGAAACTACGAAAATTAAAACAAATGCAAGTTAGAACATAAATTCAAGTTTTAAAATGAATATTCAATATTAATTTTGGAATTTTACATTTGATTTGGTTATTATTTGGTTAATCTTCATACATTAATCTTTATCCTGATAGTAGTGTGCAACAAGTATGTATGTAGATCAAAAGCATTCGCAAATATTAAAAAATAAACAACAAAAAAATCATAAAAATGTATCTCGATTTGGTTTATATTTTGTTTTGTTAATCGGTGCATGCTTTTTTCTGTTGAATTTGTTGTATGAAATGTAGTTTGAAGCAAGCTTAGGTGTTCAGATGAAATTTATTTACATGTTGCCAATTCGAACACAGGTCAGTAACCAGTAATTTGATGGACTTGAAGATCATTTAGAACATAACTTTGACTATAAATGATAGGGTGTTGAAACAAGTGGATACATTCATGTATGTATAAATTTAGCTACAATTTTATAACTTTGGAAAACTTGTAAAAATTGTATGATGCTTAGATTTTGTTAGCTCTCTCGAACTCCAAACGAAAGTTGACGAAAGTTTTGGCGAAATTGGTGAATACGAAAGTTGAAAAAATGTTGAAAATATACATATATGTACATAGGTAGATAGGAGAAGGACGAGGAAACAAGTAATATACTCGTACACATAAAGTTGTGTATGCTGTTCAACTAAATTCGCACAACGAGAATTTCGATTGTCAGTCAGATAAGTAAATGTAAAGTGGAAAACATGGAAAATGACACAAAACAACTTGAGCAAAATACCAAAAAAAAAAAAAAAAAACCAAAAAAAATATATATATTTTAAGGGTGCTATTTGGGTTGGGGGTGGGGTGGTGTGGTGTTGCTTTGGACTTTGGACTTTGGGTGACTATAGAGACTATATGGTGGGTGTACGGATGGACCACTACACTAATAGGCGAAAAGTATTTATTCATAGCGAGAACGAGAACGAGAACAGGAACAAGAACGAGAACGAGAATGAGAACGAGAGCTACTAGAAGGAAGTAGAATATGTAGTGTCTACATATGCATATATGTAGTATCTATCTGTATCTGTTGTGGTTTATATAATTGGAAAAAGTCGCTCACTTTTTGCAAATGTAAACGTTGAAGACATTTTGAGAAACGTCATTAAATTACTTGGTGTCTCGGTTGGAACTGGTTCAAGTTGAATTCAGGCTCAAGCCGGAGTTAAGTGCTGTGCATTGGTTGCTGTTGCAGTTTGCTAGTAATTGTTGTTGGTGGTTGTATTGATGATGATGGTGGTGGTGATGGTGGTGGTAGTAGTAGTGGTTGTGGTGGTTGTACTATTGGTAAGCGGTGAGCGGTGGCTATAGCGGTGAACGGTGGTGGGTGCAACATTAGCGGATCTTATATATATGCATGTATATACATATGCAACTATATCTTCTTCTTTTTCTTTTATTATTATTACTATTATTATTATTATTATACGTTATTATTGTTAGTTTCTTGTCTGCTATTGCTGTTGCTGTTGCTGTTGCTGTTGCAGTTTCGCTTTAATGTTTATTGTCACAAATCACGTTAAGGACGCATCAACGTTCTATGCACGAGTTTAACTAATTACGTCTATTGTTTGTTATGTTCTGTTGCAAGAGTGTTTGTCATGCGATGAACGTTAACAACATCGCAATGCGAATTGCACAGCGATTTGCAGATCAATATTTCAATAGTGATACTGATTTTTTCGATTCTCTCCAAAGTATTTGGCCTAACCAGCTGAGGTCGAGAAGACAGTCAGCCAAAGGGGTGCAAAAGCTTATAACAAATATAAAATAAAGGACTGAGTGTTGGTGTTGTATGTCTGCCCCTGGACAGAGGGCGGGTACGGGAGTCCGGACGCCAACGCTTGCGAGAGGGCGAGTACGATGTCGATGACGGCGGCAGCGGCAAGTGGTTGAAGTTGAAGGCGCAACGTGGCAAAATTTATAAATAAATGAGAAAAGAAAAAGAAAAAAAAAAACAAAAAAAAAACAACCCTTGCTGCGAACAGCGGGCAGCAGGAATAAGCGCTGACTCAGACTGACTGCGACAGCGACTGAGACTGCGACTGTGGTAATGGAGGCGATGTACATAATATGAAAGAAGTGCACAAGAAATTAAACGGTAAACGGTAAACGATAATTGGCAAAAGAACAGTAAGAGCGGAATGGAGAAAAACAAAAAACGTGCCGTTTAACGGGACTCTTGATTTAGCATTTACTTTTATACTTCATCAAAGAGCAGACAAATTTTACACTCTTCTCTTTTCAGTCAGTCGTCTTCCACTTCCACTTTCAATTGTCGCCCATTTTCATTTTCTTTGTGTGGCATTAATTTCGGCGCCTTTCTTCATCGATAAAAATCGAACGGCAACAACAAATCGACAACAAATACAAACTGCAAACAACGCCAACATCGACATTTGACGCTTCTTGTTTCTTATTTTCCTATTCTTCCTGTTTAGCCGATATTTGGCGCGACATTAGTTGGAATCACAGCTTTTGTCCTCCTTGTCGCTGCTTAGCTTAACTTAATCATCACTTTGTTTCTTGTTGTTGTTGTTGTTTTTTCTTTTTTTTACCATACGCCGTTTACTGTTCTGCTTGAGTTTGTTATTTTACACCGTGCTTGTTTCGTTACTGTTGTTTTTGCTGTTGCTGTTGCCAGCGCGCGTTCCACACACAAGCACACGCACACTCACACACACACACACACACACACACACAAACACACAGGCACAGAAAGGCAAGACACTTAAAAAAAAAATGGTTTATTTGCGTACTTGTCAAAGGCGGTTTAAGGACCTTTCTGTTATGCGTACGAGTCAGGACTAAACCTGCAGGCGACATGCCAATCGGATTTCGATTTCTCCAACTTGCTACCGATGACGGCGCGAGAAACGCGCTCGAGAGAGAAAGAGAGTGGGAAAGAGAGTGAGAGAGTGAAAGCACAACACGATGGGAGAGTGTGCAAGAGCACGCGAGAGCGACGCTGCCAGCTGTGAGTTTTCTCTCTTGTTGCTGTTGTTGTTGTTGGCGTCTGGCAATGTGCGCAGAGCAGGGCGGTAAAATTTAAATGAAGCTAATTGGCAATTAAACTGCTGCTAAAGTTAACTAGCACGCATAAAATAGCTATATATATTAAGGTAATGTTAAGCCAGAAGTTTTGAAATCGAATGATTGAGTGAGCTGAGTGCCGACTGCGCAACTGCCTTCATTTGCATTTTTTGAGCTGGAAACCATGTGACTGTTGTATGTGAAAACTAATTCGAAGCTGGCAACATCGCCACGCTCAGCAGCGCTGTGGAGAGCGCTAGTCAACAATTTTTTTTGCGCAATATTTTGACATTTGACGAAGGGCAAAAGAGCGCGAGAGCCGTTCACTGATTTGAAGAGCGTCAATGTTTCACTGAAAATAATAATGTATGTGTGTGTGGGTGCTTGTCTTTGTATATATATATATATATGTGTGTGTGTGTGTGTGTGTGTGTGTGTAGGCATGCGTGCGTGTATAGTTGTTAGTGCTTGGGGGAAAAGTGCGAGTAATTTCGTATCTGAGTCAAAGACATGTTGCTACGACGAAAACGATTGTGTGCTGTGTATGTGTGTGTGTGTGTGTGAGTGTGTATGTATGATATTAAAGCATACTTATGGGCCTGCTTTTGATTCTAATTACATTTTCTCTGAATAAGTAGAGACTCGTCTCTCGACTCACGACAAAATCAAAGCAACTGGCAACTGGCAACTGTCAGTTGGCAATACGCAAGCACTCTTTATATAATAAAGTATGCCATATAAAGTCAATAGGAAAGACACGCAAAGACACTCACACACACACTCACACACACACATGCAGGCGAGCACGCGCGCGCTTATGAACAGAAAACACAGCGTGGAATTCAATTTGCTGACTAAATGTCTACACGCTATAGGACCAAAAAAAAAAAAAAAATTGAAACAATTGAAAAAAAAAGCAACAAATATCTCGCGAAATTTATTCAATAAGCGTTTCTTTTTTTGTTTTACTCTGTCGTGTTTAAGAAATACCGTTTTGATGTGTTTTGTGTAAGCTGCAAAGTGCTCCAAATGCAGAGAACGCACTGAAACTGAAATTGAAACTGAAGTCATGCCTTTGACATTTGCAACGGTTTAACCTGAAAACGTTGAACTGACGATGACAATATCAGAGACAGCGAGAGAGAGAGAGAGAGAGAGAGCACAGAAGAGAGAGGGAAACGCCAGCGCCGACGCATGCGCCAAAGTTGTCATTGCCACCCTCCTGGCATGTTTTCTCTCGCATCCAGTGCTGTATTACAGTAATGCTCAATATGCCCACAAGGGGCGCCAGTTGTACCTAGCTAAGCTTGTCAAGCTCTTTCCTTTTGCAAAAGCTCTGTTATGAGAAGCTCTTCTTTTAATACAGGCTAACGTGAACTAATTCACAATATGCCCACCAGAGTTGCTCAAGTCTTTAATAAGCTCCGACAAGCTGTTAGAGCTTGCTTAAGTTGGACATAAAAGTCGCACGCAGCTTTTACGCTTTATGATCAAGCCTGGCCAGCAAAAAACTTCGGCACGCGAAGCTTACCAACGCTTAAGTATATGCAACAGCCACAAATATATAGTATAATTTACCTATGACCATAGTTAAGAAAAACATATATGAATGTGTTTAAAATGGAATATATATAATGAATATATGTATGTGCATATCTAAAACTAACTCTTGAACAGAGTCAACGAAACTTTACGACTAAATTAAAATTAACAGATTTTCAATTTGAAAATAAATTATATCTTAAATATAGCAATGAATTGAGTAATTGCCTGTGGCATTTGCTGGTATTAAATTCGTCTCATTATTTGTTAATTTAAAATTACTAGTGTATTTTATATACCGACTACGATTATGTTCATTAGTTTAGAATTGAAAACTTTTCGACTGGTATTTTGAAGCTGAACCGTAAGCTTGCAAATGTAGCGAGATGATTTCAACGAGTGCGATAGTCGAGTACACACACACACGCCAAGCTCTCGCAAATTTTGTTTTCACAACATTTTTCCACATACACAGGCACACAGCAACACACACACGCAACATGCAAATACGTACATGTGGCGAAAAAGACAGAAGGAATTTTTAATTTTTCATCCCCCAACAAAGAGAAATAAAAAAAAGGGACACCAAATGTAACGAGCGAAGCGCACGAGATGCGAGCTTCGGAGCCACGAGCAGGCGCAAAAGAGCGACGCAGTCGCCCCATCATCCACAGACGACGTCGACGTCGACGACGACGACGACGACGCAGCACTGCCCGCTGCCTGCTGTCCGTATTGACGCAGGCAGAACAACCACCCGCACAAAGAGTGGCACATCGACGACGACAACGACGACTGTGGCGAAGGCATCGATCCACCCAGGGACGGGGAGGGTATCGACACACGAAAACATAACAAACCGTAAACCATTGGATGCCGCGTCGCAGCAGCAGCGACGTCAACGCAGGCGGGCAGGCAGGCAGGCAGCACACACATTTCTTGTCTTTTGCTCTGACAGGATGTGGAGGGCGGGTCAGTGGGAGGCAGGCAGGCGGCGGGCAGTCAACTGCTTCGCTTCCCAGCAGCATTTCACTCACCACTACATAAACAATACTTCGATTTATGACCCAACTGTATCTGTGTGTGTGTGTGTGTGTGTGTGTGTGTGTGTGTGGACGAACTGGACACGACTCCGAATCCGACTCCGACTCGGACTCGGACTCGGACTGTGACTGTGACTCCGAGTGGATGCCGCAACGGCAACGGCTCTGACTATGTGTGCCTTGCGCGCCGTGTGTGTTTCGCATAGACTTTTTGGGGATGGCGCCATTGCTTTCGTTGTCCTTGTCCCTTGAAGAACATTTCAAAAACAAAGTGAGAGCTTTGCAAGACGCAATTGTAACCGACTGGCTAATACCCTATTAATAGCTGCAACAAAAAATAAAAATCTAATATAACAGGTGGAAAAGTTTCAGTCAGTAATCTATCATTCAAATTTGACAGTGAACAATTTGGTACAAGTCATAAAAAATGTGTGTGATTTATCGATTTTAATCGATTTTGAGGTATATCGATAACAAGTTTCATATAATGTACAAATAATTATTAGTCTACAGCTTTCATAATCTTCGAGATGATTAAATCTTATTTGCAGCTCAGCTGATTTCGATATCGAAAAAGAGCGGAATCGTTGTGAATAAAGTAAAGTAAATAGACGTGTTTGCGAGAGAAATAAAATTTAGTTTTGACTGCTACACATCATTTCGCCAGCTTTCTTCCTTGCAGTGCAGTCAACAATGTTCTTGTCCCCTCGTCCCCTCCTCGTGCAATCAGCGTTTCGTCGTTGTCGCTGTCGTCGTCATCTCAATTCGCGTGTAGAAACACACACCTACAAACACCCACACACACACACACACACACACACACACACACAGTCGCGTTGTCGGCGAGCTCTCTGCATGGTGGACGTCGACGACTACAGCAGTGCCGCGACTTGGACGAGCTTTTAGAATGAGAGAGAGTCCTCGGTTGCATGTGTGTGTGTGAGTGTGCCTTTGTGGCGCTTTGGCGGCATTGCTCGCTGAAACTTTTTCGCACTCCAATATACAGACACACATCCACAAACACATGCACACACACACACAGAAGCTCACACACACACACACACACAGGCAGCGGCAGAGACAGTGGCAGAGGCAGAGGCAAGCAAGCGCGCGCGCAGGCACAGACCACAGCCATAGAGACAACATAGAGAAATGGCAGCCGCAGCGGCAGCGACGCGGCAGCGATGGCTGCGACGAGGACATACACATAAATAAAAAGTCCTTCATTCCGACGCGACCAGCGAGTAACGGCATATGAACGCTGCGGAGAAAACGGCGGATTACCAAACACAATCGAAAGCATACAAAATAATAAGCAGCAAATGCTAAATAGAAAAGAAAACAAAAGTTCTAAATAATTAACACAAACAACAACAAAAATCTATACAAATTTTTCTTGTTTTTTAATAAATTCTTTTGAAGTGAGTGCAAAGTCGTGTGAATAGTTCAATACAAAAAAAAGAAAAACACAAAAAAAATGGAAAACGCAGCAGGCAAATGGCAAAAAGTGCAGCGGCGGTGAAGGCGAGGCGAGGCGTCTAGCACCCCCGCAACCCCCTCCCCTTCACACACACATAATAATCCATTGAGAGCACTGTTTCTAGCGCTGAGTGGGTGTTACACACACACACACACACACACACGCTCACACAGACACGCACAGGCGGACGCACATTAAAAGTGAGCGAGCGACAGGACGGCGAAAAACTAATTCTCGAAAGTCAGACAACAACAACAACAACAGCAACAACAACAACAAATAACAAAGCAGCTGCCCAAGGAAACTGATAGGAACAACCCACAAAGCCCACAATTTTCCATAGGGTTCCGTATTGTTGTTGCACTTGTAGTAGTTGCAAGCCTTTGTATTTATTTAAATTGTGTTTTCTTTTTTTCCTTTCCTCTTTTGGTTTAATTTAAACGTGTGGGAGTTTGAGGGCGTGGGCCAAAAAGCTGCAATTTCAAATCGTGAGCTTGCAATTGCAAAAACGGCAAGGATTTCGCACACGCAAGCAACAGTAAAATTAAAAAGAAAAACAGTTGTAATAGCGACAAATTCAAAAAAAAAATATTGAAGGAATTCTTTGCTAAATAGGAAAAAAGAACAGTCAGAGGAACTTTGGCGCACAGCGTTGCCACCCGTTGCAGCAAATGCTGTCAGGCAACGATAACGAGTAACGGGACCTGACGACGCTTAACGAGCTTTTCGCTATTTCGTTCTTCTCTTCTCTTCTTTTCTTTTTCTTCTTTTTTTTTTTTGAGTTGGCTTTCGCGCTTGCCAATTTGTGCTTCCTCTGCTCGGCTGCTCTGCTCGCGCGCTCACGTTGCGCTGGCGTTGACGTTGACGTTGACGTTGGCAGTGCTGTCGACGCAGCTAGCCACATCGTGTGTGCGCGTGTGTGTCTGTGTGTACGTGCGTGTGTGTGTGTTGCTGCTGAACACGGGTGTAGATAAAACGAAGTAAACGTTTTCTCTCTTTTTTTTGACGTCTCGCCCAAAAGTTAGCAACAATTTCTAAAAACAAATAACAATAGCAACAAACAAACTAAATAATCAAACAACAGCATCACCAACAACAATCAACAGAAGCAGCAGCAAGCAGCATCATCGGGACAAGCAGACCAACAACAAACCAGCAAGCAATGCAACACGAACAACATACGCAGCAGCAGCAACAGCAACAACAACAACAGCGACTGTAGTGTGTGTCTGTGTGTTTGTGTGTGTGTGTGTGTGTGTCTGCGTGTTTGTGTGAGTGTGTGTGTGTGGGTGTAGTTTGCACGCGCGACGTGTGTGCGTGTGAATAATGAAGAAGAAGCAGAAGCAGAAACAGCAGCAGAGGCAAAGAGAGGCGCCACGAGCAGCATCGCCGGCAGCGTCGGCAGCGACAGCGACGGTAGCAGAGGCCGAGAGAGGTGTTGTCAGCAGCAGCAGCGGTTGCAGCAGCAGCAATTCGCGACGCAGCAGCAGCAGCAGCAACAACAACAACAACAAATAGCAAAAACTGAGCAGCGTTCGCCAAAACGCATTCAAGACAAATCTAATAACATCTTCATCGTCATCATCATCATCAGCAGCGGTGGCAGCAGCAGCAGCAGCAGCAGCTGCAACAATAACAACAACAATAGCGACAACAACAACGGCAACAACATCAGCTAGGCGACGACAAGCCGTGCAACAACCGCACCAACGTCGAACAACGCCAATTAGCGGCGAGGGCGGCGGCAGCAGCAGTCGCAGCAGCAGCACCAGCAGCAGCACTTGCAGCAGCAGCAACGACAGCAGCATCAGCAACAGCAACAAAAACACCAACAGCAGCAACAACAACAACACCGGCAACAAATAATAACCATAACATCCGCAAGCTGAGCGCCGAAAACATGTCGAAAACAACAACAACAGCCGCAGCAACATCAACAGCAACAACGACATCAGCAACAGCAACAGCAGCAGCAGCAGCAGCGAACAGCATCAATGCAACCGATTTCAGCGCTTTCGATTTTAATGATAGCTCTGATAATTCCGATACGCCTTTGGTGCCACGAGCCCCATTTCTCAGTCGCGCCGCGGCAGCTGCAGCGGCGGCAGCGGCAGCTGCCTTGAGCGCCAGCAGTGGTAGCAACAGCAGTGGCAGCGACAACGCGCCCGACGATGATCACCACCCACAAAGCAACAACATTACAAATAGCAGCAACAGCAACAACAACAACAATAACCTAAGCAATGTCGGCCTGCTGAGTAGCAACAATGTGCGCTGCAACAACAACAACAACAACAATAATAGCAACAATAACAACAGCAGCAGTAGCAGAAGCAGTCGTAGCAGCTCGCCAAGCAGCGACGACAGCAGCAGTGGTCCAACAGCGGCACAGGCAGCAGCAGCCGCAGCGGCGGCAGCAGCAACAACAGCTGTCGTCGCTGCGGCAGTCAACGCATTGCACAATGGCAAGCAACAACAGCAACAACAACAGCAGCAGCAGCAGCAGCAGCAGCAAAATCAGCAGCAGCTTCAGCATCAGCAGCAACATCTCTACAATAATAATAACAACAACAGCAGCAACAACAACAATAACAACAGCAACGGCAGCAGCAGCAACAAGCGTGAAATGGACGAGGAAGATGAGGAGGAGCCGCTGGATGAGGACGACGATGACTACGATGATGATGAAGATGATGACAATGATGATAATGTCATGGATCAGCACATTAACAGCAGCAGCAGCATCAACAACAGCAACAACAACAACAATAACAATAACAACCTGATTGCAGCGCCTATTGCCGCATTGCCCACAGATCTGCGGCACGAGCTTGCAACACATCACGATCATGGCCAGGCGCAGGTGGACTATGACGATCAGGACGAGGATGACGATGAGGAGGACGACGATGATGATGAGGATGATGATGCCGATGCGGATGCTGATGCGGATGCGGCCAGCAGTCATCTCGACAGTCGCACAGCTTTGACACCAGCACAATTGAGCAGCGCTGCAGCCGCTGAGAGCAGCGGCTTGCATATTAGCGCTGTGGCCGCTGCTGCGGCAGCTGCTGCGGCGGCGGCAGCGGCAGCTGCTGCTAAATTGAGTGCAGCAAATGTTGCTGCCTCACAGCTCACAGAGCATCACAGTCAGAATGCAACAGCGTCGGTGCTGGATATGGTCAGCAATGCTGCTGCTGCTGCCGGTGGCAATATTGTCGGACTTGGTGGCAGCAACAGCATTGCTGCGCCAAGCAGCCTCATTGGGGGCAACAGCAACACCAGCTTCTCCACGAACAACAACAGCAACATGGGCAGCACTGTCAACTGTGGCAACAGCGACCAGCAGCTGGTAACGCGACACAGCAGCAATTCACACTCGCAGCAGCAGCAGCAGCAGTTGCAGCTTCAGCAGCAACATCAGCAGCAACAGCAGCAGCAGCAACAGTCGAGCAGCGCTGGAAGCGGCAGCGGCAGTGGCAGCGCTGCCAGCGAACGCCGAAAGTATCGCCACCAGAACTACAGCAAGAACATCTATATCGGCACCAAGAACGCCGAGAAATGGGAGCACATGCGCACTCGGCTGCAGTTCAAGAACGATGTCGAGTTCGTGGCCTATCTGCTGAATCTGGCCGATAACGATACGGATCGCCTCAACAAGTAAGTTTTTAATCGAAACGATATCATAACATAGATATAAAATAATAAACTTGATTCCAAGGAATCCCAAGATTTTGAATTATAGATCATCTGAAAGTCAGTCCCATCCCTCTCACTAGCTAGGGAAATATTTGTCAAGTGTATCCAATAAGTATCCAACCCATCTAATATAGCAGTCATTATACAGTTGGAGATGGGCAAAGAAAGAGAATAAGTCATTTTGCTATTTATGTTAAGGAAGTTCATTACCGGACAGGAAGTCTCAGCTTTGATTGTTTCCCTAACGTCATTTTATCGTTGTTGGACTTTTTTGCTTACCAATCTGGGGCTGGGATAACAAAATAGGAAAAGTCTTAAATCAAGTATCTAATGCTCCCACTTACATAATATGCTTTAATGAAAAGAAAAGTGCTGTAAAATCTTTCAATTTCTCGCATATACTAAAACTAGTTTTTGTAGTAAGTGCAGATAGAAATAGTTGGGGCTATCCCGAAAGACACTAATCTTGCAGGTAGAGTTCTAACACACATCGGTAAAAACATGAGTCCCAAATGAAATCATTCTCATGGCATAATCAAATAATAACCAAAATATCCACTTTGGCAATAACTTCAAGCACAGCAAGTAGTCTTTACGATGCTCAAAATTGATTTATATTTATTTGTAGAAATACTGAAGAGTGTGCGAAATGAAAGCAGCAAATATATTTGTTATCAACTGGAAGGGTCTGACCCTAAAAGTGTGACCCTTATTGCTATCGGAAATCGAAATGTGTCGAACTTGATCTGAACTTATACTGTTACTCTCGCTCTTCTAGTCTCTGATTAAGAAAATATATATACTTTCTGCCCTTTTTACCAATTTTTAATGAGCAATTTGCAACTGCTGATCGATCTATAGCTCGCTAAGATCAAAGCTCCGACGAAATGGCCTCTCTAAAAGCTAACGCTTCTCATTCACTCGATGTCATTTACAATTGCAATACAACCGAATATCAACAAAGAAAGCACAATACATTATGTGGCTTTCTTTCTCTCGTTCTCTCTTTCTCTCAATCTCTCTTTCTCTTTCTCGCCCGCTCGCGTGCTACTCAAAAGCGAATGCCCGTATAAAGGCACATTGCAGAAATTGCGGCGAGGCGCAACGAGTTGAGCTCAGTTGAGGCGAATCGAGGCGAGTGAAGAACAAGAACAAATGCCGCAAAAGGCAGCCACAGAAGATATGGCAACGCTGCGTTGTCCATGATTGTTGATAGTTTGGGGACGCGCACACACACACACACACATAGGAAAGAGAAGGAGGCAACTTTTTGGGCAACATATCAACACAGAAACACATACAGAAATACCGTGGGACCATGTCTGACGCGCTGTGGACTATGCTTAAGGGGGCGGAGAAGAGGGCGACCCCAAAATGGGGTGGATTTGCCGGGGCTGTGGAGGGAGGGGAGGCGCCGTGGCATAAAAGCGAGGCATGTTAAAGCGACTCATGCCTGAGTGCATCAGGCAACTCTCGACAACTCAACCCAATACACACAACAGCCAGCCCCCCCCCCCCCCCCCATGCTGCCAGTGCACCCAGATGCCAACGACAAAGGCAGCAATGGGGCCCAACTTGTGCGGTTGCATGCAACGCAGCTTTCATGTTGCCCGCCTGACACTGCCGGAGCCGGAGCCAGAGTCAGAGCCAGAGCCGGAGCCGGAGCCCGCTGTGTGCAAGCGCCAACGATGACGTCGTTGCAGCCGCCATGTCAGCGGAACCGGAAAAGCAAAACACACACACGCAAACACATACACACAAGCAAGCAGAGAAGCGCACACACACACACACACACAGAGAGGAAAACAGAAGCACGCTGTGGCACATACTCAAGCAACATTGTGCAGAATGCGGTTGTCGTTGTTGCAACAACAGCATTTTGCATGCATTTGCATGCCATGCTGCCCAATTGCTGTATATGTATCTGCGAGAGTGTTAGTGTATATGTGTATATACATATATATATATATATATATATATATATATATATATATATATATATTTATATATATCTATATAAATCTGCTGCTGCCAGCAGCCCAAGCCACCCATCCAAAAGCGCGGCATGTTTCCCAAAGTTATTATAGCCGTTGCTGTTGCTGTTGCCTCTACCTTGCCACGCCTTGAATGCAACTTTGTTGCATTGTTGTTGCAACTATTTGGCGCTTTGTGCTCTCCTCCTTTCCTCCCGCTCAGCCCCAAAAATTGAAGTTTACAATTAGATTTCAGCTAGGCGACAAAATGCTTTAATTGATTATATCACCACTGATACAAGATATTATATATGAAACAAGGACGTATCCATTACACCCAACATAGATCGTATGAGGCTGTATTATACAGTTGCAGATAAGTAAAGGGCGAGTATGTTCACTGTCTCATTGAAAGTTTCAGCATTGATTGTTTCCCTCAGCTCATTTGACGACGATCAGTGTACACATGGATTAGTTGCTGGCCATTGTGTCTGGGGCAACAAAGTACGAAAGGTCTTAAATCAAGTAAATATGCTTTAATTGAAGCCACTACAAGTAATTGAAACGTACTACAATTCGAAAAGCCAATTTCTAGGATATTCCAAAAAAAAAGAAGCAATATTTCAATTAATGAATTCTAATATTAAAAACATATTTTATCACTTTAAGAATAACATCGGAATACAATTTTGCTGAAACTCTATGAATGATATATATTAACTAAAACTACAAGAAGTTGTGTAGAGGAAGAGGCAGGAGGAGGTAGCACCTCTGACTTCATATAGTATATATATTCTTAATCAATATCAACAGCCGTGTCTGTAGAGAAATTAGCAAGTTATACGATAATCACCTCATACTCAGATAAAATTTGTCTCAATTTATTGAATTGATTGATTTCCGATCGGAATAGAAACAACTCACAGACACAAGGATAAATAGATATGCATCTATATTACTTCAATGTGCTGGTTGGATAGGATCTCCTAAAAAAGCACTCTTAATTACAGTAGGTGAGGCTACAACATTCTCAATTTCGCTTGAATCAAAAGGACCACTTTTCGCCAATAACACCTTACGATTATCGGTTGCTGATGAAGGGTTCTTCAATTCTAAACACCTTTCAACGTTTTTTTTTCTGACCTAAGAGCATTTGTAAAGAAGTTCTGGGACAAAGATCCAATTCATGTGGCTATCCAATTGTTCATTTTTTCCTCGATATTATTTCATTTTAAATTCACAAGTAATTGTCTTCTTATCTATTTTATTGTCCATTCCTTCTAGTTGTTGATCGATATTTGAAACACCAATAGCATCAAAAGTGATCAAGTGATCAGCAAAGCTCTGCAAAGGCTCTTACCCAGTCTCACTTAAGCTAGCCTTAATTCAAAACAAAAAAAAGAAAAGAAGAAAAAAAGAAAGTTTATCTGATATATTGTAATTTTTAGCATGCTTCCCTTGGGTTCCATTGCACATTTTCCCACAGCTAACACACTCCACAGATTCGTCACACACACACACACACACACACAAACACATGCACACATCGAGGGAGAGACAAAGTTGTTGTACAACAATTTGCAATAGCTGTGCCTGAATGTTGCCGCTTCCTTGCCATATCTTTTCCTCGTTTATTTCGTGTTGATTTCGATGCTCGCATTTCGCTCATGTCGCCAATTTCTGCGCATTTTCCACATTTCGCCAAAAAGCACAACCGTGGGGTGTAACGGAAGGGTGTCAAGGGGACTTCGTGTGTGTGTGTGGGTGTGTGTGTGTGTGTGGGTGTGTGTGGGTGTGTGTGGGTGGGTGGGTGGGTGTGTGTTTGTGTGCGTGTGTGTGTGCAGGGAAGAATGTACATAATGCGCCAACGAGTAACGCACACGAAACGAGCGCCAGGGAATTGAAATCAGATTCCGAATCAGCCCCCCATTGAAACCCATCCTCCCACAGCTGAAAGGCGCACGGCGCACAGCCCAAAGCCAACCCCCGCGACGCCCTCAAGCAGCACATTAATGGCATTGCGGCGACACATACGTATACTCAGTGAAGGGAATTGCTAGAGAGAAAGCGCCTGCTCTACGGCACTGCAGAAACAGAAACCGAAACAGAAACAGTAACCAGAACCAGAACCAGAACCAAAAGCACAACCAGAACCAGAAGCAAAAGCAGAAGCAGAAACAGAAACAGAAACATAAACACAAAAACAGCCAAACAGCAAGTTTCAGCTCGCAACAGAGCTAAGAGACGATGACGATGACGATGCCGAGGCACGAAAGGGAAAATTGGTTGGGAAATTTGACGGGGGAAGCGGGGGAAGTGGGGGCGTAGGGGGTGCCGGGGTGTTTTTTGGTCTGTAAGTGACAAAGTGGAGCAGAATGAGTGGGCATGGGAAGGGGAGCACTGCTTGGCTGCCTGACTGCCTGACTGCCTGCCGGTTGTTTCTCTGGTGCTGGGCGCTGTTTTCGATATTGTTGTTAAAGTCCTAAGGTGGAGGATTTAATGAAGGATAACACAAATAAACAGAAATACACACACGCACGCACACACAGACAGTTGCACCATGTTCGCGTTGCCGCGAACCATGTGCAATTTTCAGCGTTGCCAACTACAAAAACAACAATCACAAAATCCAACGATGAATTTCCTTTGCACGAAACAGTGGACAATAGGTTAATGGCAGGGGCTGTAGAAGGGGTGAACGGTTGGGTGGGGGGGTGGAGGGATGGAGTGCGGAAGGGGTGTTGAGGGTGTTTACGTATGCAAATGTATGGGTTCTGTACCCTTGCAGTGACCAACTGCCAACCAGGCACTCTCAATATAAAAATGCAAAAAAAAAATGATGCAAAAAAATGAATGCGCAAACAAATATGGGATGGCATGGGAGTATTGGGAGAGGGAGGGGACTTGGTGCAAGTGGAAACATTGACTGCAACAGCAGCAACTAGTTGCGCAGCTTTGGTGGAAAATAAAAATGTATGTATAATAAACGTTCGAATAGTTGCCATCGGACTATTAATAATACCGATTGGATAGCCCAACGTAGTATGATAGTCGAGTAGTATATATGGGTATACCCTATTTGTGGTATTCCAGTGGTATTCCACTGATAATTGACGTGCTTCTGGTAAATAGATATCCTTAATAGGTATCCAAAAAGACTTTTCTCTAGTAGATATTGCATAAAATATGCATATAAATGCCAGTCACAAATATAAGTAATACAACTAAATATAGTCATGAATGCCAAAACAATATTGAAGAGCTCTGTATTCGTATAGAAAATGTTCTTTGTGATATCCGATAAGACAGTCCCAAAAACAATTCAGTTGATCTGTGTGTTCAAAGTAAATAAACAACTTAAAAATACACTTTGCGAACGACTTTTATCGATTATAATAATTAACATTTAGATAATAGTGTCAAATGTCTAAGAACTAAGTGTTAAATAAAACCAACGACTTAAAAAACTTATTTGGTTGGAGAAACAGCCCAAAAATGAAGTTTGAATTTGTTCCTTATTTGTCATACTTCTTAATCTAGACCACGTTTCATACAAATTAAATTCATGTTTTAGAGCTTCTTAGGGTTTTTGAAAAATACTCAATTGAAATTAAGACTTATTATTATTTCATTATTTATATTTTCTTTCGTTGAAAAGCTTTCTGAGGTTGGGGGTGGGCTTGAGTAGAGTATATATATATTTATATATATATATATATATAATAGAAGTCCTACAGCTGCTGCTGCTGTCGCTATCAATTGCTGGCAGTGGTCCAGCTCACATTTTGGCAGTCAGAGTTATGTACATTGGCCAGCCCCTTTGCCGCAAATCAGCGAAATTAATTAAATGCAAGACAGAGAAATCGAGAGAGAGAAAAAGAGAGAGAGAGAGAGCGAAGTGAGAATGAAACGAGACCCACGACTACGATGACTTGTGGGATGGGGTGTGCGGTGGGATAATGGAGTGAGTACAGTGCAGATCTACGGCTGCTGGCCTGCTGGGCTGCTGGGCTGGGCGTTGGAGTTGCGTGAGTGGACGTGACGCCAAGCCATGGCAACGGGACACCAACGCATTTTGTTGACCCACTTTTTGCATTTTTGCACCACAAATCAATTCTCTAGCTGGGTCTCACTCTTTGTACGTCTCTCTCTCTCTTGCAGCCTGCCACCACCGTCGCCGGCACACACGCCCACCAAGGGATTCGATGGCAACTTCAAGCTGGAGCCGAATCTGAGTGTCAAGGATTTTGCACCAACGTCGGAGAGCATCAACGGCAATGGCAATGGCAGCTTGGAGTCCAGCGGCATGACTGGTGCCCTGGCCACGCCCACACCAACCCAACGCAAACGCTACAAAAAGCGGGTGCAGTTCACCACAGATTCGCTCAATGGCTATGCGGGCGCCAAGGGCAGCAAGGGCTCTGCAACAACCGCAGCTGGAGTGGCAACGGGAGTTGGCGCCGGTGTCACAGCCGGTGGTTATCATAGCAGCAGTAGTTTCCCAACGACAGCCAAGTCGAAAAAACAGGATGCCAAAGCGGCTGCGGCGGCATTCAAAGCAAACGCTGCCGCAGCGGCGGCGGCGGCGGCAGCAGCAGCGGCAGCGGCATCTGCATCAACAGCATTGCCCGAGGTGCTCGACTGTCGCATTGCGGAGAAGATCAAGAGTGAACTGGAGGCCAGCAGCAAGGAATCGTTGCCAAGTGCACTCTGCCTCAAGAAGGCAGCAGCAGCAGCGGCGGCGGCAGCAGCCGCAGCAGCAGCGACGCAGGCGCCCCACAGCGATGAGGATGACGATGACGAGGAGGAACACCATCGTCATCATCGTCACCATCACCATCAGCAACAGCAGCAGCAGCAGCAACAATTGGCGGACAATGCTAATCCCGCGACAGCAACGACAACAGCAACTGGCCTGGGTGCGGATGCAGTGGATGGCAGCGCCGTTGCGAGCAATGGTCCCGGTCTGGGTCATTTCCATGTGCGCTCCTTGAAGGGCAACAAGAAGTCTCAATCAGCCAAAGCAGCCGCCGCAGCAGCCGCAGCAGCGGTTGCAGCAGCAGCTGCTGCGGCGGCAGCAGCAATGATGCCACCGAACAGCTATGATGAGCCCGAGGATGATTTGGCTGCTGGGCCGGGCATTGACGATGACGATGAGGACGATGAGGAGTTAGACGAGGAGGCGCTGGCTCGTGAAATGAAAATGGAGCAGAACTTTGTCGAGGAGGAGGATGAGCATGATATCGCGTTTCGATCGCAGCAATCGTGCCGCGAGTGCTCCATCTCGCATGACCACAAGCTGTGCCCGCTGCGCAATGCCTGCGGCAATGTGACAGATGCCGTGGATCTGGCCGAATGGATCGAGCGACGTAATCTGGAGGCGCTGGCCAAGCTGAAGGCAGACGCACAGCGTCAGGCGAAGCATGGCCGGCCACGGCACGATGACGATGAGGATGATATGGAGGACATGGACATGGACATGGATGAGTCATCGCAGCTATCGGAGCTGGAGACAAAGCCGCTGATTACATTTGCGGAAGCTTCGGTGCCCGCCGAATTCGAGCTGCACAACGTGGAGCCCAATGTGACCGGCGTCTTTGCCCGCACCGAAGTACGGGCCTACACCAAACTGGGTCCCCTCATCGGGCAGCCGGTGCAGACGGGCGAGGTGCGCGAGGGCAGCGACATGAAATGGATATTTGAGATTTGTGAGGCTGGCGCCGATAAATCCTATCTGCTGTGCTGCGATAATCCCAATGCCTCCAATTGGCTGCGCTTCATCCGGCCCGCCCCGAGCTACGAGGATCGCAATGTCAATCTCGTCTCCATCGATCGACAGGCATATTTTGTTAGCTGTCGCGATCTGCGCAACGGTATGGAGCTGCTCTATTGGAGCGACGATTGCAACACCATGTGGCGCAAGAAGCACACCGAGAAGATAAGTAAGTTGTCAGATAAGCACATACTCTGCCTATGGTCATGCAACCGCCTAGTTATTCATTCAATCAAGTCAAATTTTGCTCAAACATATTCTTAACCAATGCTAAAAGCTTCTTCAATTGAGCTTCATGTTAAGTGTCAAAATCGAACTGTATTTAACTGACATCAAGCTACAAAATACAATTAATCTTTTTTGATTTTTATATATGTATATATTTTTTTTATATATGTATTTGTTTATGTGCTCATTATATATATACTTGACTCATACTCTATTTTACTCTTTGGAAAAAACAAAAACAAATCCAGATTGCGGCGGCTGCAATCTCAAGTTCGAGCATCCGCTTTACTATCGGACGCACTGCTCCGTTTTTCATGATCCATCGATGAGTCTCACCATACGAAAGTATCACTGCAAGGTGTGCGGCGAAGCGGTGCTGGGCAAGGACAATATCATGAAGCATGCGGCCGAGAAGCATGACGGCAAGGGCGCCTACCAGTGCCAATACTGCAACAAGTTCTTCCTGCGACTCAACTATCTGGAGATGCATCGCACCTATGGCTGTGCATCGAATCCGAATCGATCGCGGCCCGTTTGCGATTTCTGTGGTCGCAAGTTCTGTCAGCCGCAGAAGCTGAAGGCGCACATTAAGCACGTGCACAGCGGTAAGTAGCGAATGCCACGCCTCTATCGTAGACCGTAAATCGTAAATCGTAAATCGTAAATCGTATTGTACATACATACATACATATTTACGTAAATGTGTAATTACTACTTACATGCATATACGTACATAGCTGTCTGAATATCGTAAGCGTATGCAAGCGTCTAGCGGCAAATATTGAAAGCTCGTATATCGTAAATTATACATGCATACATATTGTAAATCGTATATCGTAAACTCGCATATGTACCACTACTACTACTACTACGTCGTTATACCGCTTCTCCATATACTAATAAACACTCTTAATCGCTCCCTGCTCCCAACCACACACACCCACCCACTCCCCTCCACCAGCCCCTCACAAAGAAACCAAAAAAAAAAAAAAAACAAATGCTAACTAACGAATAACGTATGTACTAATATCGTATAAAATAACGCAAATCGCTTAGCCGTAACTACTAACTAATCATTTAAGCACACAATAACCATCACCAATCACCAATCAACAATGAACAATCACCAATCATAAATCACCAATCACCAATCACCAATAACCATACAAAAAAATAACCACAACACACGCATCTGTGATCGATCGCTCATCTTCATGCCTCTTCAGTTATACATATGCCCAATTGGTCGATAACATTTTTATCAACTTGCTTATCATTTGTTTACGAATTTACTAACTTTTCGGTTGATACATCTAACATAATATGTACATTAAACATTATACTGAATGGCATCTAAAGTTAATCACCGATTTCAATTGGCGACTAACTAACTCCAGATAGCCAGCAAATTAAGGGTACCTCACTAACCATCACTAACCCAAAAGTGGCCCAGCAGTAATTATATAAAAATAAATAAACACAGAGCACTTTTTATATGCAAAATGTTGCGTAGTATTATTAGTACTAGTCGGGTAGGCGATAATTTGTTTGGTTTCTTACGCGATAACGATCTATCGGGGCTGACACAGAATTTTCGGCTTATCAAACAAATCAAGGGGTCAAATTAAATAGTTAGACTAGTTTCTTTAAGGAATCTCTTTTATGTTCTACTAGTTTCAGCAAGTTGGCTGCAATTTAATCAGAATAAGAAGAGCTTCAATTATTGACGGCTTTAAGATCGATTATAAAACATTAATTGACTATTCATTCATTAATTAGTTCTCAATAACACAGATGCAATAATAATAAAAAAAGATGACGGGTTTCAAATAGATATCAGATTCTTCAAACGTTTCTTACGGATTCGATGCACATTGGTGATTGTGCATTGTGCAGGCCCTCAACTTAAGAATACTATTTGACAATAGATCCTCAATTAGTTGAGCCACTCAATAATACCATAATACAACCGTAATACAACCACACACACACCACACACCAGAAGCATCAGAACACATTCGTAAACTGCATCATTGTATAATCGCTTTTAGTGAATGATTTGCTTTGTGTTTTTGATTTGGGTTTGGTCTTTGTTCTTGAGTTCTTCTTAGTGCTGACTAGAGCAGCATTATGTAATATATTTGTATAAATATATATTTATGATTTTATTATTCGATCTAGTGAGTTATGCTTTTTGTATGTTTCGGCTTAAGTTTTGTTGTGGTTTGTTGTATTCGTTTGCTGTTGCGTTCGATTCGATTTACCTATGAATTTTCTGTACTCACTAATTTTCTTTCAAAATCACCACAATCCGAAAATTTCATTTTCTTCATACAATTTCATTTTAGATATGGCTGAAGTTTTACGAGATTTTCAGTGTAAATTATGTTCAAAACTTCTAGGATCGCGTGCGGCATTGCAGCGCCACTCGAAGGAGGTGCACAGCCGCAACTCAACAGTGGTGAGTTGTCCGCGATGCCAGAAACTCTTCCAGAATCGCAGCAACCTGAAGATTCACATGCTCACGCATTCAGGAGTCAGGCCCTTTAAGTAAGTGCTTCCAAATCCAAATCCAAATTCCATTCCCAATCCCATTTCACAAATCAAGACTCATTTCGAACCATTAAACATCATGGTGCCTTTTACAGGTGTGCGGAACCAGAGTGCAATGCTGCCTTCACCACAAAGCAGTGCCTGCAATTCCATTATAAGAAGGTGCACAACTATACCCAGGAGCAGATGCCAAAGATTGAGCGCAGCGTTGCCTACACATTCGATGCCTATTCGGGTGGCATGAAGGTCGACTTTTTGGGTAAGCCAGTGGGTCAGGCGCAGTTGGCAGCAGCTGGCCCTAACGCTGCCCTCCTTCCCTCCCTTCCCACAGAGCAAGCACCGCGACGTCGGCGCAAGAGTCTCGAGGATCAGAACCAGAACTCCATGCTCAGCAGCTCGATGCAGAGCGACACCGAGTACAGTGACGACAACATCTTCGAGGCCATCAAGAAGAGCGGCAAATCCATTAAAGATCTGTGTCGCAACGAACCAAATCTATCACTGCTCAGCTCCAAGATCTCCAGCATCTTTGGTGAGAAGGGTCCGCCCGTACCAGTTCCGGTCAATGCCGTTGGCTCCTCCATCTCTGGGCGTAAGCGCAAACGTAAGAAGGAGTCAACAACATCGCATGCCAGTCAACATCAACAGCAGCAGCAGCAGCAACAACTGCAGCAACAGCAGCAGCAGCAGCAACACGCCCAGCAATGCCACCAACAGCAACAGCAGCAACAGCAACAACAGCAACAGCAGCAACAACAGCAGCAGCAGCAACAACAACAGCTCCATGGCGGACATTTGGATCAATCGCCTTCTCATCTGTCCCATGCACATCAGCAGCATCAACAGCAGCAGCAGCAGCAGCAACAGCAGCAACAGCCTCAATATCATGCTCACAGCCATACCCATGCGCATGCACACGCCCATCAACAACAGCAGCAGCAGCAACAGCAACAACAACAACAACAGCATCAGCAGCAGCTGCATGATGCAGACGAGGAGGAGGAGAGTGTACGACTGGAGCAGGTGCGCCGCAAGCAGAATGCGCAGCTTAGCCTCGTCGAATCTTTCTTGACCACAACGGCACAACGTCTGAGCGCCCAGCAACAAGTGCAACAAGTGGTTGCCGCTGCAGCCGCCGTCTCCGCAATGGCCGGTGGGGAAGATCCCGCCAAGCTTGGCCATATGATGGGTCACATGGGTGGCGTAGGTGTTGGCCTGGACGATGACGATGATGACGATGAGGATGACGATGAGGCCACAGCGCACCATCATCACCATCAGCAGCAGCAGCAGCAGCAACAGCAACAGCAACAGCAGCAGCAGCAGCAACAACAACAGCATCAGCAGCACCATTCACATCAAACGCATCCGCACCACGCCCACACGCATCCACATCAGCATGGCCAACAAGCGGGTCCACAGACGCACAGCGATGCCAGTTATCGCCATTCGAGCGGCATGAATGCAGCCCTCGGTCAAAATCTGGTCGTCAGCAAAGGTAGCAAAAAGTGGATCGGGGCCGATGATCGTCATTTGAGTGACGGTGGCGATGTGGGCAATGATGCCGCTGTCGGTGGTCCAGGAGGTGGTGGTGGCGGCTCGGGTTGTGGCCAGCTATCGAGTGGTGGCAGTGCTGGCCAGGATCTGGGCTTCGCCGTGCCCCCGAGCGCTGTGGATGAGCACAGTAAGCTACTTGGCCAGAATCGGGATTTCCTTGCGCGTCTCATGAGCAGCGCCACTGCCAGTCATGCCAGCCATCAACACCAACATCAGCACAGTGCCCACAGTCGCGAAGAGGATGAGAACAGCTCCTTCCTGGATGTCGTCGAGTCGAATAATAATGCAGCAGCTGCTGCTGCTGCAGCTGCCGCGGCCATGTCACAATATCATCACAGTGCTTCAACGAACGGTGGAGCAGCTGGTGGTGCGGCCTCCACTGGTGCGAGTGGTGGTGCTGGCGGTCACACGCCCACCAGCTCAGTGCCCGCCGCCGTCGAACCGCCGCAAATGCAAATGAACTCATTAAGCCACTCGCAATCGTTCATGAGCTCGTTCTACAACAATGCCAATGCAAGACTGAGCGGCGCCGGCGCTGGCGTTGGCGCCAACTCCTCCTCGGCCAGCATGCTGGTGGAGGCTGCCCTCAACTCCGTTGGCAATATGATTGACAGCGAGAGCAATGATCTAAAGGTGAGCTTATGTTTCTAATTCTATGTGCCCCAAAAATTAAAGCACGAGCAGATTCCATGTGGGCTAAAGGGTTCATTTCCCATCCTACATGTTCTTGATCATCATCAACAGCATCAACTATGTTCGTGTGTCTGTCTGTCTGTCTGTCTGTCCTTCTGTATGAATGTCGCTTACTATGAGCTAGGGACTTTGAACTTTGAATATAGGTTCACCCATGGCTGAGACATAGTAAATTTAGTTCAATTTATCGGTGACTTAACCTGTTTCCTGTTAACCTGTTCAATCATAACCGATAACCGCGAGCAATTGAAAGATAAAGCTCTCCAATTCGATTAGATTAGATTAGCCAAAATCTCTGTAGATTTCTGGAACATCCACCTCAAATTTTTGGATACCAAAAACCAAATCCTACCGTTGCGGAATCTGACATGTATAAAGCTAAGCGGCTGAAATTGCTTACGTCTGCTTGATTGATTGATTGATGTACGATCTTGGAATTTAATAATAAAATGTTTTGGATTTGCGATTTGCCAGGTACCCACCGACAACCACATAAATAGCGATAGTCCGATGAGTGCGCATGTGGATGCGGAGGCGCAACGCTTTGGCAGCGGCGGTGGGGGCAGTGGGGCGAATGGCGCCGGCATTGGGGGCATGGACAACCTGGAGAACGAGCTGAAGATGATGAAGAATTTGGGCAGCTTTCCCATGCAGATACCGCCGTTGCCTATGTTCCAGGGCGCTTGTCACATATCGCCCAGTGCGTCGACGCCCACCAATCCGCAGAGCAACCAGAACCAGAACGATGTCGATGTGGACGCCGGCAGCACACCGCGTCCCCAGCATCCGGACTCCGATGGCTTCTCCTCGTCGCATCATCGTACGCCGCCGTCGCCGCCGCCCATATCACCGGGTCGTGACTATGGCGGCATGTTTGGCGCCGGCAACGGCACTGGCGGCCCCGGCTCGAACAGCACACCGGCTGGCAGCTCGAGCGGGGGCGGCGGTGCCCAGTCGGGCGGTAACAATCTATCTGCATCGTCACCACTGCCGGCACTGCAGCCGCAGCGACGGAACGCGTCCAGCGTGAGCAGCACATATCCCGAGCATGAGCTCATCTCGCCCGCTTCCTCGCCGAGTATACCGCGCTACAATTTCAACGGCGACATGATGCGTCACAAGCGGGCCGTCCAGGACCAGGAGCAACAGGAGCGACGCCACAATATCTCGCGGCACAATCAAATGTCCAGCGACGAGGAGAACAGCATCATGCCACAAAACAGGTAAGTCGCCGAGCAGAGTCTCGCACATTTGCCACAAGATTCACGACTTCTTCTCCTGCAGCGCTGGTCAGGATATGCGCATGAAGTTCCCACAATCGCAGATCGATCTCATGTATTCCAAGTACGAGAGCATGGCCAGCAATCTGAAGTACAACAGTCAAGACCTGGACTCGCCGGCCGAGTATCGTCAGAGTAGCAACAGCAATGCGGCAAGTGCGGCAGCTGCTGCTGCAGCGGCGGCCAGTGCTGCCAACGATATGTCCGATCTGCAGGGATTGGACATGAGCTCACGCTCGAATGCGTCCAGCAACTATCATCATAACTTCCAGCTGCCGAGTAGCCGTTACCATCATCACATCTATGACATACTCTCGGATCGGGAGCAGAGCCAGCAGGCACAGGCGCAACAGCAGACGCCCGCTTCGGTGGTGCACCAGCAGGAGCATGGCAGCCATGGCGGGCACAGCAGTCAGCTGCAGGCCATGCAGCAACATCAGTCGGCTGCCATGCACAACATGCTGACGGAGCAGTTGGGCGAGCAGGAGCACGACCAGACCACATCGGTGGACCTGAGCCGCACCGCCAACTATGTGGTGTCATCGCCGCCACAGCTGCCATACAATCATCCACATCACGATATGCTGCGGATGGCATCGCTCGATCTAACACCAAACACGGCCAATATGGCGGTGGGCAACAATCGATCGTTTTTGTCGTCGCAGATGCAACACCAGAGCCGCGAGAGCCTCGAGCATCATCGACTGCTGTCGACGGTGGAACAGCATCGCATACTGGCAGCCTCGAATGCGGCAGCGGATCAGCATCGTTTGCTCGTCGATCCCACCGCCCATTTGCTGATGGAGCAAAATAATCGACTGCTGGGCACCGCGGATCAGTCTCGTCTCCTGGGTGAATCGGCGGCTGCAGCTGCCCAGAATCGTCACATGGCCAGAAGCTTTGGTGCCTACCATCAGGTGGCATCGAGCAATTATCATCCGGGCGTGCGACCGCCGCCGGTGCTGCCATCGGCCAATCATCATGCTTCCAATCCTTCGAATTATCATCCATTTCCCGCCTACTATTAGGTGGCGCTATCTGGCGGCCAGCACTGTTGACTCTCATAGATACCAATCTCTGTCCCCAGTTATCTAAGCTATAATATATATATATATATATATATGTATATATATATATATATAATTGCTCAAACAACATATTTGCGAGATATACGATTTGTTCTTTCTTCTTTTCTTTTCTTGGATTTTGATTTGAATGATTGATTGATTGATTGCCACCTGCCAGATGATGCGACTTGGAAGGGGGAGGACCCGTGGCGAACCGGGACTATATATGTGCAATTCAAAAATCAGATATTGTTTTATTAAGACGCGCTCCTCGTACAGAAATTGCAAACAGAAATGGCAAACAGATTATGTACGATTACTATCCACGAATCATTGATTTCATATATACATATACATCTATATATATATATATATATAAATAGTTCAATTTCAAATGTATGTTTCAAACGTAACAATTTTTGGTTCCTCGGTTTTCTTCGCATGTAATTCTACTAACATACCACAAATAATTTATTATAAGCTATAAAGAAAAAACAATTAAGATGTCATTACGTTTAGCTTCTTAACTACTACTTGGATTATATGTGAAAACTTATAAGCACGCATATAAAAGAAAAAAATTAAAACCAAAAAGCGAAAAGCGAAAAATAAAACGACAACAACAACCATAATGTGTGCCAATATGTTTAGGTGTAAATTGTTCTTTTTTTTCACTGCAGCTGGCAAACGACATTTATATATATATATATATATACATTCACACATATATTAATATATATGTATGATTCCGTAACAATAATAATATGTATAGATGTACATGTAAAAAGGACAAAATTTAAATATTACATATAGATGGAATAAAAAACGAAATGGAAATAAAAACATAAATTTAAAATATAAATATAAATATAAATATAAATGTATAATTTTTAACGATTTGCGGCTGAGTTTGTATAAAATAGAGATTGTATAAAAGCTGGATAAACAAAACAAAAAAAATAAATTCACACAATACACAGAAAAAAAAACATACATTGCTATTTTTACACCGGGAGAAAAATCCAAGAAGTCAAAAATTATAAACGAGTACAAAGTGTTGAGCAAAAGTTGAGTGAAAGGCCATTTCAATAAAAAAAGAAGTTTTAAAACGAAAAATGAAAAAAAAAAAAAACACCCAAACGCAAATATCCAACAGGCCATTACAAACTCAGCGATAAAGAAATGAGAAGAAATAACAAAAATAAATATAAAAATACCAATGAACATATAATGAATACCAAGTTATATTATTGCTAGCTAAAACACTCATTATAATAATTGAGGTACACACACACACACACACACACACTCATACCTACATAACTGTAATAATACACACACACACATACAGAATATTTTGACAGATCAGGAACTTAGCTCAAACGACTTTAACACTTAGAACTTTTTATTTAAATACATGTTTTGTGCTGGTGTTTTATGCCTTTTGATAAATGCAAGATTTGGTAAACGCATGCCATATATATATATATATTACATACGTACATGTGTATATATAAACGTGTAACACAGATACATTCCTATGTACATCTGTATGTGTGTATATACATATATGTGTATACATATACATATACATATATAACATATGCATGCATTAACAGATACATACAAATAGCAAATAAATGAATTGTAAAGGTAAATACATATAATTTCATGTAAATTATTTAATTATAATGATAAAGATAAAGCTAAAAACAAAAGAAAACAAACAAACAAAAAACAACAAAAAGTCAGAGAAAATAACACACACGCGATATATATACAAACACACACATATACATACATACATATGTATGTGCATCCCAATGATAATAATAGTGTGCGGGATGATATTTAACAGACATAAATAGTGCTGATGTGCAAAATCGCCAGTAAGCACATTGAAAACGCTGATAAAATTATATTTACATATGGTGTAATAAAATGATCGATTATTAATAAAATGGAAATTATTTGAATGAAAAAAAAAATACCAGTTGCATTTCGCCGTTGATAACACTGTGAAAGTTAATTGAAATCTAAGCAAATACAGACCTACACTGAAAATAACTTTTGCTATAGTTTGAAACGAAACGATTTAAATTAAATTGTCATTTAATTTGCAAGCCAGAGATGAAACTGAGAAGTCTTCATCAAAAGATTAATATATACAAATGACACATACACTTAACTAAATTAAACAAATGTGCCTTGGCTTTAATTTCGAAATTCTTGTTAAACAAAATGCACAAGTTAGTTTGCGCATGCAATACAGAGTTCTATATTCTATATATCTTAGCTGAACTGAAATTATATCAAACAAGACCGTCACAGCGCTAGGAGTCGTATTCAAAAACGATTTCGATTGCGATCCCACACAGCGATATTTCGTCATCTGGCAGCATTAGCGATAGCAAGCAAACATTTAAGAGAGGGCGATACTGTGGTGCTACCATGACGCAATAGCCAATCCAATGAATGAAATAGCAATAATCACAATCGTTGGGAGCACAGCAAGTACATTGCATATATGACGCCGACGCCGGCGGAGATTGTAGCAGCGATGTTGACGCCGCCGTCGCAAAGAGCGTCACACAGCGACAATGATGAAAAGAGAGCGGCGGCGGCGTTATCAGCGAACAGCCCCGACCAGATTTCGCTATCTGCTATTAGTGAGGCGCAGGCGTTGCCGGCACAGTCGCGACCACCACCACCACCCGACGTCGGTGTCAGCAAAGTGGGCAGCGACATACTGATGCTCTCGCCAGCGGCAATAGCCGAAGCATACGAGAAAGCTGTAAGCGAAGAAGAGAAACGGCTCAGCGATAGTAAAGAGAACAAATCGCGATTCACTCTGCCGAGTATTCGAAGTATTTTAGCAGCGGGCCGCAGCTTTCGTGACAAACTCTTGCCGCTTGTCGGTAGTTTTTTGACATTCATTTTGCATTTAGACATGCATGGAGGCGATACCGGCAACAACGTCAACTTTGTTGCAGGACTCATTGACTTTACAGCCGGCTCGTTGGGTAAGTTCAGTGTAGTCCCAACACAATGCTAACCAAACAATATAACCCAAAATTTTTGAGTAGGCGGCGCCGCTCAGGTTTATGTCTCGCAGCCATTGGATACGGTCAAGGTGAAGCTGCAAACATTTCCCGAGAAGTACAAGGGTATGTTTGACTGCTTCGTTAACACATATCGAAAGGATGGCGTTATGCATGGCCTATATGCCGGATCGGTGCCGGCTGTCGTTGCAAATGTTGCCGAAAATTCCGTACTCTTTGCCGCCTACGGTGGCTGCCAAAAGTTTGTCTCCTACATGCTTGGCAAGGAACTGACCAGCGAACTGACAATCGCACAGAACGCATGCGCCGGCTCATTAGCCGCCTTCTTCTCCACGCTCACCCTCTGCCCCACCGAGCTGATCAAGTGCAAGCTGCAAGCGCTGCGCGAGATGAAGCACTTTGTGGAACCGAGCCAAGCGGCTGATATACGTACGCCATGGACCCTAACACGCTACATTTGGCGCACCGAAGGTGAGTTGTCATTCTCCATTGGGTTTTTTACAGTTGTTTTTTTTTTATATTTTCCTTATTTGATAAGATTATGTGCATATCTCGCTCTTGTTGTATTTCTCCGTTACCCCATAATTCAAAATTAAACGCGAGGTCTGCTAATACGCTGTACAAAAATAATCAGCGTGTTTACCAGCTGCCCACTTTCGGCGTTGCCACCTAGCGCCAAATGTTTTGAACCAAACGGCTTATACCCATTTCAAAAGGGGGAAAGTGTGCAAATGTCTGCAACGATAATAAGAAGATATTTTCAATCTCATTTAATGCATTTCCTTTGGTCAATGGTTTGAAATGTGATTTCTTGTTTAAGGCGTTTTGAAACATTTCGAAAAATAATAATAGATCCATTTAGAGTACGTAGGTGCAGGTGTTCATGGGCATGTAATCTTCTATGAGAAGGAGATAGCTGGTTTTTTATGAGTACTCTAGCCAAACATAAGATTAGAATTCTAATAAATAAATGAAAACGAATTCAATGATAGTAAATAAGTAATAATCTTATAATCAGCCTAGATACGTACATCAATATAATATAATATAATCATTTTATAGAATTAATTATTGATGTGTACTCCCCTCCTTGAGACAAGTACGCAGTTCATTCAATTTGCATTTATATACATATGTACGTATGTGTGATCACAATTTATGCGCGTTCTCAATGAATGAAGAATGAAGCATTAAGTAGTCGTAGTCACGTTGTATGGATAATATCAGTAGTAGCACTTTTATGACTCACGTTATCAGTCAAGTGGAAATTTTACACAATCTCTTCTTAATTGATTGCCAGAAGGTTTTAACAAAATCTCAATCGATGTTATTGCTGTGATGCAGTTGTTATGGCCTTACACACACATGTGTGTGTATGTATGTATGTATGTAAATATGCATTGACGGGGAATGTTGTTGTGTCAGATTGCTCTTGTTGTTTTTGTTGTTATTGTTTCACTCGCTTTCATTCGCGACTGGCACGCCAACTGCAGATAAGCAGCGTAGAAGAGCTAAGCCAAGTTAAACTCTTCAAATTCTATAAATAGAGCCAGTGGCCGGCCGGTCGCACGTGCGGCTTACTGTTATTTTCCACGCGTCGTCACGCCTCCAATAGTAAGTGTCAGTATGCATGCACACACACAAATACACAAACACATATACACACATAACCTATGCATATGAACGGCCTCTTGCTCTAATTCATTTTGTGCTCTCTCTCTCTCTTACTCTGTCACTCTCTGTCTCTATCATATTCGCTGTCCGTGTTACAGGTATACGCGGCTTTTATCGCGGCCTGACCTCCACTTTCATACGCGAGATGCCCGGCTACTTCTTCTTCTTTGGCAGCTACGAAGGCGCACGCGAACTGTTCCGTCGGTAAGTGAATTGTTGAGTAAGCAAGATAAGTGCAAAGTTGATCACAGACAATATTTGCTTACTTTCGTCGATAGCAAGGATCAGACGAAGGATGAAATTGGACCGGTTCGCACAATGGTCGCTGGTGCAATTGGTGGCGTTTGTCTATGGACATCAACATTCCCAGCGGATGTCATTAAGAGTCGCATACAGGTGAAGAACCTCAATGAGGGTATGTTGCAGGTCGGTGCGGAAATTGTGAGACGTGAAGGCGTCTTTGCTCTATACCGTGGACTGTTGCCATCTGTGCTGCGTACCATCCCTGCCACGGCCACTCTGTTTGTTGTCTACGAGTATACCAAGAAAGCGCTCCATGGTGCAATGTGACCTGTGACAGTTGTGGCAGGCGTGGGCGTGACCGCGGGCGGTCATTACCAATAACTCTCATCATGTTGCTGCTAGTGCTCTATTATATAATTATTTTCGAACAGCTCTTGCTCTTGTTATCATTATTTTTAGAATTACGTTACGACTACGATTACTATTACTTTTTACTATTATATTACAACCATAATGTGTAGTATGATTATTGTGGAGCTCCTCGCCCGAATCAGATGCTGCCTCTCTTAGATGTTGGCCGCCTGCCGAAGACGTCGCTTCAGGAAGTCCTGTCTGTCTGCGGACGTTTCCAGTTCGCGCCATTCGTTCCAATAGATCTGTGTCGATGATGATAGTGTACAAAAAAACAAAAACAATGAAAAATATTTGGAATTAGTTAAGCATTTCATATTTCCATGGCTACAACAACTGCCATTTTTTTTAAAGGTGACAATAAAAATGATTTCAAGCAAGCTTTTAAAGCTAGAAAATTACCTACTTGACTGAAGCTTGAAGAATATTAAGTTAACGACTAGTATACATATATGATTAAACTTTTGATTCCGATTTTTTGTTTTAGGCAGTGCTCAAACGAGACTTGTAAAGAACAATGAGATTAGTAAACATATAAAACTATACAATGAGTCCTGCAAAATGCATGCATATCCAAAATTAGGCTGACTACAAATCTGGAAAGCTGAGCCACAAACGGACCTTATATTGCTAACTTAGTTCGATTCCAATTACACATGCTTAAATTTAGTACTACATATTTATTTACAACAGTTTAATATCCTAATCATTTCTAATCAGCTACTTACCACAATGGGCTTGTGTCCCATCTGTTGCAGTTGCTTCAACTTCATGGCAAACTGTCCCGTGTGGCGTTCGCTGTCGCGTATAACATTATTCCAGCCGGCGACCACAATGATCAGTGTGTCCACGTGGGGCGCTTCCTTGCTGCCGAGCAAATGCTGGCGCGTCAGTAATGTGCCACTGTAATCCTCCGGACAGCCGCTGACATTGAAGGGCAAAGGGCGTTGCTGCTGTCGATCATAGCAGACGACCAGATCGCAACGATCGTAGTGAGGCAGTATGTGCTTCATGGTGACTGTGGTGCGCAGCAGACTGCCCACCGCATCACGGACCTCAACGAGAATGCGATCCGTGCTGGTGAGCTTGAAGCGTCCCTCCTTACGCTCTGGTATATATTGCGTATATAGTTTGCCCATCTGCTGACGCTGTCGCTCGGTGAGCAATGGCCCCGCATATTCGGAGCCCAGGAGCTGGGCAAAGCTGTCCAGGTGGAAATAGTCACGGCCGGGTAGTTTGCCGTTGGGGTAGGCATGGCTCAGGAAGCGCGGCTCCAGGGCGACGCCCAGCAGCTCGACGTCATAAATGCCGCGCATTGTGAGAAACTGTAGGCAATTGGTGTAGCAACGTGGATAGCGCAGAATCTCATCGATGCGGTTGCGCAGCATGTCCGGCAGACGCTGGCAAAGTCGTCGTTCAACACCGCTGGCGGTATTCAGATTGAACAACGCAATGACCAGACAGATGCGCTCCAAATCCTTCAGCCTGGTCGCATTCAGTTCACGCTCGAAGCGCAAGAGAATGCGTTCCACGAGGTCATCGTTGCAGGTCTGCAGATCGCTGCCAAGCAGCGCCATGTGCAGACAGCTCAACAGCGAGACGCGATCCACCTGCGGCTGCAACTTGACCAGTAATTGATTTAGTGCCGGCACCTGCGGTAGTTTGCTGCTGTAGCGCAACACTTTGAGCATGGCTACCAGTGTGATATCCTCAACGTTATCCAGTTGCGCCTCCAGGCGCGTGTAGAGCTGCTGGAGCAGGTCGGGATTTCGTATTTGCGTCTGTGTCTTGAAGAAGCCCATTGCCATTACGCCCAGCTCTTGGAGCGTCATTTGCTGTACACACTGCGCCAGATTCTGCTCAAAGTCGAACATCTCGAAGATGGGCCGACGCAGCAGGTTGCACAAGAACATTGACTGCACCAGCTGTTCCGGCGGCAGCTTTCGCACTTTGCGACCAAGCTTGCGCAGCGCCTGCCACACAAATTCGCCAATGCGCGCCAGGCCCAGTTGGTACCACGCATCGCTTACCAGCAGCAGCTGTGCGGTGGGCCAGTGCTCGATGCGTCTACAGCACTCAATGTCCAGTGTATTCCACAGCTCCATGTAGTTGGCCACCTTCGTGGATGCCGGCGTCGGCAGTTGTTGCAGGCAACGCAGCGTGCCAAGCAACTGCTTATCACTCAGCTTGTGCAGCTCCTCGCAGTAGGCGCGTATAAAGTCAGTGAATCGCTGCTCGCTGATCTGTATGCCCAGAAGGGCACAGTGCTCGACCAGCGACAGCAAATCAGCGTACAATTCATCCGGTGTGGCATTCTGTGCCGGCTCCAGCACACGTTGGGGTGTGGCTGCATAGGCTGCACTATCGGCTTTTTGGCAATCGCTGGTGCGCACAATCTGATACGGCTTCAGGGATGTGGAGAGGATGTTGTGCGCGAACTGATTCTCAAAGTCGACGAACACTTTGGCCTGCAGCGCTGACGAGCTGCGTATCTGACGACGCAACAGCAGGCGAAGCGGCCTATGCCCCATGGTGAGGCCACGTTGCAGGCATCTCGTTGCTGTCGTTAGCATTTTAGCCGCAGTTTAATTCATAAATGACCAATATTATGGGTTATATTGGCGTTATGTCAAGACAACAAAAACAAGCGCGCAAAAGTGCTGCAGCTCAGCTGTTGCCAGTGCTGCCAGATGTGTGCAATGTTCAAAACATGTGTCCAGTGCCTGAGAGTCGCATTTCGATAATTGATCATCCGAATATTCTTGTTGAAAATATCTGACGGTTTTTTTAAATGAATTTCATCAAAATTTGCGAACAGATATGTAATTTTCGGTTTACTACAGATGAGTGTTCCTTTTTGATTTATTTTTATTACGTAAGAGTAAGTCATAATGAAAAGCATCTTACTTCTTTTGTTTCATATTTATTTGTGCAAAAAATATAAATGCCTTTTTGTAAAATTAAAATCAAATTGAATGACTCTTGTTTCGTCTTTGTTTTCAATGTAGCACATCTGCATAGACGTAATATGCCATTATACATACATACATAACTTTAACGACTGACCATGAATAATAATAAAATTATGTGTTGCTTCTTTTCATGCAAATATGTTTTTGTCGCTGGCTTCTAACAGTATTCTTGTCTCTCTCTCTCTCTCTCTGTTGGAATACGTTACTGAGATAGATACATACATAAATGACGTATAGAGATCGAACTACGTAAAAGAATTCGAAGAGTGTAAAATGCAAATTTGATCTAAACAACAAATATTGGGAAATTGGCCTAAAAAAAGGAGCAAAAAGTGAACAAGCTCTTTTTATAGTTCAATATTTTCTCTCATATTTGCATTCACTTTAAAATTTATATATTTGAATCAATTCAAGCATCAAAATAAATAATAATAGATGTCTTTTTATTAATTTTCCGATTTTAAACAAAAAGAATTTAATTTAATTTGATATTGAAATTGAAATTTACTGTATTCGCATAATACGTTTTAATTAATCGCCAAAAATTCAAGCATAAATAATTATGTATGTTATATAGGTATGTATGTTTTTACCAAGCATAGAGAGTGTTGAATGAGGTGGCATAATGATGATGACGGCGATGGAGTTGCTGTCAACTTTCCCAGTATTCGCATTTTGCCATTAGCATAACAATTAAATGTTGATTGATTTTGATAAAATGTAATTCAAAAACACAGCAAGCTTAATTCATTATAATATCGACAGTTATATAAGATTAGTTAGAAGATACGTACAGCAATTATCTCAAACATAAACACGTCTTTCCCAACCAGCATCGAGGGCAGCTTGATTCAAACCATTCTAAAGTTTTCTATATTGATTTGAGTTCACAGTCGCTTTCATCACGAACTTTCGTTTGACGAAATGCATAGCACAAACAGTTTTCGGTTTCGGTTTCTGTTTCGGTTTTTTGTTGCTGCGACTGCTGCTGCTGCCGCTGCGGCTGCCGCGTTTTGCTGGCGGCTACAAAAATGTGTATGCGGCCGTCTGTGACATATTTTATTTCAAAAATAATGAAAACAAAAGTTTAAAACAACCGCTGAAACAACACAAACAAGAAAGAACAGCCATGTTCGGCGTGCTGACAATTGTATACCCTTGAACACATTGAAAATATAATTTCAAGTTTTGTATAAGCATACATGTATTCATCTATATTCAACCAACATGTCGGGTTGTTATGCAGTCCCCTAAAGCGTTACATATTTGGTTAGAAAATCATAATAGTCTATGCAAGCGTATAAAAACAACCGCTAGCTGCGCTCAAACGAGGGCAGAGACAGAGGCAGAGAGACGCGGCTACGCATGAGGAATGCTGGGGCAGATAGATCGATACGGTGAAAGGGGTAAACGATTACGACAAGATGCTCCTCATAATGACATCGATAGTTTACAGTTGCTCGCACTACCCTTTCCATAAGAGTCAAGCCACTTTGTGCATATGTTTGCGCTGCAACAAAGTTCACTCTTTCATTATTTTGTGTAGTAAGAATCACAATAAGTTAATAGAACTGCGGTGGTCTGGAGACATGATAATTTTATAATAATAATACTGCTATAATTGTTGAGCATATTTAATATTATTATCAAGTGTTTTTATATAAATAGAAATGTTTTATGCTTATAGTCAACGAACATTTTGAAATGGAGAACAAAATCCGAATTTCGACATTCGTTTAGCGGTATTTAAGCCGGACCCGTTAATCGAAATTAACCGATTGAAATTGAGAACTTAATTTGATTCGGGTTGATCACTTGCTTTCCAAAAATTAATTCGTTTTATGGAAAATTATGCTTCCCAAAATTTTTGGAAATAAAAAGTTTGAATTGATACAAATATAAAAATTAACTTGTTATTTAAACTTGGGTAACAATTTTAAATAAATAGTTAGAGCATAAAATAGGCGATGTGTCGATTGTGTTTTGAATCTCACCATTTGAGCTGCGCAGTCGCCACCGATGCTGGTGGTATATATTTTGACAAAAGAAAGATTTCGGCTTAAATCAATATTGGCAATGCGCGCGGCCGTAAAGTAACAGCGCGAGAGCAGTGAACCAGACCCAAAAGGCCAACAAACCAACAGCAAGAGCAACAGCTCCAAGTATTTAGCAGAAGATGCCGAAAGTGATTCCAGGCTTACTGCTAGCATTAGTGCTGCCGATAGTGGTGTCGGCTTTTGGCAACGAATACGTGCACATTAAGGTGCATGTGCCCAAGGATCAGGCGCCGAGCATTGCCATCGATGCGGAACCGGTGCCGCCGCATAAGGTCATCCATCACTATCACCATCATGGATCACCGCATCAGAGATCACGGGTACGTGCCCCACCAAAGCCACAGAGCAGCCCGCTGCTGGAGAGCGTCATACTGTCCGATCTGGATAAGCCGCTGCACATGAGCGAGCATGCAGACTATCTGAACCATGCCAAGGAGATCGCTGATCATCTCAGCGAATCATATGCGGCGAAGAAGATACCGCCACCGCCTAAGAAGAAGGTGAAAACCTACACGATCATCGAGGAGAAACAGCGGCCAAACAGTTACGAGTACTTGCCTCCATCGGATCATAACGTGGATACGTATCGTGTGATTAGTAGCAGGCCGCAGTCCCATTATCACAACCACCAGCAGCATCATCAGCCCGATGACGATGTCAACGAAGTGGGTTATAACTATCGGCCACCAGCACGCTATCATCGCCATAAATCTTTCTCCTCTCCCTCCTCCTCATCGTACCTGGGCGGTAGCTATGCGGAGCCAGCGCCGGTCGAAGAGCCATTAGATTTAGATCTGGACTACACTTATGCGGCACCATCCTACGCCAATATCAAGTCCGCCCGAGCGCCTGCTTATACGCTGGAAGCACCTGAGAACACTCAATATTCATACGATTTCCGGCCATCACCGGAACTGCATTCAGCACCGGATCCATACGAGGAAGAAGTCGATGCATACGCAGCGCCAGCGCCAACTCAATCTCGCCGGCATCGTACTAGCCCAGTGGAATGGGGTACCGAATCATATAGTGGGGCTAGCGAATCATATAGTGCCCCCAACAGCTACCATGCTGGGCATGTGCAAGGCGTGGAAGGGGCCAGCAGTGTATATCAGTATCCCGGACCCTATCTGTAAACAAAAATATCAAATTTAATGCTAATTTATTGTTAGTTTTGTTTTTCTTTTTTTTTTATATGCATATGTAAATAAGTCGATTAAAGTTGAAAGTTTAAAAATACACTCAACGATGTTTCGCGAATATTTTTATTTAAATTGGAATCATCTGAGGATATTAGAGATGTTCTCAATTTGGAATACTGTTTAAAATTTAAAGTGATATTATATATTTTATTTTTATGTTACCCCTGGTGAATTGCAAGCGATTATATATGAAATTGTAGTTGTCGACAGTTACTGACTAGGAAGTTACCTTGTGTTAAACGATATATGTATGTATGTACAAGTTGGATTCAGAAAACCTCCCACTCCACGATTTTACATATGTGCATGTATTAATAAACGGCGATAATCGAAAATATTGATTTTAGTTACAACGACGAATCGAATAAGTTGAGTTCCTCTGTCGGTAATATCAACACAAATGAAATTGGATATTACATTTTATACAAAAGCGCAGATCTTATTTCATAACAAATTGAATAACATTCTTATATTACTATAACATATATATATTAATAACATTTTTCTAATTGAATTTGTACTCGAATATCCAAAAGAAATCTGAGACGCATTAAAGAATTGCCTCGACGCAGATTCCAACAGAAAAATAGTGAATACTATCATATATACATGTATAAACATTATGATCTACATTTTATATACATATATATACATATATTTATATACTAATAACACTAAAACTATCTTAGCTGAAATCAGTTTAAATTAGGAAAAAAACTGATATATTTAGTCCGCCGAAGATGCCCTTTTTGTCCGGAGTTAATCTGCTGACAGGAGTTTCGACCGATGTATAATAATATATGATATATTGGTCCAATCTGATTGCCTCCGACGTCATAGATGTGGTAGTTTTGCTCATATAAACACAACAATCTGACAGACATGGTTATATCGACTCGCCTTGTGACGTTGATGATGATATGACATGATATGATGATACAACAATTAATTTACATGAAAAAATACCTAAAACAATATCCATTCCTGTATATATATATATATATAAATATAGAATGCATCTATCATCATGCCTATACTTATACTTATACCTATACCTATACCTATACCTATACCTATACCTATACCTATACCTATACCTATACCTATACCTATACCTATACCTATACCTATACCTATACCTATACCTATACCTATACCTATACCTATACCTATACCTATACCTATACCTATACCTATACCTATACCTATACCTATACCTATACCTATACCTATACCTATACCTATACCTATACCTATACCTATACCTATACCTACACCAGTGTGACAATAAAGTAAGTGTCCTTGCTGTAATCGTTACCCATCATCAGTTTGTGCAGTGAAGCATGAGGTCAGGATGGCTAACTGCGTTAAGGGTGTCCGATAGCATCATCGATTGGACTCTGAGTTGTGGAGTTGTGGTCAAACAACGATGAGTCTCTGCGTTGACCAGGTGCTGCATTATCATTTGCGCTTCTATCAGCTGCTCGGCTTGCACGGTCTGCCGTTGTCGGGTGACGTGTATCTAGAACGAAACTCGAGGGTATTGCGTCTCTGGGGTGGCTGCCTGCTGATAAGCTTCAGTGGAGTTGCACTCCTGTGTCTGATCAGTGACGATGCGTACCTTTACCCGGACGATGGCTTTGGATATTTCAATGATGCCATGAAGTATGGATTTGCTGAACTGGCAGTGCTGAGCATCTATGTGGAGACGATGTGGCAACGTTCCCACCAGGCACGCTTCTGGAAACTGTACGCAGAACTTGCCACAACGACAACGCCAACGCCAACGCCTCCATTGGGCAATGTAGGAATACTGATGAAACGGCATCGTCGGTACCTTATCGCCTTCTATGGAACTTTGCTGACGGAGATGGTGCTGCTGGGCATGTTTGTCTGCCTGCAGGATATCACTCGTAATCTTCTACTGTTTTGGACCACTTTTCAGCCGTTTGTGTTTGTGGTGCACTTGCGAAACACACAGTTTGTGCTGCACCTGGAGGTGGTCCGCCAGCAAATCCGCCAGTTGGATTCGGAGCTGGCGCTGTTGGTCGAGTACTCAGGCTTTGCCAGCGGTGCGGCCAGTTTTCCCGGTTTCGAAGATTATCTAAGGAGACAACTGCGTGAGAAGCAGCTAATCTATGAGCGCATCTACGAGCTGTGCTTCAGCTTCAGGAGGTCTTTTAGCTACTCCATGCTCACCGTTCTGCTTATGATCTATATACGCATCGCAGTCGATTGCTATTTTATGTTATACACGGTCCACAATAATATTAACAATATTGGTAAGTCTCCCTCTCTCTCTCTCTCACACATTCTTAACCTCCATCTCTATCTCCACAGACTACTTTCTAATACTGCCAGCGGTCCTGCACGTAGTTGTCCTCATCTACGCATCCCAGAGTTGCATGCAGATGGTGCCTCGGATTGCCTATCAGCTACACAATATCGTGGCCAACTCTCCAGCCCTGTCCCTTCAGGTGCAGACAGACAATCCTCAAAGCCAAGGTCGACTTTTAACTATCCCGATTGCTCACCCCAAACAGATTCAAAACTTTTCACTACAGATGCTACATGAACCGGTGCGTATTGATTGCCTTGGCATAATCATCTTAGACAGTCATCTGTTAACACGGGTAAGTGAATGCTACTCCATTCCATTCCATTGCATTCCAGTAGCTGGCAACTAATCTGCACATACGCATCCAATTCCAGACTGCGTGCGCCGTTAGCACATACATGATTTATACCACACAACTTATGCCCAAGTTGAGTGGTCCCTCTGAATAACATAATTCAATTCAATTCGATTCGATTCGATTGAGAAGGAGAAGCGCAAGCGACATTGATCAATGTGGTATATTATATTAAAGCTTTATATGTATATATGTATCGTATATTCATTAAAATTATATCAATGATGCCGTCAAATGATAGGGTATAAGCATCGATCTGATGGCGTGACGGGTCGAGGCGGGGGTGGGGTGTGCGGATCAACGGGTGAAGCGTCGTTTTCTATTTACACGTGCGTTCGGGTTGGACGGGCTCTCTTTGGAGGGGAGCGAGGTTAACTACAAACTAAACATGATTCATCCCAAAGCCTACCAAACATCCACCCATTATCCCAACAGCTGGCGATAGTTGGAATTCATCTGGCTTAAAGTACGATTGCAGTTATGTGCGTATTCTATACAAACATAATTATATAAATGTATATCATTATATATATCATCATATATATATATACATATATGCGTGTGTATGGTGTTTTCTCAAAAATCTAATCGTATTCATGACTTGACTCTCGTTTCGCAATCAGATTCTCGCGCTCATCATCGTTACCCTCAATGATGGTGATGCTGTTGGAATGGGCCGAGCGATTCAGCGGCTTAATGCGATGCACCGACGCTGTAAGGCCGGATTCAGTGAACACCTCCACCTCGTCATCCTCATCATCGTCGGGCACTGTGAAGTATGGGTGCGATGAGACTGGACGGAATTTGTAGCCTGTTAGCACAAAGAACACATATGTGGCCATCTCCCGGAACATCTCATCCAGCCAGGCGTACTGAAAGACAACGGTCATCTGCAGCAAGTCGACAATGATGCGCGTAAAGTAAATGTAACAGACAATCATGATATAAAATTGGCGGAACAGCTTTAGTTTTCGCAGATTAATTGCTGCCTTGCCATCTGTAGCAGACGCCTCATGCAGATGGCGGATCGACCACACAATTGGGAAGAGTATGGCACCACAGCAAAGGAGATCCACGAAGAAGAATATGTTATGCCAGGTGCGGAACTCGGCGTCGCTCTGATCCGATTCGTCTGTAATGATTTGAGCCACATTTGCCAGAACCTAAACAGGGTTTATATACAATTTAGAAAATTTAAGGTTTAGTGCTTTACAAATTTGATGGCCAACCTGGAGCGGAATGACAATCATGAAGATCTTCTTATCCTTATCGGATAGTATATGCTTAATGAATGTCCACCCGGTGCCGATAAGTACAATTGTTATAAAAAGTACGGCGCCCTTCAGAAGGTGAGCAATATAGTAGAGAATGGCCCAGGTTTCCACATGTTCGCCACGTTTTTCGATAAAATGGTAATTAATAGAATGGAACATAAGGGAAAGTGACTTGAGGAACACGAGAACAGCCATCAGATAGTGTATCTTGTAGACGGTGTGCCTGCACACAAAAACAGAAGAAAATATATATTTTGAAAAGAAAATGGGTCTGGTTGGTCCAGTGGCCGAACTTACTTGCTCTTTTTAAGTATGAACACCCAGAACAGGCCGGACAAGAAGAATAGCAGACTCATCATAAAGTACAGAGCTGGCAGCGGCATTTCACCTGCTGACAAATAGTTGCCATTGTTATTCTCCTCAATGTCCACCTGAATTGAAAATGAGAGAAAATATTTCACTGTGAGACTAGCGCAATGCCTTCAAAACTTAAAAACTCACATTAAACGACAATATCTTGGGGCGATCGTAGTTTGGACAGGCGTGGAAATATAAATTGTATAAGCCCTCGTCGTGCTGTGTGGCCACAAACATGGAGAACGTAAAATTGTAATAGTTGGTGCCGTCGATCGTTTTTTTAATTAACGGCAGCGTAAAATTCTTGCACAGCTCTTCCTGCGATTGCCTGTACGAATTGGAATCGTAAAAGTTTGGCACCACTCCCGGAGCATTCTCGACGGGCAGCGATGGTTGTAGTTCAGCATCGTCATGTTTCTTGTTGTTGTTGCTGGCCGAAGAAGATGCTGCGGCCGCAATGGCACCATCATCAGCAACTGAGCCAGCACCGGCCTCCACTTCAAGTGGCGGCAGTGCAGCAACTGGCAAAGCACTTGATACTTCGATTTTTGGATGAGCAACAGCAGATTTGGGCTCCTTACCAACAGCAGTCTCTGCATTCTGCTCTTTAACGCCAGAGTCCAACTTGGAAGCTGTTTCAATTTTGCCCGCAACAATCTGTGAGGACAAAATGGGTTCCTCAGCCGAACGATCCAATTCATCGCCCAGCTCGTCTGAGCTCACGGGCATCACGGCACGACGACGACGCTGTTGCATGAACAGCGCCGTATCACTAACTTTTGCGATATGAGAGTTTCGCTTGCGACGGTACATCACATCCTTGTAGACATGCTTGTTAACCCATTCCGGTGAGCACTGCACACGCACTCTGCAAAAACAAAAAAGACAAAACAGCAATGATTAGCCAGTCCAGTTCAATTGATAGCGATTACAAACTGACTTTAACTCCTTTAGATCCAGCACAAAGAATAGAATTGGTCCACTTTTCTGATTGGACGGCGGCTCCTCCAGTATGCACTTATTTTGATGCGAGTCCAGGTAGGGATTCAGCTGATCAATGGTTGTCTTGTCCAACGAAAGACCAAACTGCAATCACCAATAAAATATATTAATTAAGAGAAATGCTATTAAATTGCAATTCCATTAAACACACCAAATCCGTCGACTGCTCATCGTCAATTGTTAGCATGCTCAGCTGGACGTCCAAATGTCCATTTGTATAGAAACCAAATGTGCTGAGGGCAATATACGGGCGCATGTCATTCTGCAAGTTTATTAAACAAATACACACATATACGTTAAGTACACATATAGATACACATAGACGCAGAAACGGACATATGTATTTAGGGGAACTCGTATCGCAATCAGATCATACGATGCCGGCTGCTATATGAGCAACTTACTCGAACTTCCAAGTGATGTTTGCGCGTGAGGACCGCATTGGGTGCCGTCAACAGTGTGGCGATTACAGCCAGAAATATTGATTTAATATTTAATATGTGCGATGGCGCTAGCACACGCATTTTGATTCCTCTTGTTTATTTTGCGACCCCTTTCGTCGTCTGTGTGGCACTTTTTTGCAGGTGTCGGAATGCTATATGAATATGATGGCACGGGATGGAAGTGAGAAACTAATGTTGCTTTGATTTCAATTAATGGAATTTGATTTGCTGCGACTGCCGTTGCTGTTGCAATTCAATTGTACAATTGTTCAATTGCTCACACTTCAATGGTATTTTTTGCTTTGCGTTTGTCGTTTTCCTGCACAAAGTAAAATTCTTAGCTGCTTCATTGATACTAGCTAGTGATGTGCAAAATACTTATCGATAGGCCGATATTCTTATTTATATGAATACGTGCGTGAGCTTGTGTCCAATTGGAGTTTGATTCTGTTTATTGATGTTCAACTGGAAATGTTCTTATTGGTACGAGATTCTAAATAATTGCTATTCAAATTATTATTATTATTAAATGAAACATGCGTAAAAAAAGATGAATCACAGATGGACAAAAATAATGTCATTAATTGAAATAAATACGTTAAAATTGTATATTAATGGGTTATGTATAGCACTTAAAAATTGTTCACGTCTTAAGTCTTATTGAGAAAATCAAAAATCGTAAATCCAATTTTTAGATTAAACAATCAAATCTATTATTTTGCAATGCACACCAGTTGTTATAAACTTTCGCATAGTATCATCTTCTTTAAATTGTAAGCTCCGAAAAAACTTGAAAATTCAAAATATATCAATTTCATTGCAACAATTTATTTTTCGTTGAATTAAATACTAAAAGCTATGCGAAGGGGACAAGCACAGTCAAGCAGATAATCAGGTAATACAAAATGTTTATATTTGTATTATTGTTTGAAATTATTGTTCGTTGTGAATGTAATATTTTATTCCAAGTAATGCATTTCCGAATCTATTGAGAATTTGTCATGGAGCGAAACGCGCTTCCGGGCCTTGAACTTTCCAGCGCCCTGCATGATGGAGTTCGGTTTCATTTCGCCTCGGGATGTAGCAGCTTCAAATGATGGTGGCGGCGTCAGTTTAGCAGTCTTCTTGGTATTTGTTTCGCCTCCCTTGGACTTATCCGTGGTGTCAAGCCAGGCAAATTTGGTCGGTTCATCCCCGTACATCGGTTTAACCTTCTTAATCAGCGCCAATTGCGCTTTTTTCTTTTGATAGTAAAACACCTCAAAAGCTAGCGTGCACATGGCCAAGACAAGGCCAACTATTGTCGCCATAAAAACACCGCCCAGACTATTCAGAGAAATGCCGTCTTGTTCATCGAGATCGGCACAGCCCCGATTATCTTCATTCCAGTATTTCTCTTTTAAATTCTCAAAAAAGCGTTCCTTCTGTAACATCAAGATCGCATAGCTTAGCTCATCCTACAAGAAATAAAGAAAAATCTTGAAAATAAACGTCTTAGTCGATAAAGAAAGAATGAAAGATATTTAAAAAAAAAAAATAAAATTTTTGCATAAATGTTTTTTTACATAACAAGAAGATAAGAATGTCTTTCTTAGGCACGGATGTATGCCCATTTTCATCGAGACAACTAACTGTGAACAGATGGACATGGGTATATCGACTCGACTTGTGATGCCGATCAAGAATATATATACTTTATGAGATCGGATGTGTCACTAATATAGCTCTAATATAGAAGAGGATCATTTACCCCAAGATGACTGCCTTGCTGTACGGCGACGGCATAGGGCTGTTCGGCAAAGACTTCGCCAATCTCCGTTAGATTACAGTTCTTGCTGACCGCATACCTAATCTCCGCTGAGTCGTGTATGAAAGCATAATCGGCATTAAGGTGATCCTCCACATTCTTAAATCCCTCGCTAGCATTGTGCACTGGATTTGAGGTGCCGATGGCAACCAGAATTTTTCCAAACTGTTCCTTAATCGGATAGTCCCAAATTCGAAATTTATGAAAGTCTTCGGATGCATTCAGCGCCAGCTCCTTCCACATGCGATACAGCGTATCCTCGGCGAACTTCATGTTTATGAAGTAGTGGTGAGTGTCCGAGTTATTGACCACCGTATAATTAATACGCGATTGTCGAGCCAGCTGTTCCAGTGACCGCACAGGCACCTGCATACGCTCCACCGTGAGAAACGCCGCCAAATTTGCCGTAAATGTAGCCAGCATAAGGACTACAAATAGCCAATAGGAGGCCACAAGGATGCGTCCGGACAGTGCCTTGGGTGCTTCACCACCACCCTGGGGCGTGAACGAGGTCAATGCAAACCAGAAGCTCTCCCTCAACGTAAACTGGCGACATTCGTATGGATAGGCATCGGGATTGTTGCGCGAACTGTATGGTGAATACCTGTCCAAGATCCAGATCAGCAGTGCCGTTGCCATCAGGGCACCAACAATGCTCAGCCAGACCTCCGGCCGCAGCACCGACATAAACTTGAACAGCGAGGCGAGGCGCAACGGTTTACGCATCACAATTGAGATGCCCGTATGGGCGTAGTAAGGGGGCAGAAAGTCAACAACTTCCTCGCGCTCCGAGTACATTTTGAGGGCAGCAATGGCAAAGTCAGTTTCACCACTGACCAAATCGCCGATGACACCATCCCACTCACCCTGCTCATTGCGCTCACCCATGTGTCCCTTTTGAGGCGCCACAAGTTCATAGTCAAAGTTGAGCATGTTCGCCAGCGCTTCAATGAAGTCGATACAAAAGCCCTCCCAGATGGGTGCGCCGGTTGGTGTGCGTAGCAACTCGCCGCTATTTGGATCGCGGCGATAATAGCTCCAGGGCAGACTCTCTGCGGTGCCGATGCGATAGAAACGACGAGTCGGACTGATTGTCTCGTTGACCAGTCGCAGCTCTCCAGACAGCCAGGTGGCCAGGTCTGTTTTGGCCTCGTGCTCGCTGGAATAGTAGCCAGCCGATATATTGGCCACAAATGTCAGTTTCGTCACCGGTTCCTCATCGTTCGCCTGCTCCGGCGCGTAGCCCACAAAGTTACTCCATTGAACATTCTGAAACCAGATACTGTTTGTTTCTATCGCATTTGTTACCTCGCTGCTCGTATTGCAGTCCAGGTGAACTGGCTGTGGAAATGGTTGGCTCACGAGCGCCGCGTCAATCAGGCTCCGTATCACGTCCAGAAGCAGCCCACGTTGTAACTGCAAGAAATTTAAACTCGTTCGATTACTATTCTCATACTGCAATTGGTTCCGACCAATATTTTGAGCAGACTCTGAGGACTCTCAAAATAAAAAGAATTCTTTTGAAAATAAAAAAGATATCTCGACTGCCGCCGGACTTCTTCATTTGCTGCCTTAATTGAGAGCAGCTTAAATTCGCCATAATCTTCAGATATTTTCGTATTCAAAAATTTAAACTGATTCTATCTAATGGAAGACTAAGATTACCAAACATGGCAAACTTGTCAATACAACAAGATGTATTTTGTTTTTTTTTTTTTCAAAATATAATTTTATAAGTTAAATTTGTTTTATAAATATCAAACTAAAATGTATGCTATAAATTATAAATAGAGGAATCGATTTTACAATTCCATTTTTCAATTCTCAGACTTACCGTAAATCCACTGCCACAATAAAGATCTCGCATCTGCATTGAGCGACAAATGGCGCGTGCATTCAGAAGGAAGCGTGTGGCAAACTCCACATTTCGCTTGTACTTAAAGACGCGATCTCTGGTGTCGAGGAAAACAAATTGCCACTCGGTGGGCCGCTGGAAAAGTTTGCTCTTTTCCACCTGCAACGCATTAGCGAAACAATATCGACAACTGGGAACCAGGTCAGCTTTTTTCTGGCTAGCCAGGTACTCACGAGCTCAAAGATTCCATTCATGGCGGCGCCTCGGGCAAAAATCGCATAATAGGTGGGTGGGGGTCGCAAAGCAAGTAGACGCTCGGCAAAATCTATCGGCTGGGCATCGCTGGCATTTATGATGAGCGTGCGAAATGGATAGCCGTCCTGCAGCTGTAACATGGCCTCCATGGTGTCGCGATCACTTTGAAAGATCATGGCCACATTGTTAGCGCGCTTCAGTCGCATGAAATCACTGAACATAGTTAGAAACGGACGCATCATCCTGTCCAGACGCACATAGGCAATGCCATGGGCGCGCGCCAACTCGTTGCCTTCAGACCAGAAATTATAGCTCAAGTCCACAACCACTGTGCTGCCCACACTGCCCAGTATCTCGCAAACTGTGTTGGAATTAGTGCTGACATTAATTCAGTTCAATGGATTTAAACGCGGCAATTGTTTTGTGCTACTTACAATTTTCCATGTCTTGCTGGTCATCGGTGCGCCTGAGCTCCAATACAGCATCGCTTATAGTCACACCCAATTTCAGTGAGTCCAACTCCTTTAGTACTGCCGCAAAATCTGTTCCAAACTCTGCACGCTGCACTGGCTCAATCCAAAAGACTGCAAGCGGATTCAGTAAGGCGATCAGTTCGCTGTCTGAAGATTCCTTTTATCACACGGAACACATACTTATCTTAAGCTCTTGTCCTGTTGTCAGGCTGAGGCTAAGCACCAGGTGCACGTACAAATAAAGTTTAAGTCCCATTTTGACCGTTAGCGACGAGTGTTCCAAGTAAATTGGCAAAGGCTACACCACAATTGTAGCCAAATCCGCGTCCGTAATATAATTGCTCATAATTGGTGTCCATCAATTGGACAGTCGTCATGGCATTATGCATTCTAAAGCAGCTCGCCCTTGTCAATTTGAAAGTCACATTAAATTTGAATGCTTTCGCAGGACATACCCCCATCGTTATATTCTTTTTACGTAAGCATTCAGAAATTCACTGGAATCCACTAAACAAGACTAGGCACCCTTACAGACACATTGCTTTGAACAATTTAATATTGTGGTCTTAACTAAACGTCAATTTTATGTTTTTCAGTAGTTTCAAGTAAATTTGGCAAGGATTTCCTGAAAATATCTTAATTAAAGAACACATTTTTGCTTAGTAGGAAATAGCTTTCAAAATAAAATACCATTTATTGGTTCAGTTTTTCATCTTTTTTTTTTTAATTGACTGGAAAGAAGGCAAGATTTATAAATAAAAAATTAAATTGATTTTAGTATGGTATAAAAAAAAAGCTTACATACCTCACTTCAATGAATCTAGCTCATACACTATAAATCGACTACAGTCGCGATATTTCTATTCAAATTTTACACTTAAGCTCTTGTAGCAAGCCACAAGTAGAACGGGTAAAGAGGGCTGGGGTCGACGCATGTATGACATGCAGATTACATATTCATAAACAACATCAAGTTGGCAAGTTGATCTAGCCACACGTATTAGTCATATATATAAATACATAATTATATCCAGCCACAGATAGTGGGAGTCAAACAAAAAAAAAATACTGGAGGATTGTAATATACAGAATAATAGCAAACAAAATGATTATGAAAATTATGTAAATAAAAAAGAATATATGTAATAAACGTAAACTGAAATTAATATTAATATTTCATACATTTGGAATATCCGATAATTTATTAATATTAAGCTTTAAGTAACTTATGTAACTTACAATGCGTGATTACGACATATACACTATGCACGCTTGCATAAACCAAAGTAAATGAAATGAGAATTTAAAAAAAAATATATATATTTATAAATGTGTGTAAGTATACACAAAAGTTATGGGGTTCAGTTGAATTTCCATTCAGAAACTGATGATGATGGGCGTTGTTATTGCTGTTGTGTGTTGTCTCTGTTGTTGTTATGTGCCATGCAAGTGGGAAAGGATTGATTCAATATCCTCAATCTGCACGCCGGCATCGTGCGGTTCCATTTGTTGCTCCTCGCTAGCGCTGTCTTTCAATGCCGTATTTCTGCATTCAAATAGAGAATTTGGAAATACAAAATTATCCATCAGAAAGAGAGAGAAAGAACATAACAACTTATACTTTTCGGGCTTGATATCTATATAATTTATGAAATGACTGATGCATTGAAAAAGACGTCACCGGCCCCATAAATCGAAGATATATTTTTTTAATCAGTATCACTAGCCTAGTCGATATAGCCATGTCAGTCGGTCCGTCTATGTGTCTGTATAATTTATTATTGTTCATATGAGGAAAACTGCCTTACTTATATAAAGCTATATTGGTGTAACTGACAAAATATGCGTGTTATTAAGTTGATCACAGCTGCTATAAGAACAATCGATCGAAAGATGAGTTTCAAGCTGTGGGATGGACTTTTTGATACAATACAATTACACAATTACATAATTAGTTCAAGGCCAGTCGTATAACAAAATTTTTCTTTGAAATGAACAAAAATTTTATAATATTTCGAGTTCCGAACAAAAACCAAATTAATACAAATTTAAAGCGTATCTGATACACATGGTTAATAGTACATAATATTGTATTCTCTTGATCAGAAAATTAGTTAAGCGTTGACTTACATGGCCACCACCTCCAAGTCGTTATTGTCGCGCTCCACACTCTGTGCACGTGTGGTCAGTGGCGTAGATGAGGCCATTGGCTTGTCTTTCTCCACATTTGGTTGATCTTGTTTAGCGCCGTTGTTGAATTGGATAATTCGTTTCTTGGGTATGTTCCGTATCGAAGTGACGCTGGCACATTCTTCCTCTGCACTTGGCAGCGACTGATGCAAGAGCTGCGGATGCGTGATGCGCACATTGTGAATTTCACTATCCACCATGATGCGCATTTGAAAGTTGTTAAAGTAGTCGGGCGACTGGCGGGGCACGGACTGTGCTGGCTTGCTGCCACTGTTGGCGTACGTAAAGTTATAGGTGTTGCCCACTTGATTGGCACTCCAACACATGTCCAGTTCGTATTCACCACTGGTGAATGAGGACGCGGCAGACGGCGGCTGGTGATCCGGCAATTGCTGCGTTGTGTGCGCCTCGGCGAGAGTGGTCAATGTTGGCCCGGCTGCCGATTCCAGGCGCGCTTCAGCGCGTTTTTTGGCTGGTTTCTTGGTGACTTTGGCAATGGTCGACGTTTTGGCAGGTTTCGTTGCCTCAATGCCGCTGGGCTGCGGCTCCTCTGGTGCGGGTGCTGCGCCAAACGAATGGGAATATATTCTATTGGCCATAATTGATCTAAAAATCAGTCCGCTTTTACTTACTCTTATTATCAATTAGTCGGGAGGAGCGACGCATGCAACCGCGTGGCGGCTCTGCATTAGTTGGTTTCCTGGGTCGACCACGTCGCTGTCCGGTTGTGGTTGATGGCACCGGTTGAGCGGCAATTTCCATTGCGACACGTGCTGCTGGCTGCTGCTGTTTCTTGGCGCTGAGATTTAGTGCAATAAGAAGCGCAGGATCGAGATCACTGCTAGAGGACGACGGCTGCTCTATGCTCGCCTTAAGTGCTTCACTCAACGATGGTTGGGTCGTCTTTACGGGTCTATGTGGAGCTGGAGATGGCAAGCTCTTCACTATTACTGCTCCTGCTTCTGGCACTGGTGCTGCTACTGGTCCTGCTGCTGGCACTGCTGCTGGCACTGCTGCTGGCACTGCTGCTGGCACTGCTGCTGGCACTGCTGCTGGCACTGCTGCTGGCACTGCTGCTGGCACTTCTGCTGGCACTGCTGCTGGTTTCCCTTGCAAAGCTTTAATAGGTGTTGTTGGCTGTGAGATTTGTTTCTTTTTGGGTGTTTTGTTTGGATGATTCGCCAGCTGGGCTGTCTTACGTATGACTGTAAGCTTCCTATTGGATTTCTTGGTTCGAGACTTGGGCGTTAGTTGGCTCTCCTGTTTACACTTGGCCTTGACGCGCTCGCGCACTTTGGCCAGATCCTGCATGCGCTGCTCCACGTCCTCAGTGCCCTGGTTGTGCAGCTTTTCGGCGGAGTTGCGGGTCAACAATGTTTTCTTGCAATTGGCTGGCGGAACGATTGCGCTACTGGTTTCTGCCCCCGCATCTTTGCTGGGTGTCAGCCAATTGCGCAACGGATAACGGACCTCGCCATCCTGGCTAACCAGCTGTGTCGGTTCACTTTCAATGGCCAATGGTGGCACATCCAGTGAGCCACCGGCAGCAGCAGCCTTTAGCCACTCCTCATCCTCGGTGCTGCTAATATCGGACAGATTTTCCATATCCAATAGCTTTATGCTTCTTGTCGGCAGTACTCCGCCACTCCGAGCCACCTGGCTCGACTGCGCCGAGGAGGATGCGGCGGATGTGTTGCTGCTGCTGGTGGCACTACTCGATGAGCTGAAACTGCTGGAGGTAGTTGTGGATGAGCTGCTCGTGCTGGAGCTGCTGTTTGAGTTCTCCACGACCACATCGGGCAGCCCGGATACGAGTTTATAGTGCGGTGTCTCCACCAATGGATGATCAGCATTGGCAGCCAGCGCCACGGCGCCCTCGGCACTATCCACTGCCTCGCAGCCAAAGGAGCGCACACGACGCAACACCGTCGGCTCCACGGGCAACCGCTCAGCATGCAACTCGATACAGGTGGCTGTGATGGTTGTAGTTGATATCTGCTCCACGATATGGTCTTCTTTAGGCGGACTTTCTGTTGGCTGCAGTGCGCACTGTGCATTCGTATCCATATGCTCGGCCTCATCTGGCCGATAATAGGAGCTGCATGAGGAGTGATCAGTTTTGGCGCCGCTGCTGTGCGGCGTGCCCAACGAGTGACCGAAGGGTGTTGTCAGGTGCACGCCCGGCGTTATGGCCATCAGCATGGGCGTGTCCAAAATGCTCTTAGTGTCGCTGCCAAACAGAAACGATGTCGATGGCAGCAGCAGCTGCGGGTAGGGCGTTTCCGGTGGGGGCATAAGTGTCGGTCCAGGCGTCGGCGGCACATCACCAGCTTCTGATGGCGTCAACTTCAGCGGCGTCTCCTGCAGCGACATCGGCATGCATCGGTCCATGCGATCTGCAGGATGTTCTCTAATATCTGGCCTTGAAGGCACTGCCTCCACATTCTGTTGCTGCTGTTCCTCCGTCTTCTGGTCTTGTTCCTTAATTTCCTCAGGTTTCTTAAGCTCCCCGACCACCTCAGTTTCCGTGGTATCCTTGGGGTGCCTCAACTCCTGACAGCTGACAGCCGCTGACTTTTTTGGTGTTAGTTTCTTCGGTGTTGTTATCTTTATATTGAACTCGCCCTCGGCGCTGTATGTCTGCTGGTGTTGCTGCTGCTGCTGTTCTTCGGACAACAGCTGCTTTCGCTTACTTTTCTTGGCGCGGAGTGGCGGTGATTTCAGTTTCTTTTGCTTGGGCGCCAGGGGCGTGAGGGTTTTCTTTTTACTGGCGGCAACAGGACGCATGCGACGCATTGACATGCTACTATTAAAGAGCTCCTCGCGCTTGGCGTTTATTGCGCGCAAGCGCTGATCGAGATCGGCGCTGGTGCCGTGGATTTGACGATGCCAGGCGGCCAACAGATCCCCTTTTTCGGAACTGGCGGGCATCTCGAGCTGCTCAATTTGCATCCTTTGATTCTCCTTGCTATCGTCCAGCGAAATGGTTGCGGATGTCACCGGCTTGGACTGTGTCTGCTTCGTTTGGTTGCTGTCGTTCTTTCCAGGATTGTTTTCGCTGCCCATTCTTACCGCCTTACTAGCTTTGGCCGCTGCCCGACGCTTCTGCTTGCGCTTGAGCGTAGCCACCATCGACGGTGTTTGTTTGGACTGTGTGGTGGTCTGCTTAGATGAGGCAGTGACTGCCTTGATCACCGTCTGATTGCTGCTCTCCTCCATGACAAAAAGCGGGGGCACGCAGCTGTTACTGTCATTGCCGCTCCCATCGGCGGCCCCTGCAGGTGTTGCTATTTGTGGACCGGATGCGGTTTCAGCGCCTGGACTGCTGGCAACAGCACTTGGCAGTATCTCTACATTATTGATAATAATTGGTTTCTCCGGTTGTACGTCGATTTGTGTCTTTTGCTCAGCGTGCTTTTCCTTAAGTGTATTCAACTGCACTCGCCGCGACAGGTGCTGCATACGTCGAGTGGACACGGGAGTGATATGTGTGTTGTGTGTGGCTGCCACCTTGGGTGAGAAGTTTAGCGTGCGAACGTGGGATGCCCGCTTGCGTGGCGTCGACAGGCTGCGAAATGCCTTAACGTTGACAATACCAGACGTGGAGGGCGTCACACGCTCCAGCACCAGACGTGATGAGTCCAATGAGGCGGGCACTTTACTCTCTGTTATGGCTGTCACTGGGTTTGTTTGGTGCTCCGCAATGAGTTGCGGTGGTGGCTCGATTAGAGATGCATCCAAAGCTGTTGGCGACTGTTTGACGGCGCTGTTGATTATTATCGAATTGGGCGGCAGCTGATTGGCGGTAACTATGATGGGCTCCGGCAAGGGTATCTCAATGTGAGAGACATTCGGGTTGGTGAACACATCGGAACGCAGCTGTTGCGCCAACCACTCATTTTTAACCAGAAATGGTAAGTGCGATATCATCCCCTCGTTGGAGAACAACATGGGAAAAGTTAGTTGGCCGTTAGTGGCGTCCACGCACACCTGGCCACCGCGTCCAGCAGTAGCATCAAAATCTGGCAGAGCTGAGCCGCCATCAACTCCAAAATTTAAGAGATTATCAATGCCAAAGCTTAAATTTCCAGACTGTGGATGGTGCTTCTGTGCACTCTCATTGGAGTTAAGCACTATGAGCTTGGATATACTGAAATTTGGATCAATAAGATTGTTTATGGTGCTGTTTGCATTCAGCTGTATAACAGCGTTGGCATTTCCTCCATTCGACACTTTGCTGTCTGCGCCGAGCACAGCATTGGCAGAGGCGATTGCGGAACGAATGATAAGCGGCGTCTGTGGCTGTGGCTCCGTTGCAACTTGTGATGGCACTGGTTCCACTGGTGCCGCTTCCATTCCAACAACTTCCTGAATGATACGATCAAATGATGGATCCTTTTCAATGGCCTCCAAAATATTTCGCACCAGACCATCGAGTACTGCCTCCGAATTCACCGACTCTACCGTTGGTGCGTGCACCGTTAGCGATTGCAGCGCTACGTTGATGTTATTGAGCAGCTTTGCTTGAAAGTCTTCATTGGTCATAATGACCTGCGTTAATTCCTGTAAATATGTTTGCTTACGTTAGACAACTTGCCAGGACAGACACAACACAATATTATAACAACTATCAGGTTTTCTGCAGATTGCAAAACGAATGATCTTAAAACTGAGACCATATATTGATATATACGCAAATATACCAAATTGGATTCTGGACACACAATATGCACTAAATGCGGTACTGAGCCCGTAAACACTTCAAGGAATTTGTGACATTGCGCACTATGTGTGTAAAGGTGGAACGTATTCATCCATTCATGCTTACTGGCATTGTCTGCGGCACTGGCATTATCACTTCGGGTTTATCGCTCTTGGCGGCGCGAGGAGTGGAATTGTTTTTGGGTCCATGCCCACGAAACGTGAGCCCCTCATCCGTATGGCTGCTGGTGATATCGGTGCCAGTGGTGCTGCTGCTGTTCAGCGACTCGCTATCCTCCACCGGGTCGCTGACATTGCGAGAGCTAAGCTCGACACTGCAACACAAATGGGGGGCGAGCACACGCATACGTTTGCAACTAATCTGCTCCGGTGACGAGCTTAGATGCTCGTCCTCCGACATTGTGTTATCGCGACTGTAAAAAAATCAAATCCAATCAAAACTAATTTAAAAGAGAGCTGCACTTGACTTGACAACAACTTACGTGCGTCGCCTCTTGCGCTGCGTATTTGAATTAGCATTTCGCTGGCAGGCAGTGTCTCTACTACCGGCTGTGGACGACGTGGACTTATCCAGCTTTAGCAGCACGGCAATGCGTTCCGACAACTTGAGCTGCTGCAGACGATGCCGTGAGCTTATCGGCAATTTCTGCATCGTATTGGCCACTGCAATGTTTGCAATACGGTTGAGTTAAGTGGAATTTGTTGTGGCTTCGCTTGCTTACCGATGCTTGTGACTTTGACATGCTCGCGTATGATATCCTCCAGGCCACCATTGAGAAAGTTGTGCGGCTGCAGTCCCTGGCACAGGGCGACGAACTCCTGTTTCAGATGCGTTGATGTGCGACAAAACGTTAGCGCCGCATGCCTCAGATCATTATTTAATAAATAGCCTAATAGATGCCGAAATTGTCAAGCGCAATTTATGAAATGTCGATCGATCAGACCAGCGTCTGCAAGAGACCCAGACTACTTACCTAAAATTAGACGCGCTATGTCCGAATGCAGTACAATGGATTTCATTCTGCTCGCTTATTGCGTACTGTGGTTAGTTGTTTATTCGATTGCAAATTGCATACACAACTATCGCACATATTTACAGAACAAAACAAAAAGTAAGGCTTGTTTGTATCTTATTTTATTTATTTACTTTTTCTTTGTGTCTTCTTTTTATTGCTTTTGCGTCTGTTGGGTTTTCGCCGCTGGCGATAGTGTTGATCAAACTTTATAGGCGTTTACAATTTGTATGTATTTATGTATGTATTTGACAATGTATACAATCCGGTAAATCGTATTTACGCGTGACCGTAAGTAAGTAAGCTTAACTCCACCCGGCATTTGCTTACGATGTTTGTAATTGTTCCGATTTCCCTTGCACACTGTACATATCTAAGCAATAGCATCTGTTTGCCGCCAAAATGTGAAGCAGTAGAGCTGCATTGCAACATTTACCATCTGCTATGTTTGCACCTATCGGACGAAATCTTTAAGCGACTCGTATTAGTCTCATATGATTGAGCGTAGTCTACCATTATGGGTCTTAATAAATACATTTATGTGAAAGCTGTAAGCCAAGATGACATTAAGATAAGTTTCTTTTCTTTATTTTGTAACAATTACGTTCTATTTCATTTCGAAGACCGACCAAATTCTGTGAAAGCCAACACGATATATTCGAGTTCCTTATCGATAGTTCTATAAAATCCGATGAGTGGCATAATATTAATTGGTCTGGCAACGCTGTCATCATAGTTCACTTTTGTTTAAAAGGGATTTGTTCTGGCAAATGGCTGCTGAAAAAAATGATGGCCTAGAGCCTGCCAATCATGATGCAGCTAACACTGGAAATGATCAGCCTGTAGGGGCTGTCGCTAGCACGGAGGCGACAACGGCTTTATTGCCAGCAAAAAATGATACTGCAGGACGCAAGCGCAAGCGGCACCTATTGAATTCCATACGCGCACAGATGGAATTCTACTTTGGTGATGCGAATCTAAGCAAGGACCGCTTTCTGCGTCGCTATGTGGAGCAAGATCCATGTAAGTAGATAATGCACTTTTGCTTACGCTTTAATAATGTCTGTTGTTCTTATTATTGCCGATTGAAGACGTTCCACTGGACATATTTCTGACGTTCAACAAAATCAAGACACTCACACAGGATGTTCAGCAAATATCGACATCGCTGTCCAATTCACAGCTGCTGGAGTTGGATGAGAGTGGCCTAAAGGTGCGTCGTAAGACTGAGTTGCCGAAACAACGAGACGTCAACGATAAGACGCTGTATGTCGAGGCGCTGCCAGCGACGGCAACACACGATTGGCTCAAGGAGGTGTTCAGTCGCTATGGACCGGTTTCGTATGTGTCACTGCCGCACTACCCGGGCACGCGAAAAATCAAGGAGTTTGCCTTTATTGAGTTTGAGAAGAGCGGTTCCGTGGAGAAAGCCATTAAGGCATTTGCCCAAGTTCAGGGTGTTCTATCGGTGGAGCACACAGATCCCGCCGACTTGGCGAGCATACGCTCGTTTCAGCAGCAACCGCAGATGACAAGCAGCAGTACGGATGTGGGAACAGAATCAAATGTTCGTATCAAACAGGCAATCAAACGCGAAAGCGACAAGGATGCTTTGCAGGAGACCGTTGCTGCTAAGCGCATAAAGCTTGAGCCGCTGCAGGAGCCAAGCGAGGCATCTGGCGTCGAGACTACCGACGCAGAGACCTCACAGCAAAGCGACACGGACAACAAGAAGGACGACAATAGCAAAGCGGAGGGGACCAAAGAGAAGAAGCGTCGTCGCAAGCAAAAGAAGCGTATTATGGCGGACAAACTGAAACCGAACATAACACCCAACGCCATGGAGCTCAAGATACTGCCCAAGAGCAGCTGGTGCAGTCTGCGCAACAAATATCTCAATCTGCAGCGGCGCATGATCAGTGAGGCAAAGAGCAAACTGTGGCGCAGTTCTCAGGCTAAGCAACCGTCACAGAAGTGCACAGCGATGCAGCACCAGCAACTGCAGGCACAACAGCAGCAGCTAGTCGAGTCCAAGGGCAGCTGCAACAGCGGCACCAGCAGTGGCCACGAAGACCCTGAGCCACTCAGCGATGCGGGAGAAGCGGCAGAGGTGCCAGTGCCATCCAAGCGTCGCAAGCGCAACAAAAATGCTGGCGTACACAAAATGAATATGAATTTTTATGGCGCCGGCGGCAGCGAGGCAGACGATAGCAAAATGACGGGCAAGGCCGAAGATGCGGCACAGGAGCGATCGCCACTCTTCAAATACGAACCGGGCTTAATTGTTGAGTGCACTCTGCAGGAGCCCTGCGTCAATGTGAAGGACTTCAAGACGGACATGCGTCAGTATACGGACATCAAGTACGTTGACATTAAAGAGGGCGACCAAGTGGCGCATTTGCGTCTGGTCACGCCCACCGCCGCCGAGGATTTGGCGCGCCAACTAAGCTGCGCCGAAATGCAGTTCAAAGTGCTGCGCGGCCAGTCAGAATCGCAATATTGGCGCAAAATCGAGGAGGATCGCGAAGCCAAGCTGTCGAAGAAGGTGCGTGTGCAACAGAAGCGCGGACGTGAAAAGGTGGCCAAACTTTTAGCCAAACACATCAAGTTCGATGATGCCGACGATGAGACATTGATTGTTTCTGGTGGCGCCAACGTCAACGATCCGGTTTCTAGCGTCATCATCTCAACGGACATCTAGCCTAAGCACATCCAAGCAACGAGCTTCAAAGATCGATTTTCTCTGCAGTGGCAGCGGGTGGGCAAAATGGACAAATGAAAAGGTGTATTTACCATGTAAAACATCATGTGATGTGAATCATAAATATAATAGCGTTAAGCAAATATATAAATATATATTTAAAAAACAGTTTAATAAAACATTGCTTCGAAACGCAGAAACAAATCCTGTGAAAGTGTGTTTGGAGAGGCACTTGATAAAAGTTGCCTCAACTGGCAGACGAATTTGATGACTGTTGTCATCCCGATCTCTTGGCAATTACAAGCTTAGGCTTGAATAAATACATATTGTTATAACTTGGTATATGGGAATATCCAGTACGTTGTACATTGCTGGTGACCTCCTTCCTTCATAAGTCGTCACAAAAATACATATATGTATACATTCGGAATAGGTCAACAAGTTATTCAAATTAAGATGACGCGGTTGGGTTTTTACCGAGATTGGTTATACAAGGCGATTTTCTTTTTTATTATCCAATAAGACATGCTGAACACAATGTTACCTCCCTGTTCTTATTTCTAACATGCGTATGTACAATTTTTGAACCCAGTATCTTAACCAGATATTTCAAAAATATTATACTTAATTGTTTCTTATCTAGGTGAATAACAACATATGAACATGTGTTTCGTACATTGACTTAGGAATATTTTTCTAATGGTTAACTTAAGACTTAATTTTCAGCTTTACATCATTTTTTATAAATTCCACATTTTACTCTCTTTTACTCTTATTCCTCCGATGAGTTTCTCGTCAGTTAGCTCAGTAATGAAGCATTATACAAAATGTTTAATGCGCAAAATTATGAAACGCATCCTGATCAATACACATGGACACAACAATCCGAATGGATCTAAATGTAGAGTGAGCCATCGGCGGGGCCCAAGTAGTGCATAGATATAAGGAGCACATCGATGATGGTCCAGACACCAAGGCCACCAAAACTGAATAGTTTGCCAATGCCTTCCTGCCAGTGGCCCAAGTAGAAGCGATCGGCGCCAAAGCCTCCCAAAGTCAGACTGATCAGTAGTGCCGTGATCCAGCGGTATCCTTGCGTCCAGTTGCAGCGCAAATTTCGCGTAAACGAACGACTGCCCAGGCACAGCACATCCTGATGCACCGTGCAGTTGGTGCGATAATACTTATCCGCAGCTGAATTGCAATTGGCGTGCTGCTCACAGTTCTGCTGCCACTTCTCCGTTTGGTAGCAATAGCGACAGTTCATTTGCCGCTGGAACGAGCGCTCGCCCTGACACTGCACATTGCTAACAGCCTCGCAGGTGATGTTCACATCGCGACCGTACAGGCAATTGAAATTATAAGTGCAACGTATGCATGGGAACTGCAGCCGTTCGCATTGCGTTTCCTTGTCCTGGGGGCACAGCATGTTCGTGGTGCTATTGCTATTGTTGTTATTATTGTTGTTATTGCTGCTGTCGATAGCAGATGATGATTTGCTAGCCATGTTGGCCAGCGCAGGTACGAAGACTTCATTGTCGTTATTATTGTTGTTGCCAGCATTGCTGTTGTCCTTCCGTTGATCACTCTTTACATCCGTTAGATCCATTTGATTGCCCCCACTGGCTGTTTCACTATTTCTTATGCCGGTAAGCACGAATACGATAATTAGCACTATCGCTGAACGCATATTGACGACAATGCATTCTCGCTGCTGTCCCATATTTGGTGGAAGCGAATCTTTCTTTGCCACAGTTTCTCAGCTGATGAAGTTGTTTTGGTCGTGGTAACTAGCAATCATTTACCGATTACCCATATTTTCGATATCATACGATTACTTTTGTATTGCTTTGTATCATATCGATATAATATCGTTAGAAATATACGGAAATACTGGCAACATCTGACCAACTGTTGTTGCCACTATTTGTTTACTAAATACATAAATGGGTAAGGGCATTGATAATCCAAATTGATGCATTGTATTATAACCACGGTTCCTACTTGAAAAATTAGAATGTCTACAGGAGACTTAGGTGTAAACGTGCGCCTGCACAAACTGGGTTCAAAATTCGATGGCGAATTTCCCCACTTTAGCCGGCCCGACCCAATTGGCTTTTACAGCGTCGATGAGGCAGGCGAGTTTCAGGACAATGCCAGCAATCTGACCTACCTACGCCTGCCACACATAAGCTCTCTGCCATTGGACCTCAATGCTGGCATTGAAAAGGTGCAGCGCAAGCGCATTGATTCAGATTACCGCGACATTTTCCAGCTTTGCCAGTATATCTATAACCATCAGGAGCTATTGCGGAAATCGTCTACTGGTTGCCTGGTGTTATCTGCCGACTTCGTTACCTTGCGCGGCATTCTGCGCCAGATTATGTGCACACCATACGAAATAAACGGCGACTATCGGCTAATGGCCACACGATTGAACGGCACCATTTACATATCCAAGATGCAAACCGACGAGCACATCAAACGGGAGCAGTTGAGCAGGAAGATGAAGAACATGTGCTCTTGGGGCTTCAAGTTTGAGCAGTACTGTTCAACATCTAATCCCGCAGTCGCGCCCGATACAAACGAGCCAGTTAATGAAGCCAAGGAGTTCGCATGCATTTTCCGTAGCAAATTAAACGGATTACGCCTGATGTACTGCGCTGAAATGGATTGCATTAAGAGCGACGTTCAGATGTACGCTCCAAAAACAAGCACGAACAATCTGTTTGCTACATATACACATCCATGTATAACTAAATCAAATTGTCTAACTTGCAGGAACTTGAGCGACCCAAAACAATTGCGAGCTGCCGAGTTTATCGAGCTGAAGACAACAACGAACAAAATGAATGGTTACTGTCGAAGCTTATTCAACAACTACAAGTCATGCAATTGGTGGAGCCAGTCATTTCTAGTTGGCATTGCTACAATTATTGCAGGCAAGCGCGACAACAAGGGGCTGACCCATGTCATCCAAGAATATAGCGTGGGCGAATTGCATCGGAATAAGCCATGGAGCGCAGCTGCGATGACCATATTCCTCTCCGACTTTCTACATGCACTCAAGACGTTAATGGAGCACATTGACGATCCGCACGCTGTTCTCATGCTGGAATATAAAGATAATCAGAAAAAAGTTATGTACACGGTGATAGAAGACGAGCCATTATTACCCGAGTGGTATCGCCAACTGATGCACGGAAAGAAATAGACCTAAGCGAGGTTTTCTTTAGTATAATTGCAGTGTAAAAGAGTAGATATATATATGTATACTGACGTAATTCTTATATTTCTTATGCTTTAATTACAATTGGGTTGCTCATTTCAGATCGCTGGTTTCCAGCAGTGGTACAATTGTGTCTGTTGTCGCTTTTGCCGCATACAGCGGTATTTCTGGGATGGTGGACTGTGAGCTAGTTGGTCGTCGTCTATCGATGATATTAGTACCCATTACATGGTGGGTGCTGGGTACGCCGTTGCTTTCACGTTTCTCGATGACACAGTCAAGGAAGCGTGACAGCTTAACCGCATCGGTGGTACCAGCAGCCAAGCTGCGTGTGTTTCGACAATTCAGCCAGATCTCCTCGGCGCCACATTTGTCAGCTGCAAGCCAAAAACCACTTAGACATATCACAAATGGACAGCAACAGCAGCAATGCGGTGCAGATAATGATACTAACCTATACCGCCGGCCTTTTTCACAGCTGTTTTGGGTTGACGCTTTTCATCGATCAAATCTAACTTGGTGCCCATTACCAGTATGGGTATTTGGGTGGAGCCCAAAAATTCCTCGAGATCGAATCGCATATGGGCATCCGATGGATAGTTGGGCTGTGGCGAGGGCGGTAGGGAGGTGCACCGGCATTTGTACGTATCCTTGCCATCCTTGTTGACAATCTCATAGAGCCAGTCCAGCAGCTGCTCCTGCGACTTGCCGTTGGTTAGATCGTGTACCAAAATAACGCCATGAATGCCACTGTAGAAGACGCTGCGCGTGTTCTTGTGACTCAGCGAGCCACCAATATCGAACAGCTCAATAAAATAGGGGCACTGACGAGCGGTACCCTCTTTGAACTCGTGAATCTTCACCTGTATATTGCAGCCCACTGTCCAGCCCGGCCGTGTCAGCGATTCATTGTGGGCAATTAGGTGCGTTAAACAGGTTTTGCCCACACCTACACGAAATTACTTAGCATTTAACAGATGTTATAATTTCATCGATGCACTTATAGTAAATTACCCGAATCGCCAACTACAACAATTCGTACACGATTATTCATTCCAAGCCGTCGTGGCATCAGACAAGCGCCACAAGCAACTATTATTATTGCATTGCGTTTTATTTTGACAGTTTTTAGCAGTGTTCCCAATTTCGATATTTTCGCCTAGGATTTGGCGATTCTTATCGAAGAAAATATTGAAAAAGTATTTTTTTTTTTCAAAAACTCAACGGGAAAAACAATTTTTTTTGCTGGCACCGGTCGTCACCGTACTGATATCGTTTCCTTATATAATTTATTTTACAGTTAATTACTTTTCTTAGCACTTTTAATACAAGTATTCAGTTACTTGTGATAATCGATTGCTGGTCGCACATTCCTAAGAAGTCTTAAATATCGACTAAGCGGTACTTATCGATAATATATTTTGATAAATTATTGCAACAAGTTGTTGTGCCGCCCTGTCAATTGGTCGCTCAGTTTATAAATTTACACTGACGCTGTATGTGGGTACTTAGTACTCGGGCATACGTGAAACTAAAAGTAATTAAAAATACATACGCTTAAGTCGGACAATAGAAACAGCTTCCGATTTTTTTTTAAGTTTTTCAGTTGCCAACTATTTTAGGAGATTTTCCCAATAAATTATAAGCGAAGAATGTGCAGTTAACTTAAAGAATTTGTATTTCTGGCATTTTATAGATAATACATATACACATACTATATACTTATCTTTGAATACTGAAAATAAACATGCATACGTATGTGTGTGTATGTATGTACGTGTTCGTGTAAGACGTTGTGCTGCAATTTAAACTTTCATTTGTTTCTTCCACGATTGATAATATGCATATACATGTATAAATATATATACATATAAATATATATACATGTATATGCATATTATATATATAAATATATATATATATATATATACATAAATATATGTGCGAGTGTGTATCTTCGTGTGTGGGTGTGTGTATGTGCATGCAACATGCAAACATCTGTTGATTCGCGACCTTGCATAAAGGGAGAAGTTGATCAGAAGTGAATATATAAGAATCAAATACAATTGCCAAGACTCAAACCGTTTGATAAAGTTCGTGTGTATATTGGGCATGACATATGAGTATACCGTCAGCTATGAAATCGCTTAAGAATGTATGCTGGCTGTAAGATGAATGACTCAGCAGAGAGTGCTGCTGACTACAAGTGAACTACATTCACACCTACATACAGTTTCAACATTCTTGCCAGAATAATCATCTTAAATTCTTAGAATCAATGCATTCAGTTTACAATGAGTAATTAAGCAGATTTAAATTGTACCGTGGCCTTATGCTTTCCACTCATCATATATATGTACTCATATACTTAATCAAGCCGACAAATAGACGAACTCTTCGTCGACAACGTGGCCACGGAGCGTGACTCATCCGTCATTCGTCGTAATCCAGACTCGTAGGGAAATAGACAGTAGGCGCTGCGAAACTGTGTGATATACATATGTATGTATATTTACACAAACGCACACACACATTTATACGCACACTCGCATACACACACATCTTAAGGTATAGTAGTTTGTAGCGAGTTGAAGCTAATTACTTTAATATGTACAGCTCGTATTAAAAGTTGCGCTCTGCGAATGACTACGAATATTATGGTCTGTTAAATGTAACCCAAAATTGCTGTTGTCTGTTGTTGTTTGTGTACAATGGGTGTGACACCTAGGTAAACAAACACGCTCAAGCGTCACTAGAAATTTGCTCGATATATATTTTCATATTTAGATACTTACGTATATATGTGTATGCATATGTGTCTTCAGTTAACTTTCCAAGCGCTTAACCTAATCAATTCCGGTTAGACGAATTTGGCCAGTTAAAGGGATAGCTCTGCGGTGACAACGTCGCCGACATCGGACACATTTTTATTATTTACTTCGAAGATTTATCAGTTACTTATTTGAATTACTTTACTTACTTTATTTTAATTACATCAAAGTTCAAGTGGGCGATAATAACACAATGTACATATTATCTAACGGTTGATTAATTAGTTTATTAAAAAAATAATAATATATATATATATATATATAGCAATTATATATGCAAATACCTAACACGAAACATATTGTGTATATTTATCATCTTGTCTGTTAGCATTAAGAATGCGTTTTGTTTAAATATTATTTAATACATTTATTTCCACATACATATGCAGTGATAAAGTTATGTCAATTATTAACTTCATATAATAGCTTCTGCATTTTCTTTCTTTCAGTATTGAATCTCAAAGGAATATCCTAACCCAGTAATCTCATTTATAAAACAAAACTACAACATGTATCCATACGTAAGTAAAACATTACAACTGATTAAATAATTTAAATTTCATTTTTACAATCAGTTATGATCATTTTTGATATTTTGCATGCAAACAAAATCTCTTTTCAACCTTAATTTAATATAATTGAACACAAAAGATCGCTTTACGATAGTTGTAATTCTTAATACTTCTTAATATTATGTGAAGCAAATATTTTGTAAACTATGCAAGAACAAAAACCTGAAAGAACACGTTGAATATTACATATCCTCCCAGATTGGAGTCCGTCAGGTCGTATTCACATAAATTGATCTATTTATTGTGGACTTAAAACAGTCCAAGTTTTTAATAAATAATAATTTTAAATAAAATTTACGAAATAAAATAAAAAATGAAAACCAAAAGGAAGAAATTTAATTCAAAATGAATAATAAAAATGTGTAAGTAAAATGAACTATATAATAAATAAATATGTAGGTAATAAAATGTAAAATAGTCAAAGTTTTCTGGGCTTCCTGAGTTTCCTAGTCATCTTTCTTCCAAGTTTGGTAACAGTAGCCCTTAAACTGTGGGAGGTAAAGGCTTTTTATCTTTTTTGGTTGGCGGAAGTGGGTGTGGTCCAAAATTTTTTTTCTGGTTTTTTGAAGGGTATTGCTAGCAATATTCTTTTCAAATTTTGTGATTCTAGCTTTCCAATTGTGAGATATATTGTTTTATCGATTTACACAAACAGGTGTATCGGTTTGGGGAAGCGATCAAAATGTGGTGACTCTAGCTTACAAATTGTTGAAGAAATGTGCATTTAAGATTTCTAGATCTAAAAACGCATATGCCAATCTTTGAATGAGGTTATCAGCAAGTTGCTTGCTGTTTGACATCCGCCACTATGATTACAAAAGCTGTCATTTGTAGCTTATCGTGTTCCCAAGAAACGTTCGCAGGCTTTGATAAATTCTCAATATTATAATAGTTTCTTATTAAAAAAAAACACACACACCTTTTGCTCATTTGTTTAATACATTTACACTATTTTCGGTATGTATGTTCATACATATTATTGATTTCGTATTAAAGTTGATTTTTTGAGCCTCTATAAAACAGAACGGCCTTTATAAGTTTTTTCAATCATGAAGCATATAAATAATGACGTTGTTGCGTAACTGTTGTTGTTGTCATTGTTGACTAGGATCACTGGTTTGATTGCTTCGCTAAGTGTTCAACTATGTTCAGTAGTCTAATCGAAGCACCATGTATGTGTATTTTGACTTTTATAGGGTTCTGGAATGCCACACTCATCACAACCCCCAACAAATGAGCAAGCTAAAGTGCCGTTTGGCATTGGTTTTGTCACTGCACCGATACACAGCGCCGCACCACCGCCTAACCAACCACAGCACTTCCAACAATATCCAAATCAGCATGGTGGCGCACCATATCCTATGCATTCGCCATACCCTAACACATCAGCGCCATACCCTGTAAATGTGTCTTCGCCACCATATCCAACCAATAATGCACCGCATGTGGCTCCCCAACAGGGCGTTTCATACCAACAGCATGTGTACAGTCAAAGCCATTCTAATCAGCATCCAATAGCACATAATGCGAATGCTTCATATCCGGTTAATACAGGTGGATACACACCAGCCATGACATATCAGGCTTCTAATCGCCATGAACAGGGATATGGCTTTGGCCAGGGTCACGCTTATGGGCATGGGCAGGTGTATGGTCATGAGCAGGTGCAGCTGTCACCCAATCAAATCTTTACGTTGAACAAAGAGGTTTGTCATCGACTTGTCTATAACTCAATGTCCCAATTCTCGTTGATCGTGGTAATGCAATGCATACTTCATAGATAGTAACAAAATTCTTACAAAACTAGTATAGCCCTGAGCTATGTTGGGCAAAGCAAAGGAAGAATCAAAAAGAATTACGGACAACTTGTTTATTGCGTGCTCAGCGTACTTATATTAATGCCCATATATGAGAAATGTAAATATTTATTATCTTGTTTTTGTTTCTTATATATTTTTTTTAGGGCACTCCCACTTTATTCCCGGCTCAAGGATTTGATCCGGTAAAGGACGCTCATGACTTGCGCAAAGCAATGAAAGGTTTCGGCACCGACGAGGATAAACTCATTGAGATCATCTGCCGTCGCAACAATGAACAGCGCCAGGAAATCCAACGTCAGTACAAAACCCATTTTGGCAAGGATCTTATTGAGGATATAAAATCGGAGACGAGTGGAAATTTCGAGAAACTGCTGGTTGGTCTTCTTCGTCCAATTGTCGATTACTACTGTGCCGAATTGAATGACGCCATGGCTGGCATTGGCACCGACGAGGAGGTGCTCATTGAAATTCTATGCACACTATCCAATGTCGAAATTCATACAATCAAAAATCAATATTTGCGTCGTAAGTTTCACTTGATATGCGCACTTCATAAACAATATATATATATATAACAACATTTCTTTAGTATACGGTGCCCATTTGGAGTCCGAGCTTACATCGGAGACATCCGGCAATTTTAAGCGTCTGCTCATTTCACTATGCACTGCTGCGAGGGACGAAAGCGGCCGTGCCGATCCCAACCAGGCCAAAGAAGATGCCAGGGAGCTACTGAAGGCTGGCGAGCTACGCGTCGGCACCGATGAGAGCATGTTCAATATGATACTTTGTCAGAGAAATTATCAGCAATTAAAACTTGTAAGTTAAGCAACTTTACTTCATATGCAAATGTATATGTATATATTTATTAATTATTTATATGATAGATATTCCAAGAGTATGCGGACATGACTGGCCATTCACTGGAGAAAGCCATCAAAAAGGAATTCTCTGGCGATATTATGGAAGGTCTAATTGCTATCTTCAAGTGTGTCACAAACAAAGCCGATTACTTCGCTTCACGCTTGCACAAATCCATGGCTGGCATTGGCACCAACGACAAGCAATTGATTCGCGTAATCATCACACGATGCGAGGTAAGTAAAGATCAAAGAATTGACCGACTACGAATATTTTAAACTGTATGTGTTTCTATTTTCCTTACAGATTGATTTGGCAGACATTAAGGTGGCCTTCGAGCGTTTGTATGGTAAATCGTTAAAGAGCTGGATCAAGGTTAGCACATGCAAACATTAATATATTGAAATATATCAAAATTATTAAAACAATTCATATTTTATGCAGGGCGACACATCTGGTCATTACAAACACGCTCTGTATGCGCTGGTGGGAGAACAACGCTCATCTTAAACTTAAAATAACTGTTTTACATTTTATGTATCCTACTTCTTATATTTTTTAAAATTTCTATATTTATATATGCATATACGTATGTATATGTACTTTGACTACGAAGTAATTATTTTTATTTAAATTAGCAAAAAGAATATTCAATTCTTCAATATTTTATGGTATAATTGTTTATTAAAACATCCCAACGCAAAAAAACTATGTAACATCATTATCTGTGCCTCAAAAGAAACCCTACAACTTGTGGAATTGCATTTATGTTAAAGACGAAATTAAATATAAAAACATTGTTTGACCATTTATGTGTATTGAAACATGGAATTTATAAATCTCTCTTTTGTAATGTCAATTTAAATGACTTAAATTTTTGTTGCTTGTCTTCGTATGCATTACCTAGCTTATACAGTTTGTATTTTAAATATATATATATATATGTATTTGTATTTTTGTATTTTATTAAAGGCGCATTATCAGTAAATGAATGCCGTTTTCTTTTTGTATACATATATAGATAGATGTCTTGTGAATGCACGAATGCGTATGTTTCTGTGGAAATTCACATTGTTTAATTCTTCGGGTCAATGAAATATTGAAATTACATATATATTATTGTAACACGACCTTAACGAACTTTCCACAGTTAAATCAGGATTGAAGCATTAAGCTGTATAAATTCGACAAAAACTTCTATTGCTTAGCTGCCTATCAGCTACTTAGCTTTTGGCTAGTATCTGAACAATAGGTGAATTGCATCACTTCAAGACTCGCACCTCGACAAACAGTGAGTCGTTGCGTAGATAGTTGCGACTGGTTATAACTTTGTGCGGTATATGGAAATATTGATTGCTTTGTATGTAATCATCGCTTTTCTTACGCACAAAGATCGTTTTCACATAATCCTGTACCTCTAGGGCGCCACTCTGATCGCGTATTATGATTTCGGCCTGCAGGCGACATGGCCAAGTCAGAAGTGGATCATATTCGCCAGATAGCACATTCAGACATGCAATCAAGTTACGACCCTTCCAGGTGCCCTTGCCATTCAGATATATGTCCAGCTGCAATTAATACATACATTTTAATTTGTAATTAGCTTGATTCTAAATTTTGGAACTTACGCGCAGCGCATAACCAAAAGCCTTGTTTGAGAACATGGCACTATGCAAGATTGTATCGTATTGTTTTGCCTCCTCCAATTTCTTAGAGTAGTCCTTGATGCGCCAAATTAAGTGACCTGAAATTGAACCACAATATTGGGAAGTACTTTATGTATATCTATATATATATATATATATATATATATATGGTGAGGTTGATCGTCGAAGGAAAATCGCAAATAGAAGACTTAAGTGTAGATAAGCTCTTTAAAACCTTGGGAGACTTTTTTTTTTTAAATATAATTATGAAAATAAGAATCTAATATTATGTCTGCATATTATAATAATTGTCAGAAATCTAAATTTGTCATCTGAACTTTACAAAGATGGTTTAGAGTACCCTCACAAGGTCAAAAATCTGTTTTGTTTCAATTAATCCGAGTCCAAAATTATATGTGTTTATGCATATGTTTTATTTAATCGCTAAGTGATAGAAAACAACTCAAAAATCCAAATTCATAGTAGCTTCGTGTCAAATATGAGCAATGTGCAGTTTCGATAAGACAGCCATAACTTTGTCATAATATCAAAACAATGCCTTTTGGCTTCTATATTTAAAAAGTTCTTAAGTTTTGATTGAAGAGAATATCGCGTAACGTAATGTGTATATATATATATGTATATATATTATAGATTTAGCTTACCTCTGATATTCTGAACACTGGCGATACGTTGTTGCATGGCCAGTTGGTTCTCAATATCCGAAATGCTTTGCATTGTTTGATGGAGCGCCTTGTCCAGATCTTGTACCATGTTGTGCAGCTTATCGCAGCGATCCTCAGTTTCGCAGATAATGCTCTTCACATTTTTAACTTCGTAATCCAAAGTTGCTTGCTTCGAGGGGCCAAAGTCGCTGGTACTCAACTTGGTTTTGATATCCTCATTGATTTCTTGCAGAAACTGTTCGATCTGTACAAATTTATCACTAAAATAAAAAGATTAACTACAAATGTTGGGCGTACTAGTATTGTATTTGCATTTACCGATTCGATCTTTCATTTTCGAAAACAATTTCCTCCAATTTGAGAATATTGTCATTCAGCTGGTTTTGATAGAAAGTCACCTCAGAGGACACTTGATTCATATGCTGCTGCACATCATTCATTTTCATTTCCACTTGCTCTTTCAAGGACTGCAATCCAAATACATTCGGCGTAAATACATATTCATCGACGTATCTCTCTAGATTAATGTATCAACTTACGTGTGTAATGTTGCTACAGTACTGAAAGTCCACTTGATTTTGTTCAGCGGCAAAGGAACGCTGTGCACCCTCATCCTGGAGCTGGCGACGCAGTTCCACAATGACTTCGTCTGTGTCCCGTGTCCAATCCTCGACCACTTGATTGTGTTTGCGTATGTTGCCCACATCCGTGATAAGGTGCAAACGCTGTCGGATTTCCTCGTTGAGCACTGAACGTATTGTGGCAATGTCCTGTTCGAGGACCTGCACACGATGATCCGCATGCTGATCCAATCGTTCCATGCTGACACTCAGACGCTGCATTTGTTGGTGCTTGCTGCGTGGACACTCCTTTAGATGGGATCGCATCCGGATTCGTGGTATGAACACATTACAACTATTCGGGCATTCTTCAAGCACCTGGCCACAGTGAATGAGGTGCTCCTGCATGTGATATAAAGATATGATAGGGATTCAGTTTAGATCTGCCAAAAATTCGTAATAATCGTAACGAACCGTAAAAGTTTGGGCGTCAAACCATTCATTGCAGAATAGACAGGAAGATTTCTCATATTTGACTATTGTTGTTGATTTCGGCTGATCGTCACCTATTTTGCCATTGAGTGACATTATTAAATGGTATCCGTAAAACCCTTCTATTCCGCGAAAATACGCAAAAATTGGCCGTTACGTGAACCGTCTCTAAACATACTAAATTCGGCCGAAAAAAAAAAAAATTATGATTAAGAATTGCTTTCGATATAGTCATACACTCACATACAGATAACCACATATACGGAATAAAAAATATCTACTCGTGCTTGTGTGTGTTGTGTGTGTGTGTGTGTGTGTGTGTGTGTGTGAGTGTATCTGCATTCGAATACGCAGCTATAGATATGAGTTTACACATGTGTGTGTTGCATCACTGACTCTGCCCGGGGGCGTCCCTGAACAGCCAAACTGCGTGGTCTTTATATGTGCATGTATGCATGTATGTGTGTATTTATATGTATGTGTGTATTCACAATATGTGTACTTCATTTGAAGAGAACCTCTAACCGGAGCGTGCTTTTGCACCGCTCTTCACGCACTACTTTACTCCAGATTAAATCAGCCAAGCATTTTGTCGCCGTCTCCAATTAGCTGGGAACAGGTACAACAGCAGAGACATACAAACACACAGTCCAAGAAAAGGCGAGATATCATTATCAATGGAAATAACTGTACAATCAAATATTTTGTATATTGCAACAGCAACAGTAATGCCACAATAAAGATAACATTTAAATTGGCGTGAGTCAATGCGAAATCTAACAACACTGCCAAAGTGCTCACATTTATTTTTAAATTATTCAGATTTATTGTCGAACATCAGCCCTTAATCAATTGTTCATCTTTGTTATTATTTAATTTTTGAACTTACCACTCTGCTGATGCTTCCGTAAATCGAGCCTAACCTAAATGTTGTCAAATGTTGCTTTTGCATGACAATTTCAGCACGATTTTCACAACTTTTCGTGCCGCCCTGCCACTATTTTTTAAATGGAACCAAAACTTCTTATCAGTTTGCGTTGACTTTGACAGAAATTCGAAGTAAACAAGAAGAGGAAGAACAGTTGTCATTTCATTTTCATTATTTATTAGCTTGACAAAATGGAAGGCTTTTTGCATTTGTTAACACAAACATTGGAAGGTTCAGAACTTAAATCCCCCCCCCCCACACCCCCTCTTTCTCACTCTCTCTCTAAATCTCTCTTTGTTTTCCAGAAATACATTTGTGAGCCACATCTGATCGACCACAATATACCCTAATATTTAATATACAACACTATTTAAGGAATGTGTATGCAAAATTACATGCATGTTTATATGTACACATGTAGATGTCCAGTACGCCCCTGATTAGCTCAGTGCGATACTCATATTTTTTAGCATCCATGTTAGGTGTTTTCATTATGTTTGTCAGCTTGTACTGAAACTCCCAAAAGTTGTGGTTAGGAAATAAATAAATGGTGCACAATGTTTAACAAACAACGTTTTTTCTTAAACAAAAAAAAAAAAAAGATTGCTATGTACATAGATACATACATACATACACTTGTAGATATAAGACAAAAATAAATAAATTAAACGTATAAAAAATATGGCCTAACACTAAGTATTATAAGTAGGTCGACTCAAATTTTTTGCGCATTTGAAGTTTTCGTTGCTTGCCCGGATATATGGTGAAACTCTTGATTTTCAAAGCTCTTATCAGCATTCGCACTGTATAATCGGGCAACAGACTGGCCACGACCGCCACGAAGATGTACAGCCAGACGGGCAGGGAACCCAGCAATTTGTTGTATGCCCAATAAATATCCGTATCGTAGTCTCTGTAAAACTCGATTATTAGATTTCAATCAATATTAAAATAACAATTGCATACAAAACTTACAAGTTGATCACGTTGTAGATGACGGTTGTTGCCATAAATGCAAGTATCGAAAATACTATGCTCGCAAGATACCAATAGGATAGGTACATCGACTCCAGCAAGATCTTCAGGTTAACTATGATGACCACAGTCCAGATGAGTAAGGTGCCAAAGCAAGAGAAGGCCGCCGTCTGGCCGCCATTCAATATGACATTGTTGAAGGAGAAGATGCAGAAGGCAAAATAGAAAATGATAACCGAATGATAAATCGCAAATAATGTCCACAGGAGGATGTGGGGCCAATGTAATTGTTTATTATCCGTATTTTTCTTATAGAGTTTCGGGTTCCTGGGTAAATGAAACGAAAGTAATCGTTAATATATATATAGGTAATGGGTTCTTAAAGTAGATCAGTATCTATTTTCCCAATCGATAAGAACCTGGCTTCGATTGAAAAGAAAGCTACAGTTTTTATGATATGCACACTCTTTCAATTTGGTGATTATATATCTAGTCATACTAGTTATAAACACACAAAAGTTGTTAAGGAATCAAGTCAAATATCAGTTTGCAAAAACAAAATGGTTACTTATATTATTTTTTTTTGTTATATATACAATGTATATATCGTTACAAGGCTATTGCAACTACTATAAGCCAATAATAATATATTTTTATTAATGCTAATTGGTACTCACTGCATTAGCACCTCCTCGGTGTAGGGTTTCTCGGATAGGGCAATGAATAGAATCGGCAGCGACGTGTATAATACATTGAAGAGAGTCAAAAATAGAGAGTCGTAGACGGACGATGAGGAGAAGAGCGCGTGGAATTGAAATAGAAACATAATGCCCATGAACACGATATTCTTGTAGAAGAAATAGAGCACCAGCAACGATATCCGCACACTATGATAATGGCCATGGACCAACAGCAGGCGCTTTAGCATGCAAAATTTGGCAAAGGCAAAGTCGGCGCAACGAGCCGCCTGGCGGCCCTCGCGTCCCATGATGCCGATGCCGACATGAGCTTCTTGGATCATGGACACATCGTTGGCACCATCGCCAATGGATGCGGTGTTGTAGTTCTCATTGGATGACTTAATCAGTGCCACCACCTCGCTCTTTTGCAGCGGACTGAGGCGACAACAGAGGACCGCTGAGCATTTGACGGCTATGTCACGGAATTCTTTGGGTGCGTCGGCCAAAGCAACGGCCAAACTCTTGCCATCGATAAGCAGGGCGCACTCCCGTCCAATGCCAAAGACAATCTCCCGTTCGAGCACATTCAGATGGACAAGGAGATCGTCGCGACTTTTGCACTCTAGTATGATATATTTCTTGGCATCCGGCGGTATATGGCCGCAGGATAGGGCGATGTTTAAAGCTGTTTCCACCTTGTCGCCGGTGAGCACCCAAATTTTGATGCCAGCTGCTTGCAAGGAGACCAGCGTATCGGCCACATCATCCTGGAGTGCATCCTCCACAGCTGTTGCGCCCAGCAAGTCGAGATCTAATCGAATGATTTCAAACAATTAATTCCAAACATCAATTATTGTATTACATTATTGTATTGTACACTAACCACTTTCAATCTTTGAATAGCATTCCTCGCTCAATTGCTTTCGATTTTCTAAGGAGCTGTTTGCCAGTGCCAGCGAAGTGACAAACTCCTGATATTCCGTCTCGGGGATCTCTCGCCTAGCTATCGCAAGGGTGCGCAGGCCCAAGCGAGCAAAGTCACTAATATGCCCATCGGTCTTGGAGACCAACCCGGCAGAGCTATTTGCACATAGCGGAAATACATAGCTCTCGGCACCCTTGGTGTAGATCCACTTCTTGTTCGCCTCATCCCGGACGATCACACTCATGCGCTTGCGATCGGAGGTGAACTCGAGAACATGCAGACGGTAGAAGCAATCCTCTTTTTGCTTTGCATTATTAATCGGACGCTTGTAGTCCACATGTGGCGGCACAATGCACACACGCAGCACTTCATCATCATCGCCCATATAGACTAAGCCCAAATTGGCACACGCCTCCACAAGCGCCTTCTCATCTGGACTAGAGGCCTGATAGTCCAGCATACTAAGATATGAAAATATATTAATACACTTTAGTAGATGTGGAAATGGCCAAGTTAATAATCACCTCAGTGTTTGTTTGATTTCATTCTTTCGACGCTGGGACTCGGCTCGTATTAGTATCGTGGGCTGGCGGGTGAATGTGGGCGCTGCATAGGATTCGCGCGATGTGGTGCTAGCGGCACGGAAAATGCCACCCACTGGTGGGGTCATGTTCTCAACGGGATTGGAGAGGTATGCATTGGGTGCACCATAGGAGTGAGCGCGTCTATGGCCCAAGGTAACCTCACTGTTCGCCTCCCCGTGCTGCTGCAGATCACGTTCCGAGGTAGAACGTTGAAATTGCAGCGAAATGGGACGCATTATGTGTGCACTTTGGTTGGGTGTATCACATCCCAGCGGACGTCCATTCCGCTCAGTCGTGCTGCTGAACCCCGTTGCCTCTCCCGTCGATGCAATGTGCACCTTATTGGATCTGGCGAAATTGGGACTACGCTTTACCACCTGCGGTCGCTTGCGCCGCTCCGCTTTATAGCTATCATCGCCAATCAGCAGAGGATTCACATCAGATGATGTAGTGGTGGCATTAACGCCATTCGGATGAGCCGTCAGGGATGTCTCAATCGTGTTGCTCACATTAAGTTCGGTGTGTAGACTAGTATTGTGACTCTCTTCGGTAATGTCGGTGATGGAGTACATGCCCGGTGGTCCCGACTTGTTATTTTCATTCTTAGGGGCAACGGGGGCATCTGGATTGGTTGTTGCCACCTGCACCGTGTGGCATACGGCCAACGCCTGGAAGAACACCTTCTGGCTCATCTGTTCCATAGCAAATTAGTTGATCAATATTTAATAATTTAACTCGAATTTTATTTTGCACTTACGTTAAATTTGTTAATGTCAATTAGTGCTTTGGTCTCCACATCCTCCAATCGGGTTTGCTTATAAATGAACTTGCTGCCAGCTATCGAACACTGCTGGAAATTCATTTCGTTCTTGGTTAAGGTGCCCGTTTTGTCCGAGAAAAGGATGTTTATCTGACCGAGTTCCTCATTCAAGTTCGATGTGTTCACAATGCACTGTTGATCCGTCTCCTTCTCATAGAGCTCCATGTCCCATTCCATATAGAAGCCGCTAATGATACGCTGCAGCTCAATCGTCACATACAGCGATATGGGTATCAAATAGTTGAACAGTATCAGAAACGATAGATAGTCCTGCAGGAACTGTTTAACGCTATAGCCATCCGCTGCAGGTCCCAGATAGGTTAGTTTTGGTATCACAAATAGCTCTTCGTAACTGTATTAAATGTGATTTATAAATCAAATTAAATTCAAGTCGAATTAAGCCAGATATATGTAGGTATAGATATAGATATAGATATATACCCACCGTTTTAGGAAATAGAGCAGAGTAACTATGGCTATTAACGCTACGAGTACAAATATTAGAAATCGGTTTACATAGATTTCACTCGATGCTGTCTTGTTGCGGGTGAGTCGACTGTTCAATTGCAGCTTGGTCGTCATTCCCGTATAGATGGCACAGCCAATCACACACTCAGTGTTCTTAACACGGGAGCCGCGCAACAGCACATTGTCGGCGGAGAGGGGCAGGACTCGACCCTCGCCGCCGGCTAGCTCGATCTTGCCATTAAAGCTGTACAGATCGGTGATGGCACTTTCGCACTCGATAACGCCCAGCTTATGCATCTCCTCAATGGGTACTGTCGGCAGATCTCTGGGCACCATCAAAGTCTTCAGATTCGACTCGCCATCCAAGTTGGCCGTTGTAATGAAACACTTGCCATGGGGATCTGTTGTCCGCAGCAACAACAAATCGCAGGGCACATCGCAGTCTCGCTCCACAACAACCAGATCGCCGGGAGCCACATTCTGTGACTGTATTATTGCCTCAACTCCATTTTGAATCACGGTTACTACAGTGCAAACGAATAATTAGTTGATGTGAATATATACATACATATAATACAAATCAACTTTGGACACATACCTGGCGATCGGTTGACCACATTATCAGTTCTGTAGCGTAAGATATCTTCATAGGCCTGTTTCGCAGCCGTAACGGCAATCACAAATACTAGAGGCAGTAATGACGTCATTGGCGATACAGGACTGTCTGTAGGAAAGAGTAATACATATTTGTAATCCATACACTTTAAAAATACGCCAAAGCCCCATTCGGTCTTACCAATCAACAGCGATATGATTGTCATAACAAGAAAATAAAAATTTGCTATGCGACGAAATTGTTCCAACAAATTCAACGGCAGAAATGTAATCAATGTGTATTTTGTGGACTTGATGCAATTTTGATACTTTGGCTTTTTCTTTTTGACATCTTCCGTGCCGCCGATTTGAATTTGTAGCCAGTCATTTATTGTACTAACTTTGGAACCCTACAAAAAAGAAAAAATAGTATATTATTTTTGTACATATAGAAAATATAAATAAATTTACATTGAGTGTGATCAAAGGATTTCAAAATAATCCACAGACTTCGGTAAGTTTCTGAGCGAGTATGAGTGATCTTTCCTAATCCATTCAATAAATGTTAGACCCACTCACAATTGAATACCCCCATGCATAAAATCTTTATCGAATACAAGTAAAGTAGATTTGCCTTGTCTGGACAACTTACTGAATCGATAAGTTATTATAAGTATATATATATATTGTTTCCAAGCTGTACTTTTTTTATATTTAAAGAAATTGACGAAAAAATATTAGTAATTTAAAATATTTATTCACGGCAATTTGTCAATGATATTATGCTCCCTACTCTAATAGTTATATGTATCGTATATTTGAATGTCTATGCATAAGGTAAGCCACTGCTTGGGAATCTTTTGAATTCAAATATCGTTGGTTAAAGGTTAATAGGGTTAATAAATACACATAAATATGTATGTATGTACACAGTTTCATGATCTTTGTGTTGGTTCATTTTTTTTTTTTTGTATTTTTTTTGTTGTATTTTACTAAGTTAGTTAGTTTGGGCATTGTTATGTTGTTTGTTTCAATTGTGTGACGCACCTTACTCCGTCTCCGTAGAAGAGATTCCTTTAGATATAACTGCGGTTCCTGATCTATCCAAGTTGGTGTGTGATATGTACCAATAGGATCAGTGCGTCGAAAACGGCTTTGATAGTCATGGCGAAAGAAATTCATTGTCCAACACGTGGCTGGCATTCAATATCAGATCAACCGTCTTTATCCCATACAAGTTGTGAATGTGCATCTTTCCTACAGGGCTCTGTACACCGTGGATAGGGAAACCGAGGGCATGCAAACCGATTGATAGATCAGTTTAGATCGTATCAAATGCAATGAATCTTTATTATATTTCTTTGATCCAGGGTGTTCATTTTTTTCTTTCTTGATGAGCACCTGATGATTTTTCTTGTTGCTTGTATCGTTTTGCTATTTACATATATGTATGTATGTATATATATAATCTGCATACAAAATACGTGTGACCGTAGGTATGTATCTGTATCTGTGTCTGTATCTGGCTTTTTTTCTCAACACATTAACAGCTATAACCTTAAAAATATGTTAAGTGGGTAATTTTAACACTTCAATTGAACAGTTCAGTACGTATGCACACATGTCGTATATGTATATTTATTGTTGATATTTTGGTCGTATTGTATATCAGTGCGTGGTATTTGATTTTCACATTTACATGACTTTTAGTCAAATCTTCAAGATTTCAATTTGTATTTTTACACGACCATGACGTCGGGATCACGTAATGAGTTGAAGAACTCCACGATGTCATAGGTTGATTGTTTATCTATATAAATATATATATATATATTTAAAGTATATATATATATATATTTATTTATTTATTAAATTACAGTCACGAAAGATCATTGAAGAAAATCAATTGCCGAATTGAAGCTAGTGTCAAGGTACTAAGGCTCAATGGAAAGGAAAACAAAACATACATAAACATGTATGTGCAAATACAAATACAAATACAAATACAAATACAAATACATACATATTCAGTTGAATATTTGTATATAAATCCACATACATGGAAATATTTATTTAATTAAATACACTCAACAGTTGACCGCCGCGATGTGCACAACTTAAAAGCCGTTCTCACACTGAGAATTAGATCTGTTATGGGGCACTGTTGCTGGTATTCCCATACCCATACCCATATACCCATACACATGCAATCATTATTTCCAGCATCCAACTCACATACAGCCCACGAACCAATATTCGTAAAAAGCTCAAAAGTTATTGACGAGCTACCGAGTAGTTTCCAGTGCTCGTATTCTCTATTTATAAGTTCAAAGTGCATGCCTAATTTGTCAGTTTTTATCAAATTCGTCGATATTTGACGGAGCGCACACGGGAATGTGTGTTCTATTATTTATGCATATGAATGCGTTGAATGCGTCGATAATTGAACGAAAGAATTCCCTGGAAATATGGTATAGCTATGTAGGCTATTCTATACATATATTTGCAGGTGGTGCTAAAGTACAATTCTGTCAATGCTTCTAAGACTTGGCGACATCTCAGAGTTTATTAAGTACACAGCTAAGATATGTATGCATGTCCATTTTGGACACTCTTTGGGCCACGTTAAGTTTATTTTTTTATTTTCAAAGACATCATTTTTAAAGAAACGTGAAATATATTTCCGGCTGTGCACCAATAACTCTTCGAGACTGTTTGATACCCTGTACCCAGCACTGAACTCTCCTATCATATGCTTATTTGTAGTTACCTAAATGATATATATATGTACATAAATATTTACACATACTGCAGAACTGTATTCAATTATGTAGAATCGGTCATTGGTTATCCGGTAATAAGACCAGAGAAACGATTAGTTTCTTTTAATGATGATGTTTAGAAGCTATCCATCCCTCTACCGCAGACAATGTATATGTAAAAATCTGCTGAATCAGGCCAATATTTTTTATAACTTGCCAAGGAAGATAAGCTATTGTGTAAAAAACGTTTTTGTTTACCAAGACATTTACGCCCAACTCAAACATTATTAACAACAAATGCTTGGGCGAGTTCTCTATTCTCAACGTCTCCCTTCTTTTTGTTATTATAGTAAAGAACGTACGATTTCTCAAAATGCGTTACAAACAGCAAAAAAGAACTAACGCTTACGAGCCAGAATTGTGAATAAGTACATAAGTACAGAATTGTGAATAAGTACAAGTACATATACGTCCATGTCGAGGTGTGTCATAGCCATATAAATGATTAGTTTTAGTAGGAGATAATACGTAGATAATAAGTATGCGGCTATGTGGAGATATTATTACTTTTAGACTGAATACTAAATTTGTTTGTGATTGGGATTGGGCGTGGCAGAAAAAAAAAGATTTAAGGAGGAGTCCTAGTGATCTAGCTTTCTAGTTTGAGAACATTAGGGGCCATCTAATTTGTGTTGTACGTGTTATCTTACTTTCAAAATTTGGTGACTTACCAATTGTGAAAAATATGCGCATTTCAAACTTTTGTCTACAGATATGCTGATCTTTGAATGAGCCTAACAGCAAGCTACTTTTCAAGTTAGGTGACTCTATCTTTAAGATTTGGGGAGATATGCGGTTTCAAGCGATTTATACTTTGAGAAATATCGCTTTCGGGGATTATGGGGCCGTTGTGTGCGTCATCATCAAAATGTTTTATCTATACTTACTACACCTCCCAAATTTGATAGCTCCAACTCAAAAACTGCAGAAGATATAGCCATTTCCGATTTTCAAGGGCAGGGGCTTGGGTGCGATTGAGGTGTAGGTGGGCGTGGCCAATACCAATCTTTGAAGACCAACCACCTACGAACCAAATTTTGGCGACTGTAGCCATAAAAATTGTAGGCATAGACCAGAAAATTTTCTCAGTTACAAGGTCATGTCGAAAAAAGTATCGCCCATACGGACGGATAGACAGCATGACGGATATTGCACAACATAGTCTTGATACCTTCGGTATCAGAGTAGAAGAATGAGTTCACAACTAAATTTAGTTCAAAATGGTTCACAAATGCTCACAATATTCACAATACTTATGTACAGTATTTATATGGCTATTTTGGATTTCGAAATGCAAATATGCAACTCACCCGCTTTCCACAAATATCCATTTTGATGTCTAATACGGCTTGTGATTTTTGCTAATTTGTAGTTATTGTTTAAGTACAATGTGTCTCGGAGTCGCTTCAATCGCATACTACTGAGCGATTTGTGTATCTCCGAAAACACAGCGTTTAGCTCGAATTCGTCTGAGTGCTTATCGTGAGTGCCTTTAGAAACCAATACATAAAACACTAACGGTCACCGTTAATACTATCAACCGTCAATCGATCTGGGTACGCACCCATATACGAGTATATGTATATACATATATGTATGTATGTAAGCCGATGCGTATGTGTTGCCAAATGAGCAGATACAGTTTTTGAAGAGCGTAGACGTTTTTGATTGCGGGGATTGAGCGAAAGAAGTGAGCAGGATGCCAATTGATAAATACTATTTAAGGTGGTTTGCTCTTAAATCGAGATAAACTTTAACTTTGAATTGGAATTCATTATTATTTTTGTATTTTGGCTTTACGTGTTCAGCAAAGTGGAAGCATTAAAAATTCAACTTTTGCAGCACCGCCGAGTAAAGCTGAACACAATTTGTCTGTCTATATACTAAAGGCACTCTGTACTGGTATCTTCATATTAATATCACTAATCTAATTTAACCGGGTTGTGGTTGTAACTGCGTTGCTCCTCAACTACAGCCGCTCTGTAGTTGCTCGCCGAAAAGTTTTCTCTTTTGGGTCAATCGCGGTGCTCTTGGCTAGAGGCTTTCTCATATCAGCACAAACACTGTCAAAACTGATAAGATTATAACAATGCTTTACCGACGCTGTTGACTAATACAGCTAAACTCAAATACCGAAGCGATATTTCTACGAATTGATCGAGACAAATGCCCTTTAGCTAAATATGTACATACATGTATCGTTATATGTATAAATGAATGTCTAAATATAGCCAAAATTCCAATGAATTATTGGTTCCATGAATATACACCTATCCAGAGTTAACGAGGTCAAAACAGGTACATTGAACATGTATATATACATATATCATAACTGCATTAGTGTTATCAATAGTAAACTGAGTACACTAACACTTGCCATTTGTGATTGATAGGAAGGTAGCTGAACTATTGCTCAATTTTCCACTCTCTCTCTCTCTCTCTCTGGAAATTGCCGTGGCCTGTCGTTAATTACACAACATTATCATGGATATTTAATTGCAATTAAATTGTTTGGAAGCTTGTCAATGGTGAAATAGATATTCGCCGTATTTAGTGTAGCATACGTTATGGGGATTATGAATGAAAACAAAATTGAAATCGTTTCGAAAAATGCAGTATTTATAACAGTTTAGTTTATTTAAAAAAAAAAACAAATGAGTGCAATGCTCGGGCGTAACCGACTGCGAATTACTCTGATATCAGTGTAATACCAGCCGATAACAGGTGGCAAGGAAAAGACATTTTATTTGACCTCTTTTGACTATAGCTTTGCAATTGGGGGAGATATGTGACTTTATCAATATATGACTACGAATTTGATCGATTTCCTTCCTTCACCCTAGTTTACGTAGCACTTTGTCTGATGCGGGCATAGACGAATATAAATTTCAGGTTTCAAAAGGGTATCGAAAAAAGTTGCGTTCATATGAACGGAGAGACAGACAGCAAGGTTGACATTGCACTGTTGAATATATGTATAACATTTATTAAAAAGCACTCTAAAAATGTAAACAATTAGAACATCAAATAAGAATGCTTTAGACGAGTGAGCTCAGCTTTTATTATATATTGCAGTTATATTGCCAAATTTTCCATCTTAACAAGTTTTACACACTCAAATGAACTTAGGTAAACCGACGGACAGACAAACCGACGGACGAGCAAGTCTGGATCGACTCAATTAAGAATATATTTTACCCTGTTTTTTTGGGTTCAGGGTATAAAAGCAAAGACAGCACAAGCCAGAACTATAAGCACTTGCCTACAACAATTTTATATATATATAAACATATATATATATATATATATATATATATATATATGCATTGTACGTGTGTATGCCTGTGCAATCAATTATTTCAATTTGTATAACAAATTCACAAAACAAATGTAGATATCCATTAAACAAAATAATCTCGAGCTGCGCGTGGTATCAGCAAACTTATATTCCAAATCCGAAGTATGAAGCTTTTATAGTCGCTGAAATCGCCTTGTTCATATACACAAAGAGACCGATAGACGGAAAAACAGTCAGTTAATGCTGATCAAGAATATATATACATATGTATATGCTTTATAGGATGGAAGATGCTTACTTATGTCAGTTACATAAATTTTCATGACAATTTTCAATACTAAACTAAAACCAGAGAGCACGACCAAATTTGTTGTAATAATTAGAATGTTTATCTATATATATATATGTATATATATATACAAACATAGGTAGCAGGTAACATGGAGCACTCGATCATTCTTGTTTATCTCTTGTTTGTATCTTATGGAGATTCAAGTGTGTTGTACTTTCAACAACAAATTTGAAAATCATCTTTGCACATAAACAATAAAATTTTATTTTTTTTTACGTTTTGCACTTGTCATTGGTATGCCATAACCTGAGATTTCTAAATATAATATGGCAAGGTCCACTTATAATATCCAAATACACCAATTACATTGTATTTATGCAAGGAATTGGTAAAGCATGTAAACGTACCATTTTGTTGATATTGTTGTCATGGATCGAACTTAAGTGTGTTAATTAATTGGGATTGAACTTCGATCCTTGCAAGTGTATGCAATTGGTAAAACGAGTATTCAAAAGCAAAACAAAATATACATTCAAAATTCACAAGTGCCGAAAGGAAGGCAAAGCCTTCCACGCGCAAACTGATCTATTGGCAAACTGTCGAAGAATTGTTGATAGCGATAGTACTAAAAATGAAATGTGCCACACACACACATACACATATGCAGTTATGTATGTATAGACCTGGAAATGGGCTTAACAACACGTCATTATATATGAACAAACAAATGTATATATATCTAAGCTTAAATGCTTATAAATAAACAGCTGCACGCAAATTCATAATATCGAAGCATTCTGATTCTCTGGATCATTAACCTAAGAGAGCGATATACATATATATATATATATATATATATATATATATATATATATTATCAGATGGATGTAGGTCTGCATCAAAATACCGCTTCAAGCTAGTGAGATAAAGGGAGTTATCTTCGGGTCGCAAGTACCGGTCGCTGTTATTCTAATGTTATACTCTCTTAACCATAGACTGTCACGAGCGAATCGAGCGAAAGAGATAAAGTCGGTAGCCATATCTTATCTTAAAACATTGATTCATATATATGCGTATATACACGCATACATACACTAGCCAAACACCCCATTGACTTGACTCACGGCCATTGGTTGTGTGGTGGGTCTGGCCTGGGTTCAGAACTCAGCCGATGTGTTGAATTATTTCTGATAGCTCAAGAAATCATAATACACTTTCATATATGCGTACATTGTCATGTACAAACAATATTCATATATTGAACTTATCTGTCATATTATGTGCAAAAAGAATGCGTAAAATATCGGCATAGACTTTGACAGAAATATTAGTAACCCAAACAATTATTGTTTATATTTTATTGAGTATAAATAGTGAGTCATAAAAAATATCTGAAACATTAGCGCCATGTTTAATGTGCTTTCCAGTATATAAACATCGAATTTGTTATAATCTTAAAATCTCTTTTAATCGCCAAACATGCGTGTACATATGTATTTTGAGTAGTTAGTTCGTTAAGGTCGAAATTTATAAGGCAAATATAATTATATCGGACATTATGTGTAAGATACTAGTGTGAACCACCGAATACAAATTTGAGTTACTTGAGTCACCGATATTATCATATTTTACGCACTTAGTCAGCGAGATTGGAAAAGAGGTGTGTAGCTTACCAATGCATCAGTAATATATAAATATATATATGTATATATATCAGTAAGCTTTATGTTGTAGGCAAATACGGCACCCAATGAAAACTGCAATGGGCCCAGCCAACTCTAATTGATCTGAGGTGAGTTTCCCTTCACTTTCAGGCACAAGATGACTATTTGGGTGCATACTTATCAATGTAGATATGCACATGCATTTATAGGTACATACTTATTTGCTTAAATGTTAAAATGTAAATTACCCTAAAACATAGAACAATTTTCTGGCTAATGGCAATAATTTCTTAATTTACGAAAACCGAACTCTTAAATTTAGAAAGGGTATTTCTTCAAAATATTTCTAATAACTAGAAATATACACTTTGAAATTTTATGAAGTTTGCTCTCTTTGCTTATTTGTTAAAGTTTTCTGTTTTCAAATTAATTTGTATGCATTTTTATATACAATCTAAAATCTGAAAAACTGCAATTTAGACATATTTTTTCTAAATTTTAGAATAATGAAGTAATACTAATTAATAACAGAAAAAACACTGGATTTTAGAAAGACACAACCTTCCGTTTTAGATATTGACTTTGTGAATAATTAGGGGAGTATTTCTTGGCAACAATTTTCTTATTTAAGTAAGTATTAATTTCAAACAATATTTGCGTATACAACATTGAAATGCACTTTACCCAAAAAATGACATGCCACGATTTCTCCCATTTTCTGAAAACATACTCACTTTCGCCTTTTAGCTCCAATGCTCTGCTCATAAATGCGCTTATTGCCCACGGTCAGTCCGCCTATTGGCTATTGCCAGTCGGACTAAACTCTTTTACTTACATATGTATGAGTTGATAAGTGAAAAATTGATAGAGTTGACAAGTTAAGTATTTCAGAATGATTACTGTTTATTATATCTAATCTATTGCTAGTGTTAATCTATAGAAACGATTACCCAAATTTAGCTATAATATAGGTATTCCTTTGTGTATAATTGCAATAACAAATTTTTTCTGTACAATTGGTTCATTCAAAAAGACCTATTTCTTGTGATCAGGATTAACAGTGTTTGTGGGGGTTAGTGGGGGTTCCTATCACAAAGATTCGAAAATAACATTAACAATCTCGTTTCGATAATACACGAATAATGTTTGCCCAGTTTCAGTCGGAATTTAGCATGGCAAGATAACACTCCTGTGCTAGCAATAATCCATTAAATTCAGAGTTCAACGTATACTCAATAAAGGTTAAGGAAGGTGAACGAATTAGTTTCCATAATGGCGAAGTCTAGTAATAAAGAGAAGAAGCCATTACGGATATCCATTGGCAATGTCAATCCGCGAAAGAACTTGCCACTTAACCGAGTGACAACCACCAAATACACCTGGCTTACTTTTATCCCATTGAATTTTTACGAGCAATTCCGAAGAGCCGTCTACTTTTACTTCCTCATTATCACCATTATATCGTTTTTCGTTAGTATGTCATATAAATAGTTAATACGAATGATCAATAATACACCAAATAACAATCGTTTATTCTACAGATATTACTCTATCTCCTTTGGTATCACTCCTGCCCCTGTTGTTCGTGATGATCGTAACGGCACTTAAGGAAGGTCTGGAGGACTATGCTCGATCGAAAAATGATAAAATTGTTAATAAATCTCAAGGTTTGTAAATATGTATGGTCACTTTAAGCTCTATATACTATATTATTATATATATATATTTATGCAAAGGCTACGAAAAGATAACATCTCCAATTCTTCCATTGTGTATTTTCAGTGACTGTTATACGCAATGGCAATGAAGAACACATCAATTCGGAATTTATTGTGCCGGGCGATATTGTGGTGGTGACTAGTGCCAGTGATGTAACATGCGATTTGTTATTGCTTCACACATCTGGAGCAGAAAAGATGTGCTTTGTCAATACAGCTAACTTGGATGGCGAGACGAATCTGAAAGCGATCCATATTCCACACAACTTTACATACGATATTAATGGACAGAATCTGGACAAGGCTTGCATTATTTGCGAACCATCGACATCTGATCTTTATCGATTTAATGGACGCATTGAATTCGAAACGACAGTGGGAATCGAAAGCAATCCTGGACCAATACCGCTAGAAATCGATAACCTCTTATTGCGTGGTGTACGAATCAAGGGCCAGGGCCGGGTCCTGGGCTGTGCCGTTTACACGGGCATGTCGACAAAGCTGCAACTGAACAGCCGTTATACGGGCAACAAGTCAGCATCCAGCGAGAAATACATTAATAAATTTATTATAGCGCTCATTGTGGGAATGGTAGCTGTTGTGCTTATACTCTATATGATCGAACGGTAAGTCCTTTAAATGCTTCATAGTAATATCTAAACAAGTTGATTTACATTATTTACTTATCTTTTTAACAAAGATTTAAGAAAATTAAAAATGATTTCAAAACAAAAACAAACAAAAATGTAATTGAAAATGTTAAATCTGTAAAGTATCATTTAAAATGAGATCGTTATATATAATTTTATACTCATGTTTATTCAAATTAAAAAATAAAAAAAAATTATGCATTATTTTCAGGCAGAAAGCGGCTAAGGTTTATCCGTCTATGTACTACTTGGGACCACCAATTGACTACAACAAAATTTTGCAAATATTTGAGGACTTTCTATCGTTTCTTATTTTGTTTAACTATATGGTGCCGATTTCGATGTATATGAATATTGAGTTATATCGGGTTTTCGGCGCCCTCTTTATGAAATCCGATCTAGAACTATACGATGAGAAGACCGATCAGCCCTGTGCAGTAAATGCATCTAACTTGAATGAAGACTTGGGCCAAATTAATATACTGTTCTCGGACAAAACAGGCACTTTAACCAAAAACCAAATGATATTTGTTAAGTGCTTCACTGCTGGCAAAAACTATCATTTACAGAACATTCAATTGTATTGTCCCGATGATAATGAAACCTATGAACTGGGCATGATGAATGTAAGTAGTTTTAATTGTTGATCCCTAATGTCGTCTTATTTGTAATCATTCTCTTTTTAGAACGAGACTATGGACTTTTTTGTGGCATTGGCTCTGTGCCACACCGTAGATATTTTGGATAGTTGCGATGAAAAATCCGGAGAAACCCTACCTGAGCTCGAAAACCTAATACCAAGTGAAATTATTAGTAGATACCAAGCATCTAGCCCCGATGAGAAAGCCATACTGGAAGGCTGCGCCAAATTGGGTTTGATTTTCAAAGACATTACCGATGATCAGATTCGACTAGGTCGTATCTTTAGTGGCACGAATGCCAGCGATTTGCAATTTGAACGCCTACACGTGCTCGAGTTTAGCTCGGAGAGAAAACGAATGAGCGTTATCATACGGGATGAGAGCGGTGTGATCTGGCTTTACATCAAAGGTGCCGAATCTTCGATTCTACCGCGCTGTAATCCAACTTCGCTAATTGCTCAAACGGATGAGCAAATCACTAAATATGCCAAGGAGGGTCTTCGTACCCTAGCGGTAGCCAGGCGAACTCTCACCGAAAGCGAATATGACGCATTTGTTGCATCCTGCGATAATATCAATATTCAACTAAACAATCGACAAGAACTTCTTGCAGAATGTTACCAGAGCATTGAAGTAGGTAAGATGCTACCAATACGCAACTCGCATACAAATCTACGACTTAGATATATTTTCAAGGTTTCACTTTTTTTTTTATATATTTTGGACAACATTATGCTTTGAAATATCGTTTTCTGTGGTATTTATTTACGAGTAGGGCAGAAGACTAGTACAGATCTTAAACTAAATAGCAAAAAAGTAAAAAATCTAGGCAATTATTAAGCATATTTTTCACATATTGTCCTTGGTAAAAATCTAATCGTGCTGGAAAACAAATTTGAAATGATTATTCGAAAACCTATATTGAAAACGGTACGGCTTCCACTATGAGAAACTGATAATTAGCAGTGTCTACTAGTATTTTCATATATACATTTTGTTTATAAACCGAAATGACTCTTCTTCTAGGACTTGATCTGCTGGGTGCTACGGCATTAGAGGATACCCTAGAGGATGAAGTTGATGACACATTGACTGCATTGCAGGAAGCTGGCCTAAAAATATGGGTACTAACGGGCGACAAGGTGGAAACGGCTTTTTCCATTGGCATGGCATGCAAACACATACCACAAGTGGCTGAAGTACACTTTCTTATTGGCATAACCGATCCGTCAGAGCTGGAAAAGCGATTGAGTCAGCTTGAACTTGGCATCGCTTCGGCAACGTCTAAACCCACTTGTCTGGTAATCGATGGAACAACTGTGTCTGCACTTTTATCGCACTTGCCAGAGCAATTCACTGAAGTGGCACTAAAATGCCAGGCTGTGCTCTGCTGTCGCCTGAGTCCACTTCAGAAAAGCGAAATAGTCATGCGTATTAAGAAGACAGGCAAACATATCACAGCAGCCATTGGTGATGGTGCCAATGATGTGTCCATGATCCAAGAGGCCCACATTGGCATTGGCATATACGGTGTGGAGGGCAAACAGGCAGCCCGAAGTGCTGACTACGCAATTGCCAAATTTAAAATGCTTCAGCGCTTATTACTGGTACATGGTCATTACAATACGGAGCGACTGGCATTTATGGTGCTTTTCTACTGCTATAAAAATATTATTATCACTGGTTGTATGGCGCTATTTCAAGTATATGACTTGTATTCGGCTACTTCTGTGTATAATGAATTGTTCCTATGGCTATTCGATATTATTTACATATCCGTTAGTTTCACGTATTTGGCCATGTCCGACAAACACTATAACGAAAAGACATTGTTACGGTAAGAGTAAGCGAAAAATAACATTCGAAATATATAAATTACAATTGAAATTATGATTATTGCAGATTCCCAACACTCTACAAGGGAATTTCCCACAACCAGCTAACCTCTTGGAAAATATTCACGGTATGGATTATTAATGGCGCCCTTCAGTGTTTCACTATCTTTTACTTTGCGTATGCAGTTTTAAATGACAATAATGTTGTCTTTAACAACGGGCAAACTGCCGACTTTTCAACATTTGGAACTATGCTTATAATGGTACTCGTTATTGTGGGCAACTTAAAGATCGTTCTGGTTTCACACTACATGAGCTATCTGAACTTTGTATTTATTGTTGCATCAATATTTGCATTTATCTTAAGCACATATCTCTACAATTTATACACTGGCAGCAGTCTTTATCACGTCTACAGCATGTTTTTAAGTTCACTTCCCATATGGCTTTATATTATTATTTGTACGGTAACATGCTTGCTGCCCGATTTTCTTATGAAGGCTGTATACGATATGTTTTTAGATCCGCCAAAGTTGAAAGTTGAAAAGCTGAAAAGGGTAATTTAAATAATATAAATATCTGAAAGCAAATCGTCATTGATAATTTTACTCACATATCGTGTTTGGTACGTGATCGAGATTTAAAAAATGTTTTTCGTAATGTACATTTTGAATTTGGTGATTTCCCTTATAAAGAAACAAAGACAAATTTGAGCAACCGTGCTGAAAACGGCCACAAATTTGAGCAACCGTGCTGAAAACGGCCACAAATTTTTCAATACCTTATCAATTAATCATCTAAGAATCAATTGATTGTATATCAATGCTGATCAAAAAAAAATTTTTTATTGAATATGACTGTTTATTTCTTTTATTTTTTATAAATAGAAACAATAATTAAAGCAACCGCTGCACTTAGCCAGCAATTCCTTATAAATATATCGAACGTTCGCCGCTAGCAGTTATATATCGATATCAACGATGACTCGATTATTTTTATACATAATTAAATAACTGTAAATTGCAAGTTGTAAATTGGTTGGAACTTAATTGATGTCAACGTCAAGCTAACGGATCATGAGGATAATCTGCAGAAAACAATTAAAAATTACTGGAAAATTACTTGTTTCTAACGCCAGATTACATAATCGAGCCACTCAACTTTACACATGTCAAGCGCTACTTTCTATCTGTTGGCTTTCCAGGAAAAGTGATTTTCTTGTTCTCCAGATCCAGTCAATGGATGGGATCGCTTGAGGAAATTATTGATCATTATACATGCGATCATGATTGGTTATCTAAGGAATATTTGATGGTGAACTACAGCATTAAGCATTAAACTCATCTGGGATGCCGGATTCCAAATTAAGATCAATTAAACTTTCTCCTCTAGGGCTTCCAGTTGTAGACATTTGTGTTATACGTTAGGCTCATAATGTGGTTATGTTTTAGTTTCAACCATCTACAACAGTTGCACTCACATTTAGCAGATCTAGAAGAAGATTTTGATCTACTTTCCACATTATAGCATTTTTCATTTTCTATTGTTTTTACAGAGCATTAAATCAAATAATTATTATGCAATTGTTTGCGCAAAATGTTTATTTAAAGTTCATGTCAATCATTAAAGACCAGTTGTCAATTTTCGTATTCGAATTGTAAACACGTTGTTTGCTGCACTCTTCGCACCCCCATCGACTTGTTATCACTCTCTTGTTGTCTCAGTCGTATCCATATACAAAGAAAAGAAAGAACGCTTCAAAATTGAAATCACATGGATGATTTATTGCAACCAATGATCGTTAGTAACTCATACAAAGGTCTTCAATTGTATGAATGCATGTTTAACTGTACAAAATGTACACTAAAAGTCCGATTTTTGTATGTAAATATACTCTCTTGTAGTGAGCTCTTTAAAGGTATGACTTGCCAGGATATGCACCCAAACAAAAAATATTTAACAAAATTGCATTCTGCGATAAATTACTTAAATATTTACAACAGGATTGAAAAAAAATATATATGTATGACTTTTATATACTCATGTAAGTTTATAAGTATGAAATAGCTTCGACATGCCGAAAACTGCGCAATTGAGCAATTACTCCGATTTTAATAACGTGCTGACACAAATCGAAAATTTAATTAGTCATCGTCCTATTTTGAATATGTCAGTCGTCTTAAAAAATAAAAAACAAAAACAAAACAGGCTAGGTTTATGTCGTTAGATTACGTCCCTAAATACTCTACAAATTTAACAGAGAACTAAAAATATGTATAGGAAATCCGAGTCAAAGATAAGCAGACACACCCACTTGTTGCTTATGATTGAATTTGATTTTTGGTTTTGAGCCTTGTAAGTACATATGTAACTTATGGGACAAATAAATAAAGTTCGTTCGAAATCAATAAATTGTAGCTTTGGTTGACAGCGTTTTACAAATTTGAAGATAATGTACAAATAAGTTAGTTGCTTTTTTTAACGTCTTTACTGTCGCCATCCTTTGCCTGGCCGCGGCCCAAAATTTTCGCCAAACTATCCCAAATACCACCAAAGAAGATGGCACAGCACAGATTCTCCAATGGCAGGAAGGGATCATGTATGCCCAGTAGGATGGATGACAGTTTAAAGTACACCAAGAATATAACAATGCCGAAGTAAACTAATGCATGTGGCGCTGAGATCCAATCAGTCTTTTTGTCCAGCACGAAGATAATAGAAGCTAGCAATGACGCTTTTGTGTAGCTGAAAGAAATAAGTTGTCAATACAAAAACAAAAACATTATCGGCTCTCGACAACCATAGCCATAAATAAAATTGATTAACTGCGCTTACAACGTTGGCTGCATGAATTCCATTGCGGTCGGTGTCCATGCACCTCTAATGAGGCGTTCTATCAACTTGGTGAAACCAGCGCCGTTGCCCTTTAAAGTGCCGATTATTATCATGATTATCCATGCATTTGGATACAGTTTGGCAGCATGTCCGACGCCGTCATACACTTTCTTGGCACGGTAAATTTCCTTCATGGCACTGGCGACAATTTTCACCGGGAGAAACTTAGCCACCTTGTAGCCAATATCAAAGGGTGTATAAAATACAAGATACCTGCAATAACATTATTCGTTTATTACATTATCTAAGTAGTTGAGAGTAATTAGTCAATAATAGCACTTACCACACAGCGGTGCCAACAAACAGCTGACCGGTGTTCTTCAACGGGGCCAATATCGGCTCTCCGAGTAATCCATTGGCAACCATGCCACCAGCGAATATCACCAGCATTGTGGATAGCCAGCAGGCAAGTGGATGTTTCCTGGAGAAGGCCTGTGCGTTGGCGCCCAAATCCTCGCGCACGGCCAGCGCGGCAAGTAAACTGTGCGCGATATCAAAGAACGGAAACATTTTCAGCTTGATGACCTGATTGGCCACATCCAAAAATGCTTCCGGGTCCATGATCAGAGCTGATCTTGTGTCCTGCCTTCACAAAGTATATTCTGAAAGCGATAAATATATCATTGTGGACTTTAATTCGAATTATATGGACCCATTTTGGTTTTTTTTTAATATACAGTTAAATAAAATTATATACACCACTATTTTTTCGTATTCTTTATATTTTTTTCCGACTCACATTAGGAAAGATTATATTACAAGTCTTGACATTCTCAAATGTTATATAACTGTACACAAATTTAAGCGACAAATAACAATTTGTGAAAAAATAATAGCTAAAACGGTATGATTGTTGCAACAAAAAAAAATAATAATAAAAAAAAAACAAAGAATCCCATTTAAATATATATACACAAATAGTATATTACAAATGTAAAAACAACACATATATTTATTTATATATAAATATATATATGCGTTTATATATTTGGCTATATCGGTGTACATACGTATTTTAGATGCACTAGTTCTACTTTCTCACACTTCTGATTTTACAGTATGTTCAATTGAAGCTCTTTGAACCCGCACTCGCATCGAAATACCGAGAGATGTAGAAGTTGTCGAACTGTATGTTAATGTCGAAAAACATAAAAACAAATTCTAAGTCTAAATAAAAGTGTTGCTGCTTTGCCAGAGCTCCAAAAATACATTTCGCTGATGAATCGGTGAGGGCTGCTAGAGACGCGAACCGGGTCCGTTGCCTGCCCTTCCGTCCGGTCGTCGCCTCTCTATCGTCCGTTTCTACACACATCTCTTGTTTGTGTGTCGGTGCCTGTGTTTGTGTGCACATGTACGCCCATGCTCTGGCGCTGACTATTTTGGAGGTGTGCATGTATGTATGTATATGCACAAAATATTTTCTTTGGCTGTCTCACTCGCATTTCCGGTTGAACCTCCTTCAGGATTTCTCATTAGCTCATTTGTGAGCACGTGCTCACTATTATTTATTAAGCTAAGCATGCAGATAATATATGCAATTTGTGTATTTGTTTGTAGACATGTCCATTGAACTCCTTGTACATCCATTGCTTACATTAGCAATAAAAATAATATAACAGAACAAAAAAAAAAGAAAATCTAACAAATTACCTACGTAAACGCGCGACCAACGGATAGCTGAGTGCAGCACGTACACGGGGAGACTGGGCTCGAAGCTGGCCCGTATATTACATGCTCATCTTCTTTCTTTTTCGATAATTCTATGTCGCTCTCGGGAATATGTTATATATTTAGAATTTGCGAGTCTTTTTGGTACAGAGAAAGAAACCACAAATTCATATGTATGTACTCGCATGCGTAAAAAGCTAATTAGGCGGCTGAGATGATTGTGTCTCATAATTAAAAGTTCTGGTCTACAACACTTGACGAACACATGCTTGCATGCAGGAGAGTGCTTGTTTGTTTGTATTTGGTTATTGGCACATACATGTATATATTGCAAAATGCAAAGGTTCGTTTGACACGTCAAGAAGATGCTTTCCCTTGGCCGAATTAATACAAATCCATAATCTCCGGTCACATTGTTTCTCAGCTGCTTCTTGCATTGATAAGAGTTGAATTGGATAGTCTTTGGTCAATCGATAAGTCTTGAGCTGGATACAATCGATACATCGATTTGTTTTACTATCAAAATTTTTATGTTTTTTTGACATCCCTAATTTATACTATTTTTTTGTGATCTTACAAATTCCAATTAAAACGTTGAACACTTTGGTGAATTCCCTTTTATACGTCCGTCCAAGACAAATAAAATCTCGGCTACACATAATCATAAGAAAGTCCTAACATACATACATACATAAACTACGAAACAGAATAAGACGCGAATGTATATGCATACTTATTGTTTGCACAAAAAGTGGTGCATATATTACATTACCTTTAACAATAATATAGGGGCCCAATTTGGAAAAGGTAAGTGAGATTTGCAGCTAAATTGCAACGATACTTGTATTCACCAACAAATAAAACCAGCTATCTTCTCAATACATTGTTGATTTGCACTCAAATAAACATACATACATATGTGTATAGGTTTATATTAACAGCCATTGACACACACGCACACATATATTAAAACAATACATATATATATATATATATATATATACACACGCATACGCACTTTTTGTGAATCTTGACTTATTTGGATGAACTGATTTGCACATTTCAAAGTTCGCTGCTGAAGCTTGTTAAAATGGGAATTTTGGTTGAAGTATTACTAATCGAGGATAAGCCCGAAAAATATTGCAATATTTAGTAACTATCCAATTTTGTATGTATGTAAATACATATATTCACATACATATGTACATAAATCACTCATGCTCCCATGCTTGTCAATATTCAAAACTCAAAATTACATATGCAATACGTAAATGATTGTACGTATATATATATGTAAAATCGCGTAAAGTGCATATTAATAAGTACAATAGCTAAGTGGGGATCGCAACATAGGTATCTTATCGATTGGATATATAATTCTTAATTCCCGAGAAGCTGGATCAAATTACAAGTTGCGAAATACAAGCATGCAACGCATGTGTGTCTATGATGGACTGTTTGTAATGTTTGAAAGGGGGCATTGATTTTCAGATGTCTTCGCATTCATCTAAAAAAAAATCGTCTGGTTTACGCATGCTGTGGATACCAGGACGAAAAAGTAATCCGAAAGGTCGATTGAGTTCAACAAATAAACACATCTCGTACACACCAGCCCAAAAGAAAAACGAGGTGTGGACCTTGGGCGGCAGGCGGGCCCAAAGTGAACTGATTGACTTGTGAGTATACAACTATTGCAAATTCTCGAAACACAGTCGAACATATTTTACAATCAACAAGTACAATGCTCACTATCTAAATGAAAGTTGAGCGGCCATTAGCTAACAGCAACATCAACATCTAATGAAACCCGACGCTCACGCAAGCACTATTTGCAATTGTTATTGTTACATCACGAATGCCAGCAAATGTGTGTATGTAATGTACACACATATCAGCAGGCCAAGCAAATAATCTATGTTTTAATTATATGTGTTTTTTCGTAGTGCCTACTAAATGAATACCCAAATACGTTCATATATAACATATCTTTACAGCCATATATATATTATATATTTATATTCATCGTATTCTTTTAGGCCCTCGGCGGAAATCAACCTTGCTTCGACATCATCATTGGCGGTACTGGGTACCATGTCCTCAACGCTTGTGACAGGCTTGAAAGCAGAATCACTTCGTGATAACATAACGCCAAATGATTCAGTTGCTGTTCCAGAATGTGTTACATTACCGACAACACCAGTCGCCACAATAACTCCAAATTTGAATAGTCCACTCTCGGAGCTGGCTCCGTCGACACCCTCAACGGCAGCTATGCCATCCCCGATATTGGTTACCACAGTTGAAGTAAGTCTCTCAAATTAGCTGAGTATGTACCAAACGCTTGTATATTTAAACTAATGATCTTACCCGAACATCAGCACAACATTTTCAATCCTGATGAGTTGCCGAAAGTGCCATCGCTCGGCGAAACAGATTTGTCCACATCAGCTGTCGTATTGAATAGCTCGGCTGGGACGACAGCTTCGATAGCAACAAATTCATCCCCGTTGGCCAACCGAAAAGCCCACAGTCAGCCAGCAGCCAATAACAGCTCCCCCCAGAAAAGCAGATATAGGAACCACAACAACAATCAGGTTAAGCAAAAAACATAATATCGTGGTGTAACGATAAAACTATAACTACTTTTGTTTTTGCCATCAAACAGGATGACATAAATTCCATCGAAAGCATTTCTAGTTTTAATCGAATTCAAGTTAACTCCGATTTCGAGTGGATCGATGAAATGGTGCAAGAACGCAACTGCAACGAGCTGAAGCACAAAAACAAGCGTAAGAAATCAAAAAAGACACTCCACAGCGCATCAGATCAACTGGATGGATTTAAAGTAAAGGAGAGGAACGATACAAAATCTATGACACCCTACGATGACAATGATGAGAAAGTTGTTAAGTGTCTGTATTATTCTCTCATGTGCTGCGACTGTACAATATCATAGATATAGATATAGAAATAAAAAAAAACAGCAGAAAAAATGTGCATATCGGTTTACATATGCAGCTGTATGTACCACGTATGCATTTAAAAAAACATCTCAAATATTTTGAATGTATTTAAAAACTTGTACATTTTTATACGGATCAGAAGATAATTTGCTATTAAGTTTTTTTATACGTACAAATGCTCTGTTCAAACAAAAAAAAAACCGTGACCAAGTATTCCATTAGATTACATAATATCCACAGTTGATAATGCATCGAATTTGTGCAGCGCACACAGTTTGAACATGGCCAAAACTGAAAATCGAAATATTTACAATAGAATTTTTGTATAGATTTTTACACATTTTCGCGATAGATATGTATTATATATGCCTATTTAATACTTTTGATACACATGTATATTTTTTTTTTGTAAATAAAGTAAATGCATTTTTCTACTGATATCTTTAAGTTTGCATTTGTCACATGGCCAAATCTTTGGTCGGTCATCGTGAGGCATTAGCAATCACACTTTCATTAATATCATACATATCGCATTCAACACTCACATGTACATGAATATACCCATTCAAAGTTCCTTTAAATACAGCTCCTGTTGCACAGGATAAGTACAAAAGTACAAAAAAAAAAAAACACTCATTGTTCAACTTGACATAACATTTTTCATAAAAATTTAATACAAACATTAAATTTACAAATATATATATATAAAAACAATTCACAATCACATATAAATTTCGGATCATTTATCATTTCGGATGTTAAATATTTCGATTCGCTACATTCCTCAAGTATGGTTAAAATTTGCTAGTCCAGAGCAGAAAATTCAGGATCAAAGTTATTGGTGTTGCTATTGCGGCTATTGGTGCATTCACATTAGATTTATCAATGAATCAGCTATGAACGTTATTGCTTTGCCTTTTGCTGCTTCTACTGTTCGTTGCATGATTCATATACGTGGGATTGGTGCATTCGGTGTTTAAGTTTATGTTCGCATTGTAATGGGAATCGAATTCTGCACCTTTGCACTGAAACTCGATCGCATCAATATCATTTGTACTTTTAATCAAAATTTCGCTTCCATTCATTGGACCATTCGGTTCGTAGAGTACCTTCTTTCTTTCGCTGACATCTAAATCGTCATCAGTGTTATCATCCGTATCGTCACCGTTTTCACCCACATTGAATATAAATCTAGCTTCATTACTGGGATCGCTCTTGTGACTGCCTGATCTGCTATTTATTTTCCTGTATCTCACAGATTTTCTCGATCCATGGTTACTATTGCGCTGCAAGTGAATAAATAATGTTAATTTAATAATCAAAAACAGTTGGCTGGACGCTGAACGTGCGTGACTGCGGCGCTGCTTACCTGCAAAACTGCAAATATTATGGAGAATATCGTAATTATCAGCAAACAGATGGCGACTGCAATTGCTGTGATGGCTGTCAGTGGTGAGTCGAGGCGCAAAACAAATTCCTTGCTATTGCCATCGCCGTTAGTTTCGCCTCGATCCATATTTCTGAATATTCTGTCGGAACTCACTACAGTGCGACGCTTTCCAGCTGTTGAGGCAGTCTTACATTCACCTACAATTTACAGTTCATTATGTCGATGATCTCTCAATTCGCCTCTTGGCGGCTAATGCAATATTTACCCGTCTCCTTGTCACAGTGACAACAGTTTTCAGATTCAGTTTCATTATCGCCGCCCCCGCTTTTGTTCTGGCAGCACGGCACACACTGACTGTTCAACTGATCCAAGTGGAGGGGCGGAGCGCATGTCTTGCACGAGTACTGGCCGGGGCCAAAGCAAGAGCGACAGAAATCGTGGCAGCTCTTGCACGTCTGTGTTGTTGTATCATAGTACTGAGAGCTAAGGCATTCCATGCAAAGGCCGCCATCCAACATAAAGTGTGGGGGGCATGATGTGCATGCCAGTGGGCCAGCGCCTAAAACAATCAAAATCGGTTAATAGTTGACCTTATGTATATATGCATATGTATATATTAACCGTTGCAGGTTTTGCAGTAGTGATGGCATTTCTGGCACCCAAACTCCGATTTGTAGAATCCTTCGGGGCATTCCGGATGGCATTCGCCAGCTGCTAGCTGCCACCCAGCCGGGCACTGTACGCACTGATTACGACGGGGCCCACTGCAAGTGTGACAACTAAGATAGCACTTGGCACAGATGCCGCGATCGCTGTAGTAGCTGCAAACATTGATAAATGCATAAGATAAGAAAATAGATAAATTCATAAGATAATGAAATAAAGATAAATACCCATCGGCGCATGTTGTGCGACACTCGCCGTTCTGTAGTTCAAGTCCCTTGGAGCAATTGCTGCAATTGGTGCGAGACACGCACTGGGTGCAAGTATGCAAACAGGGCGTACAGACGCCCGTCTCCATATAGAAGCCATCTTGGCAGCCACTCACACAACTGCTCTGCTCCAGCAAGCGATTCTGATGGCATGACAGGCAATTCGATGATAGTGGCCCGTTGCAAGTCTCACAAGAGTCGTAGCACGGCATGCACTTGCCCTCACTGTGACTATAATATTCAGCTAGCATGTAAGATGTGGCAGTGGCAGTAACATGGGTGAGCAACAAAAAAGTTTTACACATGGTAGCTAGTCAAAATCAAATTAGAAACTTACATTCAAAACAGCTGTCACTGCCGGCCGCAGCGCATTTGTCCTTCTTGTTGAGCAGCCAATTTGGCAGGCATTCTGTGCAGATGCCATTGCTGCTACACGACTTGCAACCATCGTGACAGGGCAGGCATTCCAGGCGCTTCTTATCCGCATAGAAGCCATCCGGGCAGTTGTTAAGGCACTTATTTTGCCACGCATATCGACTAGGTCGGCAAGTGATGCAGTTATTTTCGGTGGCTCCGTTGCATGTGGCGCACGAGGAGTGACAGTAGGCACATCTGTGTGTTACATGTAACAAATAAATAATAGTAATAATAATTATAATACTAGAGAATCTTACTTATTCTCCTCCGTTTCGTACGTATCCAAGGGACACGCTGAGTAACATTTGTTCTCATGCATGACGAGGTGATGATCACAGCTGGTACAGTACTCGGGACGGTCCTGACACGACGCACAATTGGGCTCACAAGGCACACACGTTCGATTCTTAATATCTGAGTAAAGTGATGAATTGTTGTCGAGATATTAGGAATTTAACCATTCGTTCTTAGTGCTATTGTGCTTTTGACATACCCTCAAAGTAACCGTCGGGACAAACTTGCAGGCAAACGGCGAGATCAGTGACATGCAGGTGTGCCGGGGCACAGGTAAGACAACTGTCTGGACCAGCCCCAGCGCAGGTTTCACAAGAATCATGGCACGGCCAGCATGTGCCAACTTGATTCGGGAACGAGCGCGGCGGACAACGGCTGACGCAAGTGCTGCAAACGCAAAATAAAAAAATATAAAACATTAGGGTACATTAAATATAGAAGAATATATCTTCTTAATAATTCGTATGGATAAGAAATTGACGCACAGACCAATTCGTAAGAGTTTGGGAGAACATAGCTTTGAAAGAATATAAAATAAGTGTAAAACAACAATTGAATTAATGTTGTTTAATCCAATCGGTTTGGACAGCAAGTCAACAAGTCTAAACTTGTTGATCCCTCTTAAAACGAGATTGGCAAGGTCATTAATGCTAAGTGGCGGCTTGTTGGCCGCCTTGGCTTACTTATCCAATCGATAGTGGCTGCATGCCACACACTGTGTGGGTCCACGTCCGTAGCAGCCAAGGGAATCGCACTCGGCATCGCAGGAATAAAGTATGACTTTGTTATCACCATTGGCCAAGGGTTTGGGGGTCTGGACAGCTGCTGGTGCTGCTGCTGTCGACACATTGTGGCCGTCGAGCGTTGCGGTTGCTACCTCGGGACTGGAGCCAGCGCTGCTGAATATGTTTTGGTAGTTCAGATAGCTGGCATAGTTGTCCGTATTGAAGTTGCCACCTTCGTTGGCCGGTTGCCCAATATTGGAGGCCGAGGAAAATAGGAACGGATTGTTCGCAATGGGACTGTTACGCAATTGTGTATTCAACAGCTCTGATTTGAGTCGCATTGGTTGCGTTGAGGTGCCATAGAAGATCAGCTGCCATTTCGATAAGATGCCGGGCTGGTTGACGCGTCGCCGACCACCATTGATCACCTGCAGTGTCCAACGTCCCTCGGCCTTCTCGCCCCAGTAGTGTACACTGAGGAACGGCCAGTCATCAAAATTGGACTTGACAATGTCACGCGGCCGTTCGAACAGCAATGTGCTTGTCGTGCCCATGGGCGATGTCAGCAAAATACGTAGATTGCCGCGTGGAAAGAAACGTAATGTGATGCGGCACTGCACGTGCTCCAGATAGCGAACCTCGTTGATGGTGCCGGCGCAGCCATTGACGTCCATGTGCGTTGCTAGCGTATAGCCGTAGGCACCCTCAATTTTGCGATCCTCGTTGTTCTCACGTGACTTGCATATATGCTGTGGCGGCACCGAGTTCCATTGCTCCGCCAGAGTTACCATAGCGCCCGCATCCATCAGACCGTAGCCGAACTTATGACTGTATTTGCGCTTAACTCCGTTCTGTGTCCAACCGCTCTCCTTTTCCAGTGGCGCCGGTCGCGACGTGTAAACGACCAAATATTGCATATCGCGCCAAGTTAATTTTGGATTCGCTTCCAGCGCCAAGGCGCATATGCCAGCCGCTAGCGGTGCCGATGCCGATGTGCCCGTATGCTCCACCGTACAGATGTGATCGGGTCGCAGGCGTCCGTCCATGTCCACAGTCGCCACGCTTTTGTCGTGACCCGGCGTTCCCGAACTGTAGGTCGTAGCCAGAGTTGAGGAGCACTCCTCCAAATACCATGGCTTAAAACTGTCAAATCATCAAATTGAAATACACACATTAATTACAATGAACCCGGAATAACTTTATACTATCTTTAACCAACTTACCCAGCTTGCGTAGCGCTCGAAATGGACAGTGTGAAAATGGAATTGGTGTAGCCATCGCAGTTGCACGAATCGGTATAGCGACCGCCATTGCCCGAAGCCCACACAAATATGGAGCCCTTGCCCTGACGTCCACTGGTTACGCCATAGATGAAGGCTCGACGCGCCAACGGACCGGGCCCATCGACCGTAGAGCCATCATCCTCTGGTCCCCAAGATGCACTATATATATCGATATGCGATGGATTCAAACTCAATGCTTGTGCCTCAACCACATCATTCACTTTGCCATCCAGCATGCGTACACCTGCAAAGCAAAACATAGACTTTTACACATGCACACTACACATATCATATATATATACATATATATATATATATATATATATAAGTATATCAAATTAGATAATCAGTGGTAAGATGACAGATACTTGTCACTGACAGTACTTACCACCAATGCTGGCATTATATGCAACACCAACTCCACAATAGTTATTAAAGGCAACAGCGGCCACCTCTCCGGCGCATCTGGTGCCGTGCTTATTGTCACCATTATCCTGAGGCGTTGGATCCGAATCGTTGCCATTAATATCAAATGAGGCGTCCGGATCCTGAAAGTGTACGTTTCATTTATATTATACAATTATTCATCAAAATCAAAATCAAAATATGCAATACATACATAGTTTTGAGCCAAATCCGGGTGATTAGTTTGAATGCCGTCATCTAGAATGGACACAACGACACCTTTGCCCGTGTAGCCCTTCTGCCAGGCGGGACCGATATTCATGTCAAGGCCATCCTTAGCTCCACCGTTCTTTCAAGGAGACACCAAAATACAAACATATTTATGAACTTTCGGTTAAATACAATAATACATTTTAAAGTTGCCAACTAAATGACTCAATGAAATGTATCTCCAAAATAAGTTAGATTCAATAGCAATAGCATCTCCTGTGTAAGCCATAAATTATGTTATGTAGTGCGTGTGTAATAATATATATATATATATATACATATGTACAAATCGGTCCCTATGTGAATCTAATTAAAATTCGAGTTTGTGAATTTTGTGATAGAGTAAAAGTGGTCGCCTGAATGGATTTACCAGTTTTTTAAATACTGGTTATTCAAATTTCTGGAATTACCGATGATAATATGGTTTATGTAATTTTAATGATTTAAATATATCCGTTTAAAGCGTCTAATGGAAATTCTAATTTTCGCGACACCCTTGTTATTTTGATATTATTATGTTTTATGTAATAATATGATGTAATTATATATTAAGTAAGAGCCTCAGTTTCAATTCAAGTTGCACAGTGGATATTTAAAAAATTGTACATAAGATGAAAGACATGAAAGGCATGATGACATACTTTACTCACCAAATACCACTGTTCCTTAAACAACGGATCAGAGAATAGGAGATGCGAGGTGACGTCACGGTACTCGAGGCGCGGTGAATGCGTTCCAGCCAAAGATGATGGGCCTGGGGAATATGAAAAATGCGTATTCGTATGCGGATCGATAGCGTAGTCATTAATCTGGCGCAATATATTGTACGGACTGTAGGTGGGTATGTCTTGATAAGGGCCATCCCGTTTTTGGCGGATCTTCTCGTGCTGTTGCTGCAGCCATTTTATCTATTAAGCAAAAAGCACAAAAAAAAAGAAATATTTTTTTTTTTAATTTAATTAAACGTCAATCAAACGGATCATTAAACAAACAAGCGATGAAGGTCAGAGATCAAGGTACACATATATATATATATATATATATATATTTGGCTATCCACCACTCACCTCGAACTCCGAACTTAAGGCACTGTGATGCTTGCGACTTGAACGAAGCGAACGCTTTGACACACGATGATGCTGAAACAGATAATAGTCGTCAAGGGCGCCAATCTGTGAAAGATACAGATATTTACAATATTGAGTGGCGCGTACAATGTGTACATACTTATTACGATCATATATTTGAAGAATGCAAGTGTTTTGTTTAGTTTTGTTTTCTGTTTTGTTTTTTGTTTTTTTTTTTTTTTAACGCTTTATGTACCTGTCCCTGATTGGTGAAGCCGTATTTGTCAGCTATGCTGTCAGCCACATATTTGCCAGCCGGTATATGGACAGCAAATTCATTTGTGTAGATGGGATCGTCGGGTATGCTATACGCACCAAATATTTCAATATCGTCGAAATGATGCTTCTCAGTCTGTTCAGCGTTCTTCTCCTTCGGTTGTTTCGCACTGGATGTTGTATTCTTATTGTTGTTGTTGTTGTTGGTGTTGTTATTGTGAGTATTGTTAGCCTCAGAGTCAGTCTCAGCGACGATCAGTGTTGGATGTGTGCTATTACGATTTCCAATTGATTTCGTTGCTATTCTTTTGTATGGTTGTTGGTATTTCGAGTAGTTATTGATTGGAGAGAATTCACTGGCGCTCGCATCAATGTCGAGTATTCCAGCAGAATGTTGAGTTTCGCTTACGCTTTCAATATTATTATGGTTGTTATTATTATTTTTATAATTTGATGTAATATTATTTTGAAAAGCAGCACTAGTATTTCCTAGACTTAAGATCGCTAAAACTAATACAAAATATATACAGCTTGTTGCCATTCGATTACATTTGCATAAATAGATTTTTCTAATGAGTTTTGCATATGGATGGCATCTGCTGGCCGTCCGGTTGCCCAGTTTAGCTTTTGGCGTTGAATATGAGCAGCAGGATGATTTTAAAGTTGATGATGATGATGTAAATGGTGATGTTTCTGGCCGCAGGTTGTTGTTGTTGTTGTCGTTGGCGCAATCCGTACACGTACGCTCCACAATAAATGGTAATTCGACGGTTCTTTTGTCAGTGCCTGTATCAAGCATATTTAACTCGGTTCAGCTCCAGATTTATTTGTATTTATTTTGAGATTGATCCCGATTCTCCTATTTGCCTGTGTGTGGGGTTCTGTGTGTTTCTGTCTGTCCTCCAGATTTCATGTATCCTCATAGGTATATAGTGTAATTATGAATTTGGATTATCTGCATGAATAGATAGAAATATGTCAATTTACAATGTGAAGGCGCACTGGGCTCGAGCAAGCATCGGTTAATTATTGCTTGGCAAGCGAACCTTTAGCTCCACAGCACTACACTTTTTGTACTGTTTGCACTTGGGCTTGTAACAAAAAGAATTTAAGATAACTATACGAAAAACAGTCGCCGGAAACGTGAATCACGACCCATCTCAATGCATACAGCTTAATTACACATTTATGTACGGAGTGCTCTCTATTCTTCGAATGTTGCTCTCATTGAAGCACTTAGTTATCATTTCGATTTTTTTTATTTGTTATTTTGCATTCGCATTCGCAATCGTAATTGTTATTTTCAAGTGAAATTGTGTGTTCACAAAATGACATTATTGAGTATCATTAAAGATTGAAATTATCTATGCAAAGTCATCAATTTGCTTAAGCTATTTAACTGTTTGTATGTATACATAAATCATGATATTCTCTCACTCGAAGAAGTATCTATAAGTCCGAGCTTTTCTCTCTTTGTACTGACTGTATACGATTGTCTAAAGGTACTTCACCCCTTTAAAGCCGATTGGTCAACAAGTTGTACAAATAATCAATAATCAATTATTCACAACAAAATTGTTGCTTTTTTTCACGTTAACTGTCAAATTCCCACTAATCACAAATGACCATAACACTTAATTATTTACTTATTATTTATTATATATATATATCTTTGTTATTATTATATATATATGACATAATTATATACACACACACACACACACATATATATATATATATATATATATATATATATAATAGACTTGGATTTTTTTAGAGATGGCTTAGATGGCCTGGAGGGGAATTCCAGGAATCTCGAACAATTTTTTTTTTCTAACCAATTTAATTAAGAATAAAAGATAATCACAACATTTATTTATAGTACGAGAGCGGCCCTGTGTTAGCTAAATACATATAATCACATTATTAAAAACCACGGGACCATGACAACAAAACACGAACTTAAGGGAAATATTATACAATTAAAAAACTAAATAAAAAATAAATGTTGATGAAATTAAACTTTTGATGTTAAACCAGTTTCCATGTCGGAAAAAGTACCCGGCCAGTCATATTTACAAATTAATATTAAATATATTTGACTTCGGATTAAATTGAAAACACTTCGGGATGTTTCAGACATGGTATAAGATTTCTGTTTCGTGTCGTGTTGGACGGGGGACGGGATCGAATTTGAATTCCCGTTGCCATCTTTTGTGTCAACATAATACTTCTGCTAAACAGTACACATAAAAATGTATACATACATCTGCATCTACAGGCATGAGTAAAGGGGTATAAGTGGATATGCATTGTTGCAAGTTATGATGTACATACGTCTATGTGTTGTCTGTTGGACACAAGTACATTGTATAATGTATGTATGTGTACATACAATTATGCGAATGAAAAAACAATATTATATATTGATTCCGGTTTCTATTTTACTGTGCCATTCGTCTATACAACAACAAATCATGAAAATGTGTATGTATGTATGTATGTAAATGTACATGTACAACATGCTTATGTATTTACATACAGACATACATATGTGCTAATAGCTCACATGTATTTGTTTTCTTTTATTATAAATTCACACACGTTCGTTTTTGCCAGCATTTAATCACTGATTTTTTCACAAACACAGTGAAATATTTCGCACTCACCGTACAAACACAAACACAAAAAACAAGACAAAAAAAAAAATATTAAAAAAAACGGTAACAATAGCTTTTGTATGTGTGGGTGAATTGTACAGGCACAGATTTTATACACAAACATAGATAAAGTTTGGTATATAAACTAAAGGCATAAGCGCTGCATTTTGCATTGCATTTTACATTTATATGTTCTTATATACATTGTTATTTACATACATACATACAAAGTTATGTACAATAAAACACGCTTTTGCACTGACATCCGCATGTTCATACACATCACAAATATGTATGTATGTAGCATAGATGTAATCATACATACTATGTTTGCAAGTACCTATATATGTATGTATGTACATATATGTTGCAGTCACTATTTTTTTTTCGTTTTTTTTTCGATTGAGCCAAAAGTAGTTTATCAACAGCACTGAAGGAGAAGGTGCTTACCATGAGGAACTAACCGAGCGGAGCGGACCGACCGAACTAGCAAACGACGCAACCTCGACTGCGCTCCAGCTTAAACTGAACTTTATTTTGAAGTTAAGCATACACCGATACGTACATGTGTATGAACGTACATATGTATGTATGTATGTATGCATGTACATACAGACATTCGTATTGAGTCGTCGACTATCTCTTGCTCACTGGACTTGATGAGCTAGTGGTAGTACGTACGTACATACGTACATACATATGTATGTACGCCTGTCCGAACATTAATACTCATGAAAGCACAGCTTATGAGCTTTCAAAACAAAATAAAATGCAAAACATAACACGCAACCGTGCTGTAACAAAACCCAAACTAATTAGTATTACGTATGTACATATTTACCAACACACTTACACACCATATATCTCTATGCAGGTATATACGAGCACACATTTAAGACAAGTTTCGTATGCAACTTAAAGCCAACTTACTCACACAGGCACACATAAAGCTGTGCGCACGTACACACGCACACACACACACACACACATACATGATTATATGTATTCATTTGTATGACGCTCTCAGTGCTGACATTCAAAGAGGTAGCGTCTTTAAAACAAGGTTTTTTTTATTGGATAAACAAGATAGACGCTGGCGAATTGTGCTTTTTTTTGCTATTTGCTAAATGCACAATAATAAATATTTAATGTACCTGTTAATAAACACTAACATATTTATTTATTAATGCGCATCGTAAAATAATAGCATTCAATTTGTTAAGTATGTGCAGGCTTTAGATGGCGTTGCAGTTAGACAGGGTGACACAATACTCGTAGTTTGTCCTTGTTCATTAGTGGTTCATCAAGTGGACAGCTGATTTGATGACGCGCATACGATTGTTATCGAACTTATGAGTTGACCTATCGCGCGTGCTACTGATAAGCTACCCCTCTTGTTATGCATGTATGGCAAATTATCTATACAAATTGTTTATGTGCATATTTTAGCCATCTGAAATTGTTTGTTACCTGCTACCGTTAATATCAGTCATGGCCAAAATTCGTACTCCACACACATACATTTATATACAGTCTGTATGTGTGCATACACACACACATACATGCATAGATTCATATGTATCTGCTCAGAGCAGAGCTCGTTTTGCTCTCACCCTTTTCAGCATCGAACGATGAAACAATCAGCAAGCAATTATGGCGGTTGAGCGGCTTAAAGTATCTCACACCATCGCCATCGAAAAATAAGTGTGTGGTGTGTGTACATATGAAATGTATATGGGAGAGTAATGCAGATAGTTCAAGTTAATTAAATTGCGTCACACATCGGCGCTGAGTATTGGTTTCCTTTTGTGGCCAGCATCCATCCACAAGCGGTGCCGGTCGCGTTAAGAGTACTTTTTTTGCTTGCTTTTGGGGTTTGTGTGCCAGTTTCATCGACCCGCTTACGTCGTCTTAAAATTCATACCTTGATTTTTGGACTCGAATGTGGTTCCTGGAAATAGTAGCGAACCAATATCAAAATCAAAGATACTTTTGTTTTATTTTATATAAGATCAATATTTTATTGTCAAGATGCAAAGAATTAAATGATTTTTTGCGCGCATGGGCAAATTTAAAATAAAAATTGTCCACTAAAAAATTATTTTCGGTTACAGTATACAAAAATCTGCTCTTCTGGCCATTCCTTGGCATCCCGATTGTCCTTGATTCCTGTAAACATAAAAAAACGTTAGTCAAATGTCTCCACATTGCAATATAATATCAGCTCAAATGGCTGCAGCAGAAGTCAACAAAAGCCTTTCTAAGCAATCGATTTTCAGCCAAAACTAAACAATGTCAGTACGAAACAGCATCCGTTTGAATTTCAAGAAACCTAAGATATATGTACATGTATATGGATGATATAACTAGTACTATTAACTAGACACAATCAGTAAAACAGAAATAATTTTTCAGCTTCCAAAAGGCAGGACTGGGAACTATCTGTCAAAAAGTTTAAAGGCTAAATGGAAAATGGAATAAATATCGTTTAATGGTTTAAAGTGGATTATGACCAATAGATAATGGTATCTTCTCGGTTGAGTCCAACATATTTTTTTAATAATCTTGACTTTATTTATTGCAATTGAATACATTCCATAAAATGATTTATCCATGTATATTTAAATATGCTCATTAGACTCCATTTCAATACATTTTATTTTGGGGTTATTTGCAGACACTTGTTAAGCAATTCAACAATTTTGATCTTATATCAATAATATACAATGGGTGTCTAAGACACTTCTACAAGAGCTCCTTGAGTGCATATATATATATATATATATGTACATAGTGCATATATACAGTTGCGAAAAAAATAGCACCACCACGACATTTTTTTCCATTGATCAACAATCGAACAATTAGTCTCAAAATTTTTTTAAAAGCTGGTTTTTAGTATATTTTCCCCACATACGTAACAGGTAGTACTGTCCTTGAAATACTTATCAAAACATTTTTTTTCAAGGGAAAAGCGAGGTAAATAATAATAGACCCTGGTATGTTTCGCAGACTTGCTTGTATAGAAAACGTTTGTGCTAAGAGATTCGACTTTGGTTTTTTTTTTTAACGATCATTTATTATTTCGATTATAAAGCTTAGATAACTCCAAAATTCTCAATGCGCGGTGGAAAAAAGTGCAGTGTGAAAAAAGCGATGTAAATCATATAGAGAAGTTAGTCGATTAGTTGGATGATTGAAAAATATTTCCGACGCACATAAGCTATAAGGAAACTGATGACAAATCGAACCGGAATCCAGCCTTGTCAGTAAAAAGCAGCTGCACCAAAAAAAAAAGTACATTAACATAATTGCGACTGTGCAAACTGTTCACGTTCACGTCTGCAAAAATTGAATGTCTCAACGAACACAATTCAAAATCATGCAGAGTAAGAGAGTTGCCGCTTTCAAAAGTCGAAAATATTTGCAATTGGATGAAGTTCACAAAGGAACGTGTAAATTATCCAGTTCAATTAATTAAGGATATTTTATGGAAAGATAAGAGTTCAGTCGTTGGGAATCCTCAAAACTCTGAATCTAGAATACACCCCAAAACTTGCTGTTAAATATGGAGTAATTATCTTTATTATAATTAATATAATTAGTTAGTGTTATTTTTTTTTTTTTGATTTTATTTTTAAAGTGTAAAAAAGTTGAAAAGGGTAAATAAAAATATTATTTTTTTTTTCTTTTTAGATCTTTTATAGATTTATCCACATCTAGAAATGTATTCATAAGTTCCTTAAACTTACAAATATAGGAAATGCACCTTTGAAACATATTCTTATGAGCATGGTGCTATTATTTTTTCGCTACTGTAGATATTATGTAACCATATACGTGATAATTATTATTATAATACTTGCATATTTTAATTTCGTAACGTATGCCAAATTCTGATCCTGTTTATAACTCATGTGAGCATATATTTTGCTGTGTAGAGTGTTTGAAAATCAAAGATTTACAAAAAATATGTTTCGATTTTACAGTTCTTCTAGCATTAGGTGTGGATGATTTAAAATACACAAAACAAAAAAAAAAAACACGGAAAATTTGCCATTTTAAAAATGTATATTGTTCATTAAGCAAACATTCTCCACACCATTCAGGTGAAATAAATGCAATCGTTTGACGACTCAGATTAAAGATGTAAAAAATTGTATCACCAGTTTCTTTTGATGATAACAGAATTCCCAATAAACGCTATGCTACTCGTTGCGCAATTAACAAAAGAAACAATATTAAGTACGTGACTGTAATTCCCAATAAGTGTTGGACGACTCAAATGCAAGTTACTCAATGAATATATCGTACACAATCATATAGTTATAAGCATACATACACATACTTGACAAACCAATTGAGAAGGTAGTTCGGTATAGCTGTGTAGAAAGCTGAACCTGGACTTCATTAATTCGCGATCACTTTTTAAATACACTTGTATTATCACAGTATTTCACGTCTCATAAAAATAAACAACGATTTGTGAATTTCATAACTAGTAATTTACTGTTGAGAAATGAATGAATTATTTATACATAAGACCAGAACTTGCGCTTGAAATGTACATTTTGAATCCAAAACAAATGCACTTTTTATACATTTTTTTTTTATTTCGCTATTTAAATAGACGAGTTCTATTAATAGTCGAGGTAATTTCGATAACTGCTGTTGATAATCGTGACAATAGGATATAAAACTCAACATAGCAAAAAGAAAGAGCAGTTTACCTACACGATTAAGACAGACAAAGCCAAAATACAGAAGACGTTTTTTTTATTTATTTTTTTTAATATATATATACTTTCATTCAATGACCTCTGCAAATGTATTAAGTAAATATCAATAAATCTTCTATCATTCACAACTGTTTCTGTATACAGACGCACAAACACACACACACACACACAAACACACACACACACACACACAAACACATATACACACTCAAGCATTCAATATTTCAGCATTTCGTTATAAACCAAGTGTTAATTTCGTGGCACATTAGGATAGTGAACCGTACATACCTTTTGCTAAATCAGGTTTTTACTCCAAGTTACAATGCGAATTCTCGTGTTGGCATCTTTAGGCCAACCTAGAATATGCTGTTGTAGCGATCCCTTGTACATCATGGTTATATATATTTATATATATATACATACATATAGAGACCAGAAGTGCCCAGAACATTGTTGGAATACTTTCCCTTTCCTTATATCCCAAAAAACTTGTTCCTCCCATAAGTCATAGATAATATTATTTTTATTATGATCCCCTAAAAACCCAAAAGTCATAATTTATATTATGACTTACCAACTATTTTTTCTTTTTTTTAACGATAGATTTTCATTTTATGAATACAAACTATAGTAATTTGGTAAATAATCAAAAATAGAATTGGTTGTTATCCGTAAATCTAAAAGCAAAAAGCGTTTATTCCCCTTATAGAATACACAATATAGTTTATTTGAATGACCGTTGCAAAATCAGAATCATATTTTGTAAACAGCGGCTGAGATACATTTTTTCCAATTTCTTTTACAAACTTTAAGCATACGAATCATTTATATTTTTCTTGTTCTTGTTTTTCCACAAAATTTGTCGCATATCGATATTAACCAAAAAATGTTCAAACTTGGAATGAAAACGCCAAAAATTGTGAAGTAACTGCATCATATTGCTGGATGACCATCTTTATGGATGAAAAAGCAGAAGCCAAAACAAGATGTGAATGGATCAACATTTCAGTGACGTGTTTTGTGTTGTTTGCTAAATTGTCGAAGCAATTTTAACATTTTATAATATATTTATGATAAGAATCCTAGTCGCTGATCGTTTCTGAGCAACGGAATGCTTAACAAATATCAAAATTGAAAAAAAAAGAGCCAAATCTGTGATAAAGTTTACGCACCTCTAAAGGATATAAAATGCAAGAACTGACAAAATAAATAATGCAACCCAGTCCCCTCCCCCCAACAAGACAATTTGAAATTTAAGCTCGATCTGTAGATCTGTAGTTATGTGTATAATATATCTCCCCCTTTCACATACTAGAATCCAACCCCACCGAGCCCTGGAGCCAGGACATCCACTCGATACTCACCATAATTTGTTGCTGCACAACATTGCACATAATATTGGAGAAGATAAGACCATTTAACCTATGAATGTATGTATGTATATATACATAGGTATATATATATATATATAGCATATACTTATATTTGAGAAAAATTATCAAGACATGATGGATAAGAAGGTTAAAAAAAAAGAATACTCAAAAAGTGTTTTACATATAAAAATATCCATTTTGAAATTGTAGATATGTTGTGTGTGAGCACATACACAATTAATTACTTGTCGCCCAATTATACATTTTTTTGATCTCCATTCGTGGCGAAGTTTTTTTTTTTTATGTTGCATTAATTTTTACTTTCTTAAAACTACACTTAAAGGGTGATTTTGGGTTTTTAAAGCGGCAAAAAGCCTAACAGGTGACATAATTGAAAAATTATTACATTAAATCATAATAGATGATTGCGGATTATACATTTATTTATATTTATAATATATATATATATATATATATATATATATATATATATATATATATATATGGTATTATTAGGTATATTCTTGTTATTTGTTTTTGTTTGTGTTGTAGTTGTTGATTTTTTGTTTTTGTATGCATATTCACAAAATTGTGAAGAGTCAAATGTTCAACGTAAATCAATAAAACTGCCGATATACGGATTATCCATTATGGTCCATTCATTCAATCGGCTGTCTAAAAACGACGACGTCCCCATGGAACATTATTTCCGCCATTATTTCCACGTTGATTGCCGCCTTGGTTCATATTGTTAACCCCAAATTCAAAAGGAGCGAAGGCGTCCTATTCGAGCAAGGAAAGTACAATTGTTCAATTGAGTTGTTACTGTTTTGACTGAGTAGCGAAACCCAATTACAAAACCAAAAATAATAATAAGGCATTATAAATAACAATATCAAAAAATAGTCCCCCCCTCCCCGCATATAGTATTGTTCATCATTCACCCCATTCCCACCAGCGCAATCATTTGCAGGTCGCACACCAATAACCGACTACTAATTAATAAAATATATTTTGATTTGGTGTAAGAGATCACTTAACTCCACACTCCGCCTGCCCTCTCACGTTGGTGTATTCCAATGTTTTCTTTGAAGCCTTGTAAGATACAAAACAACGACACTTGAGAATAACTTATACAACTTGAAGCGTTTGCGATGCATTACTTCGAAAACAAAAAATTATCATAGATTCAGATACCGAATCGAATAATGCTGAAACTACTACAGCATACCAAATAGAAGAAACATTTTTCTCAAGTCAGTCTCAAACATTTAGGCTAGCTACGTCGTAAGCAGATACATTAGGTCGAAAAGTATTATAAGTTTGTTGGAACACTCGTAATGCAGTGAAGAGGACGTCCCCGACTCCACATAGCATAAATATTCCTAATCATAAGCCGAGTCGATATAGCCAGGTCCATTTTGTTCAATGCGAACCAATCCATCAGTTTTAAAGTTGTCTTAATGAAACTTGATATATGTCCAAGCCCGCTGGATCGAATAACTATATTATAAACCTGCCATACGAACGATCGGTTAAAATATGAGTTTCTTCAAAAATATATCCACCAAACTCATTAAATGTAGATATTATTCTGGACATCGGACTACTATCTGATACAGCGTTCATTGGAAAAATCAGTCTGCTTTTAGTCTTTTATAGTGAAAGTTTGAAGTCGACAGGTTGTCATCGGTCTACAAGGGTATATAATAGTCGTTCTGACTTGTTTTAATTATTTTGTTGGTTTTTGTTGAGATTTCTGCATTGACAAAGCGATGAGCCTTTCTAAGGCAACATCTTCAGGCGGCACACTATGTTGATTTTTTGAAAATCGATGTCGTATCTAATCGGATCCTCTTTTAAATCTGAATTTTGCTCAAAAAAAAAAAACTGTGATTGTGACTCGAAAAGTGTTGTTGCCTATTCTGATATCTGATTTAACTAAAAAAAAAAATGTAAGCATATATTGTTGAGCTTTTAAAACAATCACAAGCAGGACATTTTTGAGTATCACATAGTTTAAATAGGGATGCGGCGCCTTAGTCTCATCGATTAACAATACCGAAGAGATGCGAAACAGATATTTTTGTTCTTTTTGTAATTTTCAATTATCCCTAATACACATATTTAGTATGAATGCGCTAAATAAAGCACAGACAATTTTATACTTGACTACCCCTAAAAAAAAATATATGTGCATAAAGCTCTAGCACTTGGTATTTTCTCGCTCTCTCCCCAACACCCCTCCGCCACCCTTCCCCACCTCCATCTATATGAATCAGAATAGTTATTGAAATTATATAAGAGTGGAGACAAAATTGAAATTTAAATGGTATAAATAAATATACCCGTAACCGGTTCACATTCGAACCGTATACTAGTTGCTCAACACAACGTTTTGGTCGTGGCGCACATACCTGTTGCTGGCTGTTTACACCGGGTCCGGGTCCGGCATTGTTGCCAGCCATGGATGAGTTGTTGTTACCTGCAATAAATAGTGTCACATTAAAAATGTTGTGAGTGTGGGTGTGGATCAAGTCAATCATTTACCTCTGAATACTTCGAATGGCGAGTTGCTATTGCCTCCGAAATTATCAAAATTGGAGTTGCCACCACCGCCGCCGCCACCGTTGCCACCGCCGCCCCCGTTGCCACCACCAAAGCCTTCCTGTTGATCAAGCAGCGAGTTCAGCTGCTGTGCCTGCATGAACAGTGTGTTCTTCTGCTGACGATGACGCATATCCTCTTCCTGGCGCACCATACGGCTCTGCATTTCGGTCTGGTGGCGACGCATGGTCTCCTCCTCGCGCTTACGCATATCCTCTGCCTGCTTCTCACGCATTTCCCATTCCAATTTCTTGCGCTCATTGTCAGATTCGCGTTGTCTCAGTTCTACAAAAGTCGAGTGGTCGAGTATTAGATGACGAGTTAATTGCTTTGCACTTTGATGATTGATGAGATTGACCGGGTAAGTACCGACACTTATGAGCGCCTTGGCGTGAATTAATTATTATATATACAATCATCAGACACAGGTGCATTTATATTTGAAGATAATGAAGGATGTGCTTGGGATAAAGGATCACTAGCATGTGTCCGATCCCAGTCGAATGGGAAATCTACGATATCTAAATTACATAACATAAATAATATGCACATGTCCACGAATCCATCTTTATGTTGGATGAGAAAACATTCTAAGAAACTTTAGATGTATAAGATATTCATCGACTAAAAATACGACTTTCAAAACATTTGTGGTTAACACAGAATCAAATTTATATTGAAATAAGGGAATGTAGCAACTTAAGAAAATATAATCCTTAAGTCCTGTGTTCCAAGAAAATATCCAGTGTTGACTGCAAGGCAAAGCAGCACTTAAACTGGCCCGAAGAGAAATTGATAAATATTTTATGAAATAAAAATTCGTGGCTAAATATTCACCCTTAACCCATGTATCTTTATTTATTAGGACACATTTCTTTCGTACTTCTTCAAATGGTTTAGTTGTTTTTCTTTCAAACTTTTGCTATTTGTGTTACTATCTAATTATCTCAAAAATATACTTTTTTTTTTTTTTTACAAAATCTATATCTATATATATATATATCTATATATCATATATATACATATATATTCTGTATATTTGGGAGCAAGCATCCTGCTTACTACCTCTCCAATCCCTGTGGGCGTTTGGCAACCCATTTGGTTTTTCCCTTCCATAAATTAATATACGACAGACTTAAATCTGACGCGACTCATTTTGAAAAATATATATTAAATACTAAGAATGTAGAACTCGTAAACGAGTGGGTCACAAATTTGACTTAAAGTGTCATCATTTTGTCCCCAAGTCGTAAATAAGCCGTTAAACACAAAAACCGTCGAGAATCTAAATTTATGCCCACAAAAAAATTCCACGTTAACGATTTGTTGTCAGATAAACCCTCCTTAAAATATATAATATATACATACATACATGTAGTATATGGGTGTAGAAAAGTCCATAATTGCAAGAGATGTTTTCTTTTAGTAAAACAAGAATTGTACAGGATTATGAATAAGAAGCAGTTCTGCAAGAGCAGTTTGACAAGTCAGTGACCGTTTTTGAATCCAGTGACTGATATTTCAAAAACGTATTTTACATTTTACACATAGACAAGGTAATATTTTATCGAATGTCTGATTCGAATTTGATGTTCGGCATTTGGAAAAGTCAAGACTCCGTCGAAAGAACGCAATATTGTTATTCAGCCAGTAGAAATATTAAATAAGCTGGCAGTTATACCACTAGTGAAGTAAGAAAATAAATATGTTTAAATAATAACAAAACCTATGTGTATTCATCCGAAATGTTATTATCAAGTACAATTTTCATAAGTACTAAGAGAGAGACAGAGACAGAGAGAGCGAGAGAGACAGAGAGAGAGAGAGAGACAAAGAGAGAGAGAAACAATGAGAGAGAGACTGTAGAGATTATAGCTAAGCAGGAGGAACCGACGTTAAATTCTAAAATCTCGTCGCTGAAAAAATAAGTTTTTATGGTGTCCACAAGAAGGACTTTTCCCGAAAGTCTACATATATATAGCTGAAATTTTCATAGCATAAAATTTAGAAGGCAGATTACCCAGTAGGGGGCAAAACGATATATCTTAGAACCTAGTGAAGTCTTCATAATCAAGAACAATAGTCCCTAACTGTTTTTAACTGTTATTTAAATGGCAACAGATTTTAAAACAGTCGGTTACGACCGACGGCAAAGGATTTAACCATATAATATATTTCATTTCCTATTGATTTATAAGATTTAGGCATGTAGGGAAGGAAAGCAGATTGAAAACACTGAAAAGAACTTCGGCTAGCCAGAAGATAAATATGTATTTAATACTCGTATTACCCTCTGTTATACTGACCTTGGCGTAAAAGCTCTGTTTCTTGCTCATAGCGAGCATACTCCATCTGAGCTTCGAGCTTCTCTTCTTCCATTTTGAGCTCACGCTTGAGAGCATCTTGCTTGCTTTTGAAGAGATCGTGCAACTGTTTCCATCGTGAGCCGTACTCGTGCTCAAATGAATTTAGATCGGCGAAACGGGGACCAACGCTGCGCTCCTGATTGAACTCTTGCAGCTTCTTATTGAGCGCCTTCTCAGGCAATCCATCGTTATCATCGTTAACCTCCATCGGTTCCACCAAGCATGGACGCAACGAAGCTGTCAAAAAAAAGCATTTCTCATTGCACAAACGCAGACAGGCGCTGGCCGATGATTTTTTTGCAAACTCAACGGTGCCCTCGCCCAAATGTTTGCCACGATCGTCGACCGTGATGCTGGCGCGCTCAATGGGTCCAAATATTTCGAAGGACTTGTAAAGCAGCTCGTTGGACACAAATGGTGTTAGATTGCTAACACGCAAGATGGTTGCATTTGGTGCGAAACGGACGCGCAATTGGCGACCCTTCCGCAGGGAGCCGTCTAAAGCACGCTTGGCCTTTTCGGCATTGATGTGATAGTCGACCTTAAGGAATGTAAAGTTCTTTTCAAGGTTTGAAAATATCTCCCCTATTTCGCCGTACGGCTTGAACATATCGCGCAATTCCTCATCGGTAATGTCGTTGGTCAAATTGCCAACATAAAGACGATTGCGGCCAGAGAACTTTGTCTCCTGGGCGACCTCGATTGGCGGTAGCTCGTGGGTGGGGCCACTAATGCTGCGAAGACGTTGGGCTATAAAGAAATCATCGCCGCGCTGTGTGTTGTTACCGCCGCCAGAGTTAGGTCCGCCGCCGCCTCCACCACCACGGGATCCGCGATTTCTATCGCGTCCACCGCCTTGTCCGCCTCCGCCGCCACCACCACCGCCGCCGCCACTTCCACCACCACCACCGCCTCCGCGAACTCTAAATGCTTGGTTTTGAGCTTGAGAGTGCGCATGGACCTGAGCTTGAGCCTGAGCTTGGGCTTGAGCCTGAGCTTGGGCCTGAGCTTGAAGTTGGGCTTGAGCTTGGGCAGCTTGATTTAAATTTGCATTGCTGTTAGCTTCGATAGCTTTCTCATTTAGATTTCCTCCTTCCACTTTTGGTGCTTCTGTTGCGGCTTTTAGCTATATATGTGTGTATTATACATATAGACGTGAGTATATAAAGAAAGAAATAAATGTGATTTACACTACGAAATTGTTCAACTAGAATTATCATCAAATCATTGCAACTCGATAACACAACAATCCAAGCAATTGACAAACAATTTCACTTGGCTTGGCTATGTATGTACAGTGCTGGCCATATAATTATGGACACTCACTTTTCTTCATCAAGGCAAAATGATTTTCTATATTTATGTATAAATATATATTTATTTCTTCGAAATTAATCATATTTATAAAAAAAATAAATAAATAAATATCACAACAATACTTTCAAATTAAAAAAAAAAAATTATCTTTTCAAGACCAAAATTATTGCAACATCAAAACAAAAAAATTAAATGTGCAAAATTTGTTCGTTTACATTTCTGATGCACATATGTATAAATATATATTTGAAACATCAAAGAACAAATATATATATTTAATTGATGTACATAAAAACAGACTTGAGCAGATTGCAGAAAACTTGCAAGTCCCCTTTTTTTTAGAGCAAATAGTTCAAAAATTTACGAATAGTTTGTTCAAATAGCACCCAAAAATAAATTGAACAAATTTTCCATTTAAGACCTTTGTTGATCTTTAAATGTGTTTGTTGCCAAAGATATAACTCTGTAAACATAAAAAAATAAGAGATAAAATTTCTGAATTTTATATATTTCATTAAGGATAAAACCTTCTATAAATGTTAATCCGTTTATGTATTCTTAAGAAATGCACAAACATAATTCTTTAAGAAATGTTTTATAGTAACAGAACGTGCAACCCTTGCCACCTTATATGGCACAAAAAAAAATTAATTTAAAAAAACCTACTTAAATTTTGTTGAATAAATTCAATATTTGATAAGATAGCTTTCAGATTTGAAATATGTTTGAAGCTTAGCAATAACAGCCTGCATAAAAAGTATTATACTTTGTACAAGCCAAACAAATTACATAAAGACATGGTTGTAGTGTTTATATGTCTAAAATTCCCAGCCTTATGCTTAGCATATGAATAGAAAGTGCAAAACACATTCTAAAAATTAAGCTTAAATTCGAACTGCAAAAATATGCAACGCTGTCCCCATAACCGGAATCCAAAGCACAATTGGTGCACGAACATATTGTGTAATTTAAAAGTTAAAAACACATGCGATACGATGACTAGTTTGATAAAACGCCAAGGTCGATCAAGAAATCCATTCCAATGGTTTCAGATTTGGAAACAGTCAACGTCAATATATTGCAAAAACTGTCAATATAAACACAAACATGCATACATATATATTTTCTTTTTAAAATTTTAAGAAATGTGTTCCCCAAATATGCCCTTTTAATCCCGATTTTTCATATAACGATTATACGATTTGTTTCAATGATCAGTCAATTAAAAGTAAAAATTGCCCAACACTGGAGCAAGGTTTTACAAATTCAAATAAGATGGCAACGCCGCAGCCAAAGACCTATCTGTCATTGGAGGCCCCAAAAAATACTTTACATACATACATATGTTTGACTTTCACTCTATCAGAGTTCAACAAACCATCGCTTATTCAATAGTCACTTTAAGAATTATTACTTTATCTTTTATCTTTATTTTCATGCGAATCTAAAATGCATGTTTTGTATTATGACAAGTGAGGTTAGTGTACTCATCATGTTGATCATAATTGTATGTACATAATACACTTTAGTTTAGTAGTTACGTACTTTGCGCTGAAGCAGAGGTACGATATGTAATTAGATGCACACCCTACGCACAATAGTGGTTGATTGCCGAATTCTCAATATGGTATGGATATCGTTTGCCGGTTGTAAAAACACACACACACAAACAAATAACACTTCGAACTGCAACTACAACGGCACAAGCTGATTTACCTAAAATCCATTGGTGCGAATGAGATAAATAGTATACATGAACATACTGTACGATGCACACGTACACACCATACACCATACACATAAGCACACGCACACGCATATGGGTGCATAGGTTTGTGTATACCAAACATACATTAAATTAAGCAGTTCAAATGGTTTCAGTATGCTGAACACAATACCGAAAACAAAAAAATATGTTTATATGCATACAGTTTTGAAAATTGCTTTTTCTACGGGACTTCAAATTGTAGACATACGTATGTTTATCTAACCATTGATGTTTGCCACGTATTTATTGCATTTTCAAATCACACAGCATCAGCACACTTCGCTGACCGCCATTCTAAATGTACTTGTACTTTTCAATTGTGCACACTGTTCATATACACAGCGAATGTTCGTAGAGGACATACAAGTAGATTTGTAAGTTTGAACATTTTTTTCGTAAGTACAAGACATGATCCTCTTATATGGAATTAGCGAATTGTCGCCGGCAGTATTAAATCGAATTTAATGCAACTTAAATTTTCTTGTTTTTTTTTATGTTTGTATAATCTGCATGTACTTACGTTTGCATTATTCTGATTTGGAAAATTCGACCTATTTTGATTACCGACACGATTGCGGTTGCGATTTCCACCTCCACCAAATCCACCCTTGTTTGCAAAATTCTGATTTTGATTCGGACCGCCGCCGCCTCCACCACCGCCATTCTGATTATTCTGGCAAAATCGTGGTCTTTTTTCAGGCAAGCCACCGTCTGAGACAACTTCGTTTGGCTTTTGTGGACCATGTTTGCCGATATTCTTATTTGCCTGAGCTCTAGCTCTTGCTTGGCGCTGTGGCAATGGTGCTAAATTATCCATTTTCACCGAATTTTCCATTCCAATATCGATGGGAAAAACTACTATCTTTAATTACACAACCGTCCAGCTGCGTTCACAAACTAAAGCGTAATAAAGTGAGAATATATGTGGAAACGAAACAGTTCTATATCTGTCAGGGTTGCTTAGATCGCATCGAACTATCGATATATGAAATGAAACAAGCATCTCACAGAGCGGCATCGACAGGAACGCATGGGATATTACAATGATATGCAACCTTTTTACACACACTGATGATGAATTCTCGATTTTCGAAATTTACGCTTGATGTTACTCTGGGTGAATAAGCACTAAGTAAGATACGTACGAATGATGAAGGACATTATAATTGACAAATTCATAGGATTATACAACGATAATCATTGTAACCGATGGTTTGCTAAACTCTAATGGAGTGAAAGGACTAAGCAAACGATATAAACATATGCATGCAACGTATTTTTGAGACCTCCAACGACAGATAGGTTTTTGACTAAGGCGTTGCCAACTTATTTGAATTAAAACCTTGCTACAGTGTTAGGCAATATGTACAATATATACTTTTAACTGACTGCGAAAAATAGTATAATCGTTACATGAAAAAATTGGTTTAAAAGGGTATATTTGAGGGACATATTTCATTGTAAGAGATATCTCAAAATCGTTTACCGATTGTAAAAACAATTGATGAACGTCAGAGATGGGAACAAGAAAAAGATTTCCAGTCCCGCCAATTCCGAAAAACATTTTTTATATTGGGTAATTTCACTAAGCAGACGGCAGTACATAGAGGCGTCAAATCGACAAAAACGGCCATCATGTTTTTCTGTGCCAGTGGGTCCTATTCTGCCTCGGATCGACCAGAAGACAACGCTTCGAAAATTATGCAGGCCTCGCGTATCGGGCAGCAAACACAGGCCATTATTTCATTTGACTTCGCTGGAACAACTTTCGTGCTAAAGTAAAATCCCAGCCTCTTATGAATATGCGTGCGTGGATGAGAGCAGTTAAGCATCATTTCTAGTTGGTATATTATCCGCTTAGTGGTAATATGTACAAATTAAAAAAAAAAGCAATGACAGATTAAATCCTTGACGTTACGTTTTTAATCGTTTTAAACTTGAAGCTTATATACAAATATTAATATTTCAGAATTTCGATGTGTAAAAACTAATTGTTTTTGGAGTGGGATGTCCAGGACTCTTAGGGAATCTAAATCGAAACAGAATATAAATTTAAATTATTTGAATTGAATAGTTTGACTGCTTACCAATTTCATTAAAGCCTTTTCTAAAGTATTTAAGAAAAATGTCGATGGGAAAATTTAAAAGCTTGCGACGGATAAAATCTAGAATCGCTAATGTGGCAGAAGTAAGGGCCTTTAACTGTAAATATATATTTTTGGATAATACAATATGGCCAAATGACATTTTTACGTGCCACTTACGGTTGCAAAAACAATATAGTAGACAAGAGTAGTCGGAAATAAGAATAATATTGCAGAAAAGAATATCGTTGCTAGGTAAAGCTGTCGATTCATATAGTTATGGGCTTCGGTTCTATCTGAAAATTTGAAAGGACTTTTTTTAATATATGAAATGCAAATTTAATTTGGTATTCCCTTACTTCTTAAAATATTATAACGATTGCCCCGTACCACTTGCCATAATACTGAAAGCCCCTTTAGTTCAACATTGTTCAACCTGAAATAATAGGTAAACTTCGAATAGTTGTTTTTTTTTTTGTGACGACAGCTCTTACACTTTGGTATAAACGTAAAAGCAATGGGCATGTAAGCCAACAATTGATATTAAGTCAGCAAGGAGTGCTATTTGATATGTAAGTCCAAAACATCCAAAAGCACCAATTGCGAGAAAAATTTGTCGTACAATTGGTTCAATTAAGTCTGAAACACAAAACAAATTGATTGATTTAATGGATAAACACAAGTTTCTATTTAATTCATACCCAAAAATGTTGACCACAATTCGATGTGATATTTAAAGCAATCAAGAAAAAAATTATTCAGGTGTATGTTGAGCTTCAGGCCGATAGGACTCCCTTCCAAAACTTTCAGAAGGCTGTATAACTGATTTATAATGATCTGTAAAATGGTATATAGGTATGTATTTTAGCGTACAACATCTTATCAATTAAAACGTTTGGCTTACGTGGGAGATTTGAATAAGGTAATCACCTGGATGCGAAACAAGCGTAAATAATGTCAGCATCAATATAATGCCCAATGCTCGATCTATTATTATATTACTCAATCTAGAACTGGGAAGTCATATAAATAATCAAATTAGTATCAGAATCAGAAAAAATTAAAAGGTTTTGTTTAAACTCACCCATTTGCGTATATCAATTGCCATTCCTTATAATGCCTATAGATAACAGTATGGGTTATTATACTATTCACGAATGTATTGCCGATAATATTTTCAAGCAACTGCATTGGCATATTTGCAAGTAAACTTAGGGGTCGACTTCCATAGAAAGATAAACCAGCTGAGTTACTGCAAACATCTGGTTTGGGTTGGACTAAATGAGCCAGCATATAGAAGTCACACTCATCATGACCCTCTCTTGTCCAGTGGTTGAGTGTGTTCTGTCCTTTAACAACCAGGCTGCGCACTATTTCTTGATCATAAAGTATCAGTTTGATTGGCTTTAGACGTTCGGGCGTTATTCCAGTGAAGATGAGTGAAATGTTTGGCGAGTCCTTAGTATAAGTAAAACATAAGATCATATCATGTGAACGGCAATAGCTTGAGTCCGCAAAGGAATCATTGCATAGGATTGCTCCCAAGAATCGCATTTTATTGGAATCAGAGTCTGGCTTATAGCTGTCAACATCCATCACATAATATACGACAACATTGTCCTCGCTGATGTGTAACTGTCCATACAGATTGCAGGTCCGCTTTAGATAGAAGTATTCGGTAGGTAAATATATTTTTATGCTCATTATTTACAGCGAAACTGACATTAATAGTCTTCATAATACAAAACAAAAAAATATCAAGACCAGGCGAATTATCTAGATTTGTATCGATACTTATCGAATTAGTTTAAAAAAGCAATCGATGCATCGATATTTCTTAAAGGCAATGCAACCGTGACTGCGTTCGTGTTTCAATTCATTCGCAGATATTTATTGTCATACACATTCGCATTTTGGAGAGATACATATTTCATCGGCTTTTGTTTTATAGTAAAAAAAATTCGTTTAAATCTATATTGTTTGTGTAAATATCACCATGGGATATGATGGTAAGTGACAACATTTAAGTACAATGACATCCCTTGAAGTTACGTATATATCAACGTTCGTAAGTACGAGCATCGGTTAATTTACACATGCATGCATGTATGTATGCATGTACATAAGTTCACATAAATAGAATACACGAATGTATTAATGCTTGCAAATTTAGACTTGACATGTGTACTTAGGAAAACATCATTGACGTTGTTTGTTTAACAGTTATAAAACCATTTATGCATTTGTCGCTTTTACGAACACTCACCGGCAGACATATTGTGAGCTACATGCTTATGTATATATGTATGCTCACACACATGCACACACGTATACGTATACTGATGCATGTATGATTGTTGAGTTTTCAGTTGTTTGCCTTGGGCTGCAATTGCAACTTATCCTGAGAGTAATGCATACATATGTATGTATACATATGTGGATATGTTTCCCACCAAAATAACCGCAATGCGTATGGCGATGGGACAGTTTTTACCAAAAAATTAATATGTATGTACGCATGAGTGTGGGGATGTATCTACGTATGATATGTGTGTGTGCAAATCCCCATGAGTATACAGCGCACACTTTTGAGATATGCTTATGTTTATGCATATATGGGCATATATAAAACTTAATATGCCCTATGTACTATATTGTCAGTTGTAAGAAGGCCTATCTTTTTTGGACATGCATATGCACGTACAGTACCTTCAAGAATATACATCCGCTCTAAAAGGCCTAAACTAAAGCATTAACAAACGCTAGCTTTGAACAGTTTCCTACCTCATTGAAAATTCATCTTGCACATTTTGAAATCAGTTTCAAACAAAATGCCAACAGTTATTCCAGGAAAGACAGTTTTATTTATGTGTATGCACACTGATTAACACTTTAAGCTAACAGCCAACTATTCGCACTTCATACATGCATTCATCAGTATTAGTTAAAGAATACATCATCATTCATACTAGTTACGTTACATTACTAGCTATTGTTAATATATTTATATATATATATATAAATGAGAAACATGCTGTTCTATTATCCCAGATCGCGACCGTGACCGTGACAGGCGTCGCCATCGCTCTCGTTCTCGTGACCGCCATCGTGATCGGTCTAGGGATCGTCGCCATCACCGCAATTCGCGCCGTAAGCCATCATTGTATTGGGATGTGCCACCGCCAGGATTTGAGCACATAACACCAATGCAGTACAAAGCGATGCAGGCGTCGGGTCAAATCCCGGCCAGCGTTGTCCCTGATACGCCGCAAACAGCTGTACCCGTTGTGGGTTCAACAATTACGCGACAGGCGCGTCGCTTGTATGTGGGAAACATTCCGTTCGGTGTCACTGAAGAGGAAATGATGGAGTTTTTCAATCAACAAATGCATTTAGTTGGTTTAGCACAAGCCGCTGGCAGCCCGGTGTTGGCATGTCAAATTAATTTGGACAAGAACTTTGCTTTCCTCGAATTCAGATCTATTGATGAGACCACCCAGGCCATGGCCTTTGATGGCATCAATTTGAAAGGACAAGACCTCAAAATAAGGCGCCCACACGATTATCAACCAATGCCTGGCATCACTGACACACCGGCCGTGAAACCTGCTGTTGGTAAGTAGTTTGTCAACGAAATCTGCTTACTGGCTTATATTAACAAGAGAGAACGTTGCAGTCGAGCGTAATTTAATAGTATACGTACTACCAGCTGATGAAAGGTAGCCAAAAACAAGGTTGGTTTAGCCAAAAAATATTGTACAAGTTTGCCTTTGAAATTGCGGTAGACATGAGCTAGTAACGTTTCTTCGAAGTTTGGTAACTGCAGATCTTAAATTGCGGGAGATATAGGCTTCTGGGAATTTCGGAGTCCAGAGCGGCGTAGTAAAAAAAAAGTTTTTAGAGTACGATCTTAGTAATCTTCGTTCCAAGTTTGGTAACTGTTGTCTTAAATTGCGGGAGATATAGGCTTATATCGTTTTTTAGGGTAGGAGTGGGCGTGGTCCAAAAAATTTTGTAAGGGTGTTATTAACAATATACCTTTCAAATTTGGTGACTAGCTTTCCAATTGTGTGAAATATATGGTCTTATCGATTTACACTAACAGGTGTGTCGGTTTAGGGAGGCGGAGTGGAGGGAGTTAAAATATATATTGATAGCCAAGCGGCAATCAAATCTATCAGCACAATGTCGTCAAATTCGATATCCGCAATAAGCTGTCGCAAATCTCTACACGAAATGGCAAATCAGTTTATGTTAATGGCAAATCAGTTTAAGCTGATGAGTTAGCCAGGAAAGACACTCTACTACGCCTCCTCCCTGACAAGAAACTTGACCTGCAAGCTCAAAATAAGAAAAAAGAATAGACTCAGGTCAAACGACAAATGGCTAAATGCCATGGGGCGACGCAGGTGGGCGTGCCATATGCCGATTTTGGAAGGACATAGCCAAAAACCTACTAACCAAATTATAGCCTAAAAATTATGGACGACATGTGGCTTTATCGACTTGCGAATATCGATGTTTATCGATTTCCTAGTGGACGTAGCACTCCAATTTTTACACATACAAAAACACAAATGTCTTTTTAACAGTGTCCAGTGGAGTTATCTCAACAGTGGTACCCGATTCACCACACAAAATATTTATTGGAGGTCTACCAAACTATTTAAATGACGAACAGGTATGCTTAAAATCCACATAAACTGATGACACGAGTAACCAAAGACAATCCAACTATGCTATATTTATATTTATTGTACTACAGGTGAAGGAATTGTTGCTATCATTTGGTAAGCTGAGGGCTTTTAACCTTGTTAAGGACGCTGCAACTGGCTTGAGTAAGGGATATGCCTTTTGTGAATACGTTGATCTTAGCATTACTGATCAGGTAAGTTGATCCCTGCTCTGCTCTCTTCCCTTCGACTATATTTGTCTCATGTTATTTCATCATGTGTACTCAATGATTATTTTTTTCTTCAATCAAGTCAATTGCTGGATTGAATGGCATGCAGCTTGGTGACAAGAAACTGATCGTTCAGCGTGCCAGTGTGGGTGCCAAAAATGCTCAGAACGCAGCTAATACCAGTCAATCGGTGATGTTGCAAGTACCGGGTCTATCGACAGTGGTGACATCTGGTCCGCCCACTGAGGTGCTTTGTTTGTTGAACATGGTCACACCCGATGAGCTGCGCGATGAAGAGGAATACGAGGACATATTGGAAGATATTAAAGAAGAGTGCACGAAATATGGCGTCGTTCGCAGCGTCGAAATCCCGCGTCCGATTGAGGGCGTGGAAGTTCCTGGTTGCGGCAAAGTGTTTGTCGAATTTAACTCGGTTCTCGATTGTCAGAAGGCACAACAAGCATTGACTGGACGCAAGTTTAGCGATCGTGTTGTTGTTACATCATACTTTGATCCTGACAAATATCATAGACGCGAATTTTAGATAAACTTTCTACGTATTTCACACATTCACCAATATGTCCAAAAACAAAAAAATAATAAATAAAAATGAAAAAAGAAAAGAAAGAAAAAAATCACATAATAAAATAACAATGCATGACTTTAATCCAATATACAATTAGTTTGATCTTTCGCAATTAATAATGGGAATATTGTCGGCGGCGATAATTGCCAATTGTAGATTCGGCATTCTCGGAATTTTCAGCATATTGACATAGTCGACAATAAATTTGATATCACTTATACCGTATAAACTTTATTTGGCATTGAAAAACAAAGGAAGACAGTATAATTTATATTTTTGTACACGTGTGGATGATAAATACATTTATAACAGTATTAACATACAATTTCTAATTAGTTTAAAAGCAAATATATATATATATATATTTGTATATATTTATTTATTTAAATATAAAACTCTTTGTGCTGGCTGACTGATTAATTTGACCAAACCAAAAGACGTAAGTTAATTCTAAGAAGTGGTCTATAAAAATGCCAAACTGGTGAGAAAATGTTGCATGAAAATTCTTGTTTTTTATTCAATCAACTATACTCATTTTCCAAGGCCCATGTGAAAATCTTTGTTCGATTGGTTTAAGACTTGATTATCAAAGCTCGACACAATAAATTATTAACTATGTGATTTTGGAAAGTCCAAAAATGGGTAGACACAACATTTTTTATTTAAGCCGCCTCAAACTCATATTCGAGTGTAATTTTGAGACTTCACTTTTTTTATGAAAGTAAAAAATAAGCTTCAAGCATTTAGTTAAATTTTAAATATAAATATGTATGTCCAGCGGGCAAAGCCGTGTAGTACCTTACAGATTTGCAAATAACTTAAAACATAAATGCATAATTAGTTAAGTGATATGCAAAATGTGAATGTGTAATGTAAATGTACATGAATCTCAGACCATATGTAAAGGTTCAAGATGACTACACTTAAACTTGGCTTTGGAATTTGAAATTCCAAAAGAGTGCATGCTTGTGTAACAAGAATAAATTGCTAGTCTTCTATCGATAAAGAATTAAGTAGGCAACGCCACACAATTCCATGGGTACATAATTGCAAATATGGTTAAAGTATAATTTCGTTTAGATTGCAGATGGTATTACACTATGATTTTGTCATGAATATCGTATATATAATCTTGATCAGTCGGGTTCATTCGTAGTTTTTCCATGATAGCTAGCCTCAGTTTTAAAACTATCTTGATTCAACGTTGTCCATATCTGTACAACTTTCATATAGCTGCCTGCATAGGAACTATCGGTCGAAACATGAGTTCTTGAACAAAAAAAAAAAACTTCATTTTTTCAATATATGTTAATCTACGAAACGAGTTATTAACTTGAGACTATTATAGCTCTCAGAAATAATAAATCATTTTTATTTTGAACGGAAGACAGTTGTTCTTTCTTGTTATGAAATGAATTATCCACATAACCAAATCATTAATCCTGTAAATCATGTTCCAGCCAAATTTAATGAAATGCATGGGTATCACATAAGCGTGGGTTGATATATATACATACATATATAAATATGTACAAATATGTATCTCGAATTGTGGTCTGCTATGAACATTTGCTAGTGGAATGCGAAAATCTTCCCATGGATAACGCGCGCGTTAAGAATGTACATAGTTTTAGCAGTAGTAGCTGTCAAATATATACATACATACAATTATGTAGAATGTAGGTAAGTAGATGTGTATGCATGTGTGCGTGTAAGTTAACACAGATAGACGCAGATACAGATACAGATGCAGATATGTAGTCTTGTGATATGTATGTGTTGCAATTTTCCAGCAGCGGAAGTTTTTGCCTTAGGAAGTGGCCCGACTTGAAATTTCAATATTAACTAGTAGAGAAGATAATTCGAGCTCCTCGCTGAACTTATTGCGCAAGATGACGCTGCGATAGCCCTGGCGAACGCAGGTCAATGGATAACACGCCTGTGCTATAAAATGCGTTTCGGCAAACATATCCTCGTCCTGCACCTCAAAGCGCAACAGTGCAAAATGCGGATTGTGCACGATGAACTCAAAGGATTCGTTCCAAATGGGATTGAAGCCATTCTCATTGACTTTGCTGCGATATTTGATGCCGCTGTCGTAGCTAGCGCCAACGATTTCCACAACGATTTGTGGATTATTCGATTTACCACCACGGAATAAATGACGTGCCGCTATAATGCGCATGCTAACCATGACTTCATTGAGTCCATCCGATAATAGATTGTTGGGATTGAAGCTTTCAAATTTCATAAACGCCGGCTTCAGCACGTAGCCGCATTGGCCATTATTTCGGAATTTCGCCTGATTGAGCTGCATGGCCTTGTCGCCCGTCTGATAGTTAAGGGCTATCATTTGCGAGCCAATGTTCCAAAATGGTACCGGATTAAAATTGGATGAGTCCAAGCGCTGACCCTTGGGATAAACGCGACTAATTTGATTGCGATGATATGATAGGAATATCGCCATATTCTGTTGTATAAACTGCTTCTCGGCTTTCGTTTCGGGAAAACTGGACATCTCTTGGAATATCCAAGAGTGATCGCGGAACGGTACACTACGAAAATATATTATCAAATCGGACATCTCCTTGGCGACTCGGGCCGTACGCTCCTTTTTGCGTCGTTCCGTGGCTAATTGACTAGCGATCAGTGCGGCATCCTGTATGGCCTTGATCCATTCGTAAGCCGTCTCCTGATTGTCGAAACCAATTACGAAGGGATTTTGCATCGTTGGTGTTTGTATCTGCAGCTTAATTATAATGCCCGGTTCATTCGATTCAAAGAGAGACGCCACTGCTCCATAGATTTCAATGGAATCGGTGCGGCCATCGTTGCCCTCATCGTTGACCGAATTGTAATCCTCCGTTGCTGAGTCAATCACCTTTCGAAATAAAACGCATTTTTTTATTTGCAAATATTTTCGGTTACACGATGTTTGTGTTTATGTTTACCTACCTTGACATAGTTGGCCGGCAGATGTTGTTGTATCATGCCACCGTAATCGCCTTTCCACCACATCGAGTTATTCCTTTGCACATTCGTAATAATCGCGTGCTTTGGGAAGGAGAGCTCGTCGGGCTTGTCGGCTTTGTAACTATACAGAGCCTTGCATGTGACATATTCCTCCAAATTGGCGCCCATATAATTGGAGGCACCAGTGCTATCATTATTGTTATGCTCCCCATGCTGCTGGGCGTTGTCAATTAGTGTCTGTCGCAAAAGCTCCTGTGAAACGGGATGGGTCAACTTCACGTTGCGATATAGCGGATTCCTCATATAATAGTGGATGAGCGATACCAAGGACTCGAACTGCATTGTGTCAATGGCATATAGTCGACCCTCCTGAATGATGCGACAGTGTTTAGTTTTGCGATGTATCGTGAATGATATGACAAAGGTATTGACACTCTGCACCGATGGTCGCACCAAAAACGATCCAATCTCCAGCTTGAGCAGCCCCTGCTCAGCCTGCTCCTTGGTGGTGTTTTGGTGGAACCATTCCTGACTCTCATGCTTCTTTGGCTGTGGAACTGGTTCCTTGAGAATAATCGAAAACTCCGAGCTACGTAGCATATTTTTACGATAATACACTATCAACGAGTACAGCGAATCAAATACAAAGTTCTCGACCAGATAGTATTTAATGGATCCATTCTCGTGCTTAAGCTTAATGCGACAGTGATTGGGTCGATTTCGACGCCAAAAGGATAAGCTATAATCCCCAACAAACGTTGCTGACTCGCGTACCAAGAATGTGCCGTCGCCCAGATGCTTATACTTTTCCAGCAACTGATCTGCTTCTTGTCTTCCACCTAAAATCAAATGATATAAAACCGAACACTTTAATTGAATCAAAGAGAAATTCGATTAAGTAATAATCCTTAACAAAAATGAACCGAGATATAAAAATTAGATTTTCCACACAAAATTTACTTTCGACTACAGCTTAATTTTGCGGTGAATTCTTGCGATGAAAGCCTCATAATATAGAATGGTGGCGAATGATTACGAAATCTCTCTCAAAGACGAATTGAATTGAAATCTGCACGTACCTTCCAATTTGCCGTGAAACCAATTTTCACCGAAATGCAGCTCATCATTGGCTGATGTATCTTTCTGTTTCTGTTGCATGTTGCTATTTAAAGTACAGGACGATAGCCCGAAATCATCATCTTCCGAATTGCCATTGCGGCATTCACTAATTTCGGATGTGTAGATTAGCTCCTGTTGGGTAAGCACAAATTGATAGAGGTTCCATGACTTATCGACTGGGTCCTTAAAGTAGAGTAATCCCTTCTTCAATATTTTCTGCAAATTCTCATTGTCATCGGCCACACCGCCCAGCGAAGATCGATGGCTAAATGAAGCGATCGTTCCATTGTTACCAGCAGCAATCGATGGTATATTTATAGCACTAACATTCTCATCAAACTGCGGCAATTTTTTGTGCTTTAGCATTATCTTGCGACGCAGCTGATTGGGCGATGGCAAATGCAATTCGTTTCGATCACAGGGCTGTGTGAGGAGCATATCTCCAAAGACCTGCAGCAAATAAAAGTAAAAATTAATCAATTGCAGACAGACCGACAGGCAATTATTTGGCATTATATATAAATATGTTTATAATAGACTCACCTCAATCAGCGCATGTGCCATATTACGTTGTTGTTCCAGGGAACAATTCTGTTCAATGGACAAGATGACGGGATACTCGGATGTTGCGAAGGCATAATCCTTAATGGTCTTGATGACATCCATGAATTTGATCTTTGAAGTCATCGTGTGCCCATGGAATATGTAGGGTAAATTGTCGGGACCATTCCAGCAGTCTAGCTCGATGCAACGGCAGCCCATGCGCAGGGCACGAGCATATGCCTCGCACGAGGATTCGCTCGAGAATTGATCGCCCGTTAGATATGTGTTGTGGGATGAGGCGATCCAGTATGAGGACAGCGGCTGGTTCATGTCCATGAATACACTATCGAATTTTGTGTCCCATAGATCATTTTGTTTTGAGAAGAGATAATCAACAAATTCGGAGATGGTCAGATATGGTTCTTGTACGTCGCGTTCCACGTCCTGCACAAAGTCGCGCATGAACCCGGATATGATATTTAGTTCTCCCACATTATAATCGTGCTGTTCACTTTCTAGAAACTTTTTAAATTCGATGGGTCGCACGACTTTCTTATCCTCCGAATAGGCAAACTCGGTACCCCCGAGAACATTGACAAAATTAGCGGGCAGTAAGAGTTTCTGATATAGACGCGAGAAATCGTCAAATTTCAAATCGTGTTTTCGCCTGATATCATCTGTGAAGCATTCCATAAATTTACTGGTGCTCATTTTACAGCTGACGCTGCTCAGGAACGTTTTGAAATCCTTGATGGTCACTTGTGAGTTCTGCTCCGATTTGGCCAAGTGCGAGTTGACATTCTCGAATGAATAGTATTCGCGTCGCAGCCAGCGATCGATTTGTAGAGGATAGGACGAGCTAATCGTATCCTTAACCATATACCTTAATCCCCGCACCCAGTTATCTGCCTCAATCTCGGAGAGCGCAACAACCGAGAAGCTCTTCAGCTTGAAACTGTTGCCATACATAATGACAAAACATTTACTGTTCTCAAAGCGCTGGCAGTCATCGGCATGCAGCCGGAACTCCTTTGAGTTCTTTCCAACGCGAATCTCTCGTATTTCCCGTAACTGGATCGTTCCCTCATACTCAGTGCGCGTCTGTGCGGCGACTGTCGACCATAACAGCTGACGAGTTTCTCTGATAAGCATTAGATGTCGTCGATCGGGGCGTCTTTGTTTTCCATAAAGTTTCGTCACAATTGTTCCACGCTCTAGCATACAAATTGTCTGCTCCATTTCCCCCAACAGGGGGGTATTCATTGCACTGAAACAACTCATAGCTTTTTCTTGATTTATTATTTTAAAATCACTAAGCATGCATAAATTTGTGTATTTGTTACAATATGTTTCATATATGTATGTAATTTAGGTATGTTTGGCGAGCTTATCTTTAATGTTTGTAGAGCATTGAAAGTATTGTGCGATGATTCATTGACGTTTTATTAATTCGATTCGATGGAAATTGGTTAAATTTGTTATTGATTACAATTGCACTTGTTGAATGGACTATTTTCTGTGGATTGGTTGTACTTTAAAAAGTATCGATAATATCGATATCGACGTCAGTAACGTAGCTAATATGGCACGTAGCGGGACGTAATCCAACTACATATGTTCAGAAATGAATGAGAGCTAAAGAGAGCAAAGACTGAATCAAACAAACTTATAATAACATATTAATAATAAAAAATTAATAAACTAATATTAGATTACACATTGCGCTGGACTATAATCTCTGTGAGAGAATAAGATGTTTTTGTGATGTCAAAATAGACTATACACTTTGGGGCTTGCGTGAAAAATACGTGAGTCAAAACGTCAGCAATCGTTTCTAAGGCGCATTCACTGTAAATAAAATAGAAGGATCCAGGAATGAGTCTTTCCGTTTTGCCTCAAATTTCTGTTAATTACTCAAATCGTTTGGGAAGAACGATTTATCGAATACATTTTTCGATTTTTGCTGTTAATTGCCATCATATGTTCTGTTAATCAATGTTATTCAAAAGGCGCTCATTTTCAATTTGCTTGCTTCTAGCTTGCTTCCTTTTTTTTTAGCTAATATTTATTTACAGAAGTGAGTAAGTAATCCAATCGAATCATTTTACGGACAGTATTTAAAAATGGATTTCGAACAATATAATACAAAAACGTAAAACTAACAAATGTGAAGTGAGCTATTGTTTTTTTTGTTCAATAGGAAGTAGGTTGACGTCACAGCTGAACAGCTGATTGTTAAACAGAGATAACGAGCCTGCGCAATGCGTTATCACACTTCGTCCATTCATGAGGTGAGAACATTTCGCTCATTCAATGTTAACGTGAGAGCTATTTCATGTTGTAGAAAAATTAAAGCATTGTGAGTAGACGTAAGAATTTTTGAATAAAAAAAATAGTTGCGAGACAAGCGCGCGCGTGGACAAACATCGTCGGCATCAGCGTGGCGTACAAATTATGCTAAGAAGCATCAACGCTGCCGTCAAATATGCAGAAAACAAATACAACAACGCCACCAACAGGAGCATCGCCAGCGGCACCAGTTCCAGCAGATAGCGTCGCAAATACCTTGATGGCGACACCAACCTCAGCAATCGCATCCAATGCCAGAAGCAATTGCGGCGAATGTATTGACTCCAGCGGCGGCCCAACAGTAAGTTTTACTCTGTGCGTATGTGTATCTCTCTCTCTCGCTCTCTCTCATTCCCTCTATATATATATATATATATATATATATATATATATATATATTTCTATTCAGCGCGCGCTTGGTTAGTGTGTGTGTGTGTTTGTCATCGAATTCGTTTTTCTTGGATAAAAGCTGCTTTTGCCTTTTGTTGCAAGCGTGCAGCATTTTGTCCTTAGCATTATATAACTTATTGACAGCGCACGCTTATTGACCTTGCCCCACCTTCCGTTCACCTCCACCCACATCCACAACAAAAACAACCAAAAAAAAAAACAACAAATAAAACAGAAAAACAAACGCAGACGTTACGAGCTTTGGCATTTTGTTATTGCTGGCCAATTTTGTTTGCTTTTTGGCCATCCATTGTAATTTTCCGCTGCCAGGTTGTTCAGCAAATGTGCCTCCGCATCCGTCCAACCATTAATCTTAAGCACTGCTGCGCATGCCGGCGGCCAACTTGTGCCCCTGCCCACTTTGACTCCCTTTCCACCTACCCTGCCCCTTATCACGTTCACGTGAGAGTTGCGTCTTCCTGGTTTCTCTTGTCTTTTTGTCTGCTTGCAACCCACGTACATATTGTACATGTATATAAATGTATATATGTCTGCAACTGTAAATATCTGCTACTCTGCCTTTTGGTATTCATCATTTAACATTTTGTTTACCATTTTGCTTTGAATAGTTCACATTTGGCGGCATTAATCAATCTTTGGTGCTTCGGCTCATTTTCTACTTCACTCTTTAGCAACTTTTCGTCCGCATCCATCTTTGTAGGAAAATGTCCTTGTGTCTTACGTATATTTTATGCAGCTTTTTGCGGCTCTCTGCCCCCTTCGTCGCCTGTTTCCTGGCCCATATTCGTCCTTCATCGCGTGGGCTTTCGTATCGGTGCCTTTCGCTTCCGCTCACTCCTTGCATCCATTCGGAAAGAATGTATTTATTTATGTATGTAAATATTTATTTAGGATCAGGAACAGCAGCCGAGTTGATCTTTCTCTTTTGCCCCAACCCAGCCCAGCAGTATCAGCAAAAATAGGACACGTGTGAAAATCTTTTCCTCCAATCCAATTCAATTGAAAGGCAGTATGAGTGAACAAGCTGTTGCACAACTGTTTTCAATAAGCAAATGTACATAGTAAATTTATTGGCATATTTCCTGCTTAGTGTTTGCTTTGCTCATTTAATTGTACCACAATCAATATTAATTATTCGCTGTTGCACTTTAAGTGTTATGTTAATTAATTAATTAAATTAGAAGAAACGGAAATAGTTGCAGGCCAATTTCATCAAGGTCAAGGTCGTCAAGGTCCCCTCGCCCCCACCAGACACACATACACACAGCCTACGCTTGTGGATGACTATTGGTGCCATTAATCCTAATGCAGTAGCGTGATGTGCCGTTTCATATTTCCACATTTTCTCAGGCCTATAGTTTTGCCGATGCCTCAAGTGAAACGCCATTCGCTTTTACTCTGATACCAAAAATAATCACACGAACATTCAAATTTTCACCCATACAAACTATAGCACGTATTTTGCACTAATAGACTAATTATAATGTGCTCTACAAGGTTATGCAAATTAGGAAGTAATTTTAAATGAATCGAGAGATTTGCTTACGGAGAAAGTATCGTAAAACGGTCGGTCATAAATATTATATACTTTTTTGGCCATTTAATTATTTTACGCATGTATAGCTGAAGCTTATTAACTCAATTATTTAATTAATTTAAAGGGATTACTTGCATTTATATCATGAATAAATTCAATTGGTGTTATTTCATGTTAATCATAATTTATTCATAATAAATTAATTAATGTTCATTAATTACTTTTAATTTTAAATTTTTGTATACGCTGTATTTTTGATTTTATATATAAATAATTATTTTTTCTTTTATCATTTTATTATAGAGCTTTTTGTTGTTGTGCACCTAACCACAGACTCATCAATATGTTTGCCAGTGTGTTAGCGAGGTAAGCGCCAGATCGTCGACGTGTGTTAACCTCCTAATTAAAAATCCGTTGATTTAAATATCACTATATATATTTGTATCTACAAAAGCTTTGATTGATTCTCGTTTGAACAGTATGCAGCATCATCAAAGCAACAAGAACAACAGCAACAGCATGAGACAACGTCTAGTTTTAAGCAACAGCAATTGCAGCATGAGCAACCAACAATCGCCATACATTATTTGGCCAGCTTCCATGAGATTTGTGTGGTAACTGCTTTGCTGCCACTGATTACGCTCTTCACATGCTTTGTGACCGCCTACGTCTTCCAGTACGACGATGTACACGAGACACATTGCCGGGTATGGGCATGGAATGATCATGGAATGCATTCAAAGCTAACATATTACTAATAATATTGGTATTGCAGGTTTATAATATAGTACCCTCGATAAGTGCCATTACTGGCGTCAGTCCTCAACGTTATTTCTGGCGTTTCAGCATTGCGTTGCACATCGGTCCGCGCATACCCATTGCCTTTGTCTACAAGAACTATTATCGGGCGCAGCTGGCGCGTATTGCCCCAGCATTGGTGCCGAAAACTAGCTGGTTAATCACACTGATTCTGGTGCTCAATTGCATTGAAATTGCGGCACTGGGAGGAGTCACCTATATATCCAATCGCGAGAATTATCGTAAGCTACGAAATTAATTACTACAGTTAGACAGCAATATGCATTAATAATATCATTATTTAATTTGCAGCCGTTCATGAAAGGATCTTCATTACTTTCATGATATGTTCTCTGTGCTACATGCTGGCTACCATTAAGCTGAATGATATTTTATATGCACGGCAAACGCTCACTGCACAGCAACGTCAATCCATCAAATGGAAAAAAATACTCTTTGCAGTATCCATATTGAGCACTATGGGTCTCCTGGTCTTCTTTGCCAAACATCGTTTTTATTGTCACGATTTGGGTAAGCTTAATTAATACAACATATAAACGAGTTTGGCACGTCAGTGATTTGGCATAATTGGGTTGCCAATCATTATTTGTTTACTCTCTTTGAATTTGAGACTTTAAATTGAAAAGATTCATGCAAACAAATACGCTTAAAGTCATAACGCGCCCAACTCCCAACTAGCATTAGCTAGTCCTATACAATTGGAAATATAATCATAATAATGTATCTTGATCTATTTACAGCTTTTAGTTGGTTTGCATTTTTTGAATATTTGATTGCCATTGCCAATATGCTGTTCCATTTCACCATTATCTGGGACTTCCCATCGCAGTTCATGATGATTGTTCAGGGACCGCGCGATAATCTGATGCAGTATTTGGGTGCTAAGCCGAAAACCAACTAAACCCAGTTCTACTTCTAATTTATATATATATATATATCCTTCCTAGTTTATTTGTATATGTATATCGTATTGTTTTTATATTTATATACTGTATAAACACACACAGTTTTACTGCACCAATATATAGAATGCGACTCGGAAGAAACGTATGATTATATAATTGAACTTCTTGAATATTTAAAATGAGCGCTTCCATAACCAAAAGGACATTAATAATTTATTGTTCTCCCCAGTTCCAGTTTGTTAATTAATTAAACTCTATTTACGATTTATGCGGCATTATGTTAACTAAACGTACAAAATTCAAAAGTTTCACAATTCCAATTAATCAAGTTATAGTAAATAGTAAATAGAAAACACAAAAACAACAACAAACAGCATCCATATATGTAGATATAGAGTATGCGAATGTGTGGGCTGCTCAGATGCTTGAAAATCTTTCGCAACAACATTAAAAAAGTGCAATTTGTTATTAAACACTATTCACACACTATATACACATGGATATGTACATATATGTGCAGTTTAGGGACATTTGTTTTTACTTAAAGTAAACTAGATACATTAACTCTTATATGTTTTACCTTACTTACCCATAATTTATTCTATTTGATTCAGTCCTAAAGTTCTAGTATACGATAACGAAAATTAATTAAAAAGATTGAAACCAGTTTGATCTTGGCGATAATTTGAATATGAAGCTATAAGGCACCTGCGCCTTAATTGGTACACCAATAAATACAAAAAAAAAAGCTTTAGCAAAAGAGTGAACATTGAAAACTTGGTGTAACTAACATACGAATATATCTAGATCAAGAATAAATTTATGTATATACTAAAGTGAGTCCTTCTATACACACACACACACACACGCACCCCTTTTTTCCTTTCGAAATAACGACATTAATAATAAATTCTCTCAGATTTCTACACCAATATTTATCTGAAAACATTTCAAATACATTTTGTTTTTCACATTGTGCTCGTTCGTGTTCGAAATTTCCGTTGCTGTACGTTGCTGATCTCATGTCAATTGTTATCATTTACTTATTAATATTAACTTGAACAGCAAGCATACCTATTTAATTTGTAAGGCATAGTTTAAATGCAAGATTTAGATCTTCAATGCATAAGTACTTATTAACCTTTTAGCTAGCAGTACATATCGTTTATACATGTGCATTGAATATATTTTGAAGTCGGAAGAGTGGAGTGGAATTTGTGGGGCCTATGGTTTATGTAGCGCTCCTCGACTCACCAATATACTCAAAAGTATTACACACTTATTCTAAAATATAAAATATTCAGCCAATAGCCATTTAAGCTGGATCAAGCAACGAACATCAAATTGAATTCATAGGCATACTTATACATATAAAAATAAAAATAAAATAAAATCAATCAATATAAATAGCAATTAGACGATAATGGAGATAAATCACTTAAGCAAAATAAAAAATGTAGCAACAAAGAATAGAGTATCAAATGTATTCAGTAATTGTAATGGGAAACCCAAAAACAAAAAAAAAACGGAAATGCGCACATAAGTATTGTAGTTTTTAAACAAGATAGTACGATGAATGTCTTCGGCATGCCGAATATTACATACCCTTGTACACCTGAGCCCAACTTAATTATTAAGGACATCAAAATCCTCCCGAAAGAAGCACACAATACGCGTTACTAGTGATTTTGGTTTTAAATTTATTCAGCAGAAGATTAGTTAATCTTACAAGAATTCCTCATTCGACTGATAGTTCCTAAACTCCTATGATATGGTGGTCCGATCTGGCCGACTAAAAAAATAAAAAAAATATTAGTAAAAGTTTTATCAACTGAGAAGCACGTTTGCTTGGATATTATTCCTGATAATATATGCTGATCACTAAATGCACACATTACACATATTATGACAAAATTAGAATACTCTCTGCAAGGGTATGAAAGTTTATGAAAGATTGAAACAAAAAATAAACATGAAATGTCAACCAACAAAACTGGTATTGACATTTTTCCATATGCTTTCGTTGATTTGATAAAGTTTTATTAACAACACCTATATAGCTAACCAAATTCTTAACCATTAATGTTAAAGGTAATTAATTTTTTTTCCCGAAATATTTAGATGAATTTAAAATCGAGAGTTCAAATTTGAAAATTACATAAAAACTATTACTATACACGGCATAAAAACATATTTTATTGAAAACTTTGTATGTGTAATGACTTATTTTCACGAAAAATAAAAGGTCAAAATTAATGTACGCATTTTGAAAGTAAAGAAAAACTAGATATCGTATTTCCTATTGATAATGTAATGACACACATTGTTATTATGCGACCCACAACCAAACGAGAAACAAAAATATATGTATATCTACACACAGAGTTTAAGCACCCTGGAAGTCTATAATAATATGTATGTATTAATTTGAAAGTATATTAATAGTTTGTTGCCAATTTGCACTAACAAAAACTTATATTACTCTATAACATGGAATATGATGTCAGTTGAAAATTCTGAACATGCTGTTTATAATGACTTTATTCATAATTTGAAGTGTTTTCCATTTATTTAACTTTGTCAACTTCTCATTGAGTGCCTCTCATCTATTCCAACGACTATTCGGATATGGTTTTTGATATTACGAACCAAACTATAATACGAAATTTATACTTTTTAATGTGCAACTTTTTACCTTTGCATAACTTTTTAGACAACACATCGTAGGTTGATATAAAAAAAATTTCAACAAAAATTGTAAAACTTTGTAGCTTCCTAATTTTAATAAAGATTAAACATATATATTTTCTAAAGTATTTTATTTGGACATCTCTAACAGAAGCAATACTTGCGCTACAGTGGGCCAAAATTATTATATGTATATTTAGGGTAGATGGTGGGTCAAAACTAATACATATATTAATCACATTTTTAAGATTTACTGAAAAACAAAATGATCTTAAGCAAAATCAAAAATATTCGATTGGATTCAACAAGTTGCCAAGTTTACTTTCGATCGTTTCCAAAGCAGATATTTGATATATGTAAGTAATGCAATCTAAACTGAAGCTTACTAAATATAATACTTGGTTTATTGGTAAGAATATTGCTTAAGAGCAAAGGGCGCTTTATAAAATCGATTTTAGACCGACTGATCAACAATATTACCGCATAATTAGCATACCCATTGGAATGGGTACGGGTATGTGGAAATAAACAAATAAACACAGAGCCCCCAAACAAATCTAACCAGAGAGAGTGCGAGTGAGAGAGAAATGAGACTTGCAGACAGCATTAGCGATTTTAGCTGAACAACTGTCAGCTGCAAAAGCCTTCCAATTCGTATTCCTGTTGCATGCAAAGGTGCGTGTCTGGCTGATCTTCAGCTAACCAGCTGTTAATCCCCAAGTGTTGCCCAAGTTAAGACAAGACCCTATCGTTAGGCGTAGCGTAGTACAACATATATTGAAAAACAAAATAAAAAGACCATTTTCAAACAAATAGAAGAGAAAACGGATTGTGTTCATATGTAGATATATATATAAATATATACATATAGATAATCTCTCCGAGTTAAATGCATCAGTTGGCAAAAATGGTGCCGACGGCAAAGACAATAATCTTGCGCATCTGGCCGCAGATCACCGACTCATAATGATAGCCCTTAACGATTCTCGCATCGTTTTGGCCAGCATCAAAGGCAGCTTTAATTGGTCCCAGATCGACATTATAGCAATTGATCATGAATATATTGTTCTTGAGCAATTGACACATCTCGTATGCACTCGCCGTCTTCTCATTCCAGATGCTCACCGAACCGTAGGCGAGCGTCTCCTTCAGATTCACCTGAGTGGCCTCTTTGGGTGTGCGGAACGTGTGCATTGTGATCACACCGGTGGGTCCGTCTTCGCCCAGAAAATTGTGCGTTAAATCGCTGACCAGTATGGGTGTGGCATTTGATGGCACTCTATGTGGATTGGCCACAATTGTCTCGGCGCTGAACTGCTGCAGTTTGCGCAACGTTCGCAAATAGTTGGGATGCTGATGCACCGAGGGATCCACCTGAGTCATCTGCTCTACCAGCTGCTCCAGAAACGGCCCACGCACATTCTCCTGTATGAGCAGAGTGGCAACGGCATTTGGGGCAAATGGATTGCGCAGTGAGGCAAGCAGATGATGCATGGCAGAATTCAAATCGCCGCCATCGAAGATCATCATCAAGCATGGTGAATCCCATTTCGCTTTTGGTTCAGCATCGCCAACGGAAATCGGCACCTAAGATTAAACATGTGGCTTATCACATATGCATATGTTCAATGTATAGGCATATTTCACCTGAATTACATTGGCACTGGGACTAAGCACGCACTGCAGTTTGTTGACCATGTCGTAGGTGATCAGTGGTGTTTGTGACATGGGATATTTGGTCAGATTTGCTGGCTGCTCCTTCGTCAGATTGTCAGACATGTCGCACACTACACAAAATTAGCCAAGTCGTTCAAAATCAACTATCATCCAGGGAGAGCGGCGAGCAGCGATGCTCGTCTTATCAGTACTCGTTTCTCTCTCGCTCTCTCTTTCTTTAGATAGTTTAGTCACTCAATCAGCGTTGCCCAATCATGTATTTTGTATCTTTGCAATTCTGAATAATTTTGTTTGTTATTTAAACATTTGAAATAAATAATTTTGTAATTTGTATATATAACAGCACAATAGTTGAAAAGCATGCACGCTTTTAATAAATATGCGATTTTGTGTTAGCAAAATATCGATATATTATGATTTTACTATCGATATTAACCATTTTTGTTTAAAAAATGTTTAAATTACAACATGCAAAGATGCTCATAAAACCAACTTGTTATTATAAATTCAAGTGCACAGTGATATTCATCATATAAGTCGGGCTTAATGAAAATTGGTCGGTAATTTGCACAATTATAACATCTATTTTATACCGGCCTCCACCCTAGATCCGTTGCAGATTGAAAAAAGCTATCTATAGTGAAAAACTCTATATCAGAAATAACGGTGTAAAACACTTCGCGAAATTTAAAAATGGAAAAACTAATTTTTGTAAGAAAACTGGTTTTAATTGTCAACAATAAAGTGATATTCTAAGGGCCGAAGAGGTGAGCAAATTAATTAATTAATTAAAGTTTTTGTTCGATTCGAAGTCACGGCTTTTAGGCAATAAGTGAAGTATCGATATTTTTATTACAGCTCAGAATAACTATTACGTCGCTTTATCGATTGGTCAGCACGCTGTACAGCACTGTTAAAGATTACGCCACCGCGACGTTGACGCCGACGCCAACGGCGACTTCGCTGCGGTCCACTTTTTGGTTGGGCTGTTTTTTTTTATTGTTGGTGGCCGATTGGCGGTGCCCCATGCACAGTTCACAGTCAGATTCAAATTGAAAACGCTCGTGCGCTGTTCGCGTCCGCTCCGTATAAACACACACGCAATTATTTTTTTTTCTCATTCAAATTGTTGTTTGTTGCTGTTTGATTAAGTGTTGTGCACTTGTTGTCGTTACTGTTATATTGTTCTTTACGCCCTAAAATAAAGAAAGAAAGAAAGAAAGAAAAAAACAGCTGTCGTGATAAATTTATTCCAGCGCATGATAAATAGTTGTGAGCGCCATCTGTGCATGAGTAGAAAACCAACAAGTGCATTTGCGGATTCTGCGTGTCGCCTCTATACGCCAATTCCATTTGTGTGAGTGAGTGCTTCAAAGTGCGTTCAACCGCAGTCGAAAACGAATTTTTGAAAAAATTAAAATAGAATTTGACAAAATAGCAAGAACAGCAATTAAAGCGAAAAGCTTAAATACTCAGACACACGCACACAAAAATACACACACACATACACACACAACACGCTGCAAAAGTAGAACAATTCAAAATATTTGCACAAAAATAACGAAAACAGCTGGCAACAAGGCAGCAAAAGTTAGTAGTGACAACGACGACGGCGACAGCGACAGCGACTCTACTACATTTTGTTGTTTTTTTTTTTTGTTTCTTTCTACCAGGCAACAGGTTCCTCATCCGAATTTTGATTTGTCGGCGGCTGCGCAACTATATTTGAAGAAGCAGCGACAAAATGACTGATTTAAATGAAATCATGGGTTCCCCATTTGTGCGAGTGAAGGTAATAGTACATATATATATACATAAATAAGCGGGCAGGTGTGAAGCCCCATCCATCAATAACAAAGCAACTCCAACTCACTTATTGGGCTGCATCGGCGTGTGCAGTGTTAGATAATGCGCCGCTCAACTGCAGCTCGGCTTGCGTCTCAGCCGCCGCCGACGCCGTCGCGCCCCATCGCTGATGTAGCGCGTTGCCCAATGCTACTCATTAGCACATGAAGCGACAGCGACGCCGGCGACTGCTGCAAAAACCGCAATAAGCCATTCGATATGTTCCGGACTTTTGTGGCAGCCAATTTGCAACTTCAGCCACTGCCGATGTCGCCTCGACGCTGTGGGGCTTCATTTGAGCCGCTTACTCAACAAAATCGAAACCAACACCAAAACTTAACTCAACTTAACGAAACTTTCCATACCCCGACCAATCTCTCTTCATATCTCTCTCTCTCTCTCTTTCTCTTGAACTATCTTTCTTTTTTGCATACAGGTCGTTGCCTTTGTGCATTTCTTCTTCATATCGAATGCGATGCTGGGGTCTTGGGGCCATGGCGCCTACGAGTTCTACAACTTCCTCTTTATCATTGCCTTGTTCTGGACGATACACAGCAAGGACTCCATTGAGGCGGTGCAAACGGTAAGTTATATTAATCTGTTCCACTTCTCTCTCTCTCTCTCCCTCTCCCTCTTTCTCGTTTTCTCGCTCGCTTTGCCAGTGTTGTCCCATTCTTGAAGATTCAAGAGTCGCTTCTACACTCAGATAAATATAATAGAGGATTGTGAACTCAAATCAAATAGCAACTTGATTAAAAGTCTTCTTTTCAGGAACAGAATTTATGGCATCCTCAAATTGCAAATACAAAAAATGGGCTTAAAATGTATTTGGTACAAGATTAAAGAATTATTGAATATTAATATATAATTGTAGGAATTCTATATATTCAGAACGTTGATTTGTTCCAAGTGTACCTCGCTAACAATCCTAATTGTTCTATGTGCTAGATTTCAAATTTAAATCAATTCTAAACTCAGGGTATGCCAGTTTGGCAGTGTTCACTGTAAATGCTATTGATGCTGACGCATCCACACAACACACACACACACACACACACAGTCATAAAAAGTGGGTGTTATCGTAAAGAATGAATGCGTGCATTGAAAGCCGCTGACTGATAAGGCCTCAAAATTTTCACAACTTTGCACTGCTCAGCATTTGCGCCTCAATTCGTATCATCAGTAAACAATTAATTTAAATATTTTGTTTTTTGGCTATGTGAAACGATGACTGCTTTACTACTACTACTTCCTACAAATAAATATATATATATATATAGCAAAACCAGTTGCTGTCAATATCAGAGAATTAAATTAACACATACGTGTGTGTGTGTGCTTGTATGCGAAGACGAGTTAGTTTTCCGTATAAGTTTGAATTTTTGTTGCTGTCATTGTTGCTACATATTGTAAATAAGAAATGTGCTCACTCACTCTTGCTGCCTTGCTGCACATTGTATGCCATCCATCAGATGGAGGACGGGTGAGGGAGAGGTGTCGGTGTCATCCTAATAATGTTATGATCTACTCCCACAAATGGCTTTCCTCGTTTTCTTCAACATACATATTTTCTGATATCATCATCAGCTACTGCGAATGAAAATTTGATGAGTTTTCCTTGCATAACCACTGGCTAAGACTGAGACCATTTGTTGCACTGCCGTTTTGCAGTTGTTTAACAAAGAATAATGGTTGTATTTAAGTGTGAAATTGTGAATATCAGATGGCGGTAAAAAACAAATACAGACGAACTTCTCTGACTTGAACTGCTGCCCCAAATTGGATTTTGTCTTGCCCGGCAAGCGTTATGTAAATAGTATAATATTAAACGGAGTTTTCTCAGTTTTTCTATATATTTCTGTAAAGCTTTTAGTCATGGATTTGAGTACACCTAGTCAATAACCGCAAAATGTGCAATTTGATCGTCATAATAAGTAATTAGAAAACGAGCAAGCAATCAATGAAGCTATAAATATATCATTCGAAATAGAAATGGTACATAACAAAAAAAATAAAAAAAAACTGAATAAAGTTTTACGGAGGAAATCTTTAACAAATAAATTTAAAACAAAAAGAAATGTAAATTTACATATTCACAGGACTATTTATTAGAAATGTATTGTTAGATTGCCGACCTCTTCGTCTACAAGCCGCATTTGTTTGGCCAAAAAGAAGAGAAAAAAAATACGTGAAGGCATGCGAATTATGGACTCATTTGGTCAGCCCAAAACACAACTCGTAATACCCCATATAAGGCATACACACATACATATATGCAGTGTATATGTATATATATATATATGTATATGAATATATGTTTAGTTACCGCTAGATGCATATCGCTTAACTGGAAGAGTTAACGGCTTTTCGTGCCTTAACTGAGTTATAGCCATTGGCTCTGAATGTGAGCAAGAATCTAATTTGAACTTTGACATTAACCGAAAAGAAACTAGCACCAGCACGGGGGAATAACCCTCCTCTCTCGCCCTGCACTGTAGAGGCTGATGGCTTCAATCGTAATTCCAGACCTTAGGCAGGACCTCATAACGCACGCGATGCGCCACTCCACGCAAGCCGCCCCGCCCCGTCCACTTCAAACCTGAATTATATATCAAGAAAAAAATTGAGTGTTCTTGATATATATACAGAGAAAGCGAGAGTGCTGGACTGGGGAATACTCTGTACCCAGCTGCGAATCCCAAATAATGGGAGATTAGAAAGTAAAACTACATTTTGATGATGTTTTGATGGCATATCCGAGGTATGTCTATGCATTTTGACAAATCTGGTGAACTTTGAAAACTTAGGTCTTTGCTGGCGAAGACTTCTCCTTCTATCGTGGCGTATATTTTCTCCAATTGTAAATTCGCTTGGTTCAGATTGCTGAAAGTGCATTTGTTCAATATCATGACACCCTCAATTCATATGGGGTACAGGGTATCAAATATGTATACTATGTCATTTTTGGATGGTTTTCAGCGGTCAGTCACATGAAAAGGCAACAAACCAACCCCTTCCAGCCTGCTTTTTGGAGGGTAGTTGGCTCCAAGTCGTGTGTGAGCAGTTCTTTTGTGTGTTTTCCCTTTGCCTGGCAGGACCCCATTAGCAACGCCATTTAATCAACTCAACTATGCAAAGCCAAGCGTTGACCCAAAAGGAAAATAACACCAACACAAGCATTACTTATTAACTACTCCGAATAGATTTTTATAGTGTACTACGAACCGCAGGTCAATCCGTAACCCCCACACCAATAAAATGCCTTCAAGCTGTCTATTTTCATGTACACTGAATAACTGTTAATGAATTTAATTGTATATAAGCAGTAAATCGAAAAAGTTGTTTTTATTCCAGGGAATTAACGCTGTGCTCCCAAAGTGCCAAAGGGCATTGTTTTCATTTTTCTCAGACCGCTTGTCAAGTGAATGCTAAAAAGTTAGAATGCATATAGAAAAGGCTGTTGTGTGATTTGGTGAATTTGAATATACGATTTTCTAATGAGTTCTGAACCGATTTTGATTACATTATTACAGACGAGTGATAGTCTGTTAAAGTATATATACGCGATTAGAAACATATATATCTAATATTTGTAGGGCTATCGGAAATCGATTTTGTAATGATATTCGCGAAACGGGAAAAGTTATCGATAAAATTGATTAAACTTAATCTGCGCATGGTATTCGAGAACTTATAATCCAAATTGGCAGTCTCTAGCTCTTATAGTCTCTGGGATCGATGCGTTCATAGACACGAATATGACTAGATCGCCTCAGCCTGTTAATTCTGATAAATAATATGTACGCCTTATGGGATCGGAGATGCTTTCTTCTGCCTGTTACATACTTTAACACAATTTCATTGTACCATTTTTAGCCATATTTAATGGCTGCAGGGTATATAAATATTTAAATTTAGTGGCAACGCCACGTCATCGAAAATCCGGCAAGGCCGTTTGTAAATATTTAAATTTTAAATTGCATTGTTATTAATTCAAATATTTATAAGTTCCGATTGAATTTGAATACTTAAATATTGCTGCCTGAAAATTCACATGAGATTTATTTAGGGATCAATTACGAAATCATTTTGAAAAGTTGTATAATTCTTAAGAGTGGAACAATGAGGTACTCAAATTCGCTCTATATTCTTGGGCATTGTCAAATTTGTATAATTTACAGATTTTATTTAAATTGGATAGTTCGAGATTAATGGGCACTTATTTAAGTTGATCTACATTGTAAATTTGAATCGAGAAAGCACTCAGAAAATTACAATTTTTTGATCTATTTCGCATAATTTGAGTGTAAAATTCGTCTTTAAGAAATTGCAAGGTGTGTCCAGCTAATTGGAGTGTGTGTGTGTGAGCAGGTGTGTTGTTGCTAAAGTTCAAGCGTTCAAGGTTAATACAATTGATTTGTCTGGACGCCGCCTTGAATGACCTTTGTCCTATCAACTGTGAAGTTTCTTATGCAAGTCTGCACGAAAACTACCCGGCTAGTGACTGGCCAATGAGCACATCTTAAAGATTACAATAATTGCTTGGCAATAATGAGCTCGAGAGAGAGAGAAATTGGCAACTGAAATAAGACCAAGGAGGCATTAATCGATATATAATTCCTAGATATAATTCCCACAATATTAATGCTAGACTCTAGCTAATTTAAATGTAGACTTAGCTTCATCAAATTTAGTTACTTTGTATCTGCATTTGAAAACCATACAAAATTACATGTAAAATATAATTAGGAAATTGTTCTTCATACATAAATATGTTTAGAATGATTACAAATTTTGAATTCGAATCTCGAGTGCAACCACAAAGCGTTCATTATTTACAACATTCAACATAATCATAAACATCGTTATCATTGTTTATCCTTCTGTGATTTCAGGCGCTTGTGATCAATACATCTAGCATCTTCTTCGATATAGTCAGCATTATCAATAGTTTCGATTTTATGAGTAAGTAAAATTCATGCTTGCATTTCGCTATTGCTTTAATCCCATAGATTAAACAATTCATTACACAAATCCAAATCGTTTATATTTATAAATATTTATTTATTTATTTTTATTCTTTTCTGTAGATGGCTGGGCCATTGCGTTTAGTATCATCAATTTGGTTCTGCGTCCTGTGAGCGTTGCTCTACTGTATCGGGAGTTTAACACACGTGGCGGCAGTCTGCAGGGTGTTTCCGTATTCCCAACCACCCAGCAGCGCAGCTATCAGGACATTGATCGTCCCACGCAGCCGACACCAACCAATTCGCAGCCGGGACCCAATGTGGCCAGCATTTTCTAATCAACCAGTGCAACTTGTGCAAATATCCACAAACAAAAACCCTTCCAAGTACCTTCATATATCCAAACTACAAACAACAACAAAACAAAAACAAAAAGATTTAAAGGAAACTTAAACTCTACGTGGAGTTCAAAATTAAATCTCGATCAAGTCAAGAAAATAACTGCATAAAATCATTTTTTTTTCTTTTTTTTTTTGTGTTTTTGTTATGTTCTAGATGTTCTAGATTTAAGTCGAGATGAGATAAACAAAGTATAAAGTTGAACAAAAAAAAACTTATAGTCAATGAAGCCAGAAAATTGCTTTTTTCTTGTTTAGCCATTGTTTCAGCTATATAAACGATAAAGACAAACAATAACGATTAACGTTTACGATTTGATCGATTTTCAATATAACGCCTACTACTATACTATGTAATCTTAACATATATATTTATATATATTTTAATAAAAAGAGGGGCGTTTGATATTTATCTGTAACTAGAACAGTTATACTGTCTGTCCGTCTCTGTATATTCGTATTTGCATCCGCATTTTGTATACCTAATTAGTTCAATAAATAATTGAAGTAGCGCCCCAACTTTTATAGCTATGTACAAGCCCCAAACGCATTAAACTTATAACGAATATAAAAACAAATACATATTTAAAATGGTGCTGGGGCCTAGAAGCCCTCCTTGGCCGCACGGAACTTGTATTGATTGGTACGGCCATCCAGACAGGGCACCTGCACCAGATTAAAATATATCGAGCCCATCAACTGGGAGGCCGATGTGTTTGTCATCTTCAGGCACGAGAACAACATATCATCGCAGATGCAGTGTGATCTATAAATCAAAAAAAGGGTCAAAAATAAATTTGGCATTCATTTGCAACTCGTTCGCCACTAGTTACTTGGTGTACAGCGAGTCGTTCATAAGCTCGTATTTTTGTTGATAGGCGCGTATCTTAACGGGACACAGATCGTGCTGGCGACAGCAGCGATCCATGGCCATCTCGCTGCCCAAATCCCTGTACGTCTCAGCAATATCGCCAGTGCCGCACCACTTGGTGCCTATATACAAAAAAAAAAAACAAATAGAAAAGCAAGAGTTAAAAATTAGTGGGAATAATGTATATTAGCGATTTGGCAAAGCAACGAGCTGACGAATTCAGCGAGTGAGTAAATCAGCGAGTTAGTGAATCTTGCATACTCGCCAACCAACTAACGAGTAGGAATGCAGGCATAACAGCCTAGCAAACCAACGAGTATTCAACAGGTTGGCCAACTAGAGACGCAAGTCAATGATCTTACCTGGTATAATGCCACTGAGCAGCGAAAAGGGACTGCGGGGAAATATATTCCCAGCGAGCTTCAGTGAGACACCGTTCTGATTAGCCATGCTGTCGGCGGCATCACTACCATTGCTCGTTCCACTGACGCCAGACTCGTTGTTATTGCTGTTGCTGCTGCTGCTACGCTCGGAGCCTTCGTCGGTGGACCTGAACTTGATTTTGCTGGCATAGCTGAGCTTGTCTACATGCTCGCATTGATCCATCAGCTTGAGCATCTCATCAAAACTGATCTCCAGCGGACGATTGTACTTGGCGAGGCCACTGAGCAGCATCTTGCCTTCCTTATCGTTGCTGTAACGAGACAAATGTAACGAGTGCCTTTGGTTTTGACTCGCTGTTGTTGCGCGATACTCACTAGATTTCAATCAGTTCGCAGCCAAGCAACAGCTTCTGTGGGCCCAGTTCCGTGACGGCTATGGTCAGATCGTGATAGTATATCATAATAAGCGAATCGTTACTAACTCGCTTCCCGCTGCAAAACGAAAAATAAAATAATAAAAAAATCAAAAATAAAAGATGAAAGGGAGGCTTAGTGGGAACGTATTTGGGCACATGGCCAGCCGACAGGCATTACAATTATGGGATGAGACGTGACGATCATGGCAATGGCTGTGAATCGAACTGAGTGAAACTACTGTCAACCGTGTCCAATGGCCTGAACGCCAGCTGATTACTAAAACTGATTAAAATTGTTTTTATTTTATGTTTTTCATTTTTGTTGCCTATGAGCGCAATGTGTGCAGTGCACGTCCAGACAAATACATATGCCAGACTGCATTGTCATTTGATCCTCTTGTTAAATAGCTGTCAGTTTAATATTTAACTACCTGGCATAATAAAATTGACAGTTCAAGTACTTTGTACAACTTAATTATGCTTTCAATGCAACGAGAGCATTTTTGAGTTATAATATTTCCTATAAATTTGCAAGACACTCGGGCAAATGTTAAACTCAAACTTCTTCAATTTCCACCCAGACGAGTGAATTTTCCAATTAACTCTATCAACTATTTAAAAGCTAAGGGTAGATTTGAGAGAAAACTCAACAGTTTATTATTGGGAAAATAAGTTAAAACCAATCGGAACCAATTTTTCAGGTATTCTGGGGAATGCAGGTGTAACTCACCTGTAGGTTTTCATTTGGCGCAAACTGCGCTGTTCGATGATCTGCTGCGTGAACGATTGGAATGAGGGGAATCCCTGCAGGCCATGGGGCAGGCTGAATGATAACGTCGGCTTTGCCACTGCCACGGATGAGCCAAGATAACCGACCAGGGCGCAGAACATCGTCGAGACGAGCATTTGAAGACGCCATTTCATGTTGCAATTGTAACGCATCTCTGTTTTTTTTATTTTCAATTTTCTTTGTGCTTTTGCAAAACCCGGCAAATGACTGAATGTCCAGTTAGGGGATAGCCGTAATCTGATTGGATCTGTACTGCTATGCCAGCGGCATAACTCGCAATTGCTGGCGGCGATTTCTCGACTCTCCACTTCCGGGTTGGTTACCTGCGCCAAATTGGAATTCGATTTGAGTCGTTTGAATTTTAATGCTTTTTTTCTGTCTGCTTTGCTGTTTTTTTTGCAATTGCTGTTGTTGCTGTCTCTGTGGCGGCTGCGACCAATCGACTACTGACAGTTGGCAATGCCATAACGAGGTCCTGCCGCAAAGTTCGGGGCAAGAATTTAATGTTTTATTTATTTCCCATTTCACATGAGCAAAGTTGTGAAGGCCCGTCCAAACAGCTGAATGTTCTCACAGAGCCCGAGGCCCAGTGCCAGTGACCGTTCCCAGCACATGGTAAGCACATGCCTGTCCAATCCTAAGCGTACACTCGAAGAAAAACGCATTTTGTTCCACATTGATAACCCTACAATCGATGAGTCTTACATAAAAAGGCACAAAAATATCTAAGAATTTGATAAAGACCCAAGATTTAAATACTTGAGTACTGAATCAAAACTTCTTCTCGGAATTAGAGAAAAAGTATTTAAAACCAGCATTTTTATTATTTGATTTGATTTACTAAAGTTTTCTGCATTTTTTTTGCTTAGTGTAGTCACCGTTAGAGGTATAGTTTTCTAGTTTCCACCTCGTAACATGATTGCTGAGTTCACGTGCTCCGAAAAACTGCGATGTGGCGTTGGCCGAACTAGTTGCCTATTTCTCACCATTTCCTTGTGCTCCTCCTTCGCCATTCTAGCCAACCACCTATCGCCTTTTATCCAATTGTCGATTGTCCTTGTTTCATTTTGTGATTGTCATGGCTATTGCGTGCTATTGCAGTTCAGTTGGCAAAGGAACGATTTTGAATACGGGACGTATACGCAATTTGTTTTTAATTGAGCATAATAAAGCAGACAAACTTGAACTTTGACAAAGACAAATTGGTGTCCATATTGTTTTGAATGCAATTTAATTGAATATGAATCTTTTAGGATGCCTATGAGTTTTTGAACTATTTAAAGTAGATTTCTTGGAACTTTGGAACCATTTTCTTTCTTATTTCTAGTCTTGTGATCAGTCTAGTACATTTGTTGGACACTTGTCTTATTTATTTATTAATAGTCAAGAACGTATTGAAATTAAAATTTTATAAAATAGATGTTTACATAAGAACCGTGTTCCTCAACCACAAACTGAGAACTTAAAATTCTTGGCTCTACCGAAATCAGCCAATATGAGAACAAAGTAAGTTTGCATTAAATTTGACTTCGATTTGAACTGCATAACCAGTTTAGAGCTTTAAATTATGTGTCTGTAGTGAATGAAAGACAAAAAAAAAGAGAACCATAACCAAGCGAACAATAAGTTTCATTCTAGACCATCCCTTCTCGACCTTGACTTGACGACATTCTGAACCGAAACACCGAATGATTCTATGGCCATGATTATACGCTTGACTCATACTTTAATTGTATTCCAAAAAGCTAATAATGGTTTATAGTCTGAAGTTCGTGACTGAATGACTTGTCGGAAAGAAGCATTTAAATGCATACCAAGAGAGATCTGGAATTGATGGAAGAGCTGTGCCGTTAAATAATCTTTATGGTTATAGTATGCATCCTTCTCTCTCTCTCTCTCTCTCTCTCTCTCTCTCTTGGTAACTTTATCTTTCGCAACACCCTGTCCGACTACTAGCCCTTTATATGGTTGTATCTTTGTATATACATATATATGTCATCTGGTGAATTGTGAAACAGTTGTCAATTCCAGCTAATAAACACTTCACACTTGCCCAGTGAGATCGGAGCGTGGGGGTAAAACTGAAGAACAAAAAGTAGTGGATGTAGTAAATGACACAAAAATAAAAAGAAAAATATGAGAAAAAAAATTATAATAATACGAATTGTCCACACGCACGAACAACAAACATGCTAATCACAAAATATGCGTTTGTCCCCGAGAAAGAAAAACTGAATATTATGCATACTGCTCAATATATGTGTACAACATATGTATACATATATGGCTATATATATATATATATATATGGTTATATATGCATGCATTAAACGTGAAATATTGTATTGTTTACGTTTTATGATTTTTTCGTGGATTTTAGCCAAGGTTCGAAGCACGAAACTTTACGCAAGCAGTGGACAATGGCCAAGTGACTCTCCGGGAACTCTCACAATGGCACCCTCAAAGTGAAAGTACTCGCCAGTGTTACAGTTGTTGTTGTTGTTGTTGTCGATGTTGTCGTTGTTGTCGTTGTTGATTTTGGGTGATTTTTGAGCGATTTCAATTGAAATTGTGAACCAACATGCAACATCCACAAAGCTGTTGACAGATTCAGCAATACATAAACTTGTTCCCACACACACACACATATACAAAAGCTGTGAAATCACCCACACACACACTTACACACACACACACACACACACAGTGGTGCCACTTGTTGTGGGTTGGTAAAACGAACTCAGTTATTCAACATTTGACATCTTAAAGACCACAAGGGTTAGTTGATTATGGCTAAAAGTTGTAAAATTTGGCTTTAATAAGTTTTACGTAATTGCATATTGTTACAGGGAGAGAGAGAGAGAGAGAGGTAGAGAGAGCGAGAGGGAGATAGAGTAGCAAGACGACGGCATCTTATGCATGAGATTTCTTAACTTGAATTCTTCTAATTTATTTTCAAATATATTATTCGTATTATTATTATTGGATATAATATAGTTACAGTTATTATATACAGTTGCCAAAATCGGGGCATTTCCTTATAGTCCTCATAAAAGTAACATGAAATCAAATAATATACAAAATAAGATTTATCTTAATGTGTTTTTGAAATGTCCACTTTCTGGTAAAAGCCTGCATTTAGCACTATGTATGTATGTTATACGTATATAAATACATTCTTTAGTTTAATGACAATATAATCTTGAACTTAACTTCTCTCGAAAAGCAAACAGAAAGAGGTTAGCTTAGAAGGGGAATAATTTTGCACCGCTCCCAGCCAGCCGTCGAGCCGTCTCTAAAAAATTAGATTAGTTGTTGTTATTATTGTAGACCCTTTTTTTATCATAGAAAGTGAAAGAGAGCAAGCTGTAGTCAAAGCCAACCAAATCTAATCTAATTCAATTGTATATCAGCAACCTAATCCAATCTAATTAAATTGTATACCAACATTTCTGACTTTATCCAATTAGCCGGATGCACTTTCCAACTGATGCGACTCAACTGACCGAATATAACCAGGTCACGATCTGTCGACATCATAATTAATTGCACAAAATCTCATTTGAAGCCACATTAAGCCCGAAAGCAACAATGCAAACAGTGTAACAACAACCACAACAAATGCGGTTCATAGTTGAGTGCTTTTCACTGTGCTGCCTGTCCTCAGAACTATGAGATCTATGTGAATCACACTTCCGTTTAAACAACAGCAACATCAGGAAATGGCCAAAGCACAATAGAGCCTAACCCAAAACCCAAAACCCCAAAAACAGCCATCTAAAACTAAGCCCATTTAAAAATACTGAAAGTGAAAACATATCTCCATGCAAACTGCGATGGGAGAGGAAGCGAATGAGATGAAAGAGTCTTAAAGATTCGGAGCGATATTATCAGCTGAAAACGAAACAAATTTGAATGCAATAGCTGAAGTGTTTGTACTGAAAGATACCCTATAATTGGCTGTAGGGAGAAGTATATGAGATTTTCTAAGGAATATCAATAAATATTTCTAATAACTTGCTGGTTTTGTAATATAAATAAAAGATACAAAAAATACTCCTTTAATTTAGGGACGGAAACTTCTGACTTGGCAACGTTCTTGGCAACAAATCTTTCTAAAAGTCATCATCATCATTTGCACCTTACCGTGGTCATTTCCAGTTTTTTTTATGGCTACAAATAAAATAAAAGTGAAACAAAAAATACCCCAATTTGGTCAACTTGAACTTGGCTAAATTTTTTTGTTTTGTAGGTTTTCTTTTTGGTTCGCATTTTGGGCTAAAAGTACAAAACTTTGCATAAGCCACGAGCCAAAAAAAAAGAAGAAAAATGAAGAAAAAAAACAGAAAAACGCAGAGGCTAAAAAAAGATCACGCTATCTTGGCATAGGTCAGTGAAGCATGAGGCACGGGTAAAAAAAAAGCAAAAGCTGAATAACACTCGACCATGGAGCGAAATTCATTTGACGCTGCCTCGCTGTTGACCCGCTAAAGTCGTTGTATTTCCAGTTGCCATTCTTGTTGTTGTTGTTGTTGTCGTTGCCAGTCGCTGCAGTAGTAAAAGTGGTGGCTGTCCAATGGCTCGCTGCAGATGCGCCAACAACAGCAACAACAACAACAACAGCGATACAGCAATACACTGACAACTGGTTTGCAAGTTCGCGGTTTTAACTTTCACATTGGGCGCACGCTTAATTGTGGGCTTTAATCTTGGTTAATTTGCTCCAGTTTTGATATTTCATTTAGTAATACAAAAAATAAACAAACACACAAACAGAAACACAAATACACATATTCCGAGACAGCACGAACCAACGATTAAAATGATGCTCACTCAGCTCGATGGGTGGAGGATGGGAGCACGAGATGGAGATGGCGATGGAGATCGAGATCGAGATGATCATTATGATGATGATGATGATGATGATGTTCGCGTTGCGCTGCGTGCCTAAATATATTTCTAGACTTTACCTACAACTAATGAGCATTGGCTACAAAAAATCAACGCTCTACTCAGTATTGTTGTTGGATGTTGGATGTTGTTGTTGTTGCATGTGAATATGTCTAGCCAAAGTGCATATAAACTGTTTGTTGTGGTCCATACACGAAAGATGAACACGCTACACTGCATGGGGCTAAGCTTTATGCATTAATTTGATCTACTCGCTTAACCTTAAACTGATCCACTTGCAAAGCAGAGCACTCGCTGTTGCAAACAAAATGTACTCGTTGTTAGCACTCGTTGTTAGCACTCACTGGTTTTCGCAAATATGGAACCAAATACAAACAATCGATTCGACAAGTTATTTATTTATTTTATTACTTGTTACTATTACTCATTTTTAGTACTCGTTATGCAATGATTGATTTTATGGCAATTGGCTTTTTTCTAGCATTTAAATATGAACAAATCGTTGAATTAAGACTCACAACTGACTGTCCACGTCAATCAAATCACATTTTGACGAATGAGGCTAAATCCCAATAGGTTTACTCTGTTTTTCCAAGATCGTTTTTACCTTGATGCTGTTGAGGTAGGGTGCTTTAACTATCAGTTGGGCAGCACTTCGCAGCAACTCGCTAATCATGGGAATGGGAATGGGAATCAGGAGTTGGGAGTTGGGAGTTGGGAACTCAGATTGGGAAACTGAGAATGACGATGATGATGTGCGAGATTCGTGAGACGCGAACTGAACTCAACGGGTTGTGCAGATCGAGATAAATAACGATGAACCATAATGATGATGTTGTTACTCTTGTCGTTGTTGGTGTTGGTGTTGGCGTTGGTGTCTCGCAACTGAGATGACAAATGCAGCTTGTGGCATTCCCATACCCATTCCCAGACGATTGTCTCTCCTTATTATTTGCTGCCTCGTATGTTTCTTTGTGTGTGTGTGTGTGCGCGCTAGTTTCACAAGCGCTTTTGGGTGAAACTTGGCCAAACGTTGCAACACTTTTGTTAAGATACAAACATATCTTTATCTATATCTTTAGACCTTGCTATCGGGTCCACTGTAGATTTGTTTTTACTTAAGCCACTTGGCCTCCATTGCCAGCAACAACAGCAAGCAGAAGAACAACAACAAGAATTAGTCGTAATTTATACATAAATATTTTTTAATTATTTATATATATATTTTTTTTTTTTGCCATTACGTTTTCAAAGCAGCCACTGTTAGTCGGTCAGTTTCACTTTTAAACAAAAAAACAAACAAACCAAAAAAAAAACCCCGAAATAAACAAAAAGTACGACAGCGATGAAAAAGTCGGTTAAAGCATGAGACGCATGCGCGCTCCGCAAAAAGCTCGCCGAAATTAAACGCAAACCGTTCGCTGCCGCGCAAAGACAACAACTGATCGATGAAGCCGCCAAGCGACGCTCAACCGAAGTGGTTGTTGATCAGCCGAAGCCCAAGTTCCAAGCCGCAGACGACTGAGACATAGCCGGTGTTGCCATGCTAGCTTTTTAAAAGCTAGTCGTAGCTTTTACAGTTGTTAAAATACCAGCATAATATTGCAAGCTGCTGTTAGCCAGACAAAACAAGTAAACACATTTTATTTGGTAAAAGCTCAAGAGTTTATAATTATTAACTTTCATTGAAGGCATACCCACATATTTTGTACTATAATGGTCTTAACTTTTTTTTATAGCTAGTTCTAATCGATATTTTGTCTTTCAAATTCTGGCAGCACTGGTCAACAGCGACTGTTGACGACGACCGAAAATGTGTCAAAAGCAAAAGCTGCGCTTCAATAGCAGCAGCAGCACAGCCTTAACAACAGCAACTGCAATGGCAGCATCAAGTGCTGCATTTTTTCGGTAGCTTTTGCATTTGTATGCGTGTGACTGTGTGTGTGTGTGTCGTGTGCGTGTGCGAGTGTGTTCATGGGGAGTGGGCGGCCTGCATTGCAATTGACAAATGCTTGATCGGCCGCTGCGACTTCGACGTTGACGTTGACATCAACGGCGACGCTAACGTCAACCTTTTCTTCTTCTGCTTCTTTGTCGCCCAAGTGAAAACAACTTTTACAATGCAGCAGCTGCCGCCGCCGACCGGCAAGGAAAAGTGAAAAATAATAAAAACTACTTTGACCGAAAGTGTCAAACGACAACGTAAAAAAGACAAGCATTCAAAAAAGCCAACAATAATAAGTATGGCATAAGGCAGGTGAAGTCAAGCCATTGTAATCATCGCTAAAGACCCCTAATATAAAACTATAAAAGCGGTCTTTAGCTGGAGTATTATGGGGCCAGGGGTCTTACTGTTTTTTTTGTTGCTTTAAATGGTTTAGATTGGAATATTAACTTTTAATTGAACAGCAATTTAATCAAGGGAATAAAAAAGTTTCTTATTGAAATCAGCGTAAAATTTGAAATATTTATGGCACAGGAATATAGTCGTTTTTGCGGCAGAATCAAACAGGAATGAAAGGTGATGGCATTGAATAGTTTTATCCATGTCGTTGGCCTTAGCCAATTTAAATAAGCATTTCTCATACGCCGAGGCATACATTCCAAAACATAAAACATACTTCTGGGATGACTAATCACAGACAAGCAATTTTCTGACCGATTACAAAAAAACACTGCATACTTTCAGGACGAACCAAATTTTGCGTTTTCGTTAAGAGGCACGAGCGCAGCACATGCTCTCCTGCATCCATCGAGCTTCGGACAGACGTAAATCCAAATAAGTGTCCTTGTTATGCGAAATAGGGTAAGGTGAGGATAGCAACAAGAGATATACATTTTTACTGCTCCATGGAAAGCAAACCCATTTCTAAAACGAATTGTGAAGGGAAATGGGGAGGAAACTCTGTTCCAGGCACAACAACAACAACAGCATCGGGTAATCTAACCTAACTTACACTGTTATCCAACACTATTCACCAGGGAGCCAGGTTCAATGGCTGCGTGAGTTAGCCGAGGATGCGCACTTGAAAACATAACAAATATAAATAAAGGGCGCAAATGCGCTATTTATAGACGAACATGACAAGACAATGAGACAAGATATGCTGAAAGCATTGTTGTTGTTGTTGTTGTCGATGCTTATAATTTATTGCAGTCAATTGCAATTGCAGAGCTATTATGACAGCCAATTATTTATATGTATGTGGGTTGGAGTCGGTGTAGTTGTGCTTTTTTTTTTACTAATTCTTGTTGATTTTGAAAGTTGTAAAAAAACAAAGCGCCAACGAAACTCGCTCGGCTGTGGACGCGGGTCGAATATTCAACAAGCTTGTAACCCCTTATTTGAAGTTAAGACAACAAAAAAAAAAACAGAAAAAAAGCTTTATAAAAAAGAAAACAATTTATGCTTTTGTCAACGTGGTTTATATATAAATATGTGAACAAATTACAATTGTATACATATACACATTTATGTAAATGGAACAATTGGGTGTTGCCTCAAATTATTATTATGACTTGGAAACTCTAGAACGCATTGGTTCCACTTTCTATTGCGGTCATATTCTTGCACGGCTTCAAAATACATACCAATTGTGGAGTCTTAAAAAGTCGAGTCCCAAATTTAATAAATAAATATAAAAATGAATGTATTTTCTAAAACTGTTCTTTTGCATTTTATTTTGAGATTTCTTTTTGTTTATGTTGGGTATGGCATTCGTGGTGATGCCAATGCCAAAATGGTGTAGGCTACAATAAGTCATTAATTATACAATAAGTCATTAATTATATATATATATACATATATATATATATATATATATATATATATATATATATATATATATAAATATATAGCACTAATGCAGGGATATTAATTGTATTTTATAGACTGTGCTTATGTATGTAGTATCGCTTGTGCATAGGACATGTTACACACACGGTTTGACGAATCAGTTGGGTGGAATCTTACTCCTATTTCGGACACTACAGATTTAGATTAAGAAATATCAACTGGAAATCGAGAGAACAATTATTCCAGTTGGCTTACAAGACGCACTACATATATATATGTCTAGTTTTTACACCACAATATAGGGGACGGGGGAAAAGTGAGGAGGGAATTTTTAAGTTTTAATTTGATAATTCAGGAAGAATACTACTTATGTACAACATGTACATAGTTTAATAATCGAAAGATCCGATGATCATCGGAGATAAGTCTATATATTATGCCTAACTATTGATTCGTTTATTCTATTTATACATATTCCTTTTATTATTATGTACGCGTAGCATTCAACATTAATTTAAATTGTGCTACAAAGTTTTGCTTCTGCAATTGTTTTACTATACAAATTGATTATCAGTTATCAATATACGTATGTATCAATATTTACGTTAAGCAATCACATTGTGTATTCGTATTTTACAATTAAATTATGAACGATTGTTGGATGAACAAAATATTATTGTATACAATCCAATTAACGAGGTGTTTTGTTTGTGTGAGTCAAAATTAAATGGTATCATCTCACATTTCAAGGCTATTCCACAGTTTGCCTGAGTTGGTTTTCGAATACAAAACGGTACCAAAAGTAAATTTAGAATATTTCTTTCCTTTTTGCTTGTTTGTTCTTCTTCTTATTCTTATTCCTCTTCTTGTTCTTTAAATCGAAATTATAACCAAGATCCACATGGAAATACAATTAGCTCAACATCACAATAAAGCTGGTATGTATCCCTTGCTGGATCCTCTCTCAATTCTTGCTGGACTCGGGCGGCTCCAGCACACGCTTCTCACTCATGCTGAAAAACTCTTCCTTTACCTGATCAATGGAATAATCCTCCTCAATTGGCGGATAGCTGGACTTCTGTAAAGAACGCAGAAAACGCAGCAAATTAAATGATATATATATCTTGTATGCTGAAATTTAAGTGCAATGCTTTTACGTTATTTGTTGCATTTAGGACACGCAGCTGCTGCCAGTTCTCCAGAGTGTGGGCATATCGCAAATATTTCTCGAAATCATGTAATGTCTCATATACATGACACAGTCCTAGATAATCATACTCCAGCCCGGAGTAAGTGCGTCCAAACAATTGCAAGCCTGAGAAAGAGAGAAGAGTGTAGAAATTAGGCTTCGAACAGTATGCAAATTTATCAAACAAGAAATAAATAAATTCAATTAAGTTAAAATACACACTGTTTTTTAAATTAAAATTTTTTAAAATGTTGGCATTTGGCTCACTTATGTCAATGCTGCGCAGATATAGATCCTCGGCCTGGCGAAACTTTTTCATCTGATAGTTGTAGAGCGAGGCGAGATGCCCAATGGAAAGGCCGACCTCATAGTCATGGGGACCGAGTAGATCGGTTTTGATCTTGATGGCCTTTTGATGCATACTCTCCGCCTCCTCAAAACGATTCATTGTCTGATAAAGCCGGCCAAGATTGCCATAGTGTTTGGCCGTCTGCACATTCATCTCGCCGAACACCTCCAGCGACAGTTGGAGTGCGAAAATGTGCAGCTGCTCGGATTGCAGCAGCAGATCCTCTTCATCCATGCCATCGGCTATCTTATCGAGTGCTATCTCTTCTAGCAGTAGCGCCTTCACACGTTTCGCCGAGGCGAGCATTAAATGATTGCTGGGCACGAGATTCTTCATGATATTAACAGCCTTATCGACATGATCCTGAGCGCAACTAAAGTCACCGGTGCTATACTCATGCACATAGTATGCATACGATAGATCCTCGTGGGCGATCGCCACATGGAAGTTCATGTTGCCAAAGATGCCGCGACGCACCTCCAACGCCTCCTTGTACACCTTAACGGATTGGAATACCGAGTCCACATTCAGCAGAAAGAAACCATAATCCAGCACAGCATCGCCATATTTCTGATGTATTACCCCAAAGTGCTCGCTGCGAAACAGAGTGATATGGCAACAGTGAATACAAATAGAGGTGGAGCATGACCTAATGGATTTTGAGTTTTGAGTCACTTACTGGGCACGACGGACTGCCTGGCAGATGAGCAGATTGGCTCGGCAAAAGTCCCGTTTGACCACACAGGCCTTGGCCGCTTGGCGTAGCACATCGATGGCAATGCTGCGAGATTACAATTATTAGTTAGCATGTGTTTCTTTTGGGATGCGAGTGAAATTGGGTGTACCGTGGGGACGCCGATTTATCCAGGTAGTGCATGGCTTGCACACTCCACATGTGACTGTTGTTGTATTCGTTGCGTGCGAAATACATGGACGAGATTTGTGTACAGGCCATCGCGAACAGTGGATTTGACACCATATTCATATCCTTCAGCTCGCTAGTCAGCTGCACCATTTCGACAAAGGTTTGCTGTGCCAGCTTGAAATTGCAGTGTGATGACTCCGCATAGAGTAGACTGTAAAAATTGATTCGATTATTTAATTGATTTAGACATATATATATAAATATAGAGATATAGGTACCGCTGCAGGCAATCGACCCGCAAGATCAGGGCATCCTTGTGGTGACGCTTCAGTCTTTCATTAAGGCACAAGAGCACAGCGATGCTCTCTTGCATCCATCCAGCCTCAGACAGAAAGCTGCCCAAACGCAGACCCAAATCAATGGCGAATGCATCCTCGGTGCTCAACGAGTCCAGCGACGGTGCCAGTGGCCCTGGCTCCGTCGTCCCACCGTCATCAGCAGCTGTGGCCGCAGCAGCAGCATTGTTTGCTGTTTTTGTCATATTGTCAATGTAATTAATGCTGATGCTAATGCGGTTGCTGCTGCTACTGCTGCAGCCGGCAACATCATTCAGCTCCTTGTCCTTGGCCTCCTTATCGCCATCGCCATTGGCAACGCCATCGGCATCGTCCTCGACCTGTTCAATGTCCGGTTGTGCTTCGATCTCTGAGGGCTGGGCAATGCGGCCAACATATGCATCGCTGAGGCGACGCGTTACCGCCTTGTTATTCGTCATCAAATCGACAACGATCCGCAGCAGCTTGCTTCGTGCCGGTATGTAGCGTACGAGTCGATGGAATACATCAAGATTTGCCAGCTCCTCGGTGAGTGTGTCCATCAGCTGCTCTCGACGTGACATCTACAATAAGGCAGTAAATAGAAATGGTAACATGAGGATAGCAAAAACAAGCTTCATGGAAAGCATACCTATTTCTAAAACGAATTGTGAGGAACGGAGGAAACTCTGTTCCAGTCACAACAACAACAAAAACAGCATCGGAAAATCTAACCTAACTTACACTGTTATCCAACACTAGTCACCAGGGAGCCAGGTTCAATGGCTGCGTGAGTTAGCCGAGGATGGGCACTTGAAAACATGACAAATATAAATAAAGGGCGCAAATGGGCTATTTATAGATGAAGATGACAACAAGACAATGAGACAAGATATGCTGAAAGCATTGTTGTTGTTGTTGTTGTCGGTGCTTATAATTTATTACAGTCAATTGCAATTGCAGAGCTATTATGACAGCCAATCTATGCATTTTATGCATGTACACACTTACATATGAATGCATGTGTGCGTGTTCTGTTAAGTAGTAGACATGCAATGCCATTATTACAAGCCTCAACTGAAGAAACAAATATGCTAAAGTTATTTAACTTTAATTAGGATACAGAGTGAATGTCACAAAAGCTCATTTCAGTTAGATGCGTTTGTGTTAATGTCCAGCTGTGCACATCAACCAGAAGCTTCGACGTGTAAACATAAACAGTGAAGAGCTTTTGGGCACGAGCTTTATCAGCGCAAACAAATCAAAATTCCACTAAATGGAAATCAAAACAAAAACAAAATCAAAACAAATACAAAATGTCGTCCTGTTGGCGATTGTTTCGACATTGCCACCTTCGTAATTAAATGCAATATACATAATAAAATTCGTAAAACAAAAAAGAAAGTAAAAACAATATGCTGTAACAGCGTGGCGAAAAGTCTACACACACACAGACATAATCATGCATATGCATGTGTTGTGTATTTTCACTTTTTATATGTTGCCATTAAAAGTGGTTACAAACAGTATAAATTGTCGCAGTTTGGTTTTTTGCGTTTATCAGATGGTACACAGACGTCAATTACGAAACAGATTACCAAAGGATGACAAGAACTTTTTACATCGACCATCAGTTATTTGCTAGTTGGTTTGTCCCCCTCCCTTTCTCCCCTCTCTCAGCACGACTAGAGCAGTACTTCTGTATGTATTTTTGTTTCACACTGAGGAGCAGAGAATAAATGAAGGAGCTCGATAAGAAACTTACCAGCTCGTAAACATCGATGAGCAGATTGAGGGGCAACTCCGGCAGCTTGCTGATGCGTTCCAGTGTGGTCACTTTGCAGTCCAGGCCGTTGACAATGGCAATCAATGTCAGATTGTACAGTGCATTGGGGCTGTTGTTGTTGTGCCCAGAGGCCGATGACATCGAGAGGTTCTCTCGTGCAGCCATTTTGCTTTATTTTCCTCCTGTTTTGATTGTTCTTGCTTTTGTTTGTTGTTGTTGGAGTCGGTGTAGTTGTGCTTTTATTTTTTTTACTAATTCTTGTTGATTTTGAAAGCTGGAAAACAAAGAACCAACGAAACTCGCTCGGCGGGTTGCGGGTGGACAGTTCTGCAACAAATTTCGACGTTTTAGAAAGGCGCGCAAGTAAAAGCAAAACAAATTTAAGAATAACAAACAGAAAAAACAAAAGTTTATTAACTTGTGCTTTTGCCACACGTGCCCGTGAAACGTCACCTCAAAACTGATGTGTTGCAATGTCACACGTACACACACACACGCGCAGTCGATGTGCCAGAGCAGCAGTAGCATAAAAAAAAAATATAAAAAAACAAATAGCTTCACTTTCTTTTAAGACGATCTTCGTTTTTCCTTTCCTTTTTGTATTTTGATTTTTTTGCCCAGCGCACAGCAGCTGCTGGCAATTTCACTGGTGCTGCTACTGCAGAGACGAGTCGCTCTTTGTTACTCACTCACACACATGCACGCACAGCAAGTCGAATCTTGCTGATTGGATTTGAGTTGTTTGTTTGTGGCTCCCTGTTGAAAAACTTACACAATATCGTATGCATTTATTCGTTGTTAACATGTACAATATTGTACGCCCAATATTAAAAGTAATTAATTGAAGTTATTTTTTGGCTTGATTTTATGCCAAAAAAAAACTTATTTGATTTGGGGATGGCAGCAGTAGTTGAAGCAATCGACCACCTACTAAACTATCGGACACACTCATCGATATTTTATATAACTTAACGTACTCGATTACGAATTGAATTCAACAATAACTGATAGCTAGATAACAGGCCGATTAATACGCGTTTACAGACTCAATTTTGCGCCAATTGCAGTTAACTGATCATATTTAAAAGCTGACCTCAAAATATTTTGCATAAATACTGTTATATACTAGAAAATTGTCAATAAACACCAGCACAGCCACAAATACAATAAAAATGAAACAATTGTTTAATTTATTTGTAAAATTCGGTCACTTTGCAGTAAAACGTAACTGGACGCAAATACCGTTATGCTAGCCTTTTGTATTTTTATTGATAAACTTGTCAATTTCGGTTAAGTTTCAAGGTTTCCTGCTGACCGTAAGAGCTTTGATAAATTCGATTGATTGAATTTGGCTTTGTTGTTAATTGTGCTGTTGCCGCTCAAAATAGGTCAAAGTCATCGTCTTCAACCTCAACTAGGCCAAAATCGTTGGTGCTGCCAAACATCCACCAATGCCGCAATATGTTACGAATGAGAAGAAATCGGGTTGTCACAAACTCGAAGAAGTGAAAGAAGAGAGCACTCGATGTGAGCAGGGCACACGATGCGAAGAATACCTCGTGCACCGTTAGCAGTTCATTGCTGCCCTGATTTAGATGGTCCATGCAATGCAACACCTGTACACAAGCAAAAAATCGCAAATAAGCTGGAAGGATGTGGCGAAAGAGCAACTGACGGCAACGCCAACGCCAACGGCTGTAAACGTTGCTCACCTGCTGCAGTATCACATTGGCGATCGGCATCAGTGAGGCGCTGAAGAGCAGATGCTTCAGAATCATGCCACAGCAGCGGTCACAGAAGAAGGCGCGCACCATTTGCATCACACTCGCCCGATCTGCCGTTATATTGAATGGTGCATTGCATATCTCACAGCGATTATCTCGTCGATGCATTATCCAGCGCTTCAAACACTTTAAATGTATATAACCCTAGAAATTCGATACATAAAATAATTAAAGACGCGATTGCCAAAGCTATATCTATATCTATACATGTGTCTATCTACTTATCAGAAATGCTTCTTTTTGCATCACAAAAATCACACTCCGTTTGAAAGCGAATTTAATTTTGAAAAACAAGAAAAGAATAAATAAAAAATTTACCAAAAATCGAAAATATAAATAATATACGTATGATAAAATCGTCTTTTTGCACCAAAAATCAAAACCCACGGAAAGTGAACTTTCATCTTGTTTTAAAATAAATAAAATTACAAATCTACCAACTATCGAAAATATATTCAGTGACAACAATCGGAAACCAGGAATATACATATATATATTCTTAGATGAAGTTCATTTATGAACTAGCTAGATTGAAGAGCCTTGAAACAAGTTTGACGCCTTCACACACTAATCTTTAATCTATTTAAGAATCCCGCTCTTGGTTAATGATTGTGGATGACTAGCCTAAACTTCAAACTCTTTTGAATTAAGTTTACAATATTCATTTCTCTGTATTGTGCTTGTCGCCTCCGAACACTCTAAGAGTGTGATCTGTGGCACTTACCACGCTGCCCTTACATTTGCAGGGACAGTTGATGATCTCCATGTCGCTGCGATTCCAGCGACAGATGCGACACGAATTGCCAAACTCATTGGCCGAGTGGACGCTCTCTTGGGAGACCGGTTGGCTCGCCAATGCCACTCCATGCGGTTCGGCACCAGCATCAGCAATACCGCGACCATCGGTCAGCTCATGCTCTTGCTGCTGTTGCGTTCTTGGCTGCGCCAGAGATGTACCCGCAGCAATGCTGCTAAATAGCCGCAAGGCTGTCGCCTCCGACAGCTGCTGTTGATCCTGCTGTGCCATTTCTTTCCACTTGTGTATTTGAGCTTTTGAGTTTTGTGGCTTATCGATCTTAAGACTTTTGTGGACGCGGAACGATTCGAATTTTGCTTGCACGAATTTCACACGTAATTTTGTTCGGACATTTTACACAAGACTTTCACATCGTGTATAATATCGGTTTGAGTTTTGCTCTCATTTCTCTAGCTGACAGACTGTTAATACGTAGGCCAACTTCAAAAATATATATATCTGTTGATCTAGAGAAAGAAAAACAAACAAAAAAAACTATTGTACAGTTACCAAGATACCCTGTAAAATAAATTGATCAAATTGATCGCCCTCCAAATAAAAATACAATTTTTCGATCATTTTGTTTCTTTCAATGTTAATATTAGCTGTAGATACATATATGTATAATTTTTAATGTTGATATCGCATTTCGCTTGCCGCTGCTGCGAGTTAGTAAATTGTTCGTATAATTTCGCTCGCTTAGAGTTGAGAAAAATATTTATGCATTTCTCTTACTCTCTCTCTTTCTCATCTCTCTCGCATCAAAACTCAGCGGGGTTAGTAAAGTTTGCGGCATGAAAATTCATTGCTGCTCTGATTCCTTTTTTTCTTTTTTCATTATTTAAAATTATAATTATGACAAAAAAATTCAACAATTATTGTATAGTTTTTTTTTTTAAGTTCAATAACAAATAATAATAATAGTAAAAAATTAAAAAAAAATATATATATGTATATATATGTAAAATAAAACAAAACACAAAAAACGTATCAAATGTCCTTTTGCTGTTCAATTCGACGAGCCTGCCATTTGTGGTGTATATAGGTATAGGTAAGTGTGAGTAAATTGATGTGGATGGTGGATATAGATAGTATTTAGTATTTTAAATAGTTGTATATAGGATGCTGAGTGTGTTCATCCAACACGAAATGCCAAAAAGGTATACGCAATTAATTGCCTGAACAGGGGTACTCAATTTTTGTTTGCTTAAAATTTAATGAATAGTTGTTGTTCTTGTTGTTGTTTCTGCTGCTGTTGTTGTTGCCCACGTACTGTTCTTGTTGCTGTTGTTGTTGCGCCATTGTTGTTGAGTTGCTTATTTGTTTTTTTTTTTTACTGGCAATTGCGAAAACGGCGATAGATGCTCTGCACATAAACAAAGACGCACTTCCAGTCGGGTCGGCTCATCTCCACCATGTCTTCCACATCCAGCAATGGCGCTATGCCAGCTTTCTCGCTGCGACACAGACAGGGAGAGAGAGAGAGCATTATTAACAGTGCAATTTACAGTTGTGTTTAACATTTTGTACTCACTCGGCAACACTAAAGGCCAGCTCAAAGTTGTGTCTGCGTGTTTGTTTGGTTAGTTCACTGTAGTCAAATGCATCTGGCAAGAAATGATGTATCAGGGCACAAAAGGCCAAGCCGTCTGACCAGCTCGAACTAAAGTTGCTTATTTGGACGTTCTGTGAATAACATTTAAATAACATTGTGATGAATGCGCCCAGAAGGGGTGGGGAATATGGGTGGCAGTGGGATTACAGATATTAACTCTGTTAATTTCATTCATTTTTACTGTTTTTTTTTATGAGCAGCAGCAGCAGCAGTGGCAATAAAGCAATTTTTTTTGTTGAAAGCCCCAGCCCCAAAAAGCAATTGGCAACGACAACGACAACAATAATTAAAAGAATATGTAGCAAAAGGAAGCGGCAAAGCACAACGTTTACAGTTACTTTTAATAGGAGAGTAAATTCTGCGTTTCTTACTCCATTTCCACTTCCAGGCAGAGCAGGCTGCTTGCGTGCGTTGCTTTTTGTTTTGTTTCTTTTTTCTAATTGCGTGTATAATTGGACAAGTGTATATCTGTGTGTGTGTTTTTGTGTGTATGCGTGTGTAGATGAGTTGCTCAAAAGCTCAGCTAAAGGTTAGGCGTTGTTTAGTTTTTGTAATTACGTTTTTGTTGTTTTGTTTGTTTTGGCATGGTTTGTTGGTTATTTTCCTTATGTTGGGCCTAAGCATTAGAATTTGGTTATCAAAACGAACGACAAGTAAATTATACAAAAACAAAATATATAAAATCAAGTCAAAATTCAAAAAGGAAAGTAGCAAATAACGGTCTATGGCTGTGGCTTTGCGTTTGCGTTGAGCTGTTTTTTTTTTTTTTTTTAGGTATATTTTGGTTTTTTTTTTTTTAGGTTTTGGATACCTCATATTCCTGCGTTTTGTGCTGACACCACTGCAGAAGTTGATCCTTGACAGTGGCGGCGCGCGCATTTAATGCCGGATCGGTAAATTTGAAATACGGTTGCGCTGAACCGCCGGGGGTCGTGGGTGTGCTTGTTGTTGGAGATGATCTGAACAAATGATTCAAGGTTGGAGGGGCAGACGTTTTAGCGAAACTCACACAATTGTTTTTTTTTTGTTTTTTTCTTAGATTGTTTGGTTTTTTTTATACATAAATTTTGTACTTCGGTTTGTAGTTTGGGTGTTTCAATTTTGGTTTAGATCGTGTATGTGTGTGTGTGTGTGTGGGTTTGTGTTAACAGGAAACAACAATTATTACTATTACAGTGAACGGTCGGCAATTAGAATCTGTTTCATTACGACTTTTTTTTTTAATAATGTATTACCAAAAATGTTTGAAAATTTAACTCTGAAAGTCACAAAATTGGAAATATATTCGCCAAACAGAATTGTTCCAATTAGCGAACGAGCACTGTATACTTAAAATAAATCAGAAATATTATAACTAACGGTTTTTGTTTTGTGTGTGTGTGTGTGTGTGTGCGTGTGTGTGCTTATCTAACTGTTTCTGTTCTTGTTGCTTTCTCAGAGAGGAAGTGTGACAGAGAGATAGAGGGAGAGACAGGGAGAGACAGAGACAAGAGTGAAAGTGAGCTGCGTACGCATGTACAGTATTTAGAACAAGGCGAAGATACATGCGACACACATACATACATATGTATGTTAAGTGACATTGTTCAATTTTATCTAACACATTTAGAATTTGACCTATGCACAGAAAACATTAATTAATATTGCCGATTACCAACACCAGAAAATGGGTGTAAAATAGAAGGCGAAACTAGTGATTGAGTATGTGTGTTTTTGTGTGTGTACATGTACGGATGTGGTTGTGTGTGTGTGTGGGTGATGAGATCCTGCACCAAATGTAAATGCAAAAGAAATGCAAGCAAAATGTTATTTAACATCTGACTGTGACAGCGTTGCCGTATCATCAATCAGTTCATAAGAATTTTGCGTGCTTTCCTTTTGGCATATGAGCGCGATTTACTGGATTGTTTTTTTTTAAATGTGTATTTATGTATATGGGAGTAGGTAAATATGTTATTATATACATATATTTGGTTTTGTAGCTTACTTTTGAGCCTGCTGCTGGGCAGCTGCCTTATCGAGCTGCTTGAATTTGGCCAGCGGAGAAATGTTTTTGGTGGCAGCGTTGCCACTCACCGTGCGTGTGGTAACTGCAATTGCGATTAAAAGGCCAATTATGATAAATATAATAATATTATAATATATTGGTATGTGATACCTTTTGTTGTTGTTGTGGTGACAACGGCGCCGCCATCTTTTGACTTGGTCTCGGTGCGTTCACTGGTCGTTGAACTTTGTTGCTTGTGTTGTGCTGTATAAAGAAAGGTTTTAGACGAATTGGCAACGAGGAAAAAACGGAGGGGGAGAAAAAAAAGAAGCAATAATTACAACAATTAGTCAAATTGCATGCAGACCAAAAAAACAAAAATTAAAATCATAATAATAATCAATTCAACATAATTCAAACATCATTATATGTATATGTATTGTTAAAGTATAGTTATTGAAAATGTTGGGAAAAATACGGTTAGAAAGATTAATCTGCTTAAATTATTTGTAATTTTGTATTTTTTATTTCGTTGTATCTTGTCTTAGACTATTCTAGAGCAGGCAACAAAATTGATGCTACACACGGCAACGAAACGAAACATGATAGCAAAATTGCATTTGCAAAGATCTTTTTTTTTACTGTTTTAGTCAATCAAAAAACGACAACTCTACACAAATTCAGCTACTTACAAAACAGAATCTAGCAATTAAAATTGCATTAAATGCGTGGATTAGAAAAAAATGGCAGATGTGCAATAAATTGGCAAAGAAACACACCAAGCGGCTGTTTCATGCCGCGTGTTCCAAAAAAATACACACAGTACGAAAAATAATAAACAAAAATACACAAAAATATATATGAAAAAAACGAATTAATGTTGCGACGGCTCTGCTGGGCGATTTTGGTGGTTGGTGTCTGGTGATGCTGGTGGTGCTGGTGGATTTTACCACATTATTTTCACACAAAGTACACAAAACATAACTTAGCTACGTATGAACAAACAAAAAAAAAAAAACCGAAGCATGCAGAAGACGTTCCTTTTTTACATACAAAATACAAAAAAACGAACGAAAAGAAACATGCGGACAAAACAGTGTGCGTATGGGTGTGTGTGTCTGTGTGTGGGTGTTTGTGTGTGTGTGGAAAGCGAAGTAAAGAGCCAGCACAGCAAACTGGGCAGCTGAGCTGTTTGCAATAATCAAAAATATCAATGTTTGTGGTAAAAAGAACTCTTAGTTTTTGTTTTCTGGGCTTAGGGGGGGTATGTACAAAAAGACTAAGACAAAATATGTTGAGAGTGAGAGAGAGAGAGACAGGAGGGACAACATGGGATTCTTGTCTGTGTAAACTGTTTGTTTTCGCTGGACCAACCAACCAACCAATCAACCAGCCAGCGGAACGTAACGCAACGAAACGGAAATGAAACGCAACGGAAATAAAACGTTTAAAGCGTTTAGCTAACTTTGTACAGCTTTTTTTTTATGGGATGGGGTGTAGAAACAAAGGCAGGCAAAAAGTTTAATAAAAATATTGTATAGAAAAACAAATATACGAAATTATGTATAAGGAAAATGAGAAATATACCTATATATAAATATATACATGTATATATGTATATATATATATATATATAGTATTTAAATGCGGTTAGGCCGGGCGGGTGTAGCAATGGTAGTACATGGAACGCGCGAAATGAACAAGGTGGCAACGCTGTTTTGGACATTTTGTACAGTTGGTGTATTTTTGTTGTTGTTATTGTTTATTTGACTTTTTTCACACTCACAAATTATAACGTTTCAAGTTCTCCGGATTTCGGCTGCTGCTGATTATCATATTCTGTTCAATTATCTCTTTTTCAGTTTTCTTTTAACATTTCGGTGGTTATCATTTTTTTTTTTTTGTTTTGCATCCTGCGGTTGGGGCAGCGCGCAGCTAACTCGGTCGGTGTATATGTGAGGAAGTGTGTGTGTGTGTGTGTGATAGAAGCAAAAACCACACATGTGGTCCCTCCTTCTGCTAACTCAAGAGACTCGTCGATAAAAAAACAAAATTGAGCGCAAACTAACCAAAAGTGGCGAACAAAACGAATTGTAATGAAACGAAACGAAATTGGAACGTTTCGCTGACTAGAAATGGGCTGGGTTGGTACGTTTTGGAACTGGCACTAAAAACAAAGCCTAAGCCTACGCTCAAATAACAGTAGCGAGTATTAACAGTAAGTCAGGTTAACGGTTAACGGTAATCGGTAATCAGTACAGTTACAGTTCAACTTCGTTTGCTCGATTAATTCGAATCATCTTTCTGTCTGTCTGTGTGTATGTGTGTGTGTGTGTGTGCGTGTGTCGTTTGTTGGGTCCAGTTGCGTCTCGCTGGGCGGCTCAAACTGGAATGGCTGCTGTGTTTGTGTGTGTGATTTGTTGTTGTTGTTGTTCTTAATGTGTCGTGTCTGTCTAACAATCAAATGTGTTATCGATTGAACGATTTATCGACCTATCGATTGGCGCCAGAATTGAACTCACTATGCGCCCAGCATCAGCTGCTCGAATGCATCCTCCACATTGCTCTCGTCCAGCAAATTTAGATGCGCTATATGCGGCATGGTGGCGCTACGACTAAGGCCACCACCAATGCCGCCACCACCACCACCACCAGAGCCACCCCTACCAGCACCACCTAGCATTCCGATGCCGCCACGCATCAGGCCAAGGCCCGACACATTACCATTCGACGTGGAATTCAACGAACTGAGCGATTTACGTGCCGTCGATAATTTTTCACTAGTCTTGGTGCGATTTATCACCGATTTGCGATTGGAGGAGGAGGTGGAGGAGGAGGTTGTCATTGTGGCGCGCAACTCATCCAGCTGTGTACCCGTTGGTGATTTCTGTCCAGAGAAATAGGCAGCAACGGTGCGCTGCTTCTCGCCCACCTGCTCCTTGTCAATGCCGGCCTCATATAGCTTTGGTATGGCCAGCGAATGACCCGACTTGGTTCGTCGCAACTCACCAGGCAGCGGATTGTGGTATCTGTGTGTGCCGGTGCCATTACTCTGCTGTTGCGACTGCTGTGGCTGTTGCTGCTGGCAGATTTGATGCCACGAATCACACTTGCTGAGACGATTGAGACGCGACCCACCATTGCTCTGCTGCAGATGAATGTCCTCCTCATGCTGCTGTTGGCTGCGTCGACTGAGCGAACTAAAGGCGCTCACATTATTAAAGACAATGTTGCGAGGTATTTGATCCTCCGGCGCGGGCTCAGCGACAGCAGCACCAGCAGCCGCCGGCTGTTGAGGTTGTGGTGTGGCGGGTGTTTCCACAATAAGAGGATGGTGCTGCTGCTGTACTGTAATGCTGGTAGTGCTGCTGTGGCTGGTGGTGCTTGTGCTCGTGCTCGAATGCTTGTTCACCTGTGGACTCTGGTACGCGTTGGGCACATAATGATGTCTTTGGGGTGGTCCAAATTTCTTTAACAACGGCGCATTTTCCTTGGGCAGCGAAGACTTGACTATATCCGGCGTATCTTCGGGTGCTGAAGATTTATATTCCAATTGAATATCACGTTGCTCCAGGAGATTGCCCAAGCTTTTGCGGCGCAACTCGCTGAGTTCACGTTCGCGCTGCAACTGTTGCTCTCTCTGCAATTGTTGCCGGCTGGCGCTCAGCGATTGCTGCGATTGCAATCGTCCCAAGTTGGTTGGCTCTATGGTATTCTGGCGTAGCAGCTGCGCCAGAGGCTTGGGCTCATAGCTGCCGCTGCTTTCGCTGATGGTGTGACTGCGCATGCTTAGACGAGGTCGATTTGGTTGCTGTACCGTCGCTGGTTGCTGTACGATTGGTGGTTGCTGTACTGACGGTGGTTGCGGTTGTTGTGGTTTTGGTATCAGCTGCGGCTTGTTACTGCGATCAACCGGTGGCGGCAACTGTGACATTAACTGTGGCGCCAGCTGTGGCGCCAGCTGTGGCGTCAGCTGTGGCGCCAGCTGTGGCGCCAGCTGTGGCGTCAGCTGTGGCGCCAGCTGTGGCGTCAGCTGTGGCGTCAGCTGTGGCGTCAGCTGTGGTGTCAGCTGTGGTGTCAGCTGTGGCGGTGCATGCATCGGATTCGCTGTCCAACTAGTGTGCGAGAGCACCGAGCTGGAATTTGAATGCTCCGAGGTGCGTCGCGAACGATTCAAACTCACTGTGGAAGCGGGTTCCAGCTCATCGGCCGAATCCTCCATCGGATAGGTGACGACATAGGAGTTTTGCGTCTCGCTCGCATAATTGTGCGCTGGCTGCGCCACATAATGCGGCTGTCGACTCGCCTCGTAGCTGCTGAGCTGCGGAAAGAGGGGCTCCACCTGCGGTGCTTGGTATAAGCGACCATCTGGCGACAGGCAACCCGGCTTGCTGGGTGAACTGGGCATGGGGGCAGATTGTTGAGTTTTATAGGAACTCTTCTTGTTATGGTTGTTGTTGTTATTGCTGTTCTTGTTGTTGTTATTAGTGCCATTGCCACCCAGATGCTTTATGGTGTACAATAGCGATTTGGCCGCTCGGGAATTTCGGCCAAAGACCTCATCATCGCTAACATGGGCCGTCCGTCTGTCGGCGACTGTAACTGCCGTTTGACTACGCGGTTTGCGCATCACTTTGATCTCGGCACGATACTCGTGCATATTGTGATCCGAGTCCAGCTCGAGATCATCATCCGTATTGTCTGTCATCAGGGGTGCCGTCACGCAACTGGTTGGGCTATCAATAGGACTGGCAAAGTCCAGCTGACGCGTCGACTGTGGCATATACGTTGGATTCGCATTAGTCAGCACGAGTGGTGCTGCGAATGGATTTGTGAGTGGCTCCAAAGCGCTACTCAAACAGGGCTGACTGCGATAATTGGTCAGATTGGTTGGACCCCGGCGCACCGGCGAGTAGTCCGCATAGGTAAAGGATATATTGGTGGGGGGTGGCGGGGCTGCTACTGCTGCTTCTGGTCCGGCGGTTAAACGTTGCGAGGCATAGAATTCCAGCTCGGGTTCCATGGCATTGGGCAGAGAGGGTCGCTTCTTGAATTCACTTAGAGATGCTTGTGGTGCTTTCGATCGCAGCGAATTGTGACGCTGCACATAGACGCTGGTCGGTGGTTGCTGCTGCTGTTCGAGATTATCGCGCAGTGAGCGCTCCTCGAAGTGGTGCGCCTTGCGCTTGAAATCGCTATTATCCACACGAGGCTTGGCCACCCAGGGCAGTCCGATGGGTGAGCTGGCCGGCGAGGGTGTGTTGCTATAGCTGGGACGCGGCTGCAAGTGTTGCTGCGGGGCACCACTACCAACTGTTGCTGGTTTATTGCGCACACTGCTGTTGCTGTTGCCGTTGTTCATTGTTGATGGCGGTTGCCAGCTGTTCAACTTTTGCGCAATGGGCTTGTAAATATTGGGCGTGGGCAGCTGACCTTGGTCGATGGGTCGAAATACGGATTGCGGTGCGTGTATAAATTGATTGAGTGGTTGTGCAGTGGATGCTGCTGCTGCTGCTGCATTTGCTGCCGCTGCATTTGCTGCCGCTGCATTTGCTGCCGCTGCATTAGCTGCCGCTGCATTAGCTGCCGCTGCATTTGCTGCCGCTTGCTGATCTCTTTCACGCTGCTGCTGCATTCGCAATTCCATTTCCTGTCGCCGCTGCCTCTCCAGCTGCTCCTGTTGCTGTCGCTGTCGCTCGAGCTGTTGCTGTCGCTCCAGTTGTTGTCGCTGCAACTGTTGCTCATAGTATTCACGCTCGAGTCGCGATCGCTGCTCTCGTTCGTAGCGTGCCTCCTGCTCCAGATGCAGCTGACGCTCGAGTTCCTGTCGCCGTTGGCGCTCCAGCAGCGCTGCCTGCTGCAACTGTTGCTGCTGCAGCTGTTGCTGCTGCAACTGTTGCTGCTGCAACTGTTGTTGCTGCTGTTGATGTTGCAGCTGTTGTTGATGCTGCAACTGTTGCTGATGCTGCAGCTGCAGCTGGTGCTGATGTTGTTGCTGTTGATGATTGTGGGGCGGTTGTGGCGGCTTACCTTTGGTTACTGTTGCCGCCTCGCCGGTTTCAAAGGTGTGCTTGATGTTGCCAAACTTGTGCGTCCAATTGGAAACGGATCGCGCACCCGCCCATCCCAAGCCACCCTGGTGACTCTGCTTGTTGATGAAGGCGAGAAACTTGAGATCGTTCTCCGTCTTCGGTTCGAATTGTGGCACCACATGTTGCACGCGTCGTTTGACGCTCACCTGGACGGCACGCTTCAGACCCACATTGCTGCTCCGACTGTGATCCTCCAGCTCGGAGTCCGTGTCATCGGCGCTGGCAATAAACTTTGCCTTTGCCTTGGGTATATCAATGGTATTGGCGCGTTTCATCAATTGCTTTTTGCCATTGGCAAAGCGACCATTTGGCGTGGACGAATCCGGCGGAATTTGCTGTGCGGCGGCATAGTTTGAGAAGCTCACGGCATAATCGCCAGAGAGTGGTCTTCGGGCAGGTGTATTACTGCTGGGAGGCTTTAGTTGAGCCGGTTGCTGCTGCAACTGCTGCTGCTGTGTTTTGGGTACAAACTGATTGGGTCGATAGAGCTGCGTTGCAGGCGCGCCAAGTATGGCGCTCGAGCTGGCATTCTTCTCCAACGGCAACATTGCGGATGGCCGACTCTCGAGGATTTGCATGTCCTCGATGTAGCGACGGGCATCGGCGAGTTCCTCGCGACTAACGCCCACCGTATGTCGACTGTTGCGCTGTCGTCGCTTCGCAAAACGCTGACGACTGCTCTGTTCGGGATCGGCGGTGTCCACTTCTGTTGCATCCTCGCCGCTGGCTAGCTTCTCGGGTGCACTCAGTCCGGACTGGAGACGTGCGATGAGTGAGAGCAAAGCCTGTCGCTGACCACCATCAACGGCCAGCTCCTGGCCCAGTTTGAGGGAGCACTCGAGACGACTAAGGGCATCGGTGACCTCGTCAAGGAGTCCACGATTTGCATCGCTACGCTGTTGCAGGCTATCACGCAATCCAGCCGCAAGCAATCGCAAATCCTCGCCACTCTCCGTGCCGGAGTCCTCCTTTGGCGGTACACTCAATCGCTTCACTTGTGGCATTGTTGTCTGACTTGTTGTTGGTTCTTTAGTCGGCGTTTTTACTGTGCTACTAACTTTTGGGGTGCTGCTACTGCTACTGCTATTGCTACTGCTGACTGTGGATTTTCTACTCGCTACTTGGCTACTGCTACTACTCGTTGTTGTTGCTGCTGCTGCTGCTGCCGCAGTTGTTGCTTTTGCTGGCTGTGGCTTTTGCAGCGACTCACCCTGTTGACCGTCAACTTGAGTTTGTGGTAGAGTTGAAGCTGCTGTTCCAGTTACCACCTGTTTGGTGAGCTCTACTTTGGCCAGCTTTTTCTCCACCTGGGTGGTGCTGGTGCTAGTGCTACTAGTGCTGCTAGTGCTTGACTTTGACTCCGCCTCTTTTTTAAGTTCCTGTTTCACTTCCTTTTTCACTTCCTTTTGCACGTCCTGTTTAACCTCCTTTTTCACCACTGGCTGCGGCGGCTCCTCGTCGCTGCTGTCGTCGTCGGTTACCTCCTCAATTATTTCCTCATACTCGCTGGCGCTGCTCTCTTCTTCAGCTTCCACCTGCTTGGCAGCGGCCTTTGCACCGCCCGCCTGCAAATTCTTTAGCTCTAAAACACGCGCGACGCATTTAAATTCAAAATATGTGTGATAAATGAGTGTGATCGAAAGAGAGAGAGAGAAAGATTGGAAAGAGTAAAGAAAGATATATATATTTATATATATATATATACATTGGATATAAATGCGTAAATAAAAACAAATCAACAAAACAACGGCAGCAACAAGTTGAAAGGGGGGGCAATAAGCACAAGGCGTTCAAAACTGGGAGCAGGCCGTCCACTGGGGCTGCCCTGGCTGTAGAGAGAACTCACCCATGACGAGAGGGAACGAGTGGAATATCGGGAGCGAGTCCAAAGACCCTTTTTTTGCGAGACGAGTAACGAGTAGCAAAACCAACGAGAGAACAAAAAAAAAAATCAACAACGTGTGACAGAATAACGAGTGAACGTTGAACGAGACAACGAGAGTCAGACGAAACGAGTGAATGTATAACAAGTAACGAGTAAATAAAATAATAACGAAATTTGATGTGAATATAAATATGTATGATCAACGAGAGAGATATGAATGTATGAACGAATGAACGAACGAATAAACGAACGAGTAATACCTGTCCTTGATAATTCGCTCTAAATTACATTAGTCTAGCTACGAGTATGCGCTGTTTGCATATCTACAAGATACAAATACAGAACACAATCAGAAACTATAGATAATAGCCAGAGACAGAGACAGATATAGAGATAGAGAGAGATATCGATAGTGAGAGAAAGATATGTTAGAGAGAGGGCTAAGCCTAAATGTAAATATATATACTCCATTTGAATCCACCTTTTAAGTCCATTTGATTAGCCATATTCCCATTGGTTAGTGGCTGGCGTATATTTGTGTGTGTTTTTTTTTTTTGCTGAAGGTTAGGATCAGGCATTATCTAGCTTTTATATAGCACTTACCTTCGCGTTCCGCCATAAGTTCGCGTAAACGTGCACGGATCTTGCGACGCTCCTCGTATGTGGAGGCCTGTTCCAACTAAAGAAGAAGCAAGTGCATTTTTAGATTTCACAAAACCCAACCAAGTTCAAAGCAATTGATTTGAAATTCATGAGCATAGCCAGTCTCTCAGCTGCCAGGCTGACTCACTATAGACTTACTAAAGAATATGTTTAATCTGTCTATTCAATTTAAATTTTCAATTAAATTTAGATACATAATTTAAAAATCAAATGCAAAATAGATTTACAATTGAATGAAGCAACTAAAATGTGAAACATTTAAAATATGCATTTCAAGTTATGAATATTTTCAAAGGTTGCCATATGCAAATGGCAGCAGGGTATAATGAGAACTGAGCAGAAAATATCAAAGTTTTAAAAATAAGTTCTTTGCGTTACTTCACATGTAGAAAATTATATTTTTGTCAGAGTTCTGGCTGGCTTGTCTACGCCCACAATAAAGTTGGCATACTTACCAATTGCCTAAGTAGCTGCTCGTCCCAAATTTCCTCGATGTCACAAGTTGTGCGAGTAACTGGTGCTGAGGATGTGATCTTCCTGGTGGTGTTGCTGCTGCTGCTGATGTTGCCTGTATTGCTGTTGCTGCTGTTGCTGCTGTAGCTGCTGCTAATGCGTGTCGTTTTCACCTGAAATGAAAAAAAAAAAAAAACACTGGTTAACAATTATTTTTTTTTTTGTTTATCAATCGGTAGAAATGATTTTCATCTAGATGGCAGCAGCGCCCACACGTCGGAGCTCTTACAGTGCGTGTCGAAAAGCGAACGCCAGCTGTTTATTGGGATTTCTTCGTTTTTTTTTGTTTCTGCGCTCATTTCAGCTCTTTTGGCTAAATAAAACCGATGAGCGCATTCGCCGGCAACGCCAGCAAAAAATAAATAAATAAATGAAAAGAAAATCGAAAAGAAACACGCAAAAAGGCCAAAAGCAAAATAAATTGAATATCCCCGCCCAGCCCAATGAGCCCCCCGCCATCCCGTTATCACTTTAATCGCTTGGCCCTGATCGGGCGATGATAAGGCACAAATGAATAGATGAAACGAAAACAAAGACAAAAACAAGAATAACAACAACAAAATGAATTCGAAGCAATTTGTCGTCCTTAGCCATGGCCAGACGTCTCTTCCGGATGTTCTTCGCTTGATTCTTGCCAATTGTAGCCATGAGCCAAAAAAGAAGGAAGAAGAAATAACATCGTAAAAAAAAAACAGCAGCCGCAGCAAAAACGTCAACAAAATGCGACTGTTGCCAGCATACCTGGCGTATGCGTAATGTCTCAACAATATTGCGCATACGCCGCATTGACGCGAACTAAAAAAAAAAACATATATACAACGTGTAGCTGATCGAAAGTGCTCGAATCCAATAAATAAAACTATTTTCTATATGTCAGAATCTTTTTATGCCAACATTCTTACATTGAATTTATTTGAACACATTTTCGAATTATTAGAAATGATGGCATTGAAACGTATCCCTGGAGATAAGATTGATTAAGAACTACTTGAAAGATATTAGGTTATTCACACACTTGAATTTCTATTGAATTTATATACGAGTATATTCAAATATATCAGTAAATATAAGAGGTGATTGCCACTTTGAACTTCTATATTTATTGTATAATAAGTATCGGTCGATTGCAACTGAAGTACTTAAGATTTGCATACAGATGAAGACCATCAACTGGCTAAAGACCCCGCAATATGATGGACACAAATATGGAAATGTACATGTACATGGGATAATAAACGTTAATTAAGTATACGCGGCGAATGCCCGCAATTAAAAAAAAAACACACACACAAAAATCAAATTGAAATTCGGAATTTTTCATTTTTCATATTTCGTATCTCGTATTTATCGTATTTTTTCTATTTGCTTTGTGGTACAGTACGTCAGCTTTTTTCCCCCATTTCCCAGTGGCAACAGCAACAACAACAACAACTGCAACAAAGTGACAGCCGTGCGAGTCTGTCTAACACCACCCTACCCTACCCTACCCTAGTCCCGCCCACAAGCGGTAAATACGAACGAACATATTTCTTTTCTTTTTTTTTTTTGGGATGTTTATATCAATTTGACCAAATTTGGCCAGCACAATATTTCAAAAATAGCAACAACAACAACAAATTTAAGATATTCAGAATTTTTTCGAACATGTTTCGAGAGTTGCCAATGCGATTCATTTTGAGAGCGACGCCAAGCACGCGTTGCTATTTTTAGCTCAGAGATTATTTAGGCGATACACACACATTCACACAAAACACAATCCGACAAATTGAGAGAGAGAGAGAGAGAGAGACATAGAGAGAGAGAGAGAGGTAGATAGTGGTGGGTGAAGGGCGAGCGGTATTCTTTAATATTGTTGGTTGTACGCAAACCAAAACGTTTTCCTTTTCTTAATACAACTACAATTTCAATACTTAAATGCCCTACAAAAAAATGTCTTCCAGCTTTTGTTGCAATATGTAACACGTTTTAAAGACTTCCATTTTCCCAAAAATCATATTTTTATATATTCATTATTGTAATTCTCGATGTTGATTTTATCGAATTGATTAAATGGCCTATAATAATATTAATAAAAACATATTGTACAACTCAGACAAAGGTTGCTTAAAAACGTTGAACTATTCTATATTAATTTGTATCGTTTTTAAGATTTGACTTTTAAGACATGTTGCTTAAGTTGAGTGTAGGGAATGTATTCGAGATAGTTATTCATATCAAAAAAGTGGCATTGATCAAGTACAAACTAGTTTATTTACGTTGATCTTTTGATGTCTTGTAAGTGTTTCAATTTCACAGCTCTTTAATCTTATGTTTTTGTTTGTTCCCAAGCAAAGGCATAAAACAAATAATCAAACGCCAAAAAGAAAAGCAAACTCAAAAACAACAACGCCAATAAAAACACAAAGCTAATTTGCCAAACAAGTTTCCATCATTTTCAAACTGAGCCAAACAAAAAAAAAAAAAAAGAAAACATATATAAATAAATAAAAGCGAGTAACATAAAAAACAGCAATTAAAACTAAACAAATATAAGAGCAAATTTGATATTTAATTGCATTTGAGCTGAATTTAGTTTAATGATAAAGAAAATTATGTGTAATTGAAAAAAAAAAGTTTATTTCAATTTTGTATTGTGCATTTATATTTATAATAATTTTCAATTTATTTATGGTCGCCTATGACGTGTGCTCTGTTGCTATTGTTGTCTTCAGTGTGTTTGTGTGTGTGCTAAGGTGTTGTTGTTCTCATTGTTGTTGTTGTTGTTGTTGCAGGCAATAGGCTTGCCAAGTTATTTGGCGCAATTCCGCTAAAGCGTAACAAGCCCCACCAAAATTGCTGCTGCTGTTGCTGCTGCTGCTGCTGCTGCTGCTGCTGGTAGCAAAAAAGGGGTCGCTGCGCTATCGTGAAAGGGGGTGGGGTGGGGTGGGGTATGGGCGGATTGCATGCAACGAAGCATGGAAATCAAAATGGAAATTGCCGGCCCGACAGGCACAAAACAATTAAAAATCAAAAACGACACAACAAAAAAGAGCTGTTGCACTGTTGGAGCAAGGTGTTGTTATTGTTGTTTTTTATTATTACTGTTCTTGTTGTTATTATTGTTGTTGTTGCTGCTGCTGCTGCTCCTGCTGCTGCTGCTGTTGCTGCTCAGCTGACCAAAGCGAATGCAGTTGCAGCTGCAGTTGCTGTTATTGTTCAGCTAGCTCAACAAATTGGGCAACCATTTACATTGGCTTTGACACTGTCGCTTGCAACAACAACAACAACAACAACAACAAAAACATATATGATTAATGCTTTTCAAAGTATATAGTGAAGAACAAACTTGAAATTGTTGTTAAATTTAGCAAAAGGTGAGAATCGACGTGTGAAAGAGAAAGAGAAAAAGAGAAGGCCAAAAGTATTTGAATTTCAATTTTTAGTTCAAATTGAAATTAGCGAAAACATAAAATAACCAAAATTGAACTTGCCTTGGGCACACAAACAACAAAGCATTTAAAACACGCCCACTCGACAGCCTTCAATTTTCCAATTTTCCATGGAAAATACAATGAAAAGCGATTTTGGCATCTTACTGCATATTTTTAGCCACATGAAGAGAAAACTTTTTGACATGCAAAAAGGCGAAGAGACGCAGACAAAGATGAACTGGCAAAACAAAACACACAACGATTATGAAACGGAAAAAAAGAAACAAAAACAAAAACAAAAAAGTAATAATAAATTGAAGTAAAGCAAAAGAAAAGCAAAAATTTGCCATGCTGGGAAAATGGCGGTTAACTCGAGGAGGGGCAGCTAGCAAAAAAGAAAACCGGCTTTCGAACCAAACTCAAATCAAATACAAAGCCAAAGCTAAGACTGAACACAAAGCTGAAGACGAGGCTGACGCTGAAGCTGAAGCCAAACGACTTGGCTCTGGCTTCTTCTTCTTCTTCTTCTTCTTCGTCGTCGTCTTCTCCATTTGTTTTTCTAGAAAAACAAGCGATGATGAGTGAAATGGGGGAAACGAGTGAAAAGGGGGGAGGGCGGTTAGAGGAGAGGGGGAGAACTAGCGACGACAGCAAACAGTAGCAGCAAAAATATTATTATAAACACGTTGCACTCGAATGAGTTTTAAAGCGATTATAAAACCGGTTCGGAACCGAACCATAAACCTTAAATCAAAATTGCATTTTACCCTCCCATTTGGAGAAGCACAAATTAAGCAATCGACTCTCAATATTTGAAAGCTTAACAAAAAATGCTTAATTAATGCCTGGAATGAGATGCATAAATATTAATTATGAAGTTCTTGATAAGAACATATCTGTTATATATCTATGAATATTATCTAATCGAAATGGCCAATTCTCCAGTTGCAAATTGCTATCATAATTCCATTTCTTGAAATGCCGTCATTTACACATCAAAAAATAAATCACATTTGTGTCGTGATCTTTGATGTTAAATATAAGAAACAAATGGGAGCAATATGAAGATATTGACATTATTGACATTATTATTATTATAATTATTATTATTATTATTTTCGGCTCAACTTCTTGTATGAATGCACTAACTTTTCGTGGGTTGCTTATCCCTAACTCTTCTGTTGCCAAAATAGATTTGCTTCCAAAATGATAACTTCCACAAAAATAAACTAAATCTTTGTAAGATTACTTAAACTAATGCATTTGTTTGGCATTAATCTGTAAATAATTTCATTCATTGCAATAACAAACTACAAAAATCGAGACAAGCAAGAAACAAAAACTATTTATCTATAAAATATTTTGGAAAATATATCATGGAAACCGTATTGGTCTAGAACACCCAGCTAGCTACAAAAAAGAAGAAGAAAAACTGTTTAAAGCTACAGTTTTCTCTGACGACGAAAAGAAGATTTTGGTTGAATTGTTAATTGTTTTTCTCAACGTCTCAATTCTGGGAATAAGTTTTAATGTTGTACACAATAAAAAGAGTAGCGTGTTCTTTCATTTTATGGCTTCCTCTCGAGCATTTCTAAAACGCTTCACTTTGACAGTTGTCTAACGTTTTTGTGTGGCTATTTGAGAATGTCAAATAGCTACTTTTTGTTCAAGTTAAGTTTTCTGGGCCAAGTGTTCCCAAACAAAAGCATTTCACCGTTGAAAATTGTGATTCTTCTTTTTTATACATAATTTAGTCAACTCTTTTATTCATGAATCTCCGGCATTTAGCATTCCAGAACTGTTGTGCTATCAGCTTGCAGATTCTTATAGTTGTATCTATAATAAACTTGAGATAGTTTCGGGCTATATTGAGCATTGTGTTAGGCGGCTTACGGGGATTCCACTCTACATATAAAGCATGGATGGTATTTGGTGCACAAGTTGAAAGCATGAAAAAAGAATAAAGAATACAAAATACAAAAAAAAAAAAACTAAAAAACGGGCCACAGTGCAATGCACAACCCATTTGTATCTGTATCTGTATCTATATCTATGTATCTATAGTTATATCTATATAGGCATGCTGCTGATGCTGCTGCTACTGCTGCTGCTGTATGTATCTTTAGCTCGATCTGTATCTTTAGCTGTATCTGGCCACTGGGCGCTCCAACAGAGACGAAGATGTTCCGTCCGTATAAATAGTGCCATCGTTGCGCTATTTTTGTCGAAAATTTCCGTACGCTTGCGCTCTCATTCATGCAGCTCCCCTCTTCCGACACACACACACCCCTACCCCACAGCAACCCCTGCTACCCTTCCCTCACGCCACCTGCTTCTGCTTTGAAATTTATTTATTTATTTTTATTTTATTTAGATATATATATTTTTATTTTTTTTTTGGTTTTTGTCGTTTTTGTCAGGCTGGGAAAATGCTTGGCTTTTGACTTTCTATCTGTGTATCTTTAGATGTATCTGTAGGCTGTAGTTTTCTGCGTTCGACTGTCTGTTTGTGTGTATATATATATATATATATATATATATTTATATAGTCAACGCTTGTCTTTCACATTTTGCTTTTTTCAGGTGCATTTTGAGGTGACAGCCGAATTCTTACCACAAATTATGCGCACTAAAAATAATTGTAGAAAAAAAAAGAAAATAGTGGAAAACAAAATATGGAAATATAGTTGAACAATTTTGCGCTGCGAACACAGCTGTCAATTCCAATGAATCTGTGCAGCCACGCCTCCTCCCTCCCTGTCCGCCCCTCCCATCCCACACTTCCCACACACTTACGCGCTGTTTAAGATGCCGCTGCTGCTGCCACTTTTGTTGCTGCTTCCTCTGCCGTTAGCCGCTTTGACCAAAGTTGGTTAAAAACACTCGCGTTTCGACTGCAAACCGTTCACCGCATAACAACAACAACAACAACAACAATAATAATAATGATGATAATAGTCGCAACAAGCAACGTTTTCCAAAAAAAAAAAAAACAAACAACAACAACTCAACTGCACTCAACAACAACTACGACAAGTATCATAAATAACAACAACAAAACAAAAAACTTGTCTTTTGTTGCCTTCTTTGGTTGTTACTTTTCTTTACTATTGATTTTCTTGTGTGTGATTTTTTTTTTTTTTTGTTTTTTTTTTTTTTTGCACTTTGCCGTCTATGAAGATGAGAATTTGTCTCTAGCCCCGTCTCCTCACGCCTCTCGTCTTGCCTCGTCTCGTCTCGTCTCGTCTCGTGTCGTGTCGCCTCTTGTCTTGCCTTTTTACTGATCAGGAACACAACAAGTCGCACAAGTGATCGATGCCGCCTCTGAGTGTGTACTGAAATGGCCAACAGACGATGACGACGACGACGACGGCTAAAGCGACCGACGGCTCATTCCCGTTCCTGGCCAGAAGAAGAAGAAGAGGCGCGCATCACATCACGCACAGCTGCGGCGCACACGGCACTAATAGCGAGAGAGAGAGAGCGAGAGCGGGAGAGCAAGCCCAGCAGCAGCAGCAGCAGTGAGAGATAGAGAGCATACCAGAGAGAGAGAGAGAGAGTGCAAAAGTGAAAGAGAGGGAGGGAGTGAGAGTGGTGCATAGAGACAATTGCTGATCGTACACGTGGGTTGGCTGTGGGCTGCTGCTGCTGTTGCTGCTGCTGCTGTTGCTGCTACTGCTGCTGCTGCTACTGCTGCTGCTGTTGCTGCTGCTGCTGATGCTGCTACTTCTGCTGCTGCTGCTGCTGCTGCTGCTACTGCTGCTGCTGCAACTGCTTCTTTTGTTGGCTGTCCATCAAACACAGAACTCATCTGATTTTAAAGAATACCCTGTATACTTAAAATGTTCAATTTGGTTGTCTTCACTAACTACTACGTTTCGACAAACGGAAAGAGGAAAATATTCTGCTCCTCAATTAGCGATAAAATTTCCAGAATCAGAAAAACATTTTCCACCAGTTTTATGTAAAAATAAGATGAAACAAATAAAACAGTTGACAATTCGAATAACTGTTTTAATCAAATTGTAAAACTTGCTATTGGCTGAGCCAAGTTTACCACAAAATATGAAGAGAAAATATATTATTAGAGTTAAACTCAATTCGAAAGAATCTGACTCTTATTTATTTTACCTCTTAAATAATACCACATTAAAAATGTGAATTTTTTGTTATATTCAAATATGTACAGGGTATCATTTAGACATGGTTAGAACCTGTTGTTCAACTGCCATTATTTTATTTTATTTTTTTTGGGAACTGTGGTGTTTGATTCACTTACCCCTTGATTGCTGCTGTTGTTGTTGGTCCTGTGCAGCTGTTGCTGCTGTGGCTGTTGCTGTTGCGGTCGCTGTCCCGCCGGCAACATGCTTTCCACGCCCTGCATAATGACGCTGGCGCCAAGGAATTTATTGAGCAGAGCACGTGCCTCACGATCCTCACTGCTGTCACCCGGCTCTACCACTATAATGGATAAAATGGCATTAGAAGAAGGTATTGTTGCTGCTGCAGTTGTTGTTATTGAGTCCACTTACCATTGTCGGCATTACGCATGCGCTCGAGAACATCATCGACGCCGCTGACGAGTCGCTCCTCGCCGCTGGTATTGAGAAATGAGCGTGTACTGGAGCTGGTTCTGGTGGTGCTGCTGCTCGATTTGTGGCGCAACTGTGGTGCCTCCATTTCAATGACGCTGCACACATCATTCGATTCGCTGTCCTCCGTCTCGTCCTGCTCGTCGGCCTGGCTGTGTGCCTGAGTGTGCGAGCTGCCTGATGCCGACGACTCCTTGCGTATGAAACGCTCGCTCAATTCCTTAACCGAACCACGTCGGGTGGATGTGGGGCTCTCGTAGTTGGGCTCGATGGCATCGATGCCATCTGGCATGCCGCCCTCCACATCGATTAGTTTTAGTTCGCGCTGCAGCGTGCTATTCGAATCTGGATGAGATTTGCGCTCCAGCTGCTGCGATAGGGAGACCAGCTCCTCGGGATTGCTTGAATAGATGAGCTCCTTACGTTCGTGACGCGGCGGCGATTTGTCATCCGAATAGAACTGCTCCTCGATGACATAGCCTGTGACCTCTGCAAGCAGGAAGACCAGCAAAAATTAGCGGGAAAAAAAGAATCGAACTGCAAGGAATCCCACAGTTCCATAATGGCCAATTAGAATGATCGACTAGCAAATACCCTTGCCCCAAGTCGAACACGTTTTATTCGATTTTATTTGGAATCAGAAAGCTATATCTTTTAATCTCAAAAGCAAGAAACTTATAGAACTTTAATTTGAACGGACCTGGGTAATCGACTCTGTTTCTGGTGGTAGATCAAGAATTGATAGGGTTTATGTTGTCGGAAAAAGTTCCATCTGCTTCTTATATACTTTTGCCCAATTTCATTAGATCTTTTTTAGCCCGAATATAAATTTAATTGAGTGCATGGTGGTGCCTTAGCTCCTTGCTTGAACTTACCTTGCTTTGTCTCACATGGCGCCGATGGCTGTGTCTTCTTCCTAAGCGCCCGAATGCCAAAGAGGGGCAGCCCATTCTCATCGGTGGGTCCAACACCGTAGCTGGATGTGATGGAGTCCTCCTCGCGTCGCTTGTTACTACTGCTGCGGCTACTGCTGCTAGTGGTGGTGGTGGTGGTGCTGCTGCTGTTATTGGTATTGATGTTGGTGCTCGTGTTGATATTGTTGCTGCGCGTCATCTTGCCAGTGCTGCTGGTTGTGCTGCCCTTGCGTGGTGTGGGTGAGACTGAGTCGGTGGCACGCAAAACCTTGGTGCGATCCGCCCAAATGGGACTGGCCTTGCCTGGCCCCTTGCTGGGACGACGCTCGGGCATCGATTGACCATTGCTGCTGGGGCTGCTGGTGGTGCGCGTGGTTGTTGTCGTCGAGGTGGATATATTGGATTTACCGGTTGGGCTGCGGCGACGCGTCTGTGCTGGACTGACGCTACGCTCGCGTGGCTTAACTGGCGGCTTGCCATGTCCAGTGCTGCCGGCGGTGCTGGTGGTGGTGCGTACATCCTTGAGCTGTGGACTCTGACTGCGTTCGCGATCGCGCGGCGATTGCGATTGGGGTTGCTCGCGTCTTGGTGGCAATGGACTGCGACTCGGTGTGGAGCTACTGCTCCTGATGGTGGTGCTGGTGGTGTGGCTACCACTCACATTAATCATGTTCTTTTTGATCAAACGGATTTGGGCGCGAATGCGACGGCGCAACTCATAGCTGCTGACCGTCTCCAGCAGTTGCTCGAGTGTGGCCAGCTCAAAGATCGCCTCAATGTCAATGTCAAAGTCCTCGCTTATGCTGGTGGTGCGCAGCGTCGTCTCGTTGGTGCGTGTGGTGCGGCGTGGCACATCGAACTTAACAGCCGCATTGGGATTTCGCGGCTCAGGCATCTCAGCATCCTCTATCGAGGATTTGCGTGAATAGTGCGTTTTATTGAACTCAAGCGAGTCCCGTCGAATGTGCTCCAGGGAACTCTTCGTGTGATCCATGTAGGATGGACGACGTCCAGCTGGGGAGTGGGGCTCACTGGCTGGATGCGGTTTGGGACTGGGGCTAGGACTGGGGCTAGGCGATTGCCGTTCGAAGATGTTGCGACGCGAGGCAACTGTGCGTCCGGGTGTCGTCTGTGTGGTTGGACGGCTGCGCTCTAAAAGTGGTTCAACGTGTGGTTCAGTTTCAGGGGAGCTGCTGACAAGGTCGGTGTTAGTTTGAGGACTATGGATTTGATTGGTTCTTGTTGTTGTATGCTTGGTGGTGTTGTGCTCAGTGCTCTCATTAACTACGATGGATTTCGAATTGGAGGTGTTGATGGTGGTGGAGTCGCTGGGCTTGCTGGTGGCGTTGCGTCTGTGCGGCTCGGGGCTGCCACTGGGACTGCGGCTGGGTGCATCCACGTAGCTAGTGGTGCTGGTGGTGGTGCGACGTGTCACATTCTCTGTCAGATTATCGCTTGGCTCTTTATTGGTCGGCCTGTGGCGTGGTTGCTCGACTGAGGGCTTGCGTAGTGCAGTGGTGCCTCGTGTGGTTGGCTTGGTGGTGGTGGTGGTGGTTGTGCGTCTGCCTGGAGACATGGGCTGCGGACTCCCACTTTTGTAGGTGGGCAAAGGTTCGTCACCATCCACTTCAACATCGCTATGGTGCTTGGTGGTTGTGGTGGTGGTGGTGGTGATGCGACGCGTCACATTCTCCATCGGATAATCGCCTGACTTGTTGCGTGGTTGCTCGAGTGAGGGCTTGCGTGGTGCTGTGGTGCCTCGTGTGGTTGGCTTGGTGGCGGTGGGAGTGCGCCTTCCTGGTGACATGGGCTGCGGACTGCCACTCTTGTGGGTGGGCAATGGTTCGTCACCATCCACTTCAACATCACTGGTGGTGGTGGTGGTCGTGGTGCGACGCGTTACTGTCTCCATTAGATAGTCGTTTTGCTCCTTACCAGTTGGCTTGCCACGTGGTTGCTCCACCGATGGTTTGCGTGGTGCAGTGGTGCTGCGTGTGGTTGTCTTGGTTGTGGTGCGACTACCCGAAGACTGTGGACTGGTATTGCGTTGTGTAGGCCTAGATTCGAACTCCTCGACATCCACATCGATATCACCACGCTTTTTGGTGCTGGTGGTGCGACGGGTCACTGTTTCAATAGAATAGTCGCTTGGCTCTTTTCCAGTTGGCTTGTCACGTGGCTGCTCCACGGATGGTTTGCGCGGTGCAGTGCTGCTGCCTGTAGTTGGCTTAGTAGTGGTGCTTGTGGTGCGTTTGCTGGGCACCGTTGGCTGTGGACTGACGCTGTGAGAGGCGGGCGCTGGTCCAACCTGCTCGACATCCACATCCACATCGCTAAGTACCCATTGCTGCTGGGTTATGTGCTCCCTGCGTTTGGTGGTGCCGGTAGTGGTGCTGATACGTTCCGTATCACTTGGCTTACCACGTGGTTGTTCCAACGAGGGCTTGCGTGGTGCAGCGGTGCTACGTACGGGTGAGCCTCGACTGGGACTCAAACTGGACGGCACATTGCGTTGCGGCTGTTGGTTGCGACTGGACTTACGCTCCTCCGCTATGAGAGTGGTGCTCGGACTGCTACTGCCGCGTGGCTTGCCACCGTTGGGTATATGTTTGGGCGTTGTGGTTGGTGTGCGTTGACCAAACACAGATGGACGATTGAGTATGTCCTTTTGGCGCTTCAACTCAATGGCTGTGGTATGGTTCTTTGTCATGGGCAGCAGTTCATCGTTTGATTCCGGCTGCTCAGGCTCAACGTCGGAGGGCTGTTCCGGTTCCGATTCCTGCTCTAACTCCGGCTCGCTCTGGCGCGAGATATGACGCTCAATGCTAGCCACCAAGCCGGGTGACTTTTGTGGTGCGGTGGGTGCCAACTTCTCGGCGGTGTCGATGAACTTGTGCACCTTCTGCGAGACGCTCAATGTGCAATCGTCCTGACGCAACTCATCATCGATATCCTCGAAGCGAGGACGCTCGATTTCGCGTGTGGGCGTCGCCAGCGGCTGCTTGGTAATATTCTCGGCGGTCTTGAGGAATCGATCCACCTTCTGATCGATGCTCAAGAGACACTCATCGCTGGCCGAGACCTTGGCATGCTCATCGAACTGACGACTGAAGGGTGTCGAGGATTTGGGCCGCTTCACCTGCTCGGCGGTGTGTGTGAACTTGGAGACCTTTTCGTGCACACTCAGCAGACACTCATCCACATCGATGCCGGGCTGAATAGTGCTGGGCGTGTTGTTGCTGTAATCCAAACTCCTGGGCGCCTCCACCATGGGATTGTCGTGAATGTCCGCCTCAATACCATTGGGATTGCGCAGCTCAGAGATCTGGCAGCCCACATACGCATTGGCCTCCTCCTCAAAGATGGGTATATTGGTTACTATCGGCTTCTTGCGCGGCTCATCGTCCGGCTCCTGCACCACGTCCGGATAGCGTGGCTTGCCCATATCCGTATCTAGCGCGGAGTGCACGGGAGTGGGCACAATGCGATCGGGTGACGGTTCCCGCGAACTCTTCGCATGTTGTATATCTATGATGACGTTCTCCATGTCCTCACTGTTAATCAGCTGCTCGCTCAGATTAATTGTCTTGGTGGTGAAGCACTTACTGGGACGATTGCGCTCGGTGGGACGCTGTGCCGTGCTGGGATTTAGGGTGCTCATCTCGGGTGTCATGGCTTTCGGTTTGCCATTGACCACTTTAATGACATTCTCGCTGGTGGAGCGCGTTACCTTGTCCTTGTCACGGCGCGTAACACGCGGCACCGGTGCCGACTCCTTGCGCTCCGTTACCGGTATCTTTCGAATCGGACTGATTGGCACCCTGCGCTCCGTTTTGGGTGATGGCGTCTTTGGCGTCTTATGATCGATAATGATTTCCGTCGTTACAGATATATTACTCGAGCGGCGACGCTCGCTGGGAATACGCGTTGGGCTCGTATCCGGCGAGGTTGACTGCCCATCCACATCATCCGATTGGGGTTTCTGTTTGCGCGGCGATGAGCGCAGACGGTCCTTGATGTTGGGTGAATTGCTTGACTCCTTGGGTTTTCTATCCTTTTGAGTAGTGTTGCGAGATGTTGTCATTGTTGTCGTTGTTGTTGTGGTGCGTGTTTCATCCGCCAGGCTGTCTCGCTTGGCGGGCTCACGTCTGGGCAAAGACTCTTTGCGTGGACTTTTGACGGCATACGGCTGCTTGTGACTGGTAGTGGTGGTGCTGCTTTTGGTGGTGCGCGAATTGCGTCGCTCCGTTTCGGTTTTACTGATCGAGGGCTTCTTGGTGTCGGGCTGTTTCGGCTGTGTTTCCTCTGGTTCACTATCGATGGGCTGCTTCTTCTTGGGTCCACTTGTGCCTCCAACTGTACGTTGAGTCTTGGTTATATTCTCGGTCACAGTTTTGCCATTGCAATCGATGATCTTTTCGGTCACAAAATGCTTCGTTTCCGGTTCTTTGCGCGTGGGGGAGATTGACTTGGGCGGATGCTTTGTGATGACAACAGTTGTCTCTTCGGTTATGTACTCCGCATCGTCCTTAGGATGCTTGGCAGGTGCCTGAGCTCTAGGCTGCTTACCGGTTGCAGGGTGTGGCTCTTTGCCATCCTTTGGCTGCCTACCAGTTGTAGGACGTGGCGATGGCTCATCCGTCATTGGCTTACCAGCCTTGGGACGCGATTGCTTAACAGGCTCTCGCTTATCCTCGGGATAAGGCAAAGACTCTTTGCGTGTGGGCGAGGGCGATTTAGATGGACGCTGCTTTATGAGAATCGTTGTCTCTTCATTCACATTTATGGTCTCCGTAAAGTCAACAGGACGCGGCTCTAACTCATAGATTGGCCGCCAACCAGCAGCAGATGGTAGCGGTGCCTCCTCACATTCCGGGTAGGGCAAAGTACCCTTTCGCGTCGGTGAGGGTGACTTGGTCTTGGCAGGCGTCTTTGAAGTACGCTGCGTAGTCACTGTTGTCGTCTCTTCTTCAACATTAACAAACTCTGCATCGTCCTTCGGATGCTGGACGTGTGCAGGTCGTTGTGGTCTGTTATCCTTGGGCTGTTTACTAGTTGCAGGACGTGGCTCTACATCATCCTTAGGCAAACTACCAGGTGCTTGTGGCTCCACCCCTTCCTTTGGCCATCTAGCAGTAGTCGGACGTGACTCTACCCCATTCTTGGGGAATGTACCACTTGTCGGACGAGGCTCTTTCTCATCCTTTGGCCGCCAACCAGCAGGAGATGGTCTTGGTGCCTCCTCACGTTCTGGGTACGGTAAAGTACCCTTTCGTGTTGGTGAGGGTGACTTGGTCATGGCAGGCGTCTTTGAAATACGCTTCGTTGTGACTGTTGTCGTCTCTTCTTCAACATTAACAAACTCTGCATCGTCCTTCGGATGCTGGACGGGTGCAGGTCGTTGTGGTCTGTTATCCTTGGGTTGTTTAGTAGTTGCAGGACGGGGCTCTACATCATCCATAGGCAAACTACCAGGTGCTACTGACTCTACTTCATCCTTTGGCCATCTAGCAGTAGTCGGACGTGACTCTACCCCGTTCTTGGGGAATGTACCACTTGTCGGACGGGGCTCTTTCTCATCCTTTGGCCATCTAGCAGTTGTCGGACGTGGCTCATCCTCATCTTCTGGGCCTCTAACAGGCTTGGGCGCCTTTTTGTCAAACGGTTTCTCTGTGCTGATGAAGGTTTCGATATCCTCCGACTCTGTCACATCCACTGTCAGCTCGGTGCGCTGCGGCAACTGACCCTCTGGCTCTGATAGAGGCTCCTCCACTTTAATAACAGGCTGTGTGCGTGTGATATAGGTTTCGGTGATTCGCTTGTGCGCGCTATCATCGTCATCATCATCAGGGCAATCCTCGATCTTAAACTCAAAGGTCTCTGTCTCTTTCACCAAAGTATTTGTATCCCTTTCTTCCGTTTCATCATCAACATCATCATCATCGTCGGTATCGTTTTGAGTTTTGGGCTTGTAGTTGCCCTGTGTATCCCCATCCTCTTCCATGCCCAAGATCTTGCGGCAACGATCTTCAAATGTCTCGCGACGAGTCAAGCCCTTCTTGCGGAATGTGGGCTTCTGATCGTCATCCGGCTCTGGACTTTTTGATATGAAACTACCATCGGGTGTCTCGGAAGTCTCGGGAGTCTTTCGAGTAACGGGCTTATCGCTAGATCTGTCAATCATATCCTTGTCTTGGGGCTTTGTGGTTTTGGGCAAGCGATTGTCTGGATTTTTCGGTTCATTATCGTTTAGATCATCCGGCTTACGAGTGTGCGGCTGAGGTTGAGGTTGGGGCTGACTTTCGTTCGTTATGAATTCTTCGTTAAGATTCTTCGTTGTGTTTGTCACCCGCTGGGTAACGGTGCTCCTAAAGAGCGCATCCTCTCTGAACTGTGACGGTTGCTGCTTATCGGGAATAGCGTGTGGCGCATCTCTGGGCTTCTCGTAATTGGGATAAGTCGCATCCCTTGGCTTTGCCGGACCCGAAGTTGGCAACTGTCTTTCAGGACTTTGACGCGGCTTAGCATTGAGCTTGCTCGGATAAGTCTGCTCAGGACGTTCCTTTGTTGAGCTTGGCAGCTCCCTTTCAGGACTTGATTCTACTGGCATCTGCTTTTCGGGCGTACTACTGTTTCTTAGCAGTTCCCTAGGAGCTGATGATGGTAATGTTTTTTCCGAGCTTCGACGGGGAGATTCCTGTGGAACTGTCCCTGGCATCTGGTTCTCGGGAGTCTGACGTGGCGAATCCCTGGGAACTGTAGCTGGCAATTGTTTCTCTGGAATCCAGCGTGGCGACTCCTTTGGTCGAACAGTGCCTGGTTGCTGTTTATCAGGGCTACTGGCACGTGGCGATTCCTTGGGTTTTGAATGACCTGTCGCTGGCTGTTGCTTCTCAGGAGTCTGACGAACTGATTCCCTTGGCAGCTGCTGCTTTTCGGGGCTAGTTGCACGTGGCGATTCTCTGGGTAGAGATGCCGGCAGTTTCTCGGGGCTACCGGAACGTGGCGACTCCTTTGGCTTCGTGGGTAGCTGCTTTTCGGGACTGTGGCGAGGAGACTCTTTGGGTCTCGTAGGATATGCTGCTGGTATCTTCTCAGGACTCTGACGTGGCATTTCCCTGGGCTTATCATTGCCTTTCGGCTGACGCTGCTCGAACTCCAAGCTGCTCTCATCGATGAATATTTGATCATCGATGTGAGTCACATCATCCGACACAAACTCACGATCCGATCGAGTCTCAAATGTGGTCTCCCGCTGCAGCTGGTGTCGCTCAACGCTGGGCGACTTGGAACTGCGTCTAGCCGGAGTTGGCTCATCGACATCGTTGGGGTTTACAGTGGTGCTGTGATTGGATTTTCTATGGCTGCTTGATGGGGTGCGATTAGGTGCCTCGCTGATGGGTCTGTTGGTGGGTGCATGTGGTCGGCTCTTGGGCGTTGCTGCTGCTGGGGGGAGTCAAGGCATAAGCGAACGGGCCGCGCTCTACAAGATTTGGATCGGTGTGTGCGTGTCTTGTGCTTGCTACATGTTGCATAGACGCTTCGTTAATAGTGGGATTAGTGACGACTACAACAACAGCTACAAACGTCGATTTTTTTTTTTTTTATTTCGGGCGGTTAATTGCTCTACGGGGTTAGAGAGGCAGGTGAGAGGCAGCAGAGTAAATCAGGCAGGCAGGCAGGCGGTTAAGTAGGCAGGCGGTATTTCTTATAGATACGCTGTTACACAATTTGGGTTAAAATTTGATTCCTTGTTGAATTTTAATTGTTAATGTTGTTCTTTTATGCAGAACTCAATTCAACTTCAGTTTCGAGTTATTTGGCAACTTTCACTCAAACAGTTCTGGAATTTAGAAACAGTGGTCGCTTCGCAAGTGGCCCTTTAGTAAATCGGAATACCCTCTTGAGTTTATATGCAAATTTCATTTATGATAATCATATTATCTTTTTTTATTTTTTATTTTTTTTTGTTATTCTTAAGAGTGATAAATTTGTTTCTGTGTAATATGCGCTCTACAGAAATACCCGTTAGTTGGCATACTAATTACTTGGGTTACCCCCTCCCAAAAATATCTTCCATGTGTTGTGTGTGTGTGTGTGTGTGTGGGTGTGGGTGTGTGTGTGTGTAGGCCATACATAGAACATATCACATTCGCATTTTTTGTTTGTATTTTGTATAACAGTTTTTATTTGCAAAGTTCCAAAAAAAAAAAAAGAATCAAGTATTACGTGTAGTAAAGATAGTTTCAAAAGGTTTTCCATTATATTATAGGGTGTTGTTTGTTGTTTTGTAAGAAGAAGAAGTAGTTGCTGTTGGTTGCTCTTGCTGAGTGTGTGTGTTTTTAATTTTTTGTTTTCTTTTTTTTTTGAATAGGTTTTTTTCATGTGTTTTTCATGCCTTACCAACGGTTTCAGTACTTGTCACCGCCTTGGCAATGCTGGCCGCTTGTTCTGTGCTTTCTGCGGGTGGCGTGTCAGCGGCGGCCACATCCGTATCGGATGGACCCAGCTGATAGTAGTGTCGACGCACACAGGGTGCTTCAACGATGGGTGCAGCGATAGCGCCTGTGGTTGCTTCACTTGAGCTCAGCTTTGTTTTTGTTATCAATTCGTGATTGTTGTCATCAGTTTTTGGTTGCTTGTTCTGGTTCTGGTTCTGGTTGTTGGTTGTTGTTAGTGTTCTTGTAGTTGTTGTTGTTGCATTGTTGCTGTTGTTGTTGTTGTTGTTGTTAATAGTAGGTGTTGGAGGAGTAGGTGGCAAAGAGAATATATCGGCTGGCTTAGTAGTAGCATACGTATACTGTGATTGGTTATCTGAAGGATACATTACATACATAGGATTTTCCGAGATAGATATATTTTGTTTATGTGTGTAGATATATATATATATATTTTTTTTATATATTTATTAGCTTATGTATGTTTTTTTTGTTTGTTGTGTGTGTGTGTGTGTGTGTTGAGTGTGCGTGTGTGTTGGAGTGTGCTGGACTAATTCGTACCTGACACAGTTGGCGTCTCGCTGCTGGGACTAGCTGGAACACTGCGCGGACCTGAAGTACCTGAAGGACCTGTCGGAGTTGTGGGAGTTGTCGGCGTAACGGGAGTAGGGGTTTCTGCTGCTGCTGCTGGCTTATTGCCAATCGTTGTTGTTGTTGTTGTTGTGGTCGTCGTTTTTGTTGCGGCTGCTGGCGATTTGGGCGAACGCTGCGGCATAAGATCAATTGTTTCGTTAGAACCTTGAACGTTACGGGTCTTCACAACAGTCTGCTGCTGCTGTTGCTGCTTGGTAACGTGTGTTTTACCCACACTCTTGCCAGCGGGCACGCCCACAGGGCCACGTGTCACTGTCGTCGAGCTGATGCGACTCGACTCCGATGGCGCATGACTGTCGTGGGAGCCCTCGCGTCCATCGCGCCGATAGGTGCGGCTCGAGGAGACGCTCGAACGCGGCGTCATCCGTTGGCCATGCGGCTCCGTGTGGCCGCTGTCGCGACGTGGCTGATTATGCGAATGGGAGCCGGTCGAGCCGACACTCTCCGCCGGTGAGCTGCTGCGCAGCGAGGCGGCAAACGCACGATGCGCTGCATCCACCTCGCGCTCCTTCTGCAGCTGGCGACGCGTCACCGTTGTCGTCGTTGTTGTTGTTGTCTCCGCTGGGCCACCGGTGCGACCCGGTGTACGGTTCGTGGTCGGACGACGCTGCGGTGATTTGGCCAATGGCGAGCGTGGCGCATGGCGTGTCGGCGAACGTGCCGATGGGAAACCCTGTGTGCCATAATCTGGCGTACGCGTACGCGGACTTGCCGGTGCTTGAGCGTTCACCGGTTGGTGGCGACGCACATGCTCCGGTTCCGGTTGCGGTTCCTGCTCCACTTGAGTCTCAATGATCCGCTCCGTATTCGATTTGCGACTGCTGCTGGTCGTGCTGCTGTGCTGGACCACGTTCTCAGCATCGGGCTGATCGGGACGTGGCCGAGACGACGGTGTACCGCGCACCGATGGAAAACCATGCGTACTGTAATCATCGACAGCAGGTCGACGCGGACTAGCTGGTTGCTCCCAGCTGGGCGTAGCCACTGGCAACGCTGCATGATGATGATGATCATCATCGACAAATTCCGTTTCGATGGTACGCTGCGAGGTGCTGCTCTGCTTCACATTGCGACTCGATGTCTGGGACTTGTGCACCACGTATTCCTCATCCTCGGTTGTTGGCCGCTGGCCAAGAAACTCCTGGGTGGGCTTATTGCCACGCACCGAGGGAAAACCGTGGGTGGAGAAATCATTTGACGGCTGCTTGGGCGTCAATGGTCGCTGATTGGGAAATTCCTGGACGGGATTCGTTGATTTCGTCGAGGGAAATCCATGTGTGCCAACATCCGGACGTGACGGCGATGCAGCCTTCAGTGGCTGCAACTGTTGCGGCTCCTCGTACTGCTGCTCAACGGTTTCCGAGGTGGTCTCCGTCGAGTAGCGACGACTGGACGATGATTTCTTCACCGTCGAATAACTCTCTTGCTTAATAAGCTCCTCGGCATGACTGGGCCGATGCACCAATGGCTCCGACGCATTGTCAACCACATCACGCGGCTCAGCGCTGCGAGGGTGACTCTGCTGCTGGTGGTGTTGCTGATGCTGCTGCTGATGCTGCTTGTTGGTTTGATGATGTTGATGATGCACATCTTGAGTGCGTCGCTGCGTTTGGTTTTGAGTCTGACGCACCGACTCCGTTGCTGGAGTGGACATCTGCTCGGTTTCGTAACGCTTGTTCTTGACAATGGTGCCATCGGGCAAACGCTTCACAGTAGTAATCATCTTGACATTGGGCTTTGGATACTCAACCGTACTGGAGATAATCTCGCCCGGCTGTGACATTAGATGCTGCACATGTCTCTGGTATTCCGGTGATGCCTTATCCATGTCCACATAGCGCTTGTTCTCCTCAAAGTGCTGTTGCGTCTCCACGTTGCGGGTACTGTTCGATTGTTCCCGACTTTCCGAGTAGCGTTCCTCGCGCTCACGCTGATCACGCTGATGGCGCTGCTCCTGGAAGCGCTGCTCCTGCACACGCTGTTCCTCACGCTCACGCACCTCCCGCTGCTGATGTTCCCGTTGCTGCTGCTGCTGCTGCTGTTCCCATTGATGATCCCGTTGCTGCTGCTGCTGTTGCTGCTGTTGATATTGCTGATTGTCGAGCAGATAACGGGGTTCATCATCGTTAATCTGCTTGCTCGACGAGGAGGACGACACAAATTTGGATGTTGACGATGAGGTTGTGGAGCTCATTTTCATTTCGCTCCGTCCGCTATTCTCATCGCCGAACACAACCCGCTCTTGAAGATGCGTATTGGAGCTCTCCGCCGCCTGTTTCACATAGTTCTTGTCATCGCCCTGATGCGAGGCGCTCGAGACTTGCTCGTTGCGACCTTTAAACTCAGCGACTCCGCCACCATTGAGCTTCTCAACACCTGATTGGATTGTGGTTGTTGTTGTTGTGGTGGTTGTTGTTGTTGTGATGGTTGTTGTTGTTGGTGGTGGTGGTGGTGTTGTTGTTGTTGGTATTAAGAGGATGGGTAGTAGGTGGTTTTTTTTGGTGGTTGGTCACGGCACAGAGACATACAAACAAACAGAGTTGGGGTTACACACAGATTTATATATATATATATATATAACACATAGCTTAACTACATTACAAAGTAAGTGTTACTCGAGTCGAGAATAGCCGACTAACTGATACCCTGTACCGAGCTCCGGCTTTTGATCGACGTACACAAAAGCAAACACAAACAATTTACGGGATCTTCTCGTTACTTTATGGAATCGGAGATTAAAACTTTTAAGCTCATTTAACCATCATCGATCACATTTCCGAAAAATGGTACAGGGTATAGATAATTATGGAAGAACGGAACCAAGTGATTATTGTGACGAGAACTTACCATCGGTTTTGGCCAGAGTTTCGGTGCGATAGGCTCGGCCATCGGGCGACACCTCCGAAGATGTCTGGACATCCCAGCCAGTCGTATTCGGTTGAGTGAGTGTCATCGAATGGAACTTCAGCTCATGGGTGGGACTCATCGAATCGCGCACCTCCTTCGACTTGAGACTCTGGAAATTCTGATCCAGCAGAGCATCGCCATGGCTGGTGGCCAGCGGATCCTTGCCATAGCCAGACAGAGTATTACCGTTCGGTTCGGACATTATGCTATCCGGTTCGTGCCTATAGAGATTCCTTAGACGCGATTCGCGCAACTTGTAAAGATGCAATCGGATTTGCTTCTTGCGTTCGCTATCCTCCGATTGCTGCCACTGTAAGCACACAAAATGCATCAAAATAAATATAAATATATATATATATATATATATTAGACAATCAGTGTTATTAAGAGAGAGAGAGAGAGAGAGAGAGAGAGAGACGGAGCGGTGCTGTCCTTGGGCTAATTGAACCGGCTCAAGTGAGCTTAGCCGAGCCGCTTACAGAACCCACGCTCGATCTTTTCAAAAACGCGCCTTTTATGGACTCGATTCGACGCCTCGCACTGGCCGCCAATTAGCTGACAGTAGACAGTAGACACTCATAAACAACAAACGACAACAAGTTGAGAGTTGGGTGGCTGAGTCAGCAGCAGCAGCAGCAGCAGCAGCAGCAGTAATAGCCGCAGCAGCACCACCACAACTGTTGCACCACTCTGATACAACAGCAACAACAACAACGAGAGAGAGAGAGAGAGAAACAGAGAGAGAGAAAGATTCAACGTATCTATATTTTAAGCCACAGCATCCACCCACTGACTGAAAACTATCTTTATTAGTTTTTACAGGTTTCAAATTGGACTTAAGCCGTCTCTACAGAGGAAACGAGGTTTATAGTATATTTATTACCAAGCATCCAACAGCTTTTTGACTTTTAGAACACTTGAGTGTATCTCTAATATTTTATAACTCATAAAATCTTATTATTAATGATGATTCAAATATTTAACCGGTTTTTATTAGATTTTTAACTGACGTCATTATCTTTCAAACCAATTTAAGTATAGCTGAGGTTCTACTCTATTTGATGCCTGAATCCCTTTCAAATTCTATTCACAACAACTTGCCAAGTATTTTCAATATATTTAGCGGCGATTATGCACTGTTTATCAGCTGAAACCTGGGTCTGGGTCTGTATAGGTATATATTCTTGGGGCTAGTTATCAGAAACTGAGACGCCTCGCTAATGACGCTTTGTTTATAAATAAATATAAATAATAACAAAGAGAGCATAGCGCAATTAGGAAAATTACTGCTGACCGATAAGTGAGAAGAGAATTAAAAGCGAAAGTTTTAAAAAATAATAATAATAAATAAATAAAATAAAAGAAAATTTAAAAAATATATAGCATTCACAATTTGTCAACAGATGTGGTTGAGCTAATAATCGACAGATTTGTGGAGCTTTGAAAGTTGGTGGGTAGTCGTTAGCCGGTAGTACGGGCCAGGTCGAAACGGGACGAGAGAGGCGATCATCGAAAACATTGGCAAGCAAATTTACCAAAGTTGTTTTTTTGTGTGGTGATATCACCAACAGTAACAGCAACGAAAATCGAAAGCGGAAAACAAAAAAAAATAATAAGCACAATAGAAAAAACCAGCAACAATCACAACAACAACAACAGCAATCAAGAAATGCTTTGTTAACTGTTTTAAATTTAGATGCTTATAAAAATGACTGAATCTTAATTAAAATTAATAAAAATATATTGATGGTCAAACATGCATTTATCAACTTCAGCATCATAAATCATAATCATTTTTTTCTGTACAATCTAAATGTTCTTGACCAAAAGATGCATATAATTTCCAGTGGAATCAACTACACATTTGTAAGCATTACTTTCCAACTTTTTGTATGAACTTTCAATGAAATTTATTTCTATTTGCCATTCTCCATGTTAAACATTTTAAATTGACAAGTAGGTTATGTATAAAGTTGCCATTATTCACAATCAATTGAAGACAAATTTAATTTAGAATCAAATTATAATAACAAGTTGAAGTGAATGTTAAGTTTAGCAGACATAATAAGTAAGAAATGGAGCCATTGTATTGCTAATATATTAGCTCATTAAAATATTATTTTATGTGCAATTTGGATAGTTTTTGTATACCATTTTTGGATGGGAATTAACATTCATTATTCAGCCTCAGGAAGCAGAGAAATCAGAGCACAGCTTTCACTCGGCAAGTCAATAGATAAAAAGACAAACTTCAGACCATTAAAAAAACGATGTCTCGATAGATATAAAATTGTCAAAATTGACAAAAAGTATATTTAAAAAAAAGCTGCTATAAGGTCGAAAATGTAGTAATTGTTTTCGTTATTTGCCATTTAACAAACTCACCAAATTGATATAAATTAAGTTTGTTATTTGACATATACGTCAAATGTGTTTGAGCCGGAATTCGAGTGATGAATAGAATTTTGCTTTTTAAACTTAATTTCGATTTGTAAGCAAATTTAACTTGGGCAAGTTCGCGTTAGAGAAGCTCGACGGCAGACGGGAGACTGAGGGAGTAATCAGAATATGAAGTGCAGCAGAGTGCAAAAGCGAAAAGCGAAAAGCAACAAGCGAGAAACAAATAAAAACGTAGCCCAGGAACAAGTCGCGAGACTGCGAAGTCGCCGTCGACGTCGGCGTCTAGACTGTAGAGCAACGTCGTCTTGAGACGCGATGTGAAATGACGTAATTTCTAAAAAGTGGCTCGCGATAACCAGTTGAAGTCGCCGTCGTCGCACCTCCGCTGCCAGCGGCAACCTGTTGACGTTGACGTTGACGGCGACGCTAACGCTGACTGCGACCGCTGCCAGCTCCACCTTCATCACCGTTCCTTCTCCATTTCCAGCTGCCGCTGCCGCTGCTGCTGCTGCTGCTGCTGCTGCTGATGGTGATGATGATGATGATGATGACGTGACGTGCGAGATTTTGTTGATGCGAGACTGCCGCAAATGTTGATAAATTATTATTTTGTTGTATTTTATTTTAATTTTTTTTCGCCGCTCATTTTCAGTGCTGTCGTGTCAACTTTGGAGGTCAACAGTATTTCGTCTATGCATTTAATTGTTTTGGTTTGTTGTTATTGTTGCACAGTTTTTTGGCAAAAAAAAAGAAAATATTAAAAAAGTAAACACGAACAAGAAATCTTTTTGTTAGTGCAATTAAAATTTATTAACATTTAATTGAGTCAAATCGGCGAATGAATATTAAAACGACAACAATGCGCATTAGCCGTAAAGGAAGTGCAAAAGTGGGGGGTGTAATTTAAGTATTTGGCAACAAGTAAATTATCATATATAGGATAAATATGCATCCCTCGAGCGTGTCTTCAACATTTTCTTTTTAGTTGCCGAAACATGAAGGTTAAAAACGTCTCTCTCTCTCCCATTCCCACTCTTTTGACTTTTAACATCTCTTCTGTGTGTGTGTTTGTGCAGTAACATTAATAACGGTCACATACACATACATACTACGTGTATCTGCAATGTGATAAAGCTGCCAACTGTTATTGTTCCATGGTCGGACTCTCTTATCGAATCAAAATGGTAAAGAATGCCAATCGATACGAAAGAATATCAAGCGTACGAGTGGCAAAGAATGTTGATAATAGCAATATAATAATAATTATGACTGACAATGCAGTTAAGATCGCTTGCAGCGACACCTGTTCACGGACACATGCACCAGTGCGCCATCTGGCGACCACCATCTGCTGCTGCTATTCACCACTTGCAAGTGCCATCTGTCATTTGTCATTTGGCATTTGACATTGACAATCAGTACAATTTGTTGAGGAAATCGTTTGCACTCTGGTGTTAATTGCCGGCCCAACTTGGCTCATTTTTTGGCGTCAGTCGTTATTTATAACTATTTCAAATTCATTTCAATTCAGTGTTGCATGCATACATTTGCACATACACACACACACACACACACACACACATGTATATTAAAGTGGGCGACCTAATTGCGAGCCGAGAATCGCAATTCGCTATTTTTTTGCTACTCAAATTGGCCGGCTAAGAGGAGAATTGTGTCATTTTCATGCTTCAAGCTGCCGACTGCGACGCCAGCAGCGTCGTCAGCAGCGACGTTTACATTTCTTTTATTGTTGTTTTTCTTTTTAGCACCTGTGCAGCCCAAACTGAAATTGAAACTATTTGAAGCTGGGTCTGATTCTGAATCTACCCTGTAAATACTCTATGGTATGGCAAGCAAAGTATATTATTCAGTTCAGGTTAGCAGAATGCATACACATATGGATATATATCTTGTGCCATATAGAGCATAAGTCGTTATTGTAAAGACATCATTTTAAGACAATAATAATACAAAAATAAATATTCCTATTTACATGGTATCTTCAAGTCAGCCACCATCGACTCTGACAATCTTTACTTGTTTCCGTCGTTATTTGTTTTTCTGCGGCATATTTAAAGTACACAAGTGAATAATTTCTTTTTTTGGGGTTCTAGGTTGTTTTCAATTTCAGTTTCAGTTTGTTTTCATTCTGTCTTTTTTTCGATATGTTTATTTTTTCTTTTTTTTTGATATGACATTGCCCAGGTGAATTAAACATGCGACGACTGTTCTTGAAATCTGGAGCGCTTTCGAGGTTTTTACATCATGCATATTAATCACATACATAAAATACATGACAAAGTCACAAATAATGTTTACCAAATGGGATGAGTTATTTTTTCTGTGCATGTGTGTGTGTGGGAAACTTTGTCAAATTGATCGATGGAGCTGTCAACAAGTTTGAAATTCACAATGCAATACGATCCCATTTTGGGTCAACGGCGAAATCTCTATCATTTGAAACGGAGAAATTCGCCGTCTTTTAAAATGGAATTTCCCACGATAAATACCCAAAAAAATAACGACTAGTTAACTAACTTCAAAACTATAACCTTTTCAATCCAGATTAGAAGACCATTTTTATAACAACCAATTGTAAAGAGATTAATAAAATAGAGTCAGTGAATAAAATATTTCACACTTTTTATGTCTTAAAAGACAGTAAAATATAGAGCATAAACTATAAATTATTTTATAATCACAGAACTAATAAATCTTTAACGGCTGTTGTTGTTTTTTTTTATTATCATGTACTGAATTAAACTAAGCTAACTGACAAGACGACTAACAGTCATTAAAACAAGTCAACTTAATCGATTTATGATCGATGCACAAATTAAGTGGAACGAAAGTCGAAAAACTTGTGCAAACTGTAAGCAAAGTTTTTTTTGTTTTAGTATTTCTATAGTGGTGAGCATGACATGATAATTAGAATTGATCGATAACGGATCTGTTTTTGTTTTTTGTATCACCTGTAAATCCTACTATACTAAATTTCTTTTGGCTATGATCTTGTCACTTACAGAGTGTGAGAGAGAGATAGAGAGAGGGAGAGAGAAAGGGAGAGAGAGAGGGAGAGAGTGTGGGGAGAGAGAGCAAGATTTATGGCGTTTGGCAAGGCCAACTGGCTTTTTTGCTGGCACTGGAAACAGGTTACAATGTAAGTAGATTCAAATCGAGATTAGCATTCGCCATTCCTAGAAACATCCCCATTACACCCTCTCTATCCCCAAAATTTTATAGCTGTATTTACAATGTTCTAACTAGAATATCTTGATAAAGAATGATGACACGATCACTTATAGTCGCCTATATATATATATATATATATATATATAAACACACACACAATCGTAATCGTAATCGTTTTCGCCTTTGTAATCGTATTTCCAAGTCGCTAAAGTGCAGATAAGGGACTTTTTTTGTTTTTTTTTGTTTACAACCGAAATAGCTGACACGGTCGTCGGCAGCGACGGCGACGGTGACAGCTACGCTAGCGTTGCTGACTAACGAAGCGTTATGCAAAAAAAAATAAATAAATAAAACAACAAACAAAAAATATAAATATTCGTCGCCGCCCCGCTAAACAAATAAACTACCAATTTTTTTTCGCAAAGTGTGAAAGTTATTGGGAGAATATATAAAAAAAAAGTATAAAAATTTACCTCTGTTAATCGCAGTGTCTCCGCCAAATGACAGAAGCACGAAAAATAAAGCTTCTTTTATGTTTGGGACAGGTACAAATGATTGTTGCGCCCTTTTTTTCGAAATTCGTTGAGTTATTGTTGGGTTCGGTATGTTTTTTTCTTTTTTTTTGTTTATTTTTTACTCTTGTAGCTTGCACCGGCAAACACTTATGAAAAAAAAAACACTCGGTTAGGTGTGACTAATCCTGTTGCTGGTTTTGGGCTTTTTTTTGGCTTATGTTCTTTAAGCTCGTGCGGCAAATAATTCAAAAGTCGTCGAAAAAAAATATATGTACAAAATAAAAAAAAAAACAAAATTTTTGTTTGTGCGTGGTTGTTATTTATGCTTGCTTCTGCTGCTACTTCTTCTTATTGGGAGTTGAGTTCGTTAATAACCGAGCGTCGGCACGTTGCAATCGATCGAGCACCAAAATCAGACTGAAGTTCGCCCATTCAGAATCAAAGCCGCGTAAAGTGGACGAAGCTTAGACAGCAGCAGCAGCCAAAGCAGCGCAGCTGATGACGACAGGGCAGCGCAGTCAGCAGTCAGCAGCAACAAGCTTCAAGTAGCAGAGATATGACCGAATACGACGACAACAACACCGCGAAGATGACAGCGCAAGCGGTGGTGACGGTGACGACGACAGCGACGCCGACGTCGATCGAGGGCTATGCGTGCTTAGTTTGTGTGTGCTTTTGCGCTGCCTTGATTTGCGTGCGTGTGCGTGTCTTGCCCACTATCAGTGCAGCGATCGCTGCCAACTGCGCTGCCTACTATTTGATGTTTTTGCTTAAGGTGCGCAATGTAAGCCGAAACAAAACAAAAACATAACGGAAAGTTTGATTTGGTTTCTTATTATTGTTGTTGTTTTTGTCTAGGGCTCTGTTGACTTTGCTATAAAGCTTATGCATAGCCTTTACTGTGTATTCCCAATTGGAAGATATTTACGTTAATGTAAAGTCATCAATTGGAGCTTACGTTATAAACGAAGGGAGTAGCAATTAATTTGCATACGCTTTTGAGGTTAGGTCTGCTTAAGCGTATCAAATGTTTTGTTTTTCCAATATTTCTAGGATTATATGAATACTGCTATTGAGCTGCTGAAAGTTATGTTATACGAGAAAGTAAAAAAATACAACTTAATTAATTAATAAGAATCAGAATTACATATTTGTAATTTTGGAATTCGATTCGAAATCGATTTATAGCTGTAGTTTCTTGTAAGGGTATTCGTTAATGTTCGGCAATCAGCAGAAACAAAAACTAAAAAGCATCATTTACAGTTCAGTTTGACGCTAATGATGAGTCCACTGATTGAGCTAAATTTGCATAAGGTAGGCAGAGGCCAGCTCCATAATGACATCGCCAGTGGGATTTGGCTAATCGATCGTGCCAAAATGGAAAACTTCGAAAGCACAGCAAAAAACAGCAAAAGCAACAAAAACAACAACAACAAGATCGAACGTGTTCGAGTGCACAGTTCAACTGCCCAATTGCTGACCAATCAATCGAAGCGCCAAATACCATAACATGCATACTTATATACATATGTATGTACATCTGTATGTACATATACATATATATGCACAGTGGTTATAAGTGGACAAACTGCACAAATAAGACTGTTTTCAATACATCGACCTGAACCACAGATTCTAAAATTAAAAAATCCAATTAAAATAGATCTACGAATATCATCGACCAAATACCACAGCTTACATAGATCATTCATTAAAATTAACAGCAGCTATCATTGTACGCACGTAGAACTATTACTTGACTTATAAATACATATATGAATGTCTATACGTATATATAAATCACTGGAATGGCATTCGCGTATTGATCATGTTGTGGGTGGGTGTCATTGTTGCAATTTCAATTTCAATTTCAATTCGTAAACTTTTTGTCAACACGAATTCGGCCGAATGAATCCCAACAGCGCCCACACAACAAAAACCAAAAACTCGAAAAATGAGTCGAAAAAAAATTACTCATCGCAGACGCCGCGCAGACGACGCGTCGTGGCTAGACGGCAGGCAGCCGATAAACGATTAACGATAGACGATAGATAGACAATAAGCGGCAACGTGACCAGTTCACTCGCTGTTTGCCTGCATTTGGCGCTTTGCCACAGATCTGGTCAACAAATGACCGGACAGACGGTCTGATGGCCATAGCGGGTGTCTCTGTGCCAATTGTGGCTCAGGTTTTTTTTATTGATTTAGTTTTGCAGTTAGCGTCAAACGTCAACATTAACATCAGCATCAACATCGGCAGCAACATCAGCATCAACCCACGCGGCAAACTTGGCTTCAAATCATGGCCGAGAGATTGGCGCAATTGTAAAGCGGCCAACGCGCAAAAGCGCCTAACAACAAAAACGGAAAGACAAAAAAACCACATCACAAATAATAATACAGACATTGCCAATTGCTAATGTAGCTGACCAGATACAGATACAGATACATTCTCAGCTTTAGCCTCAGACTCAACCTCAGTTTCAGTTGTGGCGTCATCGTCGCTTCCAAGGAGCCATGGCCGGGCTAACTGGATTTGTGGCTGTGGCGGTCAGGCGAGTTCAAATACGGCTCAAAAATTGATTCATGTCGCATGAGTCATCCAATCCAACATACAACATTCAACATTCAATAAACTGAACACTAGAGATGGACGCGTGTCGCTGTTTATAAATTCTAAATATTGTTTATAATTGGAGTCTTCTTCTTATGTGCTAACAACCTCTCTTAAAGTATATATATATATAAATATATTTATAGATATATATAATAATAATATTAAAAAGGTTTAATATGTCAAACTTTGAGTTGTGCATTGTCGTGTCACGAGGCAAACACGACACGATCTCAACTGTGACATCAGCATCCGATACACTTTATCAGGCAGCCTAATTGGCCACTTTAAATAATGAGAGAGACCGAGCGAAAGAGAGAGAGAGAGAGATCAGCTCAAGCGTAGACGTCGCTGTCGCCAGCTCAGTTGCCGTCGCAGTCGCAGTCGCAGTTACAGCCAGCGTCGCAGTCAGCAACGTTGACTGCGTGGGCTGATTAACGTCTGCTGCTATTTTTGTCCATTTTTCGTATTTATTACCATTATTAATATAGATGTTTTTCTATTGTAGCCGGCTCGTACATCATTTGGCCAAGTTAAGCGACATCGTCATCATTTTTCTATTGATTTTTTTTAATGTCTTTTTAACGATAATTGTATAAGCCAAGTCAGACACGCCAAGTCAGTCAAAGCAGCCCACACGTTCAACGATGAGAATATATCAGGCCAACCCCGTGAATGACCCAATTTGGTCAGGTTGAACGGGCTAATGGATTGCTGGAGACTGGAGACTGGAGACTGGATCTCAGCGAATCTTCAGCTAGTTCGAGAATCTACGAGTCTGAGCTTTAAAGGCAATGTGACTGACTGAGAGGCAATGAACTTGCAACAGGTGGTTTTAACTTAAAGCAGAAGCAGCCCCAACAACCAGAGTGATGGGCAGCGTGGAGACTGACAGCGAAGTACACTCAGAGAAATAACATACCTTATTATATGCAATACACCAAAATATGCAAATTAAATGCAAGCATACACAAATGCACTAAGATAAAGAAGCTTTCTCCATCATAGAAGAAAAACTCTTTTCAACAAACTGATGAAAAATGCTAGAAAATAATTGAGAAATAATTCAAAATGAATCTAGAGGCCAAATAATGATGAAGAATGCCAGTGCTTTACAATTTTGACAAATTTATGGCATTGGCAATTTCGAGCCACGATCAGAATCGATTATTTATGGTAGAATTTGTAAATGATTTTTGACTGGAAAAATTGGGTTCACTTACCATTTTTCGCAGCAATTCCTCGTTTTGTATGGCACCCAAATCGCATTCCAGTTCCATGGCAAAGTCAGAAAAACACAGACACACACACAAACTTGCAACTTGCAACGTTCAACTGTGGCGACTCCTGCAAATAGATAATTTGATTTGATAGAGATTATAATTTTGCTGTGAAGTTTGTAACTCATTGACACCGTAACGTATATATATATATATATATATACATATATATAAATATGACTGATCAGCATCGTTTGCCGAATCGGTAATTTCCCTAATTTATAAATAAATTATAAATAAATAATAAACTTTGAATAGGAACAATCGGCAACAATAATAAGTATATAATCTAAGTCTTGCGTAAGATGGTCGATCTAACTTGCTCTGTTTTGCTTGTAGGCGATATCTCAACTAAATCGGATATACCTGACACAGATCAAGAAGGCAAATGATTCTTATTTGCAGATCAGACAATAGATACTGACATTTATTTATGAAAAGTTTCAAGGGAGTGGAAAGATTCATGCTTATGCAGGTATATTTGTTCTATTTGATGTGAAAACTCTCAGATAACCAAAGTAAATATTGTATTCAATACAAATCAGGTATGCTTCTCAAACAGTTCTACTTAGAAAATAAAATTTCTTATGCATAAAAGTGAAATATTTTTGTTTATGGTAGTCAATGAAAAACGGCGTCTAACAATTATAATCGTTAATTTACAAACAAACAATCTACAAAATATAAGCTAGCAGACTCTTTGGTGCAGGGTATTTGGTATTCGTTCAATTGTGACTGTCATACGCAGACAGTTACTTGTTGGCACTACAAATGCGAATGCATTTTTCATTGTGATTCATGTGATTTTGTTGCCGTTGCCGTTGCTCAAGTGTAAATTTGTATGTATCTATGTATGTATGTATGTATGAATGTACATGTAAAAAAATACATATACACACGTACATAAATATATGCAATGCTAAATTAACGTACGTACATAGATTCAATAATATTATTTTCAATTTATCATGATTTGTGTGTGTTTGTTTTATTGCACTCCAGTGTGCGGCGACGAGGCGAACCAGATATGTGGATGCCTCCAAAGTCCAATTCCCCAAGTGCTTCCCAAACAAGTTGTGACATTTCCCCCGTAAATGGTTAAAAATGAAACATGGCAAATGACAAACAGAATATTGCTGTTGTTTGTTATTGTTTATTGCTGCAATTGTTGTTGCTCATTGGTTTGGCAGTTGTTGTTGTTTCTGTCGTTGCTGTTGAGATTTGTGACTTGTTGAATCGGCCGCCAGCGTCGCATTTGGGTTTTCAGTTTTGGTTAAGATCAACGATCAACGATCAACGATGTTCGGTCAAAAGCAAAAACCACATTTCAAATCCACAGCACGTTCTCAAGCAGGTGGTGCAGGGTTACAGCGGGACAGGACAAGAGGGGTGGGGCATGTCAGTTTTGGCCGTCCGGCAGCCAAAAGCAACAACAATGACAACAACAAGTACAAAACCGCAATTGGGCAAATAGGCTGACAATCACCGAATGTCAGACAGTCAACAAGTCAGTTGCCCAGGTTGGATAGAGACAGAGGCGAGAGTTGAACCCGAATATAAACGTTGGCTGTACTTGAAAACGAAGGTGAAACAATGCGACAAACAACTCAATTTGTTTTCAAAACCCTTACAAAATTTTAAATGCAAGCCTTTTTTCCAGAAGCCACAACAGACTTAACTATATTATTGCTGTTTATATAAACTATGATGTATCATTGACATTTTGATGTGAAAGATGTGCTTCTGCCCAAAAACAAAAAAAAAAAAACCGTGAAACATACATAAATTGAAACACATTTTATCATAATTTGAAGATTAGCATCTATATGTTATGTCTACTAATTTGTGAGCTCTCAATTTTGATGGATCAATCGATTGATTCGGGTGAGAAGCGCGTAGGAAGGCGCGTGGCCAATGCCCCGACTGAAACGATAAGTGATAAATATGGAGACGGCGCGCACTCATAAATAATTTGAATGCCCAAAAATGTTGTCACTGCGCAAGCCAATTAAAAATCGTTTGGAGCTATCTATCAGAATGGAAAAACGAGATCGTTAATATATATACCATAATATATGGTCAGTGTGTGCTTAGCTTGCGTATTGAAATTCAATTTTGCGTGAGTTACATTTGATTTATGTTAAGCAACGATAACAATAACAATAACAATAACAATTACAACTAACAATAACAACTAACAACAACAACAACCACGCCCACAGCAACTAATCATTCGATGGGGAGACTCAATTCGTAATGCGATATGCGATTCCGCTGATGGATTGCTCGATTTGCCGATAGATGGCGCCAAAGAGCCAACAGGAAAACCGCAAAACGCTTAGAACTTTGTGGAACTCAATTTACACATGTGCGCAATTGCGTGTGTGTGTTTCAGTGCTGCCAATTTAATTTTACTTTTTGCTTTACTAGTTATGAGAGCCCTGCTAAGCTGCAAGCTTTTTAAAATATATTAACACACATAGCTTAATTTCAAATCACTTCATAGATGAATTTTGAAATACCATTTTAAACATAGCTAAGAACAAGAAAAACTAAATATTCCCATCAAAAATAGGCCATAATTTCACGCCAAAAGTTGACAGCACTGACGTGTATGCAAGTGCATATTGTATGTATGTATGTGTGTGTGTGTGTGTGTGTGTGTGCCATTCTCACCTGTTATTTTACTGCTTATCTGAGATGTCGTCGACAACGGCGCGGCTTTGGTAACTGGAGACAAACACAAACAGTTGAAGACCGATGCCAGCAAAAACAACAACAATAACAATTTAAATACACAAAAAAAAAACAAAAAATATATAGACACAATTCGAAGTAAAATATGTAGCTCTATTCAAATATTGTAATTGTAATTGTATTAAGTGCGGAAAGAGTTTGAATTACGCGTCTGCGTTAATTTCCCAGAAACCGATCGAGAAACGAGAAAGGTGGTGTGGGGGAGGGGGAAGAGGGGGATTACACGAAACTATCGATTGATTTGTGGTTGGCAAGCAAATAAAACAATTTTATTGTCAATCTTATTGATGTAGTTATTAACGGCACACGCGAATATAGAGCGAGTAAAAAATAAAACACGCGTTGCACCAAAAAAAAAGAGGCAAAATTTGCAAATTATTTGATTTTGATGTAGTTGTTGTTACTGCTGCTGCTTTGTTGTTGTAACTGGGATGTTTTTATGTTTGCGTTAACTGGGATGCAAAAAGATGCGCACAACCGTTTGGCACGAGCAGAGGCTCTTAACTGATTGTGCTAGCTGCAATTGTTGCTGCATTTAGGCTCCCCATCCGAGCAGAGAGAGATGAGATAGGCGCCAAGCATCAGCAGCAGCAGCAGCAGCGCCACTATCGGCAACCAGCAGCAACTATCTGAGCTACAGCTGAGCAGGCTGAGGGCAGAGCAGCGCGGTCAACTCCCAGTTTTCGCCAGTCCGGATGTGGTTCGCCTCGTCGCAAATATCGCTGTGTGTCTGTGTGTGTGTGTGTAGTTGTCACAAGGAATCAGCAACAGCAATAACCACAATGCAATTCACAAATCACACATAACCTTCACCATGCAACAACAAACAGAGTTACACAACAGTCGCTGCTGCTGCAAGGACTCCTCTTCTGTTGCGCAACTAAAAATGTATTTCATTTAACTTTCCCCAAAAAACCAAAACAACAAAACAAAAAAAAAAGATAAATAAATCTGCTGGAAGCATGTTTGATTCTATGGCAACAATATGAAAAGGGAAACTCAGCCTCTTTTTCGATCTTTCTGCACCTCGCTAAACTTATATGAAATTTACAGTATTTAAGTATTATTTTTATTGTGCGGCTCAATTTTGATTGTTCAATTCGGTGAATATAACTATTACGATGCACTCAAAATGTTTTCATTGACATATTGCTTGTCAAAGTCAAGCATAACTCTCGGTCTCTCTCTCTCTCTCTCTCTCTCTCTCTCTTTCTCTTTCTCTTTCTCTTTCTCTTTCTCTTTCTCTTTCTGTCTGTCTCTGTCTCTATCTCTCCCGTCCTCCATTTTATTTGTATTTTTTTTATGCGCAATTGTAAGAACTAAATCGGAAAGCTTTTCTTTAATTTTGGCTTGTGCTACTTGGATTTGCTTTGTTTGCTGGCACATCAAAACAATTTGCTAACTGCAAATTGCTGTTTTCTTTGCATTATTTTGCCATCTTTTTAAGTGATTCCCATCAAAAATGGACAAAGGGTGTTTTGTAGTCTATCTGTCTGTCCATCATTCGAAATATTAGTTCTCGTATACCATTCTTCATATTTCAAGAAATCAATTAGACAGTAAGTTAAAAGATAAGGTTAATTAATTAATAATTAAAATGATTTAATCTTAATCGATATGTTTAACAGCTGGGTATAGGGTACCAGCTAGTCAAGCATTTCCAGCCGACACAGTCGCTAGCATTGTTATCTAGACACGACTGATATACACAGATTCTGAGAGAGATAACAAGCTTTAAGAGAACCCACCCTAAATTATAATAATATATAATCTTAATCCATCTGATTCTAGCGCAATTATTCATACGACTGTATTTCCGAGATTCATCAGATATGCAAAACCTAATTAAGTAATTCAAAACTGAAAAATTTAATTGTTGAGTAATTTAATTTTGATTTGAAAGTGAATTGTGGGGGAATTCATTTCTATGTTGATCTTGAGCTAGAACTGGAGCCAACATCGTTTTGTGTTTTCTACGGCTTTTGGTGACAACAACGAGGTCAACGTTTAGTGGGCATCATTTTTGTAGCTAGCACGGATTCAGTTTCGCTAGATGTTCGATAGGAGAGGATAACACGCCTGTTGCTTCCGTTATTGGTCTCATCTGTCTCTGTTTCTTCGAAACCGACCAGCTCCATTAAATATTTCTTATAGGCAAAAATGTTCATCGGCTTCATCTGTTATGGTGGATAATCCAACTGCAGACATTCTGTATTGCTTTCCCTCTTACCTGGCGTATCAACATAATCTGCATATTTTTGTCGTACGTTTTGAAATGTTCTATTTGATCTCAAAATGGGAAATGAATTTTGGGTCAGAAGGCAACACTGAGAAATCGAAAATGATCTTACAGTTGTCAATTGGAAGCTGGAGCCAACTGAGATCTGACTGATATCCCTGAAAATTTCCAGTCTTTGGCACAGCCAGATCTCTCGATAAGGCAGCTGAGCTGCGCCCTTGTGGCATGCAACATACCAAAAATTGCATAGCCTTATCGAAATGCAAAGTGCAACGCCAAAAAAAAAAGAAGAAAAAACAACAAACAGAAATCAGAAAACGAATATAAAAATCTGTAAAAAAAAAACCCACATGGTCAGTGGGTTGTGAGCACTTTTTTTTGGCCAAAACCACAAGCTGGATATGTAGAAAACCAGTGGATGAGTTCGATGATGTACGCATGATGTTGTGCGTGTGTGTGTGTGTGCGTGTGTGTGTGTGTAAGTGTAAGTGTGTGTATGTGCATTGAATGTCAACGTCAACGTTCAGTGTCAATCAAATGAAATCGAATAAAATGCTGCAAAATTCTAGGAAAACATTTTCATCATGCAACTGGCACAAGGAGATCAGCAACAACTACAATTTGTGAGTGGTCGGCTAAAAGATGCTATCGAAATGTGCTTATATAAGTATCCAAATTCCCAAATTAACTCCCATGTGCTGGAGCGAGAGGTGAAAGAGAGAGAGACAGAAAGAGAGAGAGAGAGGGAGAGTGCGGGGGCCTTGTAGCTTTTTCTAAGTCATTTTCAATGAAGGTCTCAATTTTTGCCTTGTGGCATCATCAAGCCTTTGGTGACAATTGGCAACAAGTGGCAAATGCGCCTCAAATGCTCCAGCAAAACAACAGCTGGCTGGCTGACAACAACAACAATAACAGTCGCTGATCAGTTAGTGAAAGTGACGCAACTGAGGCGAAGGTTAAGCTGTCCTTGCCAGGGCAGCAGCGAGGGAGACCAGAGACGGGGGAGACGGCAACACTGATGTCAGACATAGGCGTAGGCAGACGATACCAATAACAGCAAAGAACAACAATAACAACAACGAAAACAGACGACACACAGCCGCAAGTGGCTGCCACATGTGCCATAAAAGGACGGGGGCAACTTTTGTGGCCAATATGCAGCAGTAGCAGCAGCAGCAGCAGCAACAGCCAGTCGTCAGCGAACAGAGCGAAAATATCACGCATGAAAAATGCACAAAAATTGATTTTAATTTATTTTAAGTGATTCACAGGCGAAATCGCTAAATGTATGTAAACCTTGGAAGCGCTAAATTTGTCGCTGGCAACAACTAAAACAATTGCAACAACTGCAACAGCAACTGCAACTGCAACAACAAATGTGCAATTAAACTGCACTCGATTTGAATTCCAATTTGTGTGTGAAATTTTGTGGGTGACTTCAAAATAGAGATGCACTCGCGTGTCGTGCGTGACACGAACTCAAAATATATCAATATATCAAGATATCTTTGATATCTTAGATACACTTACCGACCGGTGTCCAGCTCATTACATGTGTGATCATCATATGATCATCACATTTATCGTTTGTAGTTGTTGGATGCAGATAATTGTTTGCCAAGAAATGCTAATCTGTCCACCGATATGGCAGATATATGTATCTGCTTGAAGTAGTCGACAAATGAATTTGAGAAGACCAGAGGCATTTAAAACATTTCTGTAGCATTTTATTTAAACTAAGTTTACAGTAAAGAATCAATTTGTATATAAACTTGTAAAGTTATTGCTAAATTAATGCCAAACTGAATGCAGTTAACTAACAACTAATCAGTGCTAAATACAACTTAGTTATATTATAAACGGGCATGCCCAATAGCTGTCTTTATATATATGTGTGTGTCTATATGTGTAGTATTTAAATCTATATGTATCGTATCGTATGTTCGAGAATGTCGTCGAGATGATATCAATATGAAAGCAACAATTGAAAAAAAACTACATGTATGAATGTGTACGAATATAAAATAGTATACATACATGAATATATATATATATATGTATATGTATGCACTTCTATTTATGTGCTTGTGTGTGTGGGGATGTGTGTTTTATAATGATTATATGTATGTGTGTGAATATGTAGTATGCTGGTTAACATATGATATTATGTATTAGCTACTAATAGTTTATGAGTTGAATGCCATCATTTAATCAAAAACGTATTCCAAATCAAGCCACAAAAATGAAGAATCATTTCGAAATGGCTTCCAAAATAACCATTCGAATGTAGAAATTTAAAATAATCTGAATGCCTTGAAAAACATTAATCAAAAACGATTGCCAATAAAATCACATGAAAATATGCGCTTAAGTGTTAGAAATGAACAACTAATACAAATGGAAGGATTCACATAGAAATTATAAAGACATTGATATATATATATATATATATATATGTAGATGATCATTCGAATCATATATTTGTTTAGCAAAGCTGCCTTTATCTAATACTCTGTAATGGATTACTATGGCTGTTCAAAAAAAAAAAAAACAAACAATTATAAATCTATACTGAAATTGAACTGAGATATAGTTTTAAATTCGAGTCGACGAAAGAATTATTTAACATTTGAGAATTTTGGCACAGCTTAACACTTAAACGCTTAGATATACTAAATATAATACTAATACTAATAGGTTCTGGAATTCCTAGCGTGGCAATACAGTGAGAAGATTGTGCATGGCCTTATAGACTATATAGTATAATTAGATTTATATATATATAAAAATATATATATTTTTATACTATTTAAATACAATACACAATACAATACATGATATGTATGCATTACTCTTAACGACTACAAATTGGAAGAACAGGTCGAGGTCATATTAAATGGAGAATTCAAAATGGAAATTGCATTTGCATTTGCGATTGCGATTGTTTTTGCTTTTGTTTTTTAGGGTTCGAGCAGCTCGAACGCTGGCGGACACATACAATGTATACACAAAAATATAAAAATAATAGTAATACAATTAAATTAAAACAAAAACTCAAATAAAATTGCACACACATTGAGATTGTTCAAACAAAAAAAAAAAAAATTAAAGGACATATGGAAGAGCGAGAACTTTGAGATTAAGTGTGGGTGGCAACTAGATCAATCCGTAACGCCCAGATGTACGAGCTGCTGCATGGTGCGCTGTAAATAGGTGGGATCGGGGAACATGTTGAACTGTGTCTTGTGATCGACACTATTCCAAATGACGACATCCTCGCGACCGGTGGTCACCGATCGTCCAATCGAGAACAACAGCCGGCGATCGAAGGCGATCTTCAGGAAGCGCAACACTTTCCGGCCGAGCGGACAATCCGGCAAATAGCAGATGCGCGGAAATCCAACGGCAAAGAAGGCGCGTCCCGGATGTGGATGCTCAGCAGTTTGCAGGCCCGATGCAATGCTTAAGACAAAACAAAAAAATGAAACCACAAATAATTAGTTCGAGCGAGATGGAGATAGAGATGGCTATCTACTCACTCGTACACAATCTGTATGGTGTTCTGACCCTCGTGGCCGGGCAAACTCTTGCTAATGATGCTCCACGACATGCTGCCAATGGGCTGATTGCCAACCTTCTCGCCATACACAATGCCACAAACGGGGCACTCAATGAACAGGTTCTGCTGCAAAGAGAGAGAGAGAGAGAGAGAGAGAGAGAGAGAGAAAGAGAGTGAGTGAGTTGGAATGATGCAGAGCGAGTATCGAATAGAAAGCAATTGATTTATGCAAATCTATTTTGATTAGCACTCGTAAAAGGTTTTATGAGATACACTTTTACAAATGGAAAAATGTGAAACTGTTTTGTAAGTGTTTCCAAAATTGCTCCTCACCTTATTGAGTTCATTCTGTTGTGCTATGATCATGCCGTTGAGACACTGCAGATGCATCAAATGCTGGCATCGGCTCAACGATATGGCAGGATTCTGTGCTGAATGCACCAACTCTTCCATGCACATGGGGCAGGGCTGGGCATTCGGCCAGAGGGGCGGCTCAACGACCTTTACAAAACGCGATATCATATCGCTGGCCGGGTCCACGCCCACAATCGAACCAGCGATTGATTGCTGTTGCTGTAGCTGTTGTTGTTGCTGCTGTTGCTGCTGTTGTTGCTGCTGTTGCTGCTGTTGTTGTTGCTGTTGCTGCTGTTGCTGCTGATGATGCGGCATGGGCAACGGTGGCGGTACTGGCGCTCTTTCGCCCAGCGACGATAGCGGCAACGATGGCACAAACACCTCATCGCTTCCCAGCGAACAGTCGAGCAGATCATTCACTGATATGGCAAAATTGCGACTGCGTAAACTCTCCTTGCTCTCATGACTGAGATATGTGGAGACGGTGTCAACGCTCGGTCGCCGTCGATGCGATTTAACGCTATTCGTATCCGTATCGGAGGCACGCGTTCGCGATCGCGAACGATGCGAACCCATCCGGCTGCTCCGTTGCGATTGCAATGATCCCTCCGAGCAGCGGCTATGATGGCTGTTCATCGAGGAGGTCAGCATGCTTTTGCCGCTGTGCGAGAAGTGCGCCTGCTGATGCTGATGATGGTGATGATGATGATGATGATGCTGCATCAGATGCAGCGTCGACCCGGCAACACTTGATCCACCCGACCCAGTTGCTGCCGTCAAGTGGTTGCTGCTGTGGCCATTGCTGTTGCTATTATTGCTATTGCTGCTGTTGTTGCTGTTGTTGTTGCTGTGCTTAGTGCTGCTGCCGAAAATGTTTAGATTGTTGAGTATCTGGCGTAGATTTGTTGTCGAAATTTCGCTATGCTTCTTCTGCGGTTTGCGTTGCTGCTGCAACTGTTGCTGCTGCTGCTGCTGATGTTGTTGTTGTTGTTGCTGCTGCTGCTGCTGTTGATGGTGATGATTATGCGAATTGCTGTTCACGGACATGGGCAACGGATGCTGCTGTCGATGCATCGGTGGCAACATCACACCCATTTTGGGCAGTGTATTATTGCGCTGCTGTTGCTGCCCCTGATGCTGATGATGATGATAGTCGTGTCCATTACCAGTGCTTGTCACCTTAAACTGGAGCGCTTGCTGCGGCGTCAGTTTGACGAGCGGATACGGCGCCTGCTGGGTGCGGCGTATGCCACGCAATGGTCCGCTCGGCTGACGCATTTGCGTCAAATTGCAAAAGTTGATCGTGTATGGCAGGCTAATGTTTGTGTTGCACAGATCCAATGTTTGTTCGCCCTGCAAATAGCACATTTGATTAATATACAGTGTTAAATACAGTACTTAAATTAGACTCAACATGTTAATTGAAAGCATTAAACACTATTAAAAATTATTTCGATATTCTATTAACTATCTCAAACGGGTTACAAATAAAAATCAATATATTTATATAAAATCATCAGGACTGTGGCCTTATATATTATATATTTAGACAGACTGTTTTTATTTACACAAATTGGGATTCTCTCTCTCGCTCAGTCGGCATATATTTCTGTAGATACTTACACGGGCCCACGCATCCTCGATGATGCACTGGACATGCATGTTGTATGGCCGCCAATCGCAGTTGCTGTCCGCACTGCCAGCTGACCACTCCCACTTGGTGCCCTTGCCGGCGGGACTGCTGGGGGCGTAGAGCATGCGACGCACACCGATGGTGAGGAGGCCCGCCTCGGATTCGGTATCGGACTCTTGGGTCATGGTGCGAACATTAACGTAATACTGCTCCAGGCTGGGATCTGCATCGCTCAGCATAACGCGGGTCAGTTTCTTAACATGGGCCCGTTCCAAGTGTTGAGAAACGGCCGGTGAATATGGCAGCCATTTGCCGCCGCGCGACTCAAATTCCCAGACGCAGACGGCGTGTGTGTGATTGATGGCACCACCAGCGACACCAGTAACAGCAGCACAGCCTCCGGCATTGCCGGCGCCAGCAACAGTGCCACCAGCCCCATTGCTGGCCATTTTGCATTGATTAGCGCACTCACTTCATTTTATGGACACGATTTGTTTATGGCTCGCTCTTTTGATTTCTGTTATTTTTGTTTAATTTGCGTTTGGTTTATGTGTGTGGTTTTCGTTATCGTTCTTGTTGTCTGTCTGTGCATTCAAATTCGGCTGCGACACTGCGACGAAGATGGAACACAAAATAAACAAAGAAATTAAAAATGGTGGCTTGGTTTGGGACGGGGGGAGGGGAGTGCATTGCAGAACTATATGTCCATGTACCTTTTACTGCACTATGCGTGGCGTACAAAACTGCACAGCTTGCTTGTCCGACACATTAAACACCACACATCCACTTTGTTTGGATTTGATTTAATTGACTATGCGAATTGTAACATTTAAGCGCAAGCGCAAATGTTAATGCAACAGGTAGGATAAATTATAGTTAATACAGTGTTACCGCATTTTTAAGTGCATACTGCAAGTATATTCAGTATTTTCTGCCATTCTCTCTTCGATTTTTTTATTCAGCTACCGAATGTATCGCATGCAACACTGCGTGCGCCATCTGTTGTCCGACGACAGCAAGCAGTGCAAAATACAACCCTACCGTGGTCAAGTGTCAATTTTGACAAGCAAGCAACTTCCGCCGCTCTCGCCATTCCTTTACCTTTCTGACGGGCAGACGTAAAGCTGGTCTTTTGAACGACCCGCAAATAAATCTGCTTTTTTTGTTAGCATCTTTGAATAAAACTGCGTGAAAATGGTTGTTAAGAAGGTAAACAAACCCAATCAACCAAATCAAATTCACATTTAATGTGCAAATCGTGTCGCAAAGTGTTTTATTTTGATTTTTTTTTATTCTGTTTTGTTTTTTTGTGTGTGTGTTGTTATTGTGCTGTAATTAAAACTATATCAAATTATATATGTGTTACAGCCCAGGCCAAAGAAGAAGCCAGTGACGAAGAAGGTGGCCCCAGCTCCATTGGCCGTGAAGAAACCAGTTGTCAAGAAAGTTGTCAACCAGCTCTTCGAGAAGCGTCCCAAGAACTTTGGCATTGGTGAGAATCTGCTGCGGCAAATTGTACAAAATGTATCACTAAGACTAAATATGTTTCCTGTTGCACTTTGCAGGCCAAAATGTGCAGCCCAAACGGGATTTGTCGCGTTTCGTGCGTTGGCCCAAATACATTCGCGTCCAGCGCCAGAAGGCTGTGCTCCAGAAGCGTCTGAAGGTGCCGCCACCAATCAATCAATTCACCCAGACCCTGGACAAGACGACAGCCGTCAAATTGTTCAAGATGCTGGAGAAATATCGTCCCGAATCGATGTTGGCCAAGAAGCAGCGCCTAAAGAAAATCGCCGAGGCTAAGGTCCAGGGCAAGGAAGTGGAGCCCAAGAAGAAGCCCAGCTATGTTGCCGCTGGCACCAACACCGTCACCAAGCTCATCGAGCAGAAGAAAGCCCAGCTGGTCGTCATCGCTCACGATGTGGATCCCCTTGAGGTAATTGTTGTCATCCGATCCAATCTCTCTAAGAACCAATAACCAATCCCCCCTCAATGATGTTAATTTGAATTTCTTCAACTGAAACGTTTCAAAAATATGCAACGTGAAACATGTGGCAATTTGACAGCTGAGATTTCTTTATGTGTGTGCGGTGTGTGTGTTGTGTGCTGCGCATTAGTGTTGCCAAAAAATACAAGCTACTTTTTGAGAGTAGCCCTAAAAGCAAATACTTTGAAAGTGTTTTACAGATTTGCAAGAATTTACTATTCATTAAGAAATGCGTGTTTGCAGAATTTATAAATATTTCTAAAGTAGAATCACTATTGGATATTTTCAAATTGCAGTCCTATCCATTTATTAATTGTATTGTTTATTACTTACCCACCTCAGAAATTATTCAAAATACGATGATATTTATCGCAAAGCCATCTGCAATAAGTGCTGCTGCTTTAAATATTATTTATAAACTTAAAATTATATATTTTATATTATATTTATATTGATTTACATATGTAATCAATTCTTGCAAATAAACTAAGTTTGGCAACACCGTCGCAGAGAAGAGCCCCCCGCAAACCAATCAACAAAAAAGAAGAGCACGTCTTGAAATCTTGAGATATTAATTTGTTATTGTTTTCCCTCTCTCTCGTTGCAGCTGGTGCTTTTCTTGCCCGCCTTGTGCCGCAAAATGGGCGTGCCCTATTGCATTGTGAAGGGCAAGGCTCGTTTGGGGCGCCTCGTGCGCCGCAAGACGTGCACCACTTTGGCGCTGACAACCGTCGAGAACAACGACAAGCCGAACTTTGGCAAGCTTCTCGAGGCTGTCAGGACCAACTTCAATGAGCGTCACGATGAGATCCGTCGTCACTGGGGCGGTGGCATTCTTGGCTCGAAGAGTTTGGCTCGCATTGCTAAACTGGAGCGTGCCAAGGCTCGCGAGTTGGCCCAGAAGCAGGGTTAATTAATCAGTTGCAGTTGCAGAAGCATAAGCAACTATTGTATGCCTAAACAAATGGACAACAACAACAAACAACAACAAAAATAAACATTTAAGTGTACAATTTACAACTATTTTTTTTTTCTGTATGTATAATGATGAGTGAGAGGCGCTTGAACGGGCTCAAGTCTACGATGGGCGTTCAATAAATTGATAAGCTATCTACTCGTTCAATGTTTGTTTATGCCAAGATGGGGATACTACAATTTACCGGCAAGTTCAACATGTTTGTAGTCGATTGTAGTCAATTTCGATGCCATTAGTTGTTTATAGAAAGCAGGACCGATTGTTTTGTCAAATCGTTGAAAGTATCGATAGATTCGCTCAATGATCGATAGAAGCTGCTATTTAGAAGCGTGTCGATTTTGTCCAAAAAGGAAAAAATTTAATCGTTGGTCACATGAGAAGATTTGCAGTGACCAAAAATACGATTTTTTAACAGTGCTTTTCTGAGCTTAATATTAATCAGTCTGTTACTGTTAACTCAAAATGGCGTTAAAATTTTAATTTAAATTAGATGCATCGCGATCTTTCTGTGTTTATTAAAATGTTTTTTGAGTAATTTTATTGAAATGAAGAAAGGTAATAAATGTATTTGTCAAGCATTATCATATTTTGGAGCGTTCGGTTTTAACTGCACGCAACTTTATGCTATGAATGGCTTCGTTTAAAATGCTCAGCACCATATCGACCTTTTCCAGTGTGGCATTCTCGCCCATCAGCCCAATTCGAAACACATGCTCCACTGTTGGACCCAGCCCACCGCTAACTTCCAGATTGTATCTACAATTGATGGCATAAGGAAACGATGAGTAAAAAAAACAAGATATAAATAGATTTAATTTATACTCACTTGCGCATTGCATAATCAGCCACCTTTCTCCAATCGATGCCGAAGGGCACCTTAATAGTGTTCACTGTAGGCAAACGATCCTTTTCCTCCTGGACAAACATCTCCAAGCCCAGCTCCTCGATGCCCAGCTGCAGCCGGGCAGAGCACTCCTGGTGCCGTTGCACCACATTCCTCAAGCCCATCGCACAGAAATGGGCCAGCGCCTCCCTTAAACCATAGAGCAGTGTCGTGGAGATTGTGTGATGATAGATCCTCGGGGTGCCATAACAGCCCCAATACTGTCCGAGGAGCAGCACATCAAAATAGTAGACTTTCGGCTTGGATTTTCGCTGTCGGATGTGGGTCATGGCGCGTTTGCTGAACGAGATGGGTGTGAGACCGGCCGGACCACCCAGTGACTTCTGTGATCCCGTATACGCCACATCCACCTTCCATTCGTCCATGAGGAAATTGGTGCCGCCCAGTGAGGCAACCACATCCACAACCAAAAAGCAATCGTGCTGCTGACACAGTTCACCAATCTCCGGAATATGCCGCTGTAATATCCCGGTCGATGAATCACCCTGGGCAATAAAGAACACACGCGGCTTGTGTGTATCGAATGCAAAGCGAATCTCGTCCAGGGTCAGGGCACGACTAAAACTCGCCTCCACATAGCGCACATCGGCGTTATAGCGTCGCGCCATATCCGCCGCCCGATGTCCCCAAACACCCGAGATGCCCATGAGAACGACATCGTTGTCCTCAATCAGATTGCACAGAGCCGCCTCCATTCCGCTGTGCCCCGAGCCACTGATGCACATGGTCGCATCGTTCAACGTCTGGAATATGTACTTGATGCCCTCCTTCACCTCGTCCATGATCTGCAAAATTGTATTATCTTTAGGCTTATGTGTTTTTCCTTTTCGTCTCGTAAGAACAATGTAATTTTCGGTCAGTGCTCTGTTTTTTTGTTTAATCATTGAAAACAGCAAAATTCATGAAATAAAAGCCTTTGGTTATCAAATTAATTATTGATATTGATTTAGATTGCATATTTGAATACCCTTTGGAGGAATATATATATATATATAGCTTATCGCTTAGAGTTTACTTATGGTAGAGTGGTCTGGTCAAGTCTCACCTGTAGGCACTCTGGATGCATGTGTCCCAGGACCGGATTACTCATCGCCTCGAGCACACGCTGTGAACAATTCGATGGACCCGGTCCCATAAGCGTCTTGCTGGGCACAAAGAGCTGCCGCTTTAGGACTAGTGGCGGTGGCACCTCCATTTCAATATTCTATTTTCTTTATACTCGATTTGATAATCAAAATTTTCCACTATTCTGCAAACTTATGCAAGTGTCAAACAGTTGGGTTATCACAGTAAACACGGCAAAAATTTGAATCGAATCACCAAAATGATGCTTCTCGTCGAAACCCAGAGATCAAACTAAATCGCTTTAACTGTAGCTCGTGGGGCTTTATAGCTGGTTCGAGAGATCGCGAGTTTTTCTTATCACTCATAGTAAAGGAATATAAGGCGTTAATGAACGCACTTGAGATGAGCACCGAATTCTCTCTCTCCCCCTCTTTCTCTCTTTCTGTATATCTCTCTTTCTTGCAGCCTTATCAAGATGGGATGGTTTTTCACCCTCTCCAATACTTAGGCTTAATGCGTCGTTCTTCCTCGAATTCTTCAACTACATATATCAGTCATAGACTTCCAAAGGTTATATTTCGTCGAGGCTGTGCGAGATCTCTTCGCGTGTGGACCCCATACAGTGGCCACCAGATAAAAGCAACCTCACCTGTTCTCATTTTGTTAGCTCACCACAACTGATAAGCGTCAATTGAAATACAATCTAAGCTGATATGATTAGTTGATAGTTGTTTACATGTTGAATTTTAAGCTCGCTTCAAATTTGATTGCAATTTTATACGCAATAAATGATGAAATAAACAGCACAAGTGGAGGAAAGACGGAAATGCGCACACTTTGAAGCGTTCCAGCAGCAAGGTTTGTTTTTATTTATATTTATAAAAATAACTTAACTGAAATCTATACGTTTTACTTGTTTGAGTTCGAATGGCAGTGCAAGTATTTTCTTTGTGAATGTTCTTGCCCTGAACTCTCGATCTTGGAGAAAGTCCATAAATATTCGAATAACGTATCTAAGCAAATTGTACTTTAGTTAAATTTGAATTTGAATTTGAATTGCATTAACAGTACTGTAAACAGCTGTAGAAATAACTGCCTTAAATTTGCAATTGGGTTAAAGTACTGCTGCATGTGCTGTTCAAAATGTACCAACTATTTCTTATGAAATATTAGTAAGAGTTTCTAATATGTTGCATTTTCAAATTTTAATATTTATATAAACTATAATAACAGAGTGATGCTAATGCCATTTGATTTACTGCTATAGCGCTGTTAATGGGCGCGCAATTCATTGCCGATAGTCCGATAGTTATCTGCCCCTTCTCAGCACTTTTTATTGAAACAAGTTGGCAGGCAATGCAACACGTGCGAACCGTAAACAACATGCATTTCTTGTAGATTCGCAATAATATTACCGTAATTAAGTTTTAAAATGTCGCGTATTATAGTCAAACAGCTGCCCAAGAATGTAAGTAAATAATGTTGGCATTGACATGGTGCTAAACCGTGCTAACGATTATCGATTTCCCGCAGATCAGTGAGGATAAACTGCGAAACATATTCGGCAGCAAAGGAACAATTACAGATCTGCAATTGAAATATACGCCCGATGGCAAATTCCGTCAATTCTGTTTTGTGGGCTACAGCAGCGAGGCGGAGGCACAGGCGGCCATCGCCCACTTTAACAATACATGCATACAGACGAGCCGCGTTCGTGTCGAGTCATGTGCGACTCTGGGCAGCGAAGAGAAGCCGCAATCTTGGAGCAAATATGCCAAGGATAGTAAAAAGAATCTTGAGCAGCTGAAGGACGAACAGCCGCAGCTGGAAAGCAAGAGCAAAGAAAAGAAACCAAAGTCAAATAAAGTTGACGAGATACTCGGCAAGCACAAAGATGATCCGGCCTTTCAGGAGTTTTTGCAGGCGCATGACAAGACCCGTTCGCTATGGGCCAACGATGCAGGTATTAGCGAGCAGACCAAGGAGCAGGCCTCCGATGATGAGACGACTGAGACACAACAAGCCGCAGATGATGTGGACGACGAGGAGGCTGATGAAGCTGCAGCGCTGTCAAAGGACAAGGATAATGATGACGATGACGAGGATGATGAAAAGCTGGCGGAGCAGCCCATCAGCGATATGGAGTACATGAAGTCCTTGATGGCTGGCAAAGGCGAAAGCAAACCTAAAGCAAAGGAAAATAAAAAGCCCGATAAAAGCAATCTGGAATTGTTTACCATTAAAATCCATAATGTGCCGTATAACACAAAGCGACAGGATATCATCAAGTTCTTCAAGCCACAGAAACCGTATTCGGTGCGTTTGCCCAGCAAGGTGCATGGCTTCTGCTATGTGGGCTTCAAAACGGATCGCGACATGGCCAAGGCGATGATCAAGAACAAGAGTTTCATAAAGGGCAAACAGGTGTTCTTCTCGGACTTCACCGAAAAGAACAAAGTGACCAAGGCGACTAAGAACGGATTGGATATACCGGATGTGGCAACTGGCGGTGGCAATGCCAAGTGGCAGCAGCAGATGGATAGCTTAAAGAGCGAGGAGAACATATCCGAATCGGGTCGCATATTCTTTCGCAATTTGGCCTATACCACAACCGAGGAGGAGCTTCAAAAGCTCTTTGAGCGATTTGGTCCCGTTGTCGAGGTGAATCTGCCCGTGGATAAGGTGACGCGTCAGATCAAAGGATTTGGCACGGTGACTTTTATGATACCGGAGAACGCGCTGAAGGCATTCAATGACCTGGATGGCACTGATTTTCATGGTCGACTGCTGCATCTGTTGCCCGGCAAGGAGCTGGACAATGCCGCCGAGGAGGACGACCCGCAGGCGGATGCAAATCTCTCCTTCAAACAGAAGAAGGCGCTCAAGCTAAAGCAGAACGCTCAGAAACCCATTGGCTGGAATACGTTGTTCCTCGGTGCGAACGCTGTCGCCGATCTGCTGGCCAAGCAGTTCAAGACGAGCAAGGAGCGCATTCTGGACACCACCGATGGCGGCAGCAGTGCCGCTGTGCGACTCGCTCTAGGCGAAACCCAAATCGTTATCGAAATGAAACGCTTTCTCGAGGAGCAGGGCGTTCGCCTCAGCGCCTTCGATGAGCCCAACCAGAAACGCTCCAGGACTGTGCTGCTGGCAAAGAATCTGCCAGCGGACACCGCTGTAGCCGATCTCTCGCCCATCTTTAGCAAATTCGGTCCAATTGGACGGCTCGTGCTGCCACCCAGCGGCGTCACGGCGCTCATCGAGTACTGTGACCCGTCGGAGGCGCGCCAAGCATTCAAAAAGCTCGCCTACAGCAAATTCAAAAATGTGCCGCTCTATCTGGAGTGGGCGCCGGAGCATACGTTCAACCAGACGCTTAGCGGCGAACCGATTATACCCAAAACTGAGCCTGAACACAAACCTGACGAGGCGCTCGTTGTGCAGCAGCCGGAGAAGGAGGCGAAACCAGAGTCGAAGCCGGAGGCAAAGGATGCGGAGGATAAGCCGGAGGCAGAGGATGCGGAGGATGAGCCGGAACCAAATACGACCATCTTTTTGCGTAATCTCAATTTCAAGACGGTTATGGAAACGGTGCGTGCACATTTTGCACACTTAGGCACCGTGCACACCGTGGAGATAGCCAAGCGCAAGGATCCGCAGAATCCGAGACAGTTGAATTCCCTCGGCTACGGGTTCATTCAGTTCAAAAAGGCAGCTGTCGCCTCGCAGGCACTGAAGGATATGCAGCTAACCCAGCTCGATGGCAATCTGGTCGAGCTGAAGCGCAGCGATCGTGTCCTCAAGTATGTAATCTTCTCAAGAATCATTTTTTACTCTTATTACACACAATTGTTTTATTTGAAAACAGAACCCAGGACGATGGAGCCCGACGTCGCCAGGTGGGGCAAAAGAAACAGACTGGCACCAAGATTCTGGTGCGCAATATACCCTTCCAGGCGCAATATCGGGAGGTGCGCGAGATATTCAAGTAAGTCAAGCACAATCTAACCATTGTCCAGATGCGGCTAATATTCATATTCAATCTGTACGATTTGAAGGGCTTTTGGCGAATTAACATCGCTGCGAATACCCAAGAAGATGACGCCCGGCGAGGATGCGCATCGTGGCTTTGGTTTTGTTGACTACACCACCAAGGCGGATGCGAAGCGGGCATTTGATGCGCTCAGCGCCAGTACCCATTTGTATGGCAGACGTCTGGTGCTGGAGTGGGCCTCCGTCGAGGATCAACATGATGTGGATGAGCTTCGCAAGCGCACCGCCGCCAAATTCGATAGCAATCAAATGGCCGTTGAAGCCAAGCGCAGCAGGCGTGCCTATTTCGACATCGACAGCAGCGTTCAGCAGGCGCCCGACGAAGAGGATGAGTGAATAATGATTTAATTATAATAACTTAAATCCTGTACATTATTTAGATAAGTATAAAATGTTTGTATATAAGTATTTTAAATAAATTCAACAAATTGAGCTTGTTTTCCCAAAACAAATATCTGTCGTTTCAATTATCGATGATTTTCATTATTTGCAATCAAATTTCAGTACGAATCCTGCCAAATCCGTATTTTCGCCTGACTGGACGACGGTCCTTTCAAAAACTACAAGAGCATTATTTTTCAGGTTGCCTTAACTCAGTGCTTATATCCTTCAGTATCATTGTCATTTGCACAGTAATTTGTCAAACGAATCTTGCTAATTAGTGCTATAAGCTGGTCAATGGACAGAATTGTTAATTTTTTGACCGTGTCCAGCCGCCGTCAGACAAAAACTTATAATAGTGTTTGGATTCTTGGATTATCCCATAATCCTTGAATGCAGCTCGATAGAGTTGGTCCTTGAAATTCTAACGAACCATGTCCTACAACATTTTCCAACAATATGGCCGAGTTACAGCCATTTTTTCTGAATAAGCAGCTCTTTTCCCGTCCACCCTAAAAGTATACCCTAAATCTTTTGATTTTCAAAAATTAGTTTGCCCCATCAATTTTATTGTTCGCCCTGAAAGTATGCAGAGTTTTTCTGTAAATCGCACTTAATTTCTTCAATAAGTGATCCCGTTGCAGAACTATTGTCCTGTTTGTGCTAACGAAATCAGATCCCACAATCCTACATATTCTTCAGTTCCACCAATGAAGTAAAAAAAACACAAAAACATTTCTAAATAGAATATATTTTATTTTACGTTTCTTTTTATATAAAACCTAAGTAATTAATACAAAACAAGACAAAAAAAAAACATAATTTTTGAAGCATACACATACATATATCATCATCTTTTATCTTCAACATTTATCAGCGTTCTTTCTCATTACCACAATCTAGCTGCAAATTTCCCTTTCTTTTGTTATATTTAAAGTACTAATTAGTAATATGTATATGTATGTATATATATGCATATATATATATATATATATATATATATATATATATGTGTGTATATATATATAAATATATGTGTGTACTCGTTATATTGAAAATATTTGACATTTTCCTCTCATATCCATATTCATATGCATATCCATATCCATATCTTTTTTGTTATCAATTTTAATCGCATAATGTCGCAATTGTTGCAATAAGCGAGTGCATCGCATGGACGCATATATGTATATGTATAATATTTGTTTGTATTTGTATGTGTATGGGTAAAGCATATAGTTCATTTCTATAAATACGTATTTAGTATACGAGTATACGAGCAAAGCAGCTAAAAGCCTTCAAAGGGGGTGGGGCAGGAGGAAGAGGATTCGGCTGGACTAAGACCAGCAAAACAGGATCAGTGTTGAACACTTGTCTCTACGCATGTATACATCTTGTGTATGTGTATGTGTGTGTGGGTGTGTATGTTAATATGTGTTAGTGTGTGTATGTGTGTGCGTGTATGTTGGTGTTTTGCTTGTATTGTTTTGTTTGGCCCGCAATTGAGCACTTTGTTCAGTTAATTAGTATCAGCTAACAAATCGCCCGTAGCTCTTAAGTTTGTGTATCTGGTTGCTGTGTGCGTTGGATTTGGGGATTGTGCGGGAGCGTTTCAAGCATAGGCCATAGTTATATATATGGTTGTTCTTTTTTTTTGTTTTTGTTTGATGTTTTGTAAATATTTGTATGGTTGGAAAAAAAAGAAGATAGAAACGCCTAGCATTTTAATCCTTCTTGATGCGCGCCTGCAGGAAACAATAAAGTATGCCCGCCTGTGCCATCACGTCGACAGTGCTGGCGGCAAGTGGATCCTTTTGCTTCACCTGCGTCTGTCCCGGTCGCAGGAGTGTGGGACCAAACACCATCGCCAGATTGTGCAGCGACATCTTATTGTCCCCCTCCTTTTCGTGCACTCTGCAAATGAATATCATCATGATCGATTGCATCGAAAACTATGGTTATAGCACACACATACCTGATTAGATGATCGAGTATCATATTGATAGAGGCCTTATTGGCCGGAGGCAGCTCCTCGTAAACCTTGAGCAACTCGTTGATGCGTGTGGCTTCATTGTTGTTGCTAAATGCGCTGAATGTCTCAAAGAAGCGCGGATACAGCAGATCCGAGAAGAGCGCCTCTGGTAGCTCACGCAAGAATGTCTTCAGTATGCCCGTCACCGAATGAATATCCACCTCGCGCAGCAGCTGCTCCGCCTCGTACGCATCTAAAGAGGATTAACAGAAGATAACAGGTTATGTTAAAGAATATATATATATATCGTTTATATTTGAGTATATATAGATATATATGTAGTTGCTTGCTGTGTCTCACCCGATTCAAATGCCTTTTTGAGCTTGGCCAGGTCGGAGGCAGAGCCACTGACGCGATAGCAGCCAACCTCGAGCATGCCACGACGCTCCACTTCGCGTATGCAGGCACTGATAATGAACGGAATGTCGCGTTTCTCGCGCCTGTAAATTGACAAATTTTTGTTGCAAAAATGATGTGGAAAACGGATGTAAATTTCATAAATGTTGGTTTGGTTACTCACTTTAATACTTGACTCATTTTGGCACCAAAGAGTGCGCCTGGTTTGGTAGTGGCGCGACACAGCTCGCCAGGCACAAAACGGAAACTGGCGCTCAGCTCGAGCGTTTCGCTCAGCTTAATGCTGCGCGTTTGTGTTGTTTCCGTTAGCCAGCTGCGGCTCAGCTGTGGAAGCAAACAAAACAGAAACCGAAACGGAAAGAAGTTTATGTTGGCTATAACTGAGGATACGTTAGCTGATTATATGTTGCTCACTTTGAGTATGTGTTTGGCACGCAACAGCGGTCGTTCCTTGGCCTCGTACAGCAGAATGCGAACATTTTGACTGCCCTCCAGTTCGAGCATGAAACTCTCATTCCACAGCGGGCACTGGCTGCGACAGATCATTTTGGTGGTGGCCTTGCGGAAATAATGGCCATACGAGTCGACCTCAATGCATATATACAAATCGGCCTGCTGTTCTAATCCCTGCAATCCCTGCACCCCAACATGCAGATCCCCAACGAGCAGACTCTCATCGTTCGTGTTGCGCATCAGATACGAGCCCATTTCAGTCTTCATGCCCTTCTGCATGGCCACTATGAATGCGGTGACCTCCAGCGAGTTGATCGTATTCGCCCCAGGCAGATTACATTTTTGCTGTGAAGAAAACAAAAACACAAGAAAGCAGAAAAGGTTGTCAGCAATGCATATCTGTTATTATTATTATTTTTATATATGTATTATACCTTGAGCGACATAATCGAGTCCATCCATTGTGTGCGCTCAAAATCGGAGCTGAGGAAAAAGGTCATGGTCTTATTGTTGGCCTTATTGCCGAGCCGCAGTACTAGATTGGGCGTGGCCAGCACCAGCTGTGACTCCAGATCGGCCAGCTTACGACGATACTTGTCGCCGGTGCGTACACCGTTTGCCTCGAGTATCAGTTGATCGCGCACCGAGCGCAGATTACGCTTCACTTGCGATATATTCGCGGGACTAGATTCCTTGAGGTCCGCACTCGTATCGGACTCTTCGAAGACATTGACATCCTTCAGTGGTATGAACCATTTGAGCTCGTAATCGATGCGATCCCGCCCAAGGGCCTTATATTTGGCACACGCAATCACATCATTGAAGAGGAACAAATGGCGCAGCTTGCGATGACCATCGACCAGCTCCACAATGAACGAGTTGCGCACCATTCGGCGCAAATTACGATTCGACTCTTGCGGCAATCGCTGATTGACCACATTGAACTGATTGAGGAACATTTGTATGATCTTCTGTGCCTGCCGCAACGGCTGATGATCCGGATGATTTGGTGGCGTCTCACGCAACAGATCATTAAATACGAGAGCATTGATTTGCACACGCGCCACCGGCTTGTGCAGCAGATCCTCCAGCGTTAGCGACTGTTCCGTTTGCAGATTGACCACAATTGTCGACACGATCTTCTTGAATTGCGGATTATTCGCACTGCACTTTTTCACCGTATCGATTGCCTGGCCGTAGTTGTGCAGAAAGGCGCTGTACAGATCAAACATGTCTGCCAATCGCTTGAACGGCTCCCCAATCAGCACATCGCCGCCCTCGTGCGACACAATTGTCTTCAGATCACCCAGAAAACTGGTGTGCACCTCGTGCAGCTCATCGATCTTGAAGAAAATCGTATTCTCCTCCTCCTCCTTGATCACAGGCTGTGATGTGCCCAGCGTTGCATGAATAGCGCGCTTGTACTGCAACATAGAAATGTTCAAATTAGAATTTGTTTTCTTTTCTTTTTTTCAGTTTTAGTTTCTCTTGTCTAGAAATCAGTTGCAATTACCTGTAACATTTTATTGAGGCATTCCACGTAGATAGTCTCGCTGTGTATTATTGAGCTCAGAATGGAACGTATTTTGGCACCGCGCGCATTGCCAGAGACCTGTGTGTAGAGATGAAGATATATTAATAACTGGAACAGCTACACGGATAAGAGAATGCTCTCCAGATGTATTGTGTAATCTACGGATGGTTTGGATGTAGGGCCTTGTATACTCTACATGGTATATACAACTCTTGCACCGTTTCCAATACACATATTGATGTATAAATGTCTATATATATATATACATCAAGTATGTGTAATGGAATAGGACATACGATAGACATAGGAATGATATAAACATATGTACAGCTAAAGGGGATTGATTATGTGTGCCAAGTCGGGTACACTTTTGCCACATGTAGCTATGAATAAGTGTGTATGTACATAGAAAGGAGAGAGAAAGATATATATATTCATATATATATATATATATATTTATATAAATAGAGAAGGAGGGCAGCATACCAATTCACTATGCAATATTATTGTTTTGATCGGTATATAGAATTGGTGTATTTGGAGCAGCATTCTTCATTCTAACATAGAAATAAACGAATGAAAATTGAAACTATGAAAATACTGACCAGAAATTATATTAACTACAATGTTATAAATATATTTATTTCATCTATTTACATTTTGTTGCATAGTGCAAAAAAAAGGAACACATTTGTGGGGTGGGTGGGTTGGTTTGATATGTATGTTTGGGTGGGTGTGTGTGTGTGTGTGTATAGTGTAGAGGAGATGGTTGGCAACTATAAACAGAGAACTGGATAACATAGAATATGATAAAAAGCCAATCACATTTAACATAGAACAAGCGCATTCAGGTGAAGCTATACAAATACACATATATAAAGATATGTACAGGATATGTATATAGGCGAATATATACGACAAACAACACAAATATATATATATAGGCTGAGAGGAGGCTGAGGCTTGAGATGTGTGTGTGTGTTCGGTACTCACGAGTATCGCTGAAACTAAGTTCTGTTGAGAAAAAGTAAGAGGAGATCATCGTAGAACAAAATAAAGAGAAATTGAAGATAGGAAAAAAAAAATCGAAAAATATGTGTTAGTAAATATTGAAATACTCGTTTGATATAATTCTTATTATAGATATATTATATCAACTAAATATTGCATATATATATGGCGTGACAAGATCGTTTCGTCGGACACGCTCAAAATATATATTTCGATTTTGAATTGTTAATTTGGCATTAGGCGAGCGCAGCGAGTAAACTATTTCATTATTTTGCTTTTGCTTAAGGGCGGGCTTGTTTGTTTAGTGCAGCTGTCCATTTGAAGTTAATGGTTCTCATTTCAAAAGTTACTGTTTTTGTATGGAATTCCAGAATGTTTGTTAAGGCGCACCTGGCAAGGCTAATTGGCTGCACAACACAAATACAAATAGCACACAATATAAACACAAAAAAAAAAAGAAATAGAGAAGGGACGGGAGCAAATAGGTGCAGGGGAGGGTTGGGAGGGAAGGCCAAAATAAAGTTAAGCGCATTATCTAAAGACACGCGGCTGACGCATGCACTTTAAAATCAATTAGCCAAGTTAGCGTATGCTAATGCCAACGGCGGTTAGTCATTAAAAGTATAATGGTTGCTTGCATCATCATCATCATTATCATCATCATCGTTGGTAACTGCAACTGCAACTGCAACTGGGATATGAGTGAAGCGCATTAGGTCAAAAAGTAATTAGCTATTAGCAGCCAGCTTATTCAACATACAACATCAGTTCCAACAACAACAACAACGACAACAACAACACAAACCGCTTAGAACATTTATTTTCGGTTTGGCAATGCATGAATATCAGCTTAGCAGACAACATATATTATATATTCTTGATCGTGACCATAATACTGCATCTTTGCATCAAACTTTTCTAGCCTGATATCGATTTTCTATTCTTAAATGTTGGTGTATTTAGCGGCGACAATGTTCATCTTGATCAAGAATATATATACATATATATACTGACTGATATATATATATACTGACGTAGATGCCTACCCACTGCTGGGGTATATTAAAAACGGCTGGCAAACAAATGCAACTCGTATCCAAAATCAGAGCCATTAAATATTAGCACTAAATAGTTGATATACACTATATATATAGTATATATATATTTATATATGACCAATTGGTGCACAAACCTTGCGTAATACGCCTGGCGTCTGTGATGTGGATGTTGATTGCTGTTCATCATGTGAAATGGTGCGCAATATTGGCGGACCCTCGTATTCGCCATCGCTGTCCAGTGAACTCGAGCGCGTCTCATTGCTCTGACTACAAATATTACAGAGAGAAACAGAGACAGAGACCGAGAGAGAGAGAGAGATAGCGAGAGAGAAAGATTGCTTAGCTTGGTGATTTATCATTCATGCATAATGCATGTCACGCGCACTTACAGAAAATAATCAATGTTCACATAGTTGGAGGTACGGCCTGGAGATTCGGGATCCGTTACGCTCGCCTGACTGCTTAATTGGGCCATGGGCAGCGTGCTGCCCGGCGTGGACAGATCATCGCGACTGGACGAGGAGCCGGTGCGGCCGGGCTTAATGAACACATACTCTCCATCGCCATTGTCCAGCGGCACGCTATCATAATACGGCTCATTATCCGCCTGCTGTGCCGCCTTGGCGCTGTCCGAGCTGAGCGATGACACCGACTCGTAGCTCTTGATCTGCAAAATAGGCCAAACAGCCGAAAAATATATATTTTTGATGTTGCCTATTTGATAATGGTTCACTTACAACTTCCGATATGCCTTGTGATGCAAGGGACTCCTTGGAGCCGATGCTGCGTTGGGCAGCCGCTGGCGTTTCAGCGTCGCTGGCCTGCAATGAAGTACGCGATTTTTTCTCTAGACTCGAGGTCGAGCTGCTGTCGGCGGCGTTCAGTTTGGCCGCCTTATTCAGGCTGCCAGTGGGTGAGGCGCCCACAGTGCCTGCTCCCGCTCCAGCTGCCCCACCCACTGCCTGGTTACGTCCTGCTGGCGTTAGTGTGCGTCCCGGCGTAGATGCAGTGCGTCCGAGACTGCCACCATTGGTGGTCCCACCGCCGCCGCCGCCGTCATTGCGCTTTGCATGCTCCAGACTGTCCGTCTTGCCAACCATTTTACGGCCCAGCTCCTCCATTAGCTCGGGCGTATTGGCCAGCTTACTTAGCTCTGGCGTTGTCTTTCTGTTCGCGGCATACTTCGATTCCAGATTCTCCGATGACTTCTGTCGCAGTATATCCGATGGCTTAATGTTGCGCTCCAGCGAACTGGCCGGACTATCGCCCGAACCGGAACTACTGCCCGGCAGGGGCATTGTGCTGCCCGCATAGGGTGTCTCTCGCTTCGGCGACGACGACAGCTGATGCTGTTGGCTGGGAATGGTGGGCGGTTCCACGCGTCTTATATTCTTTGGCGGCGGTCTGCAGATAACAACAAATCAAAAAAAAACAAAAATAATGCAGTTGTTAAATGAACACAAATATTTCGCGATGTCTTTCAAAGATCGGCATCAGCGATGCCCATCTCCGCCGCCCATAAAAGCTTTTGAGTTGCAAGGTATATAAACGGTAACTGGCAACGGCAACGCCCACACACCCACCGCCCTAATCGCCAAAAGCGATATTTCTGAAAGTGTAAATCAATAAAACTGCATATCTGCTACAATTTGAGAGATTGAAGGAAGGGAACCTCTTTTAAAGATCGACCACGCCTTTTCTCTCTGTATCTCTTCTCTTCTAGAAGAGATGCTGCAGAGCTCTGCATAAATTGAAGCCTGTTTCTGATTCGTCGCGTCGCGTTTGATAAATGGGTTTTTAAATTTGTTAGAGTTACTCTTCAAGCGGACAAAGAAGTCGAATAAAAATAAGTTAGCGCTACTGGCAACTGTGTCGCAACTACAATGCCACTCACCTGGGTGGCATTTTCTTTTTGGCCTCCAGATGCGCGGCATACGATGAGGCGGACATGGCGGGCGATGTCATCGATGGCGATAGCGGGGGCGCCGTTGCGTCCTTGCTGCGTTCCGTGTAGCGTCCAAATGTCGATGGAGGCGTCGACGTCGACGTCGATGTTGTATTTGTTGCTGTTGCTGTCGCCGTGTCATTCAACCCCGTCGCCGACGTTGCTGACGTCGCTGCATCATCGATGTCTTTGTCTTTGGCCTCTTTGACCTCGATGACGGTAACAAAGTGCGATGTCGACTTGCGCAGCTGTTTCGATTGCTCCTTTGAGCCAGCATCCACCATTGCGGCCTCCCCCCCGGTAGCACTGCCCAACGTTTCCTGTTGCTGCTGTTGCAGCTTATTGCTGCTGCTGCTACTGCTGGTGTGGCTATCATTGTTGTTGTTTGTTGCTGGCGTTTGTCGTTGCTCGTTATTCGATTTGAGCGCACCGCTGCCAATGGAGGCCGCCAGCTCAGTGATGCACTGCTGAAGCGCTCCATTTGAGTCCTTCTCATTGCCACTGTCTTTTTTATCCTCACGCTCGAAGCTGTGCTCCGTTATGCTACGTTTCCCAGTGGGTGGCGCTGAGCTCAACCCACCACCACCACCAACACCACCACTGTCATTCTGTGTGTGTGTGTATTTGTTGTCGGTGCTGAGGGACAGCCTGTCCTTGTCCTTGCTGCTGGCTGATGACGCAGATGATGCCTCACGCAGATTCAAACTAGATTTCTGCAAACAAAAAAGACAGAAAAAGTCAGTTCATTTAAAATGTGAATATCTATTTGATTAAAGCTTTAGTTGCACAACATTGTGGGGCAGGAATTTAAATTACTTTTTTCTTGTCAATTAAAATAATGGGCTCGCTGTAATACCTAGATTTATAGTACATTGTAAAAAAGATATGTGAGTGATTGCTACGTGGAAATATATGAAGTGAAGTCAGAAACAATAAAAGACGACAATTAAAAGCAAATAAAGCGACGTGTATATCAGAGACAGACAGCGAGAGCGAGAGAGAGAGAAAGAAATCAGCAAAATGTGCAACAAATACATAAACATTTTTAAACACCTTTTTTCCTCTATTGAAATAGAAATGCAACTTATTAAAAAAGGTTTGGATTTTGTTATGCAATAAACTTTTCATAAGTTCCATTAAATATTTGTATAGAAATAGTGAAATATGTATCGTAAATGGTTTTGTGGCCTGTGGCACAAGATAGATAGATTGGATGCGTATAAGCGAACATTTGCAATCGCTTCGAGGATTGATTCCACTACTCAGCAGAGCTTTTTAGCAGAAAGCGGCGTTTCTCCCCCTTGCTGAGTGTTCGCTTTGCTCATGCATGGCACGTAACGCATTTCTCTAACACGTTGAGCGGTTCCATTAAAATGACAACAGCAACAACAACAACATCGGGTAAAAGCCAAAGCAAACAACAACAAAAACAGACAAATAAGCCAATCTTGGCGTGGAGCTTGTGCGTGTGTTGGAGCATTTTTTTCATTGCTTTTTACGCCTTAATTTGGTTTTTTCATTTTTGGCCACGAAAAAAGTGAAAACTACAAAATAAGAAAAACAACAAAAATCGAGAGCAAACTTTTTAATTTGTTGTATTTATTTTTCAAGCCAAAAGTAAAGAAAATTGCCAGCAAATATTAACATTTTTTTTTTCGTCATATTTGTTTTTGCGTGAGTGTGCATAACTGCATGTGTGTGTGTGTGTGTGTGTGTGTGTGTGTGTGTATGTGTGAACTAAGGCGTTGGTTGCTGGTGTTGGGGGTGGTATTGGGATTGGGATTGGGCCAAGCAGCAGCAGCAGCCGGCAACTACTGTATGTGTGGGCGTATGTGTGTGTGTCTGCCTGTGTGTGTGTGTGTTTAATGTGTCCAAGCGGAGCGAAGAAGAAAGCGTGCAATAAAAAGTTGACGGCGAAGGTCGTACACACACACACACCCGCACTTGAGGCCAGGCCAGACAAATGTATATAGATACAAAACTCATGCAAGATGTCGGAGAGCTGAGCTCAGCATTTGGGCAGCCTGGCAAATTCGTGCTCTCTCTCTCCCACGCTCTCTCTCTCGCTCTCTCTCTGTCTCCCGCCAGGCATGTCGATACAATTATTTAGCATATTTTCAATCAGCACATACACATACACACACACACACTCACACACACACACACACTCTGATCAAAAATGGTGTGAATGTGAATCATGAAACGGCGGCGCCAAAGCAGCTCCAACAACAATAACAATAACAATAAGCATCGAATTGTTGTTAAATTGTTCCGAGAAAATTGTAGCGTGTGTTCAAAAACTGTTTTAATAACGCGCTTTAATGTTACAACAACAACAACAACCACAACAACAAAAAGAAGAAGAAAAAACAACAAACTTATGCAAATGCTGTCATGATTATTTGCAATGCCTGTGTATTTGTACTGAAAAGCTCTGAATTGTGCTGTGTTCAAGCGTCATTGTTATTACCAAGAATTTTCGTATTACAGCACTTAAGAAACAGCTTGCTTTTTACTGAGCGATTTGTCAATAGCTGCTTATGAAAGCTGCTAAACATTTGCTTTTCATAAATCACAAACATCTCAAATGAGAAAAAATTGTACACTTAACGAAAACCATTCTTTTACACATTTTTATATGTTTTTCTTTCATTCTTTGAATTTAGCAATAAGCCAATATATAATTTATGAAAAGATTTAACTATATTTGAAGTCTAATTTTTATGGACAAACAGAACTTAATAATGAAGTAAACATCTAAATACGATTTGGTTGATTGGATGCTTTGAAAATACTGATTCTTTACTTTATTCAGCTGAAAGAAACGTATGTTTTCATCGAACTCTCGCTCTCTCTCTCTGCTTAGCCGCTTTCTCTCTCCCTGCCCTGTAAAGGTTAAGACCAAAGCAATCTAGATTTTTAATTGCCACAGCGAGCCAACAATAAATAGAAACCGCTAATCAAACCATTTTAATCAAATATTTTTCATTTGGCTAAAATAACAAGCTGTATATAAGAAGTACAAATGTATTATACGTAGTAAACATACAGCCCTCTACACAACCCAAGATATCTCTAACTCTCTCTCTGTCTCTCTCTGTTACTGTGTCTGTTCCTTTGCATTGCACTTCAGTTCTGGTCTGTTGAGTAGTCGCTGCTGGCTTGGTTCAGGCGGTTTCTACTGATAGCAGGGCCCGCAACATGCTTATCAACGGAGAGAATGGCGCAGAGATTTGGATTTGTCGTCGTCGTCGTTGTCGTCGTGGGTCTAAGGAGAACTGCACAGAAGGGCGCTATATGTATATACTGTAATTGATAGAACACGAGAGCCCTACACAATTTCCAATTGTCCAGGAACTACATATATTTAGTTTCCTCTGATAAAAGGAAAGGACAAAAACTAATGACTCAAAAAATGATACTTTTAATATATAAAAAAAAATATAGTTTTAATTATTTACAACTAGATATCAGTTCTATTATAAATATCGATCACTATAAGTAAGATTATGTGTGTGTGTGTGTGAGTGTTGTGTGTGTGTTGTACTTTACGCTTTTGGGTTACTTCTCTTAACGGGTTTTAGTTACTTAGCTATTTTTTGTGAAGTGCTTTTGTTTTTGCTTAATTTTTTCTGCGCCTACCTGTGTATGTAAGTGTGTGTGTGTGTGTGTTTGTGTGTGCTTGCGATAAGTTTATTGATTTCGACTTGTGATAAATACAACAAATTAAAAAGTTTGCTCTCGATTTTTGTTGTTTTTCTTATTTTGTAGTTTTCACTTTTTTCGTGGCCAAAAATGAAAAAACCAAATTAAGGCGTAAAAAGCAATGAAAAAAATGCTCCAACACACGCACAAGCTCCACGCCAAGATTGGCTTATTTGTCTGTTTTTGTTGTTGTTTGCTTTGGCTTTTACCCGATGTTGTTGTTGTTGCTGTTGTCATTTTAATGGAACCGCTCAACGTGTTAGAGAAATGCGTTACGTGCCATGCATGAGCAAAGCGAACACTCAGCAAGGGGGAGAAACGCCGCTTTCTGCTAAAAAGCTCTGCACACACACACACACACACACAGACACGGTGGCATTTGCATATACAAATGGACAACAAACACACTGATTACGCACCCCTCTGGTCCACAATTTGAATTTCTCTTTGAAGGAAGACATGCTCCTTCCAGCAGCAGCAGCGCCACTGTTGTTGTTGTTTTTCTTGTGTCTTCCTCACGGCTCGCTCTCTCTCTCACACACACACACACACACACAGCCACACACGCGCAGCACTCTCTTGAACGCACTTGGCGCTCTCTGTTATTGTTGTTGTTGTTGTTAGTGTGTGTGTCCCACGCAAAAAGTGCAATTGCAAAAAGCGAACGAGAAACAGAGACAAAGACGAAGAGCCACGAAGAGACACCACGAAGCGCAATTGATAGCCGAGCACCGCCCTGCGGCTGCAAGAGCAACAACTAAGAACTTAAGGCACAAGGCGACGGCGACGTTGACGTTGACTGTGACGGCGACGGCGACGCAGACTTTGACCACGAAATTTGAGTCAACCGAACACGTTAAAAAAAAAAATCAAATAAAAAAGAGACACACTCACACAAGCCTAAAATGACGGTTTAGGCTACAAAATAATCGCACTTTAATATTGCTTTTGTTCTTTTTTCTCTTGTATTATTTACGTAATATGCACTTTAATTTTTGGCTTTGTTTTTGCTCCTATTGCATTACTTATTTATCATGGTTATGCAAAATGCAACGGCAGTAGGAGCAGGAGCAGGAGCAGGCAGAGGAGGAGGGACTTTCTTTCGGTGAGTTCAGTTTCAGTTTCAGTTCTTTGTTGCTGCAGTGCGTAGCCAGGAGCGAAATAGGTGGGGGGTTTCTGCGTTGCCCACCTGATTGGCATACGAAATGGAATGGAAATAGAGCGCGGTTAACTTTTGACAATCCCGCTTTTGGATGTTGTTATTCATCGAAACTAGTGACTACTGCCGATTGCCGACTGGCGACGGCGGCGGCGAATCGAGGCGTCGGCAGCGCTGCTGCTGCTGCCGCTGCTCCGGGTGTCAGCAGAGTCAGTCGGAGTCAACGACGTCGACACGCAAAAGACCGAAAGAAACACAGACACAACAATATGAATAGAATAAAAGTGTGTGTGTGTGTGTGCGTAGATAACAGGCAGAATTAAAGATATCGAAGTGGTGGCAAAGACGGAGCGCAACGAACGGACGGACGGAGAACGTACGCACACACAAAGAATACAACACAGGGTGGAGGGTATATGTGTGTGCGTGTGGGGGGAGGGGGGAGTGGGAGTAAAACGACGCCGGGAGGGGCAACTGTTGAATGCTATCCGAATTTGTATATTTGCCTAAAATGAACGAACTAGTTCCGTACCGTATGAACCGTAAGAAATCTGAAGAAATAACTAGATTGAGATTACGGAGCAGTCAAAGCAGTCCTTTAACAAAGATACGCTAAAAATAGGTACACGGAATCAATTGAAAATTACAATTTCAAGAACCTACAATTGTTGAAATTTCAATTTTTTGAATAAATCATGAAATAGTAAAACGGTTCGAATTAGTTGAATCCATCCGGAGTCGCAAGCTTTAAATGGATCTTAGCTCATATTTTAGCTGCTTCAATATACCACAATTATTCCAAAGAACTAGTTCGAAATGACTGCAAAACAGTTTTCAACTGCACTTTTCTCGAATGATTCGCAATTTTATTTTCTCACATGAAACTCTTAAAACAAAATAAAATAAACAATAATCATGGCAATTTTTCAATATTTACAGGGGCTTTCGTGGCCGTGACTGCTTAATCAAATAAACGATGACGCCGATGTCGACGTCGACGCAGAAGCAGAGGCAGAGGCAGCTGCTCTAGCTGATAATCGCCAGTGATAAGGGCAGCCAATGGGGTAGGCAACGTTTTGTGTGATGCCTGTGCCGTTGTCTGTTTGCGTACGCCCCCCTTTTTTGAAATGCTGCACGCCTGCTATAAGTGCTAACGGTTAGCGCAATCAGTGGCAGCAGCAAAACGCAAAACTTCTTGCAGCATAACAAATGATAATGATAACAACGGGCAATAAATACTTAAAGACTTATTTGAATCAAAGGGAACAAAATACTTACAAAGTCTTTGTCGACGACGCCAGCATTCGCAGTCGACGTCGCACCAGTTGAACCATTGGCAGCGACGCAGCTGCTGCTGCTGGTGGTGGGCGATTGTTGTTGCTGTGTTGCATGATGGGATGCTGCCGGACTGTTGGTGGCTGCCTCGAACAGTGTTGTCGGATCGCCGCCAGATTCGCGATATTTCTCCACATCGGATAGCAAACGTTCCAGATATTCAACATACAATGTCTCCTGTTCGAGCTCTTTACTCAATTCACCAATTTTGAGCTTATGTCGCTCGAGACTGGCGCGCACATCCTGCTCCCAGGCGTCGGAGAGTGAGCTTTGTGGAAAGCGCTGCATCCACAAGCGTTGAAAGTCATCAAAGACGCTCATTGCAGCAGCAGCGACGCCAGCAGCAGCCGCTGCAGCACACTAGCTACTCTCACACCTTTATATTTCTATATTCTTGTTACGTTGTTGCTGCTGCTGCTGCTGCTGCTACGTCGCTGGGTTGTTTCACTGAGAGCGAAAGCTTTGAGTACGGCTTCGATTTGAGCTTTTATGCAAGTGCGTTTGTTATGCGTTGCGTCGCCCTGGGCTGCCTGCAAAGGTGTGTGTGCGTGTGAGTAAGACAGCAGTGAGTCTCTGAGTCTCTGTGTTTGTTTGTCTGTCTGTGTGTGTGTGTGTGTGTGTGTGTGTGCGTGCATGCAGGAGAGCAAATGCTGTCTACATCCTGGATCAACAACAATAACAACAAGCAAAAAAAAGAAGAAAAAACTCAATGAACAACAAGAGTAGCAACATTGAGCGCATCACGGACTTTTGAAAGGTTTTCAGTTTCAGTTTTCTGTTTCTGTTTTGTTCTTATGCTTTGCGTTGCTGCACTTGTGTTGCAGTAGCATGTGTGTGTGTGTGTGTGAATTGGTACTGCGCTGCCCTTTCTCATTCGTTGCGAGTGTGCTTGTGTGTGCATGGGTGCAACTGCAACGAGAGATGCTTTTTGTTTTTTCTTCTTTTCTTTTTCAAATTATTTTGGTTTTAGTCTTAGCCAAGGCCAAAAAAATTGTTGGTGCATCTCCAGCAGCAGCAACAGACGCAGCAGACGCATTCATTTTGTTCAGTTTTCACTCATACACACACACATACATGCAGTTTGAGTGGCAGTGCCGCTCCTGCTGTTGTTTTTGTTGTTGCTGTGTTGTGACTGCGACTGCGACCCTGCCCATGCCACAAGCGCACTTACATATGCAGATCCTTTTTGAGGGTCGACCGACGCGCGGTTTTATATTTATTTAGTTTTGTATGCCATTTCACTTTATATATTATTTAATTCCAATTAGATTTTGCTTCGCATAAAAAAAATCACTTCGCACACATATACATCCGACAACACATACGAGCAGATGAGAAGACATTTGCATATACATATGTATGCACTTGTATTAGGGATGTTAAAAGTTCATCGATGTCTCCATTATATCGATAAGTACGCGCGAGGCTTTATATAATTTTCCGACAGCCATTTAAACACTATCGATATTTATATCTATCGAGTACATTATTTCAGATTAGCTGAAATAGAGGGTCACAATAATGGTATGTTTACTTATAACTGAATTTGATCATAACAAAAGTGTTTTGTAAAATCAGTACAATTATAGCAGAATAAATTAATAGAATAAATGCTTTTTTAGTTAACTAACACTCTAGTTCTCAACGGTAAAAGTTTTGGGTTGTTTATTTTCGGTAGTTTGACAGCACTGCTATAACGGAATTGTTAGAGAATTTTGAAAAAAAAGTAAATAATTCATTAAGAACATTGTCTGACTCCATATAACTAGTTACTTGTGCTAAGCAAAATTAATTTGAAGATAATGTCCATATATTAAAAAGTTTATATACCTATTAAGTTGGTTAACTGATCTATAGTATCGATTCCTATCATTCATTACAGATCGGCACATCAGCCACACGTACAGTGTTAGCAAACGGTGTTCTTTTGATGTTGAGCCATACCCGCTAAATTTCAAATCAACGGGTTTCCCAGAAAACATACAAATTAAAACACCTGGCAACAATTTTAAAAATAAGTTTTTGCGATAGATAATGTTCGGCTGACGTTTAGCCATGTACGCTACGTACGTGTCGATCAAACTGGCACCTTTGTCCAATAATTTTATCACAATCAAAAATGACTGAGCTAAATATTTAGTCTAAAAATAAAAAGTTTACTAATTAATTTGCGACACCACCTACTTTAATAAAATAACAAGAAAAAGCCCAACAAATGCAAATTAAAAAAATATGAAGATTATTTGCAGAGCTGAATTGTAATACTAATGGAATGTTGGTATTATTTATTATTTAAGCTTCTGCGAGGTGATTAATGCATCATTTCAATTACCATTTACAATTCGACTCTAACTTATTAGCGATTGACGCCATTATCAGCGAACAGATAATACCTATACGTACTTATAATCAAAAGTCTTTTGCATTTGATTACAAATACACCACAAATATCCGCGTATTACGCATTTGTCGGCCAAACACCTTTTATCATTGGGCCCCGAACAAAACTCGTCAACAGGTAAAAACTTTCTTAGCTAAAGCTGAAATGCTAATAGCTATATAGCCTACAAACAGACCATGGTTAATATCAAAAAAATATTTCTTATCTTCAATGGTCTTATCCGGTTAAGTTGGAGTTTTTTTGCTCGGATATTAAAGTGGATTTTGTTAAATGTTTTATGGTTAAACGGCGTATAAAAGCAGCTACTGTTGGTCAAATTCTTCACATACGAATAGTAAACGGATCGCGTTGCAAACGCATAACTTAATTTATTTTTTTCACCTAATTTAAGCGATAACTTTTAAGGATATACTGTAAACATAACCCAAAATGTCGTAAGTGAAAATTAAAATGCTCAAATATGAATCGGTTTCCCAAACGCAAAAGATATGTGATGGAATTTCGAAAATTTCCTTTAACACAGAAGATAAAACTGTGATCAAAATCTAAGTTATAAAAAAAAGCTAATCTCTGTTTCCTCAAGGATAGAAAAAGCTTCGTACCTTATCGTGTTAAGTTTTGTAGTGAAAATTTAAGAAAATGTTCTATTATACTTTTTTTTAAATCGAAAAAACAGTTGCTAAATTTGCAAATTTTAAATAAAATGTGTGATGATGTGTTCTTTTCTAATCTATATTAAACCCATCAAACTTATCTTAGTCATACGATATACATGTATATATTTATGTATCTCTCTTTCCCTCCGTCCCGAACAGTTGCTGCAAGAAATATGCAGTCGTTTGGATCCTTCTCATTCTGGCCGCTGTGGGGATTACTTTGGGCCTGATCTTTGGCTTGGCTAGGGGGAATGAACGTCGTCGCATTGGAGCCGTGGCCTCTAATGGCGTCGGGTGTGCAGAGATTGGTGGACATATATTAGATGAGGGAGGATCTGCTGCGGACGCGGCGATTGCGACAATGCTCTGCGAGGGCGTTGTCCTGCCCCATAGCTTGGGCGTTGGCGGTGGCTTCATGGCCACCATTTACTCCAAGGAGACGGGCCAGATGGAGTCGCTGATTGCACGTGAAACAGCTCCAGCGGCGGCCACACAGGACATGTTTGTGGACCATGATCATATCACGGGCGCCCTGTCCTGTGCTGTACCCAGTGAGATTTATGGCTATTGGCGATTGCACGAAAAATATGGCAAGCTGCCCTGGTCACGCCTCTTTCGGCCCACCATAGAGATGTGTCGTCGGGGAATATTAGTGTCTAGATATTTAGCAAATGTCCTGGCCAACAATGAGGAGGCTATACGCAATGAGGACTCCATGTCAGAGATATTCATAAATCCCGCCACGAACAATCCCTACAAGCAGGGCGAGATCATGTACCGTCGCGTTCTCGCCGATACACTAGAGATTGTCGCCAGCGAGGGGCCGGAGGTAATCTATCGGGGCGGACGAATTGGCCGCAAGCTCGTCCAGGATATTAAGTCGTTGGGTGGCATTGTGACCGAACAGGATCTGAAGGATTACGAGTAAGTCAGCAAACACGTATTTCCATATACTTCTTCAAGCTTGATGTTGATCTTCGTTAGAACTAACATCAAATACTTGCAGAAAAAAAAACTAATTTTGTTTAAAAAAACAAAAAAAAAACGTATTCTTTGCTAACGGTCAACAATATTTTAACTAGTTCTTTCTTTGCAAATGGTGAAGTGATATATTTTTAGAAGTTATACAACTTTTCCTCTCATGGATTGCATCTTGATCAGCATTACTGAAGTGTTTTACTACTCTCTTTAACTCATACTCACTTTTTCTCTCTATCTCTCTCTCTCTCTCGTTTTGTCTCTCTCTTTGATTAAAGTGTGCGTTGGGAGCGTACGCTGCGTGCTCGATTTGATAATGGACACACACTGTACACATCGCCGTTGCCAAGCAGTGGAGCAGTGCTGACATTTATGCTGAACGTAATGGAACCCTTATATACGAGCAGCAGGGATAAATATTATCATCGACTGATGGAGACGTTTAAGCATGCGTATGGACATCGAACCAATTTGGGTGACATGCACTATGAGCCGTCGGTGATGGAAACCTATGAGAATTTGATCGATCCAGATTTTGCGGCAGAGATACGTAAACTTATACTGGATGATCGCACGTTCGAGGATATGTCGTATTATGGCGCGAATTTCAGCAATGTTGAGGATCATGGCACGGCGCATATCTCAGTGCTGGCGCCCAATGGTGATGCCATCTCGGTGACCAGCACTATTAACGGGCATCTGGGGGCGAAGGTGAGATCTCGCCAGACTGGCATCATATTGAACGATGAGATGGATGATTTCTCCACGCCGGGAAAGGTTAATGCTTATGGCATACCGGCCAGTCCGGCCAATTACATTCAACCCGGCAAGCGTCCGATGTCTTCGACATGTCCGAGCATCATTCTCGATGATGCGGGCAATGTGGCCTTGGTTATCGGCGGTGCTGGTGGCTCACGTATCACCACATCCGTGGCGCAAACCATTCTACGGTATTTCGTGCTTCGCGAACCCATTCAGGAGGCTGTCAATGGTGGGCGTTTGCACCATCAGTTGGCCCCGATGTATGTTGACTCGGAGCCGGAGGTGCCAAACCATACGATCAACTATCTTGAGAGCGTTGGCCACAGGGTCGAATTTCTGCAGAAGAACAGGGCACACTCGGCTCTAACGGCCATTGGGTATATGGATACGGAACCGCAACCTGTCTGCGATCATCGACGCATCGGTAGCGCGGTTGTTGTAGAGCTAACCGACGACTAACTAATGTTGTTTCTCAATATTGTTATATTCAAAAAGAAATCTATATCTTATAATCTTTGAGATCGTTATTCAAAATTGAAATTTTTATGGATGATTCCGTTAGTGTTCCGCTCATTTTGAAGCATTTGCCTTCTTGACACAATTCCAAATATTTCCCATATCAAAAATTTGCTTGCATGAAACTATATATTTTTTATAATATATTTTTTAAGATGACAAACCGCCAAACTATAAATTTCACTTGTAGCGCACGGCTGATAAGGATATCAACAATAAAAAAAAATAAAATAAATACCGATCTTCTGATTTCTTGAGAAAATCTTTTTCCATATCTGTGAGATGATTTTGTAATTAAGTCTCCTGGCTCTTTGTGCTTTTAGATTTTGTCGTATTATCCCCGCCGTATTTGCAGATACGATCGAGATAATAAAAAAGAACAAGAAATAATTACAAAGTCGATGATATAATTAAAGATTTAATATCGCCATTGACATATTGAATTGATAAATTTTCATAATTGCATACACCTATACAATTATATATATACATATTGATATATACAAATGTTATTGACATTTGGTTTCGTACCGACACTTTTACTTAAAATAGGGGCCAATTTTTGCTTTCGAAATAGGAACAGTTTGGAGAATATTTGTATCTAGATGCCGATTCGACTAGGCTGTATAATCTTAACACAGTTGAGATTGTAAACGTATGATTATTTCAAACGGGTAGCAAAAATATGAATATGCTTATACCATATATAGGCTTGGTCTTTTACAAAATCTTGGAGACGAATTAAAGTATCAAAAATAAGTAAATCAAACAAAAGTTTTTTAGTAAATTTTCTGCCAAGTTTGGTAACTGTGACATGAGACGTGCCTGAACAAACTTAAAGAGAATGTTTCTAGTAATATGCCTTCCGATTTCCTAGCTATCTAGCACTCCGATTTCCTAGCGACGTAGCACTCTAGTAACTTCGGTATTAAAATATAAAAATTACCTTCGGTATCGAAGTATAGAAACAACAACACTATTCTGGTATGTAACAAACTAATAAATAGCAGCGCCAGAAACATAAACAAACACATGTTGGCTAAGCTTGGAATTAATTTCGATTTCTCAGATTCTCTCTGGAGAAGAAAAAAAGTTTAAAAAACATATGGCGCTGCCTCAATAATCGGAGATGTGTGAAAAATAACGAGGTGGTTGCAAACACACAACGATGGTTGGCTTAGACTATTGATTTAGTCGCCGATTCGAGCGGATCGCTTTTTAAACAATTTACGCTTTTTATGCATCGCTTCCATGCGCATATCCTCCAAATCCTCTTGTATACCTACAAAAAAGAGAGTGCCGTTTAGATCTCTGGAAAATTGAATGGTTGATTGTGTTTGAGGCTTACCTATTTTTTTACTAATATATTCTTCGCGTTGCGTTTGAGCGAAACTGGATTCCATATCAGAATCGCCCTCGTCGAGATCTCGATACCGTCGCTTATCATAGCCAAATATGTCTCGTATATGCGATGAAATATCCTCCTCGCAGTCTCCATCATCGATGAAGTCATCCAGCGCTGAGTCATACTCGGAATCATCATCATAAATGCGTCCTGATTAAACAAAATTTGGATATCTTGAGTGAATGTGCCCGATTATACAGACATTATTGAATAACCTTAGACGGCTCCTTAAGTAATAAGTAATTGTCTAATACTAATTGTAAATTGCGTTAAATAAGTATTTGAGTGGGAGTTAAGAAGCAGTCAACGACTGCTCTTAAAGTACTTGAAACTTAATTACTTAGTTAGCGTAAGTAAAATTAATATTAGTATCAATTACGTAAGCACCAAGCACACCCTTGTTAAAGTAGAGCTCTACTAATTATAAGTAATTTCAATTGTTTTCATTAAAATTATTATTTTTTTAGTATTTACAAAAAAAATAAAAATAAAATTGTTAGAAATTCAATTATCAGTCTTTACAAAGAAAACTTAAAATAATTATTATAATGGGAACTTCTAAATCTTGAGACGCGACTCACGTTTACTGGCCGGATCGATCGGCTTACGTCCTCCTCCTGGCTGCACACCACCGCCTCCTCTTCGTGCACGCGCATCGCTTGGATGCGGTTTACGGTTACGCTGCACATCCTCAGGTGGAAATGAACGCACCTTGGATGGTTCACGTGGCGGAAAATTGCGTGTGCCACCTGCTTTATTGGCAGCCTCATAGGGATTACGTGGTGCTGCTGCTTTGGAGCTGGCCGCTCCAGTTGAAGCTGTTGAAGCTGCTGCTGCCGTCGGTTTTGTTGAGCTGCTGCTGCTGGCAACTGGCGGACGTTTGATCACCGTCTGGTTGCTTCCGGGCTTTGCTGGTAGAGCACGATATTTGGAGCTGGAGGAGGTGCTCGGCGAAACACTGGACGCTGGGCGTTTGAGGTTATCACTTGTTGGCTTCGATTTGGGTTGACTAGGCAGCGCTGCTGGAGCTGAAGCCGAGCCTGGGGCTGGTGCTTTGGCGACTGCGGGTGCCTTATTTAGCTTGGGTATGCGTCCGACGGGGTCCATGCGTGGCGACTCCACTTTGGACTTGGCATCAATTTCACGCTGGCGATCGCGTTGGGCGCGCTGCTCCTTCCAGCGTTGGCGCTCCTCATGTTCCTTCTTCTCGCGTGCGGACATCAGACGTTCCGGCTCCTTTTTCTTCTCGGGCACTGCCACGGCAACCGGCTCGTTTTGCTTCTTCTCGGCTAGACGCAATAGGGCCTGAAAATCCATCGGTGGCGGTTGTGTCGCCCGCTTGGCTTTCACTTTCTTCTGTTCCTCCTCGCGCCGTTTGCGCTCCTCGTCGCGTCGCTCCGCATCCGGATCGTAGAGAGTTTTCGAGGATGTTGTGCTGTAGGCGCGAGCCACATGCGCCTCCCTATCTTTGCCTGTGCCTGAGGTGGATGCATGACTGGTGCGCTGCCGTGTGTGTGATCTGGCCTCTTCCCTTTCGCGCGTAATGGCCGCCTTGACGCGCTCTTTGGTGCTGGATAGATCGCGACCAGATTGCGGTCGACTGGGCGCAAAGCCCTTGTCCTCCTGCACATCCTTGACCTTCTCAATATATTTCTGATATAAGGCATTCGCCTCCGTTGACACATAGCCATAGTCATCCCCATCCGGCTGTTCAGTACCATCCAGCACCGTATTATCCGCACTCTTCGCATCGTCCAACACCGATTTATTCGCCGATTTTGTTACTTTTAACATTTTGCGAATCTTATTCTTGGACTTCTCATCCCGCATCGCCAGCAAATTGTTGAGTTTCTCGCGCTCCGCTCGCTTACGCTCCATCTCCTCCGCCTCCCTATTCTTGAGGAATTTTTGTATGTTGTTGGACAGTTGTTTGCTCTCCTTGGTTTCCTTTTTCGGTGGCGCATATTTGGTGCTATAGAATTTTCTCTGCTTGCAAAAGAAAACAAAGTTAAACACTTGTTGACATTGACAATATCATTCGCCCCAAATTCCCCAGCAATGCCCCCGCATCAGCGTGTTTCCACGCTCACTGCCCACTGCCTGACCCAATTGGCGATCTTCTAACGATCTGGGGATCATACAAGTGATTTAAATTCTTTTGCTTCCCATATGGTTGCAGTTCGATATTGTTTACTATCAGCCATCCACAACTTGTTGTCCAGTGGCCATCAAAAACCTGCAGCAGTAAATAAAACGTCAACCAACCTCGTCTTTAGATGCAGCATCGTTTTTCTTTTTCGCATAATGCAACAAGGCACCGAAATCCATTTTGGTTGAGAGTTTCTTTCAAATGAATAGCTTTTGTTTTACTGCACTGTTTTCTTTGCAAAATATTCAAAAATTTCCCGATTTTTCTCTTTGTTTTAGACGAAGACGTATGTTGCTGACAAAAACTATAGAAAGACTAATGTTTAGTGATGGAACACCAGTGATGATCTACTTATCGATTAACTTCTACCAAGTATTCTCAAGTAGTTCATCGCTCAAATAGAATATTTTTCACTCTATGTAGTTACAATTATTATGAGTATGATGATAAAAAAAATATTGTCGAAATTCAAATAATTTGTACAGCTTTGAAGCAATGTGGCAATGTGGCATACTATCGAAAACGCCGCTGCGATATTTGTTAAGTCATCCATACTTGGCAGTTGCTTAGTCAAACTATCGATTATTTGTTATCGAATTTCAAATATTCAAAGCAAATATCAACGATATTTTAAATATGTATTTATTTATTGTACACAGAAGAAAGAATAATTGCTATATGGAGAGATAGAAATAAAAAAAAAAACCATATGGCGAGCTGTTTATGGATGCGGAGAGTTTAAATCTCAGGATATGCGCTACCAATGAGGCTCTTGCCCCTGTAGCGCCACGAATAGGTGACAATGCCAAACTTGGTGTTACCCAGGGAGACGGGACAGGTGCGGTCCGGACGTAGCTGGAAGCAGACGGTGTATAGCGCCAGCTCCAATTCCGGTGAGGTGCCAATAAACATTGTGTCAACTGGTTTATTCAAGCCCTCATGGCTGAAACGAACCTTCAGCACTTTGCCCTTCTGCAAGAAGGGGTATAAAATAGTTTGGATGTTAGTTGATGTATGCTTGCAACTAATCCCTGATAAGATGCTGGCCACTTACCGTGCCAATGTCTTGTTCCTTCATGTAGCCCTTGTAGTCAAAGCGACCGGCTTTCTCCTCCTCGTTGACATAGACCCAGTTGTGGAAACCAATTATGGTACCGTTCTTCACCTCATGGACGAACACATGCTCGAAACCGGAGCTGCCAATCTTGCCTTGACCGCGCGAATATTGTGTAAACCACAGCTCCTTGACGAGATCTCGATGCGTCTTCGGATCGGGCGTAACCAGACCCTTCTGTTGCAGGAACAACATTGCCTGGCGCATAACACTCGTCGCCATTACGGCATCCAGGAACTCATTCTCCTCCTTACGCTCGTTGGCCGTCACATGCTCATTGACCAGTGTATCCTGCTCGTAGTTGTTGAACAGCAAAAGCATCTTGGCAATCGTCAACGGTTCCAAAGCCTTCGCATCGACGGTCAGCAATCTATCAATGGAAATCATTGTTTAGCTTTCAGGATCAACGCCGAGGAACACGAAAGTCTATTAGACAATTCTTATATGTATATAGGATTATCGGTGACAAACATTTCTATTTTCAATGCTCTGTTTAAAAAATGATTGCGCCTAATAACAGATATATAAATCGGTGTAAAGTATGATAGTCAGCTAGGTTATTTCGAGCTATTCTTAATTTTTATTTTACTTACGGCTGTGGCGCTTCATCGGCGCTATCAATTGATCGAGTACGTCCTTGAAGATTCACATTGATTAGGCTTAATTGACTGTTGGTCTCCTTCGTGTAGAGCTGTTCGGTTAGCTGGCGTATCTCATCATCGCTGGCCAGCGAGTTACCTGACGAACCAAAGCCCGGACGCACTGTCGTTGAAGTCGAGCCACCCGTGTGCGGCACAAATGAGACACCCGATGAGCCACCCGATGAGCCACCCCATGAGCCACCCGATGAGCCACCCCATGAGCCACCCGATGAGCCATGAGTGGCAGCAGGTGTAGTTGCTGCTGCTGGTTTGACAGCTGGCGTTGGCAACGGAACCTGCCACGCTGATGGCGATGTGGGTGTGCGGGGTGTGGGTATGCCTATTGCACCTGGTGATTTGGGTGTCGGTAGCACCGGATAATCCTCTCCAATTGAAGGACGACGCGGCACGGGCAGCGTGGGGAACTCATCCTTGTGTTGTGGCGACAGCGGCTTCACTGTCGATGTTGTTGTTGTGCTGCCGCCAAAGCGCAAATCAACGCCACCCGGCTGCATATCGATGCGTGGTCGCTGCGTGGTTGTAGTTGTGCTGGTCGTAGTGGTAGTTGTACTGGTGGTGCTACTTGTCATAGGCGCCAAGCCAAAATTGGGTCGTGGTCCATTGTTGGCGTTTGCGCCACCGCCTGAGTAGCTCAAATCAAAGCCGCTGGGCTGAGGCTTCTGCGGTCGATACGGAGCAAATCCTGGCGGTAAATTGGCGGCGGTGGAGGCACCACCGAATTGTGGACGACCCTGTTGCCATGTTGACGTTGCCGTTGCAGTTGACGTTGATGTTGAGGCAGCAATATTATTTGTCTGATGATTACCAGGTCCTGCAACTCCTCCGACCGCTGCTGTTGCGCCTCCAGCTGCCGCTGCTGCACCTCCAGCGGATGCTGCTGCACCTCCAGCGGATACTGCTGCACCTCCAGCTGGTGCTGCTGGCCATTGCGGACCATGCAAGGCTGAGCCCGATCCACCAAAGGGTGAGGAGCTGGGCGTATCGGGACGTGGTCCCAGTGGCATTAGTGGTGCATGTGAAATAACCAATGGCGGTGGCTTTTGCGCAATTGCCGGCATCACTGGTCTAGCTGTTGTTGTCGTAGTTGTCGTGGATGTTGTTGTTGTAGTCTCAGTCTCTTTGCTGCTGCTTCCAAAGAACTTCTTGAAGCCGCCAAACCAGCCGGATTTTTTGGTCGTTGTCTCCACATCGGGCTCGGGAGTTATCTCAATTTCGCTCCTATAGCCAGCTGTTAGGCAGGTAGGTAAAAATCTGTACAATTTTTAAAAGGTAAAAAGAGTTGGTTTTGCCTACCTGTAATTTGGCTTTGTCCAGCAATAACAATAATGCAAACAAGCAACGCGTTCAATGCTAGGCACCGCATTTTGTTGCTGTTTTTTTTTACGATTTCTTTTCGATTATCACGTTTTGTTTTTGTTGCTTTAATTCGTTAACACGGCCTCCAAGAACTTGAACAACGCACAACCAACTTGTCGGAGATTCAGCGCACGACTGAGAGACCTGAGACCTGAGACAGTTCCACAGACGTCGGGCTTCATCCGCTTCATTTTTGTGTTTGTTGTTTGTGTTTGTGGTTTTTATTTTTGTTTTTATTTTTATTAATGAGCTGATGTAGTCGTATTTAGTGTGGGTTTGGCCTGCCGATCGTCGATCGCCGCTGTTGCGCTACTTTTTTGCCCATCGGGCATTTCAGCTCTGGCTATTTGTTTGGCTGTGCTGTGGTGCCTTCTCTCTCTACTCTCATTCTTATGCAATTGTATTTAACCTTTTATATATAATTAAAAGTATGATAACATTTCTTGTCTGTTACATAACATTTTCAATTTATATTTACTTTTATATTTATTTTTCTTAAAGCTTTTACAAAACTTTAAAGTACAAATTGTTATGCTTAGGTAAGTTTGTTAAACGTTTTCCATATATATTCTGTGATATTTCAAGTCATTCATTTCATTAGCGACTCTGGATTCTATTTTTAGATGTTAAGCAAGTTGCAAAGCTAGATGTGAAAACCAGTAAATCAAGTAATAAAGCAAGCCCTGATTTTAGTATATAAAATCTAGCTCAAGTAAGTCAAATGTTTTAATTGCTATTTGATTAAAATAAATTGAGAAAGTTTATAGTGAAGTCAATGTTTTGAAATGTGCCAGAGACTTAGATTAATTTGATTAGTCAAATAAAATGTGCACAGCATAATTGTAGTGGATTGAGAAGTCGTTACCGTTGAATGTCTCTTTGATTGCCGGTTACCTAAATTCATTACAGTTTGCCAAAGGGGTTCTCAGCTGTTGAGGGTTATGGTCTGCAACTGAACAACATAATTGCTCTATAATGTACAGAGATTCTCGATTGTACGATTCTGCAGCTATTTTTGCTCACTTATGTGCTTTAATTGCAACCGGAAAAAGTGGAAAAGGAAAACAAAAATATCATTTTGTACATTTGATTTGATTTGACTTACATAAAATGCTACAACATGTTGCTTTTGTTTTTGTATTTTGTGTGTGTGTTTTTTGCTGAAAGCTTACTTATTGCATCTCTTTCACACTAGCTCTCATCTATGGGAATATCTGGGGGATTGGGCGACCTAAATTCCGCTGAATTTGTCGATTCGAGTACTGAACAATTATAAATTGCACTTGTTGTTGTTGTTGTGGTTAGATGAGTCTTGTTGTAGATGTTGTTTGCATTGAGCTAATTTCTAACAAAAATAATAAAATTGAAAGCTTGAAACTGTGGAAAGCTTATCAATTTAATATACAAAAAGGTCATTGGGAAAGGTTGCACATTCAGTATTTGTGTGTACTTATATATTGTCGAGAATGTACATAAGAATTTCTTAATGAGACCTACATACATACCTATGTACCTATCTTTTATGTACACATTAAAAGAGATAATACAGCTTTCTATATAATTGAGTAATTGTGCAAAGAAATTTGTATTTACGTTTCATATCTGAATATTCTATAGTCCACTCAGTTATTTGTGTAGAGCTTTTCATAGCTAAAGGAATTTCAAATTTGTGGAAGTTTTTTCTTTAACTCTCAAATATTTGCTAATTTGCACAGTTTCAGCTATTTATTGATTATTACTTAGAAACATATTTTTCGGTGATTCATTAAGCTAGATGATAATAATAATGAAACATAATGAAAGAACTTAATAAACTACATAAAATAAAATGATCGCTTATAATCTCGGTTTTGTTTTCCTTTGTTGATGTTGCCCCACGGGCCACAGACGCAGGTCTAATCGTATATTTTGTATGCTATTTTTCGGTGGAGAGTAAATATGTGATTCAAACAAATTATTCATCTGAGTGTTTTGGAAATATATGGCATACACTCAAGCTTCTCAAGCAAGAGTCAAAATTGACTACTTTATGTATGACACCATTCAGTTATATGTGTACATCATATTTTGAGAACAAATATTAAGAAAGGGACAAGGCTCATTATTGATGATGATAACGATGATAATAATGACAATATTTATTCTTTATCTTGCTAGAGATACCTGTCCCCAAATTGCCTAATTGCCTAACTGCCTGGCTGTGCACATATTTGTGATATCCATTTAACCTTATAATTGTTACGTAATGGTTAAACGGTCAATACTATATATTAAGTATCATTTTATAAGCCAATCTTAAGTTCTATCCATTTTTTAACAATGATTTATTGAGTATTAAAATATTTATTATTTATATATTAATATCAATTATTTATTTCAAATATTCCAAAAACCACTTTAAATGGGAAAATATATCAATGATTAATTTATAATTTTTGTTGTAGGAAAATACTAATTAATGAACATTAGATTGATATCCTGTATTAAAATATGTGAGGTTTATGAAGATTAAATACGTTTTTTGGGAAAGTAATACATTCCACATGGAGTTCATAAAAGGGTTTATTTGAGAAAACTTTTGTCAGTTAAGTCTTAAAGCAAATTATCTTGTGATATAATTCAAAATTCAAAATTCAGCAACAAACAACTTGTTAATGAATAAGTTTCTGGCGTATGCTTTCATCCAGGGGCGGAATGGCTTCACGAGGTATCAGAAACGTAGACAGATTGAACAGATCGAGGAATACTTTATACCGATCGCTGAAAACGAGAAGATCAGTGATTAATGTTCGACTCGGGTAACAGGTGTGTGAGAGAAGCATAGAGAAAGAGAGAGAGTGAGAAAGAGAGAGAGCAACTTACCTGAGTGTGGAGCGTAGATATTGATAGCCGGATGAGCCGCCAGTGCCTAGCTGCTGTGATCCAATCATGCGTTGCACCATGATGACATGGTTGTCTAATAGTTAAAAGTGAATTGAATGAGTCAATGAACTCAGATGGAATGAAAGTGAGTGAAATGGGGAAATGGGGTATGCTACTCTACTTACATCGCCACTTGGTGATCAGTGAGTCAATGTCCATGAGCAGGGTCAACAGCTGATGGGGCTGACTGAACCGCGGCTCGTCGCGATAAAATGTGATCATAATGGCACCCTGGAGGGCGCCATGACTAAATCGACGATCGCCACGCTTCACCAGCGCCTCATGCAGCGCCGGGTCGAAGATGGATCTATAGACTTCGCGACGCTTCTCAATATCCATCAGTCGATAGTTCTTGGCCTGCTCCACCGGCTCCAACAGGGCACTATGCACCTGGGCGGCGAGAAACTGATCGACACTGTGCTGAAATTTCTCCCAGAAATTGAATCCATCCGCTTCCAGGCCGGGTGTCCGCTCCAGCCAACGCTGTACCAGCTCCAGCAGCGAGGGGTTATCCTCGGAGCTGCGTATCGCATTCAGAGCACGCTCATCATTCCCAAACACATCGGAGTACTTTTGATTGTACTTCACCCGCTGCTCGGTGAGCACACCCAGCTTATTCTCAATCAATCGAAACTGCAATGATTGAAAACCGGAGGCGGGCGCGAGATACTTGCGAAAGTCCATGAAATCTAGTGGCGTCATTGTCTCCAATATAGGCACCTGATCCACAAGTAACTGTGCCAAGCATGAGTACAAGTTTAGATAAAAAAAAAGAAGATTGTTTAATAAATTTTGAGCCTGTTTTCATATTAAAAAGAATTCCTCAATTTAAATATGTGTAATATTCAAACATTTTCCTCTTTTGCTGATTAAATAATACAAATCAAAATAATTGTTTAATAGAAATAGAAAATCAAAAAAAAAGATGTTTGAAGCATTAATCAATATATGTATGATTTTATTTTATATTTGATATATTATATTTCTACAGAACATTCGAATGGAATGATATCATATGTGAAAAGGGCAGACAGATAGCATTTAGAAAGGTTACAGGTCAGAGTGAGTTTTTTTTAGATTGGACAGTAAACGCACAAAACCAAAGAGAAAAATATTTATAGATTTACAATAGAACAGTGAGTTTACATAAGAGTGAAAACAGTTTACAAGTTATCTCTCCTAAAGTCTTTCTGACTGTCCAGGTACTCATATGTAAAGCCTAAGCATTTAATGCTTATTTGCCTTGTTGATTGCAACATAAGAATCTTATGAAATGTCATTGAGTATCTTAGGTTCTTTTGGGCTTTTGGGCTTACCTTAAGTATGAGAACAACGCGATTTAAACGCTTGACAATTTCCAGTGTTTTTGTCTCATCGATGACCTCCGCATCGAGCATGTCGCGTATGGAGTCGAATTCAAAGATGATTTGCTTAAACCACAGCTCATAAGCTGCGGATAGAGAGACACTTTAGTAGGTGTTAGGCTAGAGATAGAGGGGCGGGCGTGACTGGTTTAACATACCCTGGTGCGTTATGATAAACAGATGCTCATCATGCACCGGTCTCTTATCCTCCATGGAGAGCATACATTGTGCATCGAGCAGTTTGTCCAGCATCAGATATTCACCGTAGATTTTGCCCACATCGTTGGACAGCGGAACGGCGGCATCATCGTGTTCATTGCTGTGGTTGGCAAGTATTGTTGCAAGTATGGTTTGCGTGTGGTTGCTTGGGATGCTTACCTGTTGCCAGCATAAGGACAGCTCATGATTTGAATTTGATTTGCAAGCGTTATATAAATTTAATGTGACTCGAATCAAGTGAAGCGTCGTACTAAATCACAAAACACAAACAAACAAAACAAAACCAACCGGGCCAAAGCCGAGCAAGTTGACAGTTCCAAGTGATTGCACAGCAGCCAACTCTCTCTCTCTCTCTCTCTCTCTCTCCCTCTCTATCTATCTCTCGCTTAATTTAGAGATTTTGTTATGATACCCTGTTACTGGATGACAAAAGAGTAACATGAAGTTGTGCAAATAAGACATTTGCATACATATTCTTAGCTACATGCATTCTTCATCAGCATTCACAATACTCTAGCCATGTCTCCGTAACTGAACATAAATTTGAAGTTTGAATTGTTAGGGTATCACAAAGTTAGACATTCTCACAGTTGTTGTTTCTGGTTTCTTATCTCTTTGCGACGGTGTCACGACTTCAAGTGCCGTTGGACGCGTTATCGACGAAGGGCTTGTTGTGGTCCCCCAATCACCACCTAAGATCAGTGTAAATTACCACCGCCCCCTCTCCTTATTGGTTGATATTATATTTAAATAAATCTCAAAAATATAAAAAACAACCGTTTTTTGTTAGCTTTTTCATATAATTGTTTTTCGTTTAAAATTTATTTTTGAGTCATTGGCTCAGTCATATTTTTAAATTTGTTATATAACTTGTTAATTTAATCTTACCGTCTTCATCGGCTTTTGCCACCTTACTCTTCTTCTTTGTTGTTTGATCTATAGTTTGTTTCTTTCTTTTTCCCATAATTGTATATACTATATATATATATACACATATATATATATATATATATAGATTTTTGTTGTTGCTTATTTCATAAATGAATACACATTTTCACATTTTTGTGTGTGCTTTTCATTTGTTGTCTACATTTTTTTTTGTTTTGTTTGTTCTTGTTGTTGTTGTTCTTGCTTGTTTTCTATGTTGCATGCCACAAAAAAATCATCATAACCATTTAATAGAATAGTGTATATATATATATGTATATTTTTTCTTCATATAAATACACATATGTATATTTGTTTATATATATAATATACATACATATATTTTATATAATTTGTCAACTACATTTTGCATAGAAAAAAATTAGTTATAGCTGATATTTATCATCCAGACGAGTAAAAAAACACAAATTTTGAAAGTGTTGATTTGTTTTTGTTTTGTTTTGTTTTTTTTTTTCATTTTGAAATTCTTACGTTTCTGCACTGTTCTTTCTTTCTTATATATTGTTCATTTATGTATTACATAAATATCTAATGGATATATATATATATATATATATTTATACATTATATATATATATATATATTTATATGCAAATCGCGCGGCTTTGTCAATTCAATAATATATGTTTTTTTTATTTTCTGGGCGGGACTAATTAAAATAAATTTTTGGGGATTTTTGGTAATATTTTATCGTGCGCCTAAAAATGCGCTTTGGTTTATTTTGTTAAATTTAAAAACCATGCATACAGACATAAGTATGTATGCATAGCTATACTATATGCACATGTAATTATGTATAAATAGTTATTGATTCATGATTAGTTTTATATATCTAAGTTCGTTTTGCGCACTTTCTCTATAAACTATAGAACTATATACGTATTATATGTATCTGCAGCGCTATCTAAATCGGCTCACTTTTATGCGTTTTTCTTCTTGTTGTTTTTGTTGTTGTTCTTATTATTTTATTTCATAATATGTGTATTTATACATATGTATAAACTGAGTATATATAAACTTAATATGTGAATTAAAAAAAAAATTATACTTGCTTTAGACTCGTTCTTGTTTTTGCGTATTATATTAATCCATCTGCGAATATCATATATAGTATATATATACATATATATATATATATATATATATATGTATTGTAAATACTTATTAGGTATTGTATGTACTTTTCAATTTTAATTTATTATATATATATGTATATACATATATAGTTTTTATATGATTTTAAATTTCTTTATTTACCTGTTTCAAGTTCAAGTTTCTTAAGAAGCTTTTTCTTTGCGTGCAACTTTTGGCACTGTTACTTAGATGTTAGATGATTTACGGATGATACAATAGATACGATAGATATACATATGCATTAGATACATACACATACACATGCACATGCACATGCACATGCACACACATACGTATTCATGAAACCCAAACAAACTGCAGCTCACAAAACATGTAATATGCACATACATACATTGAAGCTGGGCTCTGGTACCGAAAAAATACCACCCAAGTATATATGCATATTATAAATGTAGCGAATTAAAGTCGTATTTAAATAATAAATCAAACAATTAAAACTCATATTTTGAAGCGCTGGATTCGGCAAGCCGAAGTCTAAACACCCTTGCAGACTTGAAAATATAAACGAAAAATGTAAAAAATAAATAAATAACTTATGTGGCTATATTGATCATCTCTGGCATAGTTATATTTCTTCAACACATATGGCTTTATCTTAAAAACACTCGTTTTTCGTTGTTTCTGTTACACATTTTACGTTACACTATATAATTCAATAACTGTAAGTTAATATCGCATCGAAGCAGACAGATTATTCTGGATACATAAATTATACAAAAATATTTTTAAAAAATAAATAAAAAATACCCTCTGCAGGGGCATTAAAAGTATATCGCATATTTATTATACAGTAAAAAAAATACATAATTAAAAAAAGAATATATATATTTAAAATATAATGATATAATCAAATAATATCTAAACGCTTAAGTATACTCGCTAGTTATAAAGTATTTCTCTTTCAATTTCATATATGATATTAAATAACGCGAGAAAAAAATACATTTAGTTTTTATAGTTTTGTTTTGGTTTTGCTTATGATTAAATTTTTTGAGTTTTTTGGTTTTGATTTTTGTTCTAGGTTTGCGCCAAATGCGTGTGAGAGAGACCGCTATAGCAACAAATTGCACTACACTCAAATATATATGCACATATATAGTACATATGCATACATATATGATATATATATTATATATATATATATATATTTAATTTAATATAATAATGTAATACAATTTAATTTATATATATTTTTACTTAAAATCAAATGCAATTCTTTTCATTGAGCAAACACGTTCGATAATGCGAATAAACTAAGCGATCAAAAGTAAACAAATTAATTATTTTGGTATTGTTATTTGTTAATTTTGTTTCTTTTTTTGTGTTTTATTTTTGTTACATTTCTAGCACCCAGCATGTAATAAATAAATTCATAGACTTAATTCATTTGGTTTCTCTTTTCACGTTTGGTTGATGCATTTTTAAATAAACTTTAAAGCAACATTTAACGTAATTTCTCTCAATTTTTTTAATTGAATTAAATATAATTTTTGTTCATTTTGTTTTGAGTCATTTATCATATAATTTGAATATTTTTTGTTTTATTTCATATGGAATTGTTTGCAATTGTCTTAACTTGAATTTTACATGCACAAATACTGCTGCAAATAGTCTGAGGGGGAAGAGTTCAAGAGGCTATAGACCAACTTATACACACACACACATACACGCACACACATGCACACACATACACACACACACACACATACACACATACACATACATGCCTAAAGAAAGAGAGAAGAAAGGGATCGCTAGAGGGGGTTGTGAAAGTGGGAGGGAGCAACTCAAACACTCGCTAGAATCAACGCGAAATTGGTTTCAACTTTTAACTCAATTGGATGCAAACTTAAGCAACACTTTTCTTAACTCATTTGTACACTCAGAAAAAAAGCACAATGAGAATTTACTACTCAAGTCAAGTACAAACGTTGTCAAAATGCGACCAAGGCCAAAAATTCAACTCTTATTTCAAGAACGTTTTTTGTGATTCTCCAAAAATGTCTAAGTGTGTTTTTTTTAGAATAGTTTAAGCTTGATTTGATTACTTGAAATATGATATTTAGTTCTTATTTGAAGTACTCAAGTTCTTTACTTAATCCTGATATCGGTAAGATACTATTAAATCAGGTTGAATCGACAATTGAAATACTTAAATTTAGAGTTGCAACCTTTTAGTCGTTCTTAAAGCTCAAACAAAAATTGAAAAGCGTTTTTTGTCCTTGACTTAAGTTGTTCTGTTTCTATATATGAATCAATTCGATTATACATTCTTTTCTTAAGAATAATTAGAAACAAATTCGACTTGAAATTTCCAGAACAAAATAGGAAAGGGATTCTAGCCCGGCTATACTTGAATTTAGAGCAGTATTTTTCTCTGAGTGTATACTTTGGGCTGTCTGGTTTTTGGCTTATGAGTTTTTGGGGCGTGGCTTGAAGTTTCGCTCATCTGTTGCCGGTGGCGCCACCGCCGCCCAAATGAACTGAAGTCGCTGACAACTCGACGCGTTGACACTGGCGGCGCTCGACAATGACCGCCGCTGGCAGCGACTATTCCAGCCCGGGTCATACATTCATTGCATAATAAACGGATCCTTGAGCCGCAGCAGCAGCTGCTGCTCCAACCTGTTGCTGTTGCTGCTGCTGCTGTTGCTGTTGTTGCTGCTGTTGCTGTTGTTGCTGTTGTTGCTGCTGCTGTTGCTGCTGTTGCTGTTGTTGGGCGATGTTGCTGGGTGAGACCATGGCATTGCAATCGCTATGCGAAACAGCTGCTGCGCCCTCGGGCACGCCCCTCTCACTAAAGCCTGGCATACCGCCCTCTGCCCCATATTGATAGTGTTGCGACAACAGACGTTGTTGTTGTTGTTGTTGTTGCTGTTGTTGATGTTGCTGATGTTGGTGTTGCTGGTGTTGTTGCTGCTGCTGCTGCTGCTGTTGCTGCTGAGCTGCTGTGTGCGGATGTTGTCCATAGTGGGCGGCATGACCACGCCCACTTACCACATGCAACTGCATACCAGGCAAAGCATATCCAATCGGCACGCGAATCGTTTGCTGTGTCACCTGCAAAGTATTCAAAATTACCATTAAATGTATTTCAGAATTTCTCAACTTTTAACTGAAAGTTGGTTAAGTAATTAATTGTAAAGTTAACAATATCATATCATAAAAATTCTTTAAAAATGTATATAGGCATTTCACACATTAAAGTTAAAACAAGGAAAACAAATCAGACAAATTTTAGTCACAATTTAGTGCAAAAAGGACAAACGAAATATATTTTGTGGTTCCAAAATGTTAGCAAAATAAAATTCAATTTCGAACGTGACTAAATTAAAGTTTTGTCACATTCGCAATCGACCCGGAAAATACAAGATGAACTTGACTGAAACTTGGTTTTTGTTTGTTTACCTGGCCAATAGCTACCAATGTAATTAAAAAAAAAAACAAATCTCAGAGATTGAGGCGTGTTTTTGCTTTGGCAACAATCCAATTACGTATTTATGTAGCTACTATTGGATGCTTTGCATCCCTTTTGCCATATGCATACCTAGTCTACTTTGGTGGCTTGGATTCTAGATTATAACTTGCATCATTTTGAATTGAGGCCAAACTTGCAAATTGCTCACCTGCTGATATTCCAAAATGTTCTGTCGCTGCATGTGAGCAAGTTTTGGATCGACGCTGCTGCTGGTGGCGAATTGTGAATAGGTCTCTGCATTGTAGGGTATGAGGACCATGGTCTGATGATAGTTGCGCAGTGGCGGCGGTGACTCTGGCCGCCTTGTTGGACTCCTAGCAAAGTGGCTGCTGTAGCTGCTGCTGTTGTGCTTGCTCTGCTCGATGGCAGTCGCCGTTGCCGTTGCCGTCGCCGTTGCCGTCACACTCTGGCAATTCTGGGCAGCGGCGGCGGCATAGAGGAGCGCTGCCTCATCGGCCGAGGTGCCGCCACCCTGCTGCTGCTGGATCATCGTCTGGCGGAACATGGCGCCCGCCGGCAACGTTTGATAGTAGGTCTGCTGTATCGCTGCCGCAGCTGTTGCATCCATGGGGAAACGCTGCTGCTCACCGCTCTCGCTGTAGAAGCTCCACGTGCGCTGCTCCGTCTTCTGCTGGGCAATTGTGTTTGCCTGCAGTGCAGCTGCCATTTGTTGCTGCAATTGCGCCTGAGCCTGGGCCTGCTGCTGCTGTTGCAATTGTTGCTGCTGCTGTTGTTGTTGCTGCTGCTGTTGCTGCTGCTGCTGCTGCTGCTGCTGTTGTTGCTGCTGCTGCTGCTGTTGTGGCAAGTTTTGTGGCGAGGGATTCTGGGTGAGCTGCTTGGTGTAGCATTTAATGGCCTGCGGAACCGGTTGACTGCTGATCACCGTTGTGGGTATCTGTTGTGTGAGCTGCTCCTGCATCTGTGCCAGAATCTCATTGGTAGAGCTAAACTTGGGCTTGATTCCACGCACAGATGGACGCTTATTGAAGCCATAATCATTCTGCTCGTCATCATCGCTGCTCGCCTGGCTGGCGCTCTCGATGCCCGTATAGCGTTTCTTCAGCTGCTCGGTGCGCTTCGCCTCCGCCTGGGCAAAGGCGGCCAGTTCGTCCTGTTGCGTCGTCTCTTGACCGGGCGTCCCGGCAATCACATCCGGTGCCACCTTGCGCGCCTCATCGCCACCACCACCAATGCCACCACCCAAGGCCAGGCCCTGAGCCATTGCTGCCACAGCTGCCTGCTGTGCTGCGGCTCCTCCCTCGCCCGCTGCGGCACCCAGCAACTGACTCATATTAAAGTCGGCGGCAGCAGCAGCAGCGGCAGCAGATGCATAATGATGCGCATGATGCGCATGCGTCCCGTGTCCATGCTGGTGAGCTGCTGCGGCGGCGGCCAGCGTATAATATGAGGACAGATCATCCTTGTTGCCAGCGACGCAGGCGGTGAGCGGTGCCAGTGTCGACAGGAACTGACGCTTCGGTTCGTTCTGGCGCGGCGGTGTCCGATGGATTTGCGTATGCACCACTGGTACCTGTATGCCCATGCCCAAATCCGGTGCGGCGGGACAACGACACTCCTGAAACCCCAACGAAACAAGACAGTTATTAATATGGCTACCATAAAATGGGTCTATTTAAATATATAAAAAATACAATTTTTATTTCTATAATTGTTGTTTTCCTTTTGAAAGGAAATCTTGCGAGCAAGATGTATGTGTGCCCACCTGCGGTATGATGACAATGGGATTCTCTTCGAGCTCCATGATCTTCTCCTGCTTCTTGTCGCGACTGAAGATGTCGGCGATTTTCTTGTACGCCGACGAGCCGCTGGACGAGCTGGAAACGGAGCTGCTGGGCGAGAAGCTCTTCTCGCCATTCATAAACTTGGGCGCCAGCGTATTGGGATTCTCCTCGCCGGCAGGACTATCGCGCTGCGCCAGCTCAGAGCAATCGCGTTCGCTGGCCTGATCCTGATCCTGATCAGAATCACCAACGCTGCGTGCCAGCGACAGCTCCTCGGCGAGATCCTCATCAATGTCGCAGGTGAGCTGCTTGATGCGCTCCTCCAGCGATATATCTGACTTGACGGCCTTTTTTCTGCAAAAAAAAAAACAAAATCAAAAAGAAAATCAAAATTGGTAGATATTAAATACTTTGTTCAAAGTTAAGCGCTTTCAAGTCGAGCAATTGATCTGAACCAATACCGGTTCAAGGATTCTCATTTGCTTTGAGTAAAGATAGATTCCAAAGTGGAATGTCAGAAGTCAGCACTTACTTGATGAGGGAACGCCTGAGTATGTTGCGCTCCATGCTGCGTCGCAAGGTGTCCGAGTCGCCACAGCTGCCAGGCAAATGGGTAACAAGGCATCCGGCACGCTTCGATTCATCGAAGGCCCGCAACGCCTCCGAGGTGAGAACGGGTGCCTGCTGCGCCGAAACGCTGGGGAAGAGTTGACGCACCGCCGAATTGGGACGCAGTGCATTGTTAAAGAGCGTCGAATGCTTCTTGATCGGTATCAGCTCATTGATCTGATTCTCGCTGTCGTCCATCTCGCCGGACAGCGACTGGCCATCGCCATCAGTGCCGGCATTCGCCTGATCCTCGGTCACAAAGCGCACCGAACGCTTCGTGGCGCCGCTCTCATCCTCTGAGGTGGTGTTGTTCTGATCATCCGATTGCTGTCAATGCATTAATAATTAAAGTTAACAAAACAAAGTTGCAAGTCTTGTTGCCGGAATTCTACCCAAATTCATCCATTCTAGATTGAAAAATCTTAACTACCAAATTTTTAAACTCAATTTAAGATGAACAGTCTTAAATCTAGAATAAATGAATTTAATGCTAGAATTCATTCGTTGCTCTTTTGAATCAATAATGCATTTTTCTTTGTGTTTCTTTCATTAAGGAGCAGTTTGAAGGAGTTGCTGCTACGCACCTGTGAAATGGAGTCCTGTTTCCAGAGTTTGCCGCCTTTCAGTATGCCGCTGATCTGTGTGGTCGTTGTCAGCTCCTTGGGCGGTATGGGCGGCGGTTTCTGCTCATCATATTGCTCTGTGGCAGCAGCGGCCGCAGCGGCGGCGGCAGCAACTGCCGCTGCCTTGGCTGGCAGCGCTGGTGGCATCATCTCAGTTGCTGGCACGGCACCAGTCGCGGCGCCAGTTGCAGTTGCTATTGGTGCTGGTGCGCCGACTGTTGCAACAATATCCTCGTGCGACTCACGGATGATGCGTCGCTCGGTCACTGTGGTCATAGTGGTAATAGTTTCAACAACAAATCGTTTTTTTTTGGCTGCGCTACTGCTGATGCTGCTGCTGGCGGCTGGCACCAGGCTGCTGCTGCTGCTGCTGCTTATATAACCGGAACCGGAAACGGCAACGGAACTAGAACTGGCCGCAGGACCAGAACCAGTTACCGTGCCAATCACCGTGCCAGTGGGCTTGCTACTGCTACTGCTTGAATCCTTTCTAACTTTGACTGTCATACACACTCAACACACGGATACGAACAAAATGTGGCATGTGGCATGTGGCACAGTCACAGTCACAGCGAGCGGCATTTGTTGAATTTTTTTATTTGTAATTGTCGTAATTGTTGCAATTGTTATACGTTAAGTCAGACAAAAGAGAGCATTGTACATTACATTTGCATTGACTGTTGTGAAAGGAGTTTGAGTAAAAAGCGAGCGAAACAAAGAGAGAGCGAGAGCGAGAGGGAAAACGAGAGCGAGAGGGAGAACGAGCGTGCGAATGATAGAGCGAGATCGAACGATTTGGTTGGGAGCCCTTATCAAGTGTGCAGTATTAATACTTAACTGATATTGATAGATTCATCAGCATTGTATAACAGTTATATGACAGCATAAGACATATGTCCAACAGTTGTATGACAATTGTATATTGTGAAAGTAGCTGTTATAAATAGAATACAACTGGCTTTTATTAGCTGTATTTGATTACTTAAACTCTTAAGTATTATGCAGATTGTTCATACAACAGTTGTTGTATTGCGTTGATTGCCTAACACAATTTCATTGTATTTGCTTGACACAGTTATGCAACTCTGTTCTAACATTTATATAATAAGTGGTAAACAGCTCCTCAAACAGAATAAGCCAGTTTTAATCGTCTAAAATTTGTAATATCCGAAGTAAATTATGGCAATGCTTTAACATTTCGTATTAGAGCAGAATACAACACAATTTATATGAATTTCATCAAAGTATTATATAACTCATATAACAGTCATATAACAGCTGCACAAATCGATGCAAATGAAATGCGAATTTTATATTTGAATGTTGCAAGTGAAATTTTCCTTCTTGACTTGAGTCTGACAATTGAAATGAATGCATAATGTACGATGCTCAGGGTTGTAATCAAAATCAAATACATATACAAAAGCATATATGTATGGGTATGCTATATATGTACATACGTGTGTAGGTGTAGATGATAGGTTCGAATAAGAATCTAAGCGAATGATGAATTTAATTTTTGCTCTTTGCTATGACCGCTTGATTGCCAGTGAGAGAGTCTCAATTCATTTGTTGTTGCTTATCGAATCGGGAGCTGGTGTTCTTTATACATATATATATATATATATACACATATATATATATATGTATATATATTTATTTTTATTTTTTTTTTTTATGCAGCTATGCATGAGATAATGTACGATATATATACAAAAGCTAATAATGACTGCATTTTGAGGGGAATATTATACATTTTTGGGGATGAATGTTTTCATTCAGTTTGGTTTATTTTGGATTTGTCTTGTTTAGTTTACCTGCAGATGGAGCAGTGGGCTTATATTGCGATTGGAGCACATATTTGGGCCGCTCCTCTCCAGCGATGATCTCCTTCTGCGTGATTCGTCGCTCCGGTGAGCTCGTGTGTAACGGTAAAATTGCTACGGCTGGCACCCCAATCGGCGTCAGCTCCTCTCCACATTGCGAGGAGCCGCACTCTGTGGCGAGAAAGAGACGGAAAGAGAGAGAGAGTGAGAAAGAGAAACTCTGAGAATGTTGGTTCGACTAGCATATTTTTGTTTGTTACTCTTGAATGATATGTGTATTTAACAAATGGAAATTAACTTTTATTTTCACTCAAAATAAAATCAAAATTAATTTAGAAAAAATATAATTGAAAATAAATGTGTGTTCTGATCTCAGTGAGTTATCGATAACAAATAAAATAAGCTTCTTCTAGAGTAAGTGATACACAAATATCTCATAGTCTCTGATTGGCTACCTCATTCAATGTCCAAAAGGGTATACACATTGAGTGATGAGTAGCATGAAAATTAAAAATGTTCGGTTATGATCAATTTAGAAAGAGCTTGTTTTGCCTGTTGCTTTTGCAGCGGAATCGCGCTTGAAGGATTACTGCTGGCAAGGCAGGGCACTGTAGAGCAGAGCAGAGCAGAGCAGAGCAGAGCAGAGCAGAGCAGAGCAGGGCAGGGCAGAGCATGGTCGGGGGTTGGGCACAATCTGAGTCGGTGGCACCCACTCCGGTCACAATAATTCCGCTTCGTTAGGCGCAACAATTAATGTGAAAAGTCAGCTCGGAAACAAGGGGCCGACATCTGTGTTTTATTATTATTTTATTTTCATTTTTTTCCCTGTTCCGTTTGCTTGTCGCCCGTCAAACAATCAAGCGTGACCGATATTAATGCAAATGTATGCCCCCACCCCCTACCCCCTATCCCCTACCTGTGGAACAGTGTCGCAAATGTGGCATGTCCTTCTGTGGAGGTTCGCAAAGCAAAAGACCAAATTGAACCACAAACAACTATAAACTACAAACTTGCGTTTGTTTACCCATTTTGTTAAGTTCCCATAAATCAATCAACACAACATTGTTTATTTTTTGGTGAACCAACTTCGACGTTTACGGCAATGCGGTTATCGTTGCTATCAAAACCGAAAACTTACGAATTTATACATGTTTTATGTTCCATAAACCCCATCTATAGCTAAAGGCCAAAGTTACCACAATGTTTGTGCCACAGCTATTGCAAAGATAGAGAAAGAGTGAAATGTTCTCAACTGAGTATTGTGCTTCAATTTGCAAGATAGTTGCTGAAACTTTGTCATTAAAAGCTAATGATTATAATCGCAACTTGCTGTTTTGCTTTCAATCGTAGGAAAAAGATTGAGCACCTTTCAGTGCAACATTAAGGCTGAAACTGTTTGTTGCCAACAGACGGATGACAGCTGTCAAACTGTATTTCATAGCTTTCACGTCATTGAAATTGATTGGCAAGCTTTCATCCTCACATCGTGAGCTGACATACTAAATGAAATTTAATTAACTATACAATTTCATAAGCCCTCTCTCTCTCTCTCTCTCTCTCTCTCTCTCTATGTCTCTCTGTCTCTTTCTCTCTCCCTTTGCACTGCGACAAAAATAAAAATGAAAATGGCGTCCAATTTACGGCCGGCACTCAATAGTCTAGACCCCATCTAGCTTATGGCTGATGACTGCCAGTGCCCTGTGCCTGGGCATAAATGTTTGCATAAATATTAACTCATAATTACATTCGACAAAGGCGAACGAAAACGTTGTGAAAAGAAAAAAAAAAACATAAATAAAAAAGAACCGGACTCTGATTCCCCACCCAAAGGGATACTCGCTAATTGCATTGCAGTTTTGTATTATGCGAGTGAAACTAAGGTCTTACACTGCAAGAAAAAAAAAGACGTAGGCCTTAAAAATGCAAATCCAATTCAAAAACCAGAAATAAATTCTGTTCTCCTTCTTTTTTTTTTTTGTACTTCAAAATAAATCATTGTCTATAAGCCGGGAAACTAGAGCAAAAGAATACAACAGAAAAAAAAAGTGGAATCCAATTCTTATTTTGCGCTTGAAGAAAACGCTACAAATCGCAATTATATTGTTGCCTTGCACTTATTCTCTTTTTCATGTGTAGGACCTGTATATGCATATATATATATATTTACATATATATACTGTATTACTGTGGAATGATGGCGCAATTTACCTGCATCCTGCAGTTGCTTTGCGGCACACTCGGCGCACTCGGCGCACTCGGTGCAAACGCCCTGCAGCTCCTCATCAGTTGGCTGTAATTGTTGTTGCTGCTGCTGCTGTTGATGTTGTTGTTGTTGGTGCTGCTGCTGCTGCTGCTGCTGCTGTTGCTGAGCACTGCCAGCGGGTGGTGGGGGTGGCGGTATTTGGGTGTTGCCATTGCCATTGCCGGTGCCATTGGAATTCCCATTCCCAGTTGCAGTGGCACTCGCATTGCCGTTACCGTTACGTGCCGCCAACATTGCCGCCCGCTGCTGCTGCAGACGCTGTATCACCTGCAACTGTTGCAGATGCTGTGCGCCAAAGATGTGGCCGCTAAGCGCACCGCCCAACGTATTCTTCAGGCTGTTGTCCTTGTAGCCATCGGGCGGACTGAGAGCCGCATCGTCCACAAACTCAATTGGCGGCTGAAATTTGGGGCTCTGTGCAAAATGCAAATGGAAAATGTTAAAAGAGTTAAAAGAGTTATGCACAACGTGAACATGACGAGATGATGGTCGCACAGAGAGACCTACTTAATTCTAGTTAACTAACTAAGTTACATAAGTACACACAAACATATATATATATATATATATATATATATATATAAGATTTAAGCTGCTGGCAGTATACACGTAATTGTGCACCCTGCCGCAAATTAAGCTAATTGAGTTTTATAGCCAGACGGAATGGGGGCGAAATTGCATGCTCTCTGCATGTGTGTGTGTGTGTGTGTGTGTGTGTGTGTGCTGGTGTGGTTGTCTGGTTTGATGAACTATGTGCTCATAAATCTGTGTTAAGTTTTCTGCCTGCTGCTCAGGCTGTGGCAACCATCTACCTAATCACAGCGCAAGATGACACTTGTGTGCGTATAACACTTGTACTTACACTCACTAATCACAGTTCACGTTGTCATCTGAGCTCTTCAATCGTTTTCTATCGTATTATGAGTACAGCTTGTACAATGGCATAGAATATCAGCTGCTTGCACTAATCGATATTTTTGATGGTGTATAACTATTTAGCAAAGAGTCAACAACTCAAATTTGCTGTTATACACCATATATATATATACAGATTATATATATATATAGATTGTGTGCACAGTGCTTAGACAATTAATTAGCCAGAAGAAAGCTTATTTACTTAATGTTGGCCGCATTGGGTGTTTGTCCCTTCATTGTTTAAACCAAGTGTGACTCGTACTCTTATAATAGTTGTATAACAGTCATGCATTGGCTTAATTGATATATAATTTGTATATCCGACGTAGAACAGTTGAAAAATCATTGAAATAGTTGTCCATCATCAAAGTATAAGAGTTAAAAGCAAAAAAAAAACGTGTTTGAACAATTATCCAGCATGAGCCAAGTAGCATTGAGCAGCATTCAATCTGCGTATAACACTCGTATAACACTCGTATTACCGTTGAACACTAGTTAATCCCATTGTTGAGGTTACGTAAGCGGGTCATTAGCGGATATGGATCAAAAGTTTTCAACACTCACACAACCACAAGCCGCAGAGAGAATCAAGGCCACCAAACATGCACATATCTGCTCATGTATTGCTCTCTCTGTGTGTGTGTGTGTGTGTGAGAGCATTCGACATCAAATTATAATTGGAAGTAAAGACAAATGTGGCCGTGTACGCGAATACAGCCATTTAAGAATGCATTTGCAATTCCAAGAAGAAGAAGCCGGCAACAAAGTCTAGGCCAAAAGTTCGCTGCGGTTTTTGCGGCAGAGGCAATCAGAGGCCAAGACTTTTGTTTTCTGCTTCTTCTTCTTCTCTTTTTTAGTTAGGGTTTTTTTTTTTTTTTTTTTGGGTAAGTTAAGTTGAAGAAGTGCCACATAAAGCAAAACTCAACACATACACATAACGCTAGGGATGTGGAGGTAGTTGGAAGTGTAGAATGACAATTGCAAATGGAAAATGGAAAATGGAAAATGCAAAAGTCGACGGCAAAACTTTTAGCATACGAAATGCCAACATTTTTCTGTAGTTTAACCAATTTTTTGTATTTATTTTTTTTTTTTGTGTCTGGGAATGCGAGGGTCGTTGGGGGGGGGGGGGGGCGAGGGGGGATGGGTTTTGGGGCAAGGTTTGAGGGATTATACAACGCGGGTTTGTAAACTTGTTACATCCACTAAATGCATATTAAACTCTTCAGAGCAAAGAGACACAGCGAGAACTATATGAGGCGTGACAGGGGGGTAGGTGGCCGACGAGTGGTTGAGGTAAAGAAGCACAAGAAGAAGAGGAGACCCGAGACTTTTGCCACATGCTTGAGCAGCGCCAAGTCAAGTGCATTGGGCAAACCACCCACTTGGCCAGGACACTCAGCCAGATAGGACGAAGACATTGGCATAGGCTATGGGCCGTGGCCTGGCGAAAGCAAAGCGGGAGTGGAGGGGGAGAGCAGGTCTGAGAGGAGCGTAGATAAGCAAAAAGCGGCGCACTCAAGTGACGCTCATGTGTCAGAAAATTGAAATTTAAACGCTGCTTGAGTGCCGCTTAGGTTCGATGCAAAGGCAAAAAGTAAGCAAAGAAAAGGGGGATTTCAAGGAGCGGGTGCCAAGAAAGCAGAGAGCCTAATGTGCATTGACACACAGATACACATACATACAGACAGGCAGACAGACAGACAGAGTCAGCAACGACTGCAACTTGGCCCATGTCCTTACACTCAGCAAAAAAGTCGCCCAATTAAAACTATAAACCTAAAACCTTAAAACTGTTTTGTGTTTAAAAAACTGAATTTAATGCAACCTTTTAGCGAATAGTAAGTGCGATATAATTGATCAGATTGAAGTGCATTTGAGTTTGCTGTGTAAAAGTTTAGTTGCCCAGTTGAAAACACAATTACTCCGATTAAGTTTCTCTTTAAGTTTTTATCTTTAAGTTTCTCTTTACAAAATTAAAGAAATTTCGCAAACTTGTTAGAAGTGTTTGAAGAAACCATAGCTAAAGTACAATTTTTCCTAACCTGATCCAATTTGGGTTTGTTACTTGCAATACATTTTTTTTCTGGGTGCAGCGACAGAGAGGGACTGAATTAAGCCGTTGCTGAAGGAGAGAGACAGAGCTAGTCGCTGTGACGGCAACTTTGCCAGTGTGTCCTTAGAATATGAAATGCGAACATCACGATAAAGGGCACACTTCAAGGCACAATTTCATAAAACAATATATCTTCTGTAAATATATATATATACGTACATAAATATATGTATGTATTTAGCACATAATACACACCCACCACACACACACACACACACACAACAACAACAATGTTGCTGCAGTTTCGGGTTGCATTTTGTGTAAAAGTTTTTAAGTGATTTATACTGCGAATGGAGCAAAGTGGTTGGCAATGGGGATGCCATAAAGTGGCTGGGGAGAGATGTGCTGGTCCAAGGAGGTTGCGTGGGTGGCAAGCAAACTACAAACTTGTAGCTGCAGCACACAATGCATACAATGTGTGGCTGACTTGCAACTGCCACTTGAAGGATGCAGCATATGCAAGAAACTGGATATAGTATCATCGAATAGTATACAAAGAGAGAGAGAGAGAGAGAGAGAGAGTGAGAGAAGCGACAAATAATAACTAATCTAAATTCAAATGTAACTATTTTGCAGTATTGTTTACAGTGTACAAAAAGTAACTTTGTTTATATATATGTCTATGTTGACACTGTTAGTCGGATAGTGGGGCAAGTTGATAAAGAAAAAAGAATGCACCTGTTAGAGCAAAGTGAGAAATGATTAAACAAAGTGTTCGCACAGCAAAGCAATGAGTGAAATAATCCATTTGATAATCGAGCTCTTTGAAGCAATTTCAAACAGAAAAATGCAATTTAATCGAGACAAAAGCAAATATTTTTGCGAAAATTCAGCTTACGAAAACGATTAAAGGAAAAATGCAAGAGAGAAAAAAAAAGCGAAAAACATAAAAGGTTCTCAATTCTACAAACATAATACAAAAATAATTGGAATGAAAAAAATATGGATATGGAAAATATCTTAAAAGCGTTGGGCAAACTACTGCAAGAAAAACAGCTAAAATGAGCATTTTTAGCTTGAAATACCGAAATAAAGTTTCAAAACATAAACAGACTGCTCAAGAATATGCAAATGGGCTCATATACATATGTATATATGTATATGTGGGTGTCCTTCAAGGCGATTAAAATGGGTCTGCTACAATTTGAGGATGGTATTCAAAAGCAAGAGCTTTAAGGACTCTGACTAATGTTATTGAATGCACATGACTAACAACCCACGTGAATGTGTCCGTGAATGTTATTTAAATCGAAGGAAATGGGCAAATGTGAGTGTCTAAAGGAAAAATGTAAATACAACAACAAGAACGCCGAGCTCAAAGGAAATTGCGAATGATGAGTCAACCGTTTGACAAATGACTGAATGGCAAATTCAATAATCAATAAAGCAAATTGGCTCTAATGATGATATAATATAATGTGACCTTAAGAATGAAAATACCAATAATAGTGTCTCAAAGCAGGCAAAATAAAACGTCAACAAAGTGAGTATGGAAGGAATTGGATTTCATCCCTTCAATTGAAATTTACTTTAATTTCAACTTATTGATTTGATAAAAAAAAAAGTCAAGTAAAGCAAAAGTTGTGTTAAATTCACAGTTCACTGAGAAAGTACAAGGAATGTCAAAGTGTTATCAAAAGCAGACAGAGAAAAGAGAGAGAGAGAGAGAGAGAGACAGAGAAGGGGAGAGAATTTATTGCCACCTGTCAGCAGTAATCAATGTTTGTAAACAAACAAATCAATGTAAAAGAAATGATGCCTGCATCTGACAGTTAAATATGAGTTGGATAATATTATCGATTCGCAAGCGTTGACAACTTTTGGCCAACATGCCAGAAGAGGCACGAGATTTTGTGGCAGCAAGCGGCTTAAGCGCCATACGAACCGTCATAACGAGTGCTAGGTGTCAACTTGGTCGAGGCAACTCTGCTGTTGCACGTGCAACGCACACCCCACACACACACACACACACAATAGCTACACTTCCAAACAAAAATTGTATGCAAATCACAGTTTATCATCGCTTGTAAATTACAAAATTGTAATTGTAGAAATGAATTGCATAACAATTAAAGCCATTTTTTTAACATTTTATTTATTTTTTTTGTTTTTCTCAAAAACACAAAGAATTTATGAAAAGAGCTGGCAATTATTTACAATTGGTCAATTTTTCAATAATCTAAGGCATACACTTGTTTCCAAGTGCAAACACACTCACACACACACACACACACTCATGTGCAGAAAGCGTGTGAGAGAAAAAGAGAGGAGAAAGAGGCTTAGGCTGCCTAAGCACTTCAGCTTTGAGCACTTGTGCAACACTCGACATAATCCGCTTAACGTGGGGAGTGCAGCAGGAAGTAAGCTCGAATCCCTCCCCCGCCCCAACCATTCATATACATATATTTGTAAAGGTATTCAACTCGTTCACTCACCTGTGGCGTTCGTCCATCCGCTGTCTCAGCGGCATTGACCGCATAGTTGCATTGGCAACCCTCTTCGCAGCAGAGGCGCACCAGCTCGTGCTCGCCACAGGTGCAGGGCTCCTCATCCTCCTCATCGTAGGCGCAATCCTCGCGTATCAATATTATATAGTCCGCCTCGAAGAACTCGTTGCGTGTCTCGTCGAAAACAACACGATTCTTGCGCACCGGCGGCGGTCGATTGGGTTTCTTGAGCAGACCGCGCAGCTGGCCGTTGACTTCACGCATTGTGAATAGTGCTTCGGTTGCCGTTGCAATTGTTGGTAATGATGTGGTGTGTGTGGTAGCGAGTGCACTCGTTATATGCTTCCTCTTGTTGCTGTTGTTGTACTCGTTGTTGTTGTTGCTGCTGCTCGTCAAATTGGTGTATTCTGCATACGCTAAGCACTCATCGCACTGGCAGTCGTTGCAATTGCTATCGCTGTACTCGCTGTCGCTTTCGTTCTCCGTCGCCGTCTCCTTCTCCTTCTCGTGCTCGTTGTCGTTGTCCTGTTGCTCGCTAACAAATTCAGCGAGTAACTCGTCGTAGCACTGAAAACCGCGTCGCTGCTTATTACCCACTGGTACTGTTGGCGTTTGACTTTGACTTTGACTATTGTGATTAATGTCGAGCAGTTGAAGCTGTCTTGCCGCTTTCAAATATTCGCCAAATCGCTGCACATCAAACTCGCTGAGTGTGGTCACAAAATTGGCGGCGTCAACCGTAGCAGCGTCTGTCAACGAATCGCTGCAATTGTTGCCACAACTGCTATCTGTCGGCACAAAAGCACTGCGTACGCCAGTTGTTGCAACGCTTGCTGTTGTTGCTGTTGCTTTTGCTGAAGCTGTTGCTGTTGCTGTTGCTTTTGCTGTAGCTGTTGCTGTTGCAATTGCTGTTGTAGTCTCGAGCACCTGCTCGCCAAGTGCTTCAATTTCAATCAGCACCTGGTCGCTGTCAATGCGACGACAACTGTCAGCGACAGCAGTTTCAATTGCGCTCACGCTCAAGCTCTCGCTCCCGCTTGCACGCTCACCGCTCACGCGCAGTGACGATAAGTCTGGCAGCTGAGTATTCAGCAATTGCTGCTGCTGCTGTCTGCTCCCAATGCTCCCACTGCTGCTGCTGGTACTGCTGCTGCTCGAACTCCTGCTCGAACTGCTGGCAATTTTATCATTTCCAATGCCTTGAATATAATTTGCATTTAATTGTATTGCACTTGAGCCATTCACTAATTTATTATTGTTGGCAATTGCTGTGGAAGGAGTGGAAAGAGTGGAAGGTGTGGGTGTTGTTGCTGTTCTTGTTGGGCAATTTTCTATTGCTGCTGCTATTGCTAGCAACGAGGGTAGTTTCTTTGTTGTGTGCTCAACTGACGATGTGCAGGCATCTAGTTGTAGTTCTTCTTCTTGTTCTTGTTGCTGTTGTTGTTGCTGTCTCAAGGATGCCTTTACACAATCAACTTCAGCAGCAACACTACAGCTGTTGTTGCTGCTGCTGTTGCTGTTGTTGTTGTTGTTGGTGTTGGTGTTGTTGTTGTTGTTGTTGTTGCTGTTGCCACTGTTAACGCGTCCCTGAAAATTGTGCTGTAAACGTTTCAGACGCTGACTGGCCACAAAATCATCGACCAAATCCTGCTCAAAATCAATAAGATCGTAATCGTTGCAGCTGATTGCTGTTGGTGGATTATTGCTCGTCTTGTTGATGTTGTTGCACTCGTTGTTACTCGTTGTTGGTGTTGTTGTTGTTGTTGTTGTTGTAGTTGTTGTTATTATTGTGGCCTGCTTTAATTGCTGCTGATCGTTTGCATCGCAGTCGATGAGCGTGTAGTTAGATACGCACTCGTTACCGTTACCGTTACCGTTATAGTTACTCGTTACTCGTTCTTTCTGCTCGCTATTCGAGTGCGTTGCCAATTGCTTCAACGTGCACTCGTCGCCGTGTTGTTGTTGTTGTTGTTGTTGCTCGACTGCTTTGTTGTCTGCAACACTTTTCACGTAATCCACGTAATCGTCAGCAGCAACAACATCAACATTTGCTGGCACACTCTGCGATGGCAATGGCGATGGCTTCTGCTGGACAATCGTAGTACCAGCAACAACACCAACGGCATTATTATTATCAACAGCAATGGGCTCGTGCCATAATTTCGTGTCTGCTGACTTCAAATATGGCAATGGCAATGGCGTCGCGTTCGCGTTCGCCTCCTGCTCCTGCTCCTGCTCCTGCTGCTTCTGCTCTGCCTCCTCCTCCTTCTCCTCCTTCTCCGCCTTCTCCTCCTTCTCCTTTTGCGATTCTGTCTGGTGCCGTTTTACAATTTCATTTGCCTGGCTAACAAATGTTTTTGTTATTGTTGCTGCCTCGTCTGCTACTGCTGCTGCTACTGCTACTTTTCTTGCTACGTCACTTTGCACATTTTCACTTGAGTATTGAAAAAAAAAATTCACATTTAACGCATTTTGATTGCCATTTTTTTCTTGCTTCTTTTGCACAAATTTTTCTGTACGTTGCGCGCCGTCGTCAGCTGCGCTGTCAGCGTCGCTGTTGACGCCTGTATACAAATTTTGCGCTGCTGCTACTGCTACTACTGCTGCTACTGCTGCTTCTTCTTCTTCTTTTTCTTCTTCTGGCTGCTGGTGTGTTTGGTCAACACTTGTATTGTTATTTGCACAAATTTTCAACAATTGTTTCTCAATTTTTGTATTATTTTGTACAAAATTTGTTATTAACTGCTGCTGCTGCTGCTGTCGCTGCTGTTGCTGTTGCTGCTGCTGCTGCTGCTGCTGCTGTTTGTCAGCTGCGCTTGCTGCGACGACTGCTGGAGCTGTTGGAGCTGCTAGCACTGCTGCTGCTGCTGCTGCTGCTGCTGCTGCTGCTTTGAGTTTGGCTTTGAAAAGCTCACTCTGAATTTTAGGTATTGAGCAGGCGCTGTTGTCGTTGTTGTCGTTGTTGTTGCTGTTGCCTGTTGTCACATTGCTGTTTGGTGGTGGTTGCTTCTGCTGCTGTTGTTGTTCTTGTTGGCCATGGTTAGCAGCATTGCCTGCGTTTGCGCTCCCGCTCACGCTCTCACGCTCGACTTGCGCGCTCTCCAATTTTGTGGCAACTTCCGCTCCTGTGTTGCTGTTGTTGTTGTTGTTGTTGCCGCTGTATTCAGCACGCGCCTGCGCCTGTCTCTGCATGCCATTCAATTTGTTGTCTGGCGCTGGCTGGCACGCCTGCCAGCCGCCGCCCCTCGCCGCCCCTCTCGGCTGCCACGCACAATGCGCCTTGTATTGTTGTTGCTGTTGCACGCCAGCTAGTTGAACACTAGTGCTGCGTGCCTCGCATGCCAAATCAACGTCATCATCATCGACATCAACCACATTTAAGACTCGGCCAACGTTGGCTATGTTACCCACTGGTGCTACTGTTGTTACTGCTGTTGCTGCTGCTCTTGTTGCAGTTGTTGCAGTTGCCTCAATTCCAACAGCAATACTTTGATTAGTGTCGCTACTGCTATTGCACTCATAATTTGCATCTTCATCACATTGTTGCCACTCCTTTTCCTTCTCCTTCTCCTTCTCCTTCCCCTTCTCCTTCAGCACGCTCTGTCCATTTGTTAATGCCAGTGTTAGCATGTCCACAATCAGCATAGTTGCCGCGGGGTTGGGTTAACATACAATATCCAACTGCATTCGAGCTGCGAATTACAATTCACAATTAGTTCAACTCTATGCCTGCAATATTAGCACATAATCATAAATATAATTATAATCATAATCATGACAAGGAATACCGATTGGCTTGCATTGGCTACTTTCTTCAACCGTTAGCCCCATTAACTAGTTGCTAGTTTCTATTTCAATTGTAACAGCAATTATTAGTTTTTAATATCACATCATCTGCAATAGATCAAAGCTTGTAGCAATATCAAAAAAGTTTTTATTGAGGTTAACCAAGTTTTGGTTGGTCTCGAATAAAAATGAATTAAATTAAACACATCAGAAATCGTTGGCTTAGTTTTTCATATTTATAATAAATAATAGAGAAAATAATCTAAATAATAAAGCACTGTATTTTCAATTCTCTTAATTTTGAAAAAGTACGGAAGATTTCAACTCTAGAAAGTGTCGCTATTACAGTCTAAGGAACTTTGACAGAGTTTGAAACTTAAATGTTGTATTTAATTAGTAACTTAATTGGCATAAACATATGAAAAATATTTGTAAGTCCAAGAAACCTAATGAGTTTTGATGAACTTATAGCAATTGAAAGTTTCGGAAGACCATTAATTAAAATTGTGAAATCGCTTCAAAATAATATAACCAGATCTACATTTTTAAGGTAAAAAAAAGAGGTTAAGTCAAGAAACTCATGAAAAAGTGTGTTTTCTAAAATTTATGAAAACCGCTACAGTTTTTAATATGTGGAGATTTATGAGATCCTTAAAATGATATGTTATGATGAACATTTTATAATCGTTAAATTCCCTTGCCAGTCGTAACCAACAAATATTCAGCGGCGAAAAGGTATTTATGACAGGTTCCGGTTGTTACCAAGAAATTTCCATATTCAAATATGTGGGTTCAAAGAAGGTTCAAATTGTTATGGTGACAAAATGTGGGAGTTTTTCTTATCGGAAACTCTCACACAACTCTGACATAACACAACAACAAATATTTACCAACAGGTTCTCTGCCAACCAGTTGAATTTTCCACCTAACTAACCATATAGCATATCTTGAAATGAAGGTTTTTTTTTTGTTTTGTATTTTTCTATTTTTTGCATAAATTATATATTTACCGGCGAAACAAATTTCGACACAAAACTTTTATTGGGAATTTTACGCGCGACTTGTTGTTGACGACTCGATTTCGTTGATGTTGTTGTTGTCGTTGTTGTTGTTACTGCACTGACACAGAAAAAACAGGTGCGCGAATGCAGTGAAGCGCATCCTGTGCCCAGGACACCCCGTGAGACAAAGTAGAGACAGAGTGCGATATAGAGAGAGAGAGATAGAGAGAGGAAGAGAGAGCGAGCAAGCAAGAACTTTAGGGGGTTAGTTCAAAGCTGCACGTTACGCGCCAATGCAGACTGAAAGACACCACCACAAAACAAAACAAAACAAACACACACAGAACACGGAAACAAAAACGTAAACAAAAATATATTCGTGAAATTCTCGAGTTTTTTTTTTTCGTTGATAATAGCGGTTTGCTCTTATTCGGTTAGCTGGGTTGCGATCGCCGTTTAAGACGCACGTCCGAACGCGTTTCGTGACGGAAGTTGACTGAGCAAACGCAAATGAAAATGCGACTCGAAACGCTTTCGGCTCGGTTTTCCGCGTCTTGAGGCTCGGCTCTGCGACTGCGCAAAAAACTCAACATGCGCTCGGCTCTCAGAAATAAAGACGACGACGACAACAAAACATGTGAATTGAGGTGGTGTTCGCATGTAACCCGAGTGGGTAACTAAAACAAAAAGAGAAACAAAAACTACAACATGGCATTATGTGTTCGTTGTTAGTGAGCGCGACTTGATGTTACCTCACGATGAATTACGATCGACCAATTTGAAATACAAAGATAGAAGAATTTAGAACTTGATTCGAAATTTTTGAAAATGAATTAAACTCACTCAATCTGAGAACATCTGTCTGGCTTAACTTATGATTTGTTATCTTGACTAAAAATTGTTTAAACGCATATGCAGTGCGTTTGTCAGAATAGCGTATCCCAATTTTCAGTGACTATAGGGTATAATAGCTCACAGCACTGCTGAAGATCGCATGCCAAATCTCTAAGCCCAGACATGTGGTGGGGGGAGGGTCTAGCAGCTACTACATACATACATATGTACACACATATGTACTTGTGCGTGTTGTCAGCGGCAATTATGCGCTGCACTTGCGACTTTTATGACCAACTCTTCAACAGTTCGGCGCCTACCCCCCTCCCCAACACACACACATACTCCACGTTCCCTCTTTGTCTTTCTAACCTATCCATACTACAATTGCACCCTAAGCGATCATTGGCTACGATGACCGGCGACAATTTTTTTTAATGTGTGTTTGAACGTGATCGGTGCTCGTCTCGAGATCGTGTGTGTTGAATATGGGTATATAGGAAGTAATTCCATTGACCATTCAAAAAAATAGGAGTATCACCGTTACAACGTTTTTAATGGAAACGAATGGTTCTTCAGAAAACATGAAATTGGAAATATTTGTACTCATCATAAACTGCTTAAATTGCATCCATTTCATATATGACTAGTAATTGGAACTCTTTAAGATTAATCCACCGAAAACTTAACTATATGCGGAGGCTATGATTAAATAGAATTACTATATTTTCAGCACAACTATCTTAGGAGGAAGTAAGAAGGCAAAGAAGATTGTGTACAAAAAGCTGATGCTACGTGCACATTTCAAGAATAGAGATGTACATATAATGATTAATTCATAAAAAAAAACGAGCAATATCAAATTGTATGTCTATATAAAGTTTTTAAATATCATATCTAAGTTTATGCATAGAAGCAGAAAGACGAATCCACTCCACGATTGCTGCTAGTAATAAATAGCATATACACATGTATATATATCAAATAAGTATTATAAATGTACCAATATAATTATGAACAGTAACAAGTTCGAGGAGAGATAAAAAAGAATAGAAGTTGGTGGACTTAAATGTTAAGACAGTATTTTCTTGGGTTAAGTTTATTTTCTTTTATTTTTAGTTTTTAATAAAAATGGTTAGGATATATATATATATATATATATATATATATATATATATATATATATAACTTGCCATACATTCACTACAAAATAGGTGACAAATAAATCTTTGATGATGATAAGTTTAACAGTACAGATAATGATAATTGAGTTAGTATCAAGTATAAATTTCTTGTCTGGAATATAACTGAAACTGAAAGATCAATGAATTAAGTTAAAGCAGCTCCCACGATACAACAAGAATAAAAGAATAAGTGCTTGGTACTTATTACATGACATTATGCAAGAAGGAAACCGAGATATAGAGAAATGATGGGAGAGAGCGAGAGCGAGAGGGAGAGAAAGACTATATATAATAGGTACTTCTAAGTAGTAAGTATGTGCTCAGTAACCCCATATAAAGTACGCTCATTACAGAGGGGGAGCTTGGCATTGCATGTGGCAGAAGAAGAAGAAGAAAATGAAAATGAAGATGAAGACGATGGATGGCGACGACGACGACGACAGCCAGTGGCCAAAATGACAAAAGACAGGCCACAAGATGCAAAAAAAAAATATATATGTGTTGGGGAAAGGGGAGTGCAGAGGAATTGTGTGTGTGTAATTTTTTCCGGAGCCAAACTTATAACAAAATAGGAACAGAAGTAAGCAAACTGAAGTGAATGAATGGAAAATTGTGGGAACAATGGAAACGCAGAGCGTGTGAATCCGCCAGCTGGTATTGGTGGTGCTAGCGGTGCTGCTGCTTCTGCTGCTTCTGCTGCTGCTTCTGCTGCTGCTGGTGGTGCTTCATCTTTCAGATTCAGATTCAGACAGTGGCTTGATGGTGGATGGCGTCTTAAGTCTCTACTTGCTGTTTAGCACACAATGGCACCATTAAAGGTCGCTCTCTCAGGCACCTCCAACCGCCCATATAAAAATACACACACGCATACACACACATATATATATATATATATATATATATATATAAGTATATATATATACGTATATACGTACATATATATGATATGATTCTCAGCTGTTCCATCGAAATTGCCCCGTCTTTAATTTAACTAATTTTCATTTGAGCTGCGTTTGCATTTCTTATATACATATTTATATGATTATATTGTTATGCACATATTTTAAGTGCACTTTTTTAACGTATGTGCGAAATATTTTCAACGCGTTCAAGGCGAAAACATTTGAAAATGGAAATGGATTTGTTGAATCGTAGGATCGTTGGATCGTTGGATAGTTGGATCGTGGCGTGTAGCAAGTTCATAATTCCGAATAACTCGCTTTATGACAATGCATACCCATGACTCGGCATTTTAAATGCGTTTTGCTGAAGGTCAATGCTTGAGGTTAGGGACCCTTTAGTAATAGCTTATCTACTTATTATTCAAGAAATGGAAAATTTTGTATTGAGATATGAAAAGTTTCCTTTTTGCCAAATGTACTATTGCTCTAGGATGCAGAATACATTGTTGCTCTTGTCTTTTTACATATTTCCCAATTATAAATACAGTACTGTTCTAAAGATCAGAACATAATCGAAGAGGCATTCATCCTCATTTGAGGTTGAAGCTTACAATTTAATATTGATATACTTCATTTAAGATTTTTCATATTTAATAATTGGAAAGTTCGCTATTAAAAATCTTATTTTTTTCGGTGTAATTGTTATTCTTGAAATGCCTTGACATAAATACTCCTTAATAATAAACGAGATACAACTAACATTTCCTGTCACTTGTCAAACGAATCTCCAAATCTAAGCTGAACTAAGCAATCTCTATTCGCACTTCAAATATCCCTCAAAAAGAGAACCCCAAACTAAAATTCTCTTTAATTTTGAGGCCATAAAAACTGGTGTAATGTCCACAAAACATTTAGTTGTAAAAATTGTCATTAAAAGGAAATCGCTTACAACGCTTTAAGATAAAGAAGAATAAGAGGAAGAAGAAGGAGCAGAAGGGGACTAAAGACTCTCCACCACTCCTCTGACCATGCTATTATTTAACACCTCACTTCTGTGCACATCTCACAGATATGATCCAAGTAGGAACTGAGGTACAAACAACAAACCGACAAACGACAACCTACGGGTTTTTCTCTTGTATCTGTTTTGTTGAGATTGAGTTTGGGTTTCGAGTTTGTCTCATTGTTTTTTTCTGTTGGTGCTTGTGTCATTTTGCTTTGCTAACTTGTTCGTTGGTATCACATTTAGCTAACTGAGTTTTAATTGTGTGTTGAAGCCGTAGCTACCCCAAACACCACACCTGGTCGTGGACGCGGTGACAAAAGGTAGACTGAAACCGAAACTGTAACTGAAATGGAGTCCCATTTAGTTTTGGCCTGTAACTCAATTTATGGCTGTGAAGTGTGGCCCGCAATCGCTTCTCGCTTCTCGCTTCTCGCTTCTTGCTTTTCGTTTCTCGTTTCTCGCTTCTCATTCCAATCACTTCTGTCGCTCACTTCCCGCTTCCCGCTTCCCGCTTCTTTCACGTGTTGGCACCTTGCGTTAGCAGTCGAGCGAGAGATATCTTCTTCTGGCTCGTTCTTATCATCTGGGAAACGCTACATCCACGTGGATGCCCTCGGCTTGAGCAATATAACATGCAACACTGCATTTGCCGTCTACCAAGTAATTGCATGTCGTCACTCAAACAGAAGTCAGTGCAAGATGTACCCTTCTCTACGTGATACGCAAGGGTATTATGAGCTTCTCATTAAATTGATTAACCTGTTGAAATTATCGCGAAACAAGCATATAGTTCACAGTTGATAGCGAGTCGTGTCACAAGATGCGAGATTCAAACATTTGAAATATTTCATTCTAGAGCACAACGCATTCTTTTCAAGAATATATATTCATAAATGTATTCAATGTGTGCTGTTTCGTTTCGATGGTCGATTTAAAAGTAGAAACTGAATTCATTCATTGACTCGGGACTCCGTTCACAGACGGGTCCTGCATACACTGTTCGCTCATCGATAAGGAGTCGAGGCAAATCTTAAAATTCTGTTCAGCCATGCATACACAAATATAATATTTATTCTTAACTGTTTATTGTATCGGTTTCTATATAATAATATATCATAATATATAATATCTATATAGAAATGATTGCATTTGAAATATTGTTATCTTAATCATGTTATATAGAATACTTTAAACACATTACTTACTGTCAAATTGCCGGAGTAAGTTGCACATGTCTGCATTTCTTGACAATCCCAGCGGGCGATGCGTTCAGGCGAGGCTATTTCAGTGCTTTCACTTTTCACGTGCACATCCCCATTTCCTGAGGCATCTGCATAATGGCAAATAATTGCTGATATTTCTATATTTAAATGAAAATGCAGATGTGTCAAAGTATGTAACAGGCAGGAAGAAGCTCCTTCAACCGAGATATATCTTTCGAGATGACACAATGTGAATCGTAATTGAATATCTGACAACGCCTAAAAGACTGCCACACCAAATTGGTGCAGTTTTCGAGTTCGTTTGACGATAACTAATGCAAGGCCATGACAGACTGCACTAAGGGACAGAGGGTAAGGGGCAAGGCAAGGCAAGGGCGGGCAGCGAGCAACGGTGACAAACAATAAACAATATCAGTTACAAGAACAACAGCAACTCACGTGGCCGCTATGCGTGACTCGCAGTGTGCACAGTTTGAGGCACATTCATGCTGAATTTAACGTGCTACACAACCCAACCCACCACCCCCTCCCCGACTGTGTGGCCAGACCATCAACAATTCAAGCAGCATGGCAGCAGTCAACTTCCCGATAACCAGCAGCGTTCCTTTAATAACAGTTGCCACTACTAATGATTCTTATGTAGCTTTGATTACGTTCACCGACAAACATTAACCCCAAACGGGACCTAACGGGTCTAAATTCGTACAGCAACTCTGGACATGCAGCAGGTTAATGCATAAATAATGCACATATATATATATATATATGCACATATATATATATATATATATATATATATATATACATATAATATTGTCTGACATCAATACTTTAAATTAAAAGTAAAAAAATAATTTAGAATATTTTTTTGTTTGTTCTTTTAAATAAATTTATTTATGGCTGCCAAATTTATTGCGTTGCCATTTGCCAGTCATTGGTAAATTGAGTGGCCCAGCAATGGGTTAAACGAAAGCCAGGCAAAGTATGTCAAAGCGAACAATGCCGAATTCTAAACGAGCGATTGGAAATCCCGAAGAAGAACGCACGTTGCGGCTGCTGCTGGTGTTGCAGTGTGTCGTGTTTCTGTGTGTGTGAAATGATTGTATTGTGTGTGTGTGTGTGTGGGCAAATATTGCAAAGCTTGGCCAGTGCGCTTCTCGTCTCTCAGCTATCGAGAGTCTGTCAGTATTCGGGCGAGTTTTCAACAAGTAGGTCGCGATTGAACGCAAACATTTCTTTAAAACGTTTAAAACATTAATACGGACATTTTGTTTTCACTTTTTGTGCAAGTGCAGTTAAAGTGCAACACATAAGTAAATATATATTAAAAACAAAACAAAAACAAATCACATTGAATATATGCGAATTTGTTCAATATAAGATACATATTTGAAACTGCGTTTGCAATCAGTTGATCGAGAGATAGAGCGAGAGAGTAAGTGCATGTGAATGAATAGGAACGCATAGCTTTAGAGAGCGCGCAGCTGAGGAATTAAACAACGAAAACAACAGCGTTCTGAGAGCAGTCGCATTTGATTCGATCTTATAGAAGTGTGATTGTGTTAGTGTCCACAAGCTCAATGAAATACTTACATAAACTGTGTTGTTGTTGTGTTGTTACGTACATGTTTACGTTCAACGTGCTCATTTATGAGTAATTCCCTTGGGCACATCAATGTATGGGTGTCGTCTGTGTGAGATATATGTGTGTGGGAGAGAGAGGGTGAGAGAGCGCGAGAGAGCTTTGAAAGGCTGAGCACAAAAATTGCACTCATCTGCACCGGCTCAATGTAGTGGAAAGCTACGTGCATATGAATATACGAACTGAATTTCAATTGCGGTAGTCCCTCACAATATAAATCTATATATGTATATATATATATATATATATAATAAATAATTACAATTTACTCCAAAAAAATACACTAGTTGCAAAAAAATCTGGAATATAATATTACAGATTGAAAATGGAAACTTATAATAAGAATTTAAGATTCAGAATTTTGTATTTTGCCATAAAAATGGTTGACGTAATTTTGCACAGTGACCAATAATGCATTTACTCAAGAAATAACACAATCGGTATTTGAGTTATATACCAAATCGATTGGTTTGTTCAGCTACCATGAATGATAATGAATCGCATTCAATGAATCAAACTGAAAGTGTATGAGAGTGAATGAATCAAGCATATACCATAAGGTATATGTATATATTCTTGATCAAGTGTGTATCACGAATATCGATAAAAATCGATTTCCGATAACAATAAAATGTGAAAATTTTATGAATATGCCTCGACATGTTAATGAGCGAGCAATTTTACAAATTTTATCAAGCTCAAATAAGAAACCCTAAAATGTATTTTGTTGTTAAATATATATATGCGAAAGAATACATGTGTGAGAACAGTGTAGCATCATATAACAAATAATCTGCAGCTGCCCAAGATATATAACATATACACATATATAAATGTTGACAATTGCAAAATATTGGGTTACATGTTATTTGTATTTGTATTCAAGACTACGAAATTTGATAAACTAATCAAATGGAGTGCATTGGCCTTATTTATGCTGGAGACTGAGTGCCACTAATTATGCAACGCAAGAACTCTTCAATTTCTCAACAACAAATTTCATTTTCTTGTAAAGTATTGTATGAACTTTAGGCTGAAAACGGAACGAAAGGAAAATGCAAATATTTTATAGAAATCAACCAAAGCTGTCGCTGTCAAAATTAAACCTTAGCCACGCCTCTAAAATGGAACTTTAATATGTGATTTACCGATTTCGATAAGAACAAAAAGAAACAAAAAAATCTGACAGCACTGAGCAACTCACCACACAAGCATAACAAATGGTCAAGAAATATGGGCTTCCATTGAGCAAGTGCAAGTGCCATTAAAAGCTATTGGATTCTCTCATTTCGATGGATTTCATATCACCACTTGACCAACCCCCACAACCACCCCCTCAATAAAATTCTGCTGACCTTATCCATTGCGCTTTCAAACGTGACTGTGTTACGTAGTCTCAATGATTAATCAAAACAATGTATGAAGCAACAACAGCGATTAACTGAATCAGCAACAGTAATTAATAAAAAAATATATATATAGAACACATATGTAGAATAGATGTGATTCTCTCCTTCTCTGCTGATTTGACTTGATTCTTAAATGACAACGCCACAGAACTGGAACCTAAGACTAAAAATAATAATAATAATAATAATAATTATATGTATACACACATACGATGTATATAGAACAGATGTTATGCTCTTCAGCTGCTGTATACCTGAATTCAATTTTAAGCAACCATAACAAGACCTATAAAAAATGAATTAAAACTAATGCAAACTTTTGCTAACTTTATTCTCTTTTGTCTTAGTTGCATGTTGAGACCTTATCAAGTAATTCAACGAGTACTTAAATTAGAAAATTGCCGACGAGTTGTATTTTTAGCAGGCTTGAAACTTATATAAAAACAAAAAGAGCAAGTAAATACAAATTCAAAATGGAGGGAGAATCATCGGAGTCAGCACACAATGCAAAGGTAGCCGACTCGGCCTATTCGAACAGCTGCAGCAACAGTCAATCACAGCGCAGGTGAGAATTCCAGATATAATATCATCTACTATGGTGACCATATATATTCTTGATTTGCACTCCAGTGGCAGTTCCAAGTCCCGGCTGAGCGGCAGTCATTCGTCCGGCAGCAGTGGGTATGGGGGCAAGCCCTCCACACAGGCCAGCAGCAGCGATCTGATCTCCAAGCGCAACAAGGACAAGTGCCGCAAGAAGAAGAAGGCCAAATGTCCGGGGCAAATGACGGCAACAGCAAACGCATCGCACATCGATAATGCCGAGGAGCAAAAGCTGGCGAGCAGCGCCAGCTGCGAACAGCTCCAGAATCTGCAGGACACACAATCGCAGAGCGATCAACCGGCCAGCGATCAACAGCAGATGAGCGAACAGCTCGACTCAGAGCTGAGCGAGTCGACCAACAATCAATTGGAGCAGGTGCAACAATTGCTCTCAACGAAATCGCTTAATGGCATAGCATTGCAGTCGACTGGATTATCTGCCTGTCCAAACGTTGGCGGCAGCATCAAGGCCGACAAGTCTTGGGAAGCGACACTGGGCAAACTAGAAACGGTTGCTGCTGGCGCCAACAGACAACATCAACATCCAAATCAGCATCCACATTCGAATCACCATCCGCATCATGAGCGGTCCAAGGAGGATAGCTTCTGTTGTGTGATCTCCATGCACGATGGCATGGTGCTGTATACGACGCCCAGCATTACCGATGTCCTTGGCTATCCCCGTGATATGTGGCTGGGTCGATCCTTCATCGATTTTGTGCATGTCAAGGATCGCTCGACATTCGCCAGTCAAATCACAACGGGCATCCCAATTGCCGAGACACGCGGCAGCCTCCCCAAGGATGCCCGAAGCACATGTGTGATGCTCCGACGCTATCGGGGATTAGCCGCCGGCGGTTTTGGTGTCATAGGACGTTCCGTTAACTATGAACCCTTCCGCTTGGGATTGACGTTCCGGGAGGCGCCCGAGGAGGCGCGACCGGACAACTATGTGGTCTCCAATGGCACCAATATGCTATTGGTCATCACCGCCACACCCATCAGGAGCAGCTACAAGGGTGAGTGTGTGAGGCAGAATGTTCCAAAATGACCCTTTATTAAGAACGGAAAAGAAAGCATCTTCAATCTCATAAAAAATATAGACTTGGATAAAACAAATCAAGGCTTCATTACTTTTTATTCAGAAATAAATGAAGTAAATCTGTAAAATATAAAAATATAACATTTTCAGAGTGTTTCTGTTTTTTATATTTATTCTTAGAAGAATTTTATTATTAGTTTTTTGTTACTTAAATTGGTTTAATCATTACTATAATAATTGACATATATACAAGAAACGTAGTCCGATGTTAGAGACTCTAAGAGCTAGAGACTTTTAAGCACTTGCTAATTTAATCAACCCCCTTTTATTGTGCAGTTTGCGATGAGATTCTGTCGTCGAAGAGTCCCAAGTTTGCCATACGCCACACGGCTGCTGCAATCATATCGCATGTGGATAGCGCATCGGTTAGTGCGCTTGGCTATTTGCCGCAGGATCTGATTGGAAGGTCCATTATGGATTTCTATCATCACGAGGATCTACCGATCATTAAGGAGACGTACGAAATAGTCATGAAGAAGGGACAAACGGCTGGCGTCTCCTTTTGCAGTAAGCCCTATCGCTTCCTCATTCAGAATGGATGCTACATCCTCCTCGAGACGGAGTGGACCAGTTTCGTGAATCCTTGGTCGCGCAGACTTGAGTTTGTTGTCGGACATCATCGCGTTTTTCAGGGTAAGTGAAACATATGCCAAATGGAATCGCACCGAAAATCTAGTTGAAGATTTCAAAAACGTTGAATCTAAATTTTAGCCAATTACAAAAATAATCAATTTTGTAAGTTGCAGAATATTTAGCAATCTTGCGTAGAGGTTCGTCATATGGGTCTCATGTGTAATCCTTGACAAGCTGGGAGAACTTCAAATCTATAAAAAAATTTATATTTCAATACAATTTCCAATTCGATTTTTGATAAGTTTTCTAGCTGAATGAAGGATTATTCTCTAAATGCTACAATACAATATAACTTAATTTATAAGAAAAGTTTTCTAGCTTGTTTTGCAATAGTTATTCACAGATATCTTAACTAAATCGAGGAGAAAAACCAACCAATCAACGAGTTGAGGAATCCCCTCAACGAATTCCCTGTTAACAAATTTGCCATTTCTCTCTCTTTCTCTCTCTCTCTCTCTCTCTCTCTCTCTCTCTCTCTCTCTCTCTTCTCTCCCCTTTCAGGTCCCAAAGAAGTCAATGTTTTTGAGGCGGCGCCGACTGTGAAATTAAAAATACCGGACGAGATGCAGACTCGTAATAATCGTATCAAGGATGATATTGTGAAGCTACTCGCGGAGACAGTCTCCCGACCATCGGACACCGTTAAGCAGGAGGTATCGCGACGATGCCAAGCACTCGCCAGCTTCATGGAAACACTGATGGATGAGGTGACGCGGGCGGATCTGAAGCTGGAGCTGCCGCATGAGAACGAGCTGACGGTGTCGGAGCGAGATAGCGTTATGCTTGGGGAAATTTCGCCGCATCACGACTACTATGACAGTAAGAGCTCCACTGAGACGCCGCCGAGCTACAATCAGCTCAACTATAAAGAGAATCTGCAGCGTTTTTTCAACAGCAAACCAGTCACGGCGCCGACCGAGCTCGATCCGCTCAAGGCCGACTCCTCCTATGCGAGCAGATCCCGTGAGGATGCGCGGAGTGCGATTAGTCCGGACCATGGTGGCGAATGTAGCGGCGGCAGTGGTTCCTCTGGCAATTGCACAACCAACAGCAATATTCTCATGAGCAGCTTCACAAATACCAGCAATACCGGCACAGGCACCTCTGGCTGTGGTAATTCCGGTGGTAAACTTAGCGGATCTGGTGCGGTTGCGGTTGGGGGTGCTGGTGCTGGTGCTGGTCCTAGTCCTAGTCTTGGTGCTGATAACAGTATACCGCCGATTAGTGTCACTCTTACCGAATCGCTGCTCAGCAAGCACAACGATGAGATGGAGAAACGCATGCTGAAGAAACATCGTGAGTCTCGCGGACGCAATGGTGAGAAGAACAAGAAGACGGCGAACGAGAAGATGTTGGAGTATAGTGGTCCCGGCCATGGCATACATGGCATCAAGCGGGGTGGCTCCCATTCCTGGGAGAGTGACGCGAACAAGCCGAAGCAGCAGCTTCCACTTAACATACCATTGGTTGGCACCGGCGATGTCATGTGCTCGACAGCAAATCCCTCATCGCATGCCAGCAATCATATCCAGGCCGTACCAGCTGGTCTCAGCTGCACCCAGAATCTCTGGCCGCCATTCTCCATTGGCATACCGACGCCGTCGGTGCATACAACAGCCGTGGCCCAGAGCAACTTCTCGCCGAGCCTCTTTCCCGCCTTCTACTATATACCCGCTCAATTGCCAAGCACATCGACAACGGTGTCCACATCCTCGCCCCATTTGCCGCACTGCTCGCAGAGGAGCTGCGAGGAGCCGACAACCTCGCAGAAAGCAGCAGCTGCGGCGGCGGCAGCAGCAACGGCAGCAATTCCCCTCCAATATATGGCTGGTGTCATGTATCCGCATCCATCGCTCTTCTACACACATCCGGCGGCTGCGGCCGCCACAGCGATGATGTACCAGCCCCTGCCCTTCTCCAGCGTCGCCAGCAACCTCCTCCAATTGCCAAGCAGATTCAACAACTCGCATGCCAGTTACAACAAGACTGTCTACACGGTATGTCATGATTTTAATTTCCTTTTCATTTTATTTTCTTTACTCTTTTTTAATTGTGTTTTAATAATGGAAATTTTGGAGTACAAATTCCTGGCTGCTTCTAGTGCCTAATCTCAATCTAATCATTGCAGGCGCAAAAGGTGAGGGTAGCACCACTGTCGACGACAACGGTGAAAGGGCAGGGAGCCTTCTTTTCGATAACACCCAACCAGCTGCAGATATCCTCGTCGGTGAAGGCCGAGCCCGGCTCGAATGTGGCACTTTCCGATTCATCCAAAAAGGAGGCGTCGAATCAACCGATTGAATCGGTTAACGTCGAAGCAGACGGATATACGTCCGATCCAACAAGCAATCCATCTAATCACAACACAAAACAAGTAAGATAAAACAGTTTTGTAAATTACATCATAATAATATTCTAATCAGCTTCTTTTAACCGATCGTCCCAATAGATTTGGTATATGGTATAGCAGTCCATTATTCCTCATTTTTTGTTTATTTCTTTTTTCAAATCATGCAAATACACTGAGCCGTTATAATTCAGCTTACTTTATATAGATACATATATATAGAGATATTTTTCTTGTCAAAATCATCATAGCCTACACTTAAAGTTAGACTTTTAAATGAGCAAAAGTTTTGGTCATCGCTTTCATATCTTCTCACACAGAAGTACACGGATAGCAATGGCAACAGCGATGATATGGATGGCTCCAGTTTCTCCTCCTTCTACTCGTCATTTATCAAAACAACCGACGGCTCAGATAGTCCACTGGATACTGAAAAGGAAACCAAACATCGCAAGCCAATGGTAAATTTGATTATAACGGAAAAAACAGACAACATTTAAGCCAACATTGCAATTGCATTTGCACAGCAACTTTTGCAAATGGAGAGCAAAATTGTGGAGCATCCGGAGGAGGATCAAACGCAGCACGGCGATGGATAGCAAGTGGCATCCCTGCTCCTCTGGTGGCAATGGTTTAAATGTTTGCAACGTGCAGTTGGTCAGTCAATTGTCACAATTTACACATCTAAAATTTGAAATTGCATTACTTAGGTAAGAAGAATCATTCTGCAATCCCCTAACAAACTCTGTACTTATCTCCCTTTCGATCTTTCTTTCTTGCAGAGTTTTACACATAATGTGTAGAACATATTTTAAATAACCAGCTCTGGCAATGTAAAGGCGATGCAACGTTTCAAAAACATAAAACATTCATTGATTTAATTTAAAAACTTTATTAAAATAAACGCTGCAATTGCGAGAAACAAACAGCAAATAAGCAAATCTTCATATTTATAGTCAAACAACAAAACAAAAAACAGTTAGCCATTATACTAATTGTATTTCAGAAGTCTTAACAGAACATATAAACAACCATAACCGTAAAATAGATCAGAGAAGACCCATCGTATAAAACTTATCTATATTTACGCAGTAGTCATATTTAATTGTCAAAGAATTCCTCATATGGTATTGTGTCCCACAAATTTTGGATGACTTTCTTTAAAACACGATCAGTAGCTATCATTATCTGGGGATGCACCTCCTTCGCTATGACATCATACTCATCGTTGACTACCTGCAGTGTGCTCTCGCTCAGCTCGACATTATCTTTGAACAAATTGGTCATATCAATGTGACCGCTGCCAGAAGAGATCATGATTTTTAGATTTTTCATCATCATTTTAAAATTAGTCAAATTGTGGGTAATCTCCAAGATATTAGATGTATATATCTTGGTATTACAAAAGCATTCAACTTACGAGCCCACTTTCACAGCCGTGTTAAAGTCGGTGATCTTGAGATAGGTATTTCCATCGTCTCGTTTCTCCGGTACGGCAGTAAGGCGTGTCTTGCACTGCAGTTGTTTCAGCTTGACTGTAATTTCACCCTGGCTAACGATGGACAGCAGCAGTATCTTGCCATTGACATCATAGTTGGCATGCACATCGCAGTAATCTGTGCTAAAGGTCCACGAGAGCTTCATTGGCTTGGTCAGGTCCTTGGTAAAGCCCGTCACTGACTTGAACCGCAATGTGTCGGCAAAGTTATGCAATGTGGTATTAGACATGACCAGATTGAACTGCAACGAACTGCCCGGATCGCCGCTATTACTGCGCAAGGTGCCCAATTCTATGATCTCGATGGGTGCCACATTCCGCTCCGGTATGCCATGCTTGAAGGTATCAACAAAGGCCTGCGCCTGCTTCACATGGCATGCCTCATCCTCAATACGGCAGCGCTTCAATGGTGCAGCTAAACAGTTCAAGTGTTTTTTTTTTTAAATTTTTTTTAAATTGGCTTCAATTCCGTGTGGCATGTTGGATGTGAACTCACGGAAATGATCGGCCCTCGCACCAGGGCTACCCATCAACAGGATTAGGCCACTCGCCACAAATATCCAGTTGCCACTAAACATTTTCACTGACTAACGTGTCGCGAGTGCATCCGGTGCGTTTTTATGCCAACGTTTCTTTTTTTTTCTTTAGTTAGGTAATTAGGTAGAGATAGAGGTAGCAGAACCTGGTTCACAGTTTGAAAGTCTGTTTAAAGTGTGTATGCTTTGGATACCCCGTAACCATTAAGCAGTCCGAGAATAGGAGAGAGTTGTTCAGAACTAGTGAGATATCAACTGTGATGGACTGTGACTGCCCGAAAATCGATAAGTATCGGGATTTCAGCTAAAAAATAATAATAAAAGATTAAGATCGTATTTACAACACAATTCAATAAAAATCAATTTGATTTATATCAATTTTCAATATATATCGGTCAGGGTAAGTGCTAGTCGCGCACTCCCGACCTTTCTTGTTAGTTGAGGCCTTTCTCAAGTGCATTAGCAGTACAAATAGACTACAAATCAAATTGCAATTACCTAGTTTTTTTTATAAAATATTCCAAAATTTATTTATTACTAATAAGGAAGCGAGACTTTATCGCTTCGTCAAGTTCAATATTGTGATAAACACGTTTTTCTCCAATATCCACGCAATCGCATTTGTACTGGGTGTCTTCTTTCGTGCATCGTGTTAAGTATAAGTAAATTATATTATTTGAGATATTGTTCTTAATATGCCTTTCGCATTAATGATATACTATATTACAGGGTATCCTTTCGTACTTGCCTACACATGTTGAGGTTAATGTGAATCATAGTTGTCAACAGTGTTGGGCTAAATGCCAAAGTAAACCCAATTAGAAACTCTTAATTGAAGTATGCTAACATTGCAAAACTTAAATTTAACATTTGACTAACACTTTGAATTTCTTTAAGTTTAGTTTGCTTATCTTATTTAAATATTAGATGCAAAGATCAAATAGTTAAGAAAAAGGAACCCAGTCTAGGTAAGGTTTAAAGATTATTTTAAAAAGTATAAGCCAAGTTCAAAACTCTCTCTCTCTCTCATTCTCTGTGTTTCTGTCTCCCTTTCTCTGCCTGTAATATAGATAGCTATGCAAATGTGGTGTGCCCTGCACCCTTTACAAAAGGTATGTTTTACAAAAGTATCATTATAATAAATAATAATATTTGCTGTGTACTTAAGTGGATGGGCAAAAACACCAAACTAGACATTTTACTGCACTTTTTGCAATTGTATGCCAAATGGAGAAATGCAAATTCTGAGACGTTGAATTGATCAATCAGTTATGGATTTTATATGATTGTTTATATATACATATTGACGTATTCAACAGCAATAAAAAAGCTGAGGCAGCTTTGGCTAATCACTTGACGAAGTGCTAAAAAAAATAGTAAACAACTTTATTTACATTTATTAAACATGAACCGGCTGTGTAAGTGTAAGTGATGCGGGTGCAAGTGGGAAAGATGTGAAGGGTCACAGCTGGAGCCATTGGGTTGTCAGTTCAGTTGTCGGTTGTCAGACTTGTGGCTCAGTCGTGCCCAGATTCTTCAGCGACTGCTCAAAGTCTACAGAGTCCACCTGCCGCTTGGCTGGATCAAACGGTGGCGGTCCAATCAAGCCGCATACCTCATCATAATCCAGTGTCTCCTTGTCCAACAGAGCCTCCGCCAGCTGCAAAGCAAATTAAAGACAAATTTACATATATAATTAAAATGAGAATGTATATTGACCGGGCCAAATACTGATATCGATATAAATACCTTCTCTAGCTTGTCGCGATGCTTGGTGAGCAGATCCTCGGTTTTCCGATATGCATCCGACACCATATTGCGCACTTCGTGATCAATGATGGTTTCCATAGCCCGGGAAAAGGGTTTGCTGCTACCGCCACCGCCGGCAGATTCATTTGCATCGCGCACATATATCGGACCCAGGCGTTCGTTCATGCCAAATTTCTTGATCTGTGAATAGGCAATTTGAGTGACCTTCTCCAGATCGTTTTGGGCGCCAGTCGTGATCTGTTTGAAGATCAAATTCTCGGCGGCACGTCCACCGAGTGCCATGCACATCTTATCAAATAGCTCCTCCTTGGAGTACAGATGCTGCTCACTAGGCGTATATTGGGCAAATCCCAATGCCAAACTCGTGCGCGGCACAATCGTCACCTTGAGCAATATATCCGAATGCGGTAGCATCCAGCCGACCAGTGCATGTCCAGACTCATGATACGCAATCACCTTGCGTTCGGTCAGCGAAAGCGCATGCGAACGCTTCTCGGTGCCACCTGAAAGCAGAGGGAGAAATAATATTTTAAATGTATATATATATATAAATATAATCAATTTGTAAGAGAGACACTCACCCACTAAACGCTCAACGGCATATTCTAGATTCTTGCTGGTGACCTCGGTTTGGACATGACGGGCTGCATGCAACGCTGCCTCGTTGCACACGTTGGCAATGTCGGCGCCGGAGAATCCGGGCGTAAGTCGGGCCAAACGCTGGGAATAACTGTCGGGCTCCTCGGCCAGTTTGACGGATGACAAATGCTTCTCGAAGATCTCCTTGCGCTCCTGCAACGTCGGCAAATCAATAAGTATGTGACGATCAAAGCGACCAGGTCGAAGTAATGCCTGCATAAAAAAAAAAAAAAAGAAATTGATTTACAGTTGAGCAAGTGAAGAGATTCAGATTGTGTACCTTATCGAGTATATCGGCACGATTGGTGCTCGCTAGCATGAGGACGCCTTCTTTGGTTGCCATGCCGTCCATTTCGACGAGCAGCTGATTGAGGGTCTGCTCAGATTCACCGGAACTGCCCTGACCCATACTCTCGGTGCCGGATCGTTGTCGTCCAATGGCATCGATTTCATCGATATAGATAATACAGGGCGCCCGCTTCTTGCCCTCCTTAAAGAGATCGCGCACACGTGCAGCACCGAGGCCACCAATCATTTCAATAAACTCCGACCCATTCATACTGAGAAACGGAACCTGAGCCTCGGTGGCCACCGCCTTCGCCAACAACGTTTTGCCACAGCCAGGTGGGCCCAAGAGCAGAGCGCCGCGTGGCACTTTGGCGCCCAGGCGTTGATACTTGTCCGGTGTCTTTAGATAGTCGACAAACTCTTTAACCTCCTGTTTGGCCTCCTTAAGACCAGCCACGTCGCGAAACAGCACGCCACGTCCACCTTCAAATGGATCCACAAGTGTGAACTTCGCCCGACCCATTTGGTTCTAAAAACAAAATTCAAAATTAAAAAACGGAAACATAAATAAGACAATTAACGCATACAAATACTTACAAATGAGTCCATGCTGATTGGACTCTTCATGCTCTTCATGCGTGTCGCTATGGAGATGAGGAGAGCGCAGAATAACAACAGCATCAGGAGGCGTCCAGTGGTATCGTGGCGATCGTAAGTAACTGGAACGCCATCTTTAATACCCAAGCGTTTCTCGACCATCCGCAGCTTCTCCTCAAATTTGTTGGCATCGGCGACAGCCATGTGGAATATAGTGGATGACACTTTGCGTCCCTTGATGACGGCGCCATCGTGCAGGATAATCGTAACCATTTCCATGTCGGGTCGTATGATCAGCTCCTTGACCTCACCGACGGCTAGCATATGATGCACAAACTCATTCCACGAGACGTATCGTGTGGATCCCTCGGGTCGCTCTGTGCGCGGTGTAATTAGCAATGATATAAAGGCAACAAACATGTAAATGGTGAATAGCCAAAGAACCGCTTTTGTCAAAACTGAACGCATTTTTTCGTCGTTTTCATTTTTGTTATTGTTGTTGTTGCTGCTCGGGTTGGAAGAGTCCCCGCTGGAACTAGAGCCGGCACTGCTGCTCGAACTGGAACTGGATCCTTGTTTTGATTCTTGCCCGCAATCTGACGTGCTTTCGCTGCCTTCCTTGGTGGGCTTATCCTTGCTTTTGCTGCCGCTGCTGCTTCTGCTGCTCGACTTGCTGCTGTGCTTGTCCGCATCTGTTCCTGAGTTGCGAGAGCATAAGCATCGCAGATGTAATTGCTGCACCTCGCGTGGCGTTAATTGCAGCGAGCGCGCAATAACGCCTACAATCGCCTTATACTCCAATCGCAGCATTCGCATCTGTGTGAGGAAAATCGACATGGCTCTTTTTGATACCAGCTGCAATCTGCAATCTGCATTCCCCTCACTCACCTGTCGGTAACTTAGCGGCTGCACAGCAGGCGCAATTGGTGGCCGTTTTAGTGGCAAGCTGGCAGCTGCGGAGCCATTTGGATTGCCCGTTTGCGTCACGTAGGCATGACAGCGCGCCAGATTGTGGTGTCCACGTTGCAGCACATTTCGTAGGTGTCGCAAGCCCTTAAACATAATTCCCAGCCACTTTAATTATCTTTAGACTTGTAGCCGCCGGTTCGAATACGTAACTTGATGTTGTTCGCTTGAAATAACATGGGCTAGTGTTGCCACCCCGGCGCAAAACGATTGGCCAATCAGCTGTTCGATGTTGTTTTGGGGCGCAGTAAGCAACTATAAATTTATAAATAAAGTTGTCATTTTAAGACATATTTTTTGGGAGAAGTTTTTGAAAAAGAGAACAGAAAACACAATTTCTACGCTGATTACAAAATAAATGAGTCTATGTATTTATATTCGATATAAATATCATTGATAATTTGATGTTAATCCTTATACGTTACCCGCATATCGAATAATAATACTATCGTTATTCAACACGTTAATTTCATTCGGTTTTATACATAATCTTTATTTTCGGCTCTAAAATATATTCTCGGGCTGCTCAAAATGAAAAACAATCAAAAGGACCTATTCATTAAAATAAAAAAAATATATATAATAATAATAATAATGCTATACAAATGTTACTTCGTACTACACAATAATAATGTCACTGAATTGAGTAACTAATTTGTTAAATGTTTTTGTTCTTGATATGGCATTTGTTTGCTGCTATCAATAATTGCTATTCACTGAGCCATCGAACGGGCCCATAGTCTCGCCGTAGTCCTGCATCTCCTCATCGATCTCATCATCGAAATCATCTCCCGCATCTTTCGAGTCTGGACAATGTCGACAGCGACTCTCATTCACGCCATAATTAATGCACGTTGATCCTACGCACTCACAGCAGCCATCGTGGAACCATCTACATTTTAAATAAAACCAAAAATCCTTGAGTTAAATATAATGGAACTAAATTGATGAATTTATATTAAGTACCTGTAGCTGCTAGCGCCCATTGTTTGACAGCTTTGACGGCACTTATTTAACGACGTGCACTGATCCAAATATATAACTGTGCAATTCACTGTCAGCGTATTATCGCGTTCCTCACGTGCTTCATCCAGATTCTTGTCATTGAATTCTTTTTTTATTGAGAATGATAAATATATCTTTCAATCTATTTTTATTTTTACCATATTGCACATCACTTACTCAGATAGTATTTCTCATCCTTATCCAGTTTTGGTTTGCCCCTAGACCAGTCCACTTGAAAAGTGAAGACATCCCAATAATCACTTTCACTATCCTCATTTGTGGCCAGCACATTAAATAACTCAGGCACACCATCGAAATCCTCAACGTGTGACTTTTTAGACAGCGAATTTCGCGTATCATTGGGTTTAGGACAGAGTTCTACGAATGATTGGAAAAAAATAATAATTTTATTAATAAATATGGATGAGATAAAATAACGAGTAATATATCATGCGTCTTTATATCCAGTTATTAGAAAATATACATTAAATTTATAATTTAATAAAAACAAATAAATAGTTACTATCGAATACAAAAAATGGCACAACATAGTGTTAAATTTTCCTATTTTGCACTGTTGCAATCGGGATTCAAACGGCGGCTCACAATTATCGATAAGTGAGACACGCACGAAATCTATGGTTACACATCGCAAATATCGCGCACGCATACATTTGCAAGCAATTACTATAAAAACGGCAAACACAAAAAAAAAACGGAGCGCAAGAATGAATAATGATAATGTCACATCACATCATCGATCCCATATATATATCATTTTTGACTTACCCACACAACTACAGCATTCCTCGTAGTACTTTTTGCCCAGACACTTGAGGCACTCTTTGCAGCAGGAGCAATTCTTAAGTTCGCATTTGCAACTTTGCGTCAACATACACTTGGAGACTATTGAGGCGCAGACGACTTCGTTGCACGACTCCACCATGCCATAGAAGCACACCAAGCCTAGTGCTAGAAATGCGCCAACCGTTAGCGATCGCCAGACCTCCATTGTGATTGTTGATATATATTTATTTATTTCAAATATTCAGTGTTTTTTTTTTTATTATGATGATAAAGGCGGATGCAGTTGGTTTTTTTTTTTTATTTGAGAGTGTGGTGGGGGTTTGGCGGTGTATTTGAATTGCACACAATAATCGGTGAGTGAGTGCCAGAGATAAAGAGAGGGGTGCAGGGACAGGAGACGAGACGAAACGAGACGGCGGTTTCGGATTTGATTTGTATAATTATTACAACAAATAACAATTTTAAAAAAAGTAAAACACAACACAGAAAACAATTGTTAACAACTACCACACATATAAAGCATTACAAATATATATAATATTTATATATATTCAATATTTTGATAGATACATAGAAATTGTGAATTTCCGCAGCGCGTTATAAATTTTGTATTTGCAGCAGGCACAAGAACAAGTTTTGGAATGAGCTATGAATATTTTTACTAAATCATTGAACAAGTCAGTCACAGCGCGTAACAACAACAACAACAACAGTAGCAGCAGCAGCAGCAGCAACAATAAACGACACTACGACGACATACACTACTAACAACACGATCCGATCCAGAAGACAAACACACAACGATCTCATCGACAGATGAGCGAGAGAGAGAGGCGAAACGACGACGGCGACAGCGACGACGACAACAACGAAAACGACGACGACAACGAGACGGCGTCAGCTATGTTGCTTGTTTTTGTTGTTGGCGCGACGCAGCAGGGCATAACTGTCTTTTTTTTTTACCCTCCTGTCTTTTTCCCAGCCAGGCCCAGAGGCTAGCCAGCCAGCCAGCCAGCCGAGTTAGTTAGCTAGATACAATGCGCGAATTAAGCGCGCGCATACACACACAAGTGAACACGCATAGGAGGCGTACACACACACACATACACAACTGAATGGCTTAGAGAAACGTAAACACGTTACGAAGCGCTGAGATGCGTGCGGGGGCGAGTGTGTGTTAGTTGTCGATGACGGGGGCGGGGACGCAGCTGTAAGCTGAGAGCTGAGTGATGGACTACCGCAACGAGATGCGAGCAAACACAATAACACAATAATGATCAATACTTTGAGATCAACAAGGTATTCGATCGGAATGCTCAATAGCAGCGTGTGGGTGTGTGTGTGTGATATTTGTGAGAGGGGGTGTCGTGAGCAGTGTTGCCAATTATCGATTACCAGAATCGAACAGATTGACAAGAAATAAAAATGTACCAAAAATATATGACAAGCATAAAAAAGGCTAGTTTATAAAATAAAGTTCTGGAAGATGAGGATGGCAATGAATCTTTATTATTACTATTATTATAAATTATATACAGTTCGTCATGCTCTGTATCAAGCACAACCAATATTGTCTGCATTTAATTTATAATAATATTGGTGCCAAATTCTGAGCTACACAACAAGCGCAAATTGCTAACGAAAAACGGAGTTATTTGACATTATTTAAAAAAAAAAGGATAGATTTCCGGACGGGGCCGTTTGTTAATCTTTCTATTTAGCAAGACGGCAGCACTGTTCACATGTGTGCGAGCTAAGCCGAACTATCGATGTCATAGCTTTCAAGCCGCGTTATCGACATTGGGCTGTACTGATTTAAAATAATATCCAATTTTTATAGCTAGGTAGAAAAGTGAGTTTCAAATCAATTTTAATTTTAATAACTATTGGTACCAAACGCGGTTTGCACATATTGCATTAAAATGCACGACATGCGCACATCACCATCAGATGCATTTGGAAAAACTGGCAACGCTTTGGCAGTTAGACAGCAACAAGCGTGCGGCGCATAAATAATAACTTAAAAACGAACTTAAGCGCAAATGATTGCGTTCAGAAACTGTGCCGTGCTAGTGATAATAGCTTCAATATGTAGCTTTCTTTACGGTATTTTCCACATACACGTCGAGGTGGAGCCAAACGCCTGCCGCATGACATACATGTTTGGTCAACCACAATTTGCCGTAAGTCGAAACAAGATTTTTGTCCACTTATTCTGAGTATAAATAGAAATGTCTTCATTGACAGCGGGTGAGATTTGATGCGAATAAACAGTTTCCCAATTATGGCCTCTACTACTACTATGAGGGCGTGCGTCAGCCAGTGGATCCGCACAAGATGCGCATGACGGGCGCTCCAGTTATCTTTGTACCAGGCAATGCCGGCTCCTACAAGCAGGCGCGCTCGCTGGCTTCTGTCGCGTTGCGCAAGGCGCGAGATAATCCCGAGTCGGGTATTCATTTAGATTATTATACGATTGACTATGATGAGGAGCTATCGGCGCTTTATGGCGGCTATATGTATCATCAGCGTTCGTTCCTGAAGCACTGCATTCACACAATTCTGTCGCTGTATAAGCAGCCGAGTCCCATTGTACTCATCGGTCACTCCATGGGCGGCAAGCTAGCGCAGTCGGTGCTGACAGATGCGCAGATTGGACATTATATCAATTCAATTATTAGCATATCGACGCCGCTCGATCAGCCGGTGCTCAATTTGGATGCACACCTCAGTCAGTTCTATGCCGAGACACATGAGCTGCTCAGTCGCACACGGACCGCCACGCACCCAACAAGCACGACAAATGTGTGCCAAAGCCTTCATCAGAAGTCGCCCAGTGAGCAGCGCATCGCTAACCAGGAGCTATCCGCCAGTCTCGACAATGTGCTGCTCATCTCAACAGGCGGCGGCAATCGAGATCTGCTTGTCCACGCCGGTTTGACCACATCGCAGTTTAACGATCTGCATGCGATGGTAAAATCTCAATTTACTAATGTACTCTTAAATCTTTGTTCAACCGCTAATTTGTTTTCATGTCTCTTTAGACCTCGGCCATTCCTCGTGTGAGTCTCAGCTGCGATCATTTGTCTGCCGTCTGGTGTCTCCAATTCATGCAGGTCATCAATCGGTTCCTCTTCAGCATTGCTCAGCGACGCGACGACTCCACCATCATCTTCAACAGCAACAAACAGCGCAATATGCATGCCGCCCTGTCGCACTTTGTGGTAAGCAAACAAGCAATATTATTGTGTGATTAAAAAAACGAAATATTGTTACTATCAAATCTTCGTTTTCTATCGATCTAGAAACAACGAACTCGCCAGCAGAGCATGTTCAGCTTTCAAACGCACAGCAATTGGCATGAGGAGCGTCGCATGGTCATCAACAAGTTCTTTGCCAATGGCCTGAAAAGTCACTACCATGAACTGATTGGTATACAGCGCCCGGAACGCTATAAGGTATTCATACATTTGTGACTCTTCACGTGGGGCATAATCTTCTTAATTCACACGTCTTTGTTGTGACCACTTCATGTACAGAAACTTGCCATTGAGGCTTTGAACGTTGAGAGCGATGAGAATTGGCTATTTGGTTGCGAATCGCATAAGGACAACGAAACGGAGCTAAACTACTGGTGAGTAAGCTCGTGTACATGCCTATATACCCGAAACCTTATTCATTTTGGATTGCAGCGACAAGGCGACACCGCTGACGCATCTCGTCCAGCGTTTAACAAATGGCGACAATGCGCCACGCAGCGTTGCCCTACTCGATTTGCACAATTTGCGGAAAACGTACAGGCAGTGGACGCACGTGATGGTGCGACTACCGGCGGTCAGTCAACGCACTGGCTACAATCTGGACATTTACGATCCCAAGGAGCGCATCCTGGACATACGCATGCCGCGCTGGTACGCCTATGGACGCCGTACAATTGTGAATGAGACGCTGCAGGGCACTTTGCACTATCGCTTGCGCATCTCGGAACTCGTTGAACCCTATCAGAGTTTGCGCATTGTGATTGAGCCGTTGCAGTGTTTGCAGCCCAATTATCGCATCACAGCCAAATTGTGTGTTCCCTGGGCTGCCGGCTTTGACCGATATCAGACGTTAACGTACGTTGGTTGGATCTCTAGGCTTTAATCGTAAATCGTTGCTCATTTGATTGCTCGTAATTGCAGTTCACCGGATCAAAAGCCAGGATTGTATATCAATGTACCCACCATGATGCCCAGGCATTATAATACCACATTGAATCCCGTCACGCTCGATTTGTATTTGGATCCCATTTGTCGTTATCGCATCAGGTAGGATTATTTAGATAAGACCATAGTAGTTGTAGTTGCAGAAAGTTGTATACTGTTCATTTTCCAAACGTTTCTAATTCATAGATTCTTTTGAAATGAATTTAAAGCTTATTGGTTGAACAAGTTAACTTATTTTGTCCCAGCGTCTTCATACATTTCCCATCCTCGTAAATGTTATTTGAAAAAACCCCATCTATAACTTACATTGCCTTGATGAATAATCTTTTAGACTTATCCAGATGCTCTGTGTTTTTGTCTTACTATCTCTCTCGCCCTCTCTCTCTCTCTCTCTCTATCTCTATCTCGTTCTAAGCTATGAGTATTCATATGCGGACGCTCTGTCGCGCTTGGTGCTGGAGTTTTACGGCTGGTTCCCGGCACATTTGGTTTGTGTTCTGTTGATTGTGCTCCGCAAACAGTTGGATAAGTTTCAGCCCGCTGGTAGCTTCAAGAGCCTCAAGCCCTACGTTGGTTACCTGCAGTACACGTCGCTCTATATTGTCACAGGTGAGCTATGCTAAATACCAAAATGGTTACAATTATTGCAATTAAGGTTCTCCTTCGCTTGCACAGGTTGTCGCTTGCTCAAGAAGCTAATATTAAACCTAAAAGTATTGCCGACACCGGAGCCACTGGACTATAGCATTAATATATCGATAATCATACAATGCATGGCAATTGGACTGTCAATAGTTGCCGCCTTGGGCGTCTGGCTATCACTGACATTGTATGGAAATGCATTCCATCGCTTGGCGCTGCGTCTAACACGGCTCTCCACATCCGGTTCGAACATAATGATCTCGATAATGACACATCTGCCGATTACGTTAGGCATCTTGACCATTGCGATCGCGTTGGCGACCTGCAGTGGATTGGCGTTACTTTTGGCCTTTGTCTTTTACTTTCTGATGCTATCGAACGCCTATAAAGATTATCTGGAGGATTATCTGTGGCAGAAGGCGGCCAATCTGGTGCATATGGCCACAGGCACGCGCGGAACACAAGCACCAACAAATGATTCAAGATCTACCAATGCGGAAAATGAGTGTGAGAGAGAACAGGAGCTGGAACAAGAACTGAAGCTGGAGACTAGCGATGATAGCGATGCCATCGAGAACGAAGCAACTGAAGATCAGCAGCAGCAACAACAGCACGATGAACAGCAACAGCAGCAACGGGAACAGGAGCAGCAGCCCGAATCGGAGGAGGAGAAAGAATGCTGTGTGGGTTTGCAGAACTTTCCATTTCATATAACGCTGTTGCTAATGCTGCTCGTCCAGCTGCTCCTCAGCGTTCCCACCAGCTTGGCCTGGCTGCGCAGTCGCCGGTGCGTAATGTGCATCCAATGAGTAAATATTTAATTCAATAGTATATTTTCCGTTTTGGCTCTTTACAGACATGGCATTGTTCTGCCCGATCCGTGTTTACTTACCAGCATTGTGGTGCTGGGCTCATTAAGTCTGCTCCTTCAGCTCCGCGCTCCACAAAAATTGTAAGTGCCACATAAATATTATTTGTGTTCTGTTGAACTAAAATGCAATATTGGCAAATCGGGTTTTTTGTGTGAAAATGCACTATTAATCTAGCGACCAAAAATTGGTTTATTTTTGAGAAAGTTGCGGCTATGGGAACATTCAACCCAAGCCGTTATCCTTCCCTTATAATCGATTTATGTACTACCCACAGCAAAAAGACGAATAGATAACAAGTTCCAACAAGATAGTTTTCATACTGAGAAACTTTTATACTTAAACGAGAACTCGGCTAATGAATAAATACATTATAGGGTCAGACACGTCTCCCTCAATGCGTTATACATGACAAAAAGTATTAAAAAATTCAAGGAAAGACCTTTGTCTTTATGTACTAAAGTGAAGGCTGCTTCACAACAGGAGATCTTCCTATCAACTTGCAGATCAGCCCGAAACTTATTTCAAAACTGTATCAGCTGCAAGTTTTGCAGCAAGTTTGAATTGCTGGCGCTCTTTCCAATATATTCAATAATTTACCAACAGATAGCTGGCAATACTTCTCCGAATTTGCTGTGTATCTTACAAAATGCTTTCATGTAACAAATGCCACTTTGGACTCTTTAGCTCCAGCTGATTGCACATATTTGATTTATATCAAATGTTTTTACTGATAAGCTAAGACAGGTGTTAATCAAGCGAACTGGTTTGATTGAAATTCCTTCTTTTTGTTGTTGGATTTTTTGTATGAATTACGTATCGGCCAACATCTGATAATAATCATTATACTTTGCAGGCGGTTCTACTGGATGTTGTCAATCATATTGTATTTTTTCGCCGGCATTGTGCTGCTCTATTGCCAGGCGGCCATTTATCGTCTGAACTATGTGATTGCTGGCGCCTTTGTCATGCTGGCCGTTCATCAAAGTCTGGCGAGGCTAATCCTAAAGATGCTGCACTAACTCCGAAGAACAAAGAGCTAAAGAAATAAGAGAGAAGCAAACTTCGATGCCATGCAGTTCATTTCAACTGTAATTTGTATTATAAGACTTTTTTATTCTGTTATTTAGTGCTTTTATGTAGTTTTTTGTTTTTTTTTTTTTATTTTGTATGCCTAACTTTGTATTATGTTTATTTTTTTTATTTTGCGTAAGCCATACCAAATATGTAAACTAGCTATAAATGCGATAGTAACTTAACGAGATGTCTGATATAATAAGTATTTGGCTCTACAAATGACATGCTATGTTTTTGTGCATGAGGTGCGGGAAGCCCATAATAATCTGGGCGTCGGCATCATCGATCGATCATTCGATTGCAACGTGTGTGACTAAAATGTCAACAATGCCATTTATATAAAATGTATGAAAATTCATATAAAAAAAATGAAACATGAATGGCAAATTACACACAACAACACGAATGAGATTCATTTTTTTGTGAGATTTATGCGTGTCTAGCTACAATTATATATTAAGTAACTAATATTTTAACCGAGAGCCTACAAGCTTAAACAAAAATGTAGCTAAAAACAAACCAAATATTTGAAATACACATTGATGTCTAATTGTAGTTTATTTAACTTAAATAATTGTCAAAGGGTTCGTATACGATTAGAAAAAAGAAAAACTTACTGAAATAAATTTCATATGTGTGAAATCTTGTCAAATAGTTCTGAACATTATAAGTAAAGCGCAGAGATATCGAAAATATTGAAATGTTTATTTTTCTTCTTTTATATTCGTTTAGCTCAGAATGCATTTGAGCTTTGAGATACAAAGTGAGTTGTGTTTGAAAAATGTATGTTGAGTCTAGTGCAATTTCATAAGCCGATATTACTAAATATAGGTATAATTAGTTAATGTGTTTGACAAACTGATAAGTCGAAATGCTGTTGCATAGCGTAAAGTGTGATAAATTCCAATCAAAATTTAAATGGTCAATTGGTGTTCCACAACTTTTTAAGTGTTGATTTGTCAACGTGTCGTCCTCAGGCAAATAACAGGTGGGCTGCTCAAGTGACACCTCCGTCAATGGAGCTGGAACAGGTACAGGTACTCATATTGATAGTCGAACTGAAACTGGAACTGGTCCCCAGGCATGGGGACGTGCATGGGACTGGGAGTGGCACAACACTCGATATTTGATCAAATGCATTACATGTGTAAATCAACAGTGTAACAGTGTTCGATCCCAATTTCTTAATGGCCGATTAATTTGCGCACAAAATTGTGAAACGTGTGTGGATATTTAGTAAGTGTGGCATGGTAACTCGATATGTATATATATATATATATATATATATCTAAGATTTATGCGTGTGTGCTTAGCGGGACTTGAATTTCTCTAACTGGATGAAAAAATATGTACGACCCTCTTGGGAAACTGTTGATTGATCCGCTTTTGGTCACTTTTCAGACTGTTATGGACTGGGAATTTGATAACTAGGTGCATACATACGGCGGCATAATTATGTCAATTACTATGGTGACGAATTGAAAATCGGGTTCCCCGATTGGAGCAAGACAATAGCAAAATGGGGAAACAATTTCAATTAAGGCCATAACTAACTAATCCGATTTCGGTTTAATCTAAAAAACACTATATAGACATTACATTGTTAAGTTGTTGATCAAAATAACATAATAATCAGATTAATTCAATTTAATTCAATTAAGTTAGAGGAAAGAAAAAGAGCGACAAGACGCGATGATCATATATAGATGTGTGTATTTCGTAAAACGTTTACGAATGCGACACTAAGGATTAACAAACCTAGATGATCAATCAGATAGGGGTAAAGGAGACAGAGAGGTAACAAAGAGGAGAGCAACAAGATCGAGACTGGTCAAAATCGAAACATTTTCGAGAAAGATACAAATAAATGTATAGGAAAAGTACATGAATATAATTATTTTTATATAAATGCTACACAATCAGCACGTATAACGTTAACGAATGCAGTGCAAAAAGGAATTGTGAATCTATATGGAAAAAATGAATAAATTGTCTTTGTTTTGTGGATTATCTTTAGTATTAACTTTTATTTATATATATTTCAATTGCAAAAGGTTAACAAAAAAAAAAAAAAACAGAATTATAAAATAATGACATCGTGTTAAACACTTAGCTATTTACAGTTATCACTTAGATGCCACATAAATACGACAGATAAGCACGATTATATAGTAGTACATATAGAAGTAGATAGTCGACATATATGGTTCATCATCATTTCACTGCCAATTGCTGGGTACAAACTGAACCGGATTGCCAAGGAAAGGCGGCGGCGGCAGGACATCAATGCTGTGTGCGATTAATTCAATTCAATGGGATGAGAGATGAACAGAGGATTGGGGATTGTCATATGTGTACACTCACCTCATTGCCTGGTCGGTCTCCGAGCCGATGGTGCGATAGACACGTGGTCGAGGCGCCACATAATTGGCGGATGCAAAACTCCTCGGATTGGCAACGGGAAAGCGAATGTTGCTGTTGATGCGACGCTGAATGGGGCGTCCCAAACGTGATTGGGCAGCGGCGGCACCAGCAGCAGATGCTCCAGAACCAGCAGCAGCAGCTCCTGCAGCAGCGGATCCTCCACCTATTGCACCGCCGAAACCAAAGGCGCCCAGACCAGCGCCGGGCACCGGAATCGGAGCGGTATACATAGCCGATAGCTGAATGGGCACAAAGGCGGGCAACGAGACGGTCAAGGGAACAGCGGGTCCTGGGCCGGCGGGTGCTTCAGGTGCTGGCTCTGGTGCCTCCGGCTCAGGTTCGGGTGCGGGTGCGGGTGCCTCTGGCTCTGGCTCTGGGTCTGCCTCGGGCTCTGGCGCTGGCGTTGGCTTGGGCTTCGCCTCCACTGCCTTCCAGGCGGCCAGCAGCGAGAGCACCTCATCTCTGGTTATGTGATTTGAATGCGATGGTGGCAATTCAATGCTGGGACCGTTCCAGCCGCTGCTCCAGCCACTGCTAATTGGTGGTGGACCATATAGGCCACGCGGTCCCCGGCCATGGTTGTGGCCAGGAAACAAAAACTGTGCACTGGCCAAAGTCAGGCAGCTGACCAGCAGGACCAGCGATAGACAAGGATTCTTGGATGCGAACATTGTGGTTGCCGTTGTTGGTTGCTTGTGTGTTGTTTGTTAGTTTGATTGTTGTGCTGTTTGTTTCACTTAGATGAGCGTTGATTGTCTGCGCGTTAGTGGACTGAAAGCCGTCTTATATATGCCGCAGCCTAAGCTGCAACTGCAACTGCAACGGCGACAGTGACAGCGGCAGCGGCAGCGACTACAAATTTCGAATTGGGTTAGACCGGCCGGAAGCAACGGCAACGGCGACGACAAAGACAACAACAACAACAACGACAACTCCACAGGCCTCATCCAATTGGCATTGGCATTTGGTCAACTGGTTCAAATTCGCTGGCCGCGCATTTTCGCATGATTAGGAAGCCAAATGCAACATTCAACATTCAACATTTGCACATGCACATGCACATGCACATGTGCCCCATTTAAGGCCGCATTGCATCACAATCAGACGAGACAAACTGGTTCATACCAAATCTTCAGTCCCAGCCCCAGCCCCATTCCCAGCTCCAACTGCAGTGACAGCTTCAGCTCCAGATACACGGCATGTTCCTGTAGCGCAGTGTAGACAGGCTATTTATTGGTTAACCACTGGCATAAACATTTATATGCACATATACATATATATCTGTATATATACTCTAGCTGCAGTTATTGTCGCATTCTCAAAGATATCCTCTTACTTAAAAAAATTATATATATTGCAGATACTCTCCCCATTTTGTTCTTGTTTTTAAAAGGAACTTTTCATTTATTTTTTCTTTTTAATAAAATGTTATATATTTTATTTAAAATACTTTCCACATTCTGTTCTTATTTTAAAAGAAAGCTAAAACATCAAACTAAATTAGCATATATGTAGTTGTAATATAAAGTTTCGGTTGATATACGTATACTTGATAACTGCCAGAAAGGGTGTTCAATCTGCGATAGCATTTGCTGTGGAGCGGACTTGTTGGTGGGCGGCTGGTATCCTCGTAAAACTGAATGAGTACCAGCTCATTGGTAACAATGTTGCCATCGACCTATACACAAAAAATAAAAGAAAATAAAATAAAATAAAAGAAAAAAAAACACAACGAACACATTTCCAATTAATGCCACCTGTTATCCGTTGACCAATTGGCACAAAATTCAATCACATTGCAAGTTGCAAACGTATTCAATTCACTGCCAGAAAGAGTTTCCTGGTGGAGCTGTAACACCTGAGGCCGCCGAGTGCGACAGTATCGCTGGACAGCTCGCTGACAAGACGCTACACCACCTCATGATATCCCTCCGCCGACACCAGTCGCAGCTGGCGGACCGGCTCTGGCGACCGAGGCGAACCGGAGAACCGCAGCCGAGCGTCCGATCTGGAACATTAACGAGAAGTAAAAGTTAACAATCTGCACTGTATATATGGCATATGACTTCAAAAAGGAAGAGAGCGAGACAGCGAGAGAAAGAGAGAATTATATCATGTATGTATATAGTTAGACCATGAGTGAGAGTATACAGCAATGCTAATCTTAACAAGTTAAAATGTAATGCAAGAAAAACGTTTACGAACTGCGAGACAGAGAGAGAGAGAGAGTGAGTGGGAGAGAGAGAGAGAGAGAGAGAGAGAGAGAGAGAGAGAGAGAGAGAATGAGATGGAGTGAGTAAGATCATATATGCATATTTATATACACCAATACTTAATCGTTATAAGCTAAGCAAAAAAAAAAACGTTTACGAATGCGAGACCAGATAAGAAATTGAAAAACAAAAACAGCACTAGTCTGTTAAAGGAAGCGATTAGAGTGTGTGGCAGTGATGAAAAAAGTAGTGGTCATAGTAATGGCACATGTAAGTTCCTATATACATTATTGGCTTAAAATTGTAATTATGGAAAGTTATTAGCAGCTGCAGGCATACAAAATACAAATTGCTACCAAAGGATATGAGCATAATGCCCGAGACAGCAACGTGCACCTTATCGATAAGCTCCACAATGGAGGGATAAGCAGTGTGCACATATATCCGAAATGTTTCGGGCATGGGCTAAAAATCACAATTACAATTTAGAAATAAAGCCAATAAAGTCAATGGTAAACTCACCCTGCCTGCAGATATGCTCGCTCAAACCGAACCCCAAAATCATTAAGAATGCATCAACCAAACGTGAGCAGGATATTCTGCAGTTTGCAGTCAGCCAGCCCAACCAATTCAAGTAGGCAAACACTTAGAAGAGCTGCGAGACGGAAAAAACGACAAGACAAAAAAGACAAAGACGTGATTCAAACGGATCCTTTCGCTTAGGACAAAGGTCAAAGGAAACGGCTGATATAATGCTCAGTAGGAAAAAGAGAAATAAATAATATTTTATTTAATGAATCTTAAATTAAGAATTATAATTGTGAAATGAAAAGCATTTCAGTTAGTTATAAAAATAAATACGAAGAAATATATTCTTCCTTCTGCAGTCTCTACTTGAATCAATTGGGATTTGAATTTTATTAGAGCATATATTCAATGTTAATGAAAACCCAGAACTGACTGGGTGAGACAACGAATAGGGTGAGGGCAGCGCATTTTATCCTTTTGGCCAGATGACGCTCCCGCTGTTGCCAGCTCTCATAAGCAGTCTGGCCCACAGGCTGGCATTAGAGGTGGCCACACCCGTGCCAGCAGCAGGAAGCGATACGAGCACCACAAAATGCTTGCACAAAACACAAAATTGACCATAGATAAGTAAAATAAAAAGTGATTTTTAGTGGATGTTGATGGTTGAATTACCTACCCACATGGCATAAACAGCATATCCACTGTGGTGCAATTGTGGCATACCTGTTGCGCCAGCTGCCCCTGCTGATATACAATCCCTCGGCGCTGGCTGCCTGAATCCCGCCCACGGGAATTAAACTGAAGCATTGGGCAATCGCGAGCATTTCCATATTGCACAATTGGGTAATAATTGTGGGAAACAACCACATAAATATATAAAACAATTAATGTCGGCTTTTTCAGTTGCAGCAATTCAAAATTTCATGTGGAGATCAACGCACAGACTGAATATCAGCTGGTGCCACCACGATGTGAAAGCTGTTGAGGAAACTGGCGTGTGCCGCATCACTTCGTTGCAACTAGTCTCCTGATTTCATTTGTGGCATTAGCAGTTGACATGCACAACGGCGATGCTGAAGGTAAATGCGATGCATTCTTATTCCCATGGGCAAAATGACCAAATGCAGCTCAAGTCTGCTTGACAGGTACTGTCCATCCGTGCTTTCATTTACAAATTAGAACAGGCAACACCTGTGGCTGTCTTGATTGTTATCAATGCAAATAAATTCAAGCAAATGTGTCCCCAACGAGCATTTAATTGCCACTGACATTCTGTGGTGTACCACAAGGCTGCAAGGCCGGTTTTGGTGATATTCAAATAGCTGTTTTGATTATTTTTTATCGAATATATTTTTAACTTTAAAATTGTGGAGAGTTTTTTTTTTACAAATAGCGCTTGTCTTAATTAAAACCGGCAGATTGGTTATTTTTAAAGGTTGACGAACTTAACCGAGAAATGAGATATTGCCTCGTACATTAATAAATTGATTTAAGAATAAATATTAAAACGTTGACGGAGAACAGAAGTAACACGTAATCAGCATTATAAAACCGATTTGCAATCGTTCATTAAATATATATTCTATCTAAATTACGGTTTCCCAAATCACCATTTCAAATAGCATAGGAATGATAAGTCGAAAGAAAAGTTCTTGCAAGAACAACTTTTTTGCTTATCAGATTTTCCAAAACAAACTCATCATCAAAAAGAAAATTATCGGCATCGGACGACAATATCACATAGCTTTCATTTGGATAATGAGTCCGGTTTTTTTTTCTTAGTAAAATTTTGATAACGGCAAGTGTATGAAATCTTTCCTGTGCCTGACCCTTGTTCATTGCAAAAATGCTCTTAATTTAAACCCGTTTGAAAAATATACTATCGCGGTCTTTAACACGTTAGTGGACTAAAAATTAAATCGAATAAAATCACAGATGTCAAACTGTGTTTACAACGTCTCCAGCCGTGATTAAATGATTATGTTCATATATTACATGGATATAAATATATAGATGCACATACATATGTTGTCCATTGTAGCTGGAATTGTAATTGTGTTAGTGTAGTGGGTCGTATAATGAGTATTGTCTGGATTCCGGGTTTCACTTTTCGAAAATCTTGATGTTGTCTCATAAATAATGCTCGAAAGCCGATTGAGACCTGGATGCGGATGTTTGTTGGCTAAAATACAAAACGAAAAATAAATAAATTAAACTAAAGTAAACAGATCAGAGCCAACTGGTTACATCGCGTTTTAAATGGCGGCGATTAGTGAAACGTGTTTTAATCAACACACGTAAATTCATAAATTATATTTGTCAATAAAGTTTTTAGCATGTGACAAAAAGTGAGCAAAAGAAATGTTGATTGCGAAAATAGATTATTTGCACATTTATTGTTTGACATAATTGTGATGGAACGAATGTAAAACTGGATTTGTTAAGAGGCAATCGCTTTTGCATCGCACATTTCGGCAAATGGAATAGTCTCCGTTTTATAAATGTGACAGTTTTGAACCAGATTTCGCAAATGTATGACGTCATCGGGAAAACTTGTTTTAATTGCAGAATGATGTGGAGGATAAATCAGGTTGGTGGCATGGCTTTACCTCGAAGCACATTAATACGTTAATAGCATCACGATGAAAAATGTTTGAATATTTCTTAAAAAATATGCAATATTCATTTACTTTGGCATCATAATAATTTTGCAATCAAATTGACTTCCGTTTCCGCTTAAATTTCCTTTTCGGATTGACTATAGAAATGCAGATCGGAGCTTTATTTGTTGGCTGTCTAAATATAATTGGCCAGCAATTATATTAAATTTGTTAGTAATATTTGCATAGAGTTTGTTGGTGTTGGCCGTTAATAATTGCAATTATCAGCTTACTCAAAATGGCACTGTAAAAGTGTCGATTGCAATAAATGATAGCATTTATGAAACGACTGGTCACTTCTCAGTTATCGATCGCACACTTGGGGGTTAACAGTGTCAGTCGAGAGCAACAGCGGCTTAACATTAACATAGCTCGAACATCATTTGTTGTTGTTTCGCCGCTAGATTCAGACGTGTACTCATTTTTTATGCACTAAATTTCAAAGTTTCGCTCGTTTTTGTTGTCAAAGTCCTGCCAGTGCAAGCAACCGTTATTTATTTTGTTTTATTAGCCAACACGTGCCAACATTGATCTCTAAACACACAAAAACAAGTGTCATTCCGTGAATAACAATGTCTGATCGAAATTTCTCATCAATTTCGAATAACATTTGAAATATATATATTTTTTTTTTGGTTTGTGATTTAAGCTGTGAAAGTGAAACAACGATGTGTTTGCGTATAGCATACCAAAATGCAATTACAATACAATAATATATATAGTGGCGCGCTCTAAAAATCCTTTCAACTAATTTCACAGCTGCCTCCTAACAAAAACCAACAGCAACAACAACAGCAGCGGGTAAGCGTAACTTGACCAGTTAATAATATGTAATAGCTACTGTTATGGCTTTGTATGCATGTGTGTGTGCGTGTCTTTGTATGTTGCTGTATTATGTGTTTCTTTGCGTGCGTGTGTGTATGCATATGTGGCTTCGAAATATAATTTGAAACATTGCGCATGCAGTCAAACGACAGTTGTTGTTGCTGTTGTTTCTGCCATGATAAAGAACAAACGGCTGTTTGCCTGCTGCATTACAAAAAGATTCTTATGCACTTTTCCACCCTCCCTCTCGTTCGCTCTCTGGCAGATCAGCAGCAGCCGCACACACTCACAGAGAAACCACTTTTATCGTGCTCAACCAAAATGAATTCACATTCATCGTTTCAATTTGTTGTTGTTTTATTTTTTTTTTTATTCTTCCCCAATTTGTTTTCTTATTTACTTTGGTTTCTTTGTGTGCAGGCTCCTGCAAGTGCGTTTCATAGCCTGCAGCTTGTGTCGCCAACACACGATTGTCATCTTTGCACAGTGATTGTTGTTGCTGCTTTTACTTTTTCTTGTTGTATGTTTTGGTCAAACAAATAAGCAGAGCAGCTGATGATGATTCATCCGCGACTTTAGACAGCAGCAGCTTTTTGCTGCAAATTTTACCTCGACTCACGCTCAATATAAAAAAAAAAACCCAATATTCATACAACTGCCTTTTCCGGCCTGTGGTGCACATGCATAAATATATAATAATTATAATATTAGTACAGTAGTCGCTCGCAAAGTGTGAATGCTTTCGTCTCGCAGTTGATTACAATTGAGTACAAAAAATGTAATATAAAAGTAAGCAAAAATATATATTTTATATTTAAAAAAATTTAAAGTGCAAATTCATCCAACAACAGAACAACAACATAAACAACATCAAAGAAAATTTGCAAATATTTTTAAAATTTGTTTGTATAAATGTTTTACGAAATGTAAATTCTTAAAAAATAAATTATTGACTCAAGGCTTTATTATAACTATCGAGCGTCCACTGTAATAATTATATTAATGGTAAATATATTATAAATAAGCTAATTGCGAACGTGCACCTACAGCTATATTTGTATACAGAAGCGTCATTCGCTTCGGCTTTGGTTTTCGATTAGTCAGCAAAAGTTTTCGTTTTGTCTTGAATACAAAAAAGAAAAAAGTACATAAAATAAAATAAACGAAAAGCAAAACAAATATGAAAGAAATGCTGATGAGAGACCCCACTAAGGTTGAAATTCCCTTGACATAACTTTATATTTGATAGCTTAATCAGTTTTGCTTTGCTTTGATCGATGGCTCAACTCTCAAGTCAATGCGCGTTTCAATATTAATTCAAGAATCAATTGAGCTCTGATATCTCAGATAAGGCAAGCCAATAAACATAAAATCGATGTCAACAGAAACTTTTAGGCCGTGGGTGGTTCCAAAAATAACACTTGAACTTCATTGAACTGCGGAATTACACTGACCCAAAGAAAATCGTTTTAAACGCATGATATTCATATTCATTTGGTCGTAAATATTGTAAGCCATCTGGTTTTTATAGATTTTTTCTTTAACGCGGATAATCCATCATTATAAGAATCATCTGTGCCCAGTATCATAATCAAAGCTTCACTTAGAAACTAGTTCATATTAGACAGAGGGCACAAATATATTCATTTCTATATATAATTTGCTGTATATTCATTTCTATATATCATTTGCTTCGGACTTTGAGTCTTTTGTATAAGTGCTGATATCTGATATCTGACTTACAAACTGAGCAACCCTCGATGCATAAGAGTCACCCCAAAAGTTTGCCCCAAGCACATCCCTGACCCTCTCTGTTGAGAGAATGTTCTTATGCTCAACATATGCATATATATATATATATATATATATATATATATGTATATAAATTTATATGTATATATGCATAAATGTGCCAGCTTATCTCTAATATCACTGGCCCAACATTTTTAAAGTGGGGGAGTAATTGGGAGGAGGGGGAAAGAAGACGCACTCATTTGTGCATATTCAGATTGAAATTATGGTTTCATACCCTAACCAATTCAAAATGAAACAAGTAACAGTCAATGAGTTAGGTACTAGTTGATACCCTGCACATACATCGTAAACAGATATGCTTATTTTTCAATTAAAATTTAGCATATATATCTATCTATATATATATTGAATGCTGATGTAGTCAACAACAACAATCCTTGAGATGCACTGAAAGAAATGCAGATATCCTATGTCCTTACTTTGCAGAAAAGACGATGTCTTTGTCTTATTGTTGAACAACTTTACATGCATATTTTCAATGTTTATACAGGGTATTAAAAAGAAAGACAACAATAAGAAGAAGAGTAAAAACACACGCACACACACTGACACAACAGACACACGACACACATGTTGATCATGCATGAAAGCAGGCCGCACATTTTACCCCCAAGAATTCAAACAGAACCCAAAAAAAAAAAATATATCGCTGATGGAAGCCGAAAGAGAGAGGGGTGAGTGGGGGAGTGCCAGGGGTGGGGTGGGGGATGGGGAAGCAGCAGGGCAGCCCCTGCATTTGAAGAACCACTCAGTGGTGCTGCTGGTTGCTGTTTGCTCTGCTTGGTGGTGGTAGTTTGATAGTTGATTGTGGGAAGAGTCTCCGGAAATCGCTGTTAAATGCGTAACAAGGCGCTTTTTAATTCAAGCGATCCGAATATAAATAACGGGCATGAAGCATATTAAATAAATGAAATTGTGTGGCATGCAAAACAGTTGAAACGCTGTCAGATCGACCGACCTGCCAGTTAGCTATCTTGTTATCTTTCAGCTGCACAAAAACGCACCACACAACAATAACAACAGCAACAACAACAACACCAACAACAAGACCTACAAAGAGTGTCAAACATAAAAAGAAAAAAATAAAAACAAACAAAAAAAAAACAGAGCTTAATTGAAAATTTCAGTTTTCATTACTCTACTCTTTTGTTGTTCACTCGTTCATTGTGCTTGCTGCCACATTTCGTTGCTGAGCCGCGCGTCGCAAAGTTCGGTTACTTCGGTTCTTGCAACATGTGTTAGACTAGGAGTTAACAAAAAAAAGAAAAAAACAATTTGTTTCTACTTTGGTTTTTCTTCAGTTGTTTTTGTACAAGGTATGATTGTAATAACTTTTGACTGAATTTCGACTATTTATTATCCATGTTTACAAGTTTAATTTGCGTTGTTTTTTTGTTTTGTTGCTGTTGTTGTTATATTTCTTACAATATTTCTGATTATCGTTTTGGATAAAACTACTGTATGTATGCGTTACTTAATTTTAAAGTGTTTCTTCAAGTGCGTTTTTTTTTTCCTATAAATTATTGACTCATTATAGAATGTGATGGCTTTAATCTGATTTTAAAATGAACTCAAGTATTTTTGTATTTATTGGTTGGTTATTTGTTGCTAATTTGAATCATAATCGTTGTAAAGGTTCCGACTTATCTCAAAATTACTCAGTTCGGTTTCTTTTGTTTCCTCCGCATTTCTACTGCTTATCAGTTTTGGTTTTTTTTTTACTTGTATTGTTTTTGACAACAATTTGAATTGGTCGTAAAAACATATACGAGAAGAGTCATTAAAATGAGCGTAACTGCAGCTGATAGCGCTTACATCTTGCCTGATTTCACAAACAAATTTGAACGTACAACGAAAATGTCGTCAATGATTGCAATTTACGAAATGGAACAAACCGAATACATTAAAAAATAAATAAAATAAAAAGGAAGTAGATTAAATGCTCTGCCATCACATAAAATACGGTGTTTTTATAGTTTTGCTATTAAGTGATAAGAATAATGCTTTCAAAAGAATTCTTATCCATTTCGAATTATTTTCAAATTATAAACAGCTATCCTATCATAATTTTTTGCCCTACTATAGCATGGATGCCCCCACACAGTCTATTTATCCGCATTCCGCAACGCTTTTCGCTGCCATCAGTGCCTGTGTTTTTGTGACCGTCGGAGTGTTCGGTAAGTAGAATTATATATATATGTATATATGCGACTATATGTTATTTGTATAATTGCAGGCAATCTGATAACATTGCTGGCGTTGTTAAAGAGCCCAACGATACGCGAACATGCGACAACAGCCTTTGTCATATCCCTGAGCATATCCGATTTATTATTCTGCTCCTTCAGCCTGCCACTGACAGCCGTGCGTTTCTTTCAGGAGGTACTTGAAATTTGCTTGTAAATTTTATGCATAATTTGTTTAAATTTTTACATTTACCACTCTCATTTCACAGAGCTGGACATTTGGGAGCACTTTGTGCAAGATCTTTCCGGTGATCTTCTATGGCAATGTCGCCGTCTCACTGCTCAGCATGGTGGGCATTACGCTAAATAGGTAGGATTTAGGAACAGAAGTCAAGTCAAATTCATATATATATAGAGATACATAATGTGCTCTTAATTTGCAGATATATACTCATTGCCTGCCATAGCCGATACTCACAGATCTATAAGCCCAAGTTGATAACGCTTCAACTGGTGTTCGTTTGGGCCGTATCCTTTCTACTGCTGGTAAGCAGTGCTGTGCACAAGGCACACACACAAATCGTTTACAAACTTTAACTGAATTATTCCTTTTTTTTTGTAGCTGCCACCCATATTGGGCATATGGGGTGAGATGGGTCTCGACGAGGCAACCTTCTCGTGCACAATACTCAAAAAGGAGGGCAAATCGATTAAGAAGACACTCTTCCTAATTGGCTTTCTGTTGCCCTGTCTGGTTATCATCATATCGTATTCCTGTATCTATATAACCGTGCTGCATCAGAAGAAAAAGATACGCAGTCATGATAATTTTCAAATTGGCGCCGCCGGTGCCGCTAAAACAGCATCAGCATCCGGTTCCTATGTGACGACGACGAGTACGCGTAAGGCGCGTGAGGATAATCGCTTGACGGTGATGATGGTCACCATATTTTTGTGTTTCCTCATCTCTTTCCTGCCGCTGATGCTGGCCAACGTTGTCGATGATGAGCGCAACACCTCCTATCCCTGGCTGCACATCATTGCCTCGGTGATGGCCTGGGCCTCTAGCGTCATCAATCCGATTATCTATGCGGCAAGCAATCGCAACTACAGGTGCGATTAAACCATTTTGAATGATTCATTTAAGTTGATTAATCTAAACTAAAAATTCTTCTGATCGTTTCAGAGTTGCCTATTACAAGATATTCGCATTACTCAAGTTCTGGGGCGAGCCGCTGTCGCCGATGCCAAGTAGAAACTATCACCAAAGCAAAAACTCAAAGGAATTATCAGGCGTCATTCGCAGCACGCCATTGTTTCATGCTGTTCAAAAGAATAGTATTAACCAAAAGTGCCAAACATATTCAGTATGAGTCTTTTGTATTCGAATTTGCAATACACGACAATTAACTACTTATTAATATAATATACACATATACAAATTACATATATATACGTATATTTAATTTTTTTAAATTTATGTATATTAATTACTATATTCGAGAGTGCATAAGTGAAACAAATAAAAGAGAAATAATATATTTAATCTATGGCTGTTGTATTTAACTTTATTTACCATACTTGGTACGACTCATTAATAAAGATCATCCCGCCCGACTTTCCTAGCAGGCTGCTGGAGGTGCCTGCACCAGTGGCGCAAATTAGGTTGTTGCATTGTCTAAATTGAATACAAACAAAAAATTGCCGCATACTTTTGGGGGATTTCGATTTTTTTATCAAACTGCACTCAAGGATTATGGGGTCATCTAAGCCGCGAAAAACTTTTGATGGAATTAGTTATCATTCAAATCAGAAAATACGTTTTTTTTATCTAGGCATTTAGGGCTCAAATAAAATGCATCGCATAATGCTTTAAATGTTACTATATTAATGATGAAGTTCCATTGCAAACCAGAGGGTTTACGTATAGCAAAAATAGAAGTTGAATAAGCTAAGCTGCACATATGCAATCTGCTACAGGGAACGTCGAAACAGATAACGTAAAAGTTGACCAGTCAAGGAAAATATGTAACCGCAGCTGCCAATATGTTGTGGGCCATAATAAGACAATAATTATACATTGTATTATAGTATTGTATGTGTTCTATAAACTGTGCTTTGATATGCATATCGAATGGGAGCCTATTTTATTCGGCAACAAAAACAACAAAACAATTTTGTATTCAAATGCAACTCAGCTGCTCTTGTGCTTCGCTTTAATTAGACCGCATCCGGGAATAACATGTCCATAAGCTGGCAATAGACAGCGCCTATTTGCGGAGAAATTCTCGTAAAGCGACAAATTCTTCGATACATTTTTCGACTGCACGTTATTGGGATCCATTTGCTATTATTTCTATGGATTTACAAAATTATTAGTGTTCGTCTGCACCGTTCAGCTTGCAAAGTCAAATGTACTGAGCATAAAATAAAACACAAACTGCAGAGCCTACTACTGAGAATAAAAATAAATAAATAAAAAATAAACTCAATGGCAGCCACAGGTTTCATTGGATCACATCACAGGACAGTGTGCGCATTTCAAGTGTTTTAGCTGCGCATGCTCTTTTGCTCTGCTCTGTCCGTTTTTAATCCTCTCTTTGCTCCAATGCGAGGCAAAAAAAAAAATACTGCCCAGTAGCGAAATAGTCAATGACCGCTCACTACCGAATGCATTCTGTCTGCATACAATTCATTACATAGAAATACGCATGTATTAAGAGTTGTATGCTGGAGCTTCTAAGTCAAGCACAAACTTGTCTTCGCTAAAGCTACAGCAACAACGAGCCTGTAAAGCGCATAAAAAGCTTTTGGCAACGCAAACTTTCTGCACGGCACATTACATGTGATTACTTGTGCTTATGCACCGTCTACAAAGTATACATTACGAATCTAAAACGTTATGCAAATTCTTCGCTGCTGGGTATTCATTTGTTACTATTCTTCTCTTTAGTGCGTGCTTTGCTTGGCAACTGAATACTAATTGCTTAACTGATCAAAGAGAGCACTCTTACACGCACACACACAAACAGAAACATACACACGCGTCTCATATATATATGTACACATAATATTTAAATCACATTCCAAAAAAAAAAGGTTTTATTCTTATTACTTTCGCATTTGTTGTTGTTTTGTTGTTTTCAGGAGAATTACTAGCAGTAATTAGATAGTAACAAGAACACTGCAGTTTTTTCTTTATGCCTTGACGGCGAATTTGCGCTGCGGGAAGATGGAACGCTTGCGGATCTCCTTCAGCGTCTTGCGGTTGGCGTCGCGCGACGACAGAGCCTTACGCATGGAGCGGGTCTTCTTCTTGCGCAGATCCAGTGGCTTGTACTTCTTGTTCTTGAACACCTTGCGCAGATTCTCCTTCTGCTTCTGGTGCATCACAATGTAGACGCGTGAGATGGCCTTGCGCACAACGCGACTATCCAATTCAAATATAAATAAACAATCGAATTAGTCGCATGTTGTTTGTTGCTTGCCGAGCATAACTTACATTTTGGAGAGCTTGGATGGGGCTCCGCCGGTGACTTTGGCCACACGCAAATTGAGCAGCTCATTCTTGAGCTCATCCAATTGCTTGGTGAGCTCCTTTTTGTCCTTGGTTCTCAATTCGGAGCACAGAATACAGAACAATATTATTCGTAATTTGTTTGATACACACAAAAATAATAATTCACACACTAAATATGCACAATTTGTATGGTGTTGCTCAGCACTGCCACATTTTAATGTTTCCGAAATAGACACCAAAAATGTAAATGTCAACATAAACCGAGTAAAGAAAACCCCCACCTGGAAAAAGCTACCAGGAGCAGGCTGCCATCCGGAACTAACAGCGACAAGGAAGAGCAGGACGTGGGGAGAGAAGGATCGGAACCATACAACAAAATCGTGAGTCCGTTCCAATAAAACCACGGCGGAAAGAAATTTGTATCTGTCAACAGTGCGCAGGCCTAACGCCCCTCTCGCACAGCTGATAAGTGTTACATCAGTGTTACAATCATTAAGGCCCATCATCGATTAAGTTATCATAATTATTAATTGTTATACGCAATTATTTGCGCTGGGCAAATAACTCATTCCGGCTTTAAGCTTTAATCAACACCGAGACATCTCTATGTTGGTTTTCTACATGCCGAATGCTAGTTGATTATTTGGTGCAAATATTTTTTTCTTTTGACATTAAATTTCTGTGAGTAGATACCCTCATATTTATCCCGGGGAGCTCCGTGGGGTACTTAAGGGTGTCCCCCAATGATCTGAAAACTCACCTTCGTGTTAAAAAAAATATATACAAATAAAAAAATGTATATATAAAATAACTTAATTTTTATATATAGGTTATGTAAAAGGCTTTAAGCACCAAAAACAAGACTGCGCAAAGTAAGGCAATTGTGAGGGCGTAGAAGGTCGAACAAAGTTTTGTCGGGTCTCGTTCGTTTAAATTAGATTTAGTGTAATAACTATATAACCAATAAGTCTGAGCATAAAATGTTAGCCGTAAGCTATGAACATTAAATATACGTAGTCAGTTAAAATGACGGCTTAAGTTTTGTAAATGGAGGGGAGGGGACCAAAAATGTTCTTGGGATAAGATGTGATCTTTGATATTAAAAGGGTGGGGCATTAACTGTATGATTTCGCCCCACAGGAAAGGCGGGAGCGCTACGGCAATAACAGCGAGGCCACCGTTGGACGTCGAAGTTAACGTATTTCTTTTGTTTTAAATAATTGTTACCACTGTCTGTTATCATTATCAAGTAATCAGCTGTTTAATAGTGATGTGTAGATTTGATTAGTGTTTGTTATTGTTCGATCGGCGGGCAATGGGCGACCAACCCTCAATGGAGTACTGGCTGTCCGGAGCTGCTTCATTAGGACAAACCGACTCGTAACAGCAAATATGGCTGGCAAAGCAGTTAAGCTACTTATAATAGGCGAAAGTCAAGTTGGCAAATCCAGGCAAGCAATTAGCTAAATTCCAAATGTATATTATTGTTATTGCGTAATCATCATGAACACACACACACGCACACGCAAATACAGTGACTCACAGCTGATTAGGACCAGTGTCCAGCAAAAAATTTAAAGTGCTATAAGGTTTAAACAAAGAAACATAGGCAAAATGTTAAAATGCCAATTTGTTTCATGTTATATCACGTTTGAAAAGGAAACTGTATGCGAAACACATGCGAAGAAGACTCCTAAACAGAGAATGGCTCTGCAATAACTGACTGAGTCACTTGTGAGCTTTGCCTTGTCTATTTTGCATCCTGATCGAAAGTATTTTTGTTCCTTTTGTTTTGCAGTCTCCTTTGTCGATTCGTTGACAATAAATACGAGGACAACGGGAAGACCACAGTTGGCGTAGACTTTAAGCGCGCCGTAATATGTGTGGATGGTACAGAATACAAGGTGGCACTGTGGGACACAGCTGGCGCCGAACAATATCGCTCCATAACACCCAATTTCTATCGCAAGGCGCACGGCGCCATTCTCGTCTACGACAGCACCAGGCGGGAGACTCTCGTCAAACTGAAGCAGTGGTTCGAAGATCTGGAAACTTATTGCCACAATCCCAACATTGCCATCATGGTCGTTGGCAGCAAAATCGATGAGAAACGTGTTGTGGATAGTGAGGAGGGTCGCAAATTTGCACGCGATCATGGCGCTCTCTTCATCGAGACATCGGCCAAATGCGATCTGTTTGTCAAAGATGCGTTCAATCAAATTGTCAAAAAGGTGCCCAACTTTTAAATAATACTACGAGTAAAAGCTGACTAATATTTGTTATTTTTATTTTTCAGATTGTTTCGTCGAAACATTTTGACAACGGCAGCGATTCAAGTCCTTCTGCTTCTGCTTCTCCTTCTTCATGCTGTTGATTCTTTGGAATTATCAGGCGTCATTTGCAGCACGCCATTGTTCCATGCTTTTCAAAATAATAGTAGTAACCAAAAGTGCCAAATATATTCAGTATGAGTAATATGTTAACCTATAGCTGTTGTTTGCGCTATCAGCTTTTTGATAGCTTTATTTTCCAATTAACAACACTAAGTTATTTCCACGTTATAAACTTTGTTGAGTGTATTTAGACTGGAAGCCAAATGCTTAGTCTTTTCTTAAAGATTTGAAGCCACTTGCTAAGCCTTCTCACAACGAGAATAATTATAAACGACCGATAAGCTAGAGCTATTCGAAAGAACTAACTAGCTGCAGCAGCCGGCCGATCAGCCAACGCACTTTATCCAGAGAGAGAGCGAGAGAGAGCGCTGCACAAAGAGAGCGCTGTACAATGAGAGCGCTGCTAACGCTGGCTGCTGCGGCTCAAACTGCACTTAACATCACGTGCATACATATTAAGACTAACTATAAGCTATTTATATTAAGCCACGCAGGGCACCAAATCCAAGCATGTTAACAACTCATAAACAATTAAATGTCTTTGCTGCTGCTGCCAACAGCTGTATTTAACTTCATCTACCATACTTGGTACGACTCATTAATAAAGATCAGGTTGCGGGAGGTGCCTGCACCAGTGGCGCAAATTAGGTTGTTGCATTGTCTAAATTGAATACAAACAAAAAATTGCCGCATACTTTTGGGGGATTTCGATTTTTTTTTATCAAACTGCACTCAAGGATTATGGGGTCATCTAAGCCGCGAAAAACTTTTGATGGAATTAGTTACAATTCAAAATCAGAAAATACATTTTTTTTTATCTAGGCATTTAGGCTCAAATAAAGTGCATCGCATAATGCTTTAAATGTTACTATATTAATGATAAAGTTCCATTGCAAACCAGAGGGTTTACGTATAGCAAAAATAGAAGTTGAATAAGCTAAGCTGCACATATGCAATCTGCTACAGGGAACGTCGAAACAGATAACGCAAAAGTTGACCAGTCAAGGAAAATATGTAACCGCAGCTGCCAATATGTTGTGGGCCATAATAAGACAATAATTATACATTGTATTATAGTATTGTATGTGTTCTATAAACTGTGCTTTGATATGCATATCGAATGGGAGCCTATTTTATTCGGCAACAAAAACAACAAAACAATTTTGTATTCAAATGCAACTCGGCTGCTCTTGTGCTTCGCTTTAATTAGACCGCATCCGGGAATAACATGTCCATAAGCTGGCAATAGACAGCGCCTATTTGCGGAGAAATTCTCGTAAAGCGACAAATTCTTCGATACATTTTTCGACTGCACGTTATTGGGATCCATTTGCTATTATTTCTATGGATTTACAAAATTATTAGTGTTCGTCTGCACCGTTCAGCTTGCAAAGTCAAATGTACTGAGCATAAAATAAAACACAAACTGCAGAGCCTACTACTGAGAATAAAAATAAATAAATAAAAAATAAACTCAATGGCAGCCACAGGTTTCATTGGATCACATCACAGGACAGTGTGCGCATTTCAAGTGTTTTAGCTGCGCATGCTCTTTTGCTCTGCTCTGTCCGTTTTTAATCCTCTCTTTGCTCCAATGCGAGGCAAAAAAAAAAAATACTGCCCAGTAGCGAAATAGTCAATGACCGCTCACTACCGAATGCATTCTGTCTGCATACAATTCATTACATAGAAATACGCATGTATTAAGAGTTGTATGCTGGAGCTTCTAAGTCAAGCACAAACTTGTCTTCGCTAAAGCTACAGCAACAACGAGCCTGTAAAGCGCATAAAAAGCTTTTGGCAACGCAAACTTTCTGCACGGCACATTACATGTGATTACTTGTGCTTATGCACCGTCTACAAAGTATACATTACGAATCTAAAACGTTATGCAAATTCTTCGCTGCTGGGTATTCATTTGTTACTATTCTTCTCTTTAGTGCGTGCTTTGCTTGGCAACTGAATACTAATTGCTTAACTGATCAAAGAGAGCACTCTTACACGCACACACACAAACAGAAACATACACACGCGTCTCATATATATATATACACATAATATTTAAATCACATTTCCAAAAAAAAAAGGTTTTATTCTTATTACTTTCGCATTTGTTGTTGTTTTGTTGTTTTCAGGAGAATTACTAGCAGTAATTAGATAGTAACAAGAACACTGCAGTTTTTTCTTTATGCCTTGACGGCGAATTTGCGCTGCGGGAAGATGGAACGCTTGCGGATCTCCTTCAGCGTCTTGCGGTTGGCGTCGCGCGACGACAGAGCCTTACGCATGGAGCGGGTCTTCTTCTTGCGCAGATCCAGTGGCTTGTACTTCTTGTTCTTGAACACCTTGCGCAGATTCTCCTTCTGCTTCTGGTGCATCACAATGTAGACGCGTGCGATGGCCTTGCGCACAACGCGACTATGCAATTCAAATATAAATAAACAATCGAATTAGTCGCATGTTGTTGTTTGTTGCTTGCCGAGCATAACTTACATTTTGGAGAGCTTGGATGGGGCTCCGCCGGTGACTTTGGCCACACGCAAATTGAGCAGCTCATTCTTGAGCTCATCCAATTGCTTGGTGAGCTCCTTTTTGTCCTTGGTTCTCAATTCGGAGCACAGAATACAGAACAATATTATTCGTAATTTGTTTGATACACACAAAAATAATAATTCACACACTAAATATGCACAATTTGTATGGTGTTGCTCAGCACTGCCACATTTTAATGTTTCCGAAATAGACATCAAAAATGTAAATGTCAACATAAACCGAGTAAAGAAAACCCCCACCTGGAAAAAGCTACCAGGAGCAGGCTGCCATCCGGAACTAACAGCGACAAGGAAGAGCAGGACGTGGGGAGAGAAGGATCGGAACCATACAACAAAATCGTGAGTCCGTTCCAATAAAACCACGGCGGAAAGAAATTTGTATCTGTCAACAGTGCGCAGGCCTAACGCCCCTCTCGCACAGCTGATAAGTGTTACATCAGTGTTACAATCATTAAGGCCCATCATCGATTAAGTTATCATAATTATTAATTGTTATACGCAATTATTTGCGCTGGGCAAATAACTCATTCCGGCTTTAAGCTTTAATCAACACCGAGACATCTCTATGTTGGTTTTCTACATGCCGAATGCTAGTTGATTATTTGGTGCAAATATTTTTTTCTTTTGACATTAAATTTCTGTGAGTAGATACCCTCATATTTATCCCGGGGAGCTCCGTGGGGTACTTAAGGGTGTCCCCCAATGATCTGAAAGCTCACCTTCGTGTTAAAAAAAATATATACAAATAAAAAAAATGTATATATAAAATAACTTAATTTTTATATATAGGTTATGTAAAAGGCTTTAAGCACCAAAAACAAGACTGCGCAAAGTAAGGCAATTGTGAGGGCGTAGAAGGTCGAACAAAGTTTTGTCGGGTCTCGTTCGTTTAAATTAGATTTAGTGTAATAACTATATAACCAATAAGTCTGAGCATAAAATGTTAGCCGTAAGCTATGAACATTAAATATACGTAGTCAGTTAAAATGACGGCTTAAGTTTTGTAAATGGAGGGGAGGGGACCAAAAATGTTCTTGGGATAAGATGTGATCTTTGATATTAAAAGGGTGGGGCATTAACTGTATGATTTCGCCCCACAGGAAAGGCGGGAGCGCTACGGCAATAACAGCGAAGCCACCGTTGGACGTCGAAGTTAACGTATTTCTTTTGTTTTAAATAATTGTTACCACTGTCTGTTATCATTATCAAGTAATCAGCTGTTTAATAGTGATGTGTAGATTTGATTAGTGTTGTGTTATTGTTCGATCGGCGGGCATTGGGCGACCCACCCCTAATGGAGTACTGGCTGGCCGGAGCTGCTTCATTAGGACAAACCGACTCGTAACAGCAGACAGCAAACATGGCTAGCAAGGCAATTAAGATACTTATAATAGGCGAAAGTCAAGTTGGCAAATCCAGGCAAGCAATTAGCTAAATTCCAAATGTATATTATTGTTATTGCGTAATCATCATGAACACACACACACGCACACGCAAATACAGTGACTCACAGCTGATTAGGACCAGTGTCCAGCAAAAAATTTAAAGTGCTATAAGGTTTAAACAAAGAAACATAGGCAAAATGTTAAAATGCCAATTTGTTTCATGTTATATCACGTTTGAAAAGGAAACTGTATGCGAAACACATGCGAAGAAGACTCCTAAACAGAGAATGGCTCTGCAATAACTGACTGAGTCACTTGTGAGCTTTGCCTTGTCTATTTTGCATCCTGATCGAAAGTATTTTTGTTCCTTTTGTTTTGCAGTCTCCTTTGTCGATTCGTTGACAATTATTACGAGGACAACAAAAAGTCCACAGTTGCCATAGACTGTAAGTGCGCCGAAATATGTGTAGATGGTACAGAATACAAGGTGGCACTGTGGGACACAGCTGGCGCCGAACAATATCGCACCTTATCACCCAATTTCTATCGCAACGCGCACGGCGCCATTCTCGTCTACGACAGCACCAGGCGGGAGACTCTCGTCAAACTGAAGCAGTGGTTCGAAGATCTGGAGACTTTTTGCCACAATCCCAACATTGCCATCATGGTCGTTGGCAGCAAAATCGATGAGAAACGTGTTGTGGATAGTGAGGAGGGTCGCAAAGTTGCACGCGATCATGGCGCACTCTTCATCGAGACATCGGCCAAATGCGATCTGTTTGTCAAAGATGCGTTCAATCAAATTGTCAAAAAGGTGCCCAACTTTTAAATAATACTTCGAGTAAAAGCTGACTAATATTTGTTATTTTTATTTTTTAGATTGTTTCGTCGGAACATTTTGACAACCGCACTTCCCCCAACGTGGTGACTTTAGATAAGAAGAAAGGCAGCGATTCAAGTCCTTCTGCTCCTGCTTCTCCTTCTTGCTTTTCATGCTAACGCTGCTAACGCTGGCTGCTGCGGCTCAAACTGCACTTAACATCACGTGCATACATATTAAGACTAACTGTATGCTATTTATATTAAGCCACGCAGGGCACCAAATCCAAGCATGTTAACAACTCATAAACAACTAAATGTCTTTGCTGCTGCTGCCAACAGCTGTATTTAACTTCATCTACCATACTTGGTACGACTCATTAATAAAGATCAGGTTGCGGGAGGTGCCTGCACCAGTGGCGCAAATTAGGTTGTTGCATTGTCTAAATTGAATACAAGCAAAAAATTGCCGCATACTTTTGGGGGATTTCGATTTTTTTTTATCAAACTGCACTCAAGGATTATGGCGTCATCTAAACCGCGAAAAACTTTTGATGGAATTAGTTATCATTCAAATCAGAAAATACGTTTTTTTTATCTAGGCATTTAGGGCTCAAATAAAATGCATCGCATAATGCTTTAAATGTTACTATATTAATGATGAAGTTCCATTGCAAACCAGAGGGTTTACGTATAGCAAAAATAGAAGTTGAATAAGCTAAGCTGCACATATGCAATCTGCTACAGGGAACGTCGAAACAGATAACGCAAAAGTTGACCAGTCAAGGAAAATATGTAACCGCAGCTGCCAATATGTTGTGGGCCATAATAAGACAATAATTATACATTGTATTATAGTATTGTATGTGTTCTATAAACTGTGCTTTGATATGCATATCGAATGGGAGCCTATTTTATTCGGCAACAAAAACAACAAAACAATTTTGTATTCAAATGCAACTCGGCTGCTCTTGTGCTTCGCTTTAATTAGACCGCATCCGGGAATAACATGTCCATAAGCTGGCAATAGACAGCGCCTATTTGCGGAGAAATTCTCGTAAAGCGAACGATTTTTGTTTTTCTTGTTTGGCATCCCTGCATACTTACCGATGCAGAGCTCCTCGACTTTCAGGATTTCCGTATCCATTTTTTCATTTACCCAGAACAGCACCTTGAAGCGCGACAAATTCTTCGATACATTTTTCGACTGCACGTTATTGGGATCCATTTGCTATTATTTCTATGGATTTACAAAATTATTAGTGTTCGTCTGCACCGTTCAGCTTGCAAAGTCAAATGTACTGAGCATAAAATAAAACTCAAACTGCAGAGCCTACTACTGAGAATAAAAATAAATAAATAAAAAATAAACTCAATGGCAGCCACAGGTTTCATTGGATCACATCACAGGACAGTGTGCGCATTTCAAGTGTTTTAGCTGCGAATGCTCTTTTGCTCTGCTCTGTCCGTTTTTAATCCTCTCTTTGCTCCAATGCGAGGCAAAAAAAAAAAATACTGCCCAGTAGCGAAATAGTCAATGACCGCTCACTACCGAATGCATTCTGTCTGCATACAATTCATTACATAGAAATACGCATGTATTAAGAGTTGTATGCTGGAGCTTCTAAGTCAAGCACAAACTTGTCTTCGCTAAAGCTACAGCAACAACGAGCCTGTAAAGCGCATAAAAAGCTTTTGGCAACGCAAACTTTCTGCACGGCACATTACATGTGATTACTTGTGCTTATGCACCGTCTACAAAGTATACATTACGAATCTAAAACGTTATGCAAATTCTTCGCTGCTGGGTATTCATTTGTTACTATTCTTCTCTTTAGTGCGTGCTTCGCTTGGCAACTGAATACTAATTGCTTAACTGATCAAAGAGAGCACTCTTACACGCACACACACAAACAGAAACATACACACGCGCCTCATATATATATATACACATAATATTTAAATCACATTTCCAAAAAAAAAAGGTTTTATTCTTATTACTTTCGCATTTGTTGTTGTTTTGTTGTTTTCAGGAGAATTACTAGCAGTAATTAGATAGTAACAAGAACACTGCAGTTTTTTCTTTATGCCTTGACGGCGAATTTGCGCTGCGGGAAGATGGAACGCTTGCGGATCTCCTTCAGCGTCTTGCGGTTGGCGTCGCGCGACGACAGAGCCTTACGCATGGAGCGGGTCTTCTTCTTGCGCAGATCCAGTGGCTTGTACTTCTTGTTCTTGAACACCTTGCGCAGATTCTCCTTCTGCTTCTGGTGCATCACAATGTAGACGCGTGCGATGGCCTTGCGCACAACGCGACTATGCAATTCAAATATAAATAAACAATCGAATTAGTCGCATGTTGTTGTTTGTTGCTTGCCGAGCATAACTTACATTTTGGAGAGCTTGGATGGGGCTCCGCCGGTGACTTTGGCCACACGCAAATTGAGCAGCTCATTCTTGAGCTCATCCAATTGCTTGGTGAGCTCCTTTTTGTCCTTGGTTCTCAATTCGGAGCACTTGATTTTACCCTGTGCACAGAATACAGAAAAATATTATTAGTAATTTGTTTGATACACACAAAAATAATAATTCACACACTAAATATGCACAATTTGTATGGTGTTTCATACACTTGATTGTTATTTTAGCTACGGATGTGCTTTATTTTGTTCGAATTAAAATTCGCAGAGATTTGGACACCAACCATTTTTCTTGCTGGTCACGTCAAAAAAGAAAGAACTAGGGCGGTGTGCAACACAACGAGGGCTGCTTCAACGCAAACAAATGCCGATTTTTTGACATTTGACAGTAGCTCAGCCATATTTCACAACACTTTTACTGTTGCTCAGCACTGCCACATTTTAATTTTTCAATTGTGGAGCAATATTGCTAAATGCGACACGGTGGCAACGCCAGCATACCTAACCCAAAGCCCACTCGAAGCTAAAGGAAATCCGCAATTTGTTTAAACTTTGGCGTGTATATAAACAAATTGTAAATAACAATATAAATTACAACACATAAATATAGAGCAAACATGGCTGACAGAGCAATTAAGCTACTCATAATAGGCGAAAGTGGCGTTGGCAAATCCAGGCAAGCAACTAGCTAAATTCCAAATTCATACTATTTTTATTGCGTATTTATCACAAACACACACACACGCACACGTAAATATGTCAACATATGCGAAGAAGACTCCTAAACAGAGAATGGCTCTGCAATAACTGACTGAGTCACTTGTGAGATTTGCCTTGTCTATTTTGCATCATGATCGAAAGTATTTTTGTTCCTTTTGTTTTGCAGTCTGATTCGTCGGTTCGTTGAGAATAAATTCGATGACAATCATGACGTCACAATTGGCATGGACTTTAAGAGCGCCGTGATGTGCGTGGATGGCACAGAATACAAGGTGGCACTGTGGGACACAGCTGGCGCCGAACGATTTCGCAGCTTAACACCCAGTTTCTATCGCAAGGCGCTGGGCGCCATTCTCGTCTACGACATCACCTGTCGGGAGTCTCTCGTCAAACTGGAGGCGTGGCTCGCCGAAGTGGACAGTTATAGCGACAATCCCAACATTGCCATCATTGTCGTTGGCAACAAAATCGATCGGGAACGTGTTGTGGATCGTGAGGAGGGTCGCAAATTCGCACGCAAACATCGCGCTCTCTTCATCGAGACATCGGCCAAATGCGATCAGTTTGTCAGCGATGCGTTTAAGGATATTGTCGAAAAGGTGCCCAATTTTTAAGTAATACTACGAGTAAAAGCTGACTAATATTTGTTATTTATATTTTTTAGATTGTTTCGTCGGAATATTTTGGCAACGGCACTTCCTCCAACGGGCTGACTATAGATAATGAGCAAGACATCGATTCAAGTCCTTCGACATGCTATTGTTGATTCTTTGGGGTTCTTTCAAATTACCGATTTTGTGTAAAATGTCTAGTGTATATTTAACGTTCAATAGCATAAGCATAAAGTCGTCTAATCACAACGCCATCTCACATATCCCTTAAGGTTTTGGTAAGCAATACGACGCAAATGTTGAATGTACCTTCTTAATTGTAAATATATAATAATCCCATACATTAAATTCAAACTTGACAGCTACAACTTGCCCCACTGTCCAAGATCGCCAAATGGATTTTAAGCTTGTGGCTTGATCCCCGTTCTCTCTCACCTTCTCGGTGTATACTACTCTTCATGGCATAGTTTTATAATTTGCTTTTTTTTTTATTTATTGTTTATTTGAAGACATTTCTGCATTCAAGTCAAGAACTTCACTTAACTTAATGTGGAAAAAAAAACGTAGATATACATTCATTGTACATAGTTTACCGCAAAATAGAGAAAGAAAAATAAGTAATGATAAATGACAAATGAGAAGAATCGATTGAAGATAGAAATGTACAAGGAGCACGATTATTGTTATTAATTTAATCGTTTTGATTGGTGTTTTTCTTTTCATTTCGTTCCGTGTGTGTTTGGTGTGTGTATTGTGAGAGTGTATTTACATTATCGATGAATTTGCTTGTTTGTTTGTTGCAACTAATCGCTACCGCTATCGAAATAGTTGACGCTGTGAAGAAATAGCAACTCCAGCCGTACGCCCTCTTTTTATGTACACATCATATATTCATAGTGTGGTTGGATTTATCGTTTTTTTTTTTTTGTTTTTTAGGTTTTTGAATAGTGTCTAGGCAAATTACAAATGTAACTTAAACTTATAGCAATGTCTCTCTGCTGATTTGGTCACTATTTGCCATCGATGCCACTCTTTTTGGCATCCAATTCGTAGATGAGCAACCGCCACATTTTTACAACAAACACCTCAGCCTCCTCATCCAGCACCTGTCGCCAAAAACAAAGAGAGAGAGAGAGAGAGAGAGATAACGACTTAGCTATCGATATATTTATAGAGGTGAATTTGGTTTGAATTGTGTTTTAGTTACCATTTGGACATCGTCCAGTATGCTTTGAGGCGGACTGCCGGCCAATACTTTGGAGCATATGAAGTCGACTAACGTCGGCTCCGGCTCACCAATATATTCAATGATCTTCTTGTTGATCCACGGACGGATTTTGCGTTCCATTAGACCGCTGTCGACCTCGTTGCGATCGAGTTTATAATTAAAGAGGTCCTCCTTCTGTGTGGGTATCCGGTCAATGATGCTCTTTATGTGGCGACGCTTCTCATCCTGCACCTTGGCACCATTCTCATCCTTTTTGGTGTTTGCTGCTGCTGTGCCACCGGTGCCACCTGTGCCATCGCCGCTCCCCGCCGACGCAGATGCAGCCTCGTTTTTAGCGTGCTTGTTGTTGCCGCTGCCGCCGCCGCCATGTTTGCCAGCATTTTGTCCGCTCGCTTTTACACTAGCACTTCCGGCTGAAGTGGCGGAAGTTGAACTAGTTCCGGCACTAGCCGCACCACTGGCATTGGCAATCTTTTGGCTAACGGCGGCGGCAGCAGCTGTCGCCGCTGATACAGCAGAACTTTGGCGCTCCGCAGCCGTTTGTGGTGCACTAACGGTTGTTGTGCTATTACTCAAATTGTCATCGTAATCTACAAGAGAGGAAAAAAACACAAATCTAAACATTGTTTATCGTTCTCTTAACTGTGCACACGGAGAGAGAGAGAGAGAGAGAAAGAGAGAGAGAGAGAGAGAGAGAAAAAAGAGAGCAAGTACCTGCAAGGAATTCAATATAAATATTCCATATTTGACAACATATACCATATTTGAAAAATGAATGAATGTTTCTTTTTCTGTGCCGTTATCGGCGACTTAACAGGGCTGAGAGCAAATGAAAGTGATTGCTTACATTTTTAAGTTTACACATCTAATTAACACAATTCACATTTGACAATTTCTAAATGAAGTATGCAGCTGATCTAAAGGATTATTAAAGAAAATCAACACTTTAAAGTTGTTTCTTAAGTGGTGGAAGACATTCAGCGATATCCATGGATTTATTAGTGACAAGCGATAAGCGACTTAAGCAAAGAGTCCATGGATTGAATATCGTAAATGTTCTGTCAGACTGTAACTGATTGCCATCTTGCTCTCTCTCTCTCTCTCTCTTTCTCATATAGGTGGTTTATTATGCTCCACTCTGCACTGTTCAGTACTCACCCAAGGGGACCAGTTTACGCTTCTTGGGATTGATGTTGTCGTCATTGTCATCGTCGTTGACAAACACGCCCGTCGTCTCGATCATTTTCTTCTTGAGATTGTTGCCCAGCGTGAGCGAGATGACCGGCATGCTCATTGCGGACGCAGCAGCAGCAGCTGCCGCCGCTGCAGAGGCAGACGTAGCGCCTCCGGAGGATGCGTGCTCGTTGTCCATGGCATTCATTGTGGGTGTGTGGATGTGGGAGAGTGAATCTCTCGACTCGCTATTCTGCCGACTGACACTCTCTCCAGCCTGATTGTTGTTGTTGCTGGTGGTGTTGTTGTTGTTGCTGGTGTTGGTCTTGGGATGGGAGGAATAGCCACTGGCATTGGATGTGGTGTCCGCCATGGAGGCGCGATCATCGATTGTCGACATGGAATCCTCGGATGGCGGCGGCTTATGCAGCACACCCGATCCGCTCGGACCAGCGGCCATTGTACCGCTGTCCAAATCATCATCATCATCATCCACCGCATCGGCCATTTCCTGCTGATGATGCTTGTGTTGCTGCTGATGCTTGTGTTGCTGCTGCTGCAGTTGATCCTTCTGGTGTGTATGCTGTGTGTGTGCCGCGTCCTGTTTGCGTCGCTGCGCCGCCGCCGCCGCCTCCACATTGACATTTATGAGGATGCGCGGCTCGTAGAGTTTTTCGATTTCGCGACGCGCCTTCTCGAATTCCAGCGATGGGTTCTCAAAATCTCCACTGAATATCTTATTCTTCAGTTCGGACAGTTCGGCGGCCTCCTTTTCGCGATCCTTGGAATCGGCATCCGCTTCGCGGACACGATCCGCCAGACGCAGCTGCAGTTCCCGTCCACGATAATACATCGTGTCGTCGCGCTCATCATCGTAATCCTCGACAAACTCCTTCAGCCGCTTTGCGTCCTTTTCGCGCTCATCCTGCCGCATTAGATCCTTCAAGCGATACTGCAATGTCAAATCAAAAAAATACATAAATAAAGAATATATTTACTGGAATTTCTTAGTTTTTGAATATGCCAAGAGTTTCAAAATCGCTTATTAATTGGGTGTTTATGTGTCTCTATCTCTCTTTCTTCCGTTCTCCCTCTCTCTCTCTCTGTCTCTCACACATATATATTTGTAGCCCATAAGTCGGATATATTATTCTCATATTAATCTCTTCTCTCCTTTTGTTTTTGCTTTTTTTTTCGGAAATTTGTATTAGTTTTTCAATTGAAATTTGTTCGGCAATTACTTGAGCCAAGTTACAATTTAAAAAACAAAACATATATCGCTATCTGATTAATATTATATTTAAAATCGAATTGTGACTAAAATTGAATTCCCCCATAATTCGGAATTTTTATTAATTATTGCAATTAAAGAAAATAAAAAAACCTTTTCAAAATTATATAACGTTATCTGATTAATAGTATGATTATAATGATTGATGATGATTGATATTGTATTTAAATCCGAATTGGCAACCTGCCTACCTTTTCGTTCTCCTTGGCCTTGCGCTTCTCGCGTATCTCCCAGTTGGAGAGACGATTCTGGTAGGCCGATTCCTTTTCCCTGGCCTTCTTGTCGGCCTTTTTGCGCTCGCGCTGCTCCTCCTCCATTTCCTTTTCTCGACGCGCATCGCGCACTGGCTTCACGATCTTCTCCTCGCGCTCACGCTCCCTCTCCCGCTGCTCTCTGTCCCGTTCGCGCATCTCGATGCGCTCTCTGTCCCGATCACGTTCCCGTTCTCGTTCCCGGTCTCGATCCCGATCCCGTTCTCGTTCGCGCTCCTTGTCGCGCAGCTCGCGCATCTCACGCTCCCGCATCATCTCGCGCTCGCGCTCCCGGTCCCGTTCGCGTTCACGCTCACGATCGCGCTCCTTGGTGCGGGATTTGGAGCGACGGCGGCGACTGTCTTTGTTGTTGTTGTCGCTGCGCTCCTTGTGTGCATCCTTGTGTGTGTCCTTGTGATCCTTGCGCACCGGCGACACATCGATGGTGACTATGAACTCCTTGCGGCTGCGACTGCTCATCGCCGGCTCCTTGCTCGGCTCCTTGTCATTAATGACCACCACTTCGTCCACCTCACTGCCGGTATTGTTATTGTTGTTATTGCTATTGTTGTTGTTGCTGCTATTGTTGTTATTGTTGTTGCTGTTGTTGGTATTATTGGTACTGTTGGTGCTGCCCGAGCTCGAGGAGGGAACGACACCAGGACCAGCAGCAGCAGCGGCAGTAGCGGCGACAGCTGCGGCGGAGGAGGATTTGGCATCGCTTCTGCTGCTGCTGCTGGTTTTGCGTTCAGTTTCACGCTGCTTTTTGCGCTCGCGTTCCCGTTCGCGCTCCTTCTCCTTCTCCTTGGTTGCCAGCTGTTTCTCCTTTTCCTTCTCCTTTTCGAGCTCCTTGCGATGCTCATCAGCCTCGGCACGCTTCCGGAATTTACCAATTTCGCTACTTATCAAATTGCGTTTCTCCTCCTCGAGTGCATTATCATTCAGTGACTTGATCTTCAGATCCTCCTCGCCGCGTCGCGTCTTCTTGCGATTGCTGTTGCTGCTGCTGTAGAGATCACCACGGTTTGTCCCATCGAATCCCTCGAATTCGTGCTTGTGCTCCTCGAGCAGATCGTGCATCTGATTGGTTGCATACTCGTCCTCAGTCTTTTCATCCAGCATGGCATTGGGGCCGCCTTCGCTGCCATTTTTGCACTCCTTCTCCTTGTAATCCTCAATGAGCACTTTATTCTTTGCATCCACCTTGGCGACCAGTTTCTTGCCATCGATCTCCAGTTCGCTCAGCAGGCGCACTGCTCGCATCGCCGCAATCGGTCCACTGCAACAACAACAATAACAAAAATCAAATCTTATTACCATGCACAAGGACAAAGTTTAATTTTGGCAAGAAGTCAAGTCAAGTTGAACTTACTCGAATTCACAGAATCCGAATGTGGAGACACGTTTCCAGTTGATGACGACACCGCATGCGGCAAGGATGCGCTTGAGCAGCGATTCCGGTACACGTTCGCTAATGTTCCCAACGAAGACGGTGATGACGGGACCACGGAATTGTGGCTGCGGCTCCGGCGGTCTATGATAAACTGTTGGCTGTGAACTGATCGTCGCTGAATTGCGGTAACTGCGTGGCGGGGGAATCAGCTGCAAATTACAAACAAATTTAATACAAATTCCTTTTGCATCAAATTAAGACAAAGAGCAAGAGAAAAAAAAAATAGCTAGAAATAAAAACTAAAAACTTACATGCGGCGGTGGTATCGACGCATTCATATATGGCATCGGTGCACGCGGTGGATATGACATCTTGTTGCTGTTCCAGTTGTTGTTGTTCCAGTTTTTTTTATTGTTCCACTTGCTGTTGTTGTTCGTTTATGTTTTGCGCCTTTTAGACTAAATACCTATATTTTTGTAGTTTTGTTTTTGGCGTGCGTGCCAATTGAAGCCGACACAAAACAGACACACACATATACACAAACACACTCACACAATTACACACACAAGCACAACTCTTGGAGTGAATGTGGAATCGTGTACGATATTTGTGGATTGGATATGTGGGTGCAGGGGTGGGGATGGGGGAATATATGTGATCGCGTCGCTATCCAAACGTGCTTGTGCCCGTTCAAGCACTTTCACATGTGTGTGTGTTGAATCCTTGGCGTATCGATATGCAAATTTTACATGCATATGCAATTAAAAACTACACGTAAAAAGGACGTTGTTAAATTTTTCACCACTGCGGCCGCTGCTGCATAGGGATGAGAAAGCGTGTAAGCGCTGCTGTTATCGTCACTCGTGCGATATAGTCGCAATGCAGTCGTTGTGCGAAACATCGATCACATTCTTTTATCGATGTCAGTTGGCAGTTAGTGATGCAAAATGCCAAAAGATTTACGCTCAGCTGTTCATCAAAATACAAGCAACAAACACAAAAACACTTAATTTCGATTTTATAACATAGCGCTTTAATTGAAACATTCGCTTTCGAGCATAAAGACAATTTTTTAAAAGTAATCATAAAGTAATAAAAAGTTCTTGAACAATTCTTTTTTTGGAATGACAAAAATATAAAAAATAAATTTTTTGCTTGTGTTTGAAGCAAAACTTATACAATGCGACTGGGAGGCGTTCTTCGATGTCACCGCGTTATCCGGCAGCAATATGTGCCGCAGCACAAGCCAGTGCTAGAGGACGACATAAAACGTTTGGAGGACTTTCTGCTGTCGAAGCCAAATATATTGGTCCTAACGGGCGCTGGCATCTCAACAGAATCAGGTAAGACACGCTAATTTCTTTATAAATAAATATATATATATATCGATAATTGTTTTGGCAGGTATACCCGATTATCGTTCGGCTGGCGTTGGGCTTTATGCGCGCACCAATCACAAACCGATTCAGCATAGTGAGTTCGTTAAGTCGGCCAGTGTGCGTAAACGCTATTGGGCCCGCAATTTTGTTGGCTGGCCAAATTTTTCGAGCACCCAGCCAAATAGTTCACATCATGCGTTGGCCCGCTTCGAGCGGGAGATTCGCCTGCAATCTGTGGTCACCCAGAACGTTGATCGGCTGCACACGAAAGCGGGCACCAAGAGCGTCATCGAGGTGCACGGCAGTGGCTATGTGGTGAAATGTCTGAGCTGCGATTACCGCTGCGATCGTCATGAGTTCCAAAGCATACTCGCCACACTGAATCCGATGTTTAAGGATGCACCCGATATGATAAGACCCGATGGCGATGTTGAGATTCCCCTCGATTATATTGAGAATTTCCATATACCACCGTGTCCGCAATGCGGCGGTCATCTCAAGCCAGAAATTGTATTCTTTGGCGATAGTGTGCCCAAGGATCGTCTCGAGACCATAGCCCGAATGGTGTACACCAGCGATGGTTTGCTGGTGCTCGGTTCCAGCCTTTTAGTTTTCTCCGGCTATCGCATTGTGCTGCAAACCAAGGATCTTAAGCTGCCGGTGGCCATTGTCAATATTGGTGAGACGCGAGCGGATCATTTGGCCGACATCAAAATCTCGGCCAAGTGTGGCGATGTGATACCCAAACTCTTTGATTTTAGCAACAGAGAAGCATAGCAGAGATTTTTCTAAATGTAATTTTGTTTTTAATTGTAATAGAAAACTTGTTGACACTTAGTTGCTGACTATCTAAATTTTGTAATCTAAAAGCGGGTAAATAATTGTAAATCTTCAACGACCGTGACTCGTCAAGAGTCAATTGATGAACGCAAATATGTTTGCCAAAAATCAAACAAAAGATGCCTGTTCCACAGATTGAGGCCGGTATATATAAACAGTTATTTCCTGATGCTATATTTATCGATTCTATCGTAATGGCCACGATTGGTGTCCCTAAACCAAATGTCCACTTCGGTCAACTGCAGCTGCAGGAGCGTCTCCTCCGTGCGATCCTTGAGTCGCTTATCGTCCTGAGCGAAGCGCAGTGTGCAGGTGCCCGTGCATGGATCGGACAGCTGCTCATTGTACTCGTAGACAACCAGATAGAAGTGATCGCCGCTGGTGAAGGACTCGTGCAGCAGCAGAGGCGTCTGCAGAGCGCACCTCAGCTGCTGTGAGTCGCTCGGCTCCGAATCGGAGAGCTCAATTACGCTTGTTTCTGACTGAGCTGGCATTTGATTCGCTGGTGTTTGTGGCTGTGGTTGTGGCGACAGCTGTGGCATGGGTATCTGTATCTGATTTTGTGAGGCAACAACTGTTATGATGCTCTCATTGTATGTGGAGTCATCATCGGATTGCGCTGGCGAATCATCGTCCATGGCAAGGCTTAGTTCACAGCATCGTTTGGTCTTATAAAAGGAACTATCAATATGCTCATCTGCCGTTGGTGACTGCACAATATGCAATACGTCTAGCTTCTTTTCCACCTCAATGCAGGACCTGCACTTATAATCGGTGACTTCCGAGTGCAGGGATAAACGCATTGTGCCCACACGGCATTTCGGATGCGTTCCCGTCGCCGCACACATTATGCAAAGTTGAATGCTCCACGTGCCCCGACAGTAATCCCGTCCGTTTGGACAGAGACACTCCGCCATATCGCAGCGCAAACGCGTCCTGTGAAGTTCACGGTACGCATTCTGTTGACGCTCCCACGTTGCATCGCGATCGGGCACAAATACCGACTGCAATCGGATCGTGTCGCGGAACTTCTTATCGCGACACCACAGACATCGCAAATAGTAGCCGGAGGCGAGCGCATAGCGACGCATGCAGCTGCGATGCGCGAATCCTTTGCGACAGCAATCCCCATATGCGACATTGTGGAGCACAAATGGGTAGATGACACGAAAGCAAATGGCGCAATGGGCACCCTTTGGTGGATCGGCGAGCAGCTGCCGCTTATAGGCATCCAGTTGCGTGCAATTTTCACAGTAGCTGCGAAAGTCATCGCAGAAGTGAGAAATGCAACGGTTTTCCAAGCCGCACGCCATGTGAAAAACAATGCGACACATGTAGCAAATCACACTGGCACCTGTCTCCTTGCAGAATGCACATTTCCGCTGCTGGGCAGCTGCTGCCTCCTTGCGGATGTCGCGCAGCAGAAAACCCAAAATTCCAGTGGCGTTGCCGCCGCGTTGTGGCAAATTTGTCGAAAGCAACTGGAAATAATAAAAAAAATAAAACAGAATTACCTTAATATGATGTCAATCGATTATAGGAGCTGTGCATATCTACCAGACAATAATAGTGCACTGTCACATTTTGTTTCCTCATCCACTCGCCGTACAATAGCGCATCCTGTTCATCGTCATTTTCATTTTTGCTGCTTTTCTTTTGACAAATATCACACTTGTACATGACGCTCTAAGTTTAAAACTAACACAGTGTGACAGTTTGAACACCCATATCGATAACATCGATAGCACGAATCGCATTCTGTACTTTCCAGCACTACTTGTCAGTGTAGAAAAAAACAAAGCAGGAACAACAACAGCAACAACAAAAACACAGCCGCTACAGCAACATAACATCCAGAGAGGCATCGACAAAACTGGCTGTTATATTTTATTTTTATATATATCATAGTTAAACAAAAACACAATGGCCTACGACTTAAAAAAGGAGTCTGACGTTAAGGAGTATGTAGAGAAGCTGGGCGTTGAATATCGCTTTGGCTGCTATTCGGAAAAGAAACCGGAAGGTAAATAGCAACAACAACAGGCGGCCAGTCTGCGAGTGGCTGCAACAACAACAACAACAGCAGCAAACCGCAACAAAAACAATGTGTGCTCTAACCTAGGTTTTTTTTTTCTTTTTTGGTAGCGTAATTTAATTACAAAACAAACGAACTTTTTTATTTTTTTTTGCTTTCAAACCAATAGTAAATTGCGGAAAGAAAAATAAAAGTTGAAAATTATAATTTCTATTTACAGTTTGCCATCTTCTCGGTGATTATTTGGAGGGCATTAAGAAGGACTTCGAGAAGGCATCGAAAGTATACAAATCGACATGTGACGATTATGGTTATGCAAAATCCTGCTATAAATATGGCAACTATAGCTTTCTGGGCAAGGGCAAAAGTGGCAGCAAAGGCGAACCGCGCGTCGCTTATCAATATTATGAGAAGGGCTGCAACCTAAATGATTCTGATGCGTGTTTGCATTCTGGCCTGTTGCTGGTTTCGCGCTCAATGCCCAAAGAGATTGACAGAAATGTGCCCAAGGTGAGTGCAGCCACAAGAACAACAACTTGGGCAATTACCACATATACAATAATATCTATTATTATTATTATTAAAGGGCTTGCAGTTTCTAACAAAGAGTTGTGACATGAACAATGCTACCGCCTGCTTCTATTTATCCGGCATGCACATTTCGGGCGTACAAAAGAAGCCCGAGGATGTGGCGGGCGGGGCCAGCGTTGTGCCGCCGAGCACAACTAAATCGCCGATAAAGGACACCGATTACATTGTGCTCAAGGATATGAAGAAGGCTTTTCAGTTTGCCTATAAGGCGTGCGAGTTGCGTAACATGTACGCCTGTGCAAATCTTAGCCAAATGTATGCGCGCGGCGATGGCATCGAGAAGAACGAAAAGGAGGCGGAAAAATACAAGAAGCTCGCCCTCGAAATGCAGGAGGAGGTGAAGAAGCAACAGGAGACGCTGACCTTTCAGCAGGGTGTCGGCATGCCAAACTGATTAACAACAATTAACTAAAACAACAACAACAATACATGCATCAAATAGTTTTCTTTTCCTTTCTTTTATTATTGAACTTCATCATCCTGTTGCCTACGCCCCACAACCCCTATTCCCCTCCTCTCCATTCTATATTATATTTTTCAAAATCATTCAAATTTGATGATTTTTCGTTAAAACTTGTGTGACGCGCGTTTTAGTCAAATTTATATTTTTTTGTTTATTATATATTTTGTTCAATTGCTAATATCTTAAGTGGTTTATATAAACATTTATTTATATATATATATACATATATATCTTTCTTCCGTGTACATAGGCAAGCATTTGCGTTTTCGGCATGTGCGTGTGTAAGAGAAAAATCCTAGTTTTAATTGTTAAAGATAAAGATTAGCAAAAAGCCAGCAATGCGATTATTACCTTATATATTCCCCCGTTGATACCTTAAAGTACCATAAATATAAAATATAAAGAAACAAACAACTCATGCACAATCAGAGGCGTTTCACATATCTTGTTAACATGCAGCACATACAGATTTATATATATATATATATCCATGTATGTATATGGGGACAGATAGGTAATAAAATAATACATAAATCTGATTTTAAAGAATATATATTTGTTGCTAATTAATTGATTTTACAGCTAATGCTGAAAGCATTAATAAAAGGAAATGCAAAATTGAATTTCGTGTTTATTTTTTTCTTCACGATTTATGATATGTATAATTTAAATTGTTATATTTTTTAGTCTTAAGAAATTCAAAAACATGAAGTTTGCCCTGTAGAAATGTTTCTGATTTCTGATGCCAAAGTAATGTTGCAAATCCAAATAAAAACGTTTCTTATCCGTTCAGTAGAAGGTGCGCTGGATATATCCATATTTCACATATAAATCCAATATTAGAAGAGCGTGTAATTGGACTGTAATTGGGATATTTATAGGAATTGTAAAGCTTGAAGCAAATATATAAACATTCAATAATATTTAGATCATAAATAAATATTGGTTACTTTTCTATGAATACCCATACTAAATCCAAGTCGATTCCAATTGGCACACATATACATATATAGTTTTCTAAACTTATTTAGAAAACATACAATAATAATCAAGAGGCACAAGTATTGAATACATTTATTTATTTATGTTTCTTTGGGTGACTTTAAGAACGAAGTTCAACCTAATTGAACAGAATCGTGTCATCTGTTGTGACGATGACAATGTGCGTCCAATTAAAAATCTAACAAATTGAATGTAAATTCAGATTAGTTTATTTTTGAATATATGACATTATTATACAGTATATCGTAGTAGTATCGTGTTGTATGTATTACTACCTTATGGCTTGATTGTTGTTGTTGTCGTCCAGCTAACTATTTCATTTTCGTGCCTAATTAGAAACGTTCCGATTCAATTAGTTGGACAGGCACACTCACACAGACAGACGCAGAGAGAGAGAGAGAGAGAGGGAGAGAGAAGGAGAATGAGTGAGAGCGACAGAGAGAGAAAGAGAGAGAGAGAGAGAGAGAGATAGTTGACAAGTGGCTTCCTGGTGTGTCTCTAATTAGGTATATAATCGTATTTTTCATAAGTCTCGCATGCCTCTGTATTATTTATGTCTGTCCAGACAATTGGCGGCCTTTTTTATCACCTGAGCCAAGCCAAGATAAGCCCTAAAAATGATGTCACGTACTATTTTCTTCACATTTTACATGTTGTTTTCGAAGCTGTCCTGATTCTTGTCTGATTTTTATTTATATTTATATATGTATGTTACTAGCCGGTTAACCCCATTTCTAGAGATGACTAATTGTTTGTTGGCATCAGTGGCAATTCGGTGTGCGGAATCAAAACATGCCACTCTGATAAGGCGAATGAATAACTAATGAATGGGGCATACAGCAACTCAAACTAATGAGATGAGATGGAGATCAGATAACAGTTACCATTTGGAGTTCGTCTCCTCAAATATAATTGGGTTTTCTACCCTTTTTTTTGTGTGTGTGTGTTTTTTTTAAAGATGTTTGTTTGTTTTTCTATCACTCTGCTTATTGTTGAGGAATGCGTTTTTAGGCTTGCCTTAATATTTATATTAATGTTAATGCATAAATTGTTCAATGGCACAAAGTAGCTTAATTAAATATATTATTTGACTTGATTTTCGCCGTAATATAATTAGATTGGTATGTATTGCAGCTGTTGTGGTTGGTTGTTGTTGTTGCTATTTTTGTTGCTGTTGGTCGAGCCAAGCCCAAGTCCGAAAATAAATAACTTTCTTTGATGGCACGAGCTGTTTGTATAGAGCATTATTAGTTGGTCGCTGTACCATGACATGACCTTTGTCGCACAGCAATATCCACGATATATATATATATATATATATATATATATATATATGTATGTAGTAGGCTGTAAAAATACGATCCCGTCCATGTGGGGTAACTGGAGACTGGCCGACGACAATAACAACAACAATAACAATAATAACTAACAAGTGCAGTAAAGTCTCGATAAATTGGAATCTACTTAAATAGTTTTGAAATCAAAAACGTTGCCCGATATTCGTGCAAGTTGGACAATCCTAGGCCAGAGAACGAAATTTGTAGTTCAGGAATGATTTTTCAAATCCCTTTGCAATCGAAAAATATTTTTCCTGATGTTAGGTGTGTACATAAGTTTCTAAATGATTACGGACATCAAGTTTAAACTCAAGTAAATCCATTTCAATTAACAAATGAGGAAGTTAAATATTTTTGTACTCATTTTCGCTGTTAAAATGCTGTCAAATGGTAATTCATACTTGAATTAAGCATAATAATTTGCTTATTTTTTTTCTTTCTAAATGTGATTCCCCAAATAATTAGAACTGCAAATGATTATACTAATTTCGGGATGTTTTGATATCCAAGCGAACACTGTAATATGGGCACACTCACAAACCCCCCCCCCCCCCACACACACACACACACTCATACACATACAGTGATGGAAAGTGGGTGTGCGTGTGTAAGTGTGAGTGTGTGTCTGTGTATGGGGAGCATGCAATCCGTATTTTTTGTGTATGTGCAAGCACAAGTACATACATACATCAAGTACATACATACATACATATATACATACATGCATACATGCGTACATGCATACATACATACATACATACGTAGTCTATAGTTAGTTAAACTGACGGACCGAATGATGCCTCAATAGAACAAATTTTCAAGCTCGGCAAAAAAAAATGTCAATGCTCAGTTTCGACTAAAGCGCTATCCGAAACATCGAATCAGTTTAACGTCAACGTCGGCGGCATCAAGACAATATATAGAATAAAATCATAGCCATAGCCAAATGCTAAGCTAAATCTAAATTTAAAAAGCAAAACCGAAGCCAAAGCCAAAACTAAAGCTAAAGCTTTGACTATAAATACACACATACTCACAGAAACACACACACACACACACACATACACTTATGCATACAGACAGACATACAAACAGATGAGAGCATAAAGAAATGTAAAAGATGCGCGCCGTCAACTGAGCAACGGGATTCGGGATTGACATTTCTTTTTTTTCGCCTATTGTCATATTGTTGTTGTTTTGTTTTTGTTCATGTTGTTGTTGTTAGCGTGAGCTAAAGTGTGATAAAGATAAAAGACAAACGATAGTGGACTTGGCACGAGACGCGAAAGCGAGATCGCAGCATACATATAACAGTGCCAACTGTCAACTGTCTGACTGCCGTAGAAGAAGAACAACAGTAAGCAGAAGAAGAGGAAGAAGGCAACGAACACGACGACGACGACGACGACGACTGCGAACACTGGCAGTGGCGGCGTCTATTTTCTGATTGCCCCTTGATTTATGCCTTTTAGTGTGTTGCCTTTTGGCATTTGCCTCAAAACGCGAAATGCATTAAGTGAGACACACACACAACACACACAAACAAAAACACACACACACACACAAACACACACATACTAATAATGCCTGTGTGTGGGTGTGTATGAGTGTCGCGCCACGCCGCGCCTTGTGCTTTAAATTGTCAAAGATCCCCCTCCACACCCACCCCCAACCCGCTTCCGTATGTGCGCGCTTTGAACGTTGCAAGAGATCTTCACGACAATTGAAAATAAGCGCGCGCGTTTATATAGAGGCTCAAAGCCTGCTACATGCATTTGTGTGCGTACATCTCGTATATGTGTGGGTGTGCGCGTCTGTGTGCGCTTACTAAGGCTAAGCCGCAGAGGATAGATTGAGGTAGAGAGCGAGAGAGACGGCAACGGCGACGGCGACGGGGACGGGGCCACCAAGCCAGCAAATCAACACCATTGAAGTGGAAGCGACGACAGAGATTGAGATTGAGATTGCGTTTCATATAGCGGCCGCAGCGCAGTTTACGAGTGTCCATCACCACTACAACACCGTGCAGCAATGGAAGACTATTGGGGTCTTAGCAGCACTACGGGTACGGGCACAAAAATTACATATCTAAAACCTCTAAAAAAAAAAAGACCAACTAAAATAAAACAAGCAATTTTCAATTTAAAAAGTTTAAAAAAAAACACTTAAAGGGAAGAAATAATTTTTTCAAAATTAAAAGTGTCATCAAAAATGATCAATTAAAAAATGAAATAAATACTAATAATAATACATGTACTAAAACAAAACCAATTAAAACAAAAAAACATTTTTTTTTTGTCCTTTTTGTTATGCGGCAAAAATTAATGCAAATTAAACAATGAGCTGTGCGTGTGTGTGTGTGTGTGTGTGTGTGTGTGTGCAGTGACGTCACATTTGTCATATATTACATATCATATACATACATGTTCATACATACATATATACATTATATATATATACATAAATTGTATCTAATATATTTAACTTAACATTGTCGTCGTCGTCGGTTGGAATTGGATTTCGTTTCTGCACATTTGTCGGCGCGCTTTTGCCTCCCGTTTCTTCATCCATATACATACACACACACACAGACACACACACACACTATCACACATCATCTATTTATATGTATGAATGTATGTGTATGTGTATCGCGTAAACCAAAGCATATGGATCAATTGTCTAAATTGGCTCATTAAGTGAAACTTAATGACATTTACTATGCACAAAAAAAAGCATCCAACAAAAAAGAAAGAAACAACAATAATAAAAAAGAAACAAAAAAATTAGAACAAAATCAAAAGACTGTTGTTGTTGTTGCTGTGGCTATTGTTTCGTTAGTTTTTTTTTTTTTTTGGTTTATTTTTTTGTTGCGGAAAACTTAATTTTCATAGATGACTTCATTTGTATTTGGTTAGCTGTAAAATGCGGCGTATGCGCAACGTGATAAGCATTAGGCGAGTGCAAAGGCACTCAACAAAAAAAAAGATGAAATTTGTCCATTAATAAAAATGCTACAACTTAAATAATTACTTAACCAAAATCAAAAATAAAAAAATAACAAATACAAAAAATCGATAATAGTTAAACTAATGAAATTTATCGTGACAAATGGAACTCGAACTAAATCAAAAAACGGATTTGTTTGTTCAAACGCACTCAAGCATGACATTCAAAACAAAATTATAAGGCCTACCACTGAGTTAAAAACGTATTTGTTAACATGCAACCGATTCAGTCAATAAATATTAAGACTCGAACATGTTACTTACTTTTATTTGTATTATTATTAACCGGCAATATCATCAAATTTGTAACAAATTACAAAAAAAATAACAAAAATGAATAACGATTTTCATGCAAACTTCATTTTCTTCTAGCCCTTTCTCTTTTCTTCTGTGTAGCAACATTTTCAACGAAACTTTAACAAATAAATATAAAAGCATTTCAATATTGATCTAATATTATATTGTCAAAATTCATGATAATTGATAAGAATTCGCATTTCGTTATGTAACAAAGTTGAAATTTTTATGTGTAAAAAACATTTTTTTTTCTTTAATCCATTTTTATTGATTGCTTTAATGTCTTCTTGTCTAAATATTTAATTTGCAACTAAAGTATAAGTGATGCTAAATGCCAAATGCTTTGAAATATGGAAATCTGAAATCTTGCAGTGGAACATGATTAATTTGGACGAGTCTTAAATTGTTCGTGCCGTACGGTTGTTCACTGGGTGCACGTCAGCTTGCGCAAGATATAACAACACATACAGATACAGATACAGAAACAGATACAGATACAGATACAGATACAGATACAGATACAGATACAGATACAGATACAGATACAGATACAGATACAGATACAGATACAGATACAGATACAGATACAGATACAGATACAGATACAGATACAGATACAGATACAGATACAGATACAGATACAGATACAGATACAGATACAGATACAGATACAGATACAGATACAGATACAGATACAGATACAGATACAGATACAGATACAGATACAGATACAGATACAGATACAGATACAGATACAGATACAGATACAGATACAGATACAGATACAGATACAGATACAGATACAGATACAGATACAGATACAGATACAGATACAGATACAGATACAGATACAGATACAGATACAGATACAGATACAGATACAGATACAGATACAGATACAGATACAGATACAGATACAGATACAGATACAGATACAGATACAGATACAGATACAGATACAGATACAGATACAGATACAGATACAGATACAGATACAGATACAGATACAGATACAGATACAGATACAGATACAGATACAGATACAGATACAGATACAGATACAGATACAGATACAGATACAGATACAGATACAGATACAGATACAGATACAGATACAGATACAGATACAGATACAGATACAGATACAGATACAGATACAGATACAGATACAGATACAGATACAGATACAGATACAGATACAGATACAGATACAGATACAGATACAGATACAGATACAGATACAGATACAGATACAGATACAGATACAGATACAGATACAGATACAGATACAGATACAGATACAGATACAGATACAGATACAGATACAGATACAGATACAGATACAGATACAGATACAGATACAGATACAGATACAGATACAGATACAGATACAGATACAGATACAGATACAGATACAGATACAGATACAGATACAGATACAGATACAGATACAGATACAGATACAGATACAGATACAGATACAGATACAGATACAGATACAGATACAGATACAGATACAGATACAGATACAGATACAGATACAGATACAGATACAGATACAGATACAGATACAGATACAGATACAGATACAGATACAGATACAGATACAGATACAGATACAGATACAGATACAGATACAGATACAGATACAGATACAGATACAGATACAGATACAGATACAGATACAGATACAGATACAGATACAGATACAGATACAGATACAGATACAGATACAGATACAGATACAGATACAGATACAGATACAGATACAGATACAGATACAGATACAGATACAGATACAGATACAGATACAGATACAGATACAGATACAGATACAGATACAGATACAGATACAGATACAGATACAGATACAGATACGGATACAGTAACTAACTAGCAACGAACAACACACACACACACACACACACACATATATATGTATTTATATATATATACATAAATAAATATGTATATATGTTTAGAGATTGCCACATTGGCAGACCCTAGTGCTGAGATGATCTGAGGCTTAGCTTGGGTGCTCTCAAACTTACTTAAACGGTACACAAAAGTCATATTAAAACGCATTGTGGCGTTGAATTTGCTTACTTGTGTACAAAATAGCTTACATATACACATACACTACACATACATACACATTTATAGACTTAAACGTATACAGTACATATTTCTCCATTCACACATACATATCTATCCAACTATTTGTCTGTGAATGCCTTCTAAGTCTCTTGTAAAACAATACCAATACAATTGTGCCAATGAGGCGTATACGTAATATGCTATGGGACACAGTAACTTTTTTTATTCCTGTGTTGTATAGTTCTTCCGCTTATATATATATATATTAAAAATATTGAATTTCATTTCACTTCCTCAGTGTGAAGAATATTGACAAACACCATAAAACCGTATTGTGAATTGTATGTCGGCTTTCGAACATTATCCAGTTTTAACTTATTTACGTTTCGAGTTAATTAATTTTCTCTCTCTCTCTCTCTCTCTGAGATCGAATGGTCTTTTTTGACCGTATATATATAGAAACGATAAGATAAAAGCCCTGTGTAGTGCACTGAGTTTTTGGTCCTTTAGCTTTTATCATGAGTAATGCTGGAATTGGCATCAAACTTGATGCTTCCATTAATTTGTAGCTCAACGAACGGGTAACTTGAAGTTAATTTCGCAAATCGGTTAATTGGACTAATTAATTTGGATTACATACTCGAATGAATGGCAAATGTGTGCTGCTATTTGTTAGTATCCTTTGCGGGGTATCTGCAAACTGTTTGCCACTTCATCACTGTAGTGCTATTTTCGTTATTTAATCAACAGCTGTTTGTTCACATGCAACCTAACTTCTAGTTAATTTTTGTTTTCAACTCTGGATTCCGGTTCATGTTGCTGTTGTTGTTGCTGTTGCTGTTGCTGTTGCGGTTGCTGTTGGATCGCTTTCACTGCTGCTTATGCGGCTCTTATTCAATTAGAGTGAACTTAATTTACGGTGATTGAACGTTTTCGCTGATTGTTATCCATGTTAAATTTATTATCATTAACACCACCCAACCAACGCACCACCGCCCACTGTTGTTGCTGTTGTTGTAGTAGCTGTAAATGCTGATTAAGCATTATTGCATTATGCGGGCCGCTGCGGTTACAAAATGCGTTTGGCTCAATTGACCCCGAAGACGTTGTCGTTGTCGTACCGTAAGCTGAACTGGATACAAAAAAAAAAAAAATAAAATAATAATAATAATAATAATAATAAAAAAAAAAAGTAATATAAAAAAAACCCGGGTGCGTTCTGTTGTCCACTCTCCGGCACGCAAAGTGTCGATCTGTAGTGGCCTCAAGTCGCATTCACATTTGTCGGATTTGTCTTCCAGTTTCTGAGTGGGTATGATGATGTTGCAGTTGTTGTTGTTCTTGTTGTTCCTGTTGTTATTGTTGTTGTTGTTGTTATTGTTGTTGTTATTGTTGTTGTTGTTGTTATTGATGATGGTGCAAGTCCGAGTCGCACATGATATGATTATGATGTTGTCTGCTGCTGTCTTGCTTTTTATTTGTTTGTGTGTCGAAAAATTGTCTTCAATTATTTATCGAAATTTATGCAAATTGCCCTGAAATGTTGTACAAATATATATATTATACATATACATATGCATATGTCTATATATAGTGAAAAATAATGTCTGCTGCTAGAGTGAATCTTAAAAAATATTAACAAGAATACTCGTATATTTTAGAATTGTTCTGAGTAATACTTTCCAATCGAGAACGTCTTTCATTGATCCATCTTTCGTGGATTATTATTATAAATTTCTTCCGTTTTTAATTACTTTGTAGAATATTTGAAATTTTTTTTTTTTAATTTTCCGTTTTATTGTATCCATTGTAGTTATGTCCTTAATCTAGAAATATCATTACGCGAATAACCTTAAATATCGGCCAATAATCGATTGTTGTCATTTGGTGTTATGTTTGGGCAGCATTTTGTTATTGAAAAATTTGTCGGTCAAGTGTAGGAGGGGACCTTTGGGCAATGGGTTGTTTTTAGATCGCCGACATGCGTCGGTTTTTATTATTCAATTTGATAACATCGAGAGATCAAAGCGTTTCTCGTATTTATCGTTTCCGTTGCAGCGCCAAACAAACTAAATGCCAAATACAACCTACAGAAAATAGAGAAAAACAACAAAAAAAACTATCCACTCAACTCAACGCAACGTAACTAAACTCAACTCAACTCATTTGATCGATAATCAAGTCGGCGACTCGGAATTGGAATCGGAATTGGAATCGGAATTGGAATTGGACACGACTCGAGACTGGCGGGCAGCTTCGGCTTTTTCAACGTTTTTCATCTTCATCTTCTTCTTATTGTTTGTCTTTCTTTTTGTTTTTGTTGTTGTTATTTGTTGGGGTTGTTGTTGTTGTTGTTCCGTAGGTGGGATCTGTCTGGTCAGTCTTGTGGTTGTTCTTGCTGCCTCAATGGTTTAGTTCTTTACCGGCGCTTGAGAGAAAGAAGCGACAAATTGACAAGAAACAAAAAAAAAAAAAAAAAAAAACGAAGAAAAATAATTAAAAATAAACAACAACGCAGAGGAAAACATACCGAAACAATAATAATTAAAGTGGACAAACGTAAAATGAAATGTGCGCATTACGATTTATCATTAACTATTAACTATAACTGCAACGAGTACTCGCATTTGCGTGCAGCTAAAAGTGAATCGATGCGACTTTGATCTTATAATTGATATTTCAATTGCGTGCTTAATACAGTTGTTAGTCAATCAAGCGATTCTACTCATGCTAACACTCATCATTTACTCGAATACTCACAATCAATGGAATCCAGATTTTGTAACATGTTTCATATTACTAAATACCATATTGCAGATACTATGCAAAGTTCAATATAAAAATGCATTTTTATTTAAATACTAAATCATGATCACGAAAAATGGGTTTCTTTCTTTTTATTCTATTTTTTTTATTTCTTTATTGTTTATCTAAAAAGCATTGATTAATTTTAGTGTTTTTTCAAATAAGACATCGTCTCTAGGAACACACATTAAATCAGCCTTAAACTCAAAGAGCAAAGTAAACAAATTGATCAGTCAAACTTAAAGCAAACATACTTAAATAATCAAACTAATTATGAATAATTGCGGGACTCTCAAAAGTAGGCAATAAAACTGGTTATGAAAATGAATGTGAATTTATGTGTGAATATTATACAAATATAAATTTCAATATGAACACGATATTGAAAACAAATACAAAATAAATTTAGCATTTAAGCTAACACACAAACATATGAATAAACAACAAAATATATATAGATAATAGATAATTAATGTAAGTGAAATGAATATGAATGAGTACTTTTGCATCTCTCTTTTTTTCCCAATATAATTATAGATATAAATTGCACACAGCCCGCCATTGATGATTTCCCCAGAGATCTATTCACGGAGGCGCAAAGACAGTCCGGTGCTGTTGTACTTCATGTTATAGCCAGTTTATATTTATTTGTAGCATTAGCAGTAGTATGTGATGAGTACTTTGTGCCAGCTGTTGAGAAAATATGTGCAGGTGAGTGATCGAATACACACACACACACACACACACACACACACACATACAAATACTATTCGTAACAAAACAACCATTTCTAAATAATATACAACTTTGCCATTTGTGATTAGCATTAAACATGTCCAACGATGTGGCGGGTGCCACTTTTATGGCCGCTGCCACATCGGCGCCGGAGCTCTTTGTGAATGTGATAGGGACATTCATTACGGAGGGCGATATCGGTGTTGGCACCATTGTCGGATCGGCGGTGTTCAACATACTCGCGGTCGCCGCCTGTTGCGGCATCGGTGCTGGCATGGTAAGTGCACTGCGACAAACGATTATCGATTATCAAAACGATTATCAATACTCTGCTAACGAGTCTAACGTTGTTCAATTCTATTTAAGATTCCTTATTTGAATGCTTTGTTTACCTATGATCAAATACAGATACAGATTTCCTTATATTTGTCCTTGCTGTTCAATAACAAGTGTGATCCTAACCTCAAACTAAATATATATATTTGTTCAGACTATACCGCTGGATTGGTGGCCACTGACGCGAGATAGCATCGCCTATGGCGTTACGGTCGCCATACTCATCTGTGTGATGCACGACGAGCGTGTCGAGTGGTATGAGGCCCTCATCTTGGTCTCCCTCTATGCGGTCTATTTGGCTGTCATGTATTTCGACAAGTCCTTTCAAAAGTGCGCCAAAGGTGAGTCGCAGTCATCAAACCAAAATTTGAGCACTAAAAAAAAAAAAAAAACCTACACTTAACACTAGAGCATAAAATGTGGCTTTGAGATATTATATAAATACTTAGTCTTGGACAAAGATAGACATTATAATTGTATTTTATAGGAGCTCATGGTCGGTAAAAAAAAGAGCGTAATTGCTCTAACTTAAGTTCACGCATACAGCTAGAGACAGGGAGAGAAATATACTTGTATTCAATATATATATATATATATATATATATAGAACACACACAAACACACACTAAACAATACATACTGCCAAATCTCACACACAGGTGGCGTTAAGCAGGCGCGCTCGCGCAGCCGCTCCTCAAACTGCAGCATACACACAAAGAACAGCAATGAAAAGGAACCAGGTACACAAAAACCAAAACAAAAACCAAAACAAAAACAAAAACAAAAACAAAAAAAAACGTGCAGCTCAAAAGTTGCCCCAATCCAGTTGCAGTAACTGCAAATTTTTGTCAACTTTTCCACAGAGCTCGTGGAAAATCGCATTTGCCAAAATATGGCCAGCATTCAGTTGAATGGCGGCTTAAACAACGATCAGGCCAAGGCCAGTAATACAACCACAACTACAACAACTACATCAATAACAACAACAACAACAACAACTGGAGTAGGTGGTGGCGGCGGCGGTGGCGGTGGCACTGGTGTTGGTGGTGCCAATGTTGCAGCTGTTGGTGCCCCTGCTGTTGGAGCCATCGCATCGGTTGCAATTGTTGATAATGCAGATGCTGAGGCACAATTATCGGTGGCTGTTGCAGCGGCAGCTGCTACTGCTGCCGCTGAGGAGGTGGATCAGGAGGGATACTCACTCTTGACATACCCCAAGGGAACCAGCTGCTTTGCCCAGTTCACCTGGATTATCATCTGGCCCATTCATTTGCTGTTTCGCATCGCGATACCCGATTGTAAAAAGGCAAAAAATAACAAAATCTTCCCATTGACTTTCATCATGTGCATTGTCTGGATTGGTTCGCTGTCGTACGTTGTGGCGTGGATGATCACCATAATTGGTGAGCTTTATAACCACTCTCCCACTTAATTCTCAAAAATTGTGCAATGTTTGTTGTTGTTTTGGGATTTCTTTTAACCAGGCGATACACTTAAGATACCCGATTCGGTGATGGGCATAACGTTTCTGGCCGCTGGCACCAGTGTACCCGAGGCCGTGTCCAGTGTGATTGTGGCAAAGCGCGGTGAGTATTCATTGTTGACACTGAATGATGGATGATAGATGATGATGTGTTCATGTGTATGTTGGTTGGAATATGTTCCGTTTTGTTCTGTTCTATTCGTTCTATTCGCAACTCTCTGGCCAGGTCATGGATCGATGGGCATTTGCAATTCGATTGGCTCGAATACGTTCGATATATTGCTATGCCTGGGCGTACCCTGGCTGATAAAGGCGGTCTTTCTTTCCCATACAGCCCGGTCAGAATTATGTTGCCATTAACTCGGCCGGGCTGGAGTATTCGGCCATAACACTGCTGTCCACGCTGTTTCTGCTCTATCTGACATTCTCGATGAATAAGTTCAAGCTGGACACCAAGGTGGGCATCGCCTGTCTGGTCATCTATTTGGTATTTATGGTATTCGCCTCGCTCATCGAGCTCAATGTGTTCTTTCGCGTCAATCTGCCAACCTGCGGACGATCATGAGCTGGAGCTGGAGCTGGAGCTGAAGCTGAAGCTGGAGCTGGAACTGGAGCTGGAGCTGGTAATGCAACTGCAATCTGGAACTGGAACTGGAACTGGTACTGGTACTGGAGCTGGGCGGGGCAACTCTGCAGTGCAGTCGTTTTAATTAATTAATATGTATTTTTCCTGTTCTATTCTATCTACCTTGATAGTTCGAGTTACCTTTATGCTACTACGTTATGCTGTTATTGTAATACTTTTTTTTTTATTATTATTATTAAAGTAGAAGAAGAATCTCTCTTCACGACATTTGGAGAAATGAAATGAAATGAGAAAAATGGGATAATAAAACCTAAAAACAAAAAACCAAAAAACAAAAACCAAAAACCAAAAACAAAAATCCAAAAACCAAAAACCAAACAACAAATTCAATAATGTATTTATACGATTAATAATATATGAGATTTAACAAAGAAATCAGCTTACTGTTTATTCATTCATTTTTGGAGAGAAATTATTTCACAGTTGAATATGTCAGTAAAAATTTGAAAAGTTCATTTTTATTTTTGGAAATTATTATTACAAATTTGTGTTGATCGTTGAACTACATAGTTACATATATATTTTTAAATGCATTTCAATTTTGATAGAGCTGTGCGGTTACTCATTAATGAGAACGATTACGGTACGCATTCAAGTACAAATTTGTTACAACAGATAATACAGATCAAAACCCACAACCGAATAGTGGGGGCCGATCCGTTCTTAATGCGCAGCCATGACAGTGCGGAACTGAACTGTACCATTCCATCGATACTGGAATTTCCCAATTTCATGCGGCAGAAGAGTATACTCAATACGGTTGTCTGTCTGCTCGCCAGCATATATTTGTTCATACTGCTGGCGATTGTCTGTGACGATTATCTGATACCGGCGATGGAGCGACTTTGCTATTGTAGGTATACCAACGTCCCCTATATAAACTGCAACTGTAACTGCGAATCTATATGCCATGCCATATGCAGCCCTGCGTATGCCCTACGATGTTGCCGGTGCGACGTTCCTTGCTGCCGCCACCTCAGCCCCGGAGCTTTTTGTCTCGATCGTGGGCACGTTTGTTACAAAGGGGGACATCGGTATTGGTACTATTGTCGGTTCCTCGGTGTTCAATGTCCTTGGTATTGGCTCTGTCTGTGGCATCCTAACGGGCGTGGTGAGTACATCATGCAAACAACTCAAGGATACGTCTGTTAAAGTTTACTTTAACTTTAAAAGTAAAAAAGTGCGAGGGCTGAGAGTACCAAGGTACCAAGAAAGAACCGAAACTGAGAGGAAAGTTTTCTATTACTATTACTATTACTATTACTATTACTATTACTATTACTATTACTATTACTATTACTATTACTATTACTATTACTATTACTATTACTATTACTATTACTATTACTATTACTATTACTATTACTATTACTATTACTATTACTATTACTATTACTATTACTATTACTATTACTATTACTATTACTATTACTATTACTATTACTATTACTATTACTATTACTATTACTATTACTATTACTATTACTATTACTATTACTATTACTATTACTATTACTATTACTATTACTATTACTATTACTATTACTATTACTATTACTATTACTATTACTATTACTATTACTATTACTATTACTATTACTATTACTATTACTATTACTATTACTATTACTATTACTATTACTATTACTATTACTATTACTATTACTATTACTATTACTATTACTATTACTATTACTATTACTATTACTATTACTATTACTATTACTATTACTATTACTATTACTATTACTATTACTATTACTATTACTATTACTATTACTATTACTATTACTATTACTATTACTATTACTATTACTATTACTATTACTATTACTATTACTATTACTATTACTATTACTATTACTATTACTATTACTATTACTATTACTATTACTATTACTATTACTATTACTATTACTATTACTATTACTATTACTATTACTATTACTATTACTATTACTATTACTATTACTATTACTATTACTATTACTATTACTATTACTATTACTATTACTATTACTATTACTATTACTATTACTATTACTATTACTATTACTATTACTATTACTATTACTATTACTATTACTATTACTATTACTATTACTATTACTATTACTATTACTATTACTATTACTATTACTATTACTATTACTATTACTATTACTATTACTATTACTATTACTATTACTATTACTATTACTATTACTATTACTATTACTATTACTATTACTATTACTATTACTATTACTATTACTATTACTATTACTATTACTATTACTATTACTAATACTAATACTAATACTAATACTAATACTAATACTAATACTATTACTATTACTATTACTATTACTATTACTATTACTATTACTATTACTATTACTATTACTATTACTATTACTATTACTATTACTATTACTATTACTATTACTATTACTATTACTATTACTATTACTATTACTATTACTATTACTATTACTATTACTATTACTATTACTATTACTATTACTATTACTATTACTATTACTATTACTATTACTATTACTATTACTATTACTATTACTATTACTATTACTATTACTATTACTATTACTATTACTATTACTATTACTATTACTATTACTATTACTATTACTATTACTATTACGTTAGAGCCTCAAATTGGACTGGTGGCCCATAACTCGGGATACTCTCTGGTATTTCATATCAATCGGGGGCCTTTTCGTTGTACTACGCGACTCCGTGGTGGAAGTCCATGAAGCGTCTTTTCTTCTAAGTGGATATTTCGTCTATCTGATCGGTCTGCTATTTGATCGCAGGATACAGAGTTTATTTCGAAGTAACTTGAACTAATCAAATCTATTAGCATACATATATACAATTCTGTGCTAACTATGATCCGCTTGTAGCGGTCGACACGGACTTGGATATGATGACCACTAATCCCCTGGAGCGTGAGGACGCACCGCTCAAGACGTTCAAGCAGACGGTGTGCGAGACCCCAGAGGAGGGTTCCAACTATATTATGAAGATATGGTGGGCCATCAAATACCCAGCCGTTCTGGTGCTGGCCGTAACCACGCCAAGTGCCCGTTCCATATTCTTTCTGAGCTTGCTAATGTCCGTGGTGTGGATCTGTATTACATCGTACTTTGTTGCATGGTTCCTCACTGTCGTGGGCTATAACATGGGCGTGCCCGATTCCATAATGGGACTTACCGTACTCGCTGCCGGCACCAGCGTTCCAGAGATCGTCGCCTCCTACATTGTGTGCAGAAAAGGTAAAAAACAATTATTATTTATGTAAGACTTTTGTTTTCCTATTTTAGGCTGCTCCTGTTGCAGGTTATGGATTAATGGCCCTGTGTAATGCCATTGGATCGAATACGTTTGATATATTTATTTGCTTGGGAATGCCATGGCTAATCTCCATACTGATTTCGTCCAAAAACGTTGTGATCAACTCTGCGGGATTAACGATAACAACTGGAATGCTGCTGGTAACAGCCTTTGTGCTATATGCCAGCTTCCTTTGCACCAAGTTCGTATTGGGAAAATTTGTCGGCTGGGTTAGCTTCATTGCATATATTATTTTCCTGGCAATTGCCATCTTTTTGGAGATTAAGATGCTAAGGAAAGTATGCGATATCGAATCCGACGAATATGCATTTCTGAGCTAGGCAACCGAAATTGTATCGTCTTGAAACAAATTTTGGTCTATAAGAAATACTAATCTTAAATCTGTTTTTATTTATTTGTTTTGTTGTTGCTTCATTCTTTTGTCAGCTACTGTGTACGCTTGAAGGTACTTGCGGGCACTATCAAGATGTGATCACGATAACGATAACGATTGTTATTGCACATTTTGTCTTGGGGCCTTGCCTCCAAGAGGCCCCTTATTTGATTTTGATTTTAATTTAAGTGATCGCCAACAAATTGAGGCACAAAATAATACTAACGATACAAACTGTGCCGATATGTATATGTTTCAATGTCTTAAGGGTATCGAACGTGGACATGAGATTCAAAGAACTGATTCAAATAGCAATATCAAAATGATTGCCCGCAAACAATAATAAAACAGGGTAAATCACTATTACACACACATATGTATATATATAGAGACTTATTTTTTTAATTTTCTTTTTCTTTATATAAATCAATCTAAACGAATCGCGCACGCCTTCCGGATGGATTGACACATCTATCTGCATAGTACTCAAACATATGTGACGATATGACGATGACGTCAATTCGATCACGCTACACAGCTTTGTCATATGCACATGCATGTGTAGTATGGCCATCAAGCATATACATATACATATATACATATATGTTTAAGTTGAACGATAAGTGCTCCATGCGTATAATTTATATTACCGATAAGCAGTAGCTTATACGCACCATTTGAAAATCATAACAGATGCACATACTCCATACAATACATATATATTATATATATAAATATAAACATACTTATCTCAAAACATTCGACAAATGCCATAAAGGGTTTCCGTTTCAGACTTTGAACTGAATCAGCTGCATCGACTCAAATCATAATTAACATATTCGATTTAATGCAATTTAATTTTTGAGTGTGCGTTGATAATTCAAAAATGGTTGAAGTCTTTCAGCTGATTGGCTATTACCAAAATTCGCGGATTGCATGGTAAATGCCAGCTGACAGGCACATATTGATTCAGAAAGAAAATGGAATTAAAGGCTTTTATAAGGTTGGCCTCATCTCAAACTGTTTGATCTCTCTCGAAAACATATACGCGTTATATCAAGATCAACTCATAGCACCTCAGCATTAGTGTAGGGCAGGGTGCGCCATTGTCTAGCAGTTTTCATTTGAGTATTCTTAATTGGTTTTTAATCAGATCAAAAAAAAAAAAAAAAAGATCGCCTAGAAACAAACACAAAGGAAACTTGCAGAATTGATTGATAATGATAATGCTAACGTTTTATGATAAGTCATAATACGATAAGTGGCCATAATCATGAATTAGAAATTGTGTGTGGGTGTATTATTAAATGGTATAAGGCAATAGACTTAATCAACTTTTGGCCTCCTTTATATTACCTTCTTTTTGTATTTTTTTTTTATTATTATTTGTTTTTTCTTAATATTTGTTGAACACTGATTATCAGGCATTGGAAAATAAAATCCTAAAGTTGACATTGTAAATGGAGTCCAATTGAGATTAGGGCACACTTCAAGCGACTAACTTTCAAGAAGCACCCACACACAATTTCCAATTAATGATTATGGTCACGAGCTAATAATATTTGGACTTATCATAGAGGCTTACCATGATCCTAATCAATTGATTCTGCAAGTTTCCTTTGTGTTTGTTTCTAAGCGATTACTTATTTTGTTATCTTTAACACGTGCTTGAGACTGCCGCATATTGTTTTATATATCATTGAAATATATAAATAAATATTTGTATACATATATATATATATATATATATGTATATTTATAGATATATAAGAGCACACCATCCTTTGCAAACAAGGCCAATTTCTTGGGATTGTATTAACTGAAATAATAATTGCAGCTGAATTAGAAATGGCCAATTGTTAACAGATACTTGTTAACTGCGTATGGTGCGTATGGATCGTAAATTGATTTAATCGATCGAATTGCCTTATCCCTGATTGGGGTGGTTGATTGATCACAAATAAATTAATTTTTAATATACTCGGACGGTGAAGTACTAACGAGCAGCGCATTCAAGAGACCTGTTCATGGGTGGATCCAGTCAAATCGCGTCCGTAAATATAAACACTGATGCAATACCATTTAATCATAAATTGAACCTTGATTCACTGATTTCTTATAATTATATGGTTCTTGAATGAACCTGCGGATGGGGAAATTTACAAATCAATGCCCATAATACGAGTAAGCTAATTATTTTGGAAGCGTATTTATTGATGAAAGAAATATTCGACAACAGTTAGATCGAGATAAATCATAAAAGCTCTGACGTTAGTGCACAATAATGAAATTGTCGAGAGCCAAACGAACTAAAAATAATTGGAGAGATGATAAGAATAAAGAGGAATACCAAACAGGCGATACAAAATGAAATTATACTCGACTTTCGAACGGAATTTATGATAATCTCTAGCAAAAAAAAAAAACCGTGAAAATTGAAATAAATTTTAATCGAAAAGTTCTTACGCAAAGTAATTGAGTTGACATCGTTTTTAAAAATCAGCTGTTTTGAAGTGAGAACAAACATACTTCACTTATTTCAAGATAGTATTTGAATTAGTGTAGCAAGTAGGAATATCCTCAATGACATCTAGCGATAGAAATATCCAATATCATAAAATATACTATATTAAATTGAACATCATCTGGTTTGATCTTGATTTTCCAGAACAATCGATACAGTTTTAATGCCTATCATGCAGTCATGAATGTCGAATAACCAGTGTCCTTTTATAGCACAGATTACTGCAGAGGAGCTTTTGCAACTGAGATTTCCTCTCTACTATTAATATTTGGTCCTGTTTGGCATTTCATATTTTACCATTTATCATTAGACCTGCGTCCACTTTCTTCCTTGATTGTGAGCCTATAGCTAGCTAGAGGCATGCATATACCTTCCTTATCGGTGAGGAGGACCAATAGAGTTAATTTCCTAGTCAGCCTGGCTGATGCCTTCAAGGCACGCATATTTGGCTGATAACATGCTGATTGGCCATCTCGATCAGAGATTTGCGACAGCCTGTTTACCGATATCGAATTTGATGATAGCCGCTTGGCTCTCAATATATATGGTATCATTGACTAGGCTGGCTTAATAATATAATAGATAATAGAATGCATGGCCTTTTGTCTAATCAATCCAGACTAAGGACTCTCTCCGTCTTCTGGCCGTGAGTGTTGCATTTTCTATTCATTGTCTTTCCAGACATGGAATGTCCAGGATGGCGTCTAACTCGGTGTGGCCCCTGAGACGATCCAAGTGTGGATTTCACAATCCTGCAAGTAAGCAATTGATTGATCAATCCCACTCAGAACTTCGCTCCAGTCGAGAGCAAACTGCTTAGCTCCAGGATGGACCTCACTAGCATAAGTTTTGTATTTCTTGGGTACCAGCCAACATCCTTGGACCAAGTTACTTATTGAGCAGTTCGAAATAGCGGACAGCTTATGCTCCATCCACATAATTTCTCCCATCCTAATTGCTCCCCTTGGTAATCTAGGCGAAAGAATTTCCCAGTACCTTGTTGACCACTGTAATGCACCCAGTCCAGGATTCAGTCGAGAAATTTTGCCAACCATATTATATAAATGATTTAAAATATTGATTGGCATAACTTTGTGTTCCAGACATCTAATAAATGGGTTGGATCAAGCCAGTTCTCAATGGCCTGTGTCCGTTAAGTCCCGGTACTCAAACTGTCTGTCAGCATTATACATATACCGTATGTTATGTGGGCTTATTTGTTTTTCGCATTAAATCTTGATATATGACACGGGATAAGATGGCTACGCCATTGTTTTTCAATACATGACGTCATAAAACGTGGGGTTTTAAGTGCCATAACAAGTATGACGTCCGTCGAGTAAGACGGCAGCAAATGGCTGGTAAGAAATCGGACGACAATCATTATAATATAAAATGATAACAAAAAACACTGATTTGATTTCTTGGCGCATTCTATCAAACATTATGGAAACAAATACACCTATGCCAAATATAATATATGTATGGTATTAAATATTTTAGACAATAATAGATTAAACACATTCTTAGAACTATTATTAGGACCAAGCATTTCCTGAATGCAAAAGTATTCAGTTGTGTAAAAAGACAGTAGCGCTATAATCTAAGCAGTATATATACATTGTAGGCAACTAGGTTTTCGACTGGAGAATTCCTCTTTGTGGACATGTGGTTGTCCTGATAGTCCTTTTAACTGGTGGTCCTTTTTACACTACCTGCCAATGCGTTTTTGGGCTTTGTTTTACAACTAGTCAAATACTTTTGCTTGGGATACAAATGAAAATTATAGCCCAGGAAATCACCTAGGTGCATACTTCCTACTAGACTAGATAACTTATGCATTTTGCACACGAACAACTGAGTAATTCAAAATAATGTTAACCCCCTTTGAAGTTGATCGGCAAACTAACGATTTTTCCGTCATTTTTTGAGCACTGAGACAGCAATTTTGGATGAGCGCTGAGCAATCATTGATCGGTGATCAGTTATCACCAGCAGCTAAATCGAGAGTATTACGAATGGTAAAAGCACAGCTGAACTTTGCACAAGCTCAAGCGATTCAGGGAAGTACATTTGCTGAATGTAATTAAAAACAAGTGTGATCGCCGATCCTAGGCACGCCGAAGATTTCATACCCTTGCAGAATGGGCTCATCCTGCCGACTATTAAATTGCATTATTGATCTAAATCCTAGTTTAGATTATGTATAATATTAATAAAGTTATACATTTTGTTGAGGTAATTACTGTTTCACGTCTTGCCTCCCACTCCTCCCAATATACCTAGCATCTATCTCGAGCCCACAAATTGAAAGTCATCTTTCAACCGATTATTCCCATGAAATTGTTATACCCTTTAAAAGGGTATTAAAAAAGACAATTGCTCACATTAAACATTTGAGCACGCTTTGTGATCAGTTGATTAGGATTGGTAAATGCACACTTATTAAATATTTATGTATGCCAAAACGAAAGTGAAAATTCTGGAATGTTTTCCAGTCATTGGGATTTGAAAACGATCGGAATAGGTTATTGCTGATTGGTGTAAGTTGTATTAGCACGTGCGACCTATAAATAGCTTTGAGTGCAAAGTTTTCCGTTAAGCATGAAAATACCCAAAGTGCTTCCAATCACTTACATCTAAATACGCGCAAAAACACACAGACAAACAGACAGCCAGACACACAATCATGCCTTAGATACAAATGAGCTTCGACTGCCGGCAATACTAGCAGATTGATAAACAATCGCTTCAATTGTTTTTCTGATTTATTCTTATCAGAACGGTAACTGCTATATTAATGAGTGCAGGTTACACTCAGTTCTCTCTCTCTCTCTCTCTCTCTCTCTCTCTCTCTCAACTGTAAATCAAAGAAATAGATAGTTTTTTTTTATGCGGCTTTGATCGACTAGTGGATGCTCTTCACATTGCTGGCAGGGATTATGATAAAATACAAAAAATAAACAATGTAGATTTATATTTTGAAATTCAAGCAGCAAATACAAATAAACAATACAACATTTAACGCAATTGCCAACTGTGGTAGAATAATGAATCAATATTAATTAAATAAACAAATGTAAATGTAAATTAAATTATTAAAACAAATATAAAAAATATAAAAAACAAAATCTCAAATTATGTATTGCTTCAAAAGAGAAGTTTCTCTGTTAAAGAGAATATCTTTCTTTGCCTAGCACATTAAACTTGTTAAACACACACACAAACACACACACACAAACACACTGCTGCACTCAAAAAAAGCAAGATTATAATGAAACAGAAACAAAAATCAGTAATCAGTGAACGGAAAAGGTTGTCAGCTATTCGGACTTGACTTCTCGCCTAACCAGAGATAACTCTTTATATTTCAAAAATGTATAGTCCCCCGCCTCGGACAGCTGCTAGCGAAGTCGGCGACGACGTTGACAGTGATGCCGACAGCGGCGTTCGCATCGACGTCGACTGCGACGCGAGCGTCTCTGTTTATTATTAAGACGCGCGCGCGCTGGTCGCACTTAATTAGTTGTGCGATACAATTCTAGCAAAGCGGTTGACGTTGCCCCGCTGCATTCGAAAAAAAAAACCACTTAACAAAACGAAAACTAAACACAAATCCACAAAATCATCACAGAAACTATTCACAAAGCTGCCGCTTTTCATTCACAAAGATTTTCAAAAATCTAAACAAGTTACGTCGTGTTGCGCATACGCCGTGTATGGTGAAGTACCGAAAAAGAAATCCAAAAAAAGAAAGAAAAAAAGAAGAAGAAAACCACCGAACAAAATTATGCGCACATGTTGCCCGTGCATTGCTATTCTTTATAATTTAATATATTCAATATAAAATAAACATAAATATATAAAATATATATATAAATATACATATATATATATATATATATATATATATATATATATATATAAATATATATACACATAGTCTTTTTTTTTAATGGTTAAATCAAAACAAAAACCATTTTTTTGTTAAAGTTTTCGTTTTTGTATAATGTTGAAAAACGCTCGCCTTATGCTAGGCGTTTTCTTATTGTTTGCCAGCCACATAACGGATACACAAGCAACAGGTGAGTAAATAGTCAATTCAAAATATATAAACAATTAAAAAGAAATACCAATATGAGGCATGGGCTACGGGGTATTTGGTATTTGGTTTATTACCAAGTCACCGAGTTTTAATGGATGATAACTGCCCGAAAACCAACTTCGATTTGAATAGAGTTTGTTAGTAGAAAGTGCAGCCCAGTGATAATACACATAGGGCCACACAGATATAAAAAAAAATTATCGCTGCATCATTCAAAAGAAAAAAGTTAATTACATTTTGCACTTATCTTAATTTATTTAAAATGTACTTACATTTTACCACGAATATTAGCTATAAGGCAATCAATGCATTTGCTGCGGCACTAAAATTTAAACAAGTTTCGGATAATTATTTGTTCGTGCACTATAATGAAGAAGAAAATTATTATTTTCGTGTTGGATGTCGAAAGTGTTTTTAGATAATTATTATTTATTGAGCCTGGCTACTTCATTTTTGTTAACAATGCTTGTAATTGGAACAATTGGGCGCTTTAAGATAAGCTCAGGTTTCCAGACAACTTTCCGGTTATTTTCGGGTACAATTTGTATTACTCTTTAACTAAAAATATTCGTTTGAAATTGCAACAATGGCATAATTCTATATTTTTTTTAATGAATTAAAATGTTAAGAATGTTGGTGTCAACTGAGCTCGACTATGAGATACTCTGCGTATCCAAGTCTATGTGTATAATTTGATAAATACGACAAGAAGATTAGAAATGTAATTCTTTCTTATGTGGTGGTATCGACAATCGATTTGTATCAATATTCGGGGAAATGGGCAAACTTAATTTCTAAATATGAAATCTCTATCTCTCACAGACGAAGACATGGTCAGATCCAGATCAAGAATATATATAGAAGATGATTCCAAATGTACACAACTTCATTATAAACTTTTTACCCATTTTTGATCAGTAAAAATGTGTACACAGAAAGTTAAAGTTATGGATTTTCTATTCAAGTTTGGACATTTTAATTGCTCTCATATTTTAGAGTATATTCAATAAATTTACCAGTTTTTTTTTTTTTTAATCTAAGGCCATCACTAAAATATCAATTTCAAACAGGTGTCAGTTCGGGTCGTAAAACAATCTAAAAATACCGTATTAAGATTTAAGGAAAAAAAATTGCACAAATAAATCAAGAAATGATTGGCACAAAATCAGTAAAATAGGGGCGTGGCTATCAGTAACAACTGCTTTTGATAAGGACTAAACATGCTAAGATAAAAATCAAAAAACTCCTATAGCCGTAAATATTTAAGAAATAAATCTTGAAATTGAAGATACTTATATATATATATATATATATATGGGTGCGGTCTTTACATTTTAATGGTGTAGCTGATAAGCACAGCTGATATACGATATGTATGTGTGGGAATTGTGGCAGCTGTGAGGAGCATTGATGAAGCATCAGTGATCTATATCGGTCAGCTGATAAGAAGTAACAATGGTTTATCAGCAGACCAACCAAAATAAAAGCATTTGTATTTGAGATTGTCAACGGGGAGCAGGTGACACTTGATTGATCGATGTGATAATCTGACGGCAGTTTATTTAATTAATAATGGAAGCTAAAAAACAACACACCGTTCAATTGCTGCACAGTAAATACAACTTTTAGATTGCTTTTCGAGTAGTTGAACTAAAGAACTCAAGATCAAATGGTCGAAATTAAAAAATAACACTGCTCCGATTTCATATTTGCTATCAATATTTTATTGATATTCAAAATGATTAAAATCAAAATATGAATGACTTGCACCACACACAATTTTACAAAAATTGTATTCTTTGAATGCTTTACTTCCTTTGCTCAACTAAACTGTCAAAATTATATAGTGTAACAATTTGCTAAGTGCGTATATTTCAATTTAAAAGAAGATTTCCTAAGATATCGACTTTTACTGTCGACCTTATTATCTGTGATTTTTTTTTGCCTTTGGAAATATAATTTGAGTCCGGATCTTTGGTAAACAAAAAAGTTATTCTTTTATCCTATCGTTTCTTTGGTGATCGGATCGACCGACTCCTGCAAACAATGATGGATGCAGACGGATATATTTTGACGCAGCTGACTATATTGACTCGTCTAGTGATGCCGATCAAGAATATTTATATATATGTATATATATATATATGGGGTCTCCCTCAATGCGTTACAAACTTCTTCTTCTTCTTAGATATAAGAACACACTTTAGGACATTTAATATCTCGGAACATATATATAAACTATATATTATTTAAAGATCTTATTCAAACGTCTCGCTAAAAAAAAATGTACCGCAAAACAAAAAGAAATCACACTGAATTGCGGTCATAAAATTATTATAAATTTCTCTAGAAATTTGGTAGTGTTTTTAAAGAGACGTAAACCGCTTAAGAATACTCGTGCGGCAATTATTATTAAATATGTCGTTTTTTTTTTTATTGTTTTTTGGCGTTGCCACCCATTCATATTTGGTTGCGTAAACAAAATCGGGTGAGACGCCTGCGAATAATTATCATAGACGTCATTACGATTATTTACAAGTGCTCAGCATAAATAATTGTCTTTTGTATGTATGTGTGTGTGTGTGTGTAGGTGTCTATTGATATAAAAACAACAATGACGATGGTGATTCCCCATTGTTTATTCTATGGAAGTGATCCCGAACAGTGACCCTCCTCATCCCATTTGAAACCGAACTCTATAAATAATCGGTGGTTTTATAGGATTTATAAGAAAGCATATTGGTTATTCCAACTGAAATTCAAATTTATCTGGAAGCATGAATAGGCACATTTAGGAATATTAATTATTAAATACAACAAAATTGCAGCCATAAACTGAACAATCTAGCATAAGGGGGGGACTTAATAGTATGGTATGGCTTCCGAGGGGGCACAGGCACATTTCTTGGGAATCTATGCTGCAATATTGACTTGCATTCAATTCACATACACACGTGCAAATTATGTATTAACCAAAGTTCAACAATTTGCACAGTCATGGGATTTCCCATAGCGCACCGCACCGCCCCGCCCCGCCCCACCCCTCACAACCATGACGTTTTCATGCTCCACGGATATATGTAGATGTTTTCATCGTTAATTTTTTATTTATTATTATTTTTTTTTTGTTTATTTCTTGTTTGTTCTCGGAGCAGCATTCCCAAAGCTGATGCCCCGACTAACTGCTGTTCGAGTCTTATTACCGAGTATTATCTATTTACATTTATTTATTGCCGCACTCTAGCAAAAGGTTTTGCACTTTTGTCGTGACGTGTGTAACGCATTGAAGGCGACATAGAGTATATATATTCTTGATCAGCAACAACCTGATGTTCTGTATATAGCAACTAGACCCCCAACAGTTGTGGACAGTATATATATGTAAATCGTCTATATCAAATAGTTGCAATAGGAACAATCGGTGGTAATATGATTTAACTCTTGACAAAAATATCAATTTAGAATCGAAATTAGATGTTCACAGTTTGAGTCTGGTCTGGCAAGGGTATGTAATCTTCGCAGTGATTTTGATAGACGTTCTCACATGTTTCTGTTTTCATTTATTTATCTAGTGTTTTGCTTTGTTATTGTTATTGTTGTTGTTGTTGTTGTTGTTGTCGGCGCACATTTATCATCTCTGGTATTTGTCGAACAAACAGACAAACACGCCAAAACAGCGACAGCCAATGGAGCCCTCTTTTGATGGCTACACTATACAACTTGAGGGGATTTCTTTTTTCAAGTACCTATAAAGATATATGGGCAAAAAAGAATACTACCTATATCTAAAATGGTTATATACTAACTCTAACTCTCATCAGAACTAGTTATTTAAATAAGTTGAAAACTGAACACAAACTAACCTATTCATATATCACAGATACTCATTTATATATGATCATAGAATGGTACTGATTTTCAAGCAACAATTTCACTCCAGCCTTTACTAATTTAGGTGTATTTATAGCAATTAAAATGGACTGTATATTTTTCTTCTTTAGTATTTTGCAAAAACGTTTTCAGACTTTCAGGCATATATCTAATATTTTATATATTTTATTTTATATCAGTAATCGTAGGAAGCATAAGTGGTTAGGTTTATATTAAGGTTATATTATTTATTATTATATATAGATTAGCAGGTAAAAATATGCATTCATTTTTGTTGGCCAGTGTTGCAAAATCGTATTTATTTTATTTAACAACAATTAACAAGCAGTTTTCAGTTTGAAATTTGCAGCTTGGAAAGCCGATTGATTTGCATTAAGTCGCAACACGATCAGAGAAACAAGTTGCCAATTAAACGGCAAATTTGCAAAAAATAAAGCAACTAAAATGTTTAAGGAAAGAAAAAAAGTAAAAATCGTTATTAACCAAACAAAAAATGTGCTTTAGCAGCGTTTACAGCAAACTTAGTGTCTCAAGTAATTAAGGCAAAACGCTTCTTGATTGCACAATGAATTGCATCAATAGGTATCAAACTAAAAGGGCTGAAAGAGCTAAAAGGGCTGAGAAATTTCCCATAATTGAGTCACATGCCTAATAATAAAAGTCCCTAAAACCATTTTCCACAAAAGGGTTTCCGATTTGAGGTTTTTTTATATTGGATATAAACAAGTGCATTTTTTATTATTACTGGGTGCGGTGGGTATTTCTCAATTTTCCCTCCATAATCACTAAACGTAACCACAACCCGACCGCAGTTCAGCAGGTTCAATAAACTTGTTTTATGCATCGCGTAAACGCAAACTTCATAAGACTCAAACTCATAGATACACATTCACATTCACATTCACAATCACAATCACAATTACACACATCTATTGCATTATGAATGCAAGTGAATATATATTCACTGAATACGTTTGTCGAAAGCGACACCTTGTTTTGAGTGCCATACCACAACATGTTTGGGCCGTCGAACAGGTCTCTTGGGACTTCCCAAAGAACTTCTTCAACTTGACCTACTCCAACACGATTATTGTGTAAGTCGAAACAAACATTTTTTCAAAGTCTTCAATTCGATTTTTAACTTTATAATTTCACTTATTTCATTTGTTTACAGTTGAATTTGAAAAAAAAAAAAAACAAGTGCAAGTTTTTTAACGCAATAGCTAAAATTATTTATAGAGAATTCAAATACTTTTCAAATCAGCAGCTGTTCTAACAAGCTGTGCACATCTTTCATATTTTACCCACGGCATGCTTCAATTTCATGTTTTTTTTTTTTTTCCAATTATGTTTGATTATTGCCACTGAATGTTATTGTTAGTGTTGCAGCTGCAAGAGACACGCAATTCGGTTTTCACAGTCAAACAATAATAATCACAATAAGCAAAGCATTTACAAACAAAACAAAACAAAAACGAATCTGATGAAAAACTGGTGACTGAAATCGCACGTGCAGCGAAAATAGGCCAACATCAACAACATATACCAAGCAGCAATAACAATATATTTAAATATATATAAAGTAGACGAGTGTACGACTGTAAAGGTACCCTGTACTACCCACAAGTATACAAATAAATATAATGGGGTATAAATGATTTACTAATTTACAAAATGTGATAAATTTGTGAATCACTTTGCCACAGAGCGTATTATTAAGAAATATGCTGATAAGACATGTCAGTCCGACAATATGGCCAACAAGTCACCCACTAGTTGGCAATAAATTGGCGTTGTTGGGCAATCGCTAATTATGGGTACCTCTGGTGGCTTAAAAAGATAAACACAGAATATGACAACAGACATCGTTATGGGTATTATTTGCCTATTCCCGTTAAGTCAAATTATGGCCGGCAATAATCATTTAATTGTGCATTATAAAAGAAAAAGGTAAAGGTGACAGATAAACAAGAACGACAACAACAACAATAACAATAGCAAACATATTTGTAAGTGACTGTCTACATTATTTTTAGGATGACAATTCAATCGCCTTGTCACTTTTAGACAAAGTCAAATAACATCAACAAATATCAAAGTAATAATACAAATAATAATAATCACAGTGGAACTAATCGTTGACAAAACAGTAACATGGAAAAAGTCATAAAATCAAATTCACAACTGAGCAACTTCTTAACTAGATGAGGGCGGGGAGGGGCTGTTGGGAAGGTTAGGTATATTGCATTTATTCGAAACGTACTCAAATTGAGTGTTTGTATTTTTATGTTCCCGTCTGGCATGATTTAGTTATGCAATTAAGCATTAAACGGGCAGCTGGCTTCTAATTGTTGTGCCATATAATTGTTTATCTACCCACAAAAAGTGGAATTTTTTCTAGTTAGCTGCGTGAGAAACAATTAAACTGACAGATTGAGTAACTTTTAAGAACTTTATCAGAATCCCAAGCTGTGTAGCATAAAAACGAGTTTTAGTGTTGACAACAAATTGGAAAAATAATTTCGATTTGAATCAAAAACTGACATGAATTGCCCACCAATCTCGATTTTTAGATAGTTTTGAAAGCGTTGTTCTTCAAATAATAAGGATTAATTGGAATTAACATTTTTCTAATAATATTTATGGGTTGATTAGTAATAGTTGACTTTTCAGACTCTGTCACGGTTACATTTTCATTAACCCACTGAACTGCTATCTATTATGTTTGAGAGAGATTGAAATGATAATTGGCTGTGTCAAGAACAAGATGACAAATCGCAATCAATAAATATTAATATAATATATTCCATATTTATTTTAATTTTAGCTCAACATTTATTTGCTTTTGAAATTCGTTGCAGTTAATAATGAAACAAGCTTTTTGGTATCAACGCTGAGATATTTGGATGAACAACTGCTCTATGATATACTGCCACGTGCCACATGTCCGGGCGAGGTACCCGATGCACCGTTAGACGAATTCCCTGAGATATTTACAGGTAAATAAAATAATACTTAAGTAGATCAGCCAAGTATTGACTGATTAACTAAGAGCGAACAAAAAGCTAATAATAAAATCCAAATTCGTAATTGAAGAAAATAAAAAGAACTTCGCAAAACAAAAGAACCTTCTGCTAGGAATACCAATCATGGTTCCATTCTATAAACTTGAACTTGCTGACCAATGACCAATTACCATTGGCCAATAAATAGTCTTCCTGCTGCAACGAGTCGCTTATCACTGGGCCATGGCCAATACAAGTGCCGCCGATAAGCGACTAAAAACTCAATGGCCAATAAATCAGTCGGCACAAATGTGATTGCACTACAGCTCCATATAAACTATCACTGCCACTAATATATTATATATCAACAAAACAGATTGTCTATTTTTATGGTACAGTCGAAACTAGAAGAAAATATAAAGTTCAAAAATCGGATAAAATATTTAAAAAAAAATGGAAAATCTGAAAATATGTTAAAATTCCTGAACCAATTACAAAAATCGCATTGCTGATTTAGTTTTAGTTGAATATTATATTAGGGATAACTTAAGACATTGAGTACTTAGAACAACAATTATCACAATAAACATGTTTCTGATTTATTTTTATAAATTTCGTCAGTACAAAAAACCCCAAAAAGGATTTTTAAGAATTCCGTTCGTCTCTACTTGATTTATACATCAAATGTGTTTTTAAAGTTAATTTTTTTTCTTTGAGTGCATATTCTTGACTCGGTATCTTCTATTTACATACACGTACAATAAATGTATGTATAAATCTATCTACCTTTGCGGCTCGTCAAACCGCGCTTCTTATCGCAAGAAACCTTTAATTAAACTACAATACTTGAAACATGCGACAGATACGCATACTTATAGCTTGAATGTGTCTCTTTGTTACACTCAGACCATGTAATAGACAAAATTCCTTTACTCGTATCTATATGGGAACTGCGATATGATTAATAGTTTCCTTATATAATAGCCTTCTTCCCTGTATCTGCATTACAAATGCTGAAAACGTATAAAACGAAGTTCTGCCAATTCGTGAAGAAGTATCTTCGATCCCATAAAAATAGACATTTATTTTCAACCGAGTTGAAAATAGCACTCTCAAAGCAACTAAAAACAACTTGAGTCAAAAATAAAATACTTGTAACTATAAAATGTGTCAAAGTCGTATTTAAGTACCCTTTTTAAATAGTTACCCGAGTCATAGCTGTTATAATAATTTGTACATTTTTTCGTAGTGGAACAGTTGCGTCAAGGTTGGGTAGTTCTACACGTATTCGCCGCAATCTATTTATTCATATTGCTGGCCATCATATGCAATGACTACTTTCTGCCCACCGTCGAGTGCATTTGCGAGGATCTGCATCTGTCCAAGGATGTGGCGGCAGCCACATTTATGGCGACAGCAACCTCCATGCCCGAGTTCTTTACGAATACGATAAGTACACTCATTCTCGAGTCGGACATGGGACTGGGCACCATTATTGGATCGCTGATGTTCAACACACTCGGCGTTTGCAAGGCCTTGCGGCACTCTGCATTAATAAGGTAAGCACACGCACACAGATAGAATGATTTGGGGGTTGTGGATACTGATTGGGTTAATCTTGCTTACACAGCCAGTGCAGCTGGATTGGTGGCCAATAGCACGTGGACTGTTTCATCTATACGTTTAATACGATCGTTTTGCTGGTGCTCGCCTGGGGTGGCAGCATTAGCTTTGTGGAGTCCTGCATAATGATGGGCTTCCTCGTCCTCTACTATCTGATTACGTTCAACAACAACAAGTTTATGCCAGCCATACGTGTCTTTATCGAAGACAGAATGAACTGTTGCTTCTCCACGCGTTACGGTTAGTTGAATCGATGCCCCCCAAAATGGAATCTTTACAACATTAGCTATACTTTGTTTAGATCTGACGGAACCACCGGAGAACAGTGCCAAGGCTCAGCTGCCGCTGAAAAAGGATCCACTCTCTGGTGATGGTCTGTTTGTCGTCAATTTTCCAGAGAACACCTCATCCATGTCATCCACGGCCAATTTAACGTATTCCAAGAATTGTAAGTTTTCATTCCAATTGCATTTCAAATACAACATAATCAGTAAAGATCAGTAAAGAGATGATAAGCTTAAGGACTACACATTTTTATGGTTCCATAAGAAATCGCCGGTTCTCCGTTAATCTTATGACATCTTCACACTATTTCGATGCTTGCAGGGAATGGCGAAGATGAGGATGAGCGACCGACCAGCATCTTTGCGTATCCGCACAGTGCATCGCGTTTCATGAAAGGCTGGTGGATCTTCACATTACCCATCAAATTGCTGCTGCGCGTCCTCATTCCACATCCGATGAGGCATCGTCGTTTGTATCCCTTGTCCTTCATCATGTGCATCATTTGCATTGGTGTCAATGCGTATCTGATTGTCTGGATGCTAACGGCTTTCGGTGTGGCTATTCGAGTGCCCACCATTGTGATGGGTCTCACTTTCCTCGCCGCCGGCTCCACAATGCCCGAGGCGGTATCTAGTCTTATATCACTGCGCAATGGTAAGCACAAGCTGAACAACTAATCTCCTTTTAACAAGTGGTTATTACATTTTATTTTTATTTTTTTATTTTTTTTTTTTTGTAGGCGAAAGTGGTATTGGCGTCTCAAATTCACTTGGCGCCAATTCGTTGGCCATTTTGTTGTCGCTGGGCGTACCGTGGTTTGTGAAGAACTGCATCAACTATGGCACTGGGGAGAAGCAATATGTTGGCACCCAGGGCATCGAGTATAACATATTGATCCTGATATTCTGCACAATTGCCCTGTTTGTGATACTCAGCTGCAGCGGTAATCGCCTAACAAAGCGTGTTGGCGCTGCACTATTTACCGTTTATACGGTATTCATTGTCCTACAGATCTTGATCGAGATGAATGTGTTCTTTCCAATGGACTGCGGGTCACAATAACACATACGAGTTCCCGTTGCAGTTGCACTTCCAGTTTGTAATTCTTTAATCGTTAGTCGCTAATCGTTAATCGTTAGTCGATTATCGAGTTCAAGTTGTATACCGTTCAGCTTCTGGCTGGCACCAGATCGCTGTGTGGTATTGATTCGGTTATGTTCTCTGTTCTATCTTTTTTGTGTATACAACATCTTGAAGTTGGATTCATAGTGTATATCGATCAAGGTTTAGCTCAACCTTTTTGTTGATGAGATGTCATAGGTCATTAATATTTAAAGTTGTTTAGTAGAGCTGTCAAAAAACAAAAAAAACGATTTATCCTTTTTTTTTCAACAAATTGTTTAACCAAGTAGTATTATAAGGTCTGGTTTTTGGTTTTTTTTTTTTGTTATGTTTTACTAGCTTAGGTACTCCGTAAGACTGTCTACTGTTTAGGTATAAATAATCAATTGTTACAAACCATATCCTGTTTTACACTATTTATATGTAAAAAAAAAGAAGCAAGAACAACAAACCTATGCTAAATGCTTTGCTTACGTCACAAATTTTCAACTGGTACCAAAGCGCAACAATCTAGATGAAGACCTTAAAGCTAAGAACTTAAATCGAGTTACCACATAGAAACCAAATATGTATGTAAATTATATTTACCACCTATTTGTATAACTAATTAAGTGCCCTGCGATATTTATAGCCTTTGGCTAGACTTCCTTAATAATGTACAATAAATATTGATTGAATGTATCCGTGCATTACAACTATTGATATTCCATAATAATGTGTAAACTCTATTGTTACCGATTGCATTGTGCATTGAAACCGTTTTGTTATTAATTTATAAATACATATAACGACAAATATTGACAATTGTGATTTTTAACCATTTTGATCTGATAGCAAGAAATAAATAAATACAATCTATTAAAAAAAACATATTCATAGTTTATTATTTGGGTATAGGGTATATTTCGGTGTATACGAACATTTTAAATAATTCAGCAATCACCGGCAACAGCAATTTAAATCTTTTCTCATAGCAGTCTCAATAGCCATTTAATTATTTCACATTACAATTTAAAGTAGCTCATGTTATTCTGTTTAGACTGTATTCATTGCATCTATTTGCTTTTGCTCTGCTTGCTATCGTCAAACAAACAATTTGTCGTTAAGTTCCCGCTTTCTTTGCTTTTACTATACTCTTTTTATTTCAGTTAGCCAGATTCCGCATAAATAATTTGCCATACTTGATCAATGAACAAATTATCGTTTACTGATTTAGCTGATTTTTCGCAGTACCGAAATTACCGATTTTGATCAACATCAAGTCCGTGTCCCTTTTCTGTCGAGTAGATGGAATATTCGTGAATTGCGTGTGGAACACGAGAACTAAGATTAAACATTGAAAGTTTTTAAAGTCTGTGAGATCAGCACATTTATAGTGTTCAAGAATATATATATACTCTATACAATCGAAAATGATTTCTACTTGCTGTTACATTCGTTCATTTGCACACCTTTATTATACCCTTGTTACCAATTTTGCTCGGCTACAGAGTATACAAACTCAAGTGTCACGTTTCAACTCGAGTCTAAAGTGGCCAATGTCCATATGTGATTTACTGATTAGTGTACACAGCGCACATACTTATGTCATACACTATAATTAGCGCACCATTGATAAAACCAAAGACAGTTATTTGTGGGATTTCTTTTTTAAAAGGGATTTTTCTCGTTTAATAACCCTTCGTACTGAAGAAATTCTTTAAGTTTTCATCACATAAATAAGTTGACAAATGAGATCAAACATATTACATATATACGTATCTTAAGTAGTGTATACAGTTAAAGAAATGAAATACAAAAACAATTTGAGTGGGAAAAACATATCACTAAAAACTTGGCTAATTGATGTGGATCATGTGTATGTGGCGAGAATAATATCTTATAGATACAACACAGACACAAACTCCCTGTAGAAACCGTTCGCTTTAATGTCTGCTTTCATTGTTCATTTTTTTCTTTACACGTCATAAATATGTGAGATGTACTTAATAAAGCGAACGGCTTTTTAATTGATTTTTGAGTTTGCTTATTTTATTATTAGTTTTTTTTTTTGCTCTATATGCGGGCAAACGTCTTGAGGGATTGTAAGCGGTTGTAGTCATATTAACATGCGTATAAATATGCAATTATCGTAATAAATACTTATAATTAGTTGCTTGGTTTTCATTGTTTTGCCGTATTTTGTTTAAATATTATAATTTTGGTATTTGAAAGCAATACATTTAATACGTACTACAAATAATGAGAAGTTTTAAAAACTTGCGCCATTCTCTATCCGCATTTTTTTATGTCTTTGTCTTTTCGTCTTATCTATCATGGAAAAGTGCATTAAAAATGCCCATTTCTACATGATACAAATCAGTCTGAGCAATTACAATTCAAAATTTTCTTGCAAATTACAAGTGGTAGTAGGTTGAGGAGGGAGAAGGGGAATGAGGAGTTAAGAGGGTGAAATGTTCAACAAGCTTTTAGCTATTGAACAACAAATTGGCACACTTATTATGAGACATTTAGAGAACATGAACGAGACATCAAACATCTTAAAAGTTATTTGTTTTGTATGTTGAACATCTACAAAGCAGGCGATGTTTGGAAAGGTTTGGTTGTTGACTTGGTCGTCAAAGCTGTGAAGCCAGTGAGAGTGTGTGAGTGAATGCCTTAGGCCTGGTTAAGAGTTTAGGTGCAGCAATGATGGCCGCTCTTAACGTAATAATTGTGCATGGCAACAGTGCCGCTTTTGCTGTATGTGCCGCCGCTGTTGTATTGCGAATTGCCGCTCAAATTGGAGACGCCTCTAAAGATGAAGGCGCTGCCAATGTTGCCCAAGTTGTTGTTGTGGTTATTATTATTATTGTTGTTGCTGATGTGGCCCGTCAAATTGCCTAAGTTTCTAATGTTACCCAAGTTGCCGATGTTCTTGCCAATGTTGCTGGCTGTGGCCGTCGACGAAACCGTCGTCGATGATGATGCACCGGCATTGTCCGTATTGGTGGCCTTATCAAATGCCTTAATATGACTCGTAATGATCCTACATGTAAATTGACGATGCTGTCCCGGCTCCTGCGCAAAATCGAATTTGAAATTAATATCTGTTCTACGAATGCATACAAAATGCATACATACATGTTTCTATGAGTGTGTGACTGTGTGTGTATGAGCTGTGTGTGTGGGTGTTGGTGTGTGTGTATGTTTGTGTGCGGGTCAGTGTTTGCGTGTGCGTGTGCGTGTGCGTGTATTTCTACATACCTTTGGCTGTATGGGAAAACAGCACCAGAGTATGAACGCTATGAAGGCCACCAGTGTGCCCACAAGCAGTATGAAATCCTCAATAGTCTGAATGTGAGAGAAGAGAATTAAATCAATGTCTGCGTGTGGTAGTTGTTGTTGTTGTTATTATTTTTACTGTTGCCGACTGTCTTTGTGTGCGTAATATTATTTGTGTTGTTGTTGTTGTGACTTACCGGCTCTTCGCCAAGCAGCACATGATTAATTAGATAAATGAAATCATCAAATGGTGTCATTGTGAATGCCAAAAATCCCGTTGAATTGCAGCTTGCAATTTTTTTAAAAAATTATTTGATTTTTTTTTTACTTTCGCTACTGCGTTTGCCGAGCTTTTCTATTGGTGTCTATTTCAATAATATCAACATGTCGTCGACACAGACACACTAGACACTATCACAAAAAAAAACTTAAAAATTAAATTCGCAAGCTCTGCTCAAAATTAAATGTGTCAAACGCAGCTGCAGCGGCATCACGGGCACGGGCTTTGTGAGGAGCTTGACGCGATAAGCTAAGCATGTCGATTAATCGCGTAAGCGACGATGCATTTTTAAACGATAGTATTGCAATACTAAAACATCGATAAATAGTTTCACTTGCATTATTTTGATATATCGGTATACAATGCTTGTGCAAATATCAAAGTTAGAATTGTTATTAACGAATTCAGATAAGCTTATTTACTTATTTATTAAATATAGTCAGTAATGAGCAATTATATAGCCTCAAACTTAAAATAAGGAAACAAGCAAGCAATAACAAAAATAATGATACAATTTCTTCAAACTAATCAAATTTTTTTACACTACTACAAAGAAAAATAATTATAATCCTCAATTGTGTTCTTAGGACCTAAGATTAACATCCAAACATATTAAGGTTAACATTTGAAAACTTCCTTTAGTTATCGGTAATTGATTTTGATTCTATATCTTATGCCTGCGCCTCACCTTTTAACTTTTTCTTTTTGCACAAGTTTTATAACTTTTTCAGCGCCACCTTGTGGTGAATGTGATCACCTTAAAGTTAGCCCTACACACCTGTTGTAATCGTATGCACGAAACAGTGTTGTTTCGTTCAAAAATGTCTCCGCAGCTTCACGGTGGTTGATAAATACTCAAATGCAACAGTTCTAAAGCCATCAGCTGTTTAAGTCGAAACCCCACATAAGCCAGAATCACCAATAGCATTCTTTCAAATCTATTGGCTTTTTCCCTTTTTCGATTTGTCAAACAGCACTTTCCTTGATTATTCTAAGGAAAATAACATGAAAACTGCCCAAGCGCGCAGCTGGGAGCGTGCCGCGCGGAGCGACAACGGATCGGCGGAACACAGCAGCGACAACGATGCAAATGCAAAGGCGGCAAATCGCATGAAAAGCAAGACGACGCGTAAACGAAAAGCAACTCGCGACAGTTCATCCACATCCAGCACCTCTTCCAGCAGCAGCAGCAGCAAAAGCAGCAGTAGTAATAGCCGCAGTAGCAGCAGCGGTGATGCTTCAAAATCCTCGGAGGACGTCAAACGCGTCAAAACCAAATCGAAAGCAATCAAATTAGAACAAAAACAAATCAAACGTGAGCCTGCAACACTGGAGAGCAAAGTGCAGGAGCAGCGCTCCAAATGGGACAGCCCCGAACGCAGCGCTGCCGCCCAGCGACACACAGCCGGTAGTAAATATACAAATAAAACGCGCGGGCGGGAACGGGAACGCCACCTTGAGAGAGACAGAGACAGGGACAGGGAGCGGCCGCAACAACGATATCGTCCAAATCGCGATAGGGATCGACGTTCAGAACACCACCGTCCGCGCAGCAACGAGCGTCGAGAAAGAGATCGTCAACGTCGGTCGCCGGAGGGACGCCGGTGAGTAACACTCTATCCATAATGGAATATATTTAATATATATGTATATAGATAATTAATATCTATTTTATTTTCACAGGCGCAGTCGTAGTCGCAGTAGCAGCCCACGGGGTGAGCGATCCTATAGAGGAGTTGGTGGCGGTGGTGGAGGAGGTGGTGGAGTAGGAGGAGGAGGAGCACGCCGTCAGCAGCATCAACGTCGCAACGACAATCGAAATCGGGACGATGCCGAACAGTTTGAATGGGGTAAACCACAAGACAAAGATAAATCGCAGCCGTCCAACGATGATGCTGAACCCGTGGAAAAGGAGAAACCGAATTTTGGGTTGAGTGGCGCCCTCACCGAAGATACGAATAAAGTGAATGGCGTTGTCGTCAAATATTCGGAGCCACCAGAGGCGCGCAAACCGAAGCGCCGCTGGCGTCTGTATCCTTTCAAGGGGGAGACGGCGCTGCCAACGCTTCACATTCATAGGCAGAGTTGTTTTCTGGTTGGACGCGATCGCAAAGTGGTTGATCTGGCCGTTGATCACCCCAGTTGCTCCAAACAGCATGCGGCGCTCCAATATCGGCTCGTGCCATTCGAACGGGATGATGGCAGTCATGGAAAGCGTGTTCGTCTATACCTTATCGACTTGGAATCGGCAAATGGCACGTTTCTCAATAACAAAAAGATCGATGGACGCAAATACTTTGAGCTGATGGAGAAGGATGTCATCAAGTTTGGCTTCAGTTCTCGAGAATATGTTCTGCTGCACGAGAATAGCAAGGAGGATCAGGAGGATGATGATGTGCATATCAAAGAGGAACCAATTGATCCCCACGACGAACAGTCGATTAATAATACACAAAACTGATGCGTCTAGCAATACACCCACACACTCGCTCCCCAACCTGCCTCTCTCTGCTGTCGTGCACATACACACACACACACATACACACAACTAGTTTATCTTGAATTGTAAAGTAAAAACGATATGCATGTCAAAATTATTGTGTTACCCCTAACCATCGTATTCCAAAACCCCAATGTGTGTCTTGTCGCACTTGGGGCACGTTTCAGCGTGCGATTAACTGCCAAGATTAAAATAAATGGCAAGAATTATTATTCTATTTCCCCATCAAAATTCGCATAAATTTGTTTGTCTTCAGCATTGCTCGCATTTTCACAAAACACTCTTTGAGTGCAGCGTCACACAACAGCATGTCTAAGCGTTCCACCATCCACATCTCTGTCTGCATCTGCATTTGCATGCGCTGTTTCTCCTGGGTTGCGGCAGAAGGTGCTGCGTCCGCTTCTAGGCCAAGTCGTCAGGTGGTGCAGCCCACCTGGCTAACGCGACCCGATTTAGTTCCATCGTCTCAGGCTGCCAAAGTCAGTGTGACGTCACAAAATCTTCAAGAGGCGGCCAACATCCGCGCCACCATCCAAAAGGCCGTCGATGAGGGCAACTATGTGGTTGCCTCTAGTCCGCAGCAGGTGAGTGGTTCACTTAGAGTAAGTTTTTGCTCCATGTTCCTAGCGATGTTCCTGACTTGCCATACTTCCATATATTGACCCGTTCGAGTCAGATTGGTTCGTTTTTGTCTTCCTTCTGGCATATTTAACAAACACTTCCAAAGTTGAATTAATCAAATTGTCAATCACAGTTTATCAACTCGTTAAATATTCTAAAACTGAAAATTATTTTGTGGCACATTAAAATATTGCAGCCAACCATCAGTGTTAAGAAAATATACACAATATTAGCTTCTTCTTTCTTTACTTAGAATACTTACCGATCTCTTGACAGGATACTTAGCTAAACTAGATATAGTCAGTAGTGAAATGTGCCAATTTTGTGATAATGAAATATAATCTTCAAAGCACATCATAGCATATTACGTCGTCTTGGCCAGGAAACATGTTTAAACTCGAAGGCCACAGAACACTTCAACCCGAAAAAGTTTCTCGAATTCGCGCAGGAATTTGCTTTGATGGCAGAGCTATAGGCTCAGAAGGAGGCAAGTCGCAGTGCATGAAGCCTCTTCATAATAATATTAATATATGATAATACGACTGAGGTAATTAAATGAACTCTTTTACAATTCCACAGTTCCTTGTTGCTCTGAGCCAAATGAGCAATGCTGGCTTCCTTGGAGCCCCAATGACATTGCCAATTTTCACGTTGCCAAATGCGAATTGGTGGAGGCCGCAAGGGTTATTTGGCTGATTTAATGATTTATTATGTTTCAGTTATAACAAATATATATAGGTAATTATATATATATATATATATATATATATATGTATATATGATGATATATATAATATATGACTTTAAATACAAATTTCATTTGAAGTAGCTCTCAATTCATTCAATATTTAGTTGGTGTGGTTTCCCCTTAGCGATCGAAGAGATGCGGGAATTTGAAAAGTTTACGCGCCTTGAGAAACTGCAAAAAGTTGAAAAAGCGTTCGCAAAAATGTGCATTAAATTGAATTTCTATTTGTTTTTATTTAAATATAAAAAAAAAAATAAAAAACGTATCAGTAATCAATATGTATGCATTTAGTAATAATTAAATACATATATTATATGTAGCATATTAAATTTAACTACCAAACAATTTTCAACATTTTTGGTTTTTGTGTCATGAACGTCTTTTTGTTGTTCTTGTTGTTGTTTTTTTGTATTTATATTTTGTTGTTGCATTTTTTAGCCCATACAGATAGGGTATGCATACATATATTTCGGGTATATCGCTGTACAAAATTTTTAAATATTAGTTCTCTAGCACTAAACAAAAATGCTCTAAAACACATATGTTTATATATATATATATATATATATATATACATACGTATATACACATATATATTATGTAATGTATACAAACATACTTATATGTGTGTATAGCGTGTTTACTGAAAATCAAGAGGTATACATTAGTTTCTGTGTGTGTTTTAATTATAACTAGGCGTTTTTTATACATATGTATTATATTTATATAATTCGCGCTAATTGTGTGTATATCAAATTGTTGCATTAAAAAAACGTTACATTTTACAAGATTTTTGTTCCCTTTGCAATGAAAACCGACTTTAAGCATACCAAAAGAAACAAATAAAACTGGGAAAACAATGGAAATGAAAAGATCACAACGGCATGCCGAAGTTTTAATACACTTGCAGAGGATTAAAAATCAATTATAGTTGACCGACTCATGTTTGGATCAGTTTTGTATAAATTGTAAAAGGCATAGTAAGTCTCGCTTGATGACTTTGTTCAAGAAATCAATCAATCAATAATCAAAAAATTAAATCAAAAAATGAACACTTCGATCGATCCTATAGTAGCTATATAATAAAATTTGGTCATATTGTATAAGGCAAAAAGTTTGGTCAAGATATTCGTAAAATCTAAACATGCTCTCCGTTGACTTGCTATGGCAGCTATATGAAACAGAAATCCGATACGACTGCCGTCGATATATTTATTGACTGGGTCTCCAAGGAATTGTCTATGTTTCGTATGGCTTTACTGAAAACTGTGTTACTATTAAGCGGTTGGTTAATTGAATTTGTACATAATAAGCGTTAAGTGTTATTATCAAAATATGTTAAATACATTGGATGAGTATAGTCGAAAAACTATTATCATAAGATCGAAAAGTTAATAAGACATTTTTAAATTTCAAGATATATATCTCATTGAAATTGGTAAAAAAAAAAACGATTGATTCAATGGTGGCTATAAGGCTGATATATGTGTGTATATATATATCGAAATAAGCAGACGGACATGATGTCAAACTAATTTATAGATATGGATTTTTTGGTTTTTCTTTTTCTTTCTCGCTTTCTGATGAAACTCTCTGCAAAGGTTTCGAAAGAACATCGATGTTCAGCGAATTTATATAGATTTCAGTTTACACAGATTTACAGTTAAACAGTTTTAGAGTACTACACGAATACTATATAGTACAAAGATATTCATGCTTCATCAAGCTTGGGTTCACAATTAGCTTATATAAGAAAAAGGCTTTTAACACTAGATTTCTTTTATTATAATTTTGTTTTTGTTTATATAGATAAGGCGTCTTTCAGATTTGCTAGCACAGTGTGGAGGGGGAGTAGTAGAAGATAGAGAGTGAGAATAAGAGAAAGAGAAAGAGAGAGAGAGAGAGAGAGCGAGAGAGAGTGAGAGAGAGAGAGAGAGAGAGAGAGAGAGAGATAGAGATGGGAAGAGGGAGGGAATGTGTGTAGTATGTAAAAACTGATCTAAGCTCTTTTGTTGGAATGCATCGTTTGGTGAAATACAAATAAACGTGTCCAAATTAATAGTCGGCTTAAGCTCTAGTGCAACTTAATATGGCTCTGGCGAATTCTCAATTTCTCTTTGTATTTCTCACGATATTCTTCTCTACTAAATGCTAAACACAACATTGTGGCTAGTCTTATGGTTGCTTTGTTGGGGCTTTTGGGCTGCCTTCATTATTTGGTATGCAAATGCAGTCGAACTTCTCAAACTCGAACAAAATTTAACGAGAATCGCACATCGAAATTGACATTTTGGATCGTTTCGATGTAGACGCCGATTCATTAATTCGAGTTGAAGAAGTTCGACTTTCATTTCATTTCTTTCTTAATATCTCAGTATATATTGCTACGTTTATGCGTCAGCTTAACATGACAATAAATGAGATTGTGTGTATGTATGTGTGTGTGTGTGTGCTTAAACTTTAAACAGAGCCACAGATGATATATACCAATACATATTCATATTCAGGGACATGCAATGATTTTCAAGATCTATACAATGTGCTATACTACAGATACTAAGGGTATGCTTAACAAAAACAACAGACTGCCTTTTTCAATATTGGATCAGTCTGCCCACAAATCCCCCCTCAAATCATACCAAACATAAAAAATAAAAATGTATATATATGGGAAAACCACAACAAACGACAATATTATAACTATATGTTCCGTTAAAAAAAAAAAAAAAAACAAAAAAAAAAAACTAAAACTAAAACTGCAAAATATTTCCAAACTTTCGTTGTTGTGGTTCTTTTTTGTCATAGAGAATATTCGTGATGTATTTGTTATGTTGTGTTGTCTCTCTAGCACATATGATAGATAGCATCTACAACATAGATGTATTCTATTCTTATCTAACCTCATCGATATCCTCGCCCTCCGAGGAGCTGCGTATGGTGTTATATTGGGAATTGCGACTGCGGAGCATGCGGAGAAAACTACCCACGGCGAAAATGGTGCGGCGATGACGATGAAATATACCCTGATATAAGGCCTCTCGTAAAGTCTTGCGATCCTCAACGTCCACCGATGACGTCAATGATGTTTGATGCGGCAGACGTGCTGTGAATTTAAATACACAATTAATAAATGTACAATAAAAAATATATATATGTATATAAAAACAAATGAATCAAATCAAAATAAACAAGACACACATGCGGCGATAAGGCAAATCGAACGTAATTACTATCGACCATGAAGGGGCCCGACTGTCAGATACCCTGTAGCCAGATCGACAGATATGCTTCTAACAGTCAAGGAACTACCTACACAGAAAACAATATATTTTGATCGACTTGATGATGAATTAAAAAAGTGAAAAGAATATAAAAGAAGCCACATTCAACTTCTTTGTGTTTAAAAATCTATCAAAAAATGGAGCTTAAATTTAATATCAATTTGCGGTTTTAATTGATTTGCGGCAGGGTGACAATTAAAAAGAAGTTAATTGGGAATGGTCTCTAGATAATTCAAATTAATTTGTGAATATATTCGGGCAAACACTTCACTTGAGAAGATCGCACATATTATATATATTAAGAATTTTTAATTGGTATTGCACAGTCTATATGATCCGGGATCTCGTGGTGGCAATCAGCGTTAGCCCCATAAACCCAATCGAAACTTATGTTTACGAACGTTTCTTAGATTGGGTTCCGTATGCGGCTTTTGTGGCCAGATAGAAACAAAATATCAATTGTGTTTATGCCTCTATGTGTATGTATGTGTGTGTGTGTGTGTTTGTGTGCGTCTGTGTCAAATTTCATGGTAAAATCAATTGAAACGAAATGACACTTGAGACCTTAAGGCACGCAACATTAATAAGAATAGAATCAACTATAGCACAAATGAAGTTTCGAGAAAACAATTTTCATAGATATTACATAAATGTGATGAAAATGAATAGCATTTCGCAATAAAGTAAAAAGCCTTGAATCTGAATGCATCTCGATTTGAGATTATTAATCGTTTTTCTTTTGACACTCACCTGCTATGGGTGACTTTGGTGACTTCAGCGAATATTCGTCCAAATTCTTGGCGCCTAAATCAAGCTTGAGCACCTTTTTGGTCAACTGCTTGGTCGCAGCCTCCATGTTGCTGGTCTTTTCAATTTTAATGTCCACATTGCGCTGACTAACGGCACTTTTTGTTGGCACCGCTGCAACTACTACACCTGCTGTTGTTGCTGTCGCTGCTGATGTTGTTGTTGCTGCAACTGTTGCTGTTGCTACTGTTGTTGTTGTTGTCTTTGCTGCTGTTGTTGATGTTGTTGCATCGTCGGCACCTGCTGCGTCAATGGTTACATCTGACATGTTGTTGTTGTTTTTACTGTTGCTGCTGCTGCTGCTCGTACTGCTGATGCAGTCTTGCTTATCAATATGATTGCTGCTGATGATGCTGCTGCTGATGAAGCTGCTGCTGGTGGTGTTGGTGTTGCTGTTGTTATTATTTTTATTTAGATTAGATGTCGATGCTTGTGAATCGCTGGCACTGGCGGCCGTTAATGCGGCAAATTGAATGCTGCCGCTCGTTAAAGTTGTCGTTGCCGCTGTCGCTGCTAACGTCGCTGCTGTTGTTGCTGTAACTTGTACGTCGGCAGCAGCCGCAACCATTGTTCGAACGCGACGCCAAATACGCAATAGTTTGGCTCAAAATCCGTTTTATCTTTGTGTTCTAGCCCGTTATTAGCTGTAGCAGGCTTTTGTTGTTATATTGTTGTTGCTGCTTCTGCTTTGGTCGTTGTTTGTCTGCCGTTTGCATATAAAAACGATTTCCGATGACGTGCGGCACTTTCGCTTTGTTCAGTACTGGGCTGAGCTGTGCTGTGCTATTTTGTTTGTTTGTTCTCGTTTGGCAATTGATTGCACTGGCTGTTGTTGCTACTTATTGTTGTACGAATATTTCAGTTGTATTATGTTGGTGGTCTGGCTTCGTTGGGTATTTGCATTTCACAATTGCCAGCAATATCAAAATTGGCGCCATATAGCGCCACCTGTTGTGTATAATCGGTGAGCGTAATGAGCGGCAGTCTGCTATCGCACAGGCGCAATTGACTCAAGTTATCGATAATTTCATAAAGCTTGCGCTGCTGCTGCTGCTGCTGTTGCTGATCGGGTACTTCTGTAAAGATACTGTTACTGCTGCTGCTGCTGCTACTGTTAATATGATTAATTTTGTTATTGATATTGTTGTCGCTACACTGCCTGTTTGCATAATCGCACATGCTGTCCTTTGCCGGCGTTATGTGTACGCGTATAGCATCTGTTCTGGCGTTACCGTTGATGTTTTCGGGCCCCGTCTGGCAACGTTGCAAATCGTTTAAAAATGTGCTCAACTGACGCTGCTGCTGCTGCTGCGACGGATCATCAACTGCTTGCTGCTGCGGCCAGGCTTCCAATGAATAACGGCGCTGCTTCTGTTTCTGTTGTTGCTGCTGCTTTTGCTGTTGATGATGTTGCTGTTGCTTTATTGCATTACGCTGGCCTATCGATTGCAGGTACTTTATATTGGCATGCAACCCCCGTTCGTAGTAGCCGCTAGCCAATTGCAAGTACGCGTATAGATCGATGCGACAATTTGCTAGGTTTTCCACCTTTGTCGTATTAATATTTAGCACACGGTGACCATAATTCCTGCTGCTACCACTGCGGCGTTCTGACGATTTGTTTGTGTTTGTATTGATGTTGTTGTTGTTGTTATGGGCGTCATCGTCATTGTAACGCGCCCTCGTGCTTGTTCCAGTAGTAGTTGCTATTGCCGCCCCTTGACTAATTGCTAAATGGTTGACGGCGCCCCTGTGTCAGTTTAACTGACGTTGAACGAGCGCCTTCAGTTGGTCGCAGCTTTTGGCGCTCTGGATGCGACGCAATGTATCGTTGTATGTTATTGCTGTTATTGTATCGCCGAATCTGTAATTAGCCCCAACCATAAAAAGCGAGGCCGGAAAGAAGGCAAACATTTAATTATAACAATGCCACCAACAAACACAAACAATCACCTAAAATCCATTCACGTACATACAAAATACAACATACACACACATGTACATTCTACGGCAAAACAAACAGGCAACCCACAAATGAAATGAAACACAAAATGCAGAAAGACAAAAGAATGAGAATGAGAATATAACCAAAAAGGTGGGGTTTGGCTTCTGGCTCGCCAATATATAATAATCAAACAATTCACAAAAAAAAAAAAACACAAACACACACACAATGAAACAAATAGAGAGTACAGTTATTTACTTATCGTTATCGCTTATGGACAGTGTCAACAAGTGAGGTTAGGAACGACGCGGAAATGTCTCCATTTTGTTTTTGATGATGTGGCACTCGGAATGGCCTCCCAGCGGTATTACCTTCGGTCAAAGGTTACCTCAGGCCAATACCTCACTGGTGTATTTCATATAATCAATAGTTGATATAACAGTTAAATAAAATAATATAAATGAATTGGACTGTACTGCTCCATTAGCTACCTTTTGCGAAGGATATTCATTTTTTTCGGAATTCCAAGAATCCATAACAAGAAAACATTGAGAACTCAATGATCATTATAAAAACGACTCTAATAATTGTATTTTTTCCCTCGATATTCTAGTGCATCAATAGTGAATATCGCAAAATAAACCACAATAATGAATATATAAAAATAATTATAAATAAAATAAAAAGCAGACATCCAGATATTTATTAATTGACAAATTCTTTAAAACTCTGGATATTCTTCAACGCAAATCGTTAAATTCTTAAAATAAACGCTGAAAGGCAAATTATATTTTCTTTTTGTATATTTGTGACAGGAATATTCCTTTGGAAAATTACGCTCTGCCCCTCGCTCCTCTTCTATCTGTGTTTCATGAAGCCAAATGCATGTGACTTGACGCTCTCCCAGGGGATATTCCCTCTTGCACTTTGCCTCTTTTGCATAACATATATCCATATATGTATGTATGTTTCTATGCAATCATTAAAATGTGGATAAACCCACAGCACAGCTCACAGCTTATCAAATCGCTGTCACTGACGTCAGTTGTGACAGGGGCGGAGGCGGAGGGGGTGGTGCTGGTGCTGGTTGTGGTGGTGGCAAAGCCCACGAAACCCGAGCTGGAGATGTGACGGAAATTTCATGTCAGCCATATTGCCGCTGGCCAATGATAGCACAAGTTCTGGGGTAGGGCCCTCTGTAACCTATATACATATTAACGAGACCCACTTTCACCCTCACAACCTCACAAATACACACACCCATTTCAATTAATATTATGATTGTTTGAACAGTGATGGCTCAATAAGTAGAATGTTTCAATTAACTTTAAAATTTATATAATATTATATTCTAAGTTTAGTGAAAGGGATGGATTTCAAACAAAAACTCATAGGCGAAATTTAAAAATTGCCACACAACTGCATTATGGCTTCTTCGAATCCATTATGAATTATGACCGGGCGATTGAAAGCAGCGGTTATAACTTTGGCATAATTGAGTGTACCTGGGAAAGTAGTGGACATGTGTGGGTAGCTCACAACGATGTTGAACACTGGAGGCTGATGGGTGCATTGGAGCTAAGGGACGATGGCGACTACGTGGGTGGCGACGGTGACGATGGTGACGCGAATGTCCTTGAGGGTAGCGACGGTTCAGATGCAGTGACGATTGCTGCAGCTTAAAGTCACGATAATGATTGGCGACCTCGTGCTGGTAGCGCTCCGGGCGAAAGCACTTCATGTTGTAGATGCGTCGCACGCTGAGACACGGCACAAACTTATCGCCAACACGCATCGGTTGTCCCACAACACTTAGATCGGACATGGATATATACAAGCATATATATATATATATATCACGTGTATATATGAAAAATATTTAAACTTTAAGCTTAGCGACAACTGCACAACTAAACCGTTTGGGCTCAGGCAACAAAGCAAACTACAGACTTGACATTGATGTGTTATATCCCAGAGAACCTAATCATACAAAGCCTCTGGGTCCTCATAGACAGACAGAGACAGAGAGAGGGAGAGACAGAGACAGAGAGGGAGGGTCTCGAAATTATGTACAAACATTTGTACATTGATTGGATACAGCACAACACAAAAATCTGAATTTCTGTCTGGCAACAATTTGCGGTTATTTGTTATCACGTCACACAGCGATTTGTTGGAGGAGTCGAATTCCTGTCAGACCCACTCTAGTTGGGAGTGCCTGACTAGCAGATATTCCATAGCCTTACCTGATCTGCATACAACTTAACTGGCTTACTTCTGAGCAATTTAAGTATCTAAAAATGTAGTACCAAAAATTCAGTTCCTAAAGATGACCCTCAATATTAATCGTTATGATAGAGCTTGCATGACAAATTTGTGGTATCCATATATGAAGGTCTACTCCGTAATTGTATGCAACTAAACATACCCGTTGTGTGCATGTCGATGTGTACAGGGTATAGAAATGAACAGTTGTTCAGGGAGTCCTCAGCTCTGCCTTTGCCAATAGTCAAATTAGTCGTTTTCATGTCGTTAACTATTGTAACTGGTACATCCTCCATACCTCAAACAAACACTACCTCAACCTCTGGCCTTCCGTCCTCCCACTCCACTTTCCATTCATATTCCCTCTTTGCCACTCTTTTGGCCCATTTGCATGTTGCTGCTCGGCGCGTCAGCAATAATAAGCCAAATAATGTTATTCAAATGCAAAACAAATATTGTCAACAAATAAGTGCTATAAAAAGCAAATATTATTGTTAGGTCGTCCCGTATTTCAGTTGCGCTATATGAAAGCATTATGCCACAGATACATACATACATACATACAGCTGTACATATATATGTATATAAAGATCTGTACAGCTTGTCGTCGAACATTCAGAGATCTCGAGCGTTTAGTCGATTGGCCTCGTCTTAATTGAGCTATGAAGCTGATAAGCATCGAACGAAAGCTCGCTAATTACAATATTAAAAAAAGCAAATGATAATACATACATATATATATATATATATATATATATATACATTATATACATATAAACATAGTACTTGAATAGAGAGCTGTACAAGTTGCCTTGGGACTTAATTAACCTATTGGTCAAGATTCATTATTCGTTTTAACAGTATTCTTTTTTCTCTTTACTTTTCTGCAGCCCACAAAAACCATTAAAGACTCTTTAACTGTTACCATTAAACTGGTCTACAAAAATCAATAGATTCAAACAAAAAAAGTGAAATTCATTTAGCCAAATTAAACCAAAAGAGGAAATAATTTTGCATTATTATTTGCGCGTATCAAAATGACTTCGAAAACCAAACGTTTTCATTTGTTAGCTTTTTCTAGTTCGAGTTTGTATTTATTTGTACAAATGTATTAACATCGAGAACGTCATACAAAACACTTTTTTATCGCTGTTGTTGAGCTAATGACACATATTTGAGAGTGTACACAAATATATATTGATATGCTGTCATTTTATGGACAAACTCATAGCATATACATATATAATTGTCGTCGTCGTCCAACTAATGCAATTGAATGATTAATATGAAATTTTGATGATGGGAAGACATGCGATTTCTACAGTTGCACCCGAGCCAAACTTACTCGGAACAATGGCAAAAAAGTTGAAGAAAAAAAAAAAAAAAAAAAAAAAAAAAGCTATGAACAAAAAGCGGAACATTACTGCAGCTGCCTATGTGGCACTGTGGCAGGTCTATTGTTGAACTGTCGTTTGCAAGTTTCGGAGGCGATTTGATAATCAATCAGCGGACGAGCCAGGTGTGTTCCCCCCGGCACCACCCCAATCAGCGCCATATTATATGAGTAATTGGTGCAAAGGACCCACTAAAAACTGAAAGCAATTTGCCAAAGCGAAAGTGGATGGAAGAGGGATAAACTAGATAAGTATGAATATTATTACACAAGAATATCAAACTTAATTTCAAAAATGTTACTGAGTAGAGTGATCGCTCGAAAATTATACTTATAGACATACGAGGAATCGTTCTCGTACTTTAAAAACATATTTTTTATATTTAGGTAAGTAATTTTGGAATATTTACATTTTAACAATATTTTTTGCGAATGCTTTTAACTATATTATGCGTTTAATTATCAAATTCCTAATTATGCTCTATTGATTTTTATGCATTGTTGGATATTTTATTTGTATATTTTTGTATAGATAATTAAAAAATGTTGATACTTAAATTAATTCTATATCAGAATCAGCTCGAAAAACGAAACGCTTGAAGTTATGACAGATCACTGTATGCGTATGTATGTGTGTGTGAGTGTGTGTGTGTATATGTGTGCATTTGAGTTAAAATGCGTGCGTAACAGTTGCCGTTCCAAATAATTGCCGTGTTTACTTGCTTGCAAAGAGTCAAATGCGGCCGAATTGGCGTATGCAATCCACGTACATATATAAAAAAACAACGGTGCATGTGTATGCACATGTATGTGTGCGCCTGAATGTAGGCAAGCAGTTCAGTATAACAAGAGCTACACGCCTGCAGCCGTAGGTCACTTAATGCTTTAAAATTTTGTATGTGCTATTAAAACACAAAACCGTTGAAAGTTGTCAGTGTCTGGAAGGAGGTGGCACTAGGTCAGAAAGAGAGAGCGAGACGGATAAAAAAAAGGGCAAGTATGAACGTGTTTCATCAAATGACACTGACACCAATGTATGTGTGTGTGTGTATATGTGCGAATGCATACGTGAGTTTTCCCTTTCACACGCATACTCGCGCAAACACACACACAACTCACACATACAGCTTAGTATGCAATCACAATCAGCAAAAAGTTTTTGTGCTCCATTTTAACACAAAAGCCGCCATGTGTTTGTTGCCACCGTGTGTGTCCGTGTGACATACTTATTATTCCTTATCACACACACACACACAATCACATTCAGCAGCACAGACTCACAGTGCGCACTTAATATTTTTTTCACATAGACGGTTAATAAACTGCTACCGCATCGCTGGCAAACAGTACTGATGGCAACAAGAACAATAAACATAAGCTCACTTATACCAATATAGAAGCAATAACAACGACAACAAGGCACACAAATACATCAACAGGAAAGTGACGGCGTCCGCACTCAGATTGGACTTGGCACCAATGCTCAATGATTGCCATTGAATAATTTATTTAAATTCAATTAAAAAGCTCGAAATGCAAAAATGAGAACAAAAAAAACAGAAATTCGTTGAGACAAGAGCGAAAACAACAGCCGAACAAATAAGCGCAAGTTAACCGTATTGATTGCTTACCAAGCAATTAAATGTACCGCTAATGCTAACCTCTTTTTGTCGTTGTTCAACACAACAGCTGGTCCTATCTGTGTGTGCCTCCTTCGAGTGTGTGCGTATGTGTGTGTCTACTCTTTGCACACACTCTCTCCTTTTTGGCAGTTAAAACTGTCACTTGCAATTAGTGCACAATGATTTTTTTATAACGTTGAGCTCATCGCCATCTTTCACGTGAGATTACTACGTCAAATTTACGTAATTTATATATTTTTATTTGTTTTTAAATATGTCTGCTGTTAAATGCGTTTCGTTTCGGTTGATTGCCACGCTTGATTGTTTCGTTTCGTTTTGTTATTTGATATTTTTTCGATGTATTGTAAGCTTATACACTTGTGTATATATATATCGATAAGTCTCCAACATGTCACGATATATCTTGTAACGTCAGCCTGCTGTTACCGCCACATTGCAAACGCAACAAGCTGCTGTAAGACCCCAATAGTGGGCAAATAAGCCAAAAAAAGTAAAGTAGCGCAAAAATGTATTAGAGTAATCCGGATTCAGTTGTATTTGCATTCGTTCAATAAGCTATTATACTGTCATATTAATTACAGCTTATAAATTTTGAAAGTGGTATAAAACATATCGGTGAATATACATTGTCAAAGATAAATTCAACGCTGCTATCGAAGTATTGGAAAACCATATTGTGCGAGCTTATATCTTGTTTTTTCTTATATGCACTTATCAAAATACGTTACTTGTATTGATATTTTAAAAAAATTGTATATTAAAATCATTCCTATCTCAGAATGCAATTTTAAAAATCATCCTGTTCTATATCCCAATCGGAAGTTAGTCGATAGTTAGCAGCAGTTCGTATGAACTGTGAACCTGCTCCCAAGTGTGAACCAGTTCTGAAAACTACTACACAACACTGTTAAATTATCAAGCCGCATTTTATTTATTGTAGACAACTTTGATAATTTTCTAGCATATGAAATATGGAATTATAAATTGATTTCCGATTTCTGTTGTTGGTGTTGTTTTTGTGATTTAACATTTGAAAAAGTGCTGCACTAACAAGTGCCCAAAACCGCCACAACGGCCGAATCAATGAATAAAACGCCTTTGGTGCCGGCAACGCCAACCAGCGCAATGACATCGGCCCGGGATCTAATTAAAATTGATATAGTAAGTTGCGGTATAGTAAAATGTCAATAAGTGTTTTCACTAAAATGCAAATTGTGCTATGTGCAGGAATGGGGCATGGAGCGTTTGGTGCGCGCCCAACAGGTCGTCGAGCTGCGTCCCTATGACATCGAGTCGTGGTCGGTGATGTTGCGCGAGGCGCAAACGCGACCCATTCACGAGGTGCGCAGTCTGTACGAATCTTTGGTGAATGTGTTTCCCACAACGGCCCGCTACTGGAAGCTGTACATTGAGATGGAGATGCGCAGCCGCTACTATGAGCGTGTCGAGAAACTCTTTCAGCGTTGTCTGGTCAAAATTCTCAACATTGACCTGTGGAAGCTATATTTAACCTATGTGAAGGAGACCAAAGCCGGCCTAAGCACACATAAGTACGCCAAGCCATAACTAATTTGAATTACATTACATACTAAGCTTTACTGTATTCCATGTGCATAGAGAGAAGATGGCGCAGGCGTATGATTTTGCACTGGAAAAGATTGGCATGGATTTGCATTCGTTTAGCATTTGGCAGGATTACATTTACTTCTTGCGCGGCGTTGAGGCCGTTGGTAACTATGCGGAGAATCAAAAGATAACCGCCGTTCGTCGCGTCTACCAAAAGGCGGTCATCACGCCCATTGTGGGCATTGAGCAACTATGGAAGGATTATATTGCCTTTGAGCAGAACATCAATCCCATCATCTCGGAGAAAATGAGTCTGGAGCGTTCCAAGTGCGTATTATTGCCTTTAATTATTATGCCCATTTTTACACTTTACCTTCAATATGAATTATTTGTATGCTACTAAGCTCAACACATATTGGATATTGATTACTATATATTTGTTTATAGGGACTATATGAATGCACGTCGCGTGGCCAAGGAGCTGGAGTATCATACGAAGGGCCTAAATCGTAATCTGCCCGCTGTGCCGCCGACGCTGACCAAAGAGGAGACCAAACAGGTGGAGCTGTGGAAGCGTTTCATCACCTATGAGAAATCGAATCCATTGCGCACCGAGGATACGGCGCTGGTCACACGTCGCGTCATGTTTGCCACAGAGCAGTGCCTGCTGGTGCTTACACATCATCCGGCTGTCTGGCATCAGGCATCTCAATTTCTGGACACCAGTGCGCGCGCTCTCACCGAGAAAGGCGTGCGTAGTCGAATTACAAAAAAAAGAAAGCAAAACAAACAAACCAAAACTAAACAAACAGCTGCTGCAGTTGTTGCAAATAGAAAATCATCTATGCCAGCAAAAAAAACAACCAAAAATTCTGTCTCTTGTTGCTATATTGTGAAGTGTCGCCCCTTGGGTAACACGGCACGTGGCAGCTGCAAAAAAAAAATACAAAAAAATGAAAACAAACAGAAGAGTGACTCCACTTGCCGCGTTGCCTTTGGCATTGGCCGCACGCGTTTTACTCGACCCGTCAACGATCACTTAAAAATACTCAAACAACTATCAAACTTGCCACTTTCAATTAAACTAACACAATTCGTTTACATTCGCCCCTCTCCACACGCAGGATGTGCAAGCGGCGAAAATCTTTGCAGACGAATGCGCCAACATTCTAGAGCGTTCCATCAATGGTGTACTGAATCGCAATGCGCTGCTCTATTTCGCATACGCGGACTTCGAGGAGGGTCGTCTCAAGTACGAAAAGGTCCACAGCATGTACAACAAGCTGCTCACGTTGCCCGACATTGATCCCACCCTGGTAATCAATCATATTCAGTCATAGATAGCTTGTATACTTAAATTATAGTCGATTAATGCTCAATCTTTTTCTCTTTATTTTTATTCAGGTTTATGTGCAGTACATGAAATTCGCCCGTCGCGCTGAGGGCATCAAATCGGCTCGTGGCATTTTCAAGAAGGCACGCGAGGATGTGCGTTCGCGGTATCATATTTTTGTGGCGGCCGCATTGATGGAGTATTACTGTTCCAAGGACAAGGAGATCGCATTTCGCATCTTTGAGCTTGGGCTCAAGCGTTTCGGCGGCAGTCCTGAATATGTCATGTGTTATATTGATTATCTCTCCCATTTGAATGAGGATAACAACACGCGAGTGCTCTTCGAGCGTGTCCTTAGCTCCGGTGGCTTATCACCGCACAAGAGCGTGGAGGTATGGAATCGCTTTCTTGAGTTCGAGTCCAACATTGGCGATCTGTCCAGTATTCTGAAAGTGGAGCGACGACGTAGTGCGGTCTTTGAAAATGTGAGTATAATCATCTCTCAATTCAAATCAACCAATCAATCTCAGCTCGATGATAGCTTCGATTCCCAAATGTTCGTATCACGATTTTAAAAACTGATCTATAACGAAATTAATTGGATAACTAATTCATTAAGCAGTCACTTAAAGAGTTTTTAATGGTAGCATCCTCTAAACTTTGTATGTAGACGACTTTAGCCTCACTTTAGCTGTGTGCTAAGTTGTACAATTATGTGATTAATTCCAAATACATCATATTAATATAAATATAATGTATTTGGCAGCTAAAAGAGTACGAGGGCAAGGAAACGGCACAGCTCGTGGATCGCTACAAGTTCCTGGACATGTATCCCTGCACCAGCACCGAGCTCAAGTCCATTGGCTATGCAGAGGTAAATATTTCAATCATTAATCTATTTGACAATCAAACTTAATTAACGAATAATTTATTTTTGTTTAGAACGTAGGCATCATTTTGAATAAGACGATCGGTGTCGGCAGCGGTGCAAATAGTCACAACAGTGGCGATGCCGATGGAGATGGGGAGGCGACACAGCCGCTGCCGCGACCCGATTTTTCACAGATGATACCATTTAAGCCGCGCTCCTGCGCACATCCTGGCGCCCATCCGCTCGCTGGCGGCGTCTTTCCGCAGCCGCCTGCCCTGGCCGCTCTATGCGCCGCTCTGCCGCCACCAAATAGCTTCCGTGGACCGTTTGTCAGCGTAGAGCTGCTCTTTGACATCTTTATGCGTCTGAATCTGCCCGAGTGTATGTTATATCCAACAAATTTGATCATTATGCGTAGAGATTGTGCACGGCGAGCACTTGAATCTATTGTGCCTCCGCCCAATATCAATACCAAAGCCATATGCCCGACAGTGGGAAAACATAAGGTCAATTTTAGAGACTATAAGTCTATATGCACATTGGTATTATACCCATGCCACAGAGAGAGGATTGTCACATTTGTGGCAACTTTGAAATGTATGCAAGCAACAATACTTGCTTATGGTCATTCTGTAATATTGACACTTAACTTTTCATAACTTGGCCCATTTTTTCGATTTGTATTTAAGTAATGTTCATATAGCAATAAGCACAAAAGGTATTTATTGTCAGGCCGAACTTAATCCATATTTGCCATTTGCAGCTGCACCCCAACCGAATGGCGACAACGATCTGACGCTGAAGATATTCGATTTGGCCAAGTCGGTGCACTGGATTGTGGACACGAGCACGTATACGGGCGTACAGCATAGCGTTACGGCAATGGCGCCGCGCCGACGTCGCCTCCTCCCCGGCGGCGATGATAGCGACGATGAGCTGCAGACAACGGCGCCGCCCACCAACGATATCTATCGACTGCGACAGCTCAAGCGATTCGCCAAATCCAACTAAACCAATCCAGTCAAGCTGTCTGCCCGAAAAGCAAACATTTTTTTAGAACATTTTTTTTTTCTCTCCCCACAGCCTTTTAATCCTTTAACAATTGTATCAAGTACAATGGCAACATAAGTTCATATAAAATAATATATAAAAAAAGAAATAATATAAAATACAAATTTGTTGCTGCTTATTATTTGAGTGAAAGTAAATAAATGAAAAATTGATTAAACAGTTTTTATATGATGATCTATCTGATTATCTCTGATAATATTAACAGCGACAGTCAGTAAAACATTTAAGGATGCGACACAAAAGAGAAACCAAGAAAGGAAACTATAGAAACCTTTTTCGAGAAACTAATTTTGATTTACTGACTAGCAGAATCAGAATCAGAAGTCTATGAATATTAAAAAAGAGAAAATGCTAAAGATTCCCAAGTTTTTGTTTGTTTGTTGATAATTTGTATATATGAATACAAATGAATAAGCCGATGATGGAATAAGTGAATAAGACTTAAGCTAAAATATTAAATACTAAGAGTAGATTTGATGGAATTTGTATATATTTATTTATTTACATGAATCACAAACGAATACAATTGAATAAATTAGTACTCAGACAGAGATAAATATAATAATAATAATAAACGAATTGATCGATTGGATGAATCACAAACAATTAAATGAGTACTTAACAAAAACAAAACGAAAACGAAAACAAACACAAAATAATAAAATAGCTAAAGATATTGCTGATGCGATAGCTACATATATAATTTGTAATTAAAACATTATTCATTTTTTTTTTTTCAAATGAATGCCTGAAATGAGTACTAAAATGAACACTATCAATTAGAAATAACAACAAAATTGCACTAACTACACGTGAATAAAATGTGGGTGTTTTCTGAGTGAGTGAGTGAGTGTGAGTGTGAGTGTGAGTGTATTCACTTCTCCTGCAGCTGGGCGATTGTGCAGCGCTTGCGATGCTTATAGAGACCCGCATATTGAGCGAATCGCTTGCCACATGCAGCACAACCATAACGCTTCTCGCCCCGATGCAAATTAAGATGGGCATAATAGGCGCTGCCAACGACAAAGGCCCGACTGCAATACGGACACACCTTGTCCCTAATGTTTAGATGGGCGCGCAAGTGGCGATCTCGCTCGTGGGCCGTGTAGAACGCCTTGTCGCAGCGCGTGCACGGATAATCCCGTTTCTCCGTGTGCCGCTTAACATGCTGATTCAGTTTGCTGGCGTTGACAAAGCCCCGGGCACAATGCTCGCACACATACGGCAGCTCTTTGGTATGGCTGCGCTGATGCACCCGCAACGATGTCGAATTGAAGAACTTCTTGGGGCAGTCGGTGCAACAGTGTGTCCGCTGACCCAAATGGCGACGCAGATGCGCCTGGAGGCTGGTGCGCAACGAGAATTTCATTGCGCAAATGTGACAGATGTGCTCCAGCGGATTTGTCGCATTCGTGCCACGCCGCATGCGACGGCGTCGCTGCAACGGCTGCATCTCATTCAGCTGCTGGTCCAAGTGAACGTTGCGCTGATGCCGCAGATAATCGCTGCGCCGCTTAAAGCTCGCCGTGCAACGTTCGCAGTTGAATGGCGACACGTGCAGTTCGAGAAACTGCAACGCCGCATAATACTCATAGGTCGGCTGCCAGTTGGCATTGTTGCGCTGCAGCGCCGCCTGGCGTGCCTCCTTGCACTGACGATACTGGCAGCGAAACTCGATCAGACGACTCTTCAAACGCTCAACGGTTATCTGCAGATTGCATTCCTCCTGCAGGCGGGTGCACAGCGATTCCAGGTGACGCAAGCGCTGCTTACGTTTCGTATAATCCGGATGTGTGGTGCACCACAGCTGCTCGTAGCTCTGATACACCTGGATGATCTTCAGATTGCTGTCGCGCTGCTGCAACGATTTTTGCAGCACACGATTTATGGGCACCACATCGTCCATAAAGCTGAACGCCTCGTAGAAGCCCCAACGTGTGCCCTCGCCACCACCTCCAACCGCCAGTTCCTCTCGCTGGCGTTCGCGTCGATAGTACTTGACATAATCGGTGAGCTTGCGATGCAACATCTGCCAGCTGAAGCGATCCGGACAGCCGGCGAATGTGTTCAGCTGGGCGGCAATGTTGTGCCAGGCCTGGCGTCGCTGTTTCCTCGCATGATAGTCCAGATGATTGGGATCCCAGAGATTTGGATGCGATTGATAGAGCTCAATCAGTTTATTGGTCAGCTCCAGACTGAGGCGCATCCGTAGCTGTCCACCCGTCGACAGGCTATCCTCGGAGAAGGACTCTTTGCCGTGCGGATCTTCCTTGTCAGGATATTGCTCAATCTCCGCCTGCTGCGCATTCTCCTGTTCTGCTAGACTATGTAGCAGTGGCGTGGCTAGCTCAGTTGTAGTTGCCGCTGCCACCAGCTGCTGCTGCTGCTGTTCCACTCGCTCCACTATCTGCAGCTGCTCGGGTTCTTCTCCGGCAGACTGTTGCTGGTGTTGCGGTTGCTGCTGTTGCTGTTGCTGCTGCTGCTGTAATTCGTGCTGCTCGAGCTGCACCATAAGCTCGCCCAGCGTCGCCTCCGATTCGGTCAACTGTTTGCAGTCGGCGGCAGACAGTGATTGCTCCTCACAGCTATCCTGCACATGCGCCTGATGACCGATCAGATTCTCAAAGATCTTGCCGCAGCCAGCACAGACATAGGGATCGATGTGCTTGTGCAGAAACTCCATTTCGGCATAATGCTCAAAGATGGACACAAATTCCGATTGTTTGCCCTCGACGACACTGTGCAAATAGCGTATCTTCTCTAGGCGATAGCGTTTCCTCAGCGACTGGAGTCGCCGCTGCATCGCCAAGCCGGACAGATTGATGCCGCACATACGCAACGCCAGCTGGAGGCCACGATGTGCCTCGTGGCGCCTCTTCACCGTTGCGGCGCAGCGCAATCTCTTGTGGGCATTGTGCCAGAGTATTGGATAATGCTCGTAGATCTCGAGCAGTTTGCGATTCTCGCGGGCAAAGTGCTCCTGGCGCTTGAGCAGCGCCTGCTGCTCACAGAGGAAGCGCAACTGATCGTAATGGACGAATTTGGCGCCCTCATCGAGATCACCCTCGGCATCGATGCGTTCACGCTGCTTGAGGAATCGCTGGCACAGCGTTGAGATCCGGATGCGCACATCGGTCACACTGAAGCCACGTCCACAGTGAGCACTCCACGCATCCGTTATCTGGCGCCACGAGTAGCGACACTGCTCCACGTCCCGAAACTCTGGATGCGATTGATCCCACAGACGGGGATGCGATCGATATAGCTCAATCAGCTGCTGCACATGCTCCGTCGTCAACTTCGCTGCCGTTTCCACACTGGGCAGGCCACTCTAAAAAAAAAAACACAAAAAATATATATAATATATTTAATATATATATTTAATAAAAAAATAAAATTACTTCATATAAAAAATGATTTTCTTCTTATTATATTATAGCTATAAGTCAGAATATGCAAAAATATATTAAAATATTGTCTTGAATTTAGCTTAAGTTTCCTATCATGGCATTTGATTTTTAGTTTAATCTTTAAAGAGCAACCCAAGAAACGAAAAGAATAATATCAAAAATTATAGTTTTTCTCTTACGAAATTGAATACTAGTAATTTATTAATATATTATATATATTGTAAGCTGAAAAAATCAAATTAATTTTCAAATCATGAATCAATTTAATTAGTTTAGGGGAAAAGCATGTTAAAAAAAATATCGGATCGAACTTGAAATTAATTGAACTATTTACGATTTTTTTGTTTTGAGTGTTTGCAATAACTTAACTTTAATGGAAATGAGAAATTCTCAAAATCATTATTATTAATATTATTTGAATAATTTTTAAATCTTAAAAACCTTCAAATACACAGGTGAATAAGAAAAATACAAAAGAAAAAGCTTGAATAAAACAAAACAAACAAAAACCTACTCTTTTTTCGACATATAATATATAATATATATATATAATATATAATATTTATATATAATATATATAGAATTAAGATATTACAGCAGCTCTCCGCAAAAGAAGTTCAAACTTAAGTTTCGCAGCTTTTTGCATTTCTTACATTTTTTGTTGCATTTATTTTGTACAGGGTATCTTCAGCACAGCTACTTACATCCGCAGTGAACTGAACTTGATCGTTCAGTTGAAATGTGTCCATCAGCTGTGGTTGCTGCTGTGGTTGTGGTTGCTGCTGTGGTTGCTGCTGTGGCTGTTGTGGCTGTTGTAGCTGTTTATCGAGCGAGTTGAGCTCTTGAACCAGCTGCTGTTTGAGTTCATTGACCTCGCAGTTGCTGCTGGACTGTTCGGCGAGGACCTCCTGCATGAGCTCATCCTCCGGTGCCTGTTGCCAGTCGGAGTGCCACAGCTCCATATGCTCGGCGAACTCATCGAGTGCACAAAGGGGTCGCTCCTCGCACAGCTCACACTCGATGCCATAGAGTTCGCCAGCACAGTTCCAAGTGTAGACGCTGCCGCATTTTTCACGCCCATCCTCAACAGCTGCTGGCGTCATTTATAGATGATGATGACGATATGATGATGACGATGATGATGATGATGATGACGATGATGATGATGACGATTTTGAAGCTTTGTTCTATATTTGTTATTGTTATTATTATTGGCTGCCGTTACTGTTTACTGTCACTTTTTAAGCCAGCTTGTAATTCGGGGCACTTCTCACTCAGTTTCAGTAGTTTCTATTTTTTTCTTTTTTTTTTGGCTTATTTCTTTTGCTGTTTTCTGTGCATGTGGGTGGGAGGGGACTTAACTTAAATTGTGCGACTGCGCAGCTTCTTGGCTTGTGACGTTGTGAAAATGTCGAAGAGCCAAAGAGTCGATGTTAGGGCCAACAAACCCGTTGCGGGACAATCTTACACACACATGCGCAACACACACACACACACACACACACAGCAACTTTTATTTGGTTTGGTTTTTGCTTTGGCTTTGCTTGTTGCCCGTTTTGCTTTGCGTGTTTTCTCTTTAGACGCTGCCGCTGCATATGCGTTTGTGTGTGTGTGTGTATGTGTGCGTGTTGCTGAGCAACAAGTATACAAATGTAAAAATAACAAATGTTAAATTTTCTCGTGAATGCCCGACTAACAGATAACCTGTACAGTAGCAATTCAATAAATTAGTGTACATAAAAACGCCCACGTTTGCTGTGCATCTTCTTTACTTCTTTAAAAATAAAATTAATAGATAATTTTAGATATATATATATATATAGTATAAGACGTAAAATGACAACGCTGCGAACAGCTGAGAAGCAGCAGCGAGGGCCATAAACAAGTGCAACCACTTTGCGCCTGCGCGCACAGCTCACACATATCTCATTACATACATGTGTGTATACGTGTGTGTTTGACTTGGGAAGCGGAGCAGTAATTTACATTCACATCAACATAAGCTTTGTCTTTGTGTATTGTTGTTATTGTTAATGTTGTTGGTTGCCTTGGTCAATTCTGTTTGTCTAACGACGCTCTGCTTCTTCCATTTTGAGATTCCAGTGCTGGCAACGCCTGCACATATTATTTGTCCTTTTCAAATATTAATATTTAAATAATAATGTTAGTTATCTCATCCTTGTACCGACTGTTAGGGAAATATCAGTCATCTCTTTGTGTTCACAATTTACCAAAACAATAATATTTACTTATGCAGCAGTAAAAAGTGTCTCGTCATTGTCAAATGGGGCACTGTCACGCCCTGGTACATTTGAGACACACCAAATAAATGTGGGCAGTTTCGTATTTGTAAATGCGCAAGTACGAATGCATGTGTGCTCAAGTGGAAATGCTAACCGGTAACTTAACGAAACACTTAACATTCTTCTTGTTCCTTTTCAAAGCAGGTGGTCGACAAGAAGCATTCCGGCTGCAACAAATTTGACGAAGCGATCGCTACTTTTAGGTATCGAGGCTTGACCCCTTTAGAAATGCTCAAATTTTCAATATGAAGCACATATACACTGAGCGAAAATATTGTCTCAAAATTATCAATGTGTACTGTAGACATTTAATTTGTTGATAATTATTTTTGAATTCCTTTTCAATTGGTTGAATACTTATCTTGGTTTACATCGATAGTCAAACTATGAAGCCACGATCTTGAAATACTATCGATACTCGTCAACTATCAATTCTTATTTTTTACCGTTCTTGCGAGAAGCGCTATTTTCGAAATTTAAAATTTGTAACTTGGCAAAAACTAGTTCATCAGACGGATCAAAAATTTACAAATTACAAATTACATACCTAAATGGCTCAACTCTGAAACTGATCGTCACCCCAGCCCCATATTAAAATTAAATGCAATAAAGCGGAATAAGTATTGAACGTACACAAACGAGTTTTATTGAATATTTAAATATTTTGAAAACTAAGCATAATTTTCTTCAAATTGGAATTACATAGAATACATATTGTTATATATTTATGGTTTATAGGAATTTAAGGTAAATAGTATTTAATATTGTGTTCAAATTTAGTGACCTCCACGCAGACGGAGCACCAAGTGGAGAGTGGACTCTTTCTGGATGTTGTAATCAGAAAGAGTGCGTCCATCTTCCAGCTGCTTGCCGGCGAAGATCAGACGCTGCTGATCTGGGGGAATGCCCTCCTTGTCCTGGATCTTGGCCTTCACATTCTCAATGGTATCAGAAGGCTCCACCTCCAAGGTGATTGTCTTGCCAGTCAAAGTCTTGACGAAGATCTGCATGCCACCACGCAGGCGGAGCACCAAGTGGAGAGTGGACTCTTTCTGGATGTTGTAATCAGAAAGAGTGCGTCCATCTTCCAGCTGCTTGCCGGCGAAGATCAGACGCTGCTGATCTGGGGGAATGCCCTCCTTGTCCTGGATCTTGGCCTTCACATTCTCAATGGTATCAGAAGGCTCCACCTCCAAGGTGATTGTCTTGCCAGTCAAAGTCTTGACGAAGATCTGCATGCCACCACGCAGACGGAGCACCAAGTGGAGAGTGGACTCTTTCTGGATGTTGTAATCAGAA